TCGTCTGTGACCCGAGTGGCTCAACTAAAACCCGTGGGCTGACTGGAACGGTTAGTGGGGTCATTATTATTCCGACACCGAAACCTTAATTAGATTTCCCGAGGCCCCGTCGATCGCGTGCATGTTGCATGTACCAAAGATCCACCAAGGCTGTCTGTCTGTCTATCTCTGAATTGCGCCAACCATCACACAGCACAGCGTGAACAGCGTGGGTGCATTTCAAGAATACGTTATGGCGACACGGGCTTTGGATCCGCCTTTGGACGAAATACAATGGCGCTCTCCAGCATGGGCGCAGCAAATGATGGGCATTCACTCAAATTCAGGTAATTTACAGCAAGCCCTGTGTCCTCCTCGACCGAACTATCGCATTCTGACAGTATACCTCAGTGCTTCCATATTTTGCGAAATCGCCATTTTTCGATCCGACTTCAAATAATGCGGTCCTCGAAAACCAAGCAATGTACAACCAAAACATGGTGAACATTGTCGCGACTCGCGAAGCGTTCGAGGGCCGCCTGAAGACGATGTCTGGATTGGAATACGTTGTGGCGCAAGAACCCGCGGAGACGGCGCCTGGGACTGGCACTGGAGTCTGGGTTATCAGGAAGCAGACAAGGAGGAAGAGGCAAGGCCAGGAAGATGACATCACGATCCACTCCACGTATTTCGTGATGGGCGAAAATATCTACATGGCCCCAGCCTTCCTCGATGTGGTCGGCAGCCGTATGGTAAGGCTCTCCAGATTCCCCACACTCTATTCCACTACCAGTCTAACTTGAATAGCTGTCCATTTTTACCTCTCTCGATAAGTTCGTTTCAGCCGCAAACGCCCTCCCCAATTTCACGCCTTTGTCAGGGCATACGTATCTGCCGCCGGTAGCAGCACGCCCGAAGGCAACCGATTCGCAGCTAGCTACCCAAACAAGCCGGCAAAGCTCTCCGCTGTCTGATTCTGCAGGGGGTTCCAGAAAGCAGGTTTCTGGCACAACTAGCACATACATGGATGCGCGCCTGCTCGACGAGTCTTTTCAGCTTTCCATGCGCTATGGCGACGAATACATGGACGAAAATCCTATTACTGGTCACCCAGGCGCATTTAATCTCACGAGTACTGGCCGCAAAACCAAAGACGCTTTAGGAGCCGCAGCACAGAAGGCTGGCCTTCAAGATGCATCTAAAATTGGAGTTTCACTTGTGGACGAGAAACCATCCGACATTCCACCAACAAGAAAGGGCAGTAAGGCGGCTGATAAGGCCCCGAGGACTCCGGGAATACCAAAGCCGAAACGAAAGAAGAGCAAGGTGCTTTCTGCCGGTGGTGTTACACCGGTTTAATTCCGGCCATCACAGTTCTTTCTTTTTGTTGCAACCATTGGGCTGGTGTGAAGGCGTTCTTGGCGGGATGATACCCTATCAATATTAGACCAGATAGTTTGTGGTGAATGAATTGATATGCATTTTAACTATTTGATAGAGGCTATGATTATCTGTTCGTGTGAACTTGGGTGTCTAAAGACAGCTGCAACACCAATGATTTCACCAGGATCACGTTCTCCGTGACCAAGGTTAAATAATTAATATATCCAACAATCTTGATTCATTCGTAGGTAACCCTTTCAGGATTTATACGAAAGAAAATAGGGACGTGGACATTACGTCCCGGGCATTAGACGCGCAAGCCCCAACGTCTCTTGCTGCAAGACCTGTCATTGTGGGGGCCGGCAGCTGACGACTGCCCCGCCACCAACCCACCCCTGCCATGGTTTATCCTCGTGCTTGAACCAACATCACGCAGCACCCTCCGAATATAAACTCAAACAGGGTCCAAAGAAGCTGTCATATGAACATGAGCAGACTGAAAGTGTATAACCTCATTAAAACATTCGAAGCCGCCAACCTCATCTGAATACAGCAGAGCTCTATAGCTTTTAAGCCAAGGCGCAATGACGTCGCGCAGCGAAGCCTCCCCGCCATCCCCGTCAGCCTCGTTCTACGCCCTCAGCGACGATGAGGAAGGGGACTATAATACGATAACACATACAAGCTCTGGACGGGGTGTAAAGCTTCTTTACTCAAAAAGCAAGGTTCGTGCCCTATATTCCAGTTCTCGTCCAATCCGTACATCTCCGCCCGTTTGGCCCTCAGACCATACTGACACCCGCAACAGGTTTACATTCACCCGACCCCATCAGCAAAAGATAATATCCCTGGGTACATCGCTCTACTACAACAGAAGACGCCCCAGCTAGAGCGTCCGACGTCGTCATCCTCTTCGGCCTCCAAAAAGAGCACCGTTGCTCCGTCCCTCTTGCTCGCATGGCTTCCCGAAAGCTCCCTCGGCGATTCGCGAGACATATACGTCAAGGTTGACCTCTCAGAGGGTGACTCTCCGCCGAAGCAGTCATACCTAGTCCCTCCTCCGCCAACTACTACTTCACACGGGCCTACGGTCGGGCCGTATGCGTTTGCCATTCCCGTCAGCGAGATTTATTCTTTGCTTGTCCGCCCCCCAAGTCTAGGATGGTGGTTTGGAAGTGTTATAATCAACAGCCGAGCAGGCGACAGTTTTCCCGCTCTATTCTTCCACGATAGCGAATGCCAGTCTACTATACTTCAGAAGAAGCGGAGGACACGGGAAAGCTTTGACCCATTCGGTGCGAATGGTGAGATGTTCTGGGGCGGCGACGAAGTCCTCCGGTGGATCAAGAGATATGTGAAGGTTGAACGAAGCGGTGCTGAACCTAATATTTACCTTATCGAGCCTAGTAAGGAGGACAAAGAGGCGTTTGGTGAGAATCCTGTGACAGATAACACAGTACGGAGGACGTCTACCTCTGCGGGCTCGGGTATGCGCATCGGTGGTGCGGGAGGTACTGGATTTGGCAGCCGTGAAAGATCTTCGTCGTCACGAGATGATGGCGGCATGGATCCAGTCACCAAATTGTTGAAAGAGACAGGGTGGAACATAATGAATCAGTTCAGCAAGGTTACGACGTTTGCCAGAAGAACTGCCGAGAATGTGGTTGAAGATAACAGAATCCCGCCGCAGATGAGGAGGCTCTTACGGAACCCCGAAGTTCAGACGATTCAAGAGGAATTTGATGGCGCCAGGGTATATCTTGCTCGGTGGGCAATGGGAATACAAGAACAAAGTGAAAGAGACAGGGACCAGCGGATATGGACAGCTAGAGATGTTCTTGAAATGGAGGAGACAGGTGTTGGAGAATTTGAACTGCTCGATACGGAGATGACAGGCTTGAGCATGAAGCAGAAGAGGAAGCCTGTCACACTGGAAGAATGGAAAGGATTTTTCGATAAAGCAACTGGAAAACTAAGTGTTACTGTCGATGAGGTTAAAGAGCGTATCTTCCACGGCGGCCTCGACGCAGAAGACGGAGTCCGAAAAGAAGCATGGTTGTTTCTCTTGGGTGTCCATCGCTGGGACAGCTCTGCGGATGACCGAAAGGCAGAAATAGCAAGCTTACGTGACGAATATGTCAGGCTCAAGGGTGCTTGGTGGGAGAAGCTTGAAAATCTTGGTGGATCTGGTGAAGTTGGGGAATGGTGGCGGGAGCAACGCAACCGCATCGAGAAGGATGTTCATCGCACTGACCGAAATGTGCCAATCTTCGCTGGCGAAGACACTCCCCATCCAGACCCAAATTCTCCATTTTCTGAAGCTGGCACGAATGTCCATCTTGAACAGTTGAAGGACATGTTGCTCACTTACAATGAGTATAATCAGGACCTTGGATACGTCCAAGGAATGTCCGATCTGCTCGCTCCCATCTACGCTGTTATGCAGGACGATGCTGTTGCGTTTTGGGCATTCACGAAGTTCATGGACCGGATGGAGCGAAATTTCCTTCGCGACCAGTCAGGCATGCGTGCACAGCTCCTTGCTCTCGACCACCTTGTTCAGCTCATGGATCCGAAACTCTATCTTCACCTTCAATCCGCCGACAGCACCAACTTTTTCTTCTTCTTCCGCATGCTCCTTGTCTGGTATAAGCGCGAGTTTCCTTGGCTTGATATCCTTCATCTATGGGAAGTGTTGTGGACGGATTATCTCTCGAGCAATTTCCATCTCTTTGTTGCCCTAGCTATTCTTGACAAGCACCGGAGCGTTATTATGGATCACCTCAAGCAATTCGATGAGGTATTGAAATATGGTATGATATTTCCCTCGCCAAAATATGAAAGATCAGTTACTAACTCTCCCTCAGTCAACGAACTCTCCAACACCCTCGACCTGGAGGCTATTCTCATCCGTGCCGAAGCACTCTTCCGCCGCTTCGAGCGCACTCTTGAGTCCATAGACAAGAAGTCAAACTTCCCGACTCCTCGATTACGCCAGAGACCAGCCCTTAATCCACGATCGAGCTCGTCTCCATCCAATGTTCCGGTTGGGACAACGAGCGGTACCGACACCAGCACAGCAGTGGAAGCTAACGCCACGAGTCCCAAGGGCAAGGATAAAACTACGGGCCCGGAATCAAGCGCTATTCAGCAGCGAAAAATCGTTAGTCCCGAACTGAGGTTCCTGTTGTCCAGGAAGGTAGAGGTACTACCGAGGAAGATCGTGAGAAAGAAGGGAGAAGGTCTGAAGGGGAAGGACACGGTGGAAGGTTCAACATAGATGACACGAGTAGGGGCATAGCATGGGCGGAAAGGTGTTACTTGATTTTGTGTGTTTTAATGAGCACTGAGTTGTACTTAGCTTTATAGCGGCCAGAGAATATGGCAAGGGAGGCAGGTAAATCTATACAAGCAATAATAGGCTGTTACAATGTGCGATATAGCTTCACCCCTTCTGTATAATGAAAATAGACTTTGAAATTCTTCGTGGGGGACATGGGCGGAGGACCCCAGCCCAGTGGAGACCCCCAAAAATAAACATTAAGCGCCAGCCGCAGCAACCCACTTGTGTACTCGACCGGTAAATAGTTCGACCGCGCTCCGAGTACTGTCGTCATAAATCTATCAACCCCATACTGAACGAATCGAAGCCCTAAATCAGCAGAAGAAAGCCATTCTCGGCGTGTAATTGAGTCTCATCTTACTACTGAGCAACACCTAACAAACCCATACACCCTCCGGACCCAGTCCGACCATGGATCTCGTCTCGTCCATCCGCAAAGAAGGCTCCCGTGGTGGAGTCGACTTCAAATGGTCCGACGTCGAGTCCTCGACCCGCCGCGAAAACTACCTCGGCCACTCGCTCATGGCCCCCGTCGGTCGGTGGCAGAAGAACCGCGATTTGAACTGGTACGCCAAGGCGGACGACACGCCGGCGGGCGAAGGAGAGACGGAGGAGGAGAAGAAACAGAGGCTGAGGAAGGAGGAGATCAAGGCGATTAAGGAGGCTGAGGAGGATGCCCTTGCTCGCGCTCTGGGATTGCCGGTGAAGGAGAGGGTTAGCGATGCGAATGCTACGCCTGTGGGGCAACGGGAAATAAGGAAGGCGGTGCAGGATGTTGAGCCTGGGGACCAGGAGACGGAGGGACAGGGGAGATTTGGGGGATTTGTTGGTGCGGTCGGTGATAATGATCAGAAACTCGTGTTGGATGATGGTTTGGAAGGTGCCGGACCAGGCGGCTTGGCTGTGGCGGATGAACGGAAATCTAGGCGTGACGATGATAGGGGCCACAGGCGAAGGGGTGACGATGATGAGGACAGAAGGGCTAGGCACAGGCATCGCCATCACCACAGTCGGAGGGATAGGCCACGTTCAAGTTCGAGGGGCTATCGGCACGAGCGGAGTGACAGGTATCGGCATCGGGATACGGGGGACAGGAGCAGGAGTCCAGACAGGCGGGGCGATGGAGATAGAGAGTCCCAGAGAGTTCGGAAATCGAGTCGGGAAAGGAGAAGCAGCAGGGAGAGGGGTCACAGCAGAGAACGGAGACGACGTGAGAGGAGTCCGGATAATCGACAGAGGGATCGCAGTCGGGACAGGGGACACAGCAGGGAAAGGAAGAGGAGAGAGCGAAGCCCGGATACCAGACCGAGATAAAGGAGGGGTCGGGATGGGGAGTGAGGGGGACAGTTAAATTGAACGGATTCGGAACCCAGACTTTGGTTAAGAATGTTCAGAGCAATCACGCGGTGATTCAGCACATAGGAGAGTTGTTCCGTTAATATAGTGAAACTCAAATGTTAATACAACTGTTCAGTGTTCTTGCTCTGGTTATGCTTTCGTCCGTAGCACCTCGCTGCTGCCAAATATCCCACCACGGACTATCTGAACTTAGGTAACGACCATAATGTCCCTCCACAGTCTATCACGACTCAATAACGACCAAACGCCTCCCCAAAAACACAGCAACGACCAAAAACCTCCTAAAACGCAGTAACCTCCCAAAACGCAGTAACGACCAATCCTCGAAACACAATGCCCATGGGTATATATATAAAAACGAAACGAAAGAAACAAGCCCTCCTGCTCCATCGCTAAACTTCGAGTAGGTGATGTCGACCTACCAAGGAAGGTTTGATAACCTGTACGGTGACCTGCATAGGAAATGAAAAGGAAGAAGATCTGAATAAGATATCTTTCGATTATCTCTTGTTCAGCTCTTGTCCCTTTTCATTTCCTGTGCACGTCACCGTATAGGTTATCAAACCTTCCTTCGTGGATCGACATCACCCACTCAAAGTCTTCAATAAATTCATTGTCATAATCCTTTTCTCTTATCATCCAGTACTCAAACTGGATGTCAGCAGTCTGACGCTGAGGTGACTCTCCTCCGTCGGAGGCTGGGGCCTCGATCTGTTTGTCCTCGCGGAAGTCTTCTCCATCGATACCGTTAACCCTTTCGGCCATGTTGTTGATGGAGTCGTCTGCCTTGTTGTTGATGAAGTCGTCCGCCTGGTTGTTGATGAAGTCTGCGGCCCCATTATCAATGAGAGCTGGATCTTGCTCCTAGTTAGTAGTCTTTCTGAGCAGTTCCGATGGCTACTTACGAATCTTTTCAAATGTTCCGCTCCCAGTGTCCCGCAGCAAGTCATCTTTGTGGCCAGTTGGCTATTCACTGTAAGTAATTGCTTCTTAATATTTAGATATAACTTACCCTTTCCATATGCATCAACAGCCCGGCCTTCCGCGTGAAGACCGTATCACATCCGTCCACCGGGCATTGCCATTCACCATTTTGAGCGTTAGAGTCGCGTGCTTGGTAGTTTTGTGGAAGAAGCATGACACGATCATTCTTTAAGGACCGGTATTGTTTCTTATTGAGAACCTTTCCCGTGGGATTAGGATGGTTGATAGATATAATCCGTCCATCAGCGGCCTTTTTCGTCAACCCGAGGGCTATCGTCTTGGGTATTTTATCTGCCATTATGTAGGTGAGAATGAAGATACGTTTAATGTATAGCACAGTCTTTGCAGGAAGTAATTAAAGGTTATGATGTGAGTTTGGTTGGGAAAAAAGTATCTTGGTGGTGGTGGTGGTAGTGTTGAGCGAAAGGAGGTGAAGTTGAAATGTTACTACAAGCTTCACAAGTTGGCACGCAGCGCACTAGCAGTTCACTTTTGGTAGTAAATTACTATCCCCTCCATCTAGCTGTTTCTCTGCTATGTTTCTGCTATTGAAAACTGTTTCCACGGAGACACTGCGTTCATCGTACACATCTCTTCTAAATCCCCAAAGCAAATCACGGGGCTTCAACAGACTTGCGAGAGGGAAAGTATACTATTATAACTATATTCTAAGAGTTCAGATCATTACAATCAAGCAGAATGAAGAAATTTTGTTCTCATTTGTTGGTCGTGGGTGGGTGGGGTTTACAACGACCTGGCTTTATTCGGGCACCTTTTGACGAAAAGGAGACTCCTTCTGTTGATAGCATCACAATCGCTCCACGCGCCACGACCCACAACTAACTGCAATACTCCAAATCTTTTAAACTTCATAGCAATAGTCTCCTTGTTGGTATCACCCCGAGCAACGAACTTGCAATGCTGCTTTCTGATGGTTTCTACAATATCAACAATCTTATCATATGCCACACCATGCCCGCCTTATGGGAACCTGAAACGAATTCACACAGCTCGAGAGCAGCCATTCATGGAAACATATTTTATTAGTCTGATCTGATAACTATTTGATCTGATAACTAGTTATCAGACGTTCAAGTAACAAGGTCCTCTTGGACTACTCCACTGTTGTCCAAGCCTTGGCATCTGTCTCTCTCGGCGATCCTTGAGAATCATCGGAGCCGCGCCTTGGGTTTACTCCGAAGGATCTCTGGCAAGGCAAACCAGTACGCCTTGCCATTTACATAAGACATAGTCATGCTTCATCCTTCTCGGTGGACGGAATTACAGAAGAAATACAACATTGTCCCGGTACATCAACAGAAAACTGTGCAAAGGAGTCACCCCAAGGCAGCACTTCCAAATCAAGTATGTAACAATTTGGAGTCAGGCGAATGCATATAGGATTCGAATCTTGGCCCTTGTTTTGTGATTACTGGAGAATGAAAATGTTTCTACCTTAATGATAACTGCAGGAAATACGGGACATTTGACACAGCTGAAGCCTTAACGGCCCGAGTTGAAACACCTGTGACTACACTTACTACAGCAACACAGTCAAATCTTCGTATTTGCCACCGCACCAGCCACCGGTCATCAGGTTAGTCATCCTGCTGGCGTAAAACGCTGCAGTGATACTGTAAAAGCACTGTCATCAACTTGCTGACAGTATTTGAGGCTGGGGCCCAAAAATAGAAATGGTCCCCTTGCAAGCTAGCCGAAATTATTAAGCGCAATGCGCTTGCGCATAGCGCTTCTTCCTTCTCCAGGGGTCTGCCGCCAATGACCTGCCATACCGAGCGTCCCGTCGGCTCGAGAGAAGGGCCGCACCAATCGCCTCAGCCGTCTTATGGACCCCATCCGACGCGTATGTTGACCAATCCCCTCCGGAATCTCGACTTTCCAGAACCCAGGTTGTTGTTCTGCTGACGCTTGGCTGCGTCTGATTCGCTCCCCCGGCGTCCCAAACCGTCCCAGACCTCGTTTTAGCATCATGCGCCGCTAAATACTCCACTACGTACTTCCCGTCATGGCCCTGTGCCTTGTCATCGCTAAAATAGAGCGCAGCAACGCAGAAAATGCTAATCGTGTTACTTTGGCGTTTCGGTGGCTTACGGAATCATGGAAAAGAAGACTCGTGTTATCGTGTTATGCGCCTTTCACCCATACACTGCCACATTAGAGCTACTACATCGCAGATCCACAACTCCGAATTTGGGTCTAAGTTATCGTACCTGCAGGCCCCGGCTGCCTAAGTTGGTACTCGTACATGACACAGAGTGAGATTACGAGTGCGACCATGTGGCCCTTACGACCACAATACCGGTGCCGAAATAGACTCCCTGAGATCCCATCCCGCCCAGCCACGTTCCTAATGCCTGCTTGTGCTGCGCTGACTAGATCCCGCGCAATACCAACTTCTGGAAAGGACGCCGCATCGCTCTGTAATTGGAGGGCAAGTGCCTGCAGGGTTGCCATGTTTACGTCGGCGTGGGCATAGGGCTGAGTGTGTGACGAAATGCCGCGAGTTCCTCACCAGATCCGGGGTTCCGCAGGGGAACTGTTGCCTGGGCCTCAATGGGCAAGAAAAGTATATATGGCTCGTAGACCTTCTCCTTGAATCTTCTTTTTTTTTCTACATCAGCATCAGCATCTTCATTACACTTCTCACATTCACACTATCATCAACCGCTTCTCACCTCAAACACACTCTTCAACTACACATCTCCAACTTCTTCCAACCATATCAGACTTATACACACCTCCAAAACCACTCAACTATCCCATCACAATGTCTTTCACCTCATCAACCATCTCCTCGGCCACCTTTGGCTGTGCCCTCCTGGACAGGTCATCTGCTTCAACCACCGGGCAGATGACGAACCAAGGCCGCGGCGGCTACAACCGCGGACCCGACGACGATGATGAGCCCGAGGACGGACGCGGAGGTTACAACTAAGCATCTCCTACTTTGTCACGCAGCTTTCAATCACCTATCTTGGTTCAACTTGGCGTTACAAAAATAAGATCTCACCTCTCCTCACGGCATTCTCTCTGGCGTCCTCAACTCTACTTCATTCGAAATTAATTTTTCATCTTTACGCTATATTACTACTACCTGCATTCTCGGCGTTCTGGATAGAGCTGAAATCATGGAGTCACTCAACAAATCACCATCGTCATTCTTCGCATTTTCATCGCATTTCAGTATGGCGTACTAGCGCCGTCGTTCTCGCATCGCATCGCAATTAGACTGCTTCTTTTCTTCCGTTTTTGAGGGCTTGGAGCGTTGGCTGGCATTATCTTGGGGCATCAGCATCAGTTTAGCGTCAGCATTGGTATCGGATATTGGCATCGCATTGGCATCAATAGATGCATAGGGACGGGCATTGGGATGGAGTTACGCATTTGATTTTCACTGGCATTGGATATTTTCATGGGATCGCGGGTAGTTTTTGTTTTAGAATATGTATTTGCATTGATTGCATCAATAGATAGTCTCACTTCTCATACACAAAGTCTTTGTCTATTTCCCCACACAAAATCTGCTTGATTGTTAGCATTGTATCATTTGACGGGGTGACAGAAAATCTTACTTCTCAAACACTACCCCTAATACCTCCTCCACATCCCCACCCTCCCCTCGGCCCGTAAGTTTACTAAGATTATTCGCCGCGGTTCTCAGATGCTCCGCCGCCACCACAATATCGAAATCCAGCGACATATCGGCTTCTTGAGTCTCGCTCTCGTACAGGGATAGGTATTCATCGCATCTTGAGAGAAGTTGACGCTGGCGCTCTGTAACTCCATACAGGTCTTCATCGCCAAGGGTAGTGAGGGACTGGAAGGAGGACGTGAGGTGAGAAATTAGGAATGAGATGTTGCCCGCATCTTGAGCTGAGGGTGTCGATACAAGATCCGATTTGCATGAAATGGGGATGATCTTGTTCTCTGGGACTGAAGGCAGCGAGGACTTGAAGCTGTGGAGGATCCGAGCGAAGATAGTCTCGGGAATAATGTCGGTTTTGTTGACGACCACTACGTATTCCTCTGCTTTGGTAGCAATGTCGAGAGCCTCCGTATCATAGCGTATTTCCCACCCCTCCTTCCCATTTGAAAGTTCCACTGAAGCCATCACAATAATTAGATCAGACTCCGCAGCTTTCGCTTTGGCTCTTCTGATCCCCTCTTCTTCCACCTCTCCAATGCGGTCTCTTATCGTGGCGGGCTCCCTGTCAACTCCAGACGAGGGCGATCTCAACCCCGCCGTATCAGCGAAAGTGCACAGATACCCCTCAATATCAAGGCCGACTTCGACTATATCTCTCGTCGTCCCCGCCTCGGTACTGACAATCGAAGCCTCTCTGCCAACAATTCGATTCAACAGCGAGCTCTTCCCAGCATTGGGAGGTCCAAGCATGGATATTCTGATACCCTTCCGCAGCATCTCTCCGCGCCGACTCCCTTCCTCATGTGCTTTGATAGAAGCCCGGATATTTTCAACAACAGCCCCCACATTCTTCAACAAATCCGGATCAGAATCTTCAAAGTCATGATCCTCAGAGAAGTCAATCAGCGCCTCTAACTCTCCCCGCGCCTCAAGAAGCTGCTGTCTCCAGCCTTCATAAGCCCTTCCCAGAGCGCCAGAGTTTCCCCTCACAGCTGCTCTGCGCTGCTGCTCCGTCTCCGCAGACAAGGTATCACTCAGCGCCTCCACCTGCGCCAGGTCAAGTCTGTTGTTCTGGAATGCTCGTCTTGTGAATTCTCCAGGCTCGGCATAGCGGATCGTAGATGCAGATTTGCACCGTGAAATTGCTGCCAAAACGGCCTTAACTGTTGCGGGGCCGCCGTGGATGTGCAGCTCTAGCATTTCCTCGCCGGTGACGGTCTTCGGCGAAGGGAAGTGGAGGACGAGCGCATCTGAGTCGAGGACGCTCGGTTTGGAGCTGTTGGTGGGGTTTGGTTCGTAGAGAGTACGTAGAGTGGCGTATCGGGGTTTAGGAATTGCTTTCGAGGGGCATAATGCACGATATACCTATGCCAGTTAGAACGGCGAAGGGGGAGGGGGCATTGGTTCACTCACATCCAAGGATCCTGTCCCAGAAACTCGAATTATGGCAATCCCTGCCCTGCCCGGAGCCGTCGAAACTGCATAAATGGTATCATCAAAGAACGAAACAATGCCACGACCAACGCTTTCTCCATTTTGTTGTGCCTGTATTGTGCTGTGAAACCGGCGGCGCCCGGAAGGTATATGTGATGGACTCAAGAAATCCAGCCCGATCCTTGAGCTGGCCCTTGACGCATTGCGTAGATAACTGAGTAGAGCCGCTTGCGCACCGCGCCGTGCTATAAGAGTAACATTTCGCTTCATTGACGCAACATATCATACAAAATCGCTGTAAATATCGGTGTTTGAAGATTGGATTGGCAAGGCTGAGGCTTTGCGATGCGCCAGGGATGGATTTGGCTGGTAGTTGGTACGTACCTAAAGCTAGGTAAGGCTGGCGGCCTGGCGGGGATTTGTTGCTGCCTGGAATTGTGAATTGATCCGAAAAAAGTTCCCCAGACGAAATATTTCTTATCAGCGAGGAAATCTACAACCTTTTTCCACGGCCTCAAAGCATCGCAACGAAAAAGTCGGAGGCTACTGTGCAAACTTCTAAAATCGGTTTTCAGAACCTTCGAATAGGTTCACCGTTTCAAAAATGTCTTCAGACGAAATCGTCTGGCAGGTTATCAACCAGCAGTTTTGCTCGTTCAAACTCAAGTATGGCGAACCTCCGAGTCTCGTGATAAATCAAAACTAACATTTTCCAGAACTACGAAAGAGAAGAACTTCTGTCGTAACGAATACAATGTCACTGGTCTTTGCAACAGACAATCATGCCCTCTGGCCAACTCCCGATATGCCACCGTCCGCTCCAATCCCGATACGGGCACCCTCTACCTCTACATGAAGACAATCGAACGTGCTCACATGCCATCAAAGCTGTGGGAGAGGATAAAGCTGTCGCAGAACTACGTCAAAGCGCTCGAGCAAGTCGATGAGAGATTAATATACTGGCCAAAGTTCTTGGTGCACAAGTGCAAGCAAAGGCTTACGAGGTTGACACAAGTCGGCATCAGGATGAGGAGACTGGCAAAGGAGGATGAGAGGTTAGGCGAGAGGGTTGTTCCAAAGCTTGCTCCCAAGGTCAGGAGAAGAGAAGAGACGAGAGAGAGAAAGGCGCTTGCTGCTGCGAAGGTTGAGAGAGCCATTGAGAGGGAGCTGATTGAGCGATTGAGGAGTGGCGCATACGGCGACCAGCCATTGAACGTCAGCGAGTCTATCTGGAAGAAGGTACTCAAGGGCCTTGAGCGACAGGGAGAGGGTACCAGAGACGAGGATATGGACGAGGGCATCGAAGAGGAGGAGGATGAAGAGATGGAGGAGGAGGAGGAGGGTGTCGGCATGGTTGAGTACGTCAGCGACTTGGGCGAAGATGAGGAAGATCTAGGCGATCTCGAGGACTGGCTAGGAAGCGATGCTGAGGAGGGCACTGATGAAGATGAGGATGATGATGAGGACAGTGATAGCAACAGCGACGAGGAGGATATTGCAAAGAAGCTTAGCGGGTCCAAGAGGAAGCGCCCAGCAGCGCCAAAGGGCAAGCCAAGGAAGACCGCCAAGATGGAGGTCGAGTATGAGGTTGAGGGTGAGACACGCGCAACTACTACATGAGATATGTCGCTGGGGAGTGTCATGGGATTGTAAATAGTTTGATAGGAGCATACGTTGATACCATAAAACAATTATATGCAATCGCGAGAGTGCAAAGATAATTCAAGACAATCCACTGAGTAATGAACTCCTCCAACTTTTGCTGTTCTCCATGAATCTTTAGTATATGCATCCCATTAATGTGGCCTTGGCGCGCCAGGCCTTAAATCTGGGTGGAGCGCTTGGATGTGAAACCTTAATCCACCGGTAACAGCCGCTACGTAACCCCACCTCCCAACTCTGTACGAGTCTACCCACCTCGGTGAAGCACTTGAGACACCGATCCCCTCCTCATTCACAACCACCTCCTTCAACACGGCGATCAGAAGTCAGAGCACCTTCATTGCCTCCAAAGCTTTACTTCTTAACAGAAGTCACCTCTCGAACTACTGAACGCAACAACGACCACTTGCATGGGCACAGCAACATAGGCAACACGCAATCATGTCATCCTACCTTTCCAACCTCCTCACCACGACATCCACCCGCTACGCTTCTCTTCGCAACCTCCTCCCGACCGGAGAAGCTGATGGCGATACCCCAGACGACACACACATCTGCAGGGTCCTACGCGCATACTACACCGAGAAGGGCAGAGCCTTTCCACCTTGGCTGCCACCCGACCCAAAAGCCGCTCCACCCCCACAGGTTCAACAACAAAACTACGGCGCACCTGTCGGAGCTGGATATGGCAATCTTGCAAATGCAGGGAGCAGCGGCAACAAGCTAACGAGCCTATGGGACAACAAAGCTTCCTCGGGGTCCCCCGCACCGACGCCAGTTAATCAAAGCTTGAGACAGGGGAGACCAGGTGGATCTCCAGCGCTACGAGCCGGTGGCGGGATGCAACGAGGGCAGCAGCAACAACAACAACAAGAATACGTGGCTGCGCGGCCGCTGCCGAGCCAGAGGGATGGGTCATACCAGAATTCGCTAGCCTTACAGCCCACGATCAGTGCGGGTTCGGCACAGGATCGACTGAAGCAGAGATTATGGGGCGGCGCTAAGAGCAACAGCTCGTCACAAAGTTCACTGGACCAACCACAAGGGAGGAGCCCTGGGATGAGCCCGGGAAGGAACCCACAACCACCACCACAGAGGGGTGGCTACGAAAGGCAGGAGAGTTATAACAGCGGCAGATCGAATGAGAGTCCAGGCGTATCTGCGAACTCGCCTTGGTCACAAAATGGTGGCGGAGGCGATCAGTATGGTAATGGTAGACAGGGACAAGGACAGGATCCAAGGCGGCAAGGCTTGCCCAGCAATCCGAGGGGGTACAGATGAATGTATGCCTCATGCGGGGCGAGATGACGTTTTTATGAATACTTTGAGCAAGGCGTTGGTGGCACCTGGGAGCAACATGCTTAAGTCTAGCTGTGCGGCAGAATAGACGGCCATGGGGCGGAATAAACAGCCATTTTAGATGCTCAAGCAAACTAAACTGCTCGTCTCTTCTCCAAGCACTTCTACAGTAAATTTTTATCTCGATATATCTACATGACTTAAATTTCCCAACACTATTTATGAAAGCATACTAGGTAGTAGGGCAGTTTTGTGGATATAATAAGAGCTTCGGCGCCTCCACTTGAAGACACAATCTACTGGATCAGCCTCAGTTATTAGCATCGAGTGAAATATACTGATTTCAATGTTTCACGGCCGTAAAGGCGAAATTGCCAGGTCTCTAAATAGCTTGTTATTATCATAGTTCAAAATATATGTCATGGTATAGTTAAAGGTTGTTATTCAACAGCAAACGTTGAAGGTTGCTTTTGTCCGTTACGTCGTGTTACCCAGCCACTCGCGATAAGGTTCAAGCAAGACCTAAATTGTTTTCCATAAATTAGAGGTCCTAAATTCGTATCTTACTACGGTCACATCTGAGATATATAATAGCTAATATTTATTTATTTTTATTGTCGAAAGTCTTGGACTTTTTGGGTGTCATATTATTTGTTGAAGCTAAATAATAAAATCGGGCAATCGTCGAAAATCGGAATATATTTCGAAAATCTTAGCTCTCCGTACCCAACAGGTCACTCAAGAACCATATTATCACCAAAATGGCCCCATCAGCGATCGCACAGAGGAGAACACATAATTTACTACTGTTCCAAAAGCTACTGAACCTGCGTGATGGGGCGAGTCCATTCACGCTGCTGTTGGATACGTTAGAGCAGTCATCACGGCCGGTCGTTCGCGAGTTCATAACAAGGGCAAAGGTGAGTCAAAGAACACAACCTGTTTCATTCTTTCTGTGTAACTGTCAAAACCTTACTGGATGATTTTTTTGGGGGATGTACTCCAAGTACGAGTATTGTGCTGTTGCAGATGTCTTGGGAGCCTGTTCTTCGCCTTGTTTCTTGTGGCATATTTACTGACCACCATACAGATTGCCAAATCAAAAGTCATATTTGTATCATTCCAGACCTTGAAGTCGCCTTCACAGGTCGACGTGGTCATCAGAGCACATGGCAAGCCACTGGCAGCTCTCAAGCAGGAGATTTTGACGCACCTGCCTCCGCCACCCAGTGCTGCAGCGCCAACGCCAAGTGCCAGTGAGTCCCAAGTTGCCCAGCCATCAGGCGGAAAACTAACGATATAATAGAAGCTATTGTCATTATTGATACGCTCTATTCCTTGGCCGCTTCGGCGTCGTTCTCTCTACCAGGGTTCCTCTCATCATTCCTGTTCCCCGGCATCTCCCTCGTCGCCACATACCACCTCGATATCCCTCTCACCACGCAGAAATCGCTAAACCCATACGCCCCAAGCCCACTAACTACTCTCTCCTACTTGGCAACGTCTATCCTCCGCATCTCCTCGCTCGATCACGCCGTGCAAGAAAAGCGCGCACGTGATCGCAGTTTACCAGAACCAACCTTTGGTTTGCACGAGGGGAGGGATGGCGTTATTATCGGGCGGAAGAGCCTCGGCGACCAAGTACAGGGTGTTGTCGTTGAAATGGAGATTCGACGCAAGAGTGGACGTGGAGTGAGGGAAGTTCTGGTTTTGGCTCCGTCATCAGCATCACTGCCGTCCTCACTGGAGGCAGGAGGCAAGATGAGAGTTGGTCCTGGTGCTGCGGGAAGCAAAATCTGTTTGTTGGATGATCACCCTCTTTATGCAGCACCGGAAGTTGGTGATGGTCAGGGAGCAATGGATGACGAGGACGAGGAGCCGGAATCGACCTTTAGCCTGGGGTTGACCGAAAAACAGAAGAAGGACAGGGAGGGAGTTGTGCTACCATACTTTGATGCACAGAGCGGTGGAGGGGATGGGGGGAGGATTTTGTATGAGATGGGGAGGGAAGATGATTGGGACCCTGAGGAGGATGAGATCTAGAATTTATAGGCAAACTACTAGCATTAGAGGAAACAAAGCCCGCAGAATAAAAATGCTACTTTTTACGTCTAGTTTTTTTGATATCGTTAGTTATATTTCACGTTGGTCCTAAAGTGCAATAAAGTGAATTAGGGTCACGTGCAACCGTGAATATTTGTGCCAAGACACTGGGCGACAGCCTCGCAGCCTCACTTATGTTATTTCTCAGAGGACCATCATTACCTCCGCAAACAACATACCACTTCCATTCACACTCCAAACTGAACCGAATATGGCAGAACCACCATATAAACGGTCAAGGCGAGACTTCGACTCCGATCGCCCTCCCGTTGACTCTCGGAACCCTCGCGACAGGCGCGGTGGAAGGCAAGACCTGGACCGTGGCAACGACCGAAATAGATCGTACAGATCAAGAACACCCGAGCGCCCACGCGACCGTGACCATGATCGCGACAACCAGCGCTATGACCGTGGTGGTGGACGACGAGATGATCGCAGAGATCGCGACGGCGGACGGAGAGACGAACCGCGCAGAGATGACAGAGGCAGACATGGCCCCCGGGATATGGACAGGGATGGAGATCGGAGGCAATACAGAGATGATCGAGGCCCTCGAGACGGTGACCGAGGTCAACGCGACAGAAGGAGAGACGGAGAAGGCGACTCGAAGCGCCGAAGCAGAAGCCCGCGTGGAGAACGTTCCCGGGAAAGAGAACCATCTGCGGATGCCGCGCACCCCAATATGACTCGTATAGTCGAGCAAGAGATGCCACTACGACAAGGAAGCAAACAAGGGAGCCGACACGCTACACCCCCCGTTGCATTCAAAGTTGGCCGACCAGACAGCCGAGCAGGCTCAAGAGATCCCGGCGGACAGAGCCCAGCACAACCGGAGGCAGCTGCTACCAGCGCGAGTGCAAGCCACAAGAATAAGCCCAAAGCAGCCGATTTTATTGGCGCCGACGATATGGATGTTGAAGAAGGCGAGGAGGACGATATTGTGGTTGAGGATGATGCAATGGCAGCCATGCAGGCAATGATGGGCTTTGGAGGATTCGGAACTACAAAACAGAAGAAAGTATTGGGGAATGATATTGGTGGGATCAGGAAAGAGAAGAAGACGGAGTACAGGCAGTATATGAACAGAGTTGGAGGATTCAATAGGCCGCTCAGTCCCAGCAGGGAGACGTAAAGAGAGGACGATTTGATGCTTCGAATGCATAGCGTGCAGCGTATCTTTTCAAGATAACCAAAGAATTTACAATGAGATTATTTGACACCTCAAGTTTCATGAATTACAGAATTGAATGTTATACTTTGAACGTGCCTTGAAGATTGGTGCTCACGGTTACTTGTTGGAAGCTCCCCTGGTGACGTTTCGGCGAGGCTCTGGGCAAGGCTGAGAGGGGCTTCGCCAAACGTGTCAACACGACCAAGGCGGTCCAAAGACGACGACAGCAGCTTTCGGGGAACATCAATTCTTTATAATTGTGTTTCAAGATGGTGCGCATAACATTAGCGGCTGCAGCTATACTCAGCCTTTCCTTAACACCGCACGTGGCCGCACAAGATGACCCGTCAATTCTACTTGGGGAGGTTGGACGAGCTTCAAACGAGAGCTTGCTATGGGGCCCGTACAAACCCAATCTATATTTTGGAGTGAGACCGAAGATACCGAAGAGTCTCTCGGCGGGGCTTATGTGGGCGAAGGTGGATAACTTTCAAGATGTGCAGCACAGTATGTTCTGGAGCAGAGTCAGCATGCTTCAATGCCTGTGGCTTAGAATATGGACCCTGGTTGATTGCTGATTGTGATATGTATAGATTTTAGACATACATGCGAGCAAAATGAAGGGATGGCGGGATATGGCTGGGATGAATATGATGTTCGCAATGGCGGCCAGCAGACCGTCCATGACGCGGGAAACAAGATCGATATCACAACCTCCTTCGTGAAGATTCCAGGTGGAAAGCATGGCGGCAGCTGGGGAGTGCGGGTAAAGGGGACGCCTCGAGAAGACGCACCAGCTATGTTGATGACGACCGTGGTATTTTATGCTACATTGGAAGGGCTTGGGAGCTTGGAAGTCGAGAACAAGCGCGACGAATTGGGATACGAAGGCGACGTAACGCTGAAGGGAAACTCTGCTGGACTTGGAGAATACAAGTTACTCGTTACGAAAGGAGAGGGTCGCCATCCAACGGAGACTCACGATTCATACAAGGAGAAGCCGCTGGACCGGACAATGGTGCGTTCGATGGCCGCTGCAGAGGAAAACCTATGGCAGATCAAGCCGCTCTTTTACCAAGAGTTGAAGGGCCAGATCGAAGCATATGTGGAAAAATACACAGTTGAGGCCATGCCGCCGCCATGGCAGGTCTATACACTCCCCAACGATCCGGGAGCTGGAAATATACAGATGGTCCAGAAAGTATTCGAGGGACCATTCGAGTTCGATATCATGTTCTCCAGTGGCTCAGCTACGAAGGAGGTTACCAGCGAAGATCTTACAGAAGGGATTGAATCGGCGAGCAAGTCTTTCGTGGAGAAATTCGGCGATGTATTTGACTTGAAGGCACCATACAACGGACCTAAATACGCCCAGTTTGCCAAGAGCATGTTCTCCAACCTCTTCGGAGGCATTGGGTACTTCCAGGGCGACGAAGTTGTCGACCGCTCTTACGCGCCAGAATACGACGAGGAGAATGAGGGTTTCTGGGAGGAGGCCGCCGAAGCACGCGCTAAGAAGAGAGAGCAGCTCGAGGGCCCATTTGAGCTCTACACAAGCGTCCCCTCCCGACCATTCTTCCCCCGTGGATTCCTTTGGGACGAGGGCTTCCACCTCCTGCCTATCGCTGACTGGGACATGGATATCGCCCTCGAAATTGTCAAGAGCTGGTTCAATCTGATGGACAGTGACGGCTGGATTGGTCGCGAGCAAATCCTCGGCGACGAGGCGCGAAGCAAGGTCCCTCCCGAGTTCCAAGTCCAGTACCCGCATTACGCTAACCCCCCAACCCTATTTTTCATTCTCGACGCTTTCGTTGAACGTCTCTCGAAGCCAAACGAGTCTGCAATCCCTGTGGAGGGATCTCCCGGGCTGCGCCAGGCGGGCCTCAACAGCGCCCACACCGACAACCCTGAAGTCGCGAACCAGTATCTCCAAGCAATTTACCCGCTGTTGAAGAAACAGTACCATTGGTTCCGCCGCACCCAATCTGGCGACCTCGCGACGTATGACAGAGAGGCGTTCTCCTCCAAGGAGGCCTACCGCTGGCGCGGCCGCACTGTGCAACATGTCCTCACCTCTGGCCTTGACGATTATCCTCGTCCACAGCCTCCCCACCCTGGAGAGCTCCACGTCGACCTCATCTCTTGGATGGGTGTGATGGCGAAGTCTCTCAAGAACATTGCCACCTACCTCGGCGAGACCCAAGATGTGGCCGAGTTCACGCGTAACGCTAACGGTATCTTGCGCAACATCGATGATCTGCACTGGAGTGAGAAGGAGAAGACGTTCTGCGATGCTACTATTGACGAGTTTGAGGAGAACGTCTTGGTGTGCCACAAGGGATACATTTCTATCTTCCCGTTCTTGACTGGACTGATTGAGCCAGATAGCCCGCGTTTAGGCGCAATTCTTGATTTGATCGAGGACCCAGAGGAGCTATGGACTGATTTTGGAATCCGCAGTTTGAGCAAGTCAAACGAGTTTTACGGCACAGATGAGAATTATTGGAGAGGTCCTATTTGGATGAATATGAACTACCTCGCTGTGCGAGAGCTACTCGTAAGTTCTATTTGCCCTGACCCCACACCTCCCCCAAACCGTCCCACAACCCCTCCCTCCCGGCTTCTCGCCCCGTGCCACTCTAACTCTCGCACAGAAAATCGCGCAGTCATCCTCCCCTCATGCCAAGCAAGCCGGCAGCATCTACAGCCGTCTCCGCCACAACCTCGTCTCGAACGTGTACAAGTCTTGGAAGGAGACTGGATTCGCATGGGAGCAGTATAACCCCGAAGATGGACACGGGCAGCGAACCCAGCATTTCACCGGATGGACCAGCCTTGTGGTTAAGATTATGGCGATGCCGGAGCTGGAAGCCGGGAAAGCCGGTGGCGACGAGAGCCACGACGAATTGTGAGAAGCCAGAAGTTAGGCAATCGAGTGGGCCTAGGTCCTCCGGTTTGTATGATAGCTACTGTGAAAAGTTCGGTGTTGTACAGCCTCTGAAAATAGCTTCAAGAGTTTATAGAGTGATGCATTCGTGACGACCAGTAACTAGAGAACAATACAACTGGCAAAGACCAAGAGTTAGTTGTACTTGCGTATGTTCCTGTATGGACTCTATTATTTCTCAGTCATCATCTCCTTGAAGTGAAAAGTGTAGAGCCTGGCGAATATCCCAAAGAGTACCGAGATCTTGGTTGTTGCGTAAGACGCGGACGGTCTTCCAAGAGTTGCCATTCGGTAGCTTTCCCTTCACACGGCCATCGGCCTCTACGGCAGCTTTGCATATGCGCTCAGGCCCGTTGATTTCGGTGATTATGTCGTCGTCGCCCTTTGAAAACTTCGAGGCGCCTGGTGGTAAGGAGCATCGTAGGACTCTTTTGTTTCCCGAACCTTGGGCTTCGATAAACTTGATTTCTTTCTCGATGAAAACCTTGCCAATGGTCCTCTGGAATAGGAATATATCACCCGGTTTGATAAGCTCACGGCTGACGAGGTCATCGAACTTTATGGAGCCAGAAAGCCCTGTCAAAACGTTGCTTTGGAGCTTCTGCTTTACTCCCCAGAACATCTCGTATTCGTTATCTTTCCAGTCGTCAAACTCTCCCTCTGCACGCTGTTCAGATGCCGCCGCGGCCTCCTCAAGCCATCCGGGATCGTTGCGGCCTTCGGCGATGTCCTCTTGGGCACGACCCAGGTAGTGAGCCCAGTTTTGGTCAAACTTCAAGAAATTCTCACTAATGCGGAGTTCGCCATCAACTTCATCAATAACATGCGAATTTTCCGGCAGCATGCTAATAAGTTTAGCCTTGGTTTCCTTGTCAAGGATATTCCAAGCTTCCGGGTTTGAAAATAGTCCCTGTTGCGTTTGGTCAGCACACATCTCCAGTGGTGTCATGAGCCATACTGACCTTTAAGTTTGCATTGACCAACGGAGACTTGGGGTTCTGGAGAACATTTTCCACGCTCCAAATGCCCTTTCTGCCATTCTTGGCCTTCTTAGCAGGCTGCGAGGTTGCTTGGTTCTTTTGAGGACGCTTTGCAGGGGTAACAGCAGAAGTTTCGGCGGAGAGCGGCCCAGTATCTGATGGCTCTTCAGTGGCACTGGTGCGCTGTGAGCGACGTGAACCAGGCGTTTCATGGTTCTGATCAGTTGTTACATCGTTAGTATCGTGATTGTCAGTGCTGTCTTCAGCAACGAATTGTTCCATGCTGTCCATTAAGTTTGCGAGAGCTTCATCCCCGTGACTGGAGTGAGGTATCTCCGAGCCATCATTGGACGCATACATTTCGCCTGTAACAGACATTGAATCGGACTCAATGTTGGATTTGATCGATTCTCCTTCCATTTTCGACCGCTATTACGGCGTAGCCATAATCTCCAGACACATGAAATGGTAGGAAATATCAATGGAGCAGCCAGGAGCCCATTGGTTGACGGGATAATTGGCTCTTCGGAGTAGAATAACAACACTCTGGTAGTATAAACAGGGCTTTAATTTAAATTGACAGAGGTTTTTTATTTTTGAGGGACAGTATGCATGAAATGAAGTCACAAGAGTAAACGCATGGATTCTGAGGAACTCACTTTGACATTCCCCGACATCCTGGTCATATTCGGATAGTGCACGGGCCTCTGTGCGTTTGTCGCGAAGGAGCGTAGGATGGACACTCATAAGCGCGCGTGTAGAATATCAACGTCGCCAGACTCAAAGATAATGCTGAGGACATCAGCATGAGAAGAATATCTGGAGGCGGTGTTATTCGTACGTGTAGTATGGAGAGTCTCTTTATGCTCCTCCAGCGGATCTGTCACTGTTGAAGCTTGTTTCTACTCCTGCGCTTATTGGGATGCGCTGTTCAAGTGAAGTCAACAAAGGTATTAACACTGGTCATAAAATGAAGTGAACGCCGCCTATGCGGAATCCAATTACCCCGTGTTAACTCTGGTAAACGTGGTAGGCAGCCGTTGGGTGAGGAATATATATGTGTCACGTGCCAATAACCACCCAGGTCCAGGCTCGCCGGCCCGTAGGACTTGGCGCATGCGACTTATCTCCAAATTATCTGTCCTGAAGCTTGGGGAGGCCAATCAGTAGACCAAAGCCACTGCATTTCCTGAGTTGAAATTGCACATCTTGAAAGAGCTCTTTATTATAGCTCTGCTACTTTCGCCTTTATTAAGTCGTCACCCTTTAATATTTCATAAAATACGAGCAACGGCAAACGACCGCAGACATGATCAAGTCAACGCAGATCGCGAGGTTAGATGGTAGGCACCGCCAATTTCCAAATTTAAGTCGCAATCGAACCTATGCTAACGTGTTTCTTTAGGCCTCATGCTGTGCGCATCGATCGATGATGAGGCTGTTTGTGCACCACTCCCCGAACCATGCGAAACGGTACTGACTAGATCCGACAGACTGAGAATGCCCTCACGGAAATCAAATCACACGTTAAGATGGTCTTGAGGCGGTTAAACCGCAACTCAGAACCACAAGCCAGTATTGAAAGCGGGGCCTACACATTACAGTGAGCAGAAACCTACCTTGGCACTGTAATTACAAAGAATAACAAAGCTGATACACGATCCCTAGTTACCTCATCGCCAACAGCATAGTTTACATCGCCATATGCGAGCGCTCATATCCCCGCAAGCTCGCTTTCACCTACCTCTCCGACCTCTCCTCTGAGTTCAGCTCAACATACACACAGGCGCAACTCACCGCACCTTCGCTCCGGCCATATGCCTTCATGGAGTTTGACACCTTCATCCAGCGCACGAAGGCGACGTACTCGGATACGCGCGCGACGCAGAACCTGGACAAGTTGAACTCGGAGCTGCAGGACGTGACGAAGGTGATGACGAAGAATATCGAGGATCTGCTATACCGAGGAGACAGCCTGGAGAGGATGGGGGAGATGAGCTCGAGGCTCAGGGATGATAGTAAGAAGTATAAGAGGGCGGCTGTAAGGATTAATTGGGAGCTGCTTATGAAGCAGTACGGGCCGATAGGTGGATTGGTGCTGTTCATCATTGTGTTTTTGTGGTGGAGGTTTTTCTGAGGCGCTGCGTAGCGGTGATATGGCAGCACAACCGTGGAGGAGAGAATGGACCACCAGTGAATGGCTGAGAAATGCCAAAGCAAGTGGGACTGTAGTAATCTGGGCGCGAGGAGAACGGCAAGGGACAGAGAAACAGGAGGAAATGTAATATGAGAGACAGACGCGAGTTTCGCGTTGTGCTTCCATGTCACGCGTCATATAGAGCTAAGCAATATGAAGAAGGTTCTTCCCGTCGGATCAGACCAATACCTTCACGTTAAATGTGTCTAGGTTTGAGCTTGCAAATTGCTGGCGGCTGACCCGGGCCATTGGCCTCTTGAGGATTGGTGTTATGCTTCACTTCCTGAGATCTCGACGCGTTTCGACCAACGAAATTATGAAAAAGTTAATCACAACAGTTCATAAAGATCGAGTCCTGAATGTAATCGGTCCGCGCTGCATCAAAGCAGATGCTACCACACACGGCTGGTGATTCAAGAGCTCCGCGATCGCGGGGTAAGGAACGGAGATCTGCATGCTCTACGCGCCCAAGACAGAGAGGTAGAAGTTCGGTTTTACGACACGTCGCGCGAATCTGGAAATTACTGCGTCGCGACGTGAGACCACAACACTCTGCATCTGCACTGTGATGGTGAATGTTTCTCATATTACTTACTACTGCGAGGTAGAGCTCTCCAAAAGAGCAATGAAATTACATGGTAAACACACTTGTTCCAACAATGGCCAAACATCAACTCTTCTATCAGACATTATTATGGGGTCAAATAACATACTCGAGTTTGTCGTCGTGTTGATGCAGCCGTTTCTCGTGTCGCGTATGACGATGTATCAATAAATGCTTGATACCCGATACCCCTTTTCACAGCAGGCTGGTAGTGAAAATGGCCATTGTCGCATTGTTGTACAGCGGTGGAATTATCGTCAGACAGGAGGTCTCACGATGTTGCTTCTCTGCTGTAGTCATCAGGGCCCATTGGATAACCCCGTTTTGAACTGTGGATGTTCGCTGAGACCTGTTGAGAGGCCAAGACAGCCAGCTATATTAGAATCTCTGATCGCCCGATCCAGCCCCCAGCGTTCAATATAAACCCAACACACCCTCTACCCTCTGTCCCTCGAACCTAAAACCCCAAAAAAATTCACCGGAAAGCTTCCACAAACGTCCCTCGCCACCAACGCAAGTGCTCTCCATCCCCATTTCCAGCTATCCAGTCTAACTATTTTATAGAACATGAAATTCCAAGTCGCAGTCGTCTTCCTCCTCGCGCCTCTCGCACTTGCTGGACTGGGTGGTAAAAACAACGGCAACCCACCACATACTACCATCAGTCTCACCCAGCCAATAAATTCGGCTATTGCCGGACTTGGTGCGCTATTGGGGGCTATTCCTGCTATTCCTGTTCCTGGAGCCCCAGCAGCTCCGACCCCCGCTTAAATAGACGCCCTTTTTGTGTTCGGGGTTGAAGGATGGAGACGTCCAAGCATGCCTACCAGAGAATGCATCATTTGTCATTTGGTTGCAATCGAGGAATAAGGGCCAGTTCATCTATTGTTGATTAGTTACCAGTATTTTAAAATCACATAATGTTTATTACGTTGTATTCTAAGCTTGTAAATGCATCTGGCCTTGATGATAAAAATGAGAAATGTAGTCAAACTAACGGAGCCACGGGCGTATTTTCACAGCGTAAAGCTTCACCAACTTGTAACTATGCTCAGTAGAGAAAATAATATACATAATTCCAAGGTAATTAACTACGACTGCTCACCGACTGATTTTTATTGGCTCCTAACAATTGCGGCTTGGGTCACAAAAAGCCATCTACCATAAGTGATGGTCACATACGTTATAATCCCCTGCATGACGACTAATGCGGCTTGGAAATTTGTACCTGCAGATCAGTAATACGCTTAAACTTGATTCGTGAAGTGTTACTCTACTACCACACCGGGATCATTCCCAACTGAGAAACTTGCTCTGGGGTGGGCCAAGCACCGTACGACGTGATGGCCACACGGCTTTCCCATTCGCCTCATCCCAAATGCCTCAAAAGTCTCACAATTCGAAACGATCAAGTTCTCGTCGGGCATCTTGATCCAACTGCTGTATTCAATTATTTCGGCACATGCCAATGCAATCACTGTGTGCCCAAAGTTTGTAATACCGCACAGTATAATTTAAATAGAGAACGACGATAACTACCCCCCTTTCTGCAGTGATATGCTGCTTTTAGCACCCAGTTTCCATATCCAAAACACATTAGCCTCGTTATAATCCCATAGAAACAAGTCTTTTCATAGACGTAAGGTCTTTACCACTAGTTTACTCCTTACTGCGGTCTCATCTCTTGCACCTGTTTTCAGGATCTGAATACCCCCAAGATCGCCGAAATCCAATTGCTCTCTGTACTGGACTCACGGCAACAAACTGCTGAACGTAATACATTAAGGCCGCAAATAAATATCTTAACATGTTATTTTTACTTGGAGTCATGTATTTCGCCTGTAATTATACTCCAGAGCAGTGAACAAATGTATTCGGCCCCGTTGGGGATGCAAGGGGTCGCCTGCACCCCACTCACTCGGAACGATGCCTGGGAAGCCGTCTCACACAAACGTCTCACACGCGTTATCATCAACTGCAGCAATCCATCCTCAGTCACCCGACTCCAAAACATGTCTGACGCGAGGAAATTGCCTGCGTTACTTGACTTCGGTGCAGGTTCGGGAGACATATTGGCGAAAGGGGGCTCCAAATAAATCATATAAGACTACGGATTCTCCTTCCATATCTCATTTCCTGTTCAACAACGACAATCGACAGGATACAATCCACACCCACGAGTCTACCACCGACACCCCTCGACTACCAGCGTAAGCATCCCCCTCCCTGTCGCGTCGAATAACATTCTAACACGCGTCTAGAAAATGCATTTCCACCTCGCCACGGTTCTCATCCTCATCCCCCTCCTCACCGCCGCCCCCACCCCAAAAATCGACCAACGCGAGCCCGTCGATGTTACGGATGCAGTAACTGGCGCACTTGGTCAGCTCACCGGCGGCCTCACAAAGCTCCCAGGTGGAAAGCGTGCCGATATCGCAGAGACATTGACCACCACATTGGGAGGTCTCACCGGCGGCCTCACAAAGCTCCCAGGCGGCAAGCGCCAGGTTCCTGATGTCGCGAAGACGTTGACCGACGCACTGAACCAGATCACGGGTGGTGACATCACAAAACTCCCAACTGGTGGCAAGCGCGAGGCGCCCGCCGATATCACCAACACGTTGACCAGCACAGTCGAGAGCCTCACCGGCGGCCTCACAAAGCTCCCAGGCGGCAAGCGCCAGGCCCCTGATGTCGCGGGAACACTGAAGAGTGCCGTGGACGTTGTCCTCGGCCAGGGCAACGAAGTAAACCCCAAACAACTACTTGGCAAGCGCGACAGCATTGATGTCACGAAGGCATTAGGTGAAATTTTCGACCCTGTCAACGAAGCCCTCAAGAAGGACTATAGCAAAGACTTTACCCCAGGTGGCCTCAAGAAGCCAGTTGGCAAGCGCAACGACGGCATTGACGTCACGAAGACAGTCGGGGAGTTACTCAGCCCTTTCAACGATGCCCTGAAAAACAGCAAGGACTACGCAGAGAACTATAAGACCCAAGATAACACAAAGACCCCATCCGAGAAGCGCGGCGGCATTGACGGCACAGGGACAGTAGCCGCTGTACTGGACCAGGTCACCAACGCCATTGAGAACAGCAAGGACTTCAAGCCAAGCGGTCTTGAAACCCCATCTCAAGCTCTCCAGCGCCGAGCCGATGTTCTAGGTGGCCTACTGGGAATGCTTACCGGTGGCCTCGGCGGCGGGTTGAAACCCCCAGGTTCAAGCAAGCGCGACGAGACTACAGACGCCATAAACTCCGTGCCATTAGCCGGCCCCCTGATGCAGCTCGCCCAAGTCCTCGGCGGTGGAGCTCTCAAGGATGGGAAGGTGCCCGCGGACTTCAAATTCCCGGATGGGACTCAGGTCCCACCCATGGCCGGAGCAGAGAAGCGCCTCGATGTCGCGTCCGCTGCAAAGGGTGTGGTATACGAGGTCATTGATGGCGTCACCAAGCCCACAAAGAACTTATAAGCGTCTTCTCTTGCGCTGGACGTGCGCGCTGGCATGTTGATGTTTCTATTCGCTAGTTCGGGTGGTGTGGTGGACTTTGGGGTGTTGGTGTGGAGGATATGGGATGGTTGTGCCTGGTTGTTGTATTCTTCGTTTCTTGTCTTAAAATATCAGGGGTTAAAAAGGTTATACTTGTGAGGTGCACCGTGGTATGATCTTCGCCGGAAAAGCCTCAAGAAAGTTGCAGGTTTGGCCGAGTATTGATTTATGTATTTTCTGTCTACCTGAGCTAGCATTTCCCTCATCGCGTAGCTATAACAGCATTAATAATATACCATATGAAACATACCTTCCAATAAAATACTGCCGCTTCCTGTATATAGACATTATGTATGCATCTAGGAATTTTACACCCTGCCACTCGATCCCACTCACTAGAAGAATTTCACTACTTCCTCTTCGCTGCTCCTCCCTTCTTCGAGCTCCCCGATGCCTTCACCTCACCGGCATTTCCCACCTTGACACTCGCATCCCCGCCGGCAGGAGTAGTCAGCGGCTTGTTGGCAATCTTCTCCTCGACCTCCTCATCATCACCACCTTGTCCAAACTCGTTCACGCGCTTGTAATCAATCTTGTACTTATAGCTCTGGTACAAGTACACGAAGAAGATAACATCGTCACGCAGCGTCGCCAAGCGGTGCAGCATCGGCATCTTAATCGTGAACGCGAAAAGGTCGTCGATGAACGTGTTGAGGAACTTGTACGTCATAGCCCTTGCTGGCATATGCGCGACGGACTTGAGGCGGTAGTTGATGTACAGCGAGGGCACCATCATCAGGAAGCCGTAGGCGTAGACGGAACCGACGAGAGTCGCGATGATGAAGGAGTACCACGACTTGTGCGTCTCGTAGATGAGAGAGTAGGCAGCATAGGCGATGAGAAGCGGGACCGCGATGGCATAGAGATACTTGAATGCCACGGCATCGTATTCCTTTGTCTTCTCTTCCGTCTCGGACAGCTTGTGCTTGTCTTCGAAAGCAATGCGGTAAGGGATGATGGAATTTGGGTTCGGGCGAATGCGCACGTTGACCATCTTGGTTACCTTCCAGAATTCAAGCAGGATCCCCATGCCTTGACTAGCTAGAATCATCCAACTGGTGTTCTCGTTGTTATCGAGGAGGTACAAGAAGATAACAGCTTGCATAAACACGTTTCCGAGGATGGCGCGGACGGAAATACCGACGTTATCCTTCTTGTTGCGGAAATGCGACTAGACTAGTTAGCAACTACCCACATAATCTGCGACGAGAAAACTTACAATATCGCTCTTGAAAGCGAGCATTTCAAATAGCATGTGGAAGATGCTGACTATCACAGTCGTGGCGAGCAGGTAAATGTTGGTATCAAGTAGAACCTCCTTAATCATCTCGAACTCGGAGCCATCACCTCCTCCAGGGGGCAATGGCCCTCCCATGGCAGCAGCCCTAGCAGTCGCCTTCTGGCCTTCATCGACGCTTGCAATGATGCTATAAAGCCAGTTTGCCTGGTTGTTCAGGTCAATGTGGATTGGCAGACGAGTGACGGTCGAGTTTAGCTCTTCCATGTGGGCACGGAGTTGCCAGAATGTGTTGACGAAGAAGACAGGGTAATACCAGCCGTTCTGTCCAGTCGCGTCGCGGGCTCCAGTTGACTCGATGTGTGTGAACTGGCGAGCTGCAGGATGCATGTTTGGGTACGACATAACCCCTGTGCTTGGGACGAACGACATGGTAAAGTTTGGATGATAGAAAGATTTGATGATTGGACCTTGGATAGTGTCTTCCTCATCAATCTCTTCCGTTTCATCCGCCGCAGTCAAAAGGTTCTTGGTCTTCTTGGTCTTCTTCTTGGCGATATATTGTGTGAGAGGACGGATGAAGTGGTAGGCGTTTCCTGGATCATAGCCGGCGACTGAGGGGTCGAGCGTGCTTCCGGTCTTTCCAATGTAATAATGGCCCCAGAGTGTTCCATTGTTTTGAACCTCCTTCGGTACATCAAACTCAGCGTCAATAACCCTCTTATCACTGGAGTCGCCAATTTTGAACGCGGTCTCATCTGCAATCACCCGCTCCTTCGGTACTCTGGAGAGTGGCTCATGCACAAATGTCGGGGATACCACAATAACGAGGTCCACCGCGACATTATCTTCCCATATCGGCGCGATCTGCTGCGGAATCGGATTGTATGAAGCCCCTTCCGCAAGCTTGTCTGGTCGCGCAGTATACGGAGGAATGACGCCGGTGTTGCCCGGTATCACGTTTCCTGCAGCATCTTTGGTCGTCGCAGGCTTTTGTCCCGATAACTTCCCCAGGACGAATTGAATGGCGACAAAGATCGCGATTCCCTGAACCGCAGACTGGATGAATGGCTTGCAAGGTGTCAGCAACGAAACCCCACTAAATTGAGGCTGGTTAAGGTACTTACGCTCACGCGGCTCGTACTACCGGCTGTGGCAGCAGCTGGAGCTGCTGGAGGAGCCATCTTCAAAAGCGTTTGAAGGATGAAGCTTCGTATGTACAGTACTGTCGTTGATGAGGCTCTTGAAGAGACGTCAGAGATCGTCGCTTGGTACTGTAGTCGATAATAGTGGATGCATCACAACATCATCCTCGCTAGCCTGGGATTGGAATTAGAAACAGTAGCAGTAAACAATTTTCTCAAATATAATTTTATTTACTGCATTTATTAGAACTATAACAGCTATTTAATATATAAGCATTATAATTTCCTTGAGCTCAGCATCTTTAGACAGCTATTATCGTGTATTCTCGTCGCTTTCCGTGGTTCGCTACACCCTCGGCGTGGCGAAGGCCGAGCGCCAATAGCTTATCAAGGCGTCACGTGGCGATAAACAAGGGAGATGGACGCGGCCCCTTGCATAGCCTCGTAGGGTTCACACTAACGTTCCATTCCCTCGATTTCTATTGGTCAAACACCGTTATGCCGCTGCTGCCCGCGGCCTGTCCTACGTCAGTTTGGGTCACTCTGGGTCACTTGGTCTACGGCCGCCCGCCGCTTCCCTGCCACTATAAGAGTCACCGAGTCGCCCCCAACGATACTCTACTCATCTTCTCTCACAAGACAAACGAATTATCAAAGGGATATATACGGATTTATACGGTCCTTACTACTATTATACTACAAATTTACCACCTTCGAGTTTCTACACATACAGACACACTTGGAACGCCTCGGTTTTCCTTTTCCGGCGAGTTTCACACTAGATCAGCCCGCCATCTGGTCCTCATCCACCAGAATACACCCAGTGACACCTTTGTACCTCGCGCCACGAAGGACACAAAACCGACCAGTCAACACTGTTGAACTCTCATCATTTTACACATCTATAAGACCAAGGCTTTATTCCGATCACAGGTAAGATAGATCTCCCCGACCCCGCTTACTCCCAAGACCTCACTGACTAACCCTGACTTCAGTTATGTCGCCACCATCTAACATGGGTCCCGTTGAGACCCTCGACATGTTCGACAACAAGAACTCATTCGATGCCCAGCTACAAACCGATCTCGCATTCAACGAGAAGATCGCTGTGGACATCGTGGCGCCACAGACCGAGGAGATCACCCTCGACCTGAAGAGCGCACCCACCGAGGATGTACCACCAAGAACTATTTGTGTTTTCTGCGGAGCTTCCTCGGGCAATTCCCCAGCATTCATGCAAGCGGCTCGTGACCTCGCGCGGGAATTCCACAAGCACAACATTAAGCTCGTGTACGGTGGCGGAACCGTAGGACTGATGGGCGAGATCGCTCGTACCCTCGTCAGTCTGTCCGGACCAAGCGCCGTGCATGGGATTATTCCAGAACCGCTCGTCGTCTTCGAGCAGGGTCCAGATAGCAAGGCTCCTTCGAAGAACGGAGGGAAGCACGGCGTCCCTGATGAGGCCACCTACGGAACGACTACCATCGTCGACGACATGCACACAAGAAAGCAGATGATGGCTCAGGCTGTCATGAAGGGAGGACCGGGCTCTGGGTTCATTGCCCTCCCAGGAGGATATGGTACGCTGGAGGAGCTTATGGAGGTTGTCACGTGGAACCAGCTTGGTATCCACGGCCGCGGCACAATCGTCCTAAACATCGAAGGATACTGGGATGGTCTCCTCAGCTGGGTCGACAACTCGATCAGCTCTGGCTTTGTTCGCGAATCCAACCGCAGCATCATCGTTCCAGCCAAGACAGCCCAAGAAGCTGTTGAGTTCCTCTCCGACTACAAGCCGGCCGATGGGCGCTTCAAGCTTGCTTGGAAGACGCTATAAGCGGCGATATCCTCTTTTTTTATCTCCAGCGATTTCAGTACTTTTATCATGATTTGACGTCGCTATGCATAGCACGGAGTTTGGGGATCACTATGTAGCTGGATTTGCTGCATATATAGCGGGTTTTTGGGGGTCTTAGGAGTCGGCTTACGATTTTACTAGACCAACAGTGTGCCCATTTGCCACGCTTTAGATACACCTACTGGCGTATATGCTAGCTTTTGGATGCAAATAAATAGAATAAATTTTATAAAAACATACATCCTGACCATTGTAATAACCGTAGGAATGAAAGTAGACAACCTGTGAGAGTGAATCCATGCATGCTCACTGTCTTCATGATAACCAACCTGTCTGCCCTTGGAACTCTAAAGCCCTATACATGGAAAGAACGATTTCTAATCAGACTCAGTCGCAGCTTCCTCGAGATCTTCAGCAATATACATATATGGAAGGAACGATTACCAAGCAAACTCAGTCGCAACTTCCTCAAGCTTTTCAACCTTATACATGGCAAGAACGATTACCGAGCAAACTCAATCGCAGCTTCCTTGGAGGGCTTCAGCCTTACATAAGGGAAGAACGATTATGAAGAAGACTCCGTCGCAGCTTCCTTTAGATCTCTAGCCTTATATATGGCAAGAACGATTACCAAGCAAGCTCAGTCGTAGCTTCCTCAGAGGTTTCAATCCCTATATGGAAAGAATGATTTCAAAGCAAAGGCTCAGTTGCAGCCTCCTCGCAACTCTCAACCCTGATATATGGAAAGAACGATTTACCAGTCGCAGCTTCCTCGGAGGATGGGTTTCAATTTATTAAATTCGCAAACTGATCGCTTTAGGTGACATGATGCTAATGATACACCGTACCAAGTCCATGGTGCCTCTGATATCCACATCCCTCCGTCCCATCCGTAATTGAGATCCTTACTTTCCGTCTACCTCCACGAAGCGTGCCTATGACTTAGAACTCCTGCTCCTCTTGGAAGAACATTCCGAAGGTAACGATGGTTCCGTAGATGAGGAGGCCGCCGATGATGGACATTATCATGGCTGGAATGGTGATAATTGCGGAGTGTGCGAGAACTGCGGGAAGTGCTGTAGATGGCAGTTAGCAAATCTTCCTCTCTTCTCACTCTGTAAACGCATCCTGCCATTCCTCCGCATGGCCACTTTCTCCCCGCCCAGAACCCCTCCTCTCATCCCCAACCAACACAACATTCCACCCTCAGTCCATAAAAGAGAGATCCAAACTCACCAATACCCATAACAACCAGCCCACCCGTAACGAACTTCCCAAAGTCCAAAATCGCATTGCCGCCGCCCTCTGCGCCGAAGTCATCAGGATTTGCGCACCGCGAACATATCCAGTTCGGGAGAGGTGCGACAACGTAGGTGGCGACGACGAGAAGCGGGTAGTATGCATGCCACAGGGCGCATGAGAGGATGACGAGGAGGAAGCCTACGGCGAGGACCTGTTGGAATCAGTTAGTGGGGAGTTCGGCGTGGGGAGTAGGCGGGGTAGACGAGGATCGTTGAGTTCGGGGCGGACGTACGAAGGAGAGCGCTATGATGGTCTTGAGACCAGCAGCCATTCTGAAGGTAGGCACCTTGGCGGTTGTTAAGTGGGGACCTGCTATGTGTCTATTTCGTCGTTTCCTCGAGGCGATAGAGTTGGACGTTTATCTCTGTCCTCTATCGTTTTAATCGTATTAGAGCGCGGCGGCTACAGAGTATGCTGGATCGTGACTGACGTCTGTTGTATGTCGATTGCGCAGCCTCTCGGCGGCTCGCGAGAGCTGACGTGCACACCCGATGCGGTTAGCTTGAGCAACCTCTACACTGATTGCAGCCTTGTGTATAAGGCTCCACAATCACCTACACATGGGCGAGCGCGCTTAACCGCGTTTGGAGCTTGAGGTGCTGCGTTGCCCTGTCCTGCCTGGGACGAGAGCTGTCAAGCCAGCAACAAGACAATAACCAGCCAGCTTCAATTCCCACCTCGAAGTCACATCATTCCTCATACGCACGCTACGCCTCTCAAACTACGAGATAAATAAAAGCTAGAGGAGAAGGAATACACAGGAATTAATCGTCGATACCCAGCGGCCGAAGCTGCGAACCATCCAAGATGTTCAGAAACAACTATGACAACGATTCGGTCACTTTGTAAGCTTACAACTTCACCACGTATTCAACTTGCTTTGGTGTAGCTAACAGTCCTGAAGCTCTCCACAGGGACGAATCTTCCAGGTCGAATATGCCAGTGAGGCCGTGAAGCAAGGTTCCGTCGTTGTCGGTCTTGTCAGCAAAACACACGCCGTCCTCGTAGCTCTCAAGGTACGTCTCACCCTCGCCCTACCCCCCAGATTCCTCGAACAACCTCACTGACCATCCCCAGCGCAATGCAGAAGAGCTCTCCTCCTACCAAAAGAAGGTCATCGCGATCGACTCGCACTTCGGTCTGGGTCTCGCCGGCCTCGCCTCCGACGCCCGCGTCCTCTCCAACTTCCTCAAGTCGCAATCGCTCTCCTCGCGCCTGACATACGGGCGCGCGCTCCCCATCGAGCGCGCCGTCTCCGCCATCGGCGACCGCGCCCAGACCAACACCCAGCACTACGGCAAGCGCCCATACGGTGTTGGACTGATCGTCGTGGGCGTTGACGAGACGGGGCCACACCTGTTTGAGTTCCAGCCTAGCGGTCTGACGCAGGAGATGGTGGCGTGTGCGATTGGTGCGAGGAGTCAGATGGCGAGGACGTACTTGGAGAGGAACGCAGATGAGTTTGCTGATGCGAGCAGGGAGGAACTGGTCTCGCATGGGCTGAAGGCGTTGAAAGAGAGTTTAGCGCAGGATAAGGATTTGACGGTGGAGAATACTAGTATTGGTATCGTTGGCATTGCACCAAAGGGAAGCCAAGATATTGAGCCGTTCAAGCTGTATGATGGGCAGGAGGTTAAGGTGTGGATTGAGGCTGTTGCGGAGGGGAAGGATGATGAGGCTGAGGCCGAGGCCCCGACGGAGACGATGGATGTTGACGACGCATAAGGTGTGGGTTGAATTGGGTTGGCTATGATGCTCATACCACTAGCCGTTACGCCGCTGGGCAAAGATGGAAGGGCACAAAGGGCTCGTGAATCCGTAGGGAAGCATAGACGACCTTGGCGCTTAACATGAAATTGGCGTCTATGTACAGTACCATTATGAAAGATAATTTGCAAGGCGTCTTGTCAATTCCGTACTCTTATGCCCAGTTTATGATCCTGGATTGTCAAAACCTAATAGCATGGATAATGAAGTTAGCAAAGGCCACATTTTGTGACCATTATGCTTTCGATCCTCATGCCAGTCTAGAAAACATTCGCCCGTAAAACTGCACATATACCAGCAGAGTAAGAATGTAGTATAGAAGTAATTATATGTATTGCAAAAGCAAACAGTTCTTAACCAAGTTGAGATTTCCGCCCTGTATAAATCTAATAATTTACAGTAAAACTAACTCCATAGCTTACGCGCAGTAACTCTATTCCACGTTGAGTGGTGTATACGCCCGCAAATACCCAGATGTTTCCAAAGCTCCAAAAATCCAATCCCATAATACGTTGAGTCATGCCACACCTAGCCAATAATGCTGTGCGACGCTGTGCGTTGTACGCCAGAAAGCAAAAATCCAAGCCACCCTCCCATAGTAATACACCCCAGATCTTCAGGTTGGTTTTGGCGGCCTACCCAAGTTGAGTCCTAAGCCGAAGCCATTCAGCGTATTGAATAGCTTAGTTTCCATCTCCTCCCTCTCGGCCCGATCCTCGCTGAGTGCTGTAACAGCTCCGCCGGCCCCCACGTACCAGGTATCCTGGTCATCGCTCTGAGACTCATCGTCCCACTTGAATGCGCAGCGGATATTAACGCTAAAGTCACCGCGGCCCCCAACATCCATGTATCCCACGACACCGCTGTAAAGGCTCCTTCGTCCATGTTCGATCTCGTTCAACAGCTCGCAGCTTCTCTTCTTTGGCGCACCGGTCATCGACCCCGGAGGTAGTGATGCGGCAAGGACATCGATACCGGAGTACCGAGGCCCTTGTTCCAAGCCGCTGACAGAGGTCTCCTGGGGAACACCTTTCATGTTGAGATTTTCTTGGCTCCCTGAATTGTCGTCTCCTCCAGGTATGTTGCCAACGACTACAGTCACCATCTGCCACACGCTCTCGTACTCTTCAACTCCCATGAGCCTAGTCACAGCCACATTACCAGCGCCACAGACACCATAAAGGTCGTGTCTGACGAGGTCGACAATCATTAGATTCTCCGCGCGCTCCTTCTCGACGTCTAGCAACGCCTCAGCTTCCGCACGAGTAGGCGCCAGGCTTTTCTTGACCGTGCCCTTCATTGGCCTCAGCTCGCAGCGCCCCGAGGAGGTCCATGAGAGGAAACGCTCAGGGGAGCAAGAGATGAAAGTCGCAGGACCAAGGCGGATGAAAGAGGAGAAGGGTGAGGGCTGTGCCGCTCGGAGAGAGCGATAGAGTGACCAGGCTGGGCTTGATAGGGCAGGAGCATCCTTGGATGAGAGAGGCGTTGAAGATGAGGCCGGAACGGTAGGGACGCTCAAGGTTGAGAGAGATGTGAGGCACAGCTCGTAAGATTCTCCAGCGGAGATATACGATTGACAGGTCCGAACAGAGGCCTCGTATGCGCTTGACTCTGGCGTGCGTGCCTTTGCCCCCACTTTTGACGGAGCTGTGAATTCTGTGGAAACAGAAGGGGTCTTTGCCAGAGCAGAGGATGCACCGCTAAGGAAATCAACGAGTTCTTGGCCCCGCCCGTCAACCCACCAAAGGGGCTCAGCATCCTGGTTTATGGACGATTTCGTAAGTTGCTGTAGATGCACCTTATTTTCTTGGTGATCGATGACAATGCTATCAGTAACCCACGCGAAGTTGAGATCCGGTCGATCGGTACCATCAGCTGGAACTGGAGAATGCGGCGCAACGTCGATGCCCTCTAATCCAAGCTCGTACGTCGTATAACCCATAAAGCCGCCCCAAAATGGTACGTCCACGTTCCCGTCGTTGATCTTCCTCTTATCGAGATAGCTTGCAAGGAATGGCCATATTCCACCATACCCTCCCATGAATACTTTCTGGGGGTTGCTTCGCGCAGCGGACGTCTTCGACGCGGGCAACACGCTTGCAAACGCGTTCCCGACCGAGTACTCTACACGCAAGGCATTATCCACATGGAGAGCAATGGTGGTGTAGCGCCCCCGGACCATTTCGGAGCCAATGCCCCTAATGTTGTTATTTGTGCTCTCCAAGACAATTAGGTCTCGACCAGCAGCTTCCATGCGCGCAATGACGTCTGGCACGTCCAAGTTGCTGCCTAAATCGACGACCTTAGACGCGTATCCATAATTCAAGTCCTCGTGTTCGAAGTCATACTCTGCTCGCGAGCCGTTCATTTCCAACTTCTTGGCTTCCGTTTGTGCCAGCAGGCTAGGTCGCACCGGCATTCCTGCCTTTGCCTTCCCTCCTCGTACAATCTTCCTTCCAGTTTGCGCGTTGTGATTGTTTACCTCGTCCATCCAATTCAAGATGACCTTTTTGCTTTCCTCGTTCGTGCATATGCTCTCGGGGTGGTACTGTAAACCCCACCATGGCCTCTGAGAGTGCTTCGATGCAACCAAGATTCTCTTATCTCTTCCTTCAACTTGTTGCTCCACCCAGGCCAAAGGTTCGATTGTGCCCTGTCCTTCGACCCCAGTGTATTTCCACTTAGCAGTCCACTTTTCGGACTCCCATATCTCATCTGAAACTTCATTTTGCCCAAGATCGACACAAAGGCTCTGGTAAAGCGTCGTATCAACCTCTCCGACTCCTTGATATATTCCACCACCGCAATGGGTGACGCGCCTGACAACACCGTGCATGCCGCCCCCGGTCAGCCTCCGAATGGCTCCACCGCCTTGCAACCCCAAGCTTTGGAATCCCAGACATATTCCCAGTATGGGGATATCAACCCTGGTGTCGATGTCGCGCCCACCTTCCTCATTGGCATAGGCCGATGCTACCCATATTCTCCGCATCAACCCGACGTCTGCTTCATTCTCCGGGTGCCCGGGCCCAGGTCCCAGGACAACGGCATCGTACTGTCGCAGCTCCTCGGCGAGAGAGGCATCGGTAGGAAAGAGCGGTGTATCGATTCGAACGACTCTCACGGAGCAGTTCAAAGTTGTTGTGAGGAGCGATATGATATTATTCGTAAAAGAGTCATAGGCGTCGACGAAGAGGATAGACGGCCTCTGGCATTCGGTTTTGGCAGGCATTGGAGGATTCCCGGGGCCCAAAGCCACAGTTTTAGCCAATTTGAAGGGGAGAAGCTGGTGTGCAAGACATCCTCATTGGGCAAATGGGGTTCGGAGACTTTATATATTTCTCGTTCTGCCCCGGGCGGTGACGCTAGAAGTGGAATGGTGGCGTCCCATCCCACCAAAGAATTTCGGGCGATCACTCAGCCTTGCCGCAAGGCTAGGAGTCGACCAAGTTCTCGGATACTGGACAGTACAGGCATGATAACAATTGAAAGAGCCAAGACAAAATGCACCACATCGTCAGATTGATTTGATCTCCTGAAATCAATTTAATATACACTATTCAGCCCAATTTGCAAGCCAGTCTCGGTACAATCCAATGGGTTTTTGGCAATTTAGAGTGAAGAGGTGGTAGACCACGAAATACAGGCAGCAAAACAAGAGCATGGAAATGTAAACATCCACAACATATGAATATTAAACAGGGATAGACTGTAATCGAGCACGTAGCAGTTTCACTTAGAACGCGTCTCTCTGGTATCGCATTAATCGTACTATAAAAATAGCTGCTGTGGAACATGCGCCTAATCCCCCCTTTTTATAGCCCACCCACAAGAAAATACAGAAACCGTGTATGCGGCAGACCAACAGCCTCCGTCGCACAAACAAGCAGTCTATGCTAGAGAACAAGTATATAATACAATAAAACCAACAAATCGGCGTAGGTCGGTGCCTGCATCTCGCCACTTTCGTCTTAACGTCCCTCCCCCCCCCCCCAACCTCATAAGCCAAACATCTCTCTATCCGCGTGTCCCGGAGGCTTTGAATTCCAAGAACAGGCCTGTATTAAACCTTAGAGGCTCTTTTGACAAGAGCCTTCTTTAAGAATAGTCTGAGCGATTGTTGCGATCTCAGAATTTAGATGCGTTAGCATCACGCGCGCTTTGGCTGCTGGCGCTCATCGGAATGTTGGTGGTTGGCAGGCTCATCTTTGATGCAGCAGCCTGTCTGACCTTTGCCCATGCGTAGACCATTCCACTGACGAAACCCAACAGAATAGCTGACACGCTACCAAAGGTGATAGGGGCATCGAAGAAGACAAGACCGCTAACGGCAATGGGCAGCTTGTTGAGAGCTCCAACCATGGAATATGTGGTCGATGAGGTAACACGGATGCACCATGCTGAGGCGTAGGAGATGAAAATGGTGGCCAGGCCAGAGTAAATCATTGCCAGAATTTGGCTGTTGCGAGACTCGACGGGGAAGTTGGCGTTGAAGTTTACGGATGACCAGTCTTCGATGAGGATGGAGAGGACGATCAACACTGGGATGGTAAGGAGATTGTTATAGAACATGGCTGTGAATGGGTCAGTACGTTGGTCAACATCTTGTTCGGGATAATAACTCACTGTCCCAGTCCTTGAAGTTCATCTTCTTGATAGTCTTGCGCATGCCCAAGACGTAGGAGGCCGTGAAGAAAACATTAAGTCCCATCCAAGCATAGCCAGCGTTCAAGGTAGAAAGCTGGGCAGCTGCCTCGATGTTTTGGCCAGAAAGGGTCGAGGTGCCAGCACTGGCTGCTAGAGCGTGCTGAACATCTGCCCATGCAGCAATGACGGAGCTGAGAACCATGAGTCCGAATGCGAAAAGGGACGAAGGAGAGACGCTTCCTCCGAACCAAAGGACTTCTCCGTATGCAATAACGATGATAGTCAAGTTCTTGAAAATGGTATACACTGGTACAGAGAGGAATTGGAGGGCCTTGGTGCTTGTGTAGATCATTCCAACGAGAAGAAGGGAGATTGGGAACCCTGGTAACACCATGGTCAGCATATGTCAGATAGTGGGATATTCGTGCTAAACATACATCTCTTTGCCTTCTCATTGTCAAACTTCGCTAGGTCTTTGATGAGGCCCATGGATTTGCAAGCCTGAATCGCAATAATGCAAACGATTGACTGTAGTTTTGTCAGACAAATTCTCTACTGCCAGAGGAGGATGTTGACATACCTGGAATCCCAGGAAGAAGAAGCTCATATTCCATTTATCTCCTGAAACGCAGAACTTGTTGATGACAGTCATACTGATGGAGGCCAAACAGTATGCAAGCACAGAAAGCCCTGGGTTGTTCACAATGCTCGAAGGCGCCAAAGGCATCCCCATGCTGGGCGACGGCCTGTTGAGTGCTGGCGAAGAGCGGGACGCCTTCGTAGGGATCTCAATGGAATAATCATCATCTCTTTTCTTGCCGTCCATGGTTGCGGTTGGGAAGACTCGCTGTCTCCTGAGCTGAAATGCGATGCGCTTGGGTTACAAGGCGAAAGGGGAAATACGAGGCCCGTTGAGCAGGTCAAACGGTGAGGTCTGAAATCTGTCGCGTTGTCGCTGGCCGTACTATATAAGCATCAGGTAACGAATGACTATTGCTTCGGAATCGAACAGGAGCGAGTTTTCCTTTGGTTTTCGAGAACTGGTCTTGCCCACCTTTCTGGTCTTCCCAAATTAGACCACAACCAGGAGGCAAGATTACGCTTACATAAGCATATTTGGACCACAAAACTCATGCACGGGCCCCATTCCGGTCCTTGGTCGCCTATCGCAATTATCTAGCGATTCAAGAATTGACTCGCGGGGTTACTTGTGAGGGCATCCTATCAGCAATAATGGCTAAAATCGACGCCCAAGTGGCAGCTCTGGTGGATAAGACCGAGTATAACTCGGACGACGAAGATGCGCTCATTGAGTCTCTGGAAGATTCCCCAGCTCTCGACGCGTTCAGAGAGCAGCGTATACAGCAGCTTCACGCCGAGTTTACACGGGCAAAGACGCAGAAGAACCAGGGGTTTGGCGACTACACCGAAATCAAGGATGAGAAGGCATTGATGGACTTGACTACGTCCTCAAAGCATGCCGTGGTACACTTTTCAAAGGAGGACTTCCAACGTTGCAGGGTTATGGACAGCCACCTTGAGGTTTGCTTGCCCGTTGAACTATATTTTGGAGTGTTGTTCTGACTGTTGCGTCCAATAGTCACTGGCCAAGAAGCATTTCGATACCAGGTTCCTCAAGATGAACGTCGATAACGCCCCGTTTCTTGTTACGAAGCTAAGGGTCCAGGTCCTGCCCTGCGTTATCTGTTTCGTTGGTGGAATTAGCGTCGATAGGATCGTAGGCTTCGAGGGGTTGTCATACACCGCGGATAACTTCACTACTGCCGATCTTGAAGCGCGTCTACTTGGCTCTGGTGTGGTCCAAAGAGCGAAGACGCAGGGCGATGGTGGTGTTAGATTCGGCGTCAAGAAGGCTGTGAAGGAAGACAGCGATAATGATGACTGGGATTGAGAGGCTTTATCTAGGCTTTGGTCAAAGTTTCAGGGACTTTGCCGCAGTGAGTTTGCCCCTTGGCTACCACAGCACACCAGCATACATCTACCAGGCCAGTAGAAGACCTGAGTATGCTACGCCCGTAACTCTCTCGGCTCTCGGCTCGTTGGCGTAGCCAAGTATCAGGAAGAGGCATACTCTGCCGTGCCCCTTCGACACATTGCGACAGGGGAAGAAGAAGTGGCGGTGAAAAGATCGAGCCAAATATCAATTTTACCAATCGCTATAACTCTCCAGGCCCCTTGGTTCCACCTCAGGGATGAAGCTTGAGATGAGACTATCCCACGTGGAATTAAACCACGAATCAAGCCCCATAAAGGTTCACATTCATAGACCTTACTAGAATTCTTCAAGAAAATATGACGAGATGATCAATACGAATTATGTTGATCAGTATGAACTGTGGTTGTAAATATGAATATACCGTTATAGTAATTGGCTAAAATCATGTGAAATGGTGCAACCCCGCTGGTCAGCACTGGTGGGGTCACCGATCGCCCGTCATCAATACGAGGGGTAAACCATCACAAATCAAGCTTCTCTCCAACGAAATAACTATAAATCAACCCGTACCTCTTTGATCCTTCGTCTTCCCAGAATATACTATACCCTACACACGCCAACATGAAAGCCTACTGGTACGACAACTTGCCCGTGAGTTCTCCCGTCTTCGCCATGTCGCATTTCAACTAACGGCTCCCCAGGGCGACCAGCGCGAACCCCACGACTCCGGACGCGAGGTCTCCGTCGACCAGCTCTCGCGCGTGGGCGTCCTCTACTACAACTACTCCGAGCTCGAACAAGTTGATGCTCTGGCGTCGGAGCGCTCATACAAGAACCGCGATGTGATCACCGTGTCGCCGAGCGCAATGGGGGAGGTCTACGAGACGAAGGTCAAGTCGTTCTTCGCAGAGCACATGCACGAGGATGAGGAGATCAGATATATCCGCGACGGAAAGGGATACTTTGATGTCAGGAACGAGGGTGATGAGTGGGTGAGGATTTTGCTGGAGAAGGACGACTTGATTATTCTCCCGGCGGGCATCTATCACAGGTTTACGACCGACGCGAGCAATGTGAGCATACCCACGAATATCCAATTGAGCTCGAACCTAGAAACTAACGCGAAAACAAAGTTCATTGTTGCAATGAGATTGTTCAAGGAGGAGCCAAAGTGGACACCGCTGAACCGCGGGCCAGATGTCGATATCAACCCGTACAGGCAGGAATATGTCGACAAGACACTGAAGGTTTAGACGAGGAAAGCAAGTACATAGTAGATATGAGCTAGTATTGCAATGATTAGCAATATTTAGATTGATGAATACCCATTTTTAAAACCGTAGAATGTCCCTAGAAATTTATTTTTTACTGCAAGTTGCAAAAAGTACGTAGCATTTTATACCATAGCTCCGTCCACTATGAACCCAAATTCAACCCCCGCACAGTTCACCCCACCAAAACCAACTCCGCATGGCGTAGCTTTATGGCCCGCTTCCTCTAATAACTCACCACGTCTCAGCCAATCAGCCAATGCCTTTTGGTCTTTGAGCGCTCATGGGATTTGGCTTTATCTTGTGAGGCGTTGAGAGGATGGATGCCTTCAAAGCCGAAGACTTAGGCTACCATGGAGTCGCCGGGGACGTGGCTCCCAACGGGACTGATGGCAGCGCAAAGCAACCTGAGCACACGTCTCCTGATAGAGCAAGACAAGAATTGAAAGTCGAGCTCCCATCTAGTTGTGATCCTCCAGGTCCGAATAATCCGCCGAAGCAGCTCGTATGGATTGTAAGTCAACAATTTTGCTTCTTCACAGTTGTCAAGGTGGTGAGCGGTGTCTATTTCATGGCACATGACCAGAGGCATCTTCTAGTAACAGCGGCTGGAGAAGGAATTGAATATCTCAAGTGCCAATTTATACATATCTAACCCATCTCAGATCTTCGGTGCAACAGGCCACATCGGCCGCTCCCTCACCAGCTGCGCCCTGCGGCACAACGACCTCGTCGTCGCCGTCGGCCAAACCCACCTCAACCCTCCCGCCTCCATGCAAAACTGGCATCCCAACTGTCTCGGCACCCTCTGTGACGTGCGCTCGCGCGCCACCGTCGAAGCCGTGATGAACAAAGCCATCGCGCACTTCGGACGCATCGACCTGATTGCGAACTGCAGTGGTACGGCCATCATCGGCGCATGCGAGGACCAGGACGAGCACGAGATCCGCAACCAGATCGAGACGAATTTCATGGGCACGCTGAATATTTTGCAGCTCAGCTTGCCGATTTTCCGCGAGCAGGCGCATGGGCGCTACTTGATTTTTAGCTCGACAACGGGCGCGTTGGGTGTGCCAGGCTTGGGACCGTATTGCGCGAGTAAGTATGCGGTGGAGGGGCTTATAGAGGCTCTGCTTTATGAAGTCGATGCGTTTAATATCAAGGCTACTCTTGTGGAGCCCGGGTTGGTGCGAAGAGACGACCCAGACCAGCCCGAGAGAGAGAAGATTGTCGGCACAGGTCTCCCATTATATGGTCACTTCCTTATCAAGCCGGCGAGCGAACCGTACAGCAGCCCCAGTAGCCCTGCGCAGCATTATAAGCGCATGGTGCAATGGTTGGGAGACAGGCAGCCAACGAGTGTGGTGAAGAGCGCAGAGCTGGTGTGGCAGCTGGGACATTGCAGTTTTCCACCACTGAGGCTACTTTTGGGGAGCTTTGCGGTCGAGAGTATTAGAGACAGGCTCAGGTGTGTGATTGAGGAGGGAGAAGACTGGAGAGAGTTGAATTGGCCAAGCGAGGAAAGCACTGGTGCTGGCGATGACAAGGACGAGAAGGAGGATCCGGAAAGGGATGAGGAGGCCGATGATGACGTTAAAGTAGAGGCGGCATAGCTGAAGCCCTGGCGATGATTGCTCACAAGGCCAGGCAGAACATTTGGAGCTATAGTACATGCATAGGTCGTATATATAGTTAATATTCTGCTATTTCTAAAAGAATATAAATAAATTTCTCCATATAATTTATCACCAACAGTTCAAAAATAGTAATATACGCACTGCATAAGAAATGATGACTACAGAAATGGAGGAACGACGAGAGTTAAAACAATCAAAAGAGCTACTGATGTTTAAGTTACCACACGGGAATTGTGGTGTATGTTTGTCCTATGGAATGCCCAATTGCAATCTCAAAATAATAAGACGTACCCATACCATAACAGTGCCGTTTAAAAACAAATAACTGCTAACTCCACCTCTAACCAAAACTTCATTTCCAAAACTTCATTTCCAAAACTGCGATATCGATAATGGTTCGTTGCCCTTGCAACCATGCTTATCAAGTGCGCTAATCCAGGGGCATATTGTTCAAAGTTTCCGACGTAGTTTCTCCTGGTGCAAACTCAGGCTGTCTGTCAAAAATAGCATCTCCAGGACCCAAAGAAACTAGCCGCTTCATGAGCCGTTCATCGTCACCAATACCCATCATTTGAGATAAAGTTGCACCTCCAAACCCTCTTGATAAAGCCAAGGTGGTCGGAATCTGGAACTTAGAATCGGGGGTTTTCTCCTGCTCCATATCTCCCCTTTCTGGGGAATTAGCGGTGGAGCGGGTACCCAGGAGATTAATTACTTCTGTAGCATTCGACTGAGTGCTGCCAGGGCTTATTTCCCTTTCATCTTCGTTTTGAGGCATAAAAGTTTCCGAGAACTGTTCACACTCCCTTTTATGTTGAGATGGCCTCTTGGTTTTCTGTTTCTGAAGAACTTCAGAGGTGTTACCTCGTGTTAACAGCAGATCTCGCTCAAACTTAGCAAATTCGGCCTTTTCATGATCCCAAAAAGCCAATTGAGCAACTGTTTCTCTCGCCTCGACAGGTTCCGTTCCAATGCCATACTTTCGAGCCTGGGCCTGAATCATTTGCACCCCCCTCAGTGAAAACCGAGGATTCGTTGTACTGTCTGAAGGCGCCCGCTTCTGCAGTCGCAAGAACAGATCATATTTCCGCTTTGCTCTTTTCTTAAGCCTTGTTTTTATCACCATACGGCGAATCGTCTCTTCGCTTAGTCCAGCCCATTTTCCGCTTGGGTCGGCTCTTAGACCCTGAATCCTTTCTTGGGAAACTTGAGACATGCTTTCAAAGCTTTCCAGCCCTGGTAAATCTTCAAGTTGCACGTTCTTAGCCTGTTGCATCCACTCGTCATATCGCTCCGGTTGTAGTTCGTTGCTGATGCTCTCAGGTGGAGTTATCATGGAACCCCGCTCGTCAATAGGTGAAGACGACGATGTTTTGGAGCTGGGAGTCGGCACGGTAGGCGTGGTAGTGCTTCTTAAAGCTCTCGCGAAGCCGATTGGATTTCTTGAAGAGGAAGAGGTAGATAATTTTCTCTTGAGGTCCCCGGTATAGCAATTCAAGGGGTGAATGCGGAAAGCATCTGCATTCAAAGAACGGGAATTTGCGCTAGCACTATAGGACAGTGTGACTTTGGTCGAGGTGTGCGCATGATCTCCAACATACCTCGTGATTCTCTGCTGAGAATCGACATTCCCGATAGTGACCTGGAAGTTTGGTGTATGGGCAAATGCGCTGGTAGTCTCCATTGCCTGCCAACTTCGTGCACTTTCCAGAACATCTGGGGCAGGTTGTGAGAATAATGGAATCGGTTTGGATGCCACGTGCAATTGTTCTTCCCGGTGAAGTGTAGCACTAGTTCCTGAATCTGTATTTTGATGGGCGTGGGGCTGGGCCAAGTTGCTTTCAATATATTGGTTGCTGAGTGACCGTCGATAGGGAGCTGACAATTGAGGCCCTGCCTGCGCATACACACGCATGCCACTGAGGAAACTCGAATAATAGACTGTGTCGCGATATCCAAAGTTGCTGTGTGAATGTGTCTGGCTAAAAGCATATTGGACCTGAGCTTCATCGCAAAGTGCTCTAGGGACTGGGTATTGGATTGGAGACGGAAATTTGACGACTGGCGCAGTCTGGGACCCCATATCGCTGGGCAGGACATGACGTCCAGCGACGCCACTAAGTGTATGGACACCTGTCGAGTTACTACCATCCATTTTGGACAGTATTGTCTTTCCGAATGTAAGAATGCGGTGGGAAGCTGGTATATAACCTATCAAGGCTGCATAGGCCGATAGCAAAAATTGAAATGTGAATAAGTTAAATTAATAGACAGGACAAAACCAGATGGAACGCGGACATTAAGGATTGACCAACAAACTTACTGTACCGTCCTGTGAACTCTGGAAGGAGCAAATGGAGCTTGTTAAACCTAAAGTAGGGTATTTCGGAAAGTACGACGGGCAAGGCAACATAGCCTCCACAAGAGATATGTTGAAGCATGGTTGAATCTCCTTAGTGGTAACTATCCAACGATAATAACGTCCCCAAAGCTGCTGCTGTCCGGATCTGTCTAATATACAATCTTATCATACATTCATATATCTTACAAGCCGGCGACCCTCCTCTTATTGGCCGTGTTCTCTTCATATAAAATAGCCCTGGCTTCACGTTTGCGAGTGTTCTGTACGTGAGCTAGGAGCCTCAAGCAACCCGTCGGAGTCATGCCCTCAATCCTCCGAGCTTGGCCGACAGACTCAGGTCTTGTGGCTTCTAAAAGAAACCTCTCGTGCATGGATATGCCATGGACCTTGCCGTAGTCCAAATCAACTGGAAGATGCAGTTGTTCATCTATCTGAAAGACCTTCATTGAAGCAGTCTGTTGGGCAATGTATGGTGCATACACCGCTTCGATTCCAACCCGATCCTGTATCGCTTTGCTGTACTTCAGCACCTCTGGTATTTTGTTCGACAGCCTGTCTATGCTCATCCCGGCACGACGCAAAATGTCAAATGCGCTTCTTTTAGTTGTATCTTTTGTAACTTCGAATCCGTCGTCGATCCAGGCTGGGCCAGAGCGTATATCAGCTCGAAGAATCTGTTCCAGCTCATTCATTTGGCTGGATATATCCTGGAAACTGGACCACCGCGCATCACTCACGACTCCAGCCGCACGCCCTTTAGGAGTGAGCCTCAAATCCGCATTGTCCGCGCGAGCGCTCATCCTATATTCACTTCGTGATGTGAACATCCGGTATGGCTCAGATACGCCCTTCGTTATCAGGTCATCAATCATTATGCCTATGTAGCCGTCACTTCTTGACAAAATCATCGGCTCCCGGCCCTGGGAAACTAAACCGGCGTTGATCCCAGCGACTATTCCTTGCGCAGCAGCCTCTTCATACCCTGTAGTTCCGTTGATCTGGCCAGCCAGGAACAACCCGGCTATAGATTTCGTTTCGAGAGTCGACTTCAAGTTCCTTGGGTCGACATAATCATATTCAACTCCGTAACCAGGCTGCAACATTGTGGCGTTTTCCAACCCGCGTATAGTCTTAAGCATTTGCTCCTGTGCCTCGGCTGGAACGGTCATAGAAATCCCATTGGGATAGATGACATCGCTGTCAAATCCTTCCGGCTCAAGCCAGATTATATGGCTCTTTTTGTCCGAAAACTTAATTATTTTCGACTCTAGCGATGGACAATATCGAGGGCCCTTGACAGACTCCCGGATATGAATAGACTTGTCAAGGTTGTCTCTGATAATATCGTGGGCCTTCTCATTGGTGTATGTTGAGTAACAGAACATCTGCTCCTTGACTGTCACCTCGTCGTTGAGGTAGCTGAACGGCATCGGGGGATCATCCCCGGGCTGCTGCTCTAATGTGCTGAAGTCGATGGTCCTCCTTGACAGTCTCGGAGGGGTTCCGGTCTTCAGTCTCCCAAGTTTAAACCCAGCATCTTTCAGTGACTTGCTGAGTCCAAATGTCGCCGCTTCGCCTATGCGCCCAGATGGAAAACATTCTAGGCCAATGTGAATTTCACCGCCCAAAAACGTTCCTGTTGTTATGATGACTTGGTTGGTAGGGATAATCTCGCCAGATTCAAGTCTTACTCCAGTAATTTTCGAGGAGGGTTGGCCGTCCAGAGTTTCCTTCGAGACGATAATATCCGCAACGCTCCCGGGGACTATTGAAAGGTTCGGGTATCCTTGTAACTCATCCAGCATGTGTTTTTTGTATAAATCTCGGTCGATTTGTGCTCGCGGGCCCTAATAAAATGATCATTAGAACACCTTCTTGAAACGCAACAAGAAAAGAGATTCACTTACCCAAACAGCTGGGCCCTTTTTCCGATTCAACACTCTGAATTGCACAGCAGCCTTATCAATAATTCTCCCTGCCACACCATCCAGAGCATCAATCTCTCTTATCATAGTACCCTTCCCAATGCCGCCGAAACTCGGATTACATGAACATACGCCAATGTTGTCCAGCTTCGGTGTGATCAAGGCAGTGCGCGCACCAGACCTCGCAGCGGCTGCGCATGCCTCTGATCCTGCATGGCCTCCGCCGATGACAATTACATCGTATGGATTCGCACTGGATTAAAGTTAATATCGCAATCGATTGTGGGCGTTTAATTTACTGACTTGGGATGTGGCGACAGAGAGGCAAACCCCCTCGTACAAATAACCCTTCGATTTAATGGCGGAACTCTCAGGCCCCGCTGCAAGGAAAATGCTCGGTAGGGCCGCCGCAGCAGCTTGCAGCTCATAGTGTTAAAAAGTATCCTGGCGCACCATATGGCGGTTGGGGTTGTTGGTTTGATGGGGTCGTGGTGGTAATAATTATTTTCCTTAAAAGGGACTCATGATTGGACTGTTCCTATTCGTTGGTTTTTTTTACCTTGCGGGTTAAATTTCTGGTTGACGCGCCTAACAGCGCGTGGCGCGCGCCTGCGGACGTCAAGAAAAATAATTCCCAAGAACAACCTTCAAGCACATTCGCCGATGTTGCTCAAGTTCAAATCCACGCCCAATTCTTAGGGACTTAAGGCCATGTACACAATTGCACCACGAGTGGGATCACGGTGCCAGTACGTGTGTACATCATGTCTGAATGCTACAATCCGGAGGGGTGAAAACGCTTCACCCCGTTTGTTGCGACAGAGCAGCAATGTAGCAGCAGCCACCCACAATGCCGAAAATGAATCTCCAAAAGCCGAGCCAACAGGCGCACGTTCCTTGGATTCTTGGCTGCAGAAAGCCGCGAAGAAACACCTCGGATCAGCTCAAGCAGACCAGAGCGACAAAATAGCGGCACCCCTGAAGCCGATAACGAAGCGGCGATCCAAATCATCTCCAGGAGACAAGGCCCGCGAAACAGCAGTTACGTTAGAGCCATCAAACTCTGGCAAGGGATCGAAAACCATAACGAAGAAACGGCCCAAGGGAGTCCAGGTAAATCCTCAAGACCAAACAGCAAAGCCCTTACAGAACTCCAACGAGGGTGTCCCTGGAACAGATGGGAAACCCCCGCCAAGTTCTAGCAAGAAGCGGAGAACAAATAAAAATAGGCAGAAGAAATTGCAGGCCTTATATGATATATCTGTCACTCCGTCTTCGGATACTGGTTCTTCAAGAACAAAGGGGGCCAAATCAGTAGGACAACTTGTTCGGTACACAGTGGTGAAGGCCCCTCGGGGTCGGTCGTCGACAACAGTCAGAAACTCCCCGACCCAATCATCACACCCTGTCGCACGGCGGGTTCTAAACACGGTGATAATACGTCCCTCTGGCACCCCGCTCATTAAAAGGGTTCAGGGCAGGAAAAGAGGACAACTTTTAACCTATCTTTATTCCATTACTAGCTCCTCCGCCAACCGGGTTGCGAAGACAGTGCTTATGAAAGTCTTGAAGGAAAAGAAATTGCTGAATAAGCGCGGCCTCGAGCTAGCACAAGGGGGTGAGGACATATTTAAAGATGCTGCTCGTGAGCAGCTTGAAAAGGCAGATAGGACTCTATCTATGACTTTGCTCAAAACGTACGAAAACCTAGAATCGGCCCTGAAAAATTCAACGCCAGAAGCTATAGATGCTGTGTTTAAACCACTAAAGGAAGGGGAAGGTTACAGTTCTGGAAGCGTCCATGCACAGGCGCTAAAGTTGGTTCCAGTTGAGAAACCTCAGCCACCTGTGCCTGGCCTTGTTTGCGGCCTTGAAAGAGTGCTCTTCAATCAGGGAGTTTATCGACTTCGGGACCCCCATACCCGCGTCTACAATTTTGACCCCTATTTGGAATCCATAACACCAGTGAAAGAATTCGACTACAACGCGCTGAAAGAATACATCACTTCTTCGCGAGACAAAACATTGATTGATACAGCAGTTGCCGAGGGCAGCAAGTACACTGGGTCAACATCTAGCATGACCTCGGCTTTGGCACACTTCCACTACCTTCTATCAAAATGGCGGCCTGTCAACCATGATCAACTATCACGAGGCTTCCCAAGACCTTTAAGCTCGTTCACTGCCATTCAACGAGCGCCTGCTTCTATATTCCTTCGACGCAGAGATGGTGTTTACGCTATTGATGCGAACAAAGGATTTGACACATCCAACGTCCTCCAATGGCTTGGGAAATCAATGGAGAAGTTCTTAACTTCGGACAAGGAAGAATATATAAAGTACCGAAAGGAAAATTCGCACGCTCTTACGGATGATGACAAAAACAGCCCCGAATCATATCACTATACAACCTTTGGCGACTTTCTTATGCGCTCGCAGCTTGATGCCCATGATCCTCGTTTACCTGGGACAGGCATGTACGATCTTAAGACTCGCGCTGTCATCTCTATTCGCAGAGACGCTACAGATTATGAGAAAGGGCTGGGTTACGAGATCACATCTCGGTACGGTGAATATGACTCGTACGAACGTGAGTTCTACGACATGTCCCGCTCTGCTTTCTTGAAATACTCCCTTCAAGTCCGGATGGGCCGCATGGACGGCATTTTCGTTGCGTTCCATAACACGGAGAGGATATTTGGCTTCCAGTATCTTCCCCTGCCGGATATGGACCAGTCTCTTCATGGGTCTAACGATACTACACTGGGAGACTCCGAATTTAAAGTCAGCCTGGAGCTCTTGAACAAAGTGCTGGACCGCGCAACCGAGAAATTTCCAGGAGAGTCTTTGGAGCTACAATTCGAAACAAGGCCGAAGAGTGCTTCTGACGGCGACTGTTTCATGTATATTTTCGCCCGCCCCGTCGCCGAGGAGGACATTCAAGGTATCCAGGAGACCAATATCGAGCAAATCCAAGAATATGAGAGGCGAGTAATTGGCCTGGATGCAGACGGGCAAGAAGCGGTCCTTCGCGCCGCAATTAGAGACGCCGCAGAAGCCGTAAACGCCGACGATCAAAATGAAATCTTCGAGGACGCCTTCAACCATCTCGACCAGTCAGCGTCCGTAGAGACTATCCGCAATGCATTTGGCAAAGTCGAAAAGGGCACACCGGTTGAGGCGGCTATGAACAAGATGCTGGATCTCATGGTTGCCCGTGCTGAAAGGGAAGATCCAGAGACCATGGCCCGTGATGTCAACGAGGTTGTTGCGGAATCTTCAGGTGAAAATGCGGATACAGCAGCGGCGGATGAGGCGCGGAACTGTAATACCTCAAGCGAGGGCGACGTTGAGGGCTCCGTTGGCCGTCTAGCAGTATTCAAATTGAACATCCGCAACTTTGTCAACGGTCACCAGGTGGTTCGTCCCGACAAGCTGAAAGCTACCGACGACTGGGAGGTGAAGTACTGCCTTGAAGAGATGACTGGCAATATCGAGACGTTGTACGCATCGAGCGTAAAGCGTAGGAAGGAGTCGCTGGGTAAATCCCATGTTTCGTCGTACATGAGTCAAAGATATGGCGGGGACATACAGGATAATGTGAGCATGGGAAAGGAGTATAGAAAGGAAATGGACAGGCTGGATGAGGAACATGGAGTTAAGGTGTATGATAAGCAGGAGTTTCTGGATTTCGAAAGCCTGGAGAAGAGGGAGGAGAAGGTGAGAAAGGATGTCGAGGAAGAGATCGAAGAGCTGAAGAGCCTCAAGGAGGAGAAAGAACAGGCGGCTGTTAAGGTGTAATATAGGAGGCCGCGACCATTTTCTGGGAGAGCAGGCGTTACGCCTTTCCCCATGTACAGATATGTATTATAGATAGATGCGGACTATGGGTGTACAATAATTTGCAGATACAATATGTATTATAAAGAAGCATAATAGCAAGCCAACGTTATATGGCACTCTATTTAGTATCAACGGTCTCTGGCGTAACTGCGTTACAGTTCACAGCTTAACAAGAGCAGGGGTGGATTGAAAGTATCTGAATAGCGCCACAATTTGTTCCATCTCCTTGGAGACTTCCATGTCAAAAGTAAAGCCTAGCATAACTTGGTCACCAGCAGTTGTTTCCCACCCATCACCAATCAGCAAGCCAAAGATAGAGCACATATTGTACACGTGTTGGAGTTTCGCCTTTCACATGAAGCCCTTGCCATAAATCTTCTCTGCCAGGATTCTCAACTTCATTGGCATCAAGTTGTCGTTATAATGATCCTGGATTTCACTTTTCTCAACAGCACAATTGATATCGCTCCACTGACTGCCGCTCTCCGCGAGCCTCTCGCACTCCCCTCTCTCCACCGAGCTCCACCAAGTTGGAAGAAGCTTCTGTCTCGATTCTGCAAGACTCAAAAACTTCTTGAACAGGGGAAGTGTATTTTCTCCATTGTAAACGCCGATTGTATTCCCGCCGTACACAGACTCGTCTTCCACTCGCATTCTGAAAGAGTCGATGAGAAGATTGAAGACCTCTCCCTCGGGACGGTCGTGGAGGAAGTCGTCGTTGGAAAGCCCAAACATGTCGTTCATGGCCTGAAAGCCTGGGTTGTGGCGGGCCTTGGGCCCCTGGGGCGGGTTGGGAGGAGGGGCAGATCCTGTAAGGTGGCAGGTGGGTTTGTGGCTCTTCCAGTCGGCCTTCTGACATTCGAGGGAGCAGTAGAGAGCTGTTCGACACTTTGCACAGCGCATGAGAAGTTTTGGGAACTCGGTTTGCAGCTTCTTGCAGTTGAAGCAGCTCGGAGGTGCTGGTGTGGCGGACGTCTGAGGATCCTCCATATCGACAGGAATGGGGGAATGTTCGTCAATTGCACATGGTTTGGAAGAAGTGCCGTATTTCTAGAAATGGGTGTATTTTTGTTTTCAATTGAGCGCTTGCTGTTTGTAGGATATGTACTGTACTGTGTTGCTGCGTGCCCAAAGATCAACGATAGAAACGCTCGAAGCGCCGCGCGTTAAGAGGGAGAAAACCTCCACATTGTAGCAAACCCGCAAAGGTAAGGTATGAACGAATAGAACAAACTAAGAAATACACGAACGGTTAAATTTTATATTTTACTCAGATGAGAGACACGTTTGTTTTCCCCCAAGCTCTCATTCGCCAGAGTAATTTGAAAATTGCACATCGCACCCCCCAAGAATATACCGCCATGGGAATACTAAACGCAACGACAGCGGAAAATCTGTTATGCGCTTTATCCTTTTTAAATTCTCTGCGTGTCCAAACTCACCGACCCAAAAAATTATCCAGCTTCATTGACAGCAATTAAGTAAGGAAAAGTTCTCCATATATCGCAAATTGCGGGGATGACGATCTGTTGCAAAGTTGGCTAGGTATTCTTGGCAGCTTCAAAAGCTTAATATCCCACAAATTGATGCTAATAAACACACTCAGTTTCAATGACTTCAGTCGAGGGTATGAAAAAAGGGATTCCAACCGCGATATTTATATGTTGCAGAGCCGTGGTGTTTGCCACTCCAGCTTGAGCGCCACCATCAACAAACCTATATTATTGCCTCAAGCCCGCATCTGGACCCTGTTTACCCTCACCATGCACGAGACGAATGAATTTGCACGTGGCTACATGATCCGCACCGCTTTTCCGGTGAAAGTAGGCGCAGCACCAGCCAGAAAGCGCCGACGAGGTGGATAATTGGCGGGGCTCGGTGCCTTTCGGAGCACAGCAATCGTGAACATTCCGGCTAATATTGTAAAGAGTATGAGAAACACCATTACCCTCGAGCTGACCAGCTCGTGTATAGATCTTGAGACCTCAGCGAGTCCTTAATCATCCATCAATATATCCAAGTCCAACGAGCCTGGGTAAAAAGATGCAGTTCTGACACAGTGGTTCGAAAAACCTTCGGCGCATAGAACAAAACGCTTCTAGCCAGCCGCCAGTGCAAATTAAGGGACCGCAAAGCAATCAAAGCAATCCAATATGCGGAAGCCCAGCCTGTTCTGCGGTTATTCGGTCCCCCAACCGATAATATAGATGCACTCAGGAAGCTATTATCTGTCACGAGATCGTCGGGCAGGCTTCTAGAAGCAGCACCAGCGCCGAATCGGGTGGCGGCGACGAGTTCCGCGATGCTGAGTGGAGCAACCAGTGAAAACTGGGGAAAGAAGGTTCCGGTAGCTATAGGCTCTGACAAGGTTGTATATGCGGGGTTTGTCGACACGGAACAGATATTATCTTCACTAAGAAAGCGAACACGGCTCGTTAGCTCACAGAGGGGACTGAGCGCGGAAAATAGTATGAACAAGGGCCGACAACCGTAAAGTGGTTGAATTCTGGCATTGATTAATTTTTAATATATAGATTGGCGCTATCGGTTTGCTTTGTTCGGATGCGGCTGCCGAGAGGCTATAGAGTGGTCTGGAGATGCGGCGAACGCACCGCTCCGTGCCGAGGAACATTCTCCCATTATTTCACATCGCGAAGCATACTTGGCGCCCTTCGATTTTGCAAAGACCAGGTGACAATATCGACAAATTAATCGATATTCCGAGTTCGCATCTCGTTGAGAGTTGACTCTACGTCAGTTTTGCCATGTATGCTTCGCACTCAGTGCCGCTCGCTAGGATACCAGGTCCGTCGGGACCTGAGGGAGGCACCAAAGACGGGATGGCAGGCGCCACTAATCTTGCCCGCCTTTGGGCGTTTCAACACCTCAACGCCACGCATACTGTGGTTGGCGCATTCAGCAATGTGGCAGCGCGATGAGAGGGGCAGTGGGGCGGGAGAATGAGAGAAGGCGGGGAGATGAGGTCGCGGGGTCAGTGGAGGCGTATCTTGGCATCCTCTCCACAATACTACCTCTAGGTGCGGCGATATGCCTGGTGAATGCCGTTGCAGTCCCCCTGAATCTCACGGAGTATTTGCATCTCCGCACAAAACTTCAGGCCACACGGGCCGCCTCTATAGATTGAAGTCTGACCTAGTCAGCCTCTCTATCTCTCCGCCATGGGCATCCCCACAGTCCATTTCTTGCATTCTCCCGTCTGGCCCGTCAGCCCGGGGTCCACCTTCCATTATCCTTCTGGAAGCGCCGTCTCGAAGCCATTTGCTGCAGATACAGGCCAATGGATAATCATGCGTGCCGACAGGCACAGCCTGAGTTGTCTACTCCCGGTAGATCATGGCGTATAAAGCTGTGCCCGATCCCACCTCAAATTCCTTTCTCTCATCATCACAGTATCAAACTCTCAAGACTCTCCAGCTCACTTCAATCATGATGTACCCACGCGCCCTTCTCGTTTCTGCTCTGGCAGCCGCTGTGGCTGGCCAACAGGTCGGCACTCTCACCGCGGAAACTCACCCTTCCATGACCTGGCAGACTTGCACTGCCCCAGGCAGCTGCACTACCAACAACGGAAAGGTCGTCATTGATGCCAACTGGCGTTGGGTTCACTCCACCAGCGGATCAACCAACTGTTACGATGGACAGACTTGGGACGCGACCCTTTGCCCAGATGACAAGACCTGTGCCGCCAACTGCGCCCTGGACGGAGCCGATTACTCTGGCACTTACGGTGCTACGACTAGCGGAAACGCCCTTTCCCTGAAGTTTGTCACCAAGTCCGCCCAGACAAACATCGGCTCTCGTCTGTACATGATGAAGGATGACAGCAACTACGAGATGTTCAAGGTGCTCGGCAAGGAGTTCACCTTCGATGTCGATGTGTCGAACTTGCCCTGTGGACTGAACGGAGCTCTGTACTTCGTTTCCATGGATGCTGACGGAGGAATGACCAAGTTCCCTACCAACAAGGCTGGTGCCAAGTACGGAACGGGATACTGCGACTCCCAATGCCCCCGTGATCTCAAGTTCATCAGCGGCCAGGTATGAGAAACTCACATATAACAAATCGATTTGATTGCTAACTAGATATCCAGGGTAACGTTGAGGGATGGACCAAGTCTTCCAACGATGCCAACTCTGGTATCGGTAACCACGGTTCGTGCTGTGCTGAGATGGACCTGTGGGAGGCCAACTCGATCTCGAACGCCTACACTCCCCACCCTTGCGACACCCCCGGCCAGACCATGTGCACCGGCAATGCTTGCGGTGGCACCTACAGCAACGACCGCTACGCCGGAACTTGCGATCCTGATGGATGCGACTTCAACCCTTACCGCCAGGGTAACCTGAACTTCTACGGCCCAGGCAAGACCGTCGACACCAAGTCCAAGTTCACCGTCGTCACCCAGTTCATCACCAACGACGGAACCGCCACCGGTACCCTCACCGACATCAAGCGCTTCTACGTCCAGAACGGTGTCGTCATCCCCAACTCCGTCTCCTCCATCGCCGGCACCAGCGGCAACTCGATCACCACCGATTTCTGCACTGCCCAGAAGTCCGTCTTCGGTGACACCAACGACTTCGCCAAGCACGGTGGCCTCGCCAACATGGGCGCTGCCCTCAAGGCTGGTATGGTCCTCGTCATGTCCGTCTGGGATGACCATGCATCCAACATGCTCTGGCTCGACAGCACCTTCCCCACCGACTCCACCAAGCTCGGTGCCAAGCGTGGTACTTGCGCCACCACCTCCGGTGTCCCCAGCGACGTCGAGGCCAACGTCCCCAACTCCTCCGTCACCTACTCCAACATCAAGGTTGGCCCCATCGGCTCTACCTACGGCTCCGGCTCCGGCACTGGCACTGGCACCACCACCAGCGCCGCCCCTCCTACCCAGAGCACCACCCCACCAACTGGCGGCGGCACTGCTCCCAAGTGGGGACAGTGTGGTGGTATCGGATGGACTGGCCCAAAGACTTGCGTCGCCGGCTCCACCTGCACCTACGGCAACGACTGGTACTCCCAGTGCTTGTAAGCAAAGAAAGTCAATTGCTTCATGTCGGGCACGTAGGGGCGAGGAAGACCGTCTATGGTGGTTAGATTCGGACCTTGGGGACTGGCAGGGAGTGGTGTATATAGGAATAGAGCTTCTGCTGTCTGTATATATTCTAAGAAGCGGCTTATGTTGAGATATGATTGTTATTTTGGGGTTTACGGCGGTTGAAGAGGGTTAGAGTCGAGTTTGATAAATAGGCACAATGATACATATTTCGCCTGTAACATTCTTGAATTTGCCAATGTTACTACTGTTGTGATGCTTCTAAGAATGTTCTCATTCTGACTATGGGCCCAATGAATCGTCAGAGAGTGAAATTGGGAGTAAGGTGCTGAATGATCCGTGAACGTCTAGCACTATGTTCTGCTCCAGGGAATGATAATTTTCGGAAGCCGTACAGGAAACCGTATACCATTCCAACGAAGAACGTGTATTTTTGCACTACTTCTGGACATCCGCGATAGCTGTCAGGAATCGAATCAATGAGTGGAATGCAGAGTTGTGCACCGTCTCCGTTGCGGTAAGTTGGACACGGATACAGAAAGTGCAATGCATGTTGGAAGTAGGTTCAAGGTGTCTAAGAACACGAAAAGAATATGCCATGATATTTTCTTGCCGTCGTTTCTCTCGCCATCGCTCCATCCTGTCGTCAATGCCGTCCTGCTGTCGAGATTGACCTGTCGTCGAGGTTGTCTTGTTATCACCTGCGCTGAGCGCTGTCGGCCAAGACGTTTGTGTGGGTTACGACGGCCGCGTCGTCGCGGATCGCTGGAATGGCTGTCGGAGGCGGAGTTGTGGGCGCTCGTTTTTAAAGAAATCAATATATCTCAAGTATGTAAAAGAGGATGGGGTGGGGTCCTGGGGGTGCGGAGCAAAGAAAATAAATATAGACGTAGAAGGTGGAAGAGATCGAGGTTATAAAATACAAATGTTGTATTATATAAGTTTTTGAAACATACTCGTATAATCAAAGGAATAATCCGCAGTGGATCCCGACCCTAACAACAAGTATAATCCAAGCAATTCCTCTGAAACGGAGAGCGAGGGAAGCACTGATTTCTAGTCAGACTAATGTGACCTTGTTGACGAAGACGGGGTAGTACAAGTGATGAAAGGCAAAATTATATCAGAAGATGGAAAAGAGGAGACGAACGGATCATTAATGTGACAACAGAACGACAGTGAGAGAGCGAAGTGGTGGGAGCCCAAAGTCGGTGAGAATTTTCCCCCATGAGGGTGACAGTGACGGCCGTTCTTGAATCATAACTTTTCTCGTCACACTGGGCCCCTTTCGATGATATTCGAGAATCTGAGTATGAGGTGGTTTGTGAGAATTTTGTACCTAGGGTCCTTAGATGCAGCGTTGATAATCCTCTCATCTTCCCTCTTCGCATCTTCTTCTGACATGATCTTTCTCATATTCATAATACGAAATCAAGTTCGAAGTTTGACTTGACTCAGAGATGTCCATTCCATTCTTTCGATGGAGTCTCTGTTACGTCTTGAGTTGTCACGATGTGTCACGCCCAAAGGGATGATAGCCATGAAAGTCTGTGAGAAGTTGCTGCACGATTAACTTACATGTCTGTTGAGAACCGAACCAAGGATGTAATACTCAATTGTGTACATCCTATCACAGGCGCTGTAAATAGCTATAGATAGACGAGCAGGTTATATGAGTATGACGAAGGGATACAAGGGAATCACAAACACACACATATATATATCCTGATTTACACCCCAGAACCGCGTAGGCCGTAACTAATGCGGTCAAATTCTTCAATGAGATCGAGGTCTTGGGCTACATCCTCTGGGACGATTTGGAGGACTTCCTGGTCGCCTCGTCCCTTCGTAATTTGAGGGAAAATCAGTCGGAAGTAGTGAAAATCTCCCACGGCGACAACAATGTCGCAGTGAGAGAGCGAAGTGGTGAGAATATCGCGATGTGGTGGTGACAGTAACGGTGACAGAGGACGTGTACGCAGCGACGAAGATGAGGTTTTCCATCGGCAGGCGTCCGGATCGCGCCCAATCTCCTGCGCCTCCGAGGACATGTTCCACCACATCTCTAATTGTATCACCGTTGTAATATTTGATTCCAGCCCGCCGGAACCTGTTATATTCAGCAGAGGTACCGGGAGGGCATGACTGAAATTTTTGCTTGGCTCAGCTGGCACCGGCTGCTGTTGGGAATGAAGGTGCGTGGCTTCAATGCCGTCGGCTGTTCTTGGAAATAAATGCCATTCCAGGAATTCAGCTGTATGTGTAGATTCTGCTGACTGTTAGAGCGCTTGTGTCAGGGGTTTGGTCCTTGGGATATTCGTTGGTTGGGTGGTATCGAGTTGTTTCTGGGAGAGAGGGCCATTTAAGAGCAGTTGAATCATCTCGAAAAATGACTTCAATTCCTTAGACAAAGTATATTATGGAAACCGATGACCCATATGTAAGCATGGGATAGAACTATACTTCGTAGTCAGTTACATCCTGCAGATAGAGCACATTGCACCACAAGTCTCGTCCTAAACAACTAGTCGGAAGTGGCGTGAATCTCACGCGCGCAAAATAGCGAAGTCGACCTGGAGATCTTGAAAGTTCAAGGAAGGAAGACTGATATCTCATGAAGCCACTCGTCCGCAAGGATGAGGAGAAGCCAAAGAAGATTCCACTGCTCTCCCCATATCGCCTAGCATCACGGTGACAGAAGCACCGCAGTGATATAGTGAAGTGGTGAGAATGCCGCGTGGTGACGACAGTGACGGTGACAGAGGCGCGGTTCCTTGATAGCTTGGTGGTGGTCCTACACACACCTAAGTAATTACCCCCATGGATATATTGCTCCCGACCATAAGTAGTGGGATGAATATGATACCTTCCCCTCGTAGTCGCCGATATCGATATCTCCACCTTTCTCGGTAAACCTTAAATATCGTGGGAAGTATTACCTTTAGCTACTTGATAATCTAAACTCAATTCGCAAAAGTCAACACTAAAGTGAAAAAGATCAGATATGCAGGATGAATAAATTGAATTATATTTCCAACTCAACCCCTATCCCACTCCCCCTCATATTCAAAACATCCAATCATTCACCAAACCCTCCTCCGAAGAAACACCCCCAAAAAATTAACATCCCGTTCTACATCTAGAAGAACTTCTTGTACTTCGCAATAGCATCATCGAAAGCAACATCAATAGGAGCAGTGATGCTCTCAGCGATAGCACGGAACTGCTCCGGCAGCTTCGCAACAACAGCCTTGCTGAACTTATCCGTCGCCGCCTTCTGCTGCTCAAGGTTGATCAAGATAACCGGGCTGATAACCAGCAGCTGATCGAACTCGGGCTTGGTATCGACGATAGTCTGGAGGGAGGACTGGACGCCCTTAACAAGATCGGCGGTGGCGCCGGCGACCTGGATGGTCTCGTCGAAGGTGAGCTCGGCCGAGGCGGTCGCGGTCTTGGTGCCCTGGTTAATGTCGTGGAGAAGGGTGGTGCTCTGGATCAGGATGGGGATCGACTCGCCGAGACCAATCAGGCCGCCGTGGAAGTTAGAGATGGTCGCGTTGAGCTTGGAGGTGTCGCTGGAGATCTTGGCCATGGCGGCGAGGATGGAGGCGCCATCAGCGACGACGGTGGTGGCCAGAAGGGCGATGGGGAGGATGGAGAAACGCATGTTGACGGTTTGGTTGGGGGGTTGAGGGTGGAAGTGAAGGTGGTTTGTTTGGATGGATTGAAGCTTGTTGGTTTCTTACGGGAGAGGGGCAAAAGAAGGAATGGGTGGTGGGAGGACGAATTGGTTATATACTCTCTTTTATTACTCCCTCATTTGCACATGGGATCCTTTCCCTTTTTTCTCCCCCTCGCCGCGCTGACGGAGTCCGTGAGCCTAGTTCCTCCGGGGGTTGAAGGTGGGAAAGTCGATCATCATCGCATGTGGGCAGGGCACAATCGCGGGGGAACAAGATGAGGTGACATTGCGATTGGCCGCATGACAATACCCATAATTGCGGAAAGTGGAAGATCCAAGGTTTAGAAGCAGTCGGCAGCAGGGACAGCGGGCTTACTATGCTTGCAGCGTCGTAGTTTGAGGAAACACGACAGGCGATCGGCGGGGATGAAGGTGTAAACAAGACATAAAAGCGCTTAGCGTTTGCGGGGGGGAAGGAGCAAGGGTTAGATGCGATCAACCAGGATTGCGGCAGGTACGGAGTTGAGTTAGGAAGGTTAGACGGGGAGTTTAGAGGGGAAGTTAGAGGGATTAGAGGGATTAGAGGGTTTTAGAAGCGAGTTAGAGGGGTTTAGAGGCGAGTTAGAGGGGTTTAGAGAGATGTTAGTGGAGAGTTTAGGAGGAGTTTAGCAGGTTAGGCGTACTAGAGTAGTACTGGAACAAATACTGGAGCATGTGGGGAAGAACCTTGCAAAAAATGCCGCGGCTTCGGACGGGGGAAAACATGTGAATATCAGAAATTAGCTGTTGACGATCATATTGTAAACGAGTCATTATGCATTAGACTGGTACTGGGCAATTTAAATGGGTATTCTGGTTATTTTCCTGAATTTTCGACGGATCGCAGCGGCAGATAGACACGATTAGTGTACCGTGATTCTAAAGATGAAGAAGAATTGAAGCGAAGAAGATATGATATTTGATCCATCGGCGTTGTTGTTCTAGTAGAGTTTATGCGGTTTCAGCGCTATTTGTACGCGATGGTGCCATGGCGAAGTGGAGTCGGTGCCTTAAATACTAGGTACCGGATAAATAAGCATCGGACCAAGGCTCCGTGCTCCGGCATCGATCCCGTCTCCGTCCAATCCAACGTCCCTCCCGTCCACATGGCACTCAACCTCGATAAGAAGCCTTAACAAGCATCGATCCAAGATCCATTTTACCACAGAACAAAAGATATTCTACTACTGGACAATGCTGTACTGTACAGTAGATACAATTGATAAACAGTCTTCACCGCAAACCCTCTAACACCCATTCGAACACGACTGATCACAGTTATACGTGCCAATCCAGTTATCATCCCCATACACATCCAGCCCCAACAACCACCCATTCAGCACCTGCTGCAAATAATCCAAATTCTGCGGCCACCCATTCGCCTTCCCCTCCGCCGAGCACGGATAATCCGTCGTGAGCCCCCTATTCCCATTCAGCCCCAACCCCGCTGTGAACCAGCCATTATACTTCCCAAACGCCGACACAGCATTCCCACCCGCATCATCGAGCTGGCCGCGCAGGTAATTCGCCCCGGCGTCAACGTTATCCTGGATGCTGTCCGTGCAGACTCCATTCGGGTAGTTGGCGCACGAGACTTGCATCAGGCCGGGTGTTGGGCCGCCTGCGTCGGCGTTGCAGGAGGACTCTTGCATGGCGATGATGGCCAGGATTACGGGGTCGATGCCATGCCCGTCACCGGCTTTTTGGAAGTAGCTGTCGTATTGTTGGCATCGCGAGCCGACGCCGGAGTAGAAGTCGGGGCGAGAGATGTGGATCACGTCGTTGAGGTTGAGGTAGGGTGGTTCCCAGCCGTTGCCAGTCAGGCCGGTGTTGAGCCAGTCTTCGGAGCTGGAGGGGGGAGGTTAGTTGAGGGTAAGAGATGGAGTTGGGCGTGGAAACTGCTCACCCGTTTGGACCCCCTCCCGGTGTTACCTCCTCCGTGGCTCCTTGGGCGTGAGAGTTTATCCCAAGGCCGGGGTTCTTGGATTGAGCATCCCCAGTAGCGACGAGCAGTGCAGCGAGAGCTGCGTAGGTGAATTTGCCCATTTTCAAACGCTTAGATTGGTATACAGGAGGTAGGAGCTGATTCAGTTGAACTCCAAACAGAACTTAGAGGTTGGGATGAAGCTATCTTTATACCTCTCCTCAATCCCCACTCCCATACTGATTCCAAGCGTCAAGTCAATTCGGCCGTAATAGCCACCTAGCGATACCAGCTTCTTCTTCGGAACTAACTTTTCATTTAACCACACGTCAAACCCTCGCCATGACGATGATCACAGTGATCTGCAACGCTCTGACATCGCCGACTCGGCCCTACTCGTAGATCCGGACAATGCGCAGGAACGCCGAACATTTCCAAAGTTTCATCCCACGTAAACGTGCTGAAGTAAGCGTGTACAGCATATTGATAACTTCGTTTATCGTATTTCACCACACTTCGTATCCAGTGCGTGCCAAGTGGAGAAAGAACGCCGTGGGCTCTGATTTCCGGTCGAGTGCCTTGGGCGGCAGGTCGTTATCGTGGCGTTGAAGCTTGGTAAAGCCACCCGCGTGGATAACCGTAAATGACAGCGGCAATTGACAGCACTTAAAACCCCCCAAATAAACACAGAGACTCAACTCAATCTCTCTCTCATACAAGCTTAATCATCCCATCTCTGCGGGTTTCTCACCTGCATCTCGGGCATCGCGGCAGATAAACATGGCCATCGGCATCCCCATTCCCCGACGCCAAGACCATGATCGACGCTCTCGTCCGCGATTCCGCTTAGGCGCTAATGGTGGGATACAGGTTTATCTTGATGATGTGCAACTCAGCTCGCTGATCACATCTCACTCTGCTGCAGCGCGATTATCGCATCGTGCCGGGTGATGATCTGGTAACCCGGGCGGGTAGAAGATGGATTGTGTGATACTACTGGATTGACATAAGCTGATAGAGGGCGAGGATGGGACTCTACTCACTGTCGTTTACGCACGTATTTACGCACGGAGGTAGCTATGAAGTTTTAAGACTCGATTTACGTGAGATATAGAGTAGGAAGGTGATATATAATATGCCCGTCCATAGTCAACCCAAAAACCGCCGATTCGTCGAAGCTTCGAATGGCAGGGGGGCTGAATCATGCAACGGCGGTTTTTGGTTGGGAACCGTGCGGAGATGTCGTATTACCCCGCAGTCACTCTATGATATCTTAAGGTTTTAAGACGCTGGGGGCAGGGTGCGGTATGTGGGTTACTGGCTCGGGGCATCTGAGTTAATGGACATTAAAGGTCCGTGTGGCAACTATTGGTCTCTGAAGGTAGGCGTATATTGGAGGGTCACTCATTAGGATTGTTATGCTAACAGTTACCCTCCAGTACAGGGTTTTAGACAGACACTGTAACAGAGTGGTGGCCGACCAGTTACCCTCCAGCATGGAATTCTGGACAGGCACTGTAAAAATTAACACGAGGAGTGGTGGCGGACCAGTTGCCAAGATCTGGCCGACGCAGAGGTGTGAGATCCCATTGAAATATAACTAAAAATAATTTTGCTCCATTCGTCAACCCGTATCGTGCATCCAGAATCGTCTCCAATACCTTTGCAGCAACTATCAAAATCATTCACAACTACACCAACTCCCTCCTCTTCGACCCATCCCTCTGCCTCACCTCAACCACCACCCCCCCAGGGGCCTTAACTTCCATCTGCGTACTCCCCTTCGTCCCCGTCCAACTCGCCTCAATCCACCCTCCCTCGGGCAACGGCATCTTCCCCTTCGCCCACTCCAACCCCAACCCCTCCACAACCTCCCAAACCGGATCAAACACCCACCCCACCACCCCCGTCGCCGCATTCCTCTCCCTCCTTACACCCAAGATGAAGTCCGTGTAAACATACGTCGGCGCTCCGCCCCAGGGGTGATTCAAGCTGGTGAATAACCCGATCCCTGGGCTGCCATCGGGGAAGACATATTCCCATGATGAGCCTGTGCGGAACTGATTCTGGTTGAGCATTTTCGGCCAGTATACTTCGAGCAGGTCCTTGATCACAGGGACGACGACGCTAGCGGCGACGTTGAGCTGGGTGTGTGCGAGGAATAGGGATTCAAGCAAGAATCCCTGGACGTTGGGTGAGAGTTGGGTGCCGGGGCCGTTGCCGATTGCGGTAGAGTCTTTGTACCCGATTTGGTAGAAGAGGTCGCTCAGCTTTTGGATCCCAGTTGTGGCTTGTGTGGTATTGGCTATTCCGGCGCGGATGGTGAAGGCGGTGGCGAGGAGGGCGGTGTCGCCTAGGTGGTCAAGGGACATGCTGTATGCGCCTAGGGTTTTGGACCATAGCTGGTCGTTTACGGCTTTGCTGATGGTCCTGGAGAGACTTGTGTAGTAATCAGCTGTTTCGGTATCTTTGAGGGCTTTGGCGATTTCAACAAGCTTGTTGAGGGCAATTACGAATAATGCTGTTGGGGCCGTGGCGTGCTGTGTGTTCTGGGCTGTGAACCAGAATGCATCGGGAGCTGCAAAGAGGTTGGTCTTGGTGTCGAGATAGCGAGAAACAAGCGTCTTGACGAGGAACTTCGTTCCATTCCAGTGTTTGCTTAATAAATCCAAGTCGTTTGTCAGAGTGTAATAATCTCCGATAGTAACCAAGAAAAAGAAATGGTAGTCGGTCTGGCCAAATTGCAATGGGTAGAGTATGTCTCTGTACTGCTTCCCTACTCCCATCGGTGCTTGCATGGGAACCAGTCCTGCACCAGGCCCATCCAGGAACTGCCAGTCGAATTCAAAGTCGATCATGCTCTGGATATAGTCATAGCGGCCAGTACTGACTGCAATCATCCGAGCCGTGTGCACGAAATCACCGATCCATATCTCTCGATCCCTCGCAGACCCATCCAAGCAAACAGCACGGGGGTTCATGGCTATCCCATATTCTTCGTAGACATCATCCCCCGTGAGAGAGTTGGTGTAGAGTACTGAGCCGTCTTGACCAATAACCTCGACGTCTCTATAGTACGCTGCCTGGTTCAAGAAGGGTCCGAATCCAAAGGTGCCATCTGTGAGCGCAGAAGTACCAATGCCAGGGTGGATGTATGGCTTAAAGGGCTCGCCGGGAACAAATGCGGCGTGTGTCCCATTAATCGAGATATTGTATCCCGTAGAGGTGATGGACGTAGTAATGCGATACCACTCATTATCCGCCAAATCCATCGGCACATTGAAGTTCTGAGCAGGCGCAGAAGGCAGCAGCTGCTGGTTAATAATGCTGAATCCATAGCCGGCAATAAGACTATTCGGTTTCAACTGTAGCGGAGATGTGCTCAGAAGCTTGGGTCCTCCAGTGCTTAAGACAAAATATGGCCCATAGCCGCCATTAGGACCTGCAGCAACTCTCCATCCCACTCCGCCTGTGACGATCTTCGTTGAGAAAGACATCTCGTAATTTTTAAAGCCAGTACCCCGCAGAGAAATGGCGGGATACTGACCGCGGACCAGGGCTCCCTCGCTGCTGACTTCCCAGGTTGAAGGTTGCGACTTTGCCTCGACACAGGCCAGGTCTAAAGACCGGGCACCAAGGCCCCAGACTCCATCGTGGACGTTATTCGAGGTCGAGAATGCCCCGGGGAGTTCATTGAGTGGCCTGATATCGACAGATGCTCTAAAGCCTACGCCGTTGATGGTGATGGGCTCCTTCGATAGGAGAGTTATCGATTGCCAACGCTGACCACCCTGAATGAAGAAAGACGTCGTCGATCCGGCCGTGGAGACATTGAAGGTCTCCGTGCGGAAAGAATTCATAAGACCGTTGACGTACAAGAAGGGTCCATTTGACCATGGCTCCTTCAAACCTCCAAATGGCTCAGAGTACTTCAGTTCGATCTGGGCACCAGATGCAGAAACGGATGAGACTTCAACAAAGGGAAATCCAGCAACGTTTGCTCCATAGTCGAGAGTAACGACGGGGTTTGCAGCGTCCAGCTTCAGTGGCTCGCCCGCATATTTCACAAGGCCGTCAATTACTGGCCCGGTGCCAATAGCATAGGCAACCGGGGTATAAGAGCGTCCGGCGTCTGGAGCAGCATCTGCCAGATTAATTGCCCATAGCCAGAATAAGAATGTGTTATAAAACTGAAAACATTTGATAAAAAAGACCATCATTTCGATGGCCGAGGCAGTAAAATTTGGCAACCAAGATCAGTTAAATCTCGATAAGCGCAAAGGGAGGAAGTAAGTGACACCCCCAATATATATGTATTAAAATGGAAATGATATATATGCCTAGTGTAACCGTTGGATTTAATTTGAAGCTTGTGACATAAATGTACATTTGACCTCTTGAATCTCGTGACGGAACAGGTAAAACAGGTTGTCGGGGTAATGAGAACCGAACTGGCGAATGGTATCAGAAGAACGATCCCAACCCCCTCCTCACCTGGCGATTGAGAACCGACTGGCGAATGGTATCAGAAGAACGATCCCAACCCCCTCCTCACCTGGCGATCTTTACCCCACAATCTTGAGAATTAGAGTTTATATCGGATATGTATAATTGTTTCAGATAGGAGTCCGAGGAATGGACGAATCGATGGAATCCGTGGGAGTTGCTGAAAACAGCTTCCGAACCTGGTGTGAAAGCTGTACCCTCCAACACGATGTGCTCCAATAGAACAAATGTCACGCAGATTTTGTCAGATGCCGTTGCATTCTTCGGGAAATAGTCGCAATAGCTGTTGGATATCGGTAATTAGAGAAATTATATATATTGCAGTTCATTCATCGTCTGGAGACAGGAGATTGATCTGTCAGGTGTTGAAGTTCAGGACTTGTACGCCCGATCTGGCTAGATTGGTGAAGTACTGGAGCTTGGCTGTCTTAGGCTAGTCACTTGGCATCACTTGGCATTAATAGGTCGACGCACGTGATATACACATGCGCCTCGTCGTCGATGTCCCACCTGCTCAGCACTTTGTATCGGTCAATCTGTAGTCATCTGGATACCCCGTGTTCTCCCAGCTCTCCCAAAACTTCGCGCCACACTGCAGCGACGTGATATTCTCATAAACGACACAGAAAACAACCAGGGCCATGATTATCGAGAGGAAAGCGGTGGCGCCGAGGTGTGGGCTCAGAGGGAGGCAGATGATAATGATGCCTATAACAGGACGCATAATTAGGCGGAGGTGCTAATTTCAAGGTCAGCGAGGTGAATCTCAATAGCTCTGAATATACCAACCTTTGGCAGCATCAATGTCCCCGGAGGGTCATCTGACCGGTGCAACATCGCAATCACATACAGGCAGAGAATGCCTATGCCAAGTCCACCGCACAGTAGCCAAAGCTCTGCGCCTTCGAGTTCCTCTGTCTTTGTGCTCGCAGCTGCGACGTGTCCCCCAACCAGCATGGAGGCTACCAACGGTAAGTGCATCATGACCCAAGTGAATGCTGTGATGATGCTGTGCCTGATGGCATGCTCGAACTGAAGCGATCCATCATTGTGCACATAAAGCCAGTTGAAACAGAATGCGATGATAAGTGTCCAGATTGCCCTCAGGAGTCTGACATTGAACCCAGAAGCTGCGGGGTGGCCGACTATAATCGCATACAAGAACTCTCCCAGGACAATAATGTAGAACGCCGCGAATCGGTCAATCTCGTGTCCAATATCGGCAGCGGTGGTGTACTTTGAGCGCGTAATACGCTTCGCAATGGGCGAATAGCAGAAGACCCAGAGAATCTCCTCAACGATGATGCCGACGGCTGCCACGGCGATCTTGCTGCGGAGAGAGAGCGACTCCATGTACAATGGGATGTAAAGCAGCAGAGCGAAGAAGGAACAAACAAACCAAAGACGTTGCTGCGCGCGATGGTGGTAGCTAGAGAATGAATAGACCAGATGCGCGGTGTTGGCAGACAGGCGTGCCGTCATGTAGGCTCCAACTGTGGCGCGCATAGCGGTGAGGTCCTCGTCGACGAGTACAGCGTTGTTGCCGTAGACGACGAGTACCGCCATGATCCAGAGAATCAGAATGCGCTGGCCGAGATCATCGTTATAGAACGAGTTCATCAGCTCGCGCAGGTCACTCCAGATGTGCCATGATGGGGACAGGATGAGCTACAAACACTTAGGCGCTGAAATACACAATGGCAAAAGTCTAGATGTGAGACTTACAATGTATTTTACCACCTGAACACCAGAGGGGTGTTCAGCGAGGCCATCGGCGAAACTTGCAAGGATAGCAACGTAGAGTAAATCTAGGAACAGCTCAAACCTTCCGGCCTGTCTCTCCTCGTTACTCAGCTTTTTCAGCACCCCATTTTCAAACCACTGTAGCGCAAGCGGCTGGCGGAAAAGAGCGCGCTTCTTCGGCCCCGAAGTCGATGTCTGGGTTAATGGCTGGGTAAGTGATGGCTGAGCATCAGTATTCTCTGGCTGAGCATCAGCGTTTTCTGCCATGTTGCCTGCCTCGCGATAGATATCTTTTATCACCCCCTCAAAAAAATCCCGTGGCCAGGGAGATACCCCTATGGTATTTATGTCACGTCAATGCGGGTCGGGGGGTAACTCTTAGTAGGCTTATTAACGTGATCTGCAGGCTTGGCATAGCTTCGTCAAATGAAAAATGAGAATTGGGATCCATTGATTGGCGAATGATCGGCACGAAGCGAAAAAGTGCCGGGGCGAATGACAGGACGGCTTGGTATTCAGCTCCACGAAGGTTTGTCTTGCGGTTGGTTGTGCTTCCTCAAGGGTCATTATTAATATAGCATTTTCTTGGGTCGAGCAGTCCATGTGCTTGACATTTCCTGACATGGTTCCCTATATGAGACTCGTTCCTGGGGGAATAGTCAATAGTTCAAAGTCGGACAGATTGAAGGTTGATTGGTCCGGTGGACCTTTGAGTTCCTCCGGACTCCGGAATATCCAACCCATACTTAAGAACTCTAGACCCATGACCAATTTACCTTAAAGATTCAAATCGCAGTATCAGAACCAGCAATAAAGACTATGTCGAAAGATAAGAGTGATCGCGAGTATGACCTTGTGGTTGTCGGTGCAACGGGCTATACCGGTACCATTACCGCAACGCACATCGCCGAGCACCTTCCAACGAACCTGAAATGGGCTATCGCTGGAAGATCCGGCGTGAAGCTCGAGGCTCTGGCCGCAGAACTGAAGAAGCTATCTCCAGATAGATTGCAGCCAGGTACGATTCACCTACATAATGCTGTAGAGCTATAGCTTACGGCTTCGTAGCAATCGAGATCGTAGATGTTGAAGACAAGTCTAAATTGAGCTCCCTTGTCAAAAAGGCAAGGGTGTGCATTAGCGTTGTCTCGTACCATCATGTCGGGGCAGAAGTCATAGAGGCGTGCATCAAGAACCGGACAGATTATATTGATACGTAAGTGGGCAAGAGAACTACACGTGTCATAACCATCCTATTCCTGGGCTAACTATGTATCAAAATATAGTGCTGGCAGTGTACTTCATATACGAAATTGGATTGATAAGTATCATAAAGCAGCCGAGTTAGCAGGCGTCGTTGTAAGTTACTATTCTACTTGACTACTTCTTTACACGACGCTAATCCTACCAACAGCTCATCCATTCCTGTGGCGCTTTCAGCGCCCCCCAGGACCTCCTCACATGGGCATCTGTTCGGGAACTAGCAAAAAAGTTCTCTATGAAGACCAAGGAGCTAGTTTTATCTGTGGTTAGCATCGCATCGGACCCAAGCGGCGGAACCATCGAGTCGATGATGGAGCGAGGAGCCTTTGGAGCCGAGGTTCTGGAAAAAGCCCAGCAGCCGTGGTACCTGTCCCCAACTATGGGCAAGCAATCATCGAACTCGACGAATTTCTTCGGCATGCGTCACGACTCGTTCCTCGGAGGCCTGTCGGCGAGCGCTATAAACGCTGTGCAGAACAGAGCTGTCATCCATAGGACGTGGGGTCTGTTAGGCGGCGGCAAGGATTACGGGCCAAATTTTCAATACAACGAGTACAAAAAGGCGTCGTCGACACTTGCTGGGGTGTTCCAGATACTTAATACCAGAGCGATAGGGCTACTACTAACCATTCCCCCCTTGAAGGCCATTGCAATGATGTTCTTACCAGTTCCAGGCGAAGGCCCTGATCTGGAGAAAGAAAAAAACTACCGGGTCGAGATGGAAGCAGTCGCGATCGCAGACGTAGATGATGACAAGGCGGCCCCGAAGGTATATTCCCACTTTGCTTATCCAGGGGGTCCATACCATACAACAGGTGCATTCCTCGCCCAAGGGGCGGCTTCGTTGCTCTACGTTAGGAAGTTAGAAGGCGGTGCTGTGGGTGGCTTACTTACTCCTGCTTTTCTGGGAGCGGATCTTATAGAAAGGATTCAGGGAGTTGGAGCGGAGCTTAGCACAAAGATAGTGTAATTTTCAGACGTGTTATATATGTTCCGGCCCAACCGTGAGCTATTCTACCTCATGAGGTGGCCGTCTTGTACGACATAACTCTGACACTCCCAGTAACCCTGAAAATGCAATGGATCGCTAATTCGGATGTGAAGAATTTCGATGCCTTGCGCTGTAGTGGTCACTATCTCGTAGCTCGGATTGACAGCGAGATCAAACGTAAGGGCATTAAAAACGCACTGTTGCAGGTATTTTTTTTCCTGCTTCGTTTGCCGTTTTTATGTTGTTTATATTTCGCTCGCCGAAGTTGAAGGACTTCAGTCGGAGGGGGAGAGAGGGTCAGGAGGGGCGGGTGAGGCCAAACAATAGTCTCCATTACAGCGCCAATATATACGCCAGAAGAGCTGTCAAAGCCAGTGAACCCCCCGGGATCTTGAATGCCCCACTGGTAACCGTGGGCTTGGGTGGCTCGACATGGGTAAGGGTAACATTTCCCCTCCTTGAAGCACACGATACACCACTCTGATCGTACCTAGTCGTGTTCACCAAGCTCTTCGAAAAAGTGTCGCAATCGAGATTCCCAGTCGAATTGACCATAATTGTATTCCTCGTCTCATTTAGAGCGGGGAAATCAAGACTAGAATGCCAGATTAGTCTCATCCGCTCGAAAGCGCGGCAGGGTGCCGCGGGGAGGTGGTAAGACAGCACTCACGTATCGATTTCGCCATAAATTGCTATGCTACTGACATCGACTAGACTTGGAAAAGTAAGGTTGATGGCTGGCCCTCCCGTAAAGTTGAGCAATAGCTTGTTAATATGTCTGAGCTTTGGCAAATTCAAGCTCGTTATCGAAGCCGCATTGTTGATGGTCATGGTATTGGCGATATTAACAAGGTCGGGTAGATCGATGCTAGTAACATTAGTAGGTAATAGGAGGCCGTTATCCTCATAAGTTCCCTCGTAGGTGCCTCTGATCCCAAGACCATATAGTTCAGTCAAGCCGGGCACTTCCAGCGGCCCTGTGTAGTTGTGAGACGTGGTTAGGTGGCCCAATTGTTTACGACAACCAACGGGAACAGGCTCCTTCGTGCTATCGATCATAAACCACCTTGCATTGTAGAGTTTGGTATCACATTCGTATACAGTTTCTGCGCAGCGGACAAACAAGTCCACATCTTCTGTGACATCGAAGTAGAACTCCGCATCTGTAGTTTTAGCAGTATCCTCCAAAGTAGGACCGCACTCCCTATCTGTGTATCCATAAATTAGCCAGGGAAACATCAAAATAGGGTAAACAAGAGGCACGTACTATAGGCAGCAATCGCGGCTGCAAGCCCCACGATAGACAGGCCGACAAGATAGCGGGAGAACATCATCTTTCTAAATCCGTAAGTCGCTCACCGTCTCGAGCGTGATATATTATTGAAGATCCCATACATTTTTGGGTCCCCTCATCTTTATCCCATATTTTAATACTGTTGCCTTGAGACTGTTAACTTATTTAATTTAACATGCCAATTTGGTTGGCCGTAGAGAAGTTGGCATTCCTTATGAAGCTTGGCAAGACTGGGCGTTGGGGACCGCTTGTAGGGGTGAGACGGCTCGTGACAAATTGGAAATTGAAGAACTACACCAATCTCACGATCTTCACCATAGCTTGAACTATCAGTATATATTCAACTATTCTCGAAGAACAATCACATACGACCATAGACTTAAAGAGAATTGGGGTTCATAAGGCTAAATATTGTTAATTTGACCAACTCTTCCACTTGTAGTATAAATTATATATTAATAATATTCATATTAGCATTCTAGATTCTTTAAAAAAAAATCGGGAGCTTTGACTTGATAAACAAGACAGAAAATTTGACTCTATCTACTATGCCCTTACAACGACGGTACCTGTCGACGATGAACTTAAGGTTCCAGCAGCACTGTACAGCATGCAGTTTTGGTAATATCTTGTATCATAGATCACAGCGTGGCAATAGGCGCCCCAGGAATTACACCACGACAAACAATTTTGTAAGTTTGGCTCGTTTGTGGTGGCGAATGTGGTTCCAGACATGGTGGCACTACATGAGACGGTGAAGCTTGCACCACTGTAGACGTTAGCGCCACTGGTGAAGCCCGAAGGGCAATTGACAACAGCCGGGACGGTGACTATGGCGGTGACGGCGGTAGTTGTTGAGACGAGATTTAACTGTGTCGTGGAACTAGTGGTGGTGCTGGGGATGGTGACAGTATTTGTTGCTGCGGTGGTGATGGTACCTGTGGCGACTTGCGAGCACGCCGATGAAATCGATGCTGCTTCCCAATTTGAGATAGACGCTGGTGTAGCGATGGCTCGCTTGGCAACGACGTCGCGCTTGTATGCTGCGGCTGTGATAGTGGCACTGATTTCGTCAGTTTGTGCGTTTAATGGCAAGTAATACACGTTTAGGGAAGAAACGGAGCGGTACATACGTAGTAGTGGTGTGTACAACCACAGTGGATGTTTCTTGTGCAGTAGCAACAACAACTGTGGTTGTATAAGTTGTATCGAATACAGTAGAGGTTGCTGTTGGTGCTGAATACTCGTTATACGAGGTACAGAAATCGCCGCCAACACTCTGAAGGTAATCGATGTCGCTCGGGCACACTGGAAGTCCTGGTGATGCATCGTTGGAATAGGAGAAGCCGTAAGTGACCGTATAGTGATCATCGCCATTCCATTGACCCTTTGGCTAGTTAGCATACGACGGACTTGAAGAGGAAAGACAATCCCCCGCGACTTACATTATTCGTTGCGTATGAGAGGTCCCAGGGTTGGGTGTACATAGCGCAGTATTGCCCCTGAGGAGCGCCATTCTTAGACAACAGATACGTGACAAAAAACTTGCAGATCATAGGTACGCCGTCAGCAGGTGGATGAGCAATGTCAAACTCATTTGTAGAAGCACACGTCTGTGCACAGAGGTTGGGATCGAAGGTGCTTGTTGTATACATCCTGGAGCCCATATAGGTATCATTCCCATTACAATCCAAAGGGGCATTGATGGCATTGTTCCCAAGTGATTGAACCGTGAAGCCCTCAACGGCAGGAGATTCGGTAGTCATGTATCCGTTGGACCCGGCAATGACGACGTGGAAGTCGCTTCTCCATTGTCCAGTGTTGAGGGCGTTCTCCGCAGCAACGTAACCACCCCAGAACGAGCATTTGATAACCGTCGTCGAGGGCGGATCCATGCAACCCGTGCCTGCCTCAACTGAAGGATCGCGTTCGAAGAAGATATTGAAACCGTAGCAACTATCCATTTGAGAGCATTGGGCAGCGCACTGAGACGTGTCGTATGTGTTAAGGGTGGTATATCCCATATACCCATACGCATTGACACTTGCTTGCAGGTTGGTGAAGGTGTTTGTGTATCCAGGAGGGGTTGGAGCACCAGAGGCGCTCGATGCGAAGGAGGCATAGGCAAGGAAAGCCGAATCCGTGTCTGGCGATGGGACAGGTCCTGCTCCCGCCGGCTGTAGGGAGCATGCAGTCCTTCCCACGAGTTTTCGCTTTTCCACAGGCGTGTCAACAATCAGAGGAACTCCAGCTGATTCGGTGGCAGCAGTAAGATCATAGGTGGCTGATTGGGCCGTGGGTCCTATGGCAATCGACGCGGGAGTTGGGTCCGGCGCGGCATCCACGAGCTCGAAGTCAATATCCTGACGAGGGACCAAAGGGGATGCGGCCGCGAGAGCCAAAAGGGCATTGAAAACCACGACAGCCTTCATCTCGGCGGATTTTGGGGTCGAAACTTAGGTGAAATTGAGAAGGACTAGAAAAGGACCGCTCGGGACACGATCGGAATCGATGCGTTCTCTGAAGAATGACTTGATAATTGTCGGTGGACAACAGTGGATAGGAGATTTAGAAGGAGCACCGGATTCCCAAGTTTATATAGAGGCAGGCAGTGCTCTTCGCTTCTCTTCTGGATCCTCGAGGTTCAGAGGAACCCTTCCTCCCAACTGCCGGTCCATTCATTCCTAGGTTCCCCTCGATAGACAAAAGAAAGAACATGATCTCGAGTCTGAGCATTATGTTAACTATTGATTATCTGACGTCCTCAGCTACTGCTGTGGGTCTCACCATGTGCCTGTCCCTGGGTCTCTACCACGTTTATGACAGGTTAAGCAAGTGGGACCTGCTACGAATAAGGCGGCCATCGCTACTCTGGACTAGATGCGGACTATTAACAACGCCAGAGATTTTCGATAGATTGGCCCAAAAGTGGTCGGTGGAGTAGTATCAGACCTTGTGGTAGGGCATAATTCGGGCACTAGTAAATCAACGCATCTTCTAGTTGATGCGAGGATGTTCCCGCTAGCGCGTTTCCCCCACCCTCTATCAGCTCCTATTCTGACGCCGTAATATTGGGAGTCGTTCTACGTGTACAGAGTACGCGTGGACACGTTCTCGTATTTTGGACATCCGCAAGGTCGGCCGTCGGTGAGCTAGCCATACCAGGAGGAGTAAGATAAGCCGAGCTTCCCTAACTTCCCCATGGCATCCACTAGGGTCCGCTTTTCCAGTATTTGCCTATGTCTTCGTCAGGCACAGAGAATGCGCAAATACGGTGGCGCTTAGCTAGAAAGCTTGAGGAGAGCTGAGAGGCCAAATTAGATGCCCCATGCATGTTGCGACCCCATACACTATTGAAAAGCTTAACTCGATCAAGGGCTAGGGTAGCCACGTGGGCCTAGGCCTACCTAGTCCTGCCACAGAGGCAAATAGACGCCTTCCAGCCCAGCCTACCCATGGCCATAATGGTGCGGCGCTCGATAGTGTGCTTGCTCTCCTCTTTTCAACAACCTGGACCACACAGTAGTTGCCTACACGGCCCAGTGATCCCAAGAGTGGCTTACACAGCCAGCCGTAGGCGGAGGAGTGGTACGGGTCGTAGTACATGCAGGGCAACGGGGAAGCCGATGGGTGATTATTGAGCGCCGCCAGCTCCAGAAACTCATTCATCTCGTTTATTGTGATACAGCGCACCGTCCCATTCCCTTCGACCCGTCCCATCCCGCGAGCCAGCCAGCCAGCCAACTAATCCCCCTATAATCATACACCGCCCCTTCCCCAACTACTCCCTCGACGCATAACACGCACTAGCTGCCGAACGCCTTGTTGATCTCCCACCCATCAACCGCCTCCTTGGTAACCCCCGTCTTCTCGATCGCCAGCGGGATCGCCGCCCAGGGCCCAACCCCCATTAGCAGCAGCGCGACGCCAACAACGCTCGCCGTGATGTACTTGCCGAGGACGCGCGGCCCAAGCCGCGCCGCCGTGCTGCGCTTCATTATCAGCAGAATGCCCGCCACGCCGTCGTTGATTTAGCCCGCGTTGCCGCCGTGGATGCTGCCGTCCTTTGCGAACGCAGGCTCGATGCGACTGAGCGACTTGACCGTGATGCCCGCGCGCACGCTGTCGTCCTTTGTCACCGTGATCTGTCTTCGGGTCCTCGTACTGCACTGGCAAGCAATAAAATATAATAGGCTTTTATCGCCTCGTTCCGCCCTTCCCCGCACCTCCATCCTCCGCAACCTCTCTTCCAGCGGTATCTTTAAACCCACTCGACATCTCCAACTCCCCCCTCTGGCATCAAACCTCGTACGTTCCACAGCCGCAACTCCAACCAACCGCAAACTCCTACCGCAAACTCTCACCGTAGACTCCCACCGCAAACTGCCATCGCAAACTGCCACCGCAACTGCGTTTCCCATCTCCGTCATCGATGTCCTACTTCTGCTTTGTAACCATATGCTCATTGTGCTCCTTAGCTGTAAATAACTAGTGCTTCGATATTAGGTAGAACTTATAGCCATCCTTCAGCACGAACGTCTTCTCGTGGATGCAGTTCGTCGAGCAGTGGAGGTAATAAGTAAGGAAAGAAGGCTACTCCATTGCAGAGACATCGAAAGCTTTGCGAAGCTGCTTGTCATATTCTTTCTTATCAGATAACTTGCGTGATATGATCTGAAAGACGTCCTGTGCCCAATAGTACGGCATGACGTTGTCTGGGTCTTCTTCATAGATGCTAATGAGCCGTGGTTGGATGTGATGATAAAATAATTGGAAAAGGCCTGTCGGACTTGACAGCGCAAGTGTAACCAGAATGTCCCCATCTCCCAAGCCTGGTTCATTATGTCCGCCAGTCGCAACCCTCCCTTCCCAATAGTATTACTCCCTGCTAGCAATTCCTCTTCTTCTAAAATCGACATGAACTCAACCCGTACCTTGTTGTATTCGTCTGGTTGTATCTGATCGACGCCTTTGTTTGTAAGCCAGTACGGTGGTTCTACCATTTCAATAGGCCGAGAGCATCCCCATTCCAGGTCTACTAGAGAGGTAATATGCCAGTCTTTATCTACAAAAATGTTGCTCTGGTGCAAATCTGTCAAAGTAAAAACAAACGGCCCTCGCCGTAGCTCCCGCCGCAAGAATAGGGGCATAATCGTACGCATCGCCCCCACGGCTGACATCTGAGATACAGAGTCGTTAATATCATAATTGCATTCGGCTGGCATCGAAGACGATTATCGTGGAAAGCAAGCATATCGACGATGTAGGAATCGACAGTAGTGTAGGTATAGTCTCTTCGAATGTCTGTAGGAATCTCCTCGTTTTCTAATGTCTGAATCTCTATCGAGAGTGGTCTGTTTGTTAACTTCAAAACCCCGTCGTTGTCAATAACAAAGGAGCCAATTCTTGGTAAGGCAACTCGACTAATACTTGGGATAATTCGCGCAAGATCCCGAAAAAGATTGGTCTGTAACCTCGAATCATGTTGCTTTTCTAACCATGAGTTAGAGAGCATCTCTCCTTGTGTTTCCTCGATATACTCGGTCAATAGATAGCCTGCATCTGCAAAACCTAAGCTTCTGATATCGTGTCGGACATATCGTGAAGGGACAGGGTACCCAAGCCACGACAAGAACTGCCGGCGTAAGCGTTGGATATATCTGCGAACGAATGGTAAACTTCCTACCCGTGTAAACTACACATTATCAATATTTGAAATCTCAATAACTAGTTGTCGCTACCTATCGTCTGACTCGTAGACAACGCAAAGCCATATAACTGTGGAATTGACACATCAGGGCAATTTTCGTCTAGCCATGCATATGTGCCCGCCTCACATCGCACCTTCTCGTCTCCGTTGCCTGGCTGAAAGGAGTCTCCAACACGGTATGGTAGTGGGAACCGCAGAAGGAAACGCTTCCCTTGCCACGTTGAAATGCTAATTGGGACACACACGTTGAAGCTGCCATGGAGCCATTCCGACATATCCGCTATATTGCACGCATCGGGAAACTGGAGGCTCAAATGATGAGCGACAACTGCCTACATCAAGTTGCGTTTACTGTTGAGACCATCGAAGAACCTGTCTATTTTGTCACAATATTCAAGCTGATGCAGGACATTGACTTCTCTGTCTTGCGCAACAGAGTATGTAATATCCTCACGAGGAAGACGGCGAGTCCGCAGCGGCATAACTATAAAAGCATACCGATGGCGGTAGAGTTTGAGCTGTTGTGATCATGAATTTGCTATGCGAGCCACAACTCCTATATATACATGTACGCCTTGGTCGGGATAACTAGTCCTCCGCCGGTGGCACGTGTCGTATATATTCGGGTCCTAAGGATGAACTGCTTCAGATGAGGGAGGGGGAGGGTGGACGACCAGACTAGACGGTTGGTTGCATGTTTCCGGCGCGTAGAACGGGAGGATGAGAACGACAATAAGCAAACAATGCCGTATATGCAGCCATTCCACAATAAATTGTCAGAGTGCTTGGGTAAGATAAACTGGTTCATATCCATCCCACCTCTCCCTTCCCCGGAGAGTACTATTGAACTAAACTAGAAAACAACTCCATATTTTGTGCACCACGCGAAAGGTAGTGAACTTTCACTGCCCTAATATACACCCAACATAACGCCATTACTACAATGATGCTGAGCCCTCGCCGCAGATGAGAGAAATCAGAAAGAGATGACACGAGAGTATGATTACTCGCTGTCATCGCTCTCCTCCTTCTTCTCCTTCTTGGACTTCTTCTCTTTCTTTTCCTTCTTCTCCTTCTTCTCCTTCTTGTTCTTCTTCCTCTCGGCCTTCTCCTCCGCAGTCTCGCCCTCGTGCCTCTTCCTCTTCTTGTCGTTGTCATCATCCACGGTCATCATGCTGACATCAGCGTCGACGGTTGGCTCCTCCTCAGCTGGTGCGGCGGCTTGCTCCGATGCGGCAACAGGTGCGCCCTCTAGCGGGGCGTTGAAGTCCTTGTACTCGGTGTTCCACTTGGCGGGGGTGGCCTCGTTGGGGCGACCGTACTTGTCAAGCTTGCCATCGGCCTTCATCTTCTTCTTCTCAAGAGCAACTGGGCCCATGCCCCAGCGGCGTGGGTAAAGGTCGCGCTCCATGATGCAACGCTTGACCTTGGCCACGACACCGTGGTCGCAGGTGGAGAGCTCCACGGTAGACATCTGTGCGATGCCAAGGGCGATGGCCTCACCCTTGGTGGTCATGAGGACAACCTCATCGTGGACCTCAATGCCAGCCTCGTATCTGAGAAGACCCGGAATCATGAGCTTGGCACCGTAGCAGACGGCATTGACAGCGCTGTCCTTGACGACAATGCGCTTGTAGGTGGTGAGAAGAGTCTCGAGCGGCGCAATGACGCGGCGGAGGTAGGACTCATCGCGAGTGTTATCGGACATCCACTGGGCGTCGAGGACATCGTGAAGAGTAACCATGTTAACCTTCTCGTCCATGGCACCGGAGCGCACACGTCTCAGCTCCTGCATGTGAGCACCAACGCCCAAAAGCAGACCCAAGTGCACACAGAGGGTACGGATGTAGGTACCAGCCTCGCAGCTGACCCAGAAGACACCGAGGTGGCGCTCATTGTCGAACTCGTACAGCTTGGACTCGTGGATTGTGCGGATACGGAGTTGACGCTTGACGGCGGAGATGAGAGGAGGGCGCTGGAAGAGGGCACCGGTGAGGGTCTCCAGGGCGCGGGCGAATTGAGCCTCGCCACCTGGCAGTTTGTCGTGGAGACGGATAACGCAAACGTACTCCTTTCCGGCACCTTGCTGGGACTTAACAAGGCGGGTGGCGCGGTCGATACAGACGATCAAGCATCCGGTGACCTTAGGATCGAGGGTTCCGCTGTGTCCAGTTTTCTCGACTCTGCGCAAATTTGTTAGCATCTTTTCGCTAGTAGCACCAACACGCCGTGGCTTCAAAATATGCGTACCTGAGCATGCGCTTCACCCATGCGACAACTTCGTGAGAAGATGGGTTGGAGGGCTTGTCAAGGTTGATGACACCCGAGCTAACATATGACTTGAGATCTCTCTTGAGTGGCGTGCAGCCGTTCGGGATTGGGGTGAAGTGTCCAGTGCGAACGAGAACTGTTCAAACAACTATCAGCATGCAGTTCACATACACAACCACGTATGTTGCGGTCCATTGACCCAAGATCAAACTCACGCTTATCATAATTCTTCAACAACAGCGGCCAAGTGCTGGTATCCACTGCAGGAACGACAGCCTCCGGCTTGATGCTATAATCCACATCCCCTCCTTTCTTTGCCACAGTCATGGCCATTGTAAGACAGTTACCGTGGAGGTTCGAGGTAATTGCCTTGTCGTTTGGTTTGGTGTTGTCGCAACAGGTGTTTCGCAGAAATCAAATTCTCGAAATTCTGGAGCTACCAAGCATCGGGCTAAACTTTTTTCATTTGTGGGTTGGAGCTAGCGCCCGCACACGTGACCAAGTTTAAAACTTCAAAATTTACGCCTCTGTACCCATCTGAGTCCGGCGATAGAGTGCTGTATACAAGTCACAGAAATAAAGAAAACCCGTAGCATAATTATTATCACCGAGTTATTCTGCAATATCAATTATCAAACGTAGTTGTTCAACTTATATTTGCCACTTGCAATCCCTGCTATATACGCGCCCCTCCAAGGCCTCCTTGGTTCTATAGTAGTATAAAAAAATCCCCCGGACTATCTGAGATAGGTCGATTCGAACGCCATCAAATGCTTGCTTGCTTTGTTACAAGAGTTGTATCTCAATCAAATAAACGCCATTCATATGCATCCACCAACTATATCCTCAACGCCTACCCTCCTCCTAATTCTTAGTCCAGTTCAATCACCTCCGGCTCGCGAACAGGACCTCTATTGTTAGGAGGCCCTGTACGTTGAGGCGCAGAAGTAGGAGTCGGTCTAGTGTTCTCGCGTGATGTAGCCGCAGACTCTAAATTCCGAGACGCGCTTCTGCTCCAACTCTCATTATACTTCTTAAACCATTCTTCGCCCTGTGCCATGTCGTCTTTCAACTTCCTACTCCGTCTGAAGAGCTCTTCCATCTCCTCATCCCTTGTCTTCTCCTTCTCCAAGCTCCTCCGTCTGTCTTCCTCCTTCCGCCTCTTCGAGGCGTCCTCGTTCATAATCCTCCTTGCATTTGCCTTGATATCATCCGCCTCTTGCTTGTTGCTGGGGCTCGGCTTCGGCTGCGGATCTGTCCTAAAGCGCTTCGCCGGTGCAGAGAGTGAAAGTTTAGAGATGGAACGTTTTAGCTGCCTGTCCGGCGTGGCTAAACCGCTGCTGACGCTGCTCGCAGCACTTGTCGACATTGACTGCCTCACACTATTGATCAGGCTAGGCCTCATGAGCAGCGCTGCAGAGCTTGCAAGTGGTGACCCATTTGGCATCGTGTGGATTCCGCGGGCTTTGAGACGGAAATAATCCGTTTGGACGTTGTTGGGTTTCGGGCCTTTGTCGTCTTTTGGATTCCAACCGGATGGCATTAGATGAATGCGTGAGCCTCCAACAGACATGTTGAGAGGTGCTTTCTGGCCCACAGATTCTGATTGGGTTCGTTTGTGAGAAGACCTGAGGCTGGGGTCTCTAACGGTGGTGCTGCGAGCCCTATGGTCTGGATCAATGAGTGATTGTAACGATGAAGTTGAATGGCCGAGAGATGACGTCGACCTGCCGAAGCGGCTTTCAGTTCGCGGGCTTCCTGTTGGCGTTGTTGATCTTTGATGCGGCGGTGGCGCCATATCTCCGTGGACGACCTTCCTAATCTTTGCGGCGGAGTTTCGAATGCCACTTAGCACGCCCGTAGATGCCAGCAAATCCTCCTGGGTCTTCCGCTTGTTATTTCTTGAACTCGCCAGAATCCTATTGAAGTCCCCCACTATATTCTCATTTGCCTCTTGCGCTAAAGCTTGGTCTCGCTCAGCCATTAGTTTCCGCTGTTCGCGTGCCTGTCTGCCACGTCTACGCTGCCAGAGTTTTTGCGCATTTGCACGCCAGCGATAGAAGTATTTTACCCCGAGCGAGTACTGCCTAAAGTCGTCAGCCTCAAGCCGGGCTTTCTTCTCTTCTTCAACGACCTCGGCTGCAGCAGATTCAAGCTCTTCATAGTATTCGTCGTATGCGGCCCGACACGCCTTGTCAACTTCGGCAGCTGTGAACTGATCAATAATACCGCCATCACCAAATAAGGCCAGATCCGCCAAATAAGGCGTCAGGTTGGATACGACTGTCTTGCTAGTTGGCGAAGAGTCAACTTTCTTCGCCGCAGTTGCCATTGGTAGGCTTTGCTGCATATCGGCAGCCTTCTTCTCCGTGCTTGATACCGCTGGTTTGGCACGCTTTGTCGATGGCGGCGCAAGCCAATTGTATCGAACTTGCTCCCCAGGAGGTTTCTCCGGAGCTCCTGCTTGTGGAGGGGGAACGTTGCCAATAGCGCCAAATGGAGGCAGGGCAGGTTGATGTTGTGTTACTGGTGGCGCTGGTGGAATATTTACAGCTTGTGTAGCTCCGCTTCCAGCAGTAGGGAAGAAATTTGACGGAGGTTGTAGTGGAGGTGCCGCAGTTGTGGTAGGTTCCGTCGCTGTCGCGGGAGCCTGGCCTGTGGAAATAGAAGGGGTGAACAGTGGTTTTGCTGCTCCCAGACTTTCTTTGATCGCTGGTATGTTTGTTTCGATATTTGAAGCAGGCTGCATGAAAGGCGACGATGTTTCAGGAACCTGAGTGGCAGAGGGGAAGAACGAAGAAGGAGCGGTCGGTACAGGGGCAGGAGGTTGTGCTTCCCCCGTCTTCGGTGCAAATAATGATGTGGTTTGTGTGGGTGCAGCGCCCCCCTGTGAAAGGAATGAAAATGACCCCGGGGCTTGAGTTGTTGCAGCGGGCGGTTTTGCTCCTGGTGATGCCGCTGGTGCGAATATTGACGAAGCGGACGGGGTGCCACCTGCTGCAGTTGGTTTCGTCTGTTGTATTCCCGGAAAGAAGGATGTAGTGGGTGGTTGAGTGACGGGTTGAAGGGCTGCTGGCTGGCTTTGGGCCGCAGTCGGCGCGAAAGAGAAAGGGCTAGGTGCTTCGGTGCCCGGCTGCTTTGAGAATATAGAAGGGGCAGCCCCAATATTGCTGGGTGGCGCGAGGAAAGTTGCAGCTGGCGCGTTGGTTGTTTGAGAAGGGGGGAAGAACGACACCGCGGCTGGCGCTGCGGGTGCACCCCAGCTAAAAGACGGCGCTGCGGCAGGTGTGTTTGACGTAGGCGCGAAAATAGACGGGGTTGTGGTCGGTACTCTGGTTGTCGACTCATCATCGCTATCAATGAAGCCTCCGAGTTTTTTCAGCGGCGCGGCTGGAGTCGGCGCACCAAATATAGGAGCCTTTGCAGCCACTTGGGCTGGAGCACCCCAGATATTCTGCTGTTGGGTCGGTCCCTTTCCAAAGTCCTGAACTGCAGGAGACCCCCAGATATTTTGATTTTGTGCAGGCGCTTTGGCAAATACATTGGATCCATCATCAAACCCGGAGACAAACAGGGAGTTACTGTCATCCACCACTGGAATCTCGGCATCCGCGAAGGCGTTGTGGTATATGCACGCCGGCAATGTTTTCTGGCCACGCTTCGTTTCCACCAATGTTTTCGAGTGAGGCTGCTTGATCTTCGTTTCCGGCTCCGTTAACGAGCTCCCAGAATTGAAATCGAGATAAGGTTCCTCTGGTCCCTCCTTGATATAAAGCCCGTGGCCTTCGATAAATGCTTCCGCGTCGTCGAGCGTGTCGAAGTGGAGATAGGTGTTCAGCGTAGGAAGCGTCCAGTCCGTTGTTTGCTCTCTCTGTTTGCGATATGCCGAGAGTATCGTCATCAGTGCCGTCTTTCTAACACTGTTGAAATGGATCTCTGCAAAACAAGCTGTTGTGTAGGAGACTTCAGGTTGGCGGATAATTTTGAAAAATCGGCTATACATATTCAAGGCGATTTCGCTGGCGGACTGTGGCTTTAAGGGGCCATTGATTTCCCAGATGTTGTGCAGGCATTCCACAAGCGCTGTAGCAGTCTGGATCTCATCGCTGTCCCAAAAATCCTTGCCCCAGTCTTGGACAGCTTCCATCATGGCAGGGTTGCGGGCATGATAGATCACGAAGTACGCCCGAAATTCAGCCTCGTTGTCACACTGGATATTCTGGGATTTGCAGTCTTCGTAGGTGTGTATCAAAGAGAGCAGGGTCCTGCCAAGCTGTTCGATTTCTTGGTGCTCAGAGAAATCGTCCGAAGTATTGAAAGGGTTGGACATCTGATGCAAGGCGATGACATGGAACCTAGCTATCGTCTCCAAACAGTATACCTCATCGATATAATCCGCTGCAGTGAGAGACGCCTGTTGAAATGTGAAGTCGCGACGTATTGAGCGAGTGCGATCCCAAAGGAAGTTGTGGACTGTCGCAAGCCTATTCTCGTCGCCGAGGACATCCTGAATCAGGTAGTCCAAGGTTTTCCTCAGCGCAGAGGGCATGCGGATATCGCTTGGGAGAGGTGCATCCTGGCCTGCAGACGAACGGCCGTAGGCTTTGATCATTTTCTGGGGAGCGGGCCAGAGAGATCCATCGAACGCCAGTTCTTTTTCCAAGTTCTTCACATCGTGTTCCATAATCCGAGTAATCTGCTCGAACCTTGGGCACATCCCATCGCAAGTTCCTTTGAAGTCGATAGCTTCACTGAGCTTCTTTGGCTTGTCCGGATCGTCAATGAGGCCCTTGTTCATCAGCACGGTTCGAACTTTCGCGCGGTATGCCTTGGTGGTGTTCCAGAATCCTTTAATCGCATCCTTCTCACTGGGATCTCCAGGCCGCTCCGTTGGCCAGTCTGGATAAGTCGAAAGTCCATTTTGTTGTAGAGTCTTCTCAATTTTCGCAGTATGGTCGTCCGGATCGGATGCGCTTGTCGTTTGGGATAGCTTGCTCTTGGGAGGCGCTGAACCAGGTTTCTTTGAGATGGTGAATGACTTCTGTGGTTGTGGTGCGTTTTTGTCTTGTGCCGGTGGGCTGGAGAATCGCACAGTTTTGTTTTTGAAAGCTCCTCTTGCTTCTGGGGCGCCTCGGAGGCTTGCGCTGCCACCTCTTGGTTGTCCGCGCTGCGATCGTTTGGCGGCATTCGCATTCCGTTCGGCCTCGAATGAATTCTCGGTGGTCGGCTCGGGGGTAGAATCTGCAGGTAGGTTTGAGTATTTGCATCGGTTTATATGTGCATTTGGCGTGTAACAAGTGAATGGAAGTTTGCGTGGAAGTTCCGCAGGATGATCAACTTTGACCTTTGTTTGGGCGTGATCGGGATCCTTTGGGCAGGTGTTGGACCCCAATGAAACGGGAATGCTTTTCGGGGGAACTTACTGGAGGAGCCCGATGATCGTGCAGCTCCCCTCCCTCGCCCTCTGAAAGATGAACCCCTCGTGCCGGCAGGCGTGCCACGCGACCCGCGGTTTGAAGTGCCGCGCTGCATTGTGTTTATTGTCGCTGGAGCCGCAGTTCAAAGGAGTTCATCGTTCACAGACGATCGGGAAGGGGAGATGTGTCGTCTTGTGCCATTCCTCGATTGTGGGAGGAGAAATAGCGTCGTGTGTGGCGATGGTTGGAGAGTCGTTATCTATTGTTTGGTGATTCAGCTCTTGGAGTCGCATCTTGAGGTTGAGTACCTGATCTGGCGGCGCCAAGATTCTACTGTGCATAATTCTGCCACCGCCCTACAAGCTCCAGTATAGAGCTCTGGTGGCAAAAGTCTCCACCGCCCCAATGGGGATTTATTCTAATTTATATATTGCAATACAGAGTAGTCTGAGTTTTAATCTAATGAATTAAAATATTCTTTGGTTCTAGGCTTCTTCATTTGTCGGAGGGGGGATATTGAAAACTAAAACTCACACCAATATTATATAAACGTCATATTAAATTTACCATAGAATTAAAATAGCTTCTTTCCTTCATGAATTTATATTCTAATTTGAATATGCAAAGTCACCAGCGAGTTACGAAACAAGTCCAAAATCTTATATATTATTACTGTTCCAAAGCTATAGCATTGGAAATATATCCAGCCAGCTCAGCCAACTATATTCATATCCACTCCAAAACACCCTCCGAAGCAAACATCATATTCTGCAACCAACAGCCCAGCAATAGGTATCTTCCCATTCCATCACTTTCCCCTTTTGAATAGCCTCATATGTAACGCCCAGCTAATCGACAACAAAATAGCAAACTTAGTCCATTCAGCCAAGTTATCCACGAGTTCACCCCAGTCCAAAATGACCTACTTCTCTCGACGTTCTCTCCGACTTGGTCTTCTCAAACATTCAAACATTCCATCATACAAGGGTCGCCTTTCAAATACCCCTCCATCTCATCTGGAAGACTGTCATAAAAGCTGTCCGGTAAATATCCATTGTTGGTCGTCTCCGTGGACCATCTGCGAGGCCTCATCCCCCTGCTTCCATAGCCGGAGGCGGACGAGATTATGCTCAATGCCTCTTCAGTAAGGAGGCTGGGTTGTTCAAGCTGTGTATGACTCTGACTTGCATCCACATGATCAAGTCGAGTGACCGCATCGCTTGAGGACTGGCTGAGCTTTCTGGGTTTCTTAGACTGAGGCCGCTGTGAATCGGCGCGAGCTGCTGGCGCTTTCCCAAAAAGGTCTGTAGGCGACACGTCTCGGACCCTCTTGAGTAACGTGCGCGCACGCTTGCGATTTGGTGATGTATATGACGAGACATCTCCATCTTTCACGAACAGTTCCCCAGATTCATTGAGGGCATTGATGATCTGCTGTTTACTTCTCTGTGTTGCCTCTCTGCCGCGATGTTGCCTATGTGAATGCTTACGGGTGTGCTTATCGAGGCTGAAATACACTGACGCTGTGTAGTCGCTCGGTTTCCTAGAGCGGCGCCTTTCGCTTTGGGATTCTTGATGCGACTCATCGGAGTCCGCCTGGGACTGACTTGAGGGGGTCTTTATCATGTCTGTCGGTAATCCATTGCGAGGGACGCATTTGACCGCACTGTAGATATCCCTTCGAGGTATCCACCCTTCAATAGATCGTTCGTAGAGATGTTCGAGCTCACGGCTCATTTCCGAAGGGGTGGTGAACCAGCTATGCGCAATCGCATCATCGGCGGTCATTCGATGGGCGGGGTCAAGCATCAGGAGCTTTGTCAAGAAGTCCTTGGCATGATCGGTGATGCTTTCAAGATTCGGGAAAAGTCGGTCAAGCCTCGCCGTAATATCCTCCTGGCTGATATGTTTCATCTCGAGGTATGAAGCAAGCGATTCCCCAGTCAACAAGCAGAATGTCACGATACCGAGAGACCACATATCTACAGCCTTGGTATACGATGTACCATCTAACCTCCCGATACGAAGGACTTCCCTGGCTGGTGTTAGCATTGAGTTGTGCTTTATGCAGGAACACGTACGGTGCAACATAATCAAAGGTTCCGACCAAAGATCCCATTCTTTTCATCACGCGCAAGTTTGCTGCACAGCCAAAGTCGGTTAAGACAACAGGATACCCAACTGCCGTGTTCATCATCAGGATATTCTCGGGTTTGATGTCACGGTGTACAATCCCAACCGAATGGAGATACTGTACAGCGAGGATAAGTTGCCTTACAATGACCCGGGTATCTAGGTCCGATAGATGCCCACCGTTTGCCGATACGAACGAGCAAAGATCTCCACCCGGAGCAAGTTCCATGAATAAATACCTAATGATCAGTTTATGATGCACCGACAAATCTTGGAAACTTACAAATTATCGGCAGAGCGAGAAGCTTTTCTGATGGATACAATGTTCGGCTACAATGGTTAGCCGTTGCCATAGACTAGGTGGAATTTCGCATACGTGGTTCACCCTCATGAGAATCTCTACCTCACGTTTGAGCCTTTGACTTTCTAGTCTCATTGTCCCCTCTCGTGCCTGGCCATCTTCCAAGAAAACTGTTGCCGCCCGGAGGCTGACTACTTTGCATGCAAGCTGTCTTCTCGTTGCTACTTCCGTCGCCAGGTATACCTTGCCACAAATACCACTTCCAAGAAGTCGATCGCTGATGGAATACCGCTTCGCGAACGACTGTGATAAAGTTAGATAACGAATAAAAGGTCCCTATATAAACCTACCGCCGTCTGTTCCAACTGAATCGGGTCCATTTCTTCTCTCCGTCTGTTGATGGGCTGTTTGAATTTGAAACTGAAGTCAGGCTTCAGGTTTATTTTATCGCCATCGCTGAGGAGGAAGGGCCGGCTCGTCTTGCCGTTTCTCCCAATGAGATATCTGTTCACGTAAGTCCCATTTATAGACTTTGAATCCTCGCAATAGAACATCGACTCTATCCCGCCGGCATCTTCATATTGAATGCCGTAAATGCGGAAGTGATTCTTCGAGATCAGTCCTGAGTCGATGTTCAAGCAGTTGCGCTCGTTCACGAAAGTGCCGAGAGTATGGGAAGGTGACTGGTCATCAGGTGTGCGATTCACGGTGAACTCTTTGCCAGGATGTAACTGTATATTGATTGCTAGAGATATCAGATAGAGAATATGTCAAGTGGAGTAGAACGCCTACTCTGGTCAGGGCTACCATCGTCCTTTTTCGTGCGGAACACGAGGGTGGCAGCCATTGTGCTGGACGTAAGTAATGAAACTGAGGATGGGCTGATGGAATGGAAACGAGGGGTTTCAGGCCATATATGGAAATGGCAGAAAGGTGGAAAAGGGACCAACAGGACCAGTGTTGTGTGTATTGGTGGTTTAGTGGGTGGTACGGCTGGGGGGATTACGAGAATGAGAAGGAAAGGACAGAAATGGAAAGGGACGATGACCTATAACACGTACGATAGATAGAGAAACAATTTAATACTCCCTTATTGGTACAAACTGAGGATGGCTCATATGAATGGCTGATCTTGGTAGCAAGCTGCCACTTTCCATGGTTGTCGGGAACCATGGAGACGCTACGAATGTCAAAGCTCGAGACGAACGACGCTACGGAAAGCTAAAATAAAGTGGGGACAAGCGGCTTTACCACAACCACATACATCAGCACTCTAACTGCTAAAATGTCTATATGAGCTCGTACGATGGAAAAATATCATATTATTACAATGTTAATGTGCGGTTACTGTAAGTCTAATCTAAATACACAGTTACTGAAAGTCTGGTCTATAAATATAGTTGCTATTAACGGTTGCTACGAGTAGAGACACTGTGAAAGTATTAGAGTCTATTAGAGTGTATTAGTTATTGTATGTCACGTGCCTTATGATAATCACTCTAGTAGCTTATATAAAGGAAGGAATGGAATATGTTAAATCATAGTATTAGTGACGGAAAGCTTCATTTGTAGGCATAGTGACCGAAGGCCCCATCTATACGCACAGTTACTGTTAACTCCCACTCCCCGTATAGACGCTATAACGAGCTTTACGGATGTATGACATCGTCATGACATATTTTTACCACGTGATCGGTAAATGGCATATTCAAACTCTGGAACTGTAAATGAGTTTATGTAAAAAAGTATTATGATATGACAATTAGAGCCTACAGTTACTATCAATCCCTACATGTAGATACAGTGGCCATTGTCCGCTACTTCTCGTACAGATGCTGTCGAGTCTGACAGCTGGAACAGCCCATTATGACATCGTATATCACGTGACGCAACCACCGTAGGGCAAGACCTATCGCTTGTCAATTCGGCGCTAGCGAGACACTCAATTATCAACCCTCGCTTCTCACCACAACATCTTCCCTCCTTCACCATCAACTTCACCAGCACAAGTCTAACAAGAGTATGTTATACAACTTCCAATTGCTTCATTTACAATGCTAACAGCCTATAGTGAGAGCTAAGTGGAGAAAGAAGCGCACTCGGCGCTTGAAGCGTAAGCGCCGCAAGACTCGTGCCAGATCGTGAGTTTCCCACTGATTATAGCTCTGGACAAGCTTCTAACAACCTCTGCAGCAAGTAAACAATTCGCTCCTACTCGATCTCAGACTCAGCTACCAGCGAGTTCGCCCACGATGACAAGATGATCTGAAAGTTTCGCCATCTCCCGCATCGACATCGAAATCCTATTCCAGCATTCCAGCAACAACCGTTTGGGCAATTTGTGCAATTGGGGGCAGGGTGTTCTAGGACAAGACAGATTGATGACGCGTACTATCAGCATGTGGTGGAAGGACCGGTGGAAGAATGGATCTGGTCAAACTCATTGTCGAGTACAAGCCGATGTTTATAAACATACTTGAGTTGTGGTGACAAGGCTGCCGATTACGATGCTGGAACCCATTAAACTTCAAACATGCTACAAAACCAATGAAATAAGAAGTTCTACTTCAAAATCTGAATCCAATTGCAAGTGACATAATTGTATTCGAATTGCTTCAGCTGTAAATGCGGCGCTGTTGGGCGACACGTCATGATTCGGTCATGGAATGATCATAAACACAGCGAAAATAGCAGCGAACATAACAGCGAAAATATAATTTCTGGCCCTTCAATTAAATCAGTCGCAAATATATAGCTGAATCTATGTCTGAATGAGCATTTCATAACTCCGTAAAGTTGCATTTCTCGTTCAATTCCTTCTCGTCAGTAAACTGCATTTGTGTGTGATCGGAGGGTCTATGGTCGTGTGGGGAAGCCCGCCAACCAAGCTTGCTTCACCGCCCTGGCACAAAAAAAAGTTGAACCCCATATCGCAGTGCAAAGGTCACGACAAGGCTGTTCTCGAGTACATTTCCGCAACACAAGACACCATGTCGGAACCTACCAAGAAACGCAAGAGAAATGCAGATGGCTCACAGAAGTCGAGCAAAAAAGTCGCTGTGGAAACTCCTGGGGCGTCTGAAGTCACGGTAACCGTCGTCCAGAATACCGACGATTGGGCGCCTATCGTAGGTATGTAAAGATTATTTTCTCCCTCGTCGCCGTGCAAATTGGCGGCTCCTCATACTATCATTACACTGAATAATGCTTACAATATTTAGCTTCTACTCCTGGCCTCGCTTTCGACAAGTCGTTGTCCCTCAAACCATACACCAAGCGCCGCAGCAATGCCCCTCAACGGCCAGGCCAGAGCGGATCGATAGCCACCAATGAACTCTTAATTGAGTCTTCAGAGCACCCAGCGATTGATTATGTTGGTAGGGAGGAAGAGGCGGGCGGCACAGACAGTTTATTAAAGCACTACATCGGTGTCTATGACCCAGCGACGGGTGGCCTGCAGGTTATCGAGTCGAGGAAAATGACTGTGAGAGGGATTGTAAGAGCACAGAATGCTGCACCAGAAGCATTTGCGGAGAAGGGAGACTACAAGGTATGTTACTTTGCGATACTACGCTATATGCAAATACTAACAAAAATAGAATATGAGAGAATTGCGAAACGACCTCGGCCAAACATTCGGAACGAAGAAGTCGAAGAAGGCTATTGCATCTCTTACCGAGAACGCCATCTCCAAGCCCAGAACAGCTGCTGAGCTCGCCAACACCGAGCCAGTCAAGCACGATGCCGTCACCGCAGCCATGCTCCGCAACATGGCCGAAGTCACATCCGGGATGGCCACGACCGAAGAACTTCAGACCGTAGTCGACGAGTCGAAACCCCGCCCCCGCGCGAACCTCGCCGCCGAGAGCCCCAAGGACGTCTACACGATCGACGACCTCGTCGGCTCAGAGATCATGAAAGTGATCCCCGTCAAAGAATGGCAAGACGCCGTCAAAGCCAAGGAGCAAATCATCACCAGCTCCAAATTCGTCTCCGACCGCATCCTCCTCGCCTCCTCCAGCGTCCCCAAACTAAAAGTTCTCCGCTACCTCCTCACCATCCTCGAGTTCTACGGCGCCACCATCCCGCGCCGGGGCGTGCGCGCGCTCCCCAAGAAGGACGAGCTTCGCAAGGCCATGCCGGGTATTCCGGAGGCCGTGGCGGGCAACATTCAGCGCAAGTTCTCGGATCACGGCATGATGTCAAAGTTCCAGATGGATCTGCTGATCACGAATGTGTGTGCCCTGGCGCTGATCGTGGATAACTTCGAGGTCGACGTGTATGACCTGCGCGAGGACCTGAAACTGGAGGGGAAGCAGATGCAGACGTACTTTTCGGAGATTGGGGCGCGGATCATGGCGGCGAATGAGGGCGAGAAGAAGAGGTTGGGGTTGGACAAGGCGGCTGCTATGCAGCACAAGTTTGCGAGGTTGCGGCTGCCGTTGGAGTTCCCGAAGGCGAAGTTTGCGAGGAAGTAGGGGATGTTGTGTTTGGGCGTACGGTACTGAGTTTGGGAGTGGTAGTATCATTAGGTGTAGCTTTACATACAATTCATATTGTTGGTGTTACACCTCATGAAGCAGTTAGCGCTTTGTGCTGGTATCACAGTTTCATCTGCCAACCGCTCGTTAAACTACCCATAAGAAAGCTAGAGGCTTTATTGACTTCACCACAATCTCATGTCATCAAAATGGAAACAAGTACGATTGATTGAGCCCGCTCATTGTGGGCGAAGAGACATCAGATTGCCTAGCAACCTTTTATTCGCTCTCCACTATGTAAGCAACGCTTTTCCCCCCTATATGTGGCGAGCATGATTGCCACCAGAAAAATCATACAAGGACGCCTGGCCGCTCATAATGCCATCCATGTCCCAATCCGAAGCTAAATCCATTATATATACATACACATCATACAACCCCTCCTCAACAGTGGTCATTATATATACACACACATCATACAACCCCTCCTCAACAGTGGTCATTATATATACACACACATCATACAACCCCTCCTCAACAGTGGTCATAGCTGCTATACCCCCCTCCATCCGTCCACTCCGTCAAGCGCGTCATGAGTATCGGATCAATATCACGATTCGACTTCATAAACACTGTCTCATACGGATGCACATTCGTACCATAATACTTCCCATTCCACAACGCATCACCATTCCCGCCCTTATCACAGTCCTGTACAAACGTCTTCTTAGCATGGAACGCAGACATCATGACTGACGCCTCGTAGCCCGCTGACAGGATGATCTGGGTAGCGTAGATCTCGGCGTGCACGGCTGTCTCCCAGGTGTGGAAGCAGGAGTTGATGCCGACTTCTTGTTTGTCGGCTGGGAGCTTGGGGTCCGCGGGGGGGTGGAGGAGGAGCTCGATGCCCGTGCGGTCGGTGGCCCAGATCATGGATTGGACGTGGAAGATGGGTTGGCAGTTTCCTGTCATGCCGACGAGCTGGATGGTGTTAGTGAGACTCTTTCGTTAGGTAAGGATGAGTAGCTGCATGTGCTGGCAGGAACCAAGTTCTGGATAGTGAGGTAAGGGAGAAAAGTAGATAGCAGTTAACGAACCTTGACTTTATCTGTAATTTTCCCCAGATACATGTCGCTCCAGCATCCCGACGCCCACGCAGGCAAGAACGGTCCACGAATACTAGCGTTCATAAGGATATACCTCTGATACGCCTTGTAGAAATCGTCCGTTGTGAGAACCTCCGCGTATGCGCCAAGATCGTAGCAATCATTCTCGCGCTGCACGATTCGTATATTCGACTTATTGGGGATGAGAGCAGTAGCGCTAGACTTGCCATTCATGACAAACACAAAGTCGGCATTCTGGTGGAGGCCATGCGCCAGGAAGAAAATTAGGTTTGTGCGGGCATTCGGGGTTTCGCTATAGGCGTAGAGAATTAGGGGTCTATCGGTGGGAGAGGCTGATGGACCCTTCGCGGATGTAGGTTGTGGTGTCGCAGCTTTGGTGGAAGCAGCTGCGGCTTCTTTTGCCTTTGCTGACTCTTCAACAGCAGCTTCCTTCTTCGAGTCTGGTACTGCGACATGCGCTCCTCCGCCTTGGATGTTTGAGGCCTCCGAGGGCAACGGCGGTTTGGGTATAGAGGGGTTGACCTTCGGGGCCTCTTTTGCTACTGCTGGTACCGGACTGGCAGGTTGTAACTGCTCCATCGTTAGCTTTTGCATTCTGTATATCGGGTAGGCAAGTGCTCGTACATGGCTCACTGCGGGTGGTTGCAGAAATTTGACCGTCCATATCAGAAACAGCACCGTCAGGGCAATGGCCCACGCCGTCCTGCCATTATAGTTGATGGCCGCCATCTCCCCTCTCTCCAAGGCCCACGCCAACGATCAAATACACAAATTACTTCCTAGCCGGCTGTCATCGCAAACACCCTCAGAATAATTACCGGGGTATCGCTGGTGATCGTGTATACAGCGTGAATCGTAGGTGGTTTTACGAGTAGAGGCCTGAAGGATCCATGAGGTACGTACAGTCCATTTGGGAGAATCCTTGCATTTACAGATTTGTATTAGCGGGTCTGGGCAACCAAATCGCCTGTCCCCAAGGGCACAGCGCGCCGTACATCCTGCCCTGATTCACCCTGTTACACTGCGACAGGTCTCACACCGGCGGCAATTTATCCAGAGAAATTGTAACTCTATGCACTGGCCTGAGTAGTACTCACACAGACTCACGGCAGTCGTGCTCACCGACATTCTCAATCGAGCGTGCCGCAGCCACCGCCGGAGCCACAGATGAGAAAGTAGCGATGGATGTCTCCGCTCCGGGCGGTTGGGGGCCATAGACCAACATCCCCAGGCCCAATCGCCGGCCCGCCCACTAAACAAACGGGTGTTGTGCCTCGTCCCGTCGCTTTCGTGCGCCTCATGGGCCCTCATTGGGGGCCGCCGTCATCTCATCACTATCACACACTATCACTATTGTGTGAATGCCCCATGGTTGACGGTGATCGAGGCCGCCAAGCTTTCAGCCAAGCCAATCGCGCGGCGGGATTGCCATCGGGCAACTCGCACCGATGGTCCCCTGCATGAGAAAGAAGTGTGATGAGGGATGGGACTGGCTAATGCGCGTTGGTTGTCGCGGGGTGACCGTTCTGGTGGATATTATATTGATCGAATCTTGTGGGAGGGTTCCTGTTTACGCTACCGCGTTGGTGTTGCACTTGTGCGAGACGGATGTGTGGCTTTTGGGGGGCGGGGAGGGGAGGGGAGGGAGTTCCTAGGTAGGTGATGGGATGGGAGGTATATAGAACTTCTTCTGTCTCCATGGTGTCTGTCTTACGTTTCTTGATGCTCAAGGTAATGGCATACTGTCCCATCTCTTGCTGGTCAAGATAGACGTTGAGCTACCAGTCCCGCTCGTTACTGGACCAGCACCGTATACCCACTCCATACCACTCATACCATCGTTACTATTTGCGAGAAGATACCCATTTGATATTTTAGCCATGCGTCTTTTAATTCCGTCGACGGCGATAGTGGCAGCTGGATTCGTCGGACAGAGCGCTGCCATACGAACAGTCCCAACGTCGCCGTGTGCGTCGCTATGCGGGGATGTCACGTCGACGACGGGCTCTGAGATCCTCTGCGCCGAAGCAGATTTGAATACGGCCAAAGGTCAGGAATTCTCGAAATGCATATCATGCCAAATGACAAGCACTGCGATGGACTCCAAAACGGGAGATACAGACCTGAAATGGGTACTCTGTAAGCTTCTTTCTATCACTCTCTCATGTAGATGTGTCAGTGCTGACTTGCGATTTTGAAGATAACATTCGGTATGCCATGAGTAGTTGTATGTGGGGTTTTCCAGGCAACTCGACCGTGCAGAATTCAGTGAGCTTTATTGCCCAACCTTGAATCTCATACTGCATATACTGATCGTTTGTTAGCCGTGCCTCACAAGTCGGGCATGTGAGCCTTTCCAGAGTAGTCTCCAATACGAAGGCCTGTCTCCCAATATTACCACATACGATTACTGCCCGAGCATTCCTCCGACGGCTTCAGTGGATAAATGCAAGGATTGTATCCGACAAGGCGACCAAACATACCTATCAAATTGTAAGCCTGACCCTTGGAGACGACAAAGATACAATACTAACCACGCATTAGACTTCATCACTATCCTCGCAGGCTGTGCTAACCAAAATGGCGCCCCCCTCCCCCTGCAAAAAGACCTCTTTGGCGGAGACTACGTCGACCTCACGGACTTTACGAGCCATGGCGACTCTAAACCCACATCCAACGCCCCAACCATGTCCCTCGGAACCCGCATCGGCATCGCCATTGCCGGAATCTGTGTCCTGCTCGCTATAATCGGAACCACGATCGTCTGCTGCGGTAAGCGACGCCGCCGCGCCCGAATCGCCGAACGCCAGCGCCGCGCAGAGGAGTACACCGGCTTCGGCTCGACGAATCGCGTGCTGCCCGCGCCGCGCGTGACCACAAAGTGGGAGTCGAACATGAGCGGCGTTCAGGAAGAGAGTCCCATGTCCGCTAACGCGTATCTGAATGACAAGAACGGCTTCTCGCCGTACTCGAGTCAGTATAACAGCCCCGTCAGCGCGAGGGACGCGGTAGCGCCCCAGCAGTGGGAGTGGCCGCAGCAGCATGGGTATGAGATGGAGAAGGTTTCGAGTGTGGTGACGCCGGTCGATAAGGAGCAGGAGGATCAGAGGCTGCACAATGAATGGGCGATGGAGGCGGCGACGAGAGGGTTCACGGTTTCGTCGTCGATGGGTATGCCGCCGCCACCACCGAGGGCAAGGCAGTAGGAGATGTCGAGAGAGATGAGGGTTTTATGTTGGATATGGAAATGGTTTTTCCTGCTGGAGGCTGGGGTTTTTTGGGAGACCGGGGGTCATTTTATGATTTGTTTCATAAAGCAGTAATGGGTGTGGAGGATTCAGCCACTCAGGCTCGTAGGAATCGTCAGTAGTAAACGCTGTGCCATTATTATCCAGAAAAGTTCTCATTGACTTCAGTGATCTTCGCTTTTCCTGGTCTATAGTTTGAAGTTGATGAAGTCTTCATTGACTTCAGTGATCACCTGTTACCGGACCTGTGATGTGAAGTCAACAATGCTCTCATTGGCTTCAGTGATCATCGCTTTCCCTGGTCTATAATAGGAAGTCAATGAAAACCACCAACACCACGAGCAACGTGGCAAAGCTAATAGGACCAGAACGTGGAAAACCAACAAGACCAAAACTTGGTAAAACCAACAAGCCCGAAAAGAAAGTGAATACGAATCGAAATATACTACCTGTTGTTGTACAGCTGGCAATTCCAACCGTGACACGAATACCCGCGTCAAATAGAAAGAGACCAACAGAACACTTACTCCATTCCTTCTCGGCGCGCTTATGCCACGAGGAGCCCAACAACCTCAGTATTGTGGCATCCACTAGCCGCCAGCCAGGCAACTTCCAATTTCACGAAGGGGTTCCCGGAAGCGCCCTTAGCCTAGCAATAAACTCGGGTGGAGTTCATCGTTCATTGGTAATGTTGATCCTGGAAGTTGGCAGGTCCAAGGCTTACTCTGCACAGCATCACCCCATTCACGTGAGTCCTGATTTGATATTGGACAATTGTCTCCGCTGAAGAGCGTTTACAGGTCTGAGGTCGTGGACGAATGAGAGCGTGTAGATGATCGTGGAGCTGGGTTGAGCGCTTATGATGTGAAGTGAGTGGCTTCGCTTAGGATCGTGGGCGGGCAGCTGCTTATCTGGTGCGTGTGGGGACGGATGTGGTATGTAGGTCGAACTTTCCGTTTGGAAGGAACAAAGAACACGAAATTGAGCAATGAGACAGTTGTGAAGTTATGATTTACTGGAAGACAGACAGGTTGAAGAGGAGGATTAGAATGTTGACTTCATATGCATCCTCCATCTCAAGCGGTGAAGAACTATGCTACAGCTCTCATCATCATAAACACCACCACAGCAACATGACAGGAGGAGGCCTGTCGCTGACCCCATCCGCACGCTAGGGCGCTACATCTGCGGCCCACGGCGCCTATATCCAGGCCAATGCATATGGCCTCCTCTATTGGAGGTGGCGTATCCCACGAAACAATAACGAGGGCTAAATCGCTTTCCTTCCAGCCTTCGACGGGGACTAGACCAGCCGTCTCCATATCCAGCACAAAGACGCCTCGCTGGACAACGACCTGCCAATGGGAGACCGTGACGGGGGCCCTCACATAAGGTAGGTTGTGTGGATGTTGCTCGTGGGCCTGCGGGTAGCCCTGGGACAGCGTGGTAGGTGCGTGAGCTAAGATATAGTCTGTAGCTCTGCTGTTTTCCTTTGGCTTTGTTTCCCTTTGCATACTTGATGGCTTTGAGGCATTGAGGTTCCCTTTCTTCGAGAGCCGTGTAGGATCACTGGTGTTGGGACTTCCATTGAAAGAACTAGCTTTCTTTCCCTCTTCTACTGCTTCGTTTCTCATCTCTTCTCACGAGGACGACGCCGGCAACGATTGTCAGCCCCCGCTGTACTGGCTGCAGTTTCCGTTCGACTGATTGCTTTGCCTGGAGCCTCATATGAACCTCGCCCTATCTCTTTGCTGAGATGGCTTTGCCATTCTTTAGGACCAGATTCATACTTCTTCTCCTCACCGTTACCCTCGCATCTGCCCTACGAGTAACGCCCAACTCGCCATGCACTACCGTGTGTGTCAATGGCGGCTCCACATTAGACCAATCGCTTTCAGGGACACACGAGGGAGACATCGTATGCAATGACGAAGACTACACTTCCAAGAAGGGACAGCAGTTCGAGGAATGCCTGAATTGTCTGCAAGGAAGCAGCTTCGGCACCGATGCTGAAAATGACCAAATGTGGTTCATCTATAATTTGAGATTCGCCTCGGACTGTGAGTACAGAAATATCTCTATTCTCTCCATTTACTAATTTGGGACAGGGTGCCTTTTTGGAACCAACAACGCTGAGACATTGAGCGGCCCTTGCATGGTCGATACGACGTGTAACCCGCTTTCCAAATCACTCAGTGCAGGGAATGAAAGTATAGAGGCAGGAGATATCTTCGATTACTGTGCTGCGGACAGCCAGAGCTTTGTACATCGGAAGCCGGTCTGCTACACATGCCTGAAGCACATGGTGGGCAATATCTATGTGACAAACTGTTAGTAGTGCATTCAAAATCGCCTCCATTTTGCAAAACTGACAATATTAGTTCTCACTGCTCTCGAAGCTGGTTGCAACCAACACCCATCACAATCATCACTCATCGGCCTCGATGGGTCCGTCTTCTCAGGATTCCCTGTCAACATCACCTCGACCCCCTTCAACCCCGTCAAAGAAACTCCCACTTCCTCAAATGGCCTTAGCACAGGCGCCAAAGCTGGCATTGCAGTTGCTTGTGTGCTTGTCGCTCTGATCATTGCCGCCGCCACGTTTATCTACTGCTTTAAATGGCGCCGTGTCCGCAATTCTCCCAAATTAAATACCCATTACGACCCACGCTATGGCTCGAGCAGCATCAGCCCTCCTACAGACGGCGCCTACTCGTACAAATCAGAACCTATTCCGGCACCGTACTCGAATTATAAAGCCGAGCCTGTCTCTGAAGACTGGAATGGTCACAGTATCACTTTAGACGGTATTAACCGCAGTGCAAGCCCACCAGCCAGCGCCTACACAAAGTTCTCGAGTATATCATCTGGCCGATCAAGTTTAGTTGGGTCGCCAGAACCACTGACTCAAGCCGCTGCACCCGTTGGCATGCGTGCTATCACCCCACTGCCAACACAGGCACCAGCACCACCACAGGCCCCAGCAGGCCCTCCAAACCCTCTCCGCATGAACTCCGTCATCGCACCCACCCAACGACCCTCAGCACCAACTCAACCCACACAAGCGCCCTACAACCCCCGCTCCTCATCCTCCACCTACATGCACTTCAACCGCCCCGGCCGCGCCTCCTCCATTCTCTCCACATCAACCACCTTCTCCCCTCCCTCCGCCACCTCCCCACCGTCCTACCCAACAGCCCTCCACAACCACCGACCCCCCATCCCCCTCCCCACCTACAACCCCCGTGACTACGCCCCCCGTGACTACGCCCCCCGCGACTACGCCCCCCGCCTCGCACCGCCCCCCACCCAACCCCTCCCCCAACCCCCCCTCCAACGCCTCGACAAACAAACCGTCCCCATCATCGCCATGCCCATCCCCGCACCGCGCCGTGACACAATGGATATGCGCTCCTTCATCGGCCTCGGCATCTCTACTTCGAGCCCTAACACCGTTCCTGTCCCAGCATCGGTGCCCATCAGCGCTGTGCAATCTGATGGACCCGTGCCGTTATCCCGCAACGCGAGTCTGCGGGAGCTGGCGGCGAAGTTGTTGCCGCGTGCTGGGAATGGGGAGGAAGGGGAGAAGGCTGAGGAGGGCGTGAGGCAGGATAGGGGGAGGAGGAGGAGTGGGAGTCGGCCGAGGAGGGAGAGGAGTGAGTCGAGGACGAGGTTACGTGATGGGGGGTTTGAGGGGGAGAGGAGGCAGTTTGAGTTTAGAGGGCAGGATGCTGTGGGGAGGGAGACGGTCAGTCCGTTGAGTGCGGCGGAGAGTGTGGAGCAGTGGCCGGGGAAGATGTGATGATTGGGTTGTTAGGGTGGTTAGGTTTTGTACTTATGGCGTTTTGGGGGCTTGGATTGGGCATTGTAGATTTGAAAATTGGGGAGGGATGGAGGAAGTAATATGGCCCTTCCGTAGCTGGAATTGATTGCCCTTTGGGGGTTTATGACGTTTGCTGGTTACAATGTGAAGTCAGGGTATCATATGCAATGTGGGACAGAGAGTAGACCGTAAAGGTGCATTTCATGTGGTTGGTCTGAAAGAGAATGAACATAGCTGCAGACAACACAACAGCTCAGGTGCCGAAACTTTGCCATCTCCACGCAATGCTCAACGGGTACAGCAGAACAAATCAGTAAACATCTACTACCGTTAGTAAAGGCCAATTGTTGTTGTCAGTCAACCCACCTCATAATTTATCTCATTGGTATTAACCTCTTGGCTTCTTGGGTTTCTTGAACGGTATAAAATGTGCGATCCTTTTCTGTTTGTTGCTTTTCCGTGCTGTATCTCGCTCCTGTAGGGCTTTCTCGTGTGTGTTGCATCTACCCTTAAGCGGCCTCGTCTGGCAACTTCTCTTCTGCCACTTTCTCTCCAACGTCTTTCTCTCCAACGTCTTTCTCTCCAACATCTTTCTCTCCAACTTCTTTCTCTTCAACTTCATTCTCTCTAATGTCTTTCTCTTCGGCCACCTTGGTCGCTTCCTTCTCTGGAAGTAGCGCCTTGAATTCCCTCCTATTACGATACTCGACAGGACCAAGCGTGTAGTCTCGAAGAAAAGGCGGCTGCACTTCATATCCGTTCAACTTATGCAACTGGCCTACTGTGAAATTGATCGTCTGGTCGAGGTAGCGTGCCCTTTCAAACTGAACCACCACACCATGCTTGCCAAGCCTCACTGAGTAAACAGGGAGCTTGTTGTTCTCTGCCTCGTGAGCGGTGAGAAAGTCATAGGCATCGTGGTGAGCATCGAGGACAGCAAATGCGTGTCTAACTCTAATCTCGACTGACAGGAGGTTCAAGTCCACTGGTACATCAGTGTCGAAAGCGGGATCCTTGAAAACGATAGGAAGGGCCTCATTGATATGGCCGCGGAATTCTTGGATCCTGTCACCACTTTGGAGCAATTTTGTGTAAATGGAGATGAGTACGCGAATGGGCTTATCGCGGGGCAGAGGCTTCATGTCATCGTCTTCCTCCTGGACATTGTCCTTCTCCTGGACATTGGCTTCTTTCTGGACATTGAAATCCTCCTGGACATTGTCCTTCTCCTGGACATTAGCTTTGTCCTTCACATTGGAATCCTCCTGGACATTGAAATCATCCTGCACATTGTCCATCTCCTGGACATTGGCTTTGTCCTTCACACCGGTATTCTCCTGGATATTAGAATCCTCTTGGACATTGGAATCCTCCTGGACATTGAAATCCTCCTGGACATTGGAATCTTCCTGCATATTGTCCTTCTCCTCGACATTGGCATCCTCGACATTGGCATCCTTCTGCACATTGTCCTTCCCCTGGACATTGCCTTTGTCCTTCACATTGGCATTCTCCTGCACGTTGACTTTCTCCTGCACATTGGCATCTTCCTGCCCTTTAGCATCCTCCTGCACATTGGCTTTCTCCTTCACGTTGGTATCCTCCTTCACGTTGGTAATTAGCGTAATTACTCCAAATGCTGCTTTGATTAACATACCATGTTGTCAGCACCACGGCGAGTTTATCGGAGGCTTGGATACACGCGTGAGGGAAGGAACGATCGAGTTGCGTCATAACAAACTGAAGTTGGGTGAAGTTCAAAATATAAACAAGGCAACCACCAAGGTCGCAGCTTCCTCTGGACGACCTTCTCCGCTTTTAATACCAGAGAGTGAATTTATTCATCTGGTTAATAGCTCTGAATACGAGCACATTAATCCCAGATGTATTAATACAACACTGTTATAGCTGTGGCCAAGAGCTTCCAAGATGTTCTTTCAAACATGCTATTGTGATTATGAGGTTGACATGACCCTTTGTGCGTTCCTTTTTTGTAGGCATTATGTGGTTGTGATGGACACATTTGTCTTGCATTCTTTGTCTGCTAATGAATGATATATATCCACCACTAGGGAGAAGGCTCCTCCCGTATCCAGGAGGAAAGTCGTCTGCACATAATTACTAATGGCATACACAATTGCCCAGTTCCAATCAACAAACTCCCATCCTCGCATGGCCTATAAAATGCACCCGCTATACGCCCAGAACACTCGACCTCCGCCACCATTCTACCCTCGGTCCTTACATACTCCCTGGCCACTGCTCGACATCACTTTCGGGCGACCTCTCATCCCACGTCTTCGCCGGCCTCCTCTTCGGCGCTGCCCCAAGCTTCAGACTCGGAAGCGTAATCCTGTTCATCCTCGTCTTGCTCTGCGGATGGGATGCCTGCGTGCCCTGGATGCCAAAGAGTCGCTGCATGGACTGGCGAGGCTGTTGCTGCTGCTGTTGGTCCACCGGGGGCAGAATTATGCTCTGTACCGGCTGTGGGAACTGCGGGAACTCGCCATGCACCTCTGGTAGCTGTGGTAGGGGCGGGGAGGACGCAGGAGTAGGTGGCATGGATGATGTTTTAATGTTTGTCGGCGAGGGTTGAGCGCTACCCCAACCATTCGTCACAGTGGTTGTGGCAGAATTGCCTGTCCGTGGACCGTTCGTGGTGGGTGTTGGCGCGCTGCTGGCGGAGAAGCCTGGGCTCAACTTGCTGCCTATGCTGAGCTGATCGGCGGGGATGTAGGCCTGGTGGACCGGGACGGGGCTTGTTGGCCGTCCAATGCCGGGGGAGGTTTTGGGCCATTGCGGGGAGGGTTGGAGCTGGGAGGCTGGAGATGAGGGCGTGGAGTTGTAGCTGGAGAATTGGGTGCTGGTGGAGAGTGAGTGATGAGAGTGGTGGGAATGGTGTGACTGGGCAGATTTCGATGTGAGCGGTTGTGGGATAGATGGTGCGTCGCTGCTTCTATTTGAGCGGGCGAGATTTAAAGAGGGTGGCTTTGCGTTGGGGAATTTTGGGAGGTGAGATATGGAGGACATGGGTGGTGATGGGGGCGGTTGGTCGACAGTACCGGCGGAGTGGATGGCGACGGTAAGAGGAGGGGCCGTGGAGGGATCGGTGAACGCTCCCGAGGTTGGGGCCGTAATGGCAGCAGAGCCGAAACGCGGGTCGAAAGAGCTTTCGATGGGCTCGCGGTTACGCCACCAAAGACACATCTTGGCGGATTAATATTGGAGCAAAGCTGTGGCAATGTTGTTGGGTATGTCGGTGGCGTCGAGGTTGATGTTGGTTGAGGCCGAACCTCTCATAGCAAGCCGTTTGACGAGGCTGCAATGCACCGTCAGTTTGTTGGACGTTGGAAGGAAGCATTTGGTCTTTAATAGTTCCAACGATGCGTGAAGATGCATGGCAGCAGGTGAGCTATCATAAGCTTGCCTCGTATGGATGACTAACCTCTCATTCCAGTCCACCTAGCCACAAGCAGTGCAGAAGCTCATCAGCATCCAGAGAACTTCAATACTCTGGGTCAAAGCCTCATTCTATATCTCGCCGGCAACACTCGATATATACTCAAGAGGACAATGTGCCAGAGGGCTGAGGGTGCATTTCATATCCATCGACGTCCCACATGCGGTACTTAAGCAGCCTTTCACTCACCACCAAACATCCAACAACCACCCAGGGCCTTGTTCGGCATGTACAACAATGTCCTCCCGCATTCGGGCAGCCTAACGGGGAGTATGCAGTGCATCCCATACGGCAGATTCTAGCACTAGGCAACCTAGCCCGCTTGCTGTCTCTCCTTCCGGGAAGTGGCAAACGCAAGGCGCAGGCCACCTACGGAGCAATGAGGTGGTGGCACCGCATACACTCTCATAGAATTCTCGCTGCAGCCTGAATGTCGTCGGCGGCGCGGCAAAAGTACCCCCCCTGCGGGAAGGCTATGCGCGTTCCTTAACCCATGTGCAGCCCTCAAGATGGATACCTTGGATCACTGTAGGCCAATCATGCAAGGGATGCTCTCTTCTGGTGATTTGTCACTCACGAATGAAAGTCGGAGAACTGGAAGCTGAGCTGAGTTCACGTAGTGCAAGCAAGGTCGTCTCACAAGAAGGCACACATCACTTACGTGATGGCCGGTGCATCGATGGCACGAAAGAAAGCAAACACATTGTCTTGTCGATCACTACATTCCGGCCGCTTCTCGACGTCTCAGGAAATTGAGTTGCCAAGTGTCACTAATCTCACTACTTTCACCTTGTCGAGGATTTCCGATGCAGTGTAACTAAAGCCGATGAGAACGGGCGAGTCGACAGATCAGATCAAACGCCACCATCCACCTAGGGTAGGTGGTTCTGCTAGGGGCGGACACCAGTGACAACCCCTGACAGAGGCCAATGAGCGGCAGTCATTAGGCGCTGGTAGCGGTTTGCTGGGACGCAACACAACGTATGATTTGACGAGAGAAATTCGGCCGAGTATGATGTGCTGTAGTGTGGTGTCGCGTAGCACTATGTTTTGAACTTGTGCGAGAGCTGCGCAGTACAGTGATAATCATCTCCCCGCGCTCACTACTCAACCAGCACTGTGCGTACGTCGATAGCTGCTGTGTTCTAACGTTGCTGGCTCCAAGCAAGGGAGCCCAAAGAGCGCCGCTAGCATCAAGGAACAGGACACGTACGGGGCACAAACAATTACACAGCCGCTGCGTAACGCGAGGCAAGGTCAAGCCCGAGAACTAGTGGAGATTGAGGGTCTACGAAAAGGAAAGGGGAAGGGTCCACTGTTGCGGCATCGCCCGGTGACACGGGTAAATCTCATTGTGATGCAGGTTCCACAGTTCCAATCACATCAAGCCTTTCCTTTCCCAGCCTTGGTGGGTACCGACCTTGCTTCCCGTTCCCCTCCCATTTCCACGGAGCACTCTATTTTGTTGGTGATACGTCTCATCTCCGATTTGTCCGATTCTTGACTTGTATCTGGGTGCGGGTGGTCGGGGTTTCCCTCCGACTGTCACGTCGAGATAGCCCCCAACTAGAGTGTAACCCTCTAAAATCGCGGACTATCGCGCCTCTGGGAGGGGATGGTAGCATCGCTGTCTTACACTAACGCACGTCCGCGCGCTCCACTATAACAAGCGCCGTAGCGTCGGAAGAGCCAGCCAACAAGATGTTGCCAGCGCTTTCACGTTCCTCTCTTGTCGTGGGGCCTAGACGCAGAGTTCGAGTCAAGACAAGGTTTGGGGGCATAAGCACGGCAATACTAGTAGACCGCGGCCAACGACGATGAAGAATGTCCAACACAAGAGTGGAGCTCGGTCCGGTGAACTATGTGCGGCGGGGACAAGACGAACGATGCGTGCATACGCGTTCTCGGCGAATGACTGGGATTGGAGGTGCAGACCAGCCTACCGGATGCGCTATAGGTCTGTTTAATATACAGGCGCGCTTGGATGAATGCTCCTGCTGGTTCGGAACTTTCCAAGCATTCTCCAAGCACGCTACTACTCCGAACTCTCTGCCAATCCAAACATGCCGCCGATCACAGCAATACCCCTCAAGCCACCATCCCTTCTATGCAATCTACCAATCCACCTCCCCACCACCAACAACTCACCCTCAGTCTAGTCCCCACCCCTCTCTGTCTCGCGCACACCCTCCACCGCCTCCATCCAACACCTCATTGCCCTTCTTGTGCCCCACCCCGAGAAAACCAACATGTTGGTGGCGGTCTCAGCCGTTAGCTACCCGGCCAGCGTGACCCCTCTTACGAGTCTACTTAAGACAGATGAGGCAAGACTTGCGCACGCAGCCACCTACCCCATCGGGGCGTGCATCGTGTAGAGTGACTCGCGCGGGGGCGGCGCCTGTGATAAGACGTAAGCCCGAGTGCAGCGCGGCATTGATAAGCGTGCGCGGCTGCGAGGGGGCGCTGGCGCGAGACATGGAATGCAGATGGGATTGGACGGCGGGGAAGCAAGGGAGTGGTAGTGGTTTAATATTTAGTGTGGCATCGATAGCGCGAGGCTCGCCACAGTCACATCGGCTATCTACCAAGGGCGGAGCTGACAGCAAACATTTACGCCGAGACCCTATCCATGCCACCGCCCGTCCCTGATTCCGGCAGTCACAAACATTGCCACCCCCTTCGTTCCATTATCCTCTAGTTGGCTCAGGGCCAGGCACGAATCTCACCGCCCTTGCTCCATCATCCTCTAGTCGGCGCAGGGGCAGGCACAAATCCTACAGCCCCTGCTTCTCTCTCCCACCTCTCCCTTTCACTCTCCCCAAGTGGACTCATCTCGATTAACTCTCCTTGCGGGCGCAAACTTCCAATGCTCTCTCTCCTATATGGAGCTGGTATGGGGACGTGAGGGAACTCTCCGGGGGCTGGGCCACTCGGGCTCGTATGCTGGCTCACGTACGGACTAAAACCGGCCCCTCCTGCTCCTCCGGTTCCTTTACTGACCGCGCTTGCAGGGCTGTCATCAGTGGACTGTGCGGGCCACTGGTAATTTGACGCCTTGGTCATGAAGGCGCCGCTGCTCATGCTCTGAGGGCTGTCGTCCGTGCCCTTCCAGCGCGGCGCCTGTGCCATGGCGGGAGATCCAGCGTAGTTGGCGAGTATGGCGCGACGGCGTCGGCGGCCGCGCCAGACTATGCAGGTCCCGAGGACGATGAGGATGAGGAGGAAGCCGCCGACGGCTATGCCGATTTTGGCGCCTAGATCGAGGGGGCCGGAGGGCGGGTTGAACGAGGATGCAATTATGTCGGCGGAGGAGTAGGGCTTGGTGATTGACACGCGCGAGCCAGAGAAGGGGTCGCCTTCTACGCCGATGAGGGCTCCCTTTCCAGGTTTCTGCTGGCAGCTTGCGCTGAGGATGGTCATGACTGGGGGTGGGATATTAGCAGGGCTCATATGGGGGATTGAAGGGGCGTACAGTTAACGAGGTATTCCTCTTCTTCCAGAGCTGCGACACAGTTCTGGCATCTCAATATGTCTGAGTCATCCCATTGATTGCAGTAACCGTAGTCGGTTGCGCCGGATGGAGCGATGTTGTTATGGTAAGTTAGGGAGTCGAGGAAAGGTTCGCAGGCGGAGGTGGTGATGCATGGCGTGGTCGCGATCTTCGAGTCGTTGAAGATGCAATAGTCGGCCGCATAGCGCAGGTTATCTGTCGCGCCGCCATCAGCATCGCGTACGAGAATAACAGAGGGTATATGGGATACATACAGATCGCAGCAGTCAAATCGGATAGGCCCGTCGGATCGACATAAGTGCTCTTTAGCTCGCACTCCACGCATGCCTTGAAGGTCTGGCCCACCCCGCTGCCGAATTTATTATCTCCACATGCGATATCGGGCGGCGTAGTCGCGTCGAGGACGTTTCCACAGCTGATGGCGCAGTCGGAATCGGGCGCGACGAGTATAGCTGATATCGGAGAGAAGAGACCGAGAACCACGGCGGCGCGCCGGAGATTGATGCGCCGCATGGTGAGATGCGTCGTCGGCGATCCTAGAAGATGCTACATTCGTCGGGAGCGGCGGGATGAGTGCTTATATCGCCATCAGAGCTGGTCGCCGGCGGGGTTGCGAGGTTGAGTGAGTTGTCCTGCTGAGTAAGGTCGAGGTCGGCTGTCGTGGACCGCATGGGTATATGCGTGCTGGTGATCTGAGGGTTCCATCCTGACACCCCCGAGGAAGCCCTTACATCCATCTGTCAACCATTAGTGGGCGATTAGTGGGTGGTGCAGGGTCCATCTCTTGGCTAAATGGGTGAGAGTTGGAGAGGGTCGAGGCATCAAGTACGGCGATTGGACGTGTGGAGGTACGTACCCCAACCCCGTGCATACTATTGGCACAGCCTCAATGGGAATAGCGTCGTCGTGTCCAATCGGTGATCGGTGCGGGCCGCCATCTGTGTACGCCATGTGTGGTCTAACTCGAATGGGCAATTTAGAGGTCGCAGATGGATGAGGCCCACGGAGGCCAACGGACTGTTGGCTGGCGGAGTGTTATGGCATTTTTCCAACTAGATTATGCCTGTCAGCGTCGTCATTTGGGGCAGAGTTCTTCTCAAGGCCGGAATTGGGGCCGGGCATGTCCATTAACAAGCCATAATCCCTGTGCTCTTGAGAATGGGAATATGAAACGTGCAGGCAATGATGGCTGCTCCAAAGGTGGCATTGTGCTGGCCGAAAAGCCGAAGAGGGACTCTGCAAAGATTGGAATTGATACCATATGTACTTCAAAGTCTTGGACAGCTCCCCCCCCCCCCCCCCCCCCCCCGGCCCCCCCCCCCNNTGCAAAGATTGGAATTGATACCATATGTACTTCAAAGTCTTGGACAGCTCCCCCCCCCCCCCCGGTGCTCTCGGCAGAATATAAGTGGAATAAACCATACATAGAAATAGATAGCTGCGGCGACAATACCAGACTATTCATCCAATTTTTACATCATCTCCAAAAAATTAGGGGTTGGCATAACTAGAATAATTTCAAATCTTACTAAATTTGCGGTGCGATTCAATACAATATGATAGGAGGGAGGGAAACTCGAAGTAAAGAAGGTATTACAGTTATGTGGCGAGATGGCAGCAACGGAATTATTCATCCACTTTAGGTTCTCCATTTCCGTATGTCATTTCCCTTCACTTCGTCATCACTACGTCCTTAACTCCATCATCTGTCTATCTCTCCAACTTTATCAACTTTCAAATCTCAGCTAGAAACGCGGAGAGGATGCTAGAGAATGCTCTTGGGCGCCGGGGGTGCGATGAACAAATACGCTAACCTAAAAATTAACATGGGCCGTCAACTCACCAGGATGTAGTAGTGGTAGCAAGAGGTGCGGTAGCAAGAAAGAGGAACGACAACACGAAGACCGGTAGCAACAGCATAATATGACGCGAGCCTCGCATTCGCGGCTAGGAACGAGGTTGTAGACTGATCCGATTCTAGCCACGGTTCTCTCTTGCGTCTACCGTTTGGGTGCTTTACACTCAACGACGAAGAAATTGAACTTGTTTATATAGTCGGTAGACACTGCTGCAACTCTTGTGTTTATTTGAGTTGCAATAACGTCCACCAGTTTTTCTCCTCTCATGCTGTTCTCAGATCCGGTTATATATCTCGCAGTTACATCTCTTCTTGTTGCCAAATAAAATCAAGTGATAATGGTTACCTAGGCTCCTATTTATTTTTCGTCTCCAGGGATGGCCATTTGATGAGGCTTGATTGGAGATAATGGTGGCACCATCTACTTGGTACTCTGCGAGAAGGCCCCAAATGCTGGCCCTGAAGAAATGTTTCCAGCTCTGTTACCTCCATGGTCCAACCGAAGTAACTATAAGAGACCTAGACGATGCCTTTTTTACCATCCAGATTTATGCTGCCCAGTGGCGGGGAAAGCGGGACGCTGTTCGAAGTCTCACCGTTGGAGGTCTCTCTGTTGCTGTCAATAACTCCGAATCTGCACCAGCTTTAAGGGGCTACTTAGACTCGCTTCTGTTGAAAGTCATAACTCAACGGCATCTTGTGTGGAGACAGCATGGCTCATCGGAAAACAATATTGGCTATCTTAGATATAGAGATAGCAAGAAGAGAGGATAGATTCCAGGGCCCAATCTGCGCTCACAGAAGTTGACATCGACAGCAGGCAGGGGGTGACAGCATCCGGCTCCAACGACAGAATGAGTGATGGAAACAGTGGGGCATGACGACAGAGGTGGCCGAGAGTCTGACTTTATCAGCAGTCTTTCATTCGATTCTTGATAGTATCTCCCAACCCTTTAGTCTCAACTCGCTGTCAAAAGTTCCTCCGATCTTATGATTTCCGATGGTAAACATGACATTTCGTTTTCGTTCTCTTAGTGGGACTCCATTCATGCCCATCTCGTCAGTGAATAGCTCGAAGAGATATGTGAGTTTCTTGCAATCCCCTGTGCTCCTTTGCAGTTGTCTTTGCGGCATAGGTCAATCGTCGGCCTGCACGATGATGGCGCATATCTAATTTACTATGGTGGAAGCTTTCCGGTCTTGGGTGGGATAAACAAAAACTGCTGTCTCAGCCCTATACTCGAATACTACAGAAGAGGAAATAGATTTAGTTAGCTGTTATCTCTATACTTAGCGCGACATGTTTGCCATAGATGCCCGTGACCATGCAGTGGAGGCATTTCGGGATGGCGGGACAGCGGGGCTCAAGAAGATGTGTTCGTAGAGGGTGACGGCAACGGCGAGACTGTGACAGCATCCGTAAAGAACAAGAAGTCAGAGGTGACAGCATCCGGCTCAGGCGACGGAGAGAACGGGGACAATAGCGAGACATGACGACAGCCTGTGCTGTGCAGCTCTTAATATGTGTCTCCCAAGATACACTGCACAACTCTTGATTTCTGCTTTCCATGACACACAGTCATATCATTCGCTTCAATATGTATGTGTGACTCCATGGCCTGGATTTGTGCTAGCCATACATGCACGTTTAATACGAAACATAGGAGTGAATCGCATCAGCACTCCCTGATCACGCCTTGTATTCTTCACTTGCTGCCACGATGCGTATTTCGCTAGGCCCTGTGTTAATATTCTAATATAATCAAATCTAGATGGCCATCTCTTTTGGGCTCATACCCCTATCCCGCTATTCTGATAACTCACTTGTGTGTCTCCAGGTCCATATTCCCTCTTCGTCTCTTTTTCCACGCTTACAAGCGGCAATATTATTAATAAAAATGGGGATAGGGGTATGACTGAACTCTCTTGCCACCACGCACTCCAGTTGCCATTGCTCAGGGGTAGCGTGACTATAGAAACAATATATATCAAATTCTGATCTTATCAAACTTCCAGACCCCGATGATGATCTTTCTCAACTCCCTCCAACCGCGCCATCCAGCAGATATGTGATCATATATTTGATATCTTTACTCTTCATCGCAGCGTATATCATCACTCGAAACATTTCAGCAACTTACATCGAACGCCTTCCAACGGCGTTTTTTTATAAAAAAAAAAAAGTCTGGTGACTTCCCATTCCCTTTTGACCACTTACAGTACAGTGTCTTTGCCGGAAAGCTTCTCGTCCTGGAGTCTCTCTCACCGTGGCAAACAGTTCGTCTTTTCTTGGACACCACTGAAACGTTCAATGAGAAGGATGCTACCAACTTCGTTACGCAGTTCAATGCGACGTAGCTGACGGAGGCTATGATCACAGCAGAAAAGATTTCACTCATCCGTAAGGATATCGAGAGAGGAGGAGTGTTCATTGAGTACCGTGTCGTGCGGCTGTCCTGGCGACTATAGAGCGAATAATCGGTCCTCCTGAGTGCCTAATCTTCTTGCCGTCAACGCTCTCTTGTTGTCGATACCGCTCTCTCACCGCGAGCTCCTCTACTGTCAGTATGATTTCTCACTGTGTACTCTTCCGGCTTCATAGTTTGTCATAACAGCAACGGTTTCAGCAATCGTGGCTCTATTCAGAAATAAGCCGACGAGCAGGCGTTGATAGGCGTGGTGCCGAGGACCAAGGCATTGGACAGACTGTACTGGCGCATGAGTCCCATTTCCTCGGTACGCATTGCCTTGTCTTCATCGTCCAAAGTACCCTCTTGCATAGATCGTTTTCCCTGGCGCCATATGCGCCCGATTGTTTGCCATTCAGATGACATGTTCTACCAAAGCTCCGAGAGTTACAAGGTGAGACTATGATTATCTTCCCATGCGGTTTCAAGTGCAGATAACGGTGTGTAGTTGGTTGTTGAGCCACATTTATAGGTTACTCTCCTAGCCCCCGAAGTCATCAATCACATCCACATTGAGAGAACAGCAACTCGAGGAGACAGCGATCACACAAACCCTTTTTTCAAGAAGGAAAGAGGTAACAGATAGATCTATTTAACGCTGAACTCTCAAAACCCCATCCCGCTCCTAACCTTCCCCAACTCCCGCCCTGACCCGTGAGCAAGTAAATGCCAGTTTCCACCTACTTCAGGATCTTCCTGATGATAGTAATAAGCACATTATCGACGACAAAGGAATCATTCGAGAATCAAAACGACCAGCGTCACCCCTATTAAGCGACTTGTGCCCGATAAGGTACGAATATCCCTCCCGGAAGACGCTGGCTCAGTAGGAATTCTTTTCTCGCTGGGTTTTCTCTCGCTGTCGATTATATCTTGTTGCCGAAGCATTCTCTCGTTGACAGTATCTTCTAGTTACCACATACTCCTCCGCCGTCAGGCGAGAAAATGAGAAAATTAATGGGATTGCATATTGTCAAGAACACACATAAGTGTTGTATTCCGATTGATTCGAAGTTACAAACTTGACGATTTGGACATTTTCTGAACCAGTATCTTTTTCCCAGAGTTAGGTTGGTCCGACGTGAGTGGCTCTGTATTATACCTGATTCGAAAATGAGGCAACCCCATCTCTCTTATATCAGTATTATCCATAGATACGCCATTAATTGGCAAGCTGAAAATTGACTACAGGGAGTCAAACGCGCCAGAAGCATGGGATTTCTTTCATCATCGTTGTTGCATTTAGGTTTTCGGTCGTCTCTTCATCTATCATAATAATAAGCAAAAAAACGCTCACATGCAGCATAACCGCCACAAACACCCAACTCCCCCCTTCAAACCCAATTTTACACCACCCATATGCCTCCACAGCATCAATGAGGCGACACCGACTTCCCCGGCGAAACCGACGTCTCCGCCGACGAGCTCATCCCCCCACCATCCCCCTCCCTCGAGCTCAACGGACTCCCCACACTCTCCCCACTCCTCGACACATCACTCTCCGTCTGCCCCGCCGCCGCCGCCGCCGCCACACTAACCAACTTCCCCAACGGTCCCTTCTCCGTATCCACCACCAACAAGTCCTCCACCCCCCTCCCCAACACCCCATACAACCTCACCTCCCCCCCCTCAATCCCCAACACCGTGCTCGTGCCCGCATACACCGCGTCGCCCTCCACCCCCGTCCGATTCGCCAGCACCACTATAATCTCGCCCTCCTGCTCCCTCCTCACCAGCGGCTCCAGCCTCGCCACCCAGTACGCGAGGGTCTCCATATCCGGTTCCTTGGGGTGCTCACCATACGGTCCCGCTTCTTCGCGCGTCAACCACGCCATGGAGACAATCGCAACCCGCGCCTCGACATGGACGATATGATACGCGAACTCCCACGCGTTCCACGAGGCTTCGAATTTATACGGGTTTAGATCCATACAAATCCCCATCGCCACATCACCCAGCCCCTCAAACTCGCCGTGGAAGAACCCATCCGGGCCTTCTAGCGCCCACGTCTCATCAGTATAATACAAGAACGACTTGCGGTAATTCGCGAGCGTCGCCCCAGACGCCGACACCGCCACAGCTGCATTGTAGTATTCCGGCGACGTCGGCCATTTCGCGCTCACGTCCACGCTCTCGGGGTATCCGACGACAACAGTGCAATTTAGCCTCCGTGCCGTGGCGCGCGCCCAGTCTGCGCTGGGCCCGGAGGTCGTGGGCTCGAGGAAGGGGGCGATGTCGTGGAGGGATTTGAAGTTGTAGCCTGTGAAGGCGAGTTCGGGGAGGACGAGGAGGTCGAGGTTATGTGGTGCGGAGAGGGTGAGGATGCTGTCGGCGAGGGCGATGTTGGGTTTGACTTCGCCGAGCTGGGCTGCGAATTGGAGGCAGCCGATGCGCATTTTGGTGGTGGGGGTGGTGTGTTGGGGGGGCAGGGCGCATTATACGATGCGCGGCGGGTTGGAGAGATGCGCTGGGAGACTGAGAGCGAGGGTTTGGGGGGGTGGTGCTGAATGAGCGGTCGTAAGAATAATCGTAGGGTCGTGTCTGGCTCCCAGTAAACTCCCCGGTTTTGGGAGCGCTGCCGCAGAATCGTACGATGCGCCGTGGAGATAAAGAGAAGATATGAGAGATAGTTCCCGAAAGTAGGGTCTCAATGACTCGCGGCACGGCAGGTACACCCGGCTGGCCCTTTTCCTTTGAGTAGTTACCCTTAGATCCCGCCCTGTCAATCGCTCCTGCCTTGCGAACAAACTTAAGCAAGGTACTATACAGTGCCGTACTGTGCAGTAGAATAAATTCAACAACCGACGAAGAAAGTTTCCCAGGTATCCGGTTATCCCCCCCTCCCCCGCCAATTTATACATATTTCGCGCCCACAGGAGAGGAGGGGCGGACAACGTGGTCAGCTAGCGTCGCGAGATTACGGGGTAACGATGACCCTGGCGCTTCCCCGCTGACGACCACTGGACAACTGGCAGGGCGAACGGGATCGGTTCTCGTGGTCCCTGATACTGTGCGATGGCGTGAGGTGGCTTGGGGAGGTGAGGCGCTGATTGGAATGCGACGGTGATGGGGAGGGGAGGGCATTGATAGGGCGGCAGGAGTTGGCTGTGATGGGTGTGCATGGGGAGGATGAGGGATGCATGCGCCCCTGTGTTTCATGCTGGGCTGTCACATCATTACACGACGAAAATCACTGCATGGGGAGAGTGGTATTCACAATCCCAACTGGCACAGCCGTTTGTGCCCGTTTCGATCTCGAGTTTAGTTGAGATGACGGCTGGGTGTGTTTCAGAGTCTACTATTTTTACAATGGTCCCCTATACCACGAATTACGTGGGAAACCCCAGACTAAATCGAGACCAGCAAAGACCAACAAGACAAGGATTGTATATAGGGAACGCAGAATCCGATCTAGTAGCAGAGCAACAACCAGCATCGCCTCAGCGATATGGGTGGCTGGTCGCGCAGTTGTAAATAAACGGACTTCCAGAACTGTCGGCAACTACTGCTCGCTGGAATCTGAGGATCTTTGCCGCCCCGTCAACTATACTGTCGTCGTTCCCTCTCCTGTCACCGTCCCCCCCGGCCGCCGCTTTCCTCTCTCCTGTCACCACCCCCCCGATTCCACCACCGTTTTCCCCGCCACCTCTCCATATCCACGATCCCCAGGAGGGACTTCCCAAGACCCATGCCATTGCCACAGGGCACGCTGTTGAATTTTGACAGGCAGCAGTAATGAATATGTGCCGCGCCCTTTGATTTATTTGGATGTGGTGTTGTTACCATTGTGTTGGAAGCTTCGAGCGGCTCGGCTTCAAATAAGCTCTCTACATGACTTTTGCTCCACGATGCCATTCACAAAATGGATATTTCTTAACCCCAACCTCAAATAAGATCGCGGCTAGAGCCGCTGCGTACTCTTTTCTGCTCTGTAGAAATGGATCAGACGGGGCAGTGGTTTGTATGTAGATGGACGGGATATCAAATGACAAGCTCCCCACTTTCACAACACTTCAACAATCGCTGCTTCTTAAAAAATATCAATTAAAATCCTGGGTATCTAATTTTCCCTCCCCCCCATCCCTACTCCCCCTTCCTACTCCCTAACTCAATAACGCCGCCGCCACCACCCCCGCCCCCAAAACCCCCATCATCACCATCCCCTCCGCCCTCGCCTTCCCTCCCCCACCCCCCGTCTCCGGCGCCGTCTCCCCCGGCGCAAACCCAGACGTCGTATCCGTCGGCGCAGACAGATTTATTGCGGTGGAGATGTGGATGGGCGAGCCGTCACTGGGTAGACGCGGGTCTGTGCCGAATGTGCCGGTCACGTCGGTGCCGTTGCTGCAGAGGGTTGTCATGGAGCCGCCGCGGGTAGCACGGAAGATGACGGGGGCGCACTGGGGGGGTGTTAGTTGGGTGGTTGCTAGAGGGTATGGGGGAAAAAATGGGTAGATATAAAGAAAATGTATGAGGTATGATGCCAAGCAAGCCACACGCGGATTTTCGTCACAAGGCCAAAAACCAAAAAAAGTAAAAATGGTGATGGACCAATTTTGAAATAATAAATGCGTATGAGATGAAATATAATGATAAGACGACCGAAATAAAATAAAAAATTCACCAACCTGATAAGACAACCCCTCCTCCCCGCTCTCAATAACCTGCACCACGCCCTCCCTCCCCGCCCACTCCACCGGCGCCGGCACCAGGGGCTCACAAAACTTCCCTCCTCCCTTCTGCTGCACCACGGGGAACAAATCCGTCCAGTTCGCGTCTCCCGCCAAATCCCCAATCGTCGCACGGATCAGGATATCCGCCCCGTCCCCGCTAGACACTACTGCTACCGCATCGCCGCCGACGTAGAAACCTGTCGTCGACTCGAGGAGCAAGGGGGATGCGCCGCAGGGGGGTTGCGATTGCGATGTGCTCTTGCTGCCGAAGGGGAGGGGGTGGGAGAGGGTGAATGTCGCTGATGTGGCCTGGGCGAGGAGTGCAAGGGTCAGGAGCGTGTGTGGTGGTGGTGGTAATGGGCGCATTGCGCGGGCATGTGTGAGTTGTGACGGCGATAGCGACGGCGACAGGGAGCTCGATGAAAAGGGAGAGACAGAGAGAGACACACACACATAAAGGGAGAAGGGGGATGGGGATGGGGATACGACGACCTTCAAATAATGGAAAATGACATATACGGCATCGGCGCCAAGACGCGTGTTGTCTTGGACTTTGTCGGACCGCCGATGTGTGAGATTGCGCGCTGACGAGGTCCAAGATCTTGGCCGCGCACAGCACAGCGGCGGTACGGGTGAGGAGTGGGAGATGGGCTTGCCACGACGACCAACGCCGAGAGCGCCGCGGTCTTGGGGGGTTATGGGTACTTACATTGGTCTTATACTGTACCGTGGGAGCCGTGAGAGCCGTGGCAGGGCATAACACCGAAGGAGCGGCGGGTTTGGTTTGGGGGAGGAGAGTTGGAGGCTTGGCGATATGTTTGGATTGGTGGTTGAGTTAAGGGGATGTTGTGGATATCGGAGAGAGGCGAGAGTGATATGTTTGCAGTGTAACGTGATGGGAGATAGCTTGGGAGGAGAAAGGGAGAGAAGGGGATTTATGTGTGCATTTGTGCACTTAGGGGAACAGCATCGATCAGGGAGTACAGGAGAGGTACGAGGGTCTGCCACTATAACTGCCAAATTACTGTTCGACCAGAGTTATACGGTGGCCCAGATGCTCCTGTAACTGCCAAATTATTGTCCGACCAGTCTTATACGGTAGTCCAGATAAATATTCAGGGTCGGTGAGTGGTTCATCCAGCAAACCACTCACTGGCCCTGAAAGATTCCAACTGCTGCCAAGATGCCAAGCCGCCTACTTTTCCGCCGGAGCGGAGTTGAGGTGATTGCCATTGGCTGTCCTCCGCTCCTCCTCCCCCCGCCGCTCCATTTGAGCACATTGTTCTCTTGGCATCACAGACGAGGCTGAGGAAATCGACTCCTCGGCGTTAGCTTCCCTCCACTTGGCGCCATACCCACGGCAACTCTCACCTTCTTACCTGCCAAACACACAGAAACTATGAGTAGGGATGACAGGCACTTGGGATTTAAAGGTGAGAAGGTTTTCGGGTGAGAGCTCGCCATTGGATGAACGCACGACCTAGATGAAGCTGTGCGATGACGAGATTGGTTCCTGAATATCTTTAACCTTCTCATTGACATGCCAATGCTTCTTATTGGCCTCAATCGCGGTCCATTGGCTTTCTGTCAGGGTTCTGGATGCACCGGCCTCGTGGGGGAACCTGGACGACAGCTGCCATGAGTTAAGAGATCGTCCGGGGTCCAGAGGAGGAGGAAGTATAAACACTCTCGTTGATCTCGTCTTTCTGTTTCCTTTTTCATTTCACACCTCACATCTCTGTCTATCTGCTCCATTCAGACCTTCTCATACCTCACTCACCTCATACCTTCATCTCTCTCTCAACTCTTAATCCCACCCACAACCCCCACCATCCTCTCAAAATGAAGTCCTTCATCATCCTCCCCGCCCTCGCCTCCCTCGCAACCGCCCACTACGACCTCGTCTTCCCCGAATGGCGCGGTGACTCCTTCGCCGACGGCGCAAGCCAATGGATCTACCCCTGCGCCAACGTCACCCAGGAGAAGTCGAACCGCACTCTCTGGCCCCTCGATGGCGGTGCCGTAAACATCCACATGCACCACCACTGGACCTACTATGCCGTTCGTCCCTCTTGCCCTAGTTCCCCTCTCAGCACTATCTGTTTGAGGTACAACTAACATGATGCAATTCTCAGATCAACATCGGCATCGGAACACTCGAGCCGGCCTTCACAGCCACCCTGACGCCAGAGCTGCACAACACCACCGGCAACGGCACGCTCTGCATCCCTAAGCTGTCTGTCCCTGCTGGACTGGCGAAGGAGGGTGACAACGCGACCCTGCAGGTTGTGACATTTGATAGTTTTGGCTCGGCGCTTTACAACGTGAGTCCCCCCCCCCCCCCCACCCTGCAGGTTGTGACATTTGATAGTTTTGGCTCGGCGCTTTACAACGTGAGTCCCCCCCCCCCCCCAATTTACCCCCCACCCTACAAAAAATCCTCTGGCCAAAACGGCATATAGAGAAGTGAGATGGTAGCCGGACAGCAAGCTAACCCCCACACAGTGCGCAGACATCACATTCTCCTCCAAGGCGGTCGATCCTACGGACTGCAAGACTGATGGCGTTAAGGATGTCATTGTTGGTGCTGAGGCCGCGAAGACGTCTACTGATACCGCGAATACGACTGATGCGGCTCCTACGCCATCGCAGAGCACTGGTGGTGCTGCGGCGTCGTTTGGGGGTGCTGGTGCGGGCGTGGTGGCTGCGGTGGCGGTCGGGTTGGCTTTGATGATTTAATGGGATGGGTTTGGGGAGATGGGAGGGGGGTAATGTGGATGAAAGGCTGTGGTGTGTTACGGGGTCAAAATGGCTTTGCTGGCATGAGTATGAGTTGGAGGAGGGGGTTATGATTCATGTTAAATACCCTTAAAGCGTAGAGCTGAATAACAATATGCTGTCTGAACATTTATATTTTTCCTCTGTATTGATCTTACCATTGGGTCCATAAAGCAGCTAATTGCACTACCCAGCAGTTAGATCCGCTAAATCCTGTCTGAGTGAGCTAAAATTCATGCTGTTGGGATAGAGTAGGTTTATTTGTTATAATCTCAGTTGCGAGGTATGCTCCGCGGGGTATAGCGCCCGCCTAATTGGGGAACGCAAGTCCACGGGTCTACCGCCGCTTTTGAGTTCTAAAAGGGCAGCTCCCTCCCTCATCGAGAGCCAGGGATGAACAACCCTAGTCTCAAACCATCATCCAAAAACCCGTGTCAAAAAAGGCAGTGCCATTGACAGAAAACCCAATCGCCTAGCTGGACTTTTGGCACTTGATGGAGAAGGGCCAATAGTGCTATACCAGCAGGTGACAAAGACAAAGCGCCTGCGTCGGAAGGGGAAATGATGGCGCAAGTAGCAGGACAACACGAGCTGACGGAAAGGGAAACTTCTCCTCCACCTCAACTACTGCTCTGTCGTTTCGATGCAGGAGAGCTGCTAAAACACGTAAAGACTCTCAAGTCGACAGATTTCCTAGCCATCTCACACGTCTAAGGAAAAGCAGATTAAATGAAAGTGGCTGGTATAGAAGAAAAGGTTCTGGTTCCGCGAGAAAAGGAAAATTTCTTCAAAGAACAACTACGATCCATAATTGAAAACCAGTGGTTCTGGATGGACTTCCTCAGCGGAAAGAGATCTTTGCAGCTGTGTCGGTTGATTCAGTTTAGCGCTAAGTACGGCCGCTCTGCAACATCAACGACGGATGGAAGCTCCAATGATGTCAGGAAGGAGACTATGTCAACCTAGCTTGAATACTATTGAGACCGCCCCTTTCAAAGCGCCTGAGACGGATAGATGACCGCTCAAGCATATAGTATTAAGCTCTAGCAGGAGGTTCTGCCTACTCATTTGAACTCTCGAAACAAGACGTGGCGGCAACCCCGTCCACTACTGCCTCTTCACTTACTCCTGAAATCTACTGCTAGGTCAAAATGAATCATAGGTAGGCGAGAATGGAAAACGAACGTTTTTATGAAGATACAAGATTACGTGCGAACTTTCAATTCATCCCAAAGCTCAGTCCATTCAGTATATCCCATCAATCTCAAATTTTCGTGTATAACCGACTCCAACTGAGGTCGCATTCCGTCTGCTCTCCCCATTTAAGCATAACAGTTATCCTTTACATGACCCAAAAATAGGGCTCCTCTGCTACAAAAGACGTATAGGAAACCGCTGATGTCCGCATTCCTTCCATTAGTCTCCGCCCAATCCCGTTCTCCTAACGCAGGAGCAGCAGTGGACTCTACGTCTCATCCTTCCCTTCTTTGGAATATTTCTTGGCCGTCGTTTCTTCCAGAAGCCAATGTAATCAATCATAGAATTAAAAGAACTCAAAGAAAAAAGAAAAGCCAAGATTGGCTCAGTTCATGTATCCATCCAAGTACAAATCTCCAACATCAAGACCCTGCCCTCCAGTACCATCATTCAAGCCTCCCATAGCCGACCCCACCCGATGATATAGCTCCATACCAGAGGAATGAGGGCTAGAGTCTTTCACTACTAAGTCGTAGTAATCTAGTTCTTTCGTCCTTGGCGTACCCGTATTATGCGCCCTTAGCAGGAACAGCTCCTGTCCTCTCCAGGGGCAAGTATTCTCTGGTCTAGAGAAGACTCCCGCACCGAATATTAGACTTGCGCCCTCCACCTGGAATGTAACCGTATCATAACACGTTCCTGTCAACCGAGCAAGCTGTGTGCTATAGCCATCTCTTCCTAGATCTGCCTTGCCAAGCACTTTAAGAATTCGCCACGCAGCCCATCGCCCTCGAAGTCCATCAGGATAAAGAGGCCTCTCGTCACCCTGGGGCTGAAGGAATCCGCTAGCGCCTGCAAGCACAAGGGGTGCCCATGACCACGGTTGTGGCATGATCGGCCCATGAAGAGGGGCCAGGCGAGCAGCCCTCGTGTCAAGATGCTGAAGTATCTTCGCCTGCCCTTCCTCTAAAGTCGTCGCTCGGCCCGGCCATTCCAGTTCGAACAATGGGAAGACTGCCCTAGACATGTCCTCCTTCTTCGTCGTCAGTCGTTCCTTCGAAAGAGTGTAAATACGGTCGAGCATAGGGGTGACGTTTCCCTCGAGTATTGTGCACAAGGATCTAATCGCTGTCCATTGTTGCCAGTGCAGGTCTGGCAGAGGCGCATTATGAATCATTGACCATTTAAGTTCGTGGCCATGTAGGTGGCTGTCTCCAAAAAGGAAAACCAAGTCTTTGGAGAGAAGTGCTTCCTGCATGGTCCACACTCTAGTCATCCAATCCGTGAGGAACACAGCCATAACCCTCTCTCGGTCCGAGCCTTCATCCATAGACATAAGGAGCCTATCAAAGACAACTGTGACTTTTGAAGAAGTGTATACAAAGTTCATGGAGTTGATTGCCAAGCTCCTCGATATAGGCTCGCGGCTGATCATGGCGATATCGATCCAAACCCATTCCAATCCGAAGAGGCTTGCCACTAATAGCAGCAGATCCAAAGTCCGAATACACAAGCCTTTCTCACTATCGCCTTGCCATCCATGTTCCCAAACATGGCTCACAGCCATGAACTCGTCCTTTCCGCACCAGCGCAGCTCACCTCCAGCGCCGATACAAAGCACTTTTCCCTCCTCCGCAACGTCTATATTGCTTGCAATGCTAACAGGAACAAAATGGCAGCTTCCTTCATACGACGACCCCTGCAAAGCAAACGTGTTCGTCCCTGGGCGACACTGATCACAGACCTGGGTTCCTACCAGGACCGGATGCCGAATGCTGTACCCTAATCTTCTATAGGCGCGAATAAGAGAGTCTGACGACGTAGGAATCATTCCATAGCCCTCCTGGCTGATCACCATGCGAGCGCGATAAGGATCACAGCCAGCATCGTCAAGAGCTAGTACCAACGGATTATCATGCGAGGGGTAGGTCTGATCCGCCTTTTGCCATGCATCTCTCAATGGCTGGATTCTGCAGCTATGATCTTGCTGAGATTTCCAGACGCATGTTACAGGTGCGTGGTCACATGTTGGGGCTAGTTTGATGGGTTCTCGTCCTACGGCGACACTGAGAGCGGCGAGTAAAGCTGGGTCCCAATCTTCGAATGGGTTCGTGGGACTCATGTTGAAACCTGGATGGGCAACAAAATGCTTTGCTTGATTAGACCATGAGTAGGTGGGCTAGCTGTAGTGTATATGTGTGTGTTTGAAGGAATAGACATATTCAGCTGAACAAAAGTGAGGCTGAGATATGTTGCAAATATGGTCGTGCGCAAGTACAGAATTGATTGACTACTACTTGACTAAACTAATATATCTGCGGCGCCTACGTACTATTTGTAGACCGGATTCTGGTGCCAACTCAAGCCTTCAGTTGGGCCTAGAGTCCTGGGACCGGTGACTGAGCTGAGCTTTGAGCTGAGCTGTGTGCTCAGCTCAAACGCCCAGATACGCCCAGCTGCTGCGAAGCTGACGGCGATCCTGACGACTGGCTTCACCTAGGAAGCCTTGACGCCTGGCTTGGGCAGTGTATAGGCTCTTGCCTAGCGCCACCAATCCCCACCAATTCCGTGGCGGCCCAGGTCCCGTTTGCCATGTCAGCTCTCAGCTACGGCACCTAATCCAACAAGATACGCACCCCGCTTATGCCCATAGAAGGGAGAAACAAATATCCGAGACTTGTAAACCGGTCATCGAACCTGAAGACATTGTTGCAAACCTGAATGCTGCGAGTCAAAAATCCTACTGTCGGAACACGAGACTCACTTAGCAGGCTGTAGCTTCATGAAATGCGACGATGCCGCTAGTAAAAGATCCAAATAAGGCTGGCAATTGAAGTTGAAGTTTGAATAAAACTTGAATTAAATGAATTAAATAATTCGACCATGACAGCCACTAGCAGCAATATCGCCGTATTTCCTCTTTCCTCTTTCCTTGCCTTTTGCAGGCGTTCTAATTGACTCATTAAGTTCCTTCTCCGATATCAAGGGCCTGGCTGTAGCCATCGAGACTCGTTGTCTCTCCTGCACTTGCTAAAGGTTCTCGTGCGTATCGTCTTCTGTGATCTGTGTTCGGCGCTTCCCTTCACTAGACAAGTGGTCCATAACAGTATTATGCCACATCGCAGGAAGGTGAGCAATAACGTTGAGAGAGGAACAGCTCTCAGCCTATGCGACCTTGTTAATAAAATCCTTTGTCCCAAGAACCACTTTGTTCCCAAAAACTCATGTTGGCAATTCCCTTCGCGCTAAAAACCGTTGTGCTACTCAACATACGGGCACATACGACCCCATCACCGCACATAGAAGGATACCAAACGTGCATCCAAACAGCATCTTTCAAATTATCAGTCCCGCCGACGCTATTCTACATACAAATGCCTCAATCCCACGCTACCCATAATTCTTCAGCGCCAAAAACTCCTCTCATGCTGTCTTCCATGGATGGTACCTTTACAAAGCCGTGAACCTAATCACTATCACTATCACTCCCATACGCCACCAACGGCCCCTTCGGCGCCGCCGTCTTCGACTGCGTCGTCACCGCCCCCCTAGCACTCTGCAACGCCGCCAGCGTCGCCTGCGAGAAAATCCCATTCCTCTCCTCCCTCACCGGCTCCTCAATCGCCGCCACCTCCCCATACCCCTCCATCCCCATCCCACTCTCAATCATCGCCCTCTGCTCCTCCTCCAACCCCAACCCCTCCCTCCCAACCGGATTCACCGCATTCGCCCCCCTCGCAAAGAACACCTCATCAGGGGCCTCATACCCCTCCAGTCCAAACCCTCCCTCCACCCTCCTCCTCTTCTTCGCCTCTCCATCCCGTCCCTCAATCTGCGCCACAAACTCCGCCGGCAGCGCCCTGCGCACCGCTTCAGCGGCTTGCTCCTCGATCGACCGCGCTTCGCGCGCTTGCGCCATGGGATTCGGATCCGCGGTCGCCCAGCGCACGTTGAGTACCTCTTCGTGGTCGAGGGACTGGTGCGCCATTGCTTCTTTGGCGAATTGCGCGTTCGCTTCTGTGGTGTAGGTTACGAATGCCACGCCGCGGGTATTCAGGACACGGGTCCGTTCGATGGGTCCCCATTCGGCGAAGTGGCGCGCGACGACCTCTTCAATGTCGTCAGTGACGTGAATACGACCAATATAAATCGTGCGATTCTGCCTCAGAAAGGTCCCCACACCGCCCATATCATCGCGGTAATCAGAATGCTTGTCCCGCCCAAACACATCCACGTTCGGACTATACATATCATGTATCCCCGGCAGGCGATGGAGGTACTGGCACTCCTGACCCTTTGGGCAGACCCCCCGCGCGAAGAAGAGGCAAAAGAAGGAGCTCGCGACGGAAGTAGCTTTGGTGTAACCGCTGTCGAGGGCGATGTTGCAGCGGCCTGCCGCGTGGGTCTTGGAGAGGTACTTGTCTTCCCTGTCGCCGCCGGACCATTTGTTGTACCAGATGTTGAAGATGGTGCCAGTTTGGGGGGGGGGCTCGGAGGTCATGGTGCTGGGGTCGACTTGGGGGCGCGCGGGGCGGCGCTTTTTGCGGATTATCTTCTTGACTTTGCGTTCGGGGGGGGCGGCGACTTCTGAGGAGGTTGTGGTGAGGGCGGTTGTGGAGGGCTCCTCAGTGGAGTCGTTATCTGGCTGCGCCAGCTCTGCTGGTGGTGATTGTTCTACTTCGGCCATTGTGAGGGTTGTGGGTTGGGATGGCGTTGGTGGTTGGTTTATGTTTGACACGCTGAGAGCGAGATAATGATGTCCTGGACCTCGAATTCTACAAGGCTGAGGCGTTTCGGTGCACTATTCCCGATCGGGATATTCTGCCCAGGGCGGTGACGTCGATAGAGATGTCGAGGGCGAGATATATCCATAGAACTTTGCAACACAACACGACAACCCCAACAACAGGGTAGGAGTTACTTTATCAGGTTGATTCTTACGGCAAAGAGCCGTAGTTTGCAGCCATGGTGAACATTACGGATAAGATCAAGGAGTAAGTCACGTGTTTGGCGGGGAATCGAGGTGGGGGAGGGGTGAACATAACTGACTTCATGGCTAGTATCGAGGAGGAGATGAGAAAGACCCAAAGTATGTGCTTCGTTCTATTCTTATAGGCAACTCTAATATGTTTCACAGAAAATAAAGCCACAGGTAAAGCTATGCCGGTCACAGACTTGGGAGTATCAGCTGACACCATGAACAAGAATATCATTTGGGTTTACTGAAGGGGTAATTCAAGCCAAGCTCCCATGCAAGTCACAGTCTAACAATCAATAGAAAGCTTGCTCGTCTCAGGGCCCAACTTCTTGAGCCTGGTCCAGGTGCTGGCGGTCCAGGTGGTGCGGGATTCGACGTTCAAAAGAGCGGCGATGCACGTATTGCACTTGTTGGGTTCCCCTCCGTCGGAAAGTCTACGTTCCTATCCAAGATCACAAAGACAAAGTCCGAAGTAGCAGCATACTCTTTCACAACTCTTACAGCTATTCCCGGAGTGCTGGAGTATGGCGGTGCGGAAATCCAGATCCTCGATTTACCCGGTATCATTGAGGGCGCTTCAGAGGGGAAGGGAAGAGGAAGACAGGTTATTTCTGCTGCGAAGACGTCGGATCTCATTCTGATGATCTTGGATGCAACGAAGAAACATGAGCAGAGAGAGTTATTAGAGGCTGAATTATATGCAGTCGGGATCAGACTGAACCGTTCGCCACCGTAAGCCCCCCTTCACAATTACAACCACGTCTACGCGCAACGGCTAACAAGATATTAGCAACATCTACCTCAAGCTGAAGAAGGCAGGCGGCATGAAAATCTCCTTCGCCTCACCACCCAAGAAAGTCGACGAGAAGATGCTCTACAACATCCTCCGCGACTACAAGATGCTGAACTGCGAAGTCCTCGTCCGCGACGAAAACATCACCGTCGACGACTTCATCGACGTCATCCTCGCCGACCACCGCACCTACATCAACTGCCTCTACGTCTACAACAAGATCGACGCCGTCTCCCTCGACTTCCTCGACTCGCTCGCCCGCGAGCCCCAGACCGTCGTCATGTCCTGCGAGCTCGACATGGGTATCACGGACGTGGTGGACCGTTGCTGGAAGGACCTGCGTCTCCTGCGCATCTATACGAAGCGCAAGGGCATTGATCCGGACTTCTCGGAGGCGCTGATTGTGCGCCAGAAATCGACGATTGAGGATGTTTGTGATCAGATTCATAGGAGTTTGAAGGATACGTTCAAGTATGCGCTTGTGTGGGGTGCGAGCGCGAGGCATATTCCGCAGCGCGTTGGGCTGAGCCATTTGGTGGCGGATGAGGATGTGGTTAGTATCATAAGCAGCTTCAAGGCATAAGCATGTCATGAGGTTGGAGGGGTGGTTTTTGTCCAGTCAGATATGCGACCATGTCTACGGACGGGAATCACTATCATGTTCACGAGATGACGAACAATTCAAAAGAAAACTGTTATAGAAGGGATCCATTCATTTCCTAACCCTGTCTGCATAAACCTGTCTGCCTGTCCATCCAGTTGACCACGTTCCTACCCAATTACTCCACACCAACTCCCCACGATAGCCCAAGCCAGCCCTGCAAAGGAGCCCCCTTGCGGAGTCCCCGAAGGCAAAGAAATGTATCGATTGCTGATGATGATTCGTAAAAGACCCTGATGACGATTCGCGTAACCAATGAAAAAAACCTTGAATAAGATGTGTGACGCCGCCCTGCCCATGCCATGAATGTTGTTTTTTGTACAAGAAGAAGTTATAATGTCTGTGCTGTGGTTCGTTCGTCCACAGTACGTTGTTTGGAGCGGAATATTGTTGCCTACTGCATGTCGACGTCGGCCTTGGGCTCTGTGGGCTTGTCGGCAAACATGTTTGTGGAGCCGAGGTTCTTGCTGGATGCCTTTGCGAAGAGGGACTTTGGCTTGGCCCTGGAGATGGTTAGTATTTTGTTCGTAGCAGCTGGTTAAGAATTCAATGGGAAAGACACGTACTTCATGACATGCTTGTTGCGGTAGGCGCTCAACTTTGCTGTGCAAGGAGACATGATGTTGTCGCTGGGAGAGACGTATGTTGGCTTGCCCCTACGTTGTGGGTTAGCAATAATTCTGTGTGAATGAGGCGCAGAAACATACTTGTCCTCCTCGAGCCTCGATTGAAGAACCTGGCGATGGTACTCCATGCTCTTGATATCCTTTGATTCAGTTGCCTGGACTGTTTGCGCCGCGTTGACGTCCTTGTCGCCGAGAACAGTGGAAGACATCTCGGCGTATGTATTGATTGATTGATGCTGATCGAGGGCGTAGTTGAACTGTATTGATTGCTTTAAGGGAGCTTTGAAGATTGCGGTAAGTGAGCAGAGATGAGGTTTGGATTTTGAATTTTGTCAAGTGGTATCGGGGCTGTAGAGGTTGAGATAAGAGAACAAGCCCATGTCGTAAATACACTTAGGCGTTGGCACAGCGACCCTGATATAATTCTTGCCAGCGCATGAGAACCACTCAATCGAACAGATTGCACTCAAACACAAAACATTATGGTCCGTGGTATATTAGTATATGACTCAGGTGCAATTTATGACTCTTATGGCCCTTAAAGTGGATTGTTTATCAACTTATTAAGTTAATATCATTTTTATATCACCGAGCAACGTCATTAGTTTGTATCACATCTCAAATAGGGCTTTGGAGTGGGGTGCAGCGTTAGACGAAGGCTAAGGACAGCTCCCCTCCTTTGGCCTTGTTGGTTTACCTTGAAACCGTCTCAGAGTAGCCATTATATCGATGAGATTACTATACATTTACAATGGCGACAACCTCTAACCCAATTGTCTTCTACGACATCGCCCAGCGGCCCCCAGTCACGGAGACATGCTGCGCCGTGAATCCCTGGAAATCCAGACTGGCACTGAACTTCAAGGGCGTTCCCTATACGACCTCATGGGTGAGGATGCCAGATATCAGCAAAGTCCGCAGCGGTCTCAATGTCCCAGCCTGTCGCAAGTTCGCTGACGGCTCCGACTTCAACACCCTGCCCATCATCCACGACCCTGCCACAGACACCTTCAAGGGTGACTCCTTCGACATCGCAGTCTACCTACAGCAAACGTACCCTGACTCTGGAGCCGGCGACCTCTTCCCCGCTCAGAAACTGGACTACGTTGTTGACCATGATCTCACACTGCTCATACCGCTGTCAGAGATTCGTGGGACAGACTTTATCGACTACGCGCGCTTCAACCAGAACATTGACGCAGCGTTCACCGCGCATGTCGGACTCATGGCTTATGGACTTCCTTTGGATCCCGCAACTGCTGATATAACCAAAGCAGAATTTGTCAACCGTGCTGCTGGTGCTGGTGTTAGGTCGTGGGAAGATTTTAAAATGGTTGGTGAGATGCGAGAGACGATGAAGAAGTCTTTTGAGAAGACGCTGGGGGGTCTGGCTAAGTTGTTCGTGAGAGATACGACTGGGCCGTTTCTGCTAGGACAGAAGGCTAGTTATGCGGATATTATCGTCGGTGGGTGGTTAAGAATGGCTCGTGTGACGTTGCCGGCGAGTGAGTGGGAGGAGCTGAGAGGCTGGCATGGCGGCGTGTTTGGTCAGTTGCATGATGCGCTGGACAAGTATGCGGAAGTGAAATGAATGATGTGGCATAAAATAATTATTAATTCTGGTCTGCAATGCTCAACCATTTTCGTAGGACAGTCAAGTGGATTGAAGAAGCCAGAGAGAGTGAAACACCTTAAAGGTCTTGGTATATTAAAATCTAAATCTAAACAAAGGAAGGTCTAATGATCGCTTTTCCCAAACCCTTCCTCACCTCATCTAATTGCTCCATTCCGCTTTGATATCCCATCTTCTTCACGTGCTTCTTTTTCGTGACGGTGTAGGCTCCCAGGAATTCATCCATAATGCCATCGAAGTCTCCTCTAACAGGGCCAGTCACACTCGATACCGACGAAGCCATTGATCCGAAATCGTCGTCCCCATTGTCCTCATTGTATCTCTCCTCAAGTTTCTCAAACCTTGAGTCGAGATCCGTCAACCCCTCGGTACGGAAAACCGACGAGGAAGTCATCGAGTACTGTGACGGGTTGGTAAGAGCGCCCTTCCTCTTCTTCCTCCTCCCACCATTCGTAGTTGTAGTCATCATAGACGACTGAATATCAGACTGGCCAGGCATGGCAAAAGCAACCTGCTTCTTGCCGTCCTTCTTGAACTTGCTGAACTCCGCCATCCAGTCTCCGTCTCCATGGTCCTCTCGCTCATCATCTCCCACATGGTCGGGCGCAACCGGCGCATCTTTATATTCTTTCGACGGCTTCGCTGTCGCATCGGACTCCCATCCTTCATCATCTTCATCCCAGGCCTCGTTCTCAAAAGTGCGATCATCAAGCTCCTCTCCGTCTTTCGCAAGTTGTCCGAATATCTCGTCGTCTTCGTCAACGTACGCATCGTCGTCAAGCGCTTCCAGAACCTCCCTTAACCTCGGGTCCATATCTGGTTGGAATCCTGCCAGAGCATCGGGGACTTCCTGCTGTGCTTGATATGTGACCTTCCGTAAATTCTTCGACGGCAGTATCTCCTCGTCCAGGAAAATCTCCGGTTTGTCGTCAAGGCTAGAGTTTCTCAGGGCATCCTCCAACGAAAGCTTCTCCTTCCCTTTGCTCTTGTCTTTCTGCAAACTCGGCGCCTCAACAAAATGTGTCTCGGCTCCTCCACTCCCGATGTCGCGCATATGTTGCATGTAGTCATATTCGGTGTCATCGTAGTAAATTCCATGGTTGGCAGCCTCGCCTTCGTTGGCCCGTATCCTTCCACCATCGCTGCCAAATTCCGAGGTTAAATCATCAAGCTTCTTGATCTTATTCGAGTTTGCGGCCTCCGTAGGGTTCAAGATCATGGAGGAAACAGTCTCATCGTGAATGAGAGGGTCATTCTGTGGTCTGTGGACAAGCGTAAAGTGCTGTGCCGACTTCTTATCGCTGGTAACGTGTTAGTGCGTCAGGCTTCATTTTTGACGCCGCCAATACTTACATCCAACCCCGGCGACCCATTTTGTATGACTCTTCTAAAAATCGTGGCGGAGTGAGGTTTATATGTGGACTGCTCAGCGCATCTGTAGATTCCAAGAGGTCTTGGTAGAGAAAGTTTACGTGATCTCGAAATTTAGTACTGCGGGGAGAAAATTGGGCGGCGATAAACTTTTGCCACCCCGCCTTATCAATACCTGCAAAACCTCGTTAATACATCATACCCCTCCTCCACCAAAACTCGACACACGACATAAATAAACCACAACAATTAGGAATAAATACACAGGACCTACGTCAATATGGTGCTGGCTAAGTCGAAGAAGGCTGTCGGCCTTGGAAACAGTCTGATGAATGACCGTTTCGGAAAAGGCAAGGGAGCAGACAGAAAGAAAGTCACTTCCGCAGGAATTCACAGAATCAACCACGCAACAGGAGAGACATATGTCACGAACGAGAGAAAGGAGGCCAGTTGGGTCAAGATGCGCTCTGTTACCGAACAAGCTGCCTTGGACGAGTTTTTATCGACAGCAGAACTCGCTGGAACCGATTTCACAGCGGAGAAGATGAGCAACGTCAAAATTATCCACACCGACCAGAAGAACCCATACTTGCTGTCCGCAGCAGAGGAGAGAGCCGCTGTTGGAAAGCAAAAGGAGCACTCCGACAAGTTGACAGTGCCTAGACGACCACACTGGGATGCTTCGACGACGGCAGAACAACTGGATCGTGCGGAGAGAGAGGCACTTTTGGAGTGGAGACGCGGGCTTGCAGAGCTACAAGAGCACAACGATTTGCTCCTTACACCATTCGAACGCAACTTGGAGGTTTGGAGACAATTGTGGAGAGTTATTGAGCGCTCAGACTTAATCGTTCAAATTGTGGATGCAAGAAATCCATTGCTATTTCGATCGATCGATTTAGAAAGATATGTCAAGGATGTCGACCCAAAGAAGGAGAACTTGCTGCTAGTCAACAAGGCTGACATGATGACACTTGCACAAAGACAGGCATGGGCGGACCACTTTGAATCGGCTGGAATTGCATACAAGTTCTTCTCTGCTCACCTTGCAAAGGAGATCAACGAGGCTAGACTAGAGGAGGAAGACCAATCCGAATCCGAATCTGAGGATGAAGAGGAGGCTGGACTGAGGAACAAAGCAAAGGGTTTGACCTTAAAGGACGCAGAGGGCAGCGAGGAGGAGGACGATCGTGGCGATGACGTACGGACTCATATCCTTACTACGGAGGAGCTAGAGGAGCTTTTCCTGCGCCATCTTCCAGCCACTACAGGTGAGTCAAATATTTAGAGTCAATAGACATAATCGTACTAACTCAACACAGGTGATTCAACAGACGAGTCAAGAAAGACACAGATTGGACTTGTCGGATACCCTAACGTCGGAAAGTCTTCGACTATTAACGCCCTTATCGGTGCAAAGAAGGTGTCTGTCTCCGCGACTCCCGGAAAGACAAAGCATTTTCAAACCATCCATCTCTCTGAGAAGGTCATCCTGTGCGATTGCCCTGGATTGGTTTTCCCCAACTTTGCGACTACCAAGGCAGAACTTGTCTGCAACGGTATCCTGCCAATCGATCAACTACGTGAGTTCACTGGTCCTGCTGGCCTCGTGACGAAGAGAATCCCTCAGCACTTCCTGGAGGCGCTCTATGGTATCAAGATTGAAACACGGCCGCTGGAGGAAGGCGGAACTGGCATTCCTACAGCGGAGGAGATGCTTATGGCTTACGCAAAAGCGAGAGGTTTCACAAGAACTGGTCAAGGCCAGCCCGATGAGTCAAGAGCTGCGAGATACGTCCTCAAGGACTATGTCAGTGGTAAGATTCTCTTCTGTATGCCGCCACCAGGCAATATTGACCCATACGACTTCAACCGCGAGCTTTACGACGATGGGAACCTTCCAGAGAAGCGCAGAAACGCTCTCCATGCAATGAGCTCCGATGATCACGATGATATGCAATCGCTCGCTGACTCGACCCTCTCGGGATACGAGACGGGACCAAAGACATCGAAGATGGATGGCGCCTTCTTCGGTCAAGGACAAGGAAACAATGCACATCTCAGAATGCCCTTTGCACACAAGTATACTGAACAGGGTACTGCTTCCGGAAAACTACTCAGCGGCCGTAAGCAACGGACCATGGCGGCCTTGGAGAAGGATGTTGATCCCAAAGACGCCAAGTTATTGACCAGTAAGAAACACTTCAAAGGAGGGGTACAGGGGAATGGCAAGCGTAGAGCAGATTATTTCAATGATGGGGCCATATAGTTCCATGAGGGGTATGCTTTGCTCGATTAGTTATTAGGTGGATCTAGTGTACTGCACTGCACTTCTTTATGACGGTCTGGACGGGTGGCGAGGATAGAGGGGGGGAGCATTCGAACGGCGTTTCAAAAGGGATTTAAAATCTGCATTACCGAGCGTTGAATTTCTATTTTGATTTTTGATGCTCTTTCACAGTAGTATACACTTATATATGCTGCTAGAAATGCAATAACAATAAAATCGTAGATACTTTTGATCGCTTGTTGTGTAAATTTGGGGAAGAGTCGTCTATTTCGGTCAACCCGAAGCTAAGTGAGCCTCGGCTCCGCGGTGCCAAGGGTGCAACCTTCCTAGACCGAGGGTGGGGATTGTGGGGTGAGAAAATGGGGTAAGCTACGCTATTGTTTCCCATTATAACATCAACTGCTGCTGCACTCATTGTCCTTTTTTTTCCTCTTCTCTATATATCAAATATATTCTATTCAGCAAATATGTCGTCCAGAATCCCAATTATCGCACAGCCGTTCGTCAGCGAGAAGGCGAAGCAGACCCTGTAAGTGACGACAACGATCCAATGCCCGGCAATCTATCCATGCCGAGGGTATTTGGCTATGAACAACAGCTAACGCAAGTGTGATCACAGTGACATCGTCAAGAAGTTCGTCGAGGAGAGGTGTATTCCAGTCGATGCCGTCTTCCATGCTCAGATCCCAGTCGGTGAGACTCGCTGGGTAAGTCCATTGACAGAAGCTACCTCAGTGTGCAACCAGCTAACCCACGGTCCAGGACTCATACCCCAAGATTATCGATGATCTCAAGGCTGAAGCCCGCGCGCTCGGGCTCTGGAACATGTTCCTTGCGAAGGGCCACTACAAGGAGTCTCCCGGCTTCACCAACCTCGAGTATGGTCTGATGGCTGAGTGGCTCGGCCGCTCGAGAACCGCGTCTGAGGCTTGCAACTGCGCTGCCCCAGATACCGGTAACATGGAGGTGCTGGCTAAGTACGGAAACGACGCCCAGAAGAAGGAGTGGTTGGGTCCATTGATGGATGGCAAGATTCGCTCTGCTTTCCTGATGACCGAGCCAGCTATTGCCTCTTCGGATGCTACCAACATCGAGATGAAGATGGAGAGAGATGGAGACCACTACGTTCTCAACGGCTCAGTATGTCACTATTCCCCTTCAACAACCGATCCAGCTTAACTAACCCTTCTTGATAGAAATGGTGGTCTTCCGGCGCCGGCGACCCTCGCTGCCAGGTATACATCGTCATGGCCAAGTCCGACCCCAACAACAAGGACAAGTACCGCCAACAATCCGTGATCCTCGTCCCCGCCTCCGCCAAGGGCATCACCATCCACCGCATGCTCTCCGTGTACGGTTACGATGACGCCCCTCACGGACACGCGCACATCACCTTCGAGAACGTGCGCGTCCCCGTCTCCCAGATCGTCCTCGGCCCCGGCCGCGGCTTCGAGATCATCCAAGGCCGTCTCGGCCCAGGACGTATCCACCACGCCATGCGCAGCATTGGTGCCGCCGAGAACGCGCTCGACTGGATGTTGATGCGCATCAACGACCCCAAGAAGACGCCGTTCGGTAAGCAGCTCAAGGAGCACGGTGTGATCATTGAGTGGGTCGCTCGCAGCCGTATCGAAATCGATGCTGCTCGCCTCGTCGTCCTCAACGCTGCCATCCAGATCGATGCCGGCGGTGCCAAGTCTGCGCTGCGCGAGATTGCCGAGGCTAAGGTCCTTGTGCCCAACATGACTCTTGCGGTCATCGACCGTGCCATCCAGTCGTTCGGTGCTGCTGGTGTGTGCCAGGATACCCCGCTTGCGAACTCGTGGGCTGGTATCCGCACGCTGAAGTTGGCTGATGGACCTGATGAGGTCCATCTCGCCCAGCTCGGCAAGAACGAGAACAAGAGGAATGTGGAGGTTACTGCGTTGATCACGAGGCAGAGGGAGACGTCGGCGAAGCTTTTCGAGAAGTACGGCGTCAAGCACGTCCAGCCCGGCCCGACTAAGTCGAGGATGTAAAGTTGTAAAAAGATTAGGTGGAAACATGTAGTGTTGTAGTCTGTCTAGATACAATATATTTACAAATGAATTATTTATATCAGTTACTGCTCGCTGCCCAAAGATGATGCTGTAGAATTATACCCAATATACGAGAGCAATTTACACATCCAAGGTGGTCATAAATATTTATATGAATACAAAATTCTCTCTTGCGGCAAGCCCACAACAGCAGAACCTGAAGAAGCACACGAAGAAAGACGATTCTCGGAGGTCCGTTGTCGGTGTGAGATCTCGATTTGGCGCCCCCCCTCTCCACCGCCTCCACCATCTCCCATAGGCGGGATGAGACCTGGCACTCGTACCTTTGCCCGTCAAAAGCAACAGGAGGGCGAGCTCAAAGCACGGTTGAGCGGTTGAGCGTACGCTGCTCCCCTCCTCTGCCTGTGCCTGTCTGTCTCTGGGAAATGTGGTGTTGGTGGCCTTATCCAACAACCGCAGGCCAGCGAGGCTTACCCTCTCGGCAGAGCTATCAACGTGGCAGCATATTAGCGGTGGTGAGAGCGGACGGTGGTGAGAAGGCGTGGAAGAATTAGAGGGGTGACAACACCAGGAATCCGACAGAAGCTCCTAATCTAGAGAGCACTAGTTGAAGCAAGTCTGTTTTTGAAGACTGGCGTCGTATCCGAGCCGGTGCCGTTTAAGACACTTACTCTGTATGGTGTTTGCCCGGAGAGGTCAGTTTGTTTGTTTTTTTCAGTGAACTTACGTAAACATTTATTTCATTGTGGTCACTTTAACTTTATTTATATCAATATGGCTTCATTTATTGGTTCATAAAATATATATATTTTCGCTAGAAAAAAAATCAGGATATCATAAATCTTCAATACAGACGATCACCAATATCACAAATCGCGTATTTTCTCACGAGACCCATATTTCAGCCCAACAAACCCGTTTGCAATCCTCTTCCATCCTCATCTTCCCAACCCCTCCATACATCCACAAGTTACACAAGTTAACCCTCTAGCACGTGGCCAACATAGTGGTCAACGCAGCCTTCTCAGCGGTGGTAATGGTAAGATCGTAGACGCTCTTGACCTTGACCCACATCTTGGCGTAGGTGCAGTGGTAAGAGGCTATTATCCGTTAGTATGGCTGCTATTTCACGCTAAAAAAAGGAAATATGAGAAAACGTACTCAAAGATGGCTTCCAGTCCTCAGGTCCCTTGTCACCCTTGGCCTGGTTGACGTTATCGGTAACAGCCAACAGCTGGGGGTTGACGAGATCGTTGGCGAAACCCTGTCTCTGGGGGGTAGTCCACGAAGCAGCGCCCGACTTCCACGCGTTGCTCAGGGGCACCAAGTGGTCGATGTCAACGTCGCTAGCAGCGGTCCAGGTGGCACCATCGTAAGGGCTGAGCCACTTGCCGCTGGTGGAGGCACAAGCACTGTCGGTCACGACACCGGTGCCATCACGCTTGAGGACAGTCTCGCGGGTGTTGCAGGTGCCGGAGATGGTGATCCAGTGGGGGAAGAGGTCGCGGGAGTAGCCGGTTTGGGGGCCCTGAGCGGCGACGGTGAGGCCGGCGAGGGCGGTCTTGGCGGCGGCGGTGGTGGGGATGTTTGGGGGAGCGCGGGCGGCGAGGGGAGCGGGGACCGCGAGGGTGAGGGGGATGAGAGCGAGGGTGATGGCTGAGATGAAAAGCATGATGAAGGTTTGTGGGGGGTGAGGCGCTTCTGGAAGGTTGAAGGGAGAGGAGTGGATGGAGAACGAGAAGAGGGAAGTGAGAAGGGCTATCAGCAGCTCTTTATAGAAAATATATACTATGAGAGAGGCTTCTTGTCTTACCCATGATAGCTCGTGACGATCTATAGCTCAGCACCTACCTACCTACCATAAAGGTTCTAGCCTTCCTTTCCCCTCTTCTCAGAATTCCTTTTCTTGATAATAGCTGCACCGACCCCGAAGTTAATATGTTTAATTTCCTTCTGGTTTGAAAATCCAGCTTCTTCCGTGCATCTTCGTCTTGGCATACATGCATCGTGCCTGTCCTGTTGTTGTGATGATTGGGGAAAGTCGCCACACGTGGGCTGCGATGTGTAAACGCTGTGTCTTGAAGCTTTCCCCTCCACTCACTCATTGACACTGCCGGAACGTCTCGGTAGATCTGCTCGGATCATATGGCGGCGGACGGCTGGGGATGGCTGGCGGCAAAGTGTCACATTCCTATTCTGATCATTAGAAACGACGAACCAATGGGTGGCCAACGTGGGTTGATGGTGTTAAGGTTATCATGCGAGGAATATGTCTCAGTCTACCAATAGGGAGGGGTTATGATCCACGCAGGGCCGCTTGCATTAAAGATTGACGGGGGCGGCCAGGGGGCAGTGATCTTCAACATCATACCGAGTATTCCGCCGTAGCGTACAGTAGTGAGTTTGAGAGCGACAACGCAGCGAGCCAGCTACTGGAAAAACATAAACAGAATCAGAAGACAGATAGAATGGTTAACGTGCTCTCATAACGTGAACAGAAGAAGAGTGTCAGCGCGTTGAGAACTCGGGATCAATATTCGATTCAGTTCAGTGGAAGATGGCGGATGTCACTTAACATGGAGTAGTTGCCGTTTTGATAAGAGTACGTACCAGACCATCTGCCGCGGTAGCGGAAACGGGTGGGCCAAGACACTTGGCAGGAGGACAATTTTGCGCCACACAGAGTTCAGCGATAAGAAACCGATAAGCTTAACCTCACAACTAACGCGCCATACGCTGTGGCGTACCTAAAAATGAATATCAAACCCATGACAAGAACCAGATGGGCCTGACAGCTACTCGTGACGATTTGAAAACGTGCACATAAAAGCCATACCAGATGGCTCCAAAGCAACCCCCAGTCATCTTACCCCCAGGGTGCACCGCAGAATCCCTCCTCCCCATCCAGCATCTCCTGCACCTCACGGCCCACCGCAACAAGAACCAGCACCGCATCGCGAAGTGGTGGGCTTCATTCTCCATCCTGCGTCGGCAGCTGGGGAAGCTGATTACAGCGCTTGAGGATCCTGATGCGGCATTCCGTGCGAAGAAGATTGAGATTGAGACGAGGGTTGTGTTTTTGAGGGAGGAGGTTGTGCCAAGATGTTACCTGTAAGTTAGACCTACCTGATGGGGACGTGAAAGCATAGTGGGAGGGGTAAAAGGTGGCTTGTGGAAAATTTGAGTTCCGGAGCCAAGCGGAGATATTCTTGGATTGGTGCTGACTTCTGAATAGGGCCTTCTCGACTGTGGTGGCAGATAACCAGTATGCCTCCCTGGGGCTGATGCTGATGGGCTGTCTGGCGAGAATGAATAAACTCATATCGTTCCCTAAAGATGAAGACGAAGAGATGGAAGAGGTGGTCAAGGTCGAGAAAACGGCCTCTAGTCACGTGTTGGAAGTTGAAGACTTTGGAGAGGCAATCAGCAGAGAGGAGTTGGAAGGGTCGGTAAAGAGCTTGAAGACGGCGAAGAAAGGGAAGAAGATTGCGGATGGGCTACTGGAAGCGGGCTCCACGCCATCTTCTGGAAGGAAGGGGCTAAGCGTATCTTCTTCGAAGAAGAAAGTCATTACAGAAACAGTAGCTTCAGAGAGCGATGACGCTGTATCACCGGCGCCTACAACTGAAAAGAAACGGAAGAAGGTCCGGGAAACAACAGTCACCACCGCAAGCACCAAAACCACAACACCAAAGCCCCCAAAGAAGAAGCGGAAGAAGGGCGGCGACGAATTCGATGACTTATTCAGCGGCCTTATATGAAAAGCGACGCAATACGCTATAGTATCTAATATCTAATGAAGAACCGACGCCACAAGATACCAACATAAATACCCAATATCTACACCCACCCTATCCGTCTAATAAGCGCCCAGCCAGAACAGCAGGCTTCCCAATCCGATATTCATCCCGATATGCTGCCCGATGCTCCAGGCCATGCTGTACAGGTACTTTGGCGAAAATACCGTCCAGATGAACAGGTGTGTCCGCAGCACCGTGCACGCCGCCATGATGAATACCAATCCCGTCGCTGCAAATACGGTCTGCAGCGCGATGTACTTCAACAACACGTTCTTCTCGCCCCCTGCCCGGAGACGCAGGAGCATCATCGTTGTAGCGGAAGTCCAGAAGATGGGCCCGGTCCAGTTGCTCACGAAAGTGAGGATTCCGACGGCGACGATGTTGTAGCCGCTGACGCCGTTGTAGGCGCTCGAGAGGTCGACGGAGGAGATGGAGTTGGTGCCGCCGAAGGCGAAGAAGGACATGTATTGGAATACAAGAGAGGTGATGGTGACCTCGGTGAGGTTGAGGTCTAGGTTAAAGAGAAGGTGGAACTGTGCGGAGAAGATCATAAGGAGTGGGATGTTGGTGGCGCGGGATTGGGTCATAAGCAAGAGGGTGAGGAGATTGTGAATCGTGCGAGTTGAGGCTGTGGAATAATTAGTGGGTGTAGTTTGACACAGTGGGAGCTTAAACATACTGAAACGATGCCTGCGGACCGCGGACAAATACTCTGCCCCGATAGTTTGTGCCAAAGCAAGACCGATACCGATGAAGACACCCCTCGCCCTATTAACCAGTGAGAACCCCGTAGTCAGCTCCGCAACTTTACTTGCAGTCCAGTCCAACAGTTCAGGCGCATCTTCATGCGTAAACGCGACCTTGAACGCCGCAGCCATAACCGCCAGGAACTGTGCAACGCCCTTTGCAATCGATCGCGGGAGATGCGGGAAGCCAGTTGATGAGAGCGAGTAGCAGTTCCACATGTACATAGCAAAAACCAACGCCCATAGAAACGTGGTGTGCTCAGCCAGGAAAGTGCGGGCGATATCTGGCTCGCCAGCAAATTTCTGTCCGGTTTGGTTCCAGCGACGTGTGAAGCGGAGGCCAGCGAGGACGACTACGCAGCTGAAGGAAGTGGTTAATGAACTCTTGGCCCTGTGACTGTTAGTTGGAATTCTCGGGTTGAAGAGGGGGAGGAACCTACGTCTTGAAGATTAGAACGGTGATCCATCCGGATGCTGCCCAGTACCAGAAATTGTGCTCTTCTTCTACATAGCTGCTTGCGAACATCATTATCGAATATAAGAGGGTGATTAGTGCGAACAGTGGACTCTTTCCAAGAACTGGGGCTGCAGTGAAAACAGCTAGAACAGTTGATATCATGGCAATGGCCTGACCAGTATATAGCTTGGTCATGTCATAGTTGCTTGCCGCACTGCTCATGATAGTTTGGGCATGCCTTGACCACTATGGACGGTTAGCACAGAGGTCTACATAACAGATGGTTGACTGACGTTAATAAGGTCTTCATGTAACGAATCACTATGCCCAGACTTCTTGTGGCTTCGGGCTTCAAGCTGGGCAGTGATAAGTTTCCAATCGCAGCCGAGTTTCTCAATATCTGACGAAGGCTTCTGGCAATCCTGCGAACTCTTTTCTCCGAACAATGACGCTGGATGGGCGGCAGCAATAACATTTAAGATCTGCTTTGCATTTGCGAGAAGAATATGCAGCTGGTCATTCCCTGGGGAAAGTTAGCATGGAATGCCATTTATGAACATGATGTTATTGTACCTGAACTCCAGAAAGGAAGGAAATTGCGAATGAAATTTCCCAGATTGTTCCTCGGGACTGGGAACCCTAAAAGCGCAGCCAGTGTCGGTGCAATATCTGATTGCTCGATGGTATCGTAGAATTGAAACTCATCACTAGGGGCAATCGGGCTTTCGAGTCCAGCAGAAATCTTCTTCAGCTTTGGAGACATAAAAACCAATGCTGGGGAGGTCTCTCCGGGCGCGGAGCCGCCGTGGTTTCCGGCATCATTCATGCCATGGTCTCCACAGATAATAAGAAGGGTATTCGCAAGATGCTTTTGGGACTCGATTGCAGTATACATCTGTTGAACAAGTCCGTCCATTTCCTTCTGCTTCGGCAACATATTTGGGCTACGTTAGTTAGTAATGTACTTGCTGTCTTGGATATGGAGTCCAACCTTCGTGGGCCTGCCTTGTGGCCAATGTGATCCATTCCAAGATAATGAAGGACCATTGTGTTCCAATCGTCATTACGCAATTCTTCAGGGACATGTCTAGTCACATTATTGTCCACTTCGGTAAAATCCTATCATATATTTCAGCTATTTGATGTCTAGTTCCTTTTTTCAGATGACTAACCGCAACGAAAAAGCTGGATGTCCCATCCGCGCGATCAAACGTATCTGGGAATAGCTTCAACCACGTATCGTCTCCGTACATAACCAGCTTTCCAGAACCCTTTGCTTTCATCTGAGCCAGCCAGGTATCCTGCGCCGCGAGGCTTGAGGTGGTGTCGGATTCGGCAAAGTTCAATATGACGTCTAGGAAGGAGGGGATAGAGCCAGTCGTAATTGCTTTGACCCGCGGCATTGTAATAGTTGGGGATGTTGCATGAGCAGTGAACGGCATCGCAGCGCCATTGGAGATTAAGCTGTGTCTGTTAGCCAGTGTTATTTGGACTGTCGAAGCAGAACATACCTTTGAGTAAAAGTGAAGCCTGACTCGTCAGAGAATACAAAGTCACTATAAACGTTAGACGCTTCCTTTCCGTAGAAGTTGATGAGGATCACCCCTAATGACATACCTTCGGAGGGCATCAACCACCATGAATATGACCTTGTCGAAAGGCGCCTTGGGGGGTGCGCCCAACCCAAACCCAAGGGCTTCATACTCTGCTAAACCAGGAAGGAATGGCTTGTATGGAAAGAAGCCGCTGGCAAATGTTAATATGGCAATAGGTATGAACAGGTTAGCTATCGTGAGCATCACTGTCGATTTGGACGGAGCCATTGTGAATGATTTGGAGCCCTGCAGCTTCCTTTGATCATGGGATTGAGAAATCAGCCATGGGAGTTCTATCGGCCGTTTCAACGTTTGCTCATGGGTTGGTTCATGGTGGCTTTCGTGTACGATTCTCGATCGTGAATTTCAGCTTGGTGACGCGAGGTTGCGGATCACGTCCCCGCTACAACCTTAATTCCGTCCCCCAACTAACTAAATACGTCTACAATCAACTCTGGCCAAGCCCTATTACAGGAATCATACTGCGGAAGAAACCAAATTATCATAACAGTTAGCCAGAAGTGTGCTCGATATAACTGTTTATTTTGAAGATTAATCCCCGCAAGCCAACCACTGTGTTGCTCCTGATCGGCAATCGGTCATTTTTTAAGAAACTCTTATCTTGGGAATGCCACCCTATATACATAACGCCGTTGTTCGCCCTGCAAAAGCCTTCCTACGCCATGCTCGATGAAATCAAAAATTCCTCTGACATTGACCTACTTCTTCCGGCTCTTCGTGCCGACCTTCTTGCCGTTCTTGTACTTCGGGAAGACGATACCAGACGATCTGGAGCGTGCGCTTCTCTTCTTCTCGATGCGCCCGCTGCTGGGTTTCGAGATTGCTGGTGCTTGCGTAGTATCCTTATCAACTTCCATATCTGAGGGAATAAATTAGTAAATATATTGTTGTAAATGTAGCAGTGACTTACCGTCGGCTTGCTTCGTTACTTTGAGAGCGCTTTTGAGAGGAGCTGGAGCGGCAGCATCTATGAGTGAGGTTAGCATGAACTCGACAGAAACATATGCTGACTTACCCTCTACATCCATCGTAACATCTTTCTGTGCGGAAGGGCGCGGTGCTGCTGCCAATGCGAGCAACTTTGCTGACAACCTCTCTGTTCTGGCGGTCTCAATGGGACCGAAAACCTTGGTCTTCAATGCAACGTTGTTCGCCTTGATCGAACTTGCACGAGCGCCTTTTGCCATGATTTATATAAACTGAGTGATTCGACGGTAAAAATAGTGGTATTTTTTCTTTCGGGGTCGATCTGAGGAGATGCTAACAGTGATTTGAAGTTTATGCAAGCCTGCATAGATTCTCGCCCGCATCCCACATTTCGATAAACTTTTAGCTAGCGGCGCTTCGATTCTGCCACCGCCTTCCCCCAGTCGCATCGCGATAACGAGGGACGCGGTCGTGCCAAATTTCACTCACCGGAATCGCATCATACTGGGCAATTCCTATTTCTTCTGCCCTGGGCAGCAAGCGGAGCTTTCGTATCGCCTGTTCTGATTCAAATGTTACAGACAAAGATTTGATGGTGGAAATTATTCTCATTCATTCCGGTAGCTTCACCAACATCTGAGCATGGCCTCGATGGGTGGAGGGAATCTGGATCCGGTCCCTCTCATCCGGATCCTGAAAGGCCCACGCATGCTCAACAAATACCTCACTGCTATTTGCAAGTCGGAGAGGATTCCTTGCGCTGGAGCTGTTAAAGCTATCATGCAACAGCGAATACAAGACAGTCAGTTGGCGTTTCATTCCTTCCCGAAACAATACGGATATTCACTCATACACGCCACATATCTACTTGAACCCCCGCATACAACTAGCGCTAACACTATCGCTCTGTAGATATTGAAAAGTATGTTGCTGAAGGCAACGTTGTAAAGTTTAATAACATCAAGAGTTTGCTCTCCAATCCGGAGGACGCCTTATTTCCGAATGGTGGTTACGCTCCATACTCGTCCTCACCTGCAGCTCCATCGCCACGACCAGCGCCTGGAATACAGGCACCTAGATACATGGCAAATGGTATGGGCACACAGCCAGGTTGGTGATCCCACCCTTGTGGAAATGGGGGTGTTGCTGATTGAGTGCACAGTTCTCGATTTCAAGCCGAGCCCCTTCTACACCCTCCAGCGGCAAATCGGCGACGTGAAGACGTGTCCGGGTTAGTTTGGATCGGTCCCCATGAATAACTTACGATGCTGATGAAATTCTAATCTGAAAGCTATGGCAGCCCATAGAAATAATGTTGAGATATCTGTGCAAGCACAAAACTGGCCGATTCTAGGACAAATAGAAACAGACAAGTCCTTGAGAGTCATGGCGTTCTGTTCGAGCGATCCGGGGACCATGAGACAAGATATTTCATTTCCGCATCAGTCTGAGATTAAGGTTAATGGCGGGGATGTCAAGGCGAATCTGCGAGGGTTGAAGAACAAGCCAGGATCTACACGACCTGTTGACTTGACCCCATACCTTCGACTGAAACCATCACAATACCCGAACAAAATTGAAATGACTTATGCATTAACGACAAAGGCAAGTTCCGACCTTTCTAGAGCCAGCTATCCAAGCGACTCCAGCCGCTATTCAACTTTATGCTATTATTCACGCCCAGCTCGGCCACTTCCCTTTGCTAACATCCAACCCAGACCTTCTACTTCATGGTTTCCGTCGTCAAAACCGTTGCAGTTGAGGAACTGCGGAAGAAAATCGAAAATGGAAAGAAGCTATCCAAAGAGTCGGTTATCAACGAAAGTGAGTTCTGAGTGACGTCTGTATCTTATCATACAGATACTAACGTTATACCCATCAGTGGTCTCCAAAGCAGCGGATCCAGACATTGTGGCTACATCTACAGTTCTCTCTCTGAAGTGTCCCTTGTCCACTCTGAGAATGGACTTGCCATGCCGCTCAACAGCATGCCGGCATAACCAATGTTTTGATGCAACATCATACTTGCAACTTCAAGAGCAGGGACCGACTTGGCTGTGCCCGATTTGCAACAACTCGGCCACTTTTGAGACTCTGGCTGTGGATGAGTATGAATTTCACTTCCTTGACCTCCATCCCCGACTAACGTATGTATAGTTATGTGAGAGATATTATAACAAATACTCCGCGATCGGTAGACCAGGTCACCATAGAACCCGATGGAAAATGGTCCACCAACACCAGAACCCCTTCACCGTCAAGAGGAAACCAGGACTTCGATATCGAAGGCGATGACGATATTATCGAAATCAAGGACTCCAAATTCCTATCTATCAGAAACCACAGCACTCCAGGCACCTCTGCAAGCACTCCTCCAACTTCACTATACTCGCGGGAGCCATCCACTGCAATGAGCGCCCCCAGACCGTCCAACAAGCGCCCCGCATCATCAGTCATTGACCTCACGCTGAGCGATGAAGACGACGAACCTATCTCAAGGGCACCAAAGCGACAGAGCACCGCAGCCTTTGGCGCAACGCAGGTCCCACACTACGCGACGCCAGGTCGGTCCTAGGAGGATTTACTTCTGCCTGTGACGTTGGTTGGCTAGTGGATATAAGGCAGTTCATGGGGACTGCGATGGATTCGATATTTTCTCTCATTTTATCATTGGCGTGTACAATAATGACTACATAGCATTAGCGACGGAGGGATTTCCCTGGGCGTTCTGGAGGACAGGAGATGGCGGTCTGGGTTGGGAGGGGCGTTTTGCGGCACTATGTTAGATGATATTGGTTCGTCTTTGCAACTCTCATTGTTGCTAGCTCGAGGGCCCATCATATTCTCTCGTATTGCTAAATATCAAAACATTTGATCTATTATATGCACATGTAAACCGCAGTGATTAACCCCCCCTAATTGCCCCTTAACGCGTGGTATAAATTGTCCATCTCGGTAGAGCCCGGCGAGGCTCCGGCCGTCAACTCGGAACCTCCAAATATCCACAGCCTTACACCCTTCCCACCACAACCACCACATCCCATCAACCCGCAATCACCACCCCCTCCACACCCCACACGAAACCAAAAACCACCCCATGCAATAACCCACATCCAAATCACACTTACCATGTCCTTCGAAAGCCCGCAACCGCCCTACAACGCCGGCGACCCCTCCGCCACCTTCCTCAGCAGCTCCTGCCTCGACTTCCTCCTCATCGAGCTCGTCCCGCTCGCCTACCGCCTCGCCCACGACATCGACAGCGTCAAGCGCGACGGCGTCGCCGGGCTCCCCGAGGATGAGGTCAAGGCGCTCGCTGCTGCGAAGGGGGGCAGCGTGAGCACCAAGGCGGCGGGGACGGCGGGGACGGCGGGGACGGGCGCGCTGAGGGGGAGCAGGATGGATGAGGATGAGGAGCGGGATGCGGTGTTTTATAGGCTCGAGACGCTGGGATATCGCGTTGGGCAGGGCATGGTTGAGAGGTTCGTGGTCCCCCCCCGGCTTTTGGTTCTGTCTCAGGAGAGTCGTGGTGCTGGAGCTAGATAAAGCCGGGTGACGGGAGTGTGCATGGGCTAATGGGTGAGGCGCAGGTTCTCGACTGATAGGCCACGGTTTACGGATACGCTTGATGTGATTAAGTTCCTTTGCAAGGACCTGTGGATGCTGGTCTTTCGAAAGCAGATTGATAACCTTAAGACTAACCACCGCGGGGTTTATGTCTTGACTGATAATGCGTTCCGGCCGTTCTCGCGGATGAGCACTGAGGCTGGTGGACAGGCTGTTGTGCGCGCGCAACCGGTATGGAATCCTTCCCCTGGCGTCCACATCCTCAATGGCGAGAAAGAGACAGGTTTGGCTGACATGTGTGCCTGAATTATAGTTCCTGTGGTTTCCATGCGGTATTATTAGAGGCGCCCTGGCGAGTATGGGGATAAATGCGACGGTGCAGGCAGAGACATCGGAGCTACCGGGGGCGACGTTCCAGATTAAGTCTATCACTGTGAATCCTTGATGGATAGCTGCATGTGCATATGCCGGGACGAGGGAGGATAGACTATATGGAACAATATGGAACTAAGGAGGGCAGGCAGGTGTTGAGTAGACTGCTTCGGGTTGGTTTTTCGTCACAGCGGTTTAGCGGCATACACTGGCGTTGGGAATGGCATATCACATTGCCTGAAATGGGACATATTTTTACACTATTCACCAAGAGCTGCATATTCATGTGAACTCATCGTATGGGGCTCGTCATGTTTACTTTTTATATTCCCTCAAAATCGTTAAACTGGTCATGTATCTTGCTCAAAAGGCTTCATTGATCATAGTGCAAAGCGCGGCTGAGAGGATTAAATCACAATCTACCTACGCAAAGGCCAATTAGTGATGATTCTAACCCACAAAACGACAAACTGAGAGATGGAGCGAGGGGGAGATTAATCACTTTTGGGGAGGGTTGTGGGCGAAGGTAACACCCTTCTCGATGTTACCCTTAAGGCCCTCAACAGCAGCCTTAAGGAGGGTCTTCTCGTTGTCGTCCAGCGAGGCGAGGGGGTTCTGGGCCTTCTCGGCACCGTTGGGGCCAAGCTCAACGGGGACGGAGAAGAACTCGAGTCCACCGACAGCAGCCTTGATGGCGTCACCGCCTGGAACGGCAAGGTTGACAAAGGTTGGCTCAACGATGTTCTTCTCGCCAGCAGCAGCGCGGAGGACCTTCTCAGCGAAGCGGAAACCGGCGTAAGCCATGGAGAGGGTGGCAGAGCCAGCACCGTCCTTGGCCTTGACGACCTCATCACCACCGAACTGGACGCGGTTGACGAGGGCGGCGAGCTTGTCGGCCGGGATGGAGACGGAGGGCTTGGCCTGGCTGAAGAGGGGGACGATGGTCTCGCCGGAGTGGCCACCGATGACGGGGATGGTGGTCTCCTGGGGGTTCTTGGCGCCAGTGATCTCGGCGACGAAGGTCTCGGCGCGGACGACGTCGAGGGTAGTGACGCCGAAGAGGCGCTGGGGGTTGAAGACGCCCTTGGCCTTCAGGACCTCGGCGGCGATGGGGACGGTGGAGTTGACGGGGTTGGAGATGATGAGGATGAAGGCTTTGGGGGCGACATCGGCGATGACCTCGATGAGGCCCTTGACGATACCGGCGTTGATGTTGAAGAGATCATCACGGGTCATTCCTGGCTTGCCTTGAGGGTTGTTAGCATGGTTCTAGAGCTGCATGGAAGATGGTGCTTACGGGGAATGCCAGCGGGGATGACAATGATGTCTGCGTTCTGGAAGGCGAGCTTCGCGCCGTCATCCTTTGGCAGGTAGCCGGTGATCTTCTGTGATATTTGTGAGCATTTGTATGGCAAGGACTTCTGATTCTTCTACGTACGGCCTTGGAGGAGATGTGGGAGAGATCGGCAGCAACACCTGGGGTGTTGACAACATCGTAGAGGGCGAGCTCATCGATGAGAGGGCTGAGCTTGAGGAGGAGGGACAGCGGCTAAATGGGTCTGTGTCAGCGATTGACTCTCTCAACGGCTGGTTAACGTCGTAATACCTGTCCAATTCCACCAGAGGCACCGGCGACAACTACAGGAGAGTTAGTGATATATTCCTCAGCAGCTCAGGGTATTATCTCAGTGGCTTACCAGCTTTAACCATGATTGCGGTTTGGGTTGATTGAGTGCGGAGATGAATCTGATGGCGGGGTAATTTGTCAGTCGATGCGCATTTCCAAGAGCTCTGCATCCATCAAGGGCCAACACATACAAGATTTGCGTATGGAACAGATCTTTCTTAAGATCTAAATAAGAATCGAAAAGGTGTCAGAAATTTCTCGTGTCAAAATATGGATAAAGTCAAGCTGTTCTCAACACTTCCGCACTTCCCATCCCCAAATGCCAAGCGCGCGATATCGCGGGGTTTCCCTTACCTATTTAGCGAGTGGTGATTGGGCGGGGTGGGGGGGTTGATGTTTGAGTATGAATAACGTGATGAGAATTAGCTAGAAAATCGCGCTCCGGATTGTGGGAGGCGGGAGTGTTCATATATAAATCGTGGAATTTCTCACTAGATGCCTTTTTAGAATCACATTCCGCATCCATCCCCGCATAAATAGCCTCACGTCATGTTCCGAGGCTCTCTCGGGCGGGATCGGACGGTGCTGGTTGGTTGACGGAGGCTTTCGCCGACCCAGTTCGGGAGTTCACATGGCAGATGGGAAGGAGGGAGGCTGATTTATTCACCAGTACTTCATAGCCTCGCAGCATCGTGCTGTAATTAAAATAGAGGCTCTCAGTTACTGAAGACTATAATTGTCATGTCAGTTGCTCGGAAACAGAGCCTAATTGCCATATCAGTCAGCCAAAAATTGAGCCAAAGAGACGAACCTCACAAGGAGAGGAACGAGGAAGGCAACCTATTCACCAGTAGCCTCGCAGCATCATAGCGTCACAATACAGAATACCACGCATTCACCTCCCCCATCACAGCAAGCAAAGCAATCTTTAGCAAACGCCTGGATTTCATTCCAGTTGCTCATATTTCGCTACAGCCGAGCTAGCCCTCCCCATCCCACCCCTCCCAGGCGTCATAACCATGACAAAACCCCGGCAGAAAATGCAATCGGTCGCTCCCCCCTACACAGTTCAAAAGCCATGACACAAGATAAATCATCCCTACAACCAGAACAAAAAATCCCGTCCAGGAGAACAAATTCTTTGCATTTGATGATAAGAGTTTCCCTACGAAACCCCCCACCCCTCCGCTCCCAGTAAGACGTCACTTCATGGGTCAACTTCTCCCTTCTTTCCTCTAGTTCTCCTCAGCAGCAGCGGCGGCCTTCTTGGCCTTGACACCACGCGGTGCGCTCACTGGGCGCTCCTTGACGGCGCGCTGCGACTTGCGGATGGCGGAGGCGCGGGCAACGGCGGTGGCGCGGAGGTCACCTCTGTAGCCCTTGGCGACGGTGTTGGCGACGCTCTTGTAGGTCCTGGTGTTGTCATTAGCTTCTGCTCTCTTGCTTGGGATGCGATGGCATGGGGGAAGAAGGGCGGTGGTAGACTCACTTGCGGTTGGACTTGCTGCCGTTGATGGTGGTCGAGGTGGCAGCAGAAGGGCGCTGTGCGTTTCCGGCCTTCTTGGTGATGAGAGTCACACCTCCCTTATCGCCCTCAGCGGGTGCGATGCCAACAGCCTGTCTCGTATCAGTAAACGTCATCCCATCCTGTATCTTCCTCCTCTCTCGATCCTCGTCATCGCCGTAGTGAGAGAAGTGCATTCGCGCATACCTTGGTGTTGACAAAGCCGCCGTGCTAGAGAACAGTAGTTAGCATCTCTCCTTCTTTCTTTTCTTCCATGTTGAAGCCGTAGCTGCGATGAGAGCTTACCTTGCGGGAGTGAAGGTTAACCAAGTTCAGCGGGTCGCGCGAGAACTGGACACCCTTGCGCTTGACGATGTACGCGTTCTGGCTGCCTGTTCGCATTCAATCAGCCTCCATTCAATATACACATATTCATTCCATTCCATCCTGTCCTGTCTTGTCCTGTCCTGTCCGCCGTCCGCCAATCCCCCTCCCTCCCTCCCTCAAGCGGACAGCACCTCCCTCCCCCCTCCCCTCCTCCAGGAACATTTCATTCATTCGGGGAAAAACATACGAGCAACCTCCCAGATCAAGTCATCGCTGACGAGCGGCGAGTAGTATGCGGAAGACATGGTTGGCGGAGGTGATTTTCGAATTGGTCGATTTGCGGATTCAAAGACTTCAAGAACTTCAGAAGGACGACTTTCAACCCAGTACCTCTTTCCGAACAATCAATATTGAATAATTGCCCAACTGTGTGCGTTCCCAGCCAATCGGTGCATCGTTTTCCCGCTAGCCCGGTTACAAGCGAGAAATTCCCTAATCCCTGCTACTCTGCGCCCCGAAGATGATGACGCTACCAGTAGTCACGTGGGGTGGTTACGAGATACGTGGGTTACGCATCTACCGGATGGAGGCGTTCGTGTCTTGCAGTTCTGACTGAAACGCCATTCCTTCATGCCCACCAGCTAGTTTTCTGATGTCCTTATAACCGGGACTACGAGGGCATATACCTTTCTTTTGTCCTCATACCGATACAACTACATTGCTTCATAGCAATCGGCGCTGTTGAACCGACCGAACCGGCCGACGACGGTCATATAAACTCACAACACCGACCGAGCCGCGACGAGCAGCTGCGACAATGGGGTATTACATCCTCTACTCAACACTCTTCCTCTTCCTCGCCATCGCCACCGGTTCGTCCCCCTCCCTCCCCCTCCCCCTCCCCCTCCCCATTCCCCCGCCGTCACTAACACACCCCCCCAGCAGCCATCCTCACCCGCTCTTCCTGGCTCCCCCTCCTCACCTCCCTCCCCACGCCCCGCTACATCCCCCTCCCCTCTTTCCTCTCGGACGCCGAATCCGGCCTCAGCAGTTCCACCTTCGACCTCAGCGCCAACATCAATTCTCTCGACAGCCGGTCTGGGCTCGACGACGCAGCGAAAACAGAGATAATGGGGATTATGCGGGGGACGTGGTGGAGGAGGGGGATGGGGTTCGATGAGGCGAGACGGGTGTATATGGAGCGGATGTTGGAACGGGAGGGGATTGGGAGGGATGGGAGGCCGAGGGATCCGAAGTTTGTTAGTTTTTCGTGAGGAGGGGGGAGGGGATGGATTGGAGGGAGAAAAGGCGTTTTGGGGGTTGATTTGGGAGCCGCAAGCGGCGTGGGATATACACTCTCTTATTTTCCTTTTTTTGTTTGTTTGTAAGAGGCAAGCCGGCCGGATATTTGTTATGGTGGCTCAGCGAGGGAGAGGGAGATCAAAGTGTACGACAGTTTGCGTTAGCAATTGGGGGGTTTATATGCGTGCTATAATACAGCGGGAGTTGCATATACTACAGAATATCATGCCGTGCAGTGATAGATGTGAAAGTGTTATATCTTAAGTGATGCTGAGGATATAAGGCTGTGGTTATGGTTATCTGCTGTGTAACGGGGTATGACCTGTCATATATAAGGAAACGAAGCTATTTGCTGCATCACTCTCACATCATCACTTAAAATCCACTTCACAGAACTATTCAACGATATCACATTAAACTCGTCAAACCCATCAGCTTGAATGAGCCATTTCCAAAATAAACTCATGTATTGTTGCCCGCTCACTCTCGAGCTTGCCATGCAAAGACCAAATAAAAATCCAAACAGGCGAAGCTCCCAAGTCCAGTTCTACTACTATTTTAAATGGACAAGAGGCACGGGGAGACGACTCAAAACCAGAACATCAAACAGGGCAAGAAAGGCATCAAAAAAACGTTAAAAATTAAACTGAAGGCGACGTCGCAGATCTGACAACAACAAATCCCCAAATCCCCCCTTCGCAAAACAAAATCAAAGATTCTATGTTTTTTTATTCCTTTCCCACAATCTGTAAAATAAGGGGTCCCCTTTTTTATCCTGTCTCTCCATCTCAACCCTTCTCTCGGTCTAATCTCTCTCGCATGTGGGCGTGCCAAGGTAAGGGGGGGACATAAAAAGACCAACTATCTATGCTTCTCTCCCATCGCTTTCACAAACAAAATGCACACACAACGCGCCCGCACCGCAAGCATCCCCGTCTTCGCAGATCCCGCTCCCAGAATAAAAGCAAACTGCATAGACCGCGAGAAAGACCGCGGAGCCGCCCGCCCAAGGGAGGGGGTGGGTGGTCTAGATTATTTTAAAAAATCTAGGCCTTTGCGCCGTTGACCTGCTTGAGGGTCATATCATCGTTCTTATCAACGACCATATCTCCCTCAATGTTATCCACCACCACATCCCTCGCAGCAATGACCTTCTTGTTCTCGACCTCCGGGAACGGAGTAAGGACCTTAGTGATATCACCCCACCACTCCTCACCGAAAGCCTTGTACCACTGCACAGTAATCCCAACTCCCTTCTCGAACGAGGTCTTCTGGTCCCATCCGAGGTTACGCAGCTTGGTCCCATCGACGGCGTAGCGGCGATCGTTGAAGGGACGGTCGTGAGTGTGCTTGATCCAGGTGTGCAGCTCCTCCTGGGTCTTGTGCGGGATCTCGAGGTAGGCGAGGAGCTTGGAGCAGAGGGACAGGTTGGAGATCTCGTCGTAGGAGCCGACGTTGTAGATCTGCCCGATGTGGCCCTTGTGGAGGATGGTGTCAAAGGCGTCGGCGGCGTCGCCGGCGAAGAGGTAGCGGCGGGTTGGGGAACCGTCGCCGTGGAGGACGACGGGCTCGCCGCGGTTCAGGAGGCAGGTGAATTTGGGGATGACCTCTGGGAGGGGTGTTAGTGGGATGTGCGAGGAGGGGATTGCGGGGGGAACGTACTCTCGGGGAACTGGTGGGGGCCGTAGACGTTGTTGCTGCGGACGATGATGACGGGGAGCTTGAAGCTCTTCTGGTAAGAGTGCACCAACATCTCTGCGGCGGCCTTGGAGGCGGCGTAGGGGTTGGTGGGGGCGAGGATGCTGGTCTCGAGGAGGTCATCATCCTCGTCCTCAACCTCACCGTAGACCTCATCGGTGGAGATGTGGATGAAGCGCTTGATGCCGACCTTCTTGGCGGACTCGAGCAGCACGTGGGTGCCGTAGACGTTGGTGTGGGTGAACCCGTACGAGTTACCGAAGCTCAGGTCGACGTGCGACTGCGCGGCGAAGTGGAAGATGGTGTCGATGTTGTGGCGCTCGAGGCAGTCCATCACCTCGGAGGGGTTGGTGATGTCGCCCTGGTAGAAGGAGAAGTTCCTCTTGTCATTGAGGGCGCGGGTGTTGTTGAGCGATGCGCAGTAGTCGAGCTTGTCGAAGGAGACAATGTTGTATGCGTCGGGGTATGTGAGGGTCAAGTGTCGTACCAACCAGCATGCGCTGAGGAAAGTGAAATATTAGCTTGAGGTTCGTCTTCTTCTTCTTCTTCTTCTTCTTCTTCTTTCTCATGTTTTTGGTGGGGGAGGAGAGGGGAGGGGTAGGGGGGCCCGTGTGTTTGAAAATAAAAGAGATTGTGGGTTTTATCTTACATGAAGCCAGCGCCACCAGTGATCATGATGTTCTTGACATCTGGGAGCGGCTCGAACTTGGTCGAACCGATGAGAACAGGCGCTCTCTTCCAGACGGGGAGGTCCTCAAGGAAAGGGTTCTCGCCCGCGGCAGCTGCAGCAACGGTCAGGTCAGCACTCTAATATTTGTAACGACACACCGCGCACATGCAATTCGCACGAAATAGTTTCGTGGGCGGTGGGGGGGGCAAAAGAAGGAGAGGGGGGTAAACAATCTGGTGATTTTTGGGGGAGGGGGGGGAGAAGTTAGAAAACAAAACTTACAGGAGGCAGTCCTGGAGTATGTAGGTGGGCTAGGCATGATGATAGCTGGCGCGGAGATGTACAAGGAGAGTCGAGTCGTAGATGAGAAGTGAGGATATTGTGTATATATATGCGGGCCAGATGTAGGAGTAGAAAGGAGGAGAGGGAGAGTAGAGTAGTGGGAAGGAGGGAGCAAGGACAGGAAGTGGTGTGAAATGTGGGTTTTGGTGGGAATTGCGAATAGACGCACACAGAACGGTGAAGAGGGGGGTTTATTGTGGTGTGAGTGGCTGAAAGTGGGTTGGTGTTGGGGGGGGGGTGGAGGTGGAGGGGTGATTTTGAGCAATTGGAGTGGGTGGAAGCTTTTTTAATACGGTACTCGCCTCTGATGGTGCTAATTGTGGTAATCGTGCTAATTGTGGTAAATGCAGAGCTATTTTTTAAATTTCGGGTACGGGGTTGGGGGGTGTGGGATGGGATGGTGGATGGTGGATGGTGGTGGGATGGGATGTGATGGTAGCATGGGGTGAGGGGGAAGGTGGGAGGGAGAGGAGGAGGAGGTTAGGGGGAGGTTAGGGGGAGGTTGGATAGTGGTAGTGGTGGGTTTGTGGGAGAGAGATGGGAGAGGGTAGGAGGAGGTGGGAGTGGAGGTGGGTAAGGGAGAAAGAAGGTGGGAGGGAGGGAGGGGCGACGGCGAGAAGAGATAGATAGATAGATAGGTACAAGGGGTCAGGGCATAAATTACGAGGAGATGCATGTAGCTTTTACTATTTATTTACTATTTATTATCTTTTAGCAACGGTGGTGGCGGTGGTTGGTGTGTGTGTGGTGTTTATGTGTTTATGTGTGTTTATGTGTATGTGTGTGTGTGTGTGGTGTGTTGATGAAACATGAAACAGTCAGTTTAGTCGGTTTAGTCAGTTTCCAAGTCAGTTCCCAGTGCGTTTGACGAAAGAAATCAACAACGGTTCCAGGCCAACGGAGGCCAACGGGGGCCAGCGGGGGCCAACACACCGCTATCGGGCACTATAATCCCGCCATAAACCCGCTATCAGTTCGCTATCAACACACCGTTGACCACCGTCGACCACCATCAACCACCATCAGGGCACTATAACCAGGCCAACAACGGGTCTACCACGGGCTGCAACGGGCTACACGAATAGTAATAAAAGCTACCCTCCATCCACTGTTGGAGGTTAGAGATAGCTGAGATTAGTCCGAATAATAACAAAGATAGGCCAAAGTTCAAAGTACCACACCCATCCCACACTCTCCCGGCTGATATCAGGTACCCAGTACCTCTCCCCCTCTCCCCCTTCCTCCAATGATATGTACGGTACCTTAACGTGGCCATGTATAGACACCAACCATCGTACGGCGGCGCCGCGACGGACCACTCCTCCACGCCACCGCACCGTGCGTTTCTGGCCGTGGGTTGGGGGTGGTATGGGTGTTCTGGAAGAGTACTGGAAAAAGACGTGATGATGCCCGGATTGGGGGTTGAAGAAGCAGTTCTGCGATGTCTGAGATGTGAGATGGTATTCTACAGCAGTTGGAGAGGGAGAGACAGCAGCACATGCAATTGTCAGTACATACAGATCATCGTCAGTACATACAATCGTCAGTACTGTGCAGCTACCAGCTATTACAACAGTTCAGACACACGCATACAACCTCACAACCACACTGATGCATGCGGGACTGGGGGCTGTCACAGTGATCCATATCGATCTCCCCTCCAGCCACTGAACTGGATCAGTGAGTGCTACACCAACCACCACCACCACCACCACTGGATCCAACATCCACCCACCACCAGGACACGCCAGATTGCCATAGAACACAGCTACCAACAACAACCCGCGACCAAAAAAAAAGGGGGCCAGTTACATACGACCAGCCAGCCGTTACGAGTCCAGTACGAGTCTCGATGCAAGTCTCGATGCAGCCCACTAATCTACTTCCCCTACCTACCCACCTGAGTAATGTGGGTTGCTCCTACTTCGATGCTAGCATGGTGTGTGGTGTCGGTGTCGGTGTGGCGAAATCTCTAGCATGATCTTAGTTATGATCCACAGCTCATCTAAGCCGGAAGGGGGTTATTTACAGATCCAAGTACCTGCGAGAATAAGGCAATAAGGGGCCAGAGAAGGAGGTGCGATACACGCAGTGATGCACCAAGCCTTGGATTAAGCTTGGATGGTGACGCTATCGTGGGCGACTACTACGCTGCTATTTCTACTCGAGTTAACTCTGGAGTAGTACCGTCTTGAGTCGTGCCTTAGGGATGGGAGAGGTTGCTCTTCTCTTGCTTGCTCTGCACATCAAAACCACATCCATACAGTATCAAGTAATATATGTGCTGTACGTGCAGTATCATACATACAAACGGACTCTACAACTATACCATAGCAAGCCATAGTAAACCATACTATACCTCATAACCCTACTCTCCTCCCACCTTCCACCACTCACCTCCCATCCTCACCGTAGATCCCCCTATACCACCATCTACACCAACTACACCATCCCGCTCTCCCCCTCCACCATAAAAGAAAGAAGAAATGATATACGAATCTCCCTCTCGAAGATCTGTCCACCCAAAACCACCCAAAACCACCCACCGATAAGTGTCCTCCTGTACATAACCTCTCTCTCCCATGTACCTTCCCTTTTTTTCCATTTTCCCGTTTCCCACTTCAACTCATATCCCACTTCACTTCCCCCCCACCCACTCATATTCGCAACGTGTGGTTAAATCAGCCTGGGAGATCGAGATTGGCATATCCTCATTGGCATCTTAATACGGTCCAAATGGGCTGTGGCTGTGGCTGAAAAATATACTGACCCGTTCATGTACACCCACTCTTGCATCGTGATTTTGATTAGCTGTTGGGTGTAAAATAAGAATAATTTCAGCCATCCAACCAATCAGCTCATTCCCAAACTCGTAAAGTTGCTTAAAATACACATTTCCCTTCCCGTCCTTCTTTTTATTTGCCCACTACGGCAGACCAAGAGTACACTCTATACCTCTCCCCTACGTATATTCGAGTACAGCTACAGTAACTCCAACACAAGTACCAAAACTCTTGGCGGTGGTGGCACCCAATTTAATTACTTGGATCAGTTACCGCGTCCGGTCTAGCGGCAACCCAACTTTTGTCTCCCTCCTCCCTCCTCACTCCTCTCCCTTCTCGCCCGTCGCCCGGATAGTAGTAGCGTGTTTTGCACCTAAACTACGACGCAGGTAACGATTCAAACCAACCACCACACAACCCTTTTTTGCCTTGCCTTGCCTTATCTCGAGAATCAATTATTGTTCCCTGAAAGGAAGAGTAATTCGAGTTCGTGGTCGTCGTTGATTCTTCTATCTTCTACAAAGAAAAAAGCTTCATTATCTCAGCCCTTTCGTCTTGTGGTTTCTCTTCTTTTTAGCTTTTATTTTCTGCACGACACACGAGAAGAAAGACACACGCCTCGCCAACCGCTATCTAGTCAACACTACTAGCAACACATCTTCGAATCCTTTTACTCCTCACCACACACAATCGCGATATGGCGGACCGGACAAGCTCGTCAGAGGCCGAGCGCTTCGATGATGAGAAGAACGGCGGACGCAGCCCATCCGGCAGCTTCATCAAGGTCAAGCCCATGGAGGACCTGGAGGGGGGCAGCGACATCGAGAGAGCCGAGCTGCTGCCCACCGCGACCCAGCAGCAGCATGTGCCCGAGAAGAGCAGCGCGAGAGCAGCTGTGATATGGATGGTTGTCAACACCTTGGCTACGATTGGAATTGTACGTATTTACCCCTCCGTCCTGGAGACAACTCTTTGGACCCCCAAAAAAACATCCGCACGAGCGAACACAAAGCTAACAATCCCTCTCCCAGGTCTTCACCAACAAAGCCATCTTCTCCGACCCCTCCCTCAAGCTGGCCCAACTCACCTTCGCCTCCTTCCACTTCTTCATCACGTGGCTCACGCTCTTCACTCTCTCGCGCCCGCGCTTCGCCATGTTCGTCCCTCGCCGCGTGGCAATCAAGGAGATCATCCCCCTCGCCGTCGCCATGTCCCTAAACGTCATCCTGCCCAACCTCTCCCTCGCCTTCTCCTCCGTCACATTCTACCAAATCGCCCGCATCCTTCTCACCCCCACCGTGGCCCTCATGAACTTCGTCCTCTACCGCGCCACGCTCCCCCGCAACGCAATCTACGCCTTAATCCCCGCCTGCCTCGGTGTCGGGATCACGTCGTACTACGATTCCCTGCCCACTGCGGATGAGAAGGTCAAGACCACCTCGAGCATCGGCGTCTTCTTCGCTTTCAGCGGCATCTTCGCCTCGTCTCTGTACACCGTGTGGATCGCTTCCTACTGCAAGAAGCTGCAGATGAACCCCATGCAGCTGCTCTTCAACCAGGCCCCGGTCTCCTCATTCATGCTCCTCTACGCAATCCCCTTCATCGACACCTTCCCCGTCTGGACCCAGGTGCCGCTGAACCGCTGGATGCTGATCCTTCTGAGCGGTGGATTCGCCTCGCTGATCAATATGTCGCAATTCTTCATTATTGCGCAGACTGGGCCGGTGTCGTCGACGGTTGTCGGGCATCTGAAGACTTGCTCGATTGTGGCGCTGGGGTGGATGACCTCGGGGCGCGCGGTGGGGGATAAGAGTGTGTTGGGTGTTTTGATTGCTATTGGTGGGATTGTTTCGTAAGTTGCCTTTGCCTCCCTTAAACTATTGAGATGGAAATTCTAACATAATATAGTTACTCCGTCGTAATGATCAAGCACAAGGCAGCCGCCGCCATGGGCTCAAGCAACAAGGCCTAAACCCCCTTCTTTTTTACCCAAAAAAACATGCAAATACCGCCTCCACACTCTATTCCAAAAGGATATGAGCGAGGTCCATTCAAATCCAACCAAATCCATAATTCTACCACGTTTATAATTCTTCCTTTATTATCATCTTTTCCATTTTATTTTACTACAGGACCCTCTTACCCAAGTCGCTGGGGTTTGGGCATTGTTTGTTTTTGAGAAGCGAGTCGAGTCGGGCGGGGTCATGTGAATGGATTATGAGGCGGTTGGGGGGCCGGGGGGGGGATTCGATACCAAACGATTCGGTTGGGGATGAAAAAAAGAAGATATCAGATCAATACGCGGGGCGGGGCGGGGAAGCAGAGACCTCGGTCGGTGGAAGCGCGAGGGGAGACGAGGGGAAACCAGATCAAAGATCGTGGGGTCACACTACGTGTCGTCCACGCGGCCTTGGCAGGGGGCTGGTGGGGGGAGCGAAACAACCACCACTACCCCGCGACGACCCTCGATGCCGAGGATACCGTAGTGGTCTACGTGTTGTGTTGTGTTGTGTTTTTCGTTCATAAACAAAGGCGTTTAGGAGACAAACGGGCCGGGGAAACGGTCCTAGATGGGGATTCTCTTCCGTTTATATATCGACTCCCTTTCTGTTTTTTTTGTGTAAAATTTTCTCTTTCTGCCTGGTGGAGGGGAACGGGGGGGAAGGGTGTATTATAGACGATGGGGGGTGGGATGAGAGTAGGATAGGATACGGGGAATTTTACTCATAAGCTCAAAACTATGCATTTCTCAGTTGTGACGATGAACAAAGAGAGCCGTTGATAATATTGTATTATGAACTTGACTCAGGTAGCGGTTCTGCGGCGAGGAGGAGCGCAACACGCATATCCCTCCCGCATATAAGCCTACAACTCTCACCATGCATGCCAGTAACCACAACCCGCAAGTAACCCACCCTTCCTTCTCACATAGGAAACTATGAAAAAGCCCGACACTCGTCTCCGCCAACCAGACACAAGAACACCTTGCCAATGTCTCTGTCTATAGATAGATAGATATCCCAGACATTGGCGAGAGAGATCGAGTAAATTCCATATCTGCGGCATCAGTAATACCAGACGACGAATCCACATTTTGATGTTACGAGGCGTGCGTGGTAGGTGGTTGTCATGAGACTCAAATCGGAAGCTGCAACGCAGCGGATATCACGAAACTCAATCAGACGTGTGTTTAGAAAGATCAACAAACATATAATTTCATTTCATAACTTTCGCTAGCTACCCAGCAGCATTCAGCTGGGGGGATGGATATAGAGCGTTACAGACGCATAGATGGGGCAAATAATCTAGGTGCGTAGATAGATGTACAAGGTTAAATAAACACAGAAAAGGGGGTCGGTCTTTCGTTTTGACAAAAGATATAAAACGCCGTCGTCGTCGCTTGGAACGCCGTGGGGGGGGTGACAACGGTCTTTTTCGTTGTTGCTTCCCCGTTTTTTGGGAGCAGGGTGGGTGTGAGGTGGTGAGGTGGTGAGATTGGTGGATGATGGATGGTATATGTATGGTAGGTGGTTGGAGATGGTGACGATGGTGACGTGGTGAGGAAATGGTGTTCACCACGGCACAAGGTTCAGCGGTAAATAAGGATACCCCTCCTCATCCACATCCTCGGGGTCCCACCTCCTCTTCAACCCCTCCTCCCCCACCCCCGCCCTACTCATCCCCTCCATCCACCCCCCTTCCCCCTCCCCTCCCTCCCCCCTCTCCCCCAACAACCCCGTATCCAACCCCCTCCTCCAATTCGCATGACAAGTCCCCGGCACATACTCCGCCGCATCCATCTCGAAAATCATCTTCACCTCCGGGCAATAATCCCAAATATGCCTCCTCATCTCCACCGTCCCCCAGATCTGGGTGTGGAGCGTATGTCCATTATCACCCGTATGATAGCCCATAGGCTCGTAGAAGCCCTCGCGCCACCAATCTACGTCTTGGCTTTCTGCGGCGGTGGCGTCGCTGTCGATTCCCCCGCCGGCGGGGCGTTTTTCCCTGTCCTCTTCCGGGATCTTTAGGCCAGAGGGACGCACGTGTTCGGGGCCGCCGGAATGCATTTCTCCGCTGAATGTGAGACTCAGCGAGCCGTTTGCCATCTTGGCGCCCGGACGGTCGGAGAGGCGCTCGCTGAGCCAGACGTCTTCCGGACCGCCTTCGTGGCCGCGGACTTGGTGTTTTAGTATCTCAATGATGGGAGCTACGCGCCTGAGTGACAGCCCTCCATTCCCCCCCCACTTCCCATCAGGATGCCACGGCGCACCAACCCAATCAAACTCGAGCCACTCATTGATAGATTGCCTCGCATTGGCGCAGAGCATACTATCCGTCTGAAACACCAACAAATGCTCCGCCGGCCTCAGCAACGTCTCATACACCCACAACGTCGTCAAGAAAACCGAGATCTCCTCCTGGGAACTCGTCGTCATGTTCGAAGGTATGAGTGTCAAATCCAGCTTCCCGATGCGGACCTGCTCGCGGATGGCGTGGGATTGGTTTATCGAGGCGACGGACTCGGCGGAGCCCATGAAGCGGAAGCGCCATTCGGGGGGGACGACGGTCATGAAATGGAGCATGAGGGGTGCGAGGATGGGGTTTGGGCGGTTTTCGATGAGGAGGCCGACTCGAGAGGCGTTGAAGGGGGAGGAGCCGGTGGGGGAGGGGGCGGAGAAGGCGGGGTTGGGGGGGTAGGTGAGGCTGACTTTGGGGAGGTCGGGGGGGGAGGGGCGGTAGAGTGATAGGGTTATGAGGCTGTGAATTGGGGCGTTAGCTGGGTTATTCATATTCTTTTATTTATTTATTTCTTTTCAAGTTCTTGGTAGAATGGAGAGAAGAGGAGCTGGGGAGTCGTTGGCGGGGAGGGGGACTCACACAAAAACAGACATCGCAACGAGCGCACGAATGCGCCGCGACGTATGTCCCCAAAGCAGCGTAGGGAGCCTCTTTACAGCCTCAAATCTCTCAGCAATCCCCGAGCGCGTCGCGCCGAGCGACCATCGCGGGCCGGCGGGCGAGGTTTGCGAGATGTCCATCGCGAGGGATGTGATGTTGGTAGGTGACCTAGGGCGACATTTGAGGTCGAGTCGAGGAGAGGCAGGAGGAGGAGGTTCGAGGATTATGGTGAAGTGCTGCTGGGACCGTTGGTGGTGCATGGGCGGCGCAAGACAGACAGGGGTGCTGCGGCGGATTCTCCTTGGGCTGGGATCGGAGGGATTGGGGGGGTATGCGGGGGTGCCTTAGGGGTGGTGAGGCTGCGATAGTTATTTTTTGGGGGGGAGAAGGATTTTGGGGGGGATGGGGGAGGGGGAGATAGGGAGATCGTCGGGGACGGATTGGGGGTGTTTTGGGCCGGATTGGGAATAACGGAGGGGGATGGGGGTGGGTGGCGGGTGAATGGGTGAATTAATTGGGGAAATTGGGAATTTAATTGGGGAATTGTAGTGTAGTGTACCTTTTCTAATTGGGGGAAGGGGTAGATGGCGAAATATCTAGGTGCGATAAGTGGCAGTGACGCGTTCAGGAAGGAACTGGGTATGGTGGTAGTTGGTACTGTACTTTCCTTTTCTATAGTGGTTCTATAGTGGTTGTAATTTACCCGCAGCAGGGCAAAAAGTCTTGTTTTTTCATTCTCAAGAGGGAAAGAGGTACAACCCCTCGACTCCTAATTCGTATGCCAGCCACGTACACCCGCCGCGTAGCCATAAAGTACCCCATAAGCAATCGGAAACAGTTACGCCATCCCCCATCGCCATCGCCAGGGATCCCTTGGAGAAGAGAGGCGTAAGGGTCCTCGTCCCCCCAAAAATTGAAGCCAAAAAACCCGCCGCGGTTTAATCTATAAAATCAGTCCCCTGGCAAAAACCAATTCCCGAAATAACACCCACGCTATCACACGCTAACCCGCAAAGGGCCCTGAAACACCCTATTCCGTCCTTAGCGCGGAAATAGGATTTTTTTCCCGGTGGCCCTTGGCGATCGAACTAGAAAGATCAGCCTTGTCGGTGTCCCCTTTTGTTGCCTCCCCTTATCGCTGCTTTTACCACTTTTTATTTGCTAGTACTATAACGGCGTTTTGTAGTACTTTTTGGTTGGAGCTGAAAAATGTTAGGAGGATGGAGGGATGATAGGGATTGTATACCGCTTTTTGAAGTACCACTGCTACACACCCTTTTTGTGCTGTATTCATCTACAAATCAACGCCGTACCTCGTATTACCATCCAATCCCCCTCGTATGCAACACTCTGATCGCCACCACTTCCCTATAGTATTCCTCAAATAACAATCCAATCCAATCCATCCGCCTTTTGACAACCACCACCACAACCACCACAACCAATGTTCCATCACCGCAACCACCACTGCTCCATCACCACCATCTCTCCTCCATCCCCTCTCCTCCATCCCCCACCATCCCGTCAGTCAGTCCAGCCCCCCCCTACTGCATCACCACACCACCCGTCCCCCCCATCCAACCCGTAGCACTCGTACGCACCACACGTACCCCCTACCCCTACCCTCCTCGTATCCACCCTCCTGTCTCTGACAGAAGCCAAGAAAGCGCTTCAGCACCATCGCATCCTTCCCCCACTGTGCTGCGTTGATGGCCGTTTCACCATTGCTGACGACGTAGAGTGTATACTGTACATTGTAGGGGAGCCGAAGTGGGCCCGCCGAGGCGGCTCAGGGTTAGGGGGGATGGATGGGCTAAGGATGGAGTTGGGGATTAGGGGGTAGGGGGATAGTGGTGTGTATGGTGGGTGTGTGGTGGAGTGGGAAGTGGGTGGGTGGGTGCACGTGATGAGGGAGAGTGTGATGTGATGGTGGGTTTGGTGTATAGGGGTTAGGTTAGGGGGGAGGAGGTGTGAGGTGAGGTGGTGGGGTGATGAGGGAGAGGGGATGGGTTTGGGTATGGGATGTAAGGAAGTGGTAGAAGTGATAGAAGTGTTATATATGTGTTTCTAAATCTACGATGTTAAACTATATCCATCCGGCACGAGCACGATCACGCGAGGACGTCCAATACAACAACAGTTAGGTAGGTAGTCGATATATATCTGATAATACACTCATTTTTTACCACCTCCACCACCTCCACCACCACCCCCTTCCCTTCAACAAAGCCATACCTGTCCTGACTTCTAAAAAAAAATACAACATATTAGATGCATCATACACAACAAAACACAGCCAAACGACGAGGGATACAATCCTCCCCCATCCTCGGCCACCACCATCACACACATGCCGCTCCTTCCAAAACGCCAATCCCACAAACATCAATAATTACTTCCTCCCCGCTCCCCCCACCCCCTCCTCCCCATCCCCCCCTTTAAAAGCAAACATCATAACTCTCATACCCCCACCCATCATGCCACTTCGTCAAATTATCCAGCACCGTATCCTCAATCTTGCGATGACTCTTCATAAACAGATTCTCATACGGATGCACGAACGTGCCGAAGTAGCTCCCGGGCCCCAACCAATCCTCGTGCTTGCACTCGCGCCAGAAGTAGCCCGGCATATCGTTATCCTCGATCAGGAGGAGCTTGTCGTTCTTCTCCTTCTCGATGCGCGCCTTCTCCTCCGCGGCGGCTTTGGCTGCGGCTTCTTGGCGGACGCGCTCTTCTTCGGCGGCTTTGGCGGCCGCGACTTCGGAGGCGGTGGGGATGTGGGTTGTTGTTGGCGTTGCGGCTGCGGCTGCGGCGGCGGCAGCGGCAGCTTCCTTGTCTTTCTTCTCCTTTGCTTCCTTCTCCTCTTTCTCCTTCTTAGCCTTGGTCTCGGCCTCCTTAGCCTCCTTAGCCTTCTTCTCCTCCTCCGTCTCGCGCGTCACCAGCTCTGGTGCCTCAGCCTCAGCCCCAGCCTCGATCTCCCCGCGCTTAAACTGCTTAATCCCCTTCGCCTTCTTCGCGCGCATGCGCGCGTACTTAGCCGCGCGGTTCTCGCTGTGGTACACGCTCATGAAGTTGTCGACCTCGAAGCCGGCGTCGCGGAGGACCTGCGTGGTGCGCACCTCCGCCAACATGGCCTCGGACATGGCGCCGAAGCACTCGCCGATGCCGGCTTTGGTGAGCATGACCTGGAGGCCGGTGTGGTCGGTTGCCCAGATCATGGATTGGATGTGGCCTTCGCCGTTGTGGCAGTTGTAGGACATGCCGACGAGCTGGGGGGGTGGGGGTTAGCGGGGTGGAACTGTGTGAGGGGCTGTTGGGGGGTGGGTTGAGCTTACCTTGATCCTGTCGGTTAGACGGTTCAGGTAGGAGTCGGTCCAGCACTGGGTGCTCCAGCGCGGCACGAATGGGCCACGGATACTGGCATTCATGAGAATGTAGCGCTTATATTTATTCCTCAACAGCATGTTATCCCCCGCGCTGACCATGCCCTTGGGTTCCGCGATGGGACCATCCTTGCCGATCCATCCCTCGCCTCCAAGCACGCTATTGAGAACCTCATTATGCGCGCCGAGATCAAAGCAGGTGTTCGGCCGCTTCTTAACAAAGATATTCTTCTTGTCGCGTCTAGGAATGAGGTCGCGAAGGTCCTCTGGGACATCGGAGTCCGCGAAGATGATGGTCTTGTCCGCGTCCGTCTCGCCGTTGAGGATGAAGATGAAATCCGCCGCATCGTGCAGCGCGTGGTCCACGAAGAACTTGAGGTTGGCGCGCGCGAACGGCGATTCGTAGTAGGCGTAGGTGATGAGCGGGCGCTGGTCGTCGGGCGTCTTGTCTGAGTCGTGGGCCTTGAAATAGGGGGTGTCGGGGACGGGGCACGAGGCCTCTTTTATCATGCCCAGCTTTTTGCAGGAGGCTTCTTCGGGGGTGAGAGGGGTTTCGACGACGGGCGCTTGGGTATTGCCGCCTGCGCGGATGGTGGTGGTGCCATTGAAAGTTTCCTGGTTGCGGATGTCAGCATGGAGGGTTGAGGCCGTGAGGGTGAGGCGAGGGGTTAAGGGGGAGGCGGCACGTACGGAATTAAGGGTGAAATAGAGACAGATGATGATGACGAAGGTGCTGAGCCATATTGCCCGCGAGGTACTGGCAAATGCCATGGTTTCTCTTGGGGTTCAACTCGAATGCGGCGGTTGATGTTTGATCGAGGGCCGAACGTACGGCAGTAAGACGATGGGTTGACTGGTTCAGGAACGCATCGATTTGTAGCGACCGTGGTGGCAACTCGCAGCAAGAATTATTGTACAAGCAGCACAGCGCAAAGAAACGAAAAGGACGGCAGAATCTCTGTGAAGTTGTCTAGAAGAGGCAATAGACTCTCTCTCTCTCCGTGTACGGATAAGAAATTGGAGCCAAGAAATATGAAGGTACCAATACAGTACAGGTAAGCGATCCCGCCTCCTGGTACGTGTAGTAGCCTCGTACGGAAAGGGTTTAGATCGGGTTATTTACAGCAACTGAGTATGGAACGAATAGAAAAATAAGAATATAGAATAATAAATAATAAATAAGAATATGTAAGAGTATATAAGGATATATAAGGATATGTAGGAATATATAGGGATATATAAGGATATAACTAAACAATCCAGCAATTCAATTGACTTATCGCCCTTCCTACGATCAGTGCCGCGACTTCGAGCCACCTAACACGCTGCTCACGTGATACTGGAAGGATTACGAGTATTCTAGCGTCGTCGTGGCCTTCGTACCGGTACTTGGATTTGATTCCGTTTGACTTAGAGTGCTGGGGCGATTCTTTGAATACTGGAGTAAATTTGGTGCTATATGTTTGGTACGCGGCCACTATACTCTGTATTCTCAAGTACTGCTACTTCTCTACCCCTGGCGGCCTCTAATTCTGTTGACGTTTTAGCCCTTTTTTTCAAGTCACTAAGAAGTTCACTACCACTGACTGGCCCCAAGCTATTTTTGCAGGCAATGGACCCTTAAAGCAGCGTCCATTATCACCGTTGACACTTGTATGTACTTGTACGCCAGCGATAAAAAGGAGCCACTATGGATTCAGCTCAGTGGATAACGTCTTCAGGGATTCCAAGACACTACGTACTGTAGGATTCTTGGAGTTCATGAACAGTTGTCGACATCCTCAGCTTCAACTGCTTGCGAAATAGAATACAGAGCCTCTGCGAACTCCCATTGAACGCCCTCGAAAACGCGCAGACTGCTGGTTACGATAACGGATGGGCTTCTGAGGCCCTACATTTAACTGCGATTGGCATCGCGGGACACCATGCCGTTATCCACCAAGACCAGCGGCTTCTTCGCCCTGAATCGCACAAAGGTCATCCTCTTCGCAGGTCTAGTAGCAATGTACGTTTGCCCTCCTCCTTCATCCTGGCCGAGCCCTTTCTAACTTTCCCTCTGCAGATGGACAATCGCCGGCCTCTTCCCGCGTTATCAAGAGACGCTGCAAGAGCAGCTCACACGCACACGCCAGAAGCTCCCATCGATAAAGGTGGAATTCCACCCCGAAAGCGACCCGCTCACGGCGTACGACCCTACAAAGCTTGCGCTGCTGATCGAGGGGCGCGCGAAGCCGCATCTCGTACCACAGATCCTGCATATGATATCCGTCGTCCCGCCAGAATGGCGCTTCCTCTTTATCGGCACCAACAAGAGCGTCGCTGCCGTCGGCCGCAGCTTCGCCATTAAGCATCAGCAGGCGGCCGGCAAGCTCGACCTCATGGTCGTGCCAAAGCCGTGGGAGATCAAGAATAAGGAGCATGTGTGGCGCATGCTCACGGACTCTCACTTCTACACAGATCTGATACCGGGGGTGGAATGGATTATGAAATACGAGAGCGATAGCATTATGTGCTCCAACTCCAAAGACAGCCTGAACGACTGGCTCCGCTATGACTGGGCCGCCGCACCAAGGTTCGTCCTTATCTACTTACCCCCCATGATACCCGTTGGTAGCACAACATTAACACACCCGCGCAGAAGCAACACCGACACCTTCGCCGGCAACGGCGGGCTCTCCATCCGCCGCGTCGCAGCCATCAAGCGCGTCCTCGAGTTCCAAACCCGCGACGGGGACTCCGAACCCGAGGACGAGTGGTTCGGCAAGCGCATCTCCGCCATGCCCGACTTCAAAGTCGCCAGCGGCCTCGACGCCAAGCACTTCAGTGTCGAGGACGTCTACAACGAGGCGCCTATGGGATACCATCTGCGCGACGGCGCTGGAAAACTGCCCCCGGGCGTGTGGAAGAACAGCGATCAGCGCGCGAGGATCCTCAAGTACTGTCCTGAGATCGCGATTATCCTGCCCATGAAGCTGGAGCGGGAGCGGTGCGAGGGGGATAATCGTGAGGGCGCGATTGATCAGGCGGCTTCGCTGGCGTTTGAGAAGGCGGAGGCGGAGAAGTCGAGGATTAAGATTGAGGAGAAGAAGAAGCTAGCCCAAGCAGAGGCGGAGAGGGTGTTGGAGGAGGAGAGGAAGAAGAAGGAGGCTGGGATACCGACGGAGGAGGAGGAGGCGAAGAAGAAGGAGGAGGAGAGGAAGAAGCAGGAGATGGAGCTGACGTCGAAGATTAATAAGGAGCAGGCGGAGGAGGAGGCGAAGAAGAAGGCGGAGGAGGATAAGAAGACGCCGTCGGCGTGAGCGTGGGGTGGGTGAAATATTTTATATATACGGCGTTCGGGGTTGGCATTAATTTGCCTGCAGGGTTTGCTTTGTATACCTAATGTAGGAATGACGGGCTGCTATGTATGCCGAGCTGGAAGATATGCTCGGCTGTATTGATGGATTTGAAAATAGCGAGGAGTACTTAGAGTCAAATATACCTATCTGTTACCTCTTTACTTCTCAGAAAAGGGGCTGATGTGATAACTGTGGCCCTTACTTCGACGCTCCCACGGGATTCGCTTATGGCCCTACCATGCCGCATGTGAGAGTTTTGTGTGCATGATTGTCCTTATGATAGATGCAGAGATGACTAAAAATGAGAACTGTTTGAGAAAGTGCATACTTGGTAACGATGTGAGAAATCCCCTGCTTCTGGCTCGTTTGACTTCCTGTGCTCTAGATATTTAAGGCGTTGTGAATGCCCAAGTTGCGGATTAAGGACTAATCTTCGACGAAGCTCATATCATGAAAAAAGGGAGAGGGGTTGTCTCTTTTTCAAATTAACTATCACGCAAGGCCGCCCACCCTGTTTGCCGGGTCAAGGGTTTCTCTTCTCGTTTGCGTGCCCAATGACGGTGGTGCGAGCGGTGAGAAGATACCGACGAGAAGAGAGCTTTGACAGCAAGACAGGATCGACGGCGAGAGAAAATCCAGCGCCTTCAAAATCTGACACGAGAGAATAGTGATCCGTATAAACCTTGAACAGGAAGCTTGGATCCACGCTCTAGCAAAAGCTTCTCTCTCTGTTGTGTGCCATTTGCTCTGCGTTCCTTTGCGTCCATAAGACATAAACCTCACAATATATGCTTTGTCCTTCATTAAACACAATTGTTGGTTTGAGGAATCTTGTGAGACTGGCAGGCCTACACATCTCTGTACATTCTATTAATCTCGACCTCATATATACACCATATCATACAAACACATCATCCACCCCCCTCACCCATCCTCACAGCGCACCCCCCGCAATTTTAACCATCCACATAGCAATCCTAACTCTAACCCCCACCCTCCTCTCCACATGCTCAAAATCCCCCTTCCCCACCTCCTCCGCGTACTCCCTCAACCCTCTCTCCTCCTCCCCCAACCGTCTCATCAACCCCTCATTCCTCGTCACAACCAGCACATTCGCCTCGAGATCCAAATTATAACTCCGCTGCGTATAATTACTACTCCCCACCAAACTCATACTCGGCCTCCCCTCCTCCCCCGGCATCGAAACCCACAGCCCCTTCGCGTGGTACGTCCAACCCCCCGGCTCGCCGACGCGCCCATTCTTCCACTCGAGAAGCTTGATTGCCCCGCCTCGCCCGGCGCGCGCAGCTGCTTCCATGAAGCGCCGCGCGTAGAGGGTGTATGCGCCTGGCAATAGCCCAGCGGGGCCCGAGGCGCCGTAGAACCCGTTCGCGTGCTGTGAGGCGGTGATGACGGTCCCCCTGGAAGCAGAGGAGATGAGCAGCTTCGTCAGGGACGGATCGGGGTTGAAGTAGCCGGCTGTGAATGTCCAGCTGCTTTTGGCGAAAGCTGGGGCGGCGAGGGCGCGCAGGATGGATGTCACGGCGGGGAGCTCGGTGCTGGTTTCTGGTTTGAGGAGCTGGGTTAGTTGCGCGAGGGGGTAGATTGTTGTGTCTGAGTCGGGGAGGTGGGAGAGCGGCCGCGCGACGGGTTTGATGAGCGGGGCGAGGCGGGCGGTGGAGGCGGTTATGTAGCCGCTGGAGCTGACGAGGGGGGAGGGCGCGTCGTTGGAGGTGGGCCAGACGAGGGTGTAGCCTGCCGGGGTGGAGGGGGAGGGGACGACGAGGAAGGAGAGGGATGAGACGCCGGAGTGGAGTTTGTGGAAGTAAGAGGTTATTTCGGGGGAGGAGAAGACGTGGTAGCGGTCTTGTCGGTTTGTGAAATAATCGTTGCTGAGGTTGGCTCTGTGAATCCTATTAGCTGTGTGTACCTCGAGAGAGTGCGGGAAGGGGAGCATACCCAGACATGATAATCTCATCATCCATCCCGTATAACTTCATGTGCTGTAGGCCCCATCCCTCGTTGATGCGCTTCGGCACATATTTCTTGCGCAGTCCTGTCAGGTTCGGTGTATGGTACATGCGGATCTCTACTCTCTCCGGCCCGAATTCTTCGATCAAAGGAGCGAGCAGAGACGCCGAGCATGTCGAAGGTGTTTCTCGTGTTCCGCGAAGGGCATCGGTGAGGACACTAAGCTTCAATTCCGGCTTTGCGCGGAGGGCTTCGGCGAGGACGGATATCTACAGCTTCTCGGTCAACAATGCACAATCGTAGAGCCGTATCTTAGGAATACTGACTAATTGATGTTCAGTCTTTCCTATATACAACGTCGAAAGAAATATATGCTTCTCCGCCTTCCGTATTTTATCCTACCCAAAATCGTCAGCACCAATCCCCCCCATTCAAGAGTCGAGTCCAAGCAAACCACCCACCTTCAACGTCTCATAAAACTCGCTCGGCGTCCGCAACACCTCCACCTGGTCCCCCCTAATATCAAACCGCGGCGCAATCTTATCCAACTCCTCCGTAAACGCCGCCAGCATCGGGGCACCCTGTCCCGTCGTACTCTGCGCGCCGCCCCCAGACACACTGGACGAGGCTGTCGAGTACCTCCTCCCCTTCGCAGCGCGCGGCAACTGCCTACTCACAATCCGTCGCGGAGCAGCGCATCTCAGCAAACTCCTCGCAAGCATAATCTTTAACCACCCTTCTAACGCGGGTGCGCTACAACAAAAAATAAAACAATAAGAAATAACGGCGTTTGGCGTTGGTGAGGCTCAATATCAGCCTTACCCCCAAAGCTGACAATATTTCAACCCGTTACTGGCTGGGCCGAAGGTGTTGCCGCGCTAGTACGTTTCGGGCGCTTAGCTCGCCAATCCGCAAGACGGGCATTGAGACGACGTCAAAGACGCGGAAGAAGGTGTATTGAACAGTGCCATTGCGACAACGTCAATATGTCTACCGTGCTCAGAACACTGCGGAACCTCCGCCGAGCTGGAATTAAGGTATGTACTTCCCCCGCTGTCGAGTTGTGCGCGCGCTAATGGTGGTTTTGTAGGATGCCCTTCATCAGATGCAGGTATGTCGAGCGAGGAACACCCCACCACATTTCGACCGGCTGTCTGGAGGCAATGCCTTGTATAGAGGGATGGATGGGATTGGAAGGATCAGAGAGGAAGGGAACTAACAATTGACCACAGCACATCGGTGACACCAAGGCCGGAACCCTAATCGGCATCGACAACTTCGGCAACAAATTCTTCGAGAACATGGAGGAAGAGCTCCCCCTCCGCACCCGCTGGGTCGACTACAAGCAATACGAATGGGATCCGTACGTCTTCTCCCTCCTTGGCCCCTCCCTCTTCCTCGTCTTAACCGACCCCCATTCCCCGAATCCCCAACTAACAACCGCCCCCAAATAGTTCCCAAATCGAGCCCGGATGGCACGCCTGGATCTCCTACGCGGTCGACAAGCCACCGACCCAGGACAAGATCCTGCAGACGATGCAGCGCCCCTGGGAGCTGCGCGAGCACCGCATGAACCCCACCCAGTCGAGGGGCGCGTATAAGCCGTATAACACTGTGGTGCCGAAGATATCGGCGTGGGAGCCTAAGGTTGTTGCGCGCTAGATTGGAGGGGAAGAAGGAGGAGGAGAGGGGGGGATGTATATATTGAATTGAGATAGATTGGAATGGAAAGGAAGTTCATGAAGCGTGCGAGATTTGTTGGTTCTGTGAAGCTTGTGCTGGCGTGTTTTCTTGAGTGGTGCGGAGTGGCACCGGATTAGTCGGATTGGACGAGAGCGGGTTGGGAGAGGAGACCATGGACCGATGAGACGTGGGCTACAGCTGGTATGCACATTCCCACTCAAATTACTCAGGGGGGAGGAGAAGAATGGGATGGGAAACTATATTATAGGAATGGTAAGACGCAAATAGTGAGATCTCTTTCTTTTGGCTATCAAGCAAAAGCAACTCCTAAAGATCCAGGGAGCAAGGGATATCTTCCCTTATTTCAGCCTGTGTTTTCCCTATATTCCAATCCAAGTTTGAGAGCATAGCATATATCATGGTGAAGAATTCCCCTCAAGAGAACCATCCCAGGAACACATCCCACACACATCTCCAAGCAGCCCTTCTCAACACACAGGAACAAGTCAGGCAATCATCACTCGATTCACTTCTACTTACCAATAGCACAACATATTCCACACATTCAGCATTGTTCAGAAGCCATCCCATTTATTATATACCCGAAAGGAGTCCCTATGTCGCGCCATTCCCTTTTTGCTGCCTTACCTTGCTTGCCAATCTCCCAAAAAAAAGCGGAAATATAGCCAATTCGGTCAGTCCAGCCCGTATTTCCAATCTTCAGCTATCTACACAAGTCTCCTCTCCCTATCCATATCTACCACCACCGTTCCTCCTTTCCCAAAAATCCAGGGATTCACTACCTTCTTCCTTTCTTTCTTTCATTCTTCCTCACCACTTTACTGCTCAGCATCACTATCAACATCCACCAACCTCCCCTTCTCCCACGCCGTCTTCGCCGTCTTCACAAGCGCCTCCAACTCCCCACTCGTCTCACACATCCCCCTAAACACCGCCTCCTCCCCCCTCTTCTTCAACAGTATATGGGGGTGATCAAACTCCACCACGCGCCCCTTATCCAGCACAAGCACCTTATCATAATCCACAATAGTCTGCAGACGATGCGCAATCGTGATGATCGTGCTCGTCAACTCCCTAATCGTCTCCTGGATCTTCGCATCGGTGGCGTAGTCGATAGATGCTGTCGCCTCGTCCATCATTAGCACGCGCGGGTTCTTGAGCAGCGCGCGAGCGAGACAGAGGAGTTGCCGTTGCCCTTGGGAAAGGTTGTTGCCGGATTCCGCGACGGGGGAGGAGAGGTTGAGGAAGATGTTTTTGTTCGTCGCTGGGGTAGAAGCGCCCGATGCGCCGGAGGCGAGAACGGTGGAGGTGGTAGGGAGGTTCGTGCTAGTGTTGGCCCGGCTGGTACCGGGAGTAACAGGGCGGGAAGTCGATGGTGTATGCGCGGCTGTGTCGTTGCCGATTAGCTGGACGCGGTTGAGCGCTGTGAAGATGTCTTCGTCGGTGAAGAGGTTGAAGGGGTCGAGGTTGGTGCGGATCGTGCCGGTGAAGAGGGTTGGGTCTTGAGGGACGATGGTGATGGACTCGCGCAGGTCGCGGAGGCCAATGAGTCCGATGTCGACGCCGTCGATGAGGATCTTGCCTTCCTCTGCTTCGAGGCCGCGGAAGAGAGCGAGGGCGAGAGAACTCTTGCCTGCTCCCGTGCGGCCGACGATGCCGACCTTCTCCAAGGGGTTGATCTTGACGGTGACGTTACGGAGAACTGGGTCAAGGTCGGCTCTGTAGCGGGTGGTGTAGTTGATGAACTCGACCGATCCCTGGCTGGGCCAGTTCGCCGCAGGCTGGGTCTTCTCGTTCTCGGCTTCGGCCTCTTGCTCGACGTCGAGGTATTCCTTGATTCGCTCCACCGAGTTCATGTTCTGCTCGTAAATGGCATAGAGTCTGACGAGCCACAACACGTTCTCGGTGAAGGTGATGGCGTATCCGAGAGACAGACCTGCGGATCCGGCATCGATGCTGCCGATGCTGAAGATGACAAACATTCCGGCGAATAAAGCAACCAGATCTCCAACAACGTCGATACGGAAGGAGAGCCATCTGTTGGCTGCCCAGAGGTAGATGAATGGGCGATTGTAGGTATCGACACGAACGGCATTGTCGCGAATGAAACGCTTCTCATCACCATAAGCACGAATAGTGGTGATACCAGTCAGAGTCTCGCCGAACTGTTGGAACAGAGGACTTCTCTGAACAGACTCCAATCTCTTCAAATCTCTAGACGACCTGAGGTAGAATCGTCCAATAAGGAAGTAAATTACGCTAATGAAAGCTGCAGCGATGAGGAAACCGGGAGTGATTGCACTAATAAGAGTGATGGTCACCACAATCGCCAGTGCACAACTAGCAACGCCAATAGCCACAGGTGCGATTTGCTGATCGATAGACTCGAGATCCTTAGAGAAGCGGTTCATAATCTGACCAAGAGGCGTGACGTCGAAGAATTTGAATTGCGCCCGGGTGACGGAGTGGATAAGATCCTGGTGGATACTCCACGAAGCCGTGAGCGATCCGTAAAAGAGCCAAAGATCCCTGAATAGAGCCACAAACATTCCACCAAGTCCAATCGCAGCGTACACAATGAGGTAGTACTTGACATCCACATCTGGAGCAATGAGCGCCTTGAGCGACCACTCATCACTGAAGTACGGAATGAACCTAGCGAGTCCCTGGGTATTTGACATGGCGTTCGAGGCGGCCGGGTTAGCAAGGAACCCAGTTGTAGAAATGAATTGCTTCCCAGCTTCTTCAGGTAGGTCGTATTGGTTGGCCCACTCCCTGATCCAGACATTGCTCGAAACCGCGGCCAGTTGCTGCACGCCGAAGACGATGACTGCAAGAACCCAGAACCACCAGGGGCCCATGGCCTTCAAGTAAATAACCGTAGTCTCGAATTTGACGCTGCCGACAGCCTTGGACTCTTCCATTGCATCCTGTGGCTTGTTAACTTTCTTCGGGGGCTTTGCTGCATCCGTCGTGCCGTCCTCATTCGCTTCAGCGGGGGTATCTATCAATGTCTTATCACTCTGCTCGCCAACAGACGATGGTACACGAGATGGGATCTGAGAAACCAGGCCGGCGCTGCTCAACTGCAGAGGCAAGTCCTCGCCAAGCTTTCCAGATGAGATAACGCGGAGAGGGTTACCCTGGACAGTAATTCTTCCGTTATCAAGTACGACAACGTGCTCGGCGGAGGGAACACACAGTGCGAGGTTGTGGGAGACCAGGATACAAGTTCGGTTTCTCATAAGAGGCCCGGTGATGCAGTTGTCGAAGATCCATTTAGCGGTGTGAGAGTCGACAGCGCTCAAGCAGTCGTCCAGGAGTAGATGTCTGGAGTTCGAGTATAGAGCTCTCGCAAGCGAAATACGTTGCTTCTGTCCGCCAGAGAGTGTGATGCCCTTCTCACCAACAAGGGTCTCGTCGCCGTGATCCAAAATGTCTAAATCTCTCTCCAGTGCGCAGGCGATGATAACGTCCCTGTATCTCTTCTCATCAAGCTCCTGTGCGAATAGAATGTTCTGTTTGATGTTCGCATTAACGAGCCAAGCTTGCTGAGCACAGTAGGCGACGCTCTCGGTAAGGCCAGTATCGGGGTCGGGGCGAACATCTTCACGGCTATAGCCACCAGGAAGATGAACCTCACCGCTGATCCTGGACATCTCTCCAAGAAGAGCCATGATCAACGAGGTCTTTCCAGAGCCGGTTGGGCCGGCGATAATATTAAGCTTGCCAACAGCGAATCTGATATCCAGATCCATCAGTCGGAAAGCGGGGGTTCCACCTTCGGCAACCACTTCGTCCTTGCTGGCCCACGAAAAGCATCCGTTGTCGAATCCAATAATCTCGTTTCCATTCTCATCGACGTTATCATGAGCGAGCTGATCGTACTTCTCAGTCTCATCCTCGTTAAGGAACTCCTCCACACGGGTGATAGAGACACTAGATTCGTTGACGTGGGCAATCATGTCACCAAGCTGGTCGAGAGGCACTCTCAGAATGTTGAAGAGCGAGATAGCGGTAAATGCAACGGAAGGATAAAGCGGCTTCTTCTCAATCATTGTGTACACGAGGAACGAGAAGAAGGTGATTGCCACAGGCACAGTATTCCAAACCGCCACGGCAAAAGACCAAATGATAAATCTACCGCGCAGTTGCTTGAGCTCAGCCTTTCTCTTTTCGCTGATCATGGTGCTGAAGCGATGCTCCCAAGCAAAAAACTTGATGACGCGGATATTTTGCAGGATCTCGTTGGTAGTGTGGATTCGTTTATCGGTTGCCGCCATGATCTTCTTCTGCGCTTTTCCAAAGGCGAACGCAAATCCAATGTTGATGGGGAGTAGGAAGAGCATGACGATGAGTCCTGGAATTGAACTCCAGCCTAGAACTTGGTAGAGGAGAATAACACTGACGACCAGTTGGGTTGGTCCAGAGGAGAGCAGGAAGTGAAGGTAACTGCTAATCTCAGCCACCTTAAAAGAATCAACGGACATCAAGTTAATGATAGTTCCAACGTTAACTTGAGCGTCGCTATCACTCTTGTTGGCAGCAGCACCGCCAACCAACGCCTCTGGTGCTTGTGTAGCAGACTTGTTATCAGGTTCCTTCTTCTTGGCAAAGCCAAAGAGTCTGCTTAGTCGGCTGGGCTTATCGGCATCCTCTTTGCCTTGCTTCTCTCCCAGAACCGTATCGCTGCTTGCCGCTGCCTTACGACGGAGGGCCTTGGCATAGAGTTCACCAATGATAATGGCGCGAAGCTGAATGCACACCTTTCTTCCGATCCATAGAGCTTGCTGGTCGAGTAGAGATCTGATGATGTCGGTGAAGGCGAGAAGGATAACATACAGCCAGATAACGTTCCTTGGAGTCTCACCCGGATCTTCGATGTACTCCAAGATGGATTTCAGCAGTAGAGTTGGCATAAAAGTGAACCAAGCGGAGAAGAATGCGTAGACGCATTGTGCAATCAACTTGCCACGGAAGAAACGGAGGAGGTGCCACATAAGCTTCATGGTCTTGGGCAGCTGGCGATAGCGCTCCAAAACGGCCGCGGTTTTATCCTTTGGCGTCAGGTTCCACACATCGGTTATTTCCAGCGTCTTAATGTAACCCGTATATACAATAGAATCCACCCATGAAAACGTGGCGAGAGAGAATAAACTGGCCAATGGCTCCCGGGAAGGCTCAATGTCGCCCTCCCATTCCATAACCACTGCCTTGTTGCCCTTGCGTGTCGTGAGGGCGATGCCAAATAGTAGAGTCGTGAGGGAGAATTCCAGGATAACAAGGACCTGGGTCAATCTAGTACGAGGGTGTATGATCACCGAGCGGAAGATGATAATCTGGAGAGTCCACATCGTCGTGTACAGAACCGCCGTATGATCCCAAAGCCTCGGTATCCTATATTTCGTATCCGAAAGCACCAATCGAAAAGTCGCAAGAATGAATATATACACCCAAGTCAATCCCTGAGCCACCGCGGCCTGCCCGCCATTCGGCCCATAAGCCTGCGTCGCAAATGCCGTAGCGCTGACAGCAATGAGGCCCAAGAGCGCCAACTCCTCGATTATAACCATGCTGTACTGGGCCCTCGGACGGTCGAGCACGCCCACTGATCCGGCGGTGTTTTTCTTCGCCAACGCCAATCGCCCTGCTCCAATGGTCAAGGCCTCCTCTTCGCTCTCTCTGTCGGCATCCGAGTCCAGGTCGCCATTTTCGCGGTGCTCGGAAACACCAAAGGCAGTATTGCCATTGCTCAGCGGTTCGTATCCGGCGACGCGATTCCTCCGCGCTGCGATCTTGCGCTGGATAGCTTGGGATATGATTAGGAGGAAGGAGAGCGAGAAGGCGACGAGCGGGAGAAGCACTTTTAGGTAGCTGTGAAATTCACGATCAGTCAATGCGTTCGGGCTTGGTGAAATTCATCGGGTAAAAACTCACTCTCTCTGGAAGCAATTCGAGAAGTCATCGAGCTGCCAGATGGGCCATGAGCAGTTGCCCAGCTCATGTTTTGCCCCGAAGTCAGACTCCATTGGCAGCAACTTTTCTCAGAGCCCAGACGTTGACACCGGGATGTCTTGTCGGTCCTGCATACACACGATAAACTCTTCGTGTATCTGCTGCGGGGTGGACCTTTATGGAAGTGACCTGTCGTAAGAAGAAGGAGAAGAAGAAGAAGAAGATCGTTGCCGGTGTCTGGGGGGGAAGACAAGACAAGACACTGTTTTGGTGGTGGTGGTTGAGTGAGATATGCACTCCACTCCAACGGGTCTCGGTTTACTTTTGGGAAGGTCGCGAACGAAATTTGGGCCGGCGTTAGTGCATTTTGGTAGTGATGCTAGTGAATTTCACCCAATTCACCCAAGCAGCGTAACGTTAATACGGGGCCCCACGTGAAGGACGACCCCACCTGGCTTCTAGTACTGTGTGGACTTTGTGGACTTTGTTGTGGTGTATGCAGGAAGTGTTCCAGTAAGAGACGCAGAGAAAAGCTTTATTAAGCAAGGAGTACAGCAGTATGTATGTGATTGTGGAGTAGGATGCACAGTGCGTGCAGATAAGTATTTACGCGCAACCTTTCATATACCCAATAATCAATCAAGAAGCAGTTGTTTGCTTGCATTATCCCTTGCATTTACACTCATCTAGGCTCCGAACTGTGATATTGTTTACCAATACTCGGTGTGTGATGATGCAAGGTTCCCCTACGAGTCATACTCACGCTCTATCTGCTTACAAGTGTGCTGCAACATTTTAGTATATCTGAAGGATGTTGGAGCTTGTCCTAGAAAGGAGGGTCGGAGCTCTTATCAAAGTCATGCCGACACCGGGAAAGCTACCCCTCACTCCAAAATAATGTCAATCCCATGCAAACCATGCAAAACCCCAATGCGTCGTCCTATGAGACACGGCCGTTCGTGCAGTAGTGTCAGTGTCACGCATCCACGCATCGCCAAAAACTGGGTGCGGCTCTCAATAAGTGGGGTTTCAGTACAACATGTCGCGCCGTACACCGTATAATTACAGTATACATACATTACATACGCAACGAGACTGATTGACCAGCCACCGCATATAATATATGTATGTAGAGTATAGAAACATCACCAGCATATCCACGATAACACTTACATACAGCAAGGCTAATTCATCCCTCCATCACCAACCAAACACCACCTCCCCCTTCCTCATCCATCACAACAACAACCACCTCCCCAGGCAGCAGCACAGCACGCGTCGGGACCCCCAAAATCGTCATCTGTCCGCCCCTTCCGTCCCCCGCCCCCTTCCAATCTCCATCCCTGCGCGTGTGGCTTACACCTAGAAAAAATGGCGAACCCGAAAACCCCGATGCAGCCCATGCGACCTGCCTTGCATCCCGTGGGCTAGATGCGCCGCCAATGATAGTGATATCGCGGTCTGAAATGATGCATCCGCGCTCAGGGCTACCGCTTTGGAATATGGGAGGAAGTAAGTAAGTAAGCATGCCGATGGGCGGTGAGAGTGTCTCAGTGTAGGGGGCGTTGCGTCCCGTGAATCCAAGCCGGATCCGTATTTACGTGCAAGTGTGATTACAGTTACCATATGTACGTTTATGTGCAAAATAATGAATTGGCAGCACGCGCGGGCGGTCTTTCGCTCAGTTCGGGGTAATATAGATACAAACGGGTGTGCGTATTGTCTATTAGTATATAGATGTCCCCGATCCACCGCAAATGCATTTAAACCTTTTTTTTTTGTCATAATAAAACTCCCATCCCAACGCTTTGTGCCATAGATTTACATAGGTCCCCAGGAATCTCTGATTCTGGGTCCCTTATTGTGACAGTATATTCCCATCCCAAATATAATGCCCTATTAGCCCATAATCATACCCTTCATCCCGGCCATGTCGCCCTCCTTCGCGGCGATCTCAAAGTATCCGTAGATAATACTGTTTGACAAATTAGCAATTGTTCCGTAGTGACAATTCGGGGTATTAAACTTACGTGACAGCCAACAGGATACCAGTTCCAGATCCGAGAGCTCCCATCAGGTCGCTCATGACAGACAGACCACCAATGCAAGCACCTCCGAAAGCAGCGGCAGTTGGGATGATTCTCTTAAGCTCCTTGTACATGCTCTGCTCTCTGTGGCCAGCCATGACGAGTCCTTGGTCCTTGAGCTGCTTGGCGACGTCTCTTGGGCTGGAGCCGGAAACCTCAATCCAGGTCTTGGAGAAGACGGCGCAGGCGATGAGCATGTAGGCGATGTAGACCGCGGTGTGGATAGGGTCGAGAAGCGCCTCAGTGAAGTTCAATGGAGGAGACATGTAGTATGCGACACCGGAAGTAGCGAAGAGCTGGGCAGATCCCTCCTTAGCCTCCCAGATACCGAAAAGACGGACGAGGAGGTTCTCAGAGAAGCGCGAGTAGAGCATCTGGGAGATGAGGAAGACGTTGGAAGACAGGGCGGACTGCAGCATAATGGGCATGTTCGAGGTGTAGAAGAGGCGGACTGGGTAAGATCCGCGAGCGCCACGCTGGCGGGACGACTTGACTGGGATCTCGACACGGAAACCCTGGAGGTAGATGACAGCGGAGAAGACGAGGAGGGTCGCGATCAAGTTCATGATGTTGGGGAGGTTTTGGCGGTAGAACGCCTCCTGGAGAGCGCGCTGCTTGTTGGGCCAGGTGAGGAGGAGGTGGAACAGTGCAATGACAGCTCCCTCGAACTCTGGGCCACGTCCAGTGTTGATGGTGGTGGGCGAGAACGCCTTCCAGATGATAGACTCGCAAATGTTGGTAGCAATGAAGAGAGAGATACCGCTTCCAAGTCCGTATCCCTTCTGGAGAAGCTCATCGAGGAGGATAACAATAAGACCAGCCACAACCAATTGAAGGATGAGGAGGAAGACAACGCCAGCGCCGAGGTCAGATGGCTGTCCGTAAAGACCAGTGAAGACATACACGGTGGCCTGTCCCATAGAGAGGATGATAGCGAAGAGCTTCTGAGCGGTTTGGTACAGCTCACGGTCGGACTTCAGGTCAAGGTTGACATCGATGAGGTGGGTGCCAGCAAGAAGCTGGAACACCATGCCGGACGAGATAATTGGCGAAATACCCAATTCCATCAGAGTTCCTCTGTTACTCGCCAGCATCATGCGCAGCCAGTAGAGAGGATCGGAGGTATCTGAGGACACAATGCCGTATAATGGCATCTGGCTCATAACCAAGAAGATCAACAGCGTCAAGCCAGTCCACATCAACTTTTGGTTGAATGGAACCTTGGTTTCCGGCTGCTGAACCTCAGGGAGGAACGGCGTAAAGGGCTTGATGAGGTCTAGGAATCGGACTGCAGAGAGATCAAAATGTTAGCCATTGATGTGCAATTGCGCGCCGCTGACGTGGAGATCTCATTTTAGGGAGGCATAAACACGTACGGCCACTCATCTTGGCGGTTTGTTATCTCAAACCTCACAGACGTGGAATGGAAAGAAGAACACCAGTTAAGGAACGACAAGAAATGAATATGTCGGTCTCCTGCTTGCTGCCGCGAATCGCAATGTGTTCTCGTGTGATGTGTCAAGATGGAAAGGCACGGAATAAGTAAGGTTACAGCTCAGGGAACTGACCTTCGCTTCAGCTTTTTGTGGGGATTCTAGAAAGACACATTTACCTCAATGGGGAACCACGTGATGTCTTAATATAACGTCCCTGCGCTTTCGATAAGCGATAAGGACCTGATGGTTTTCTAATTCTCGGTCATCGGGTTGGAAACCTGCGAACTTTGTTCACTGGTTTACTTTCGATGAAGACTTCACATTTCTTCGCCCATAGCTGAGATGGGCTTCTCATGTTCCGGCCACTGCTCAGGTATCTTAAAGATACGATCATGCGACGCACACCGCCCAATAGACCGCTGGTGATTGTCCTGGGCGCAACAGGCACAGGAAAATCTCAGGTATGTTATACTCTTTATAACCACCCTCGGTCTCGATGTTAGAAGCTGACCCTTTTTAGCTAGCAGTTGACCTGGCTCTCCGTTACAATGGCGAAATTATCAATGGCGACGCGATGCAGATGTACACTGGGTTGCCTATCGTAACCAACAAAATAACTCCAGCAGAGCAACAAGGGGTCCCACACCACTTAATAGGGAATGTCTCACTGGATGAAGAGCCGTGGCACGTTGGCGTCTTTAAACGCAAGGCGGAGGGTATCATAGAAGAAATTCGGTCAAGGGGCCGGCTACCTATACTAGTTGGCGGCACCCACTATTATACGCAATCACTACTGTTTGACGACCATTTGATTGAGGACACCGACGAGAAGATAGAACCTCCACAAGATGGAAATCCGGAAATTGACGAGTGTTCGCGAAATCACCCTATTCTAGCGGCAAGCACGGAAGAAATCCTTGCGAAGCTGAGGGAAGTCGATCCCGTCATGGCGGATAGGTGGCACCCGAAAGATAGGCGGAGGATACAACGTTCGCTAGAAATATACTTGACCCAAGGCCAGAAAGCTTCGGATGTTTACGCAAAGCAAAGGGAGCGCAAGAGTGCGCCACGACAAGATGGTGTCTCTCCGAATTTAGAGGAGCAAGATCGAATAATCTCATTGGAGTCGACAATCCTCTTCTGGGTTCATGCTGGACAAAAGGCTTTAAAGAGCAGGCTCGATGCCAGAGTTGACAAAATGGTCGAAAATGGACTCATTGAAGAAGTGCAGACGCTCCAGAAGCTCCTGGAACTCGAAACCGCTGCCTCTCGGCCTCCGGATCTGACGAGGGGTATATGGGTATCCATTGGCTTCAAGGAGTTCAGCCCGTATTTGTCAACTATTACAGATCCAGCAACGACCGAGAAAGATAAAAGCAAAGCTTTGGCCCTCTCGATCGAGCAGACAAAAGCAGCTACTCGCCAATATGCAAAGCGCCAAGTCCGTTGGATCCGGCTCAAGCTGTTGATAGCTCTGAAGAAGGCAGACTCGCTTCGAAACCTCTATTTATTGGATGGGAGTGATGTTAGCAACTTCAATCACGACGTTTCTGGCAAAGCTATAAAGGTTTGCGGGGATTTTTTGAGTGGATTAGACTTATCGCCGCCGACAGAAATGTCACCAGCGGCCGCGGAGTTCCTAACTCCTAGTAGAGACTTTGATTTCGGAGACAGGCCGGACCTCTGGATACGCCAGACTTGTGATGTCTGCAATGTAACGGCCGTTACAGAGGCGAATTGGAACTTTCATATGCAAAGTAGGGGGCATAGGGGGAAGCTAAGGAAGCTGAACAGGCCGCCGAGAGTTCCAAGGCAGCTTCAAACTGAGGCCACAACAAATGGTGCGCAGCTTGAGGCTATTGCCACTGATCTTGGAAGCGAAACTACTCCAAAAGATACCCCAATTTAAATAAATAAATAAATATTTTTTAAGATTTGCAAGGATATTTAAATATGGTTTCTTAATGTGGAAAATAGTAACAAAGCCGGGTAATCTGACGAAGTGGCCACCTTGTTATATTAAAAACGCCATATGAAATAAAAATACTAGAAAACAACACTATTCTTACGGAGGTCAAGATTCAGCTTCAATACATTCCATTCTACTATTTTGTTGAATGCACGTGACATCTCCAACTCAGGGTCCAAACACGGGTCCCAGTAGCTAAATAAGCATTCAACTTCATAAGTCGGTGAACAACAACACTTCTACGGGCGACACCAACTCAAAAGTGTGCACAAAGTTGCTGCTTCAAAGTTCTTGTTCCCTAAATTTTATTTTCGAAAGTTCACTTGTCATTGCCCCTTTTGCCGTCGTTTTACACCGGTCCTGGCGTGCCTGATATCGGGGTGCGGCCTTGGATGACATTTGATAATTTGATGCTTCAAAGCCGCCCATCGTAAGGTGCTTCGACACGGAATATCACCACTGGACATCCGTTTCTTTGCTGACTCGCGTTTGATTGTTCAACACGACAAACAATATCACAGCTCACGCCGGCTCTGGTGATACCTGATATGCAATGTCTCACCAATCGAGTGATGAGGATGATGACTTGAACAAAGCAATTGCTCTATCTTTGCAAGACTCCGAACAGCTTTCTTCACCCGCACCAAAATGGCCCGTGGTGATCGATCTTATCAGTGACGATGATACAGACACTGACGACCTTGACCAACCGACCATCCGTGACAAGCTTCCACCTGGATCGGGCCAAAAACGTCCGGCTGTATCAGATAATGAGATCAAGCGAGAAGGTTCTCTGGTGATAAGGCCACAAGTCCAAAGCCCAGAAACAAAGCACACCAATAGCCAGGCTGCAACCAAGCCTGTGAATCAAACTGGAAAAGAAATCACCGAACCATCTGATATTAAGAAGCCAACAGCCATGATGTCAGGTCTTGGTGGCCTTGACCGGAAGAAAATGGAAGAAGAACGGCTCGCAAGAGCAGAAAAACGAAAGGCCAGTTCATCACAGCCAGAAAATAGTGATGTAGCCCAACCGCCGCTGAAGAAGGCAACGTTAGGCTCAGGCCTGAAGTCATCTGGGATGCCTGGTCGACCGCTCACAGACAAGCTAGCTGGCGGAAATGCTGCAGGCAAATCTGATTCCAAGGTAGCGTTGCATCCCATGCACATGAAAGCTGCGGCTGAGTTTCTGATACCATCTCAGCTCATGAAGTCAGAGCCAGCAGTGCTTGCGGATATCGAGCGCTTCACCCCTGGTCCAGATGATACCCGGAGATTGGAAGACTTCAAGCACGCCAAGATTCCAGAGGCCGGACCATCCAACGACCAACAGGCTCGAATGGGATCTGGAGTCCAATATCCACATGGTGTCGTCAAACAGACGTGGGCGTTTGGCTTTCCAAGATCGGGAGACATAAAGATTGAGGAGGTTCTCCAGAAAAACGATCTTGATCTGGCAGTCCTTAGCTCATTCCAGTGGGATCAGGAATGGATCCTTTCGAAAGTGAATATGGCGAGGACTAAACTCATACTCATTGCTCAAGCAGTATCTAGAGACGATGTAAGTTTGTTTTTATTTTTTTATACCATCTGTCATCTTCCTCAACCTAAATGGAGTTTCAGGAGAGGAAGATAAGGCACAAAGATGCACCGCTTATTACTGTTGCCCAATGGACATTCTTGGATTTCAATTGCTGGGGATATGACCAATGAAATAACAATATTATTGTTAAATAAACATCCTTATTCATGTCCACTGAAACTAATGCTATGTAGCAAGAAGAAGTCAGAAAGAGTGCTCCAAGTAATGTGAGATTCTGCTTCCCTGCCAACAAGGATGAAACAGTTAGCACTATGCACTCAAAACTGCAGCTGCTTGCTCACCCGAGCCATTTGAGAGTCGTCGTACCAAGTGCCAATCTCGTTCCATACGACTGGGGAGAAACAGGAGTAATGGAAAACGTACGTGTACCTATTTTTGATCTTTGTTAATATCAAATAATTAGCTGACCTTCGGCAGACCGTTTTCCTGATTGATCTGCCCAGGTTGGCAGCCAACGAGGTTGTATCCATTGAAAACATTACACCATTTTGTAGAGAACTGCGACGATTTTTGAAAGCTCAGGGGTTGGACTCCAAAATTACCGATAGTCTCTTGAAGTTTGATTTCTCGCAAACTGCAGGCCTGGCGTTTGTCCATTCGATGTAAGTGTGGGTTCAGATGGTTAATTCTGGTCACTAATAAGCATATAGTGGAGGCAACCACACTGAAAACGATTGGAAAACCATCGGCTACCCTGGTCTTGGTTCTGCAATTCAAGAACTGGGACTCGCCAACAGCGACCCTTTGAATGTAACATTCGTTGTAAGTGAAAGGCTCGTCACAGATGTTGATAAACTAACTGACCCAACTAGTCTGCATCAATCGGTGCCCTCACGGACGATTTCATGCTGGCCATTCTTCTAGCTTGCAAAGGTATGCACAGCGATGAATATCGGTATATAAAAGCTAATCCTATTTAGGAAACGATGGCCTGAAGGAGCTTACCTGGCGGACAAGCACCACCCCAGCCAGTAGAAAGCGCACTCCTGAAGAAGAAACACTGTTAATGGAGATGGAAGAAGGCTTCCGTATCATGTTTCCAAGCCACGAAACCGTTCGAACAAGCAAATATGGCACCAATTCAGGGGGTACTATATGCCTTGATCCGAAGCATTACCACCGGGAACAGTTTCCGAAGGAATTGTTCCGAGACTGCAAGAGCAAGAGGACTGGGCTATTGCTTCACAGTAAGCTGCTCTTCACCGCACCAACTCACATGAATGCCGATGGAGACCGGGGCAAAGCGTGGGCGTATGTCGGGAGTGCCAACCTCTCGGAGAGCGCCTGGGGGCGCCTCACCAAAAACAAGAGCACCAAGAAGGTGAAGCTATATTGCCGGAATTGGGAGTGTGGCGTCGTCATCCCGGTGAACCGATCCGCTGCATCACAAAACACAGACACTCCGGCAACTACACCCCAACAGACTGCGCAGGACCACGATATCGATATAAGTTCAATATTTAAGGGGGTAGTGCCGGTTCCGATGGATTATCCAGGCCTGGAATATGGACAGGGTCGCCCTTGGTTTAGGAACGAACAGTAGCTAGGCTGTGGGTTGGAAGAAGATGTTCACTGGGCTACTCTGATCCTATTCGCAAGCACTCAGCTGGTCACTGGCAGGCTCGCTGCTGGTCCGATAAATACGCCAGGAGGGGTGCCAAGAGTCGGAAATGATAGGTGAGTGGCCATGATCGTCATGAGGAAGAACAGAGATTATCAGGTACGAGTGTCTCTCTAGAACACTGGCTCGCGTATAATGTCCATTAGTCTCTGAAGCTGATATTTATTAGAACAGTCTTTATGGGCGTCGACATAAAATCTCGGAGCCGCATCCGTAATGCGGGTCGAATAGAGAACCATAATTGCTACGTTATATGCCCTAATAATGCTAGGATAGGAACGGAATTTGAGTGTTTAGTGCTCTTATTCGTGGTAGGCACAAATTATGCAATATAAAGCATTCCTTCTAATCCATTTTTGTTGCTTTGGTGACAGAATGGAGCACTGAACATTCTCAGAATGCTTCAAGACCTCAATGGCTAGGCCTGGAACCAGGTCTTCAAACGGTACGGTTTGACAGCCTCTTTAGCTCCGGAAAATGCGGTGCCTTCCCATTGACTCCGTCGCCCTTTCTTCTTCTAGCCAACTCTGGCCTGGCTTATGGCCATATCGTTCCTGTTCTTTCCTCTTTTGGTCCGGCCTATGGCGGTGTCGTGCCTTCCAATTACCCCCGTTCTTTCCTCATCTGGCCAGGTCGGCTTCGAATCATGTCGCGGTCGTGCCTTCCCATTAACTCTTGCTATTTCCTCTTCTACCCAGCTTAGCCCTAACTCATGCCAGAATCGTGCCTTCCTCAACTACTAGCTACACTGCTTCATCGCTCCTGCTTACTTCATCATCTGAGTATGGCCTTCCACGGAAATATATTATTCGCTATGCTTGGTTTGGCAAACTTGAACTATCAACAGCTCACCAACTGGAGAATTCGAGACTGAATAACAACAAAATATCATTTTGGCACTTGAAAACTTCTTTCGCAACTCGCGGGCTATCATTATCCTTGCTAGGCCTATCTGAGAAACGAGGTTATACTCAGGATGGAGGACAAGGCCACCTTGCCTTCCGCCGTCCAGCCCTCATATCATGGGATTATTGTTTCCGCAAACGACGGAATGGTCCTTGTTGAAGCTTGCCTCCGTGGCAATATCGGCCTTGTATCTCGTCGGCCCATTAAAGAAGAAAGAGCGCAACTCCCTCGAAGAGGAAATATTTTTATATACGAGGAGAGGGATACCGGTATTGTACGCTGGTTAGATGGCATAACTTGGACACGAGACAGAAAAAGCGATCATTGTTTCCTGTATCGGCAACTAACGCCCACGACGCAAAAAGGGGCTGTCGAGTTGAAACCCTCGCCGACATCCAAAGAAGCGACGCGGTCCTCCCAGGACCATATAAGCGAGGCTACCAATACGAAAAGCAATGACGAGTTGTTTCCAATGGACTATGATACGGCCAGACATGATACGCTGCCACAACCCAAGGCTGATCTCGAAAAGAGTGCTATTGGACTCTTAATGAGCGATGGTGACTTCGTTGACGATCAGCTTCTTAAGAAAACGATGCGCTTCAAAATTGGCCCACAGACGTACCATTTGGTTTCATATTACAGTGCTGGTGATGAAGTGGGAAAAGGGAAACTTCAAATACCTTCAAAGGACCCCAAATTATCTACCTTACGAATCCGACGAGAGATTTCTGAGAAAATTTACGGGATACCAGCCGGTGATGATAGTCGAGATTTCAAAGCAGACGAGCTTTCTGCCGACATGAGTTACCCACGTTCCCCGCACAATCGCATGGGCGATGCTGGCATACCTGCACTTAACACGAATTCCATGGGTGACGCTGACACGCCTGCACTTGACGAGTACGATTCCATGGGTGACGCTGGCTTGCCTGCACTTGACGATGACAAGCCTGAATTTGATGATGACAAGCTTGCATTTGACGATAGCATGCTTGCATTTGACGATGACAAGCCTGAATTTAACGATGACAAGCTTGCATTCGACGATGGCATGCTTGGATTTGACGCATACAATCCTATGGGCGATGCTAGCATACCTGCATTTGACTCGTACAATCCCATGGGCAATGCTATTATGCCTGCATTTGACGCATACAATCCCATGGGCTATGCTAGCATGCCTGCACTTGGGTATGATATGAGGCCCGGAAATTGTGAAGACCAAGACTTCGAGATGCCTTCAACGTTTTCGCAGACACCAGACCCAAACTCAGACAGAGCACCGGAGCAAGCATCTTTCCAGCAGGGGCCTTACCCACCTACAAACCCCTATATGTAGCAACATGGTACCATCCAAACTATAGTCGATATACTGGCACTTACAGGTCCCACAGTCGGAGAATCCCATTCAGATAACTGGAGCATGATCCATTCGCTCGCAAAATGCGCGAATGCAACGGTCAATGTTTAGAACGCGAGGGCACAGAAGGCTGGGTAATTGGTGTTATTGATGAAGGCTCAGGTTGACGAGGGCACGGTCGGCGAAGGAGTGAGAAGCAGAGAGTGTGGGACGGTGGTGGAAAGGGTGAGAGGGGACCCGTTAGGATTCTGCGGGTGTGGGCTCTGCACTACATTGATAATACTCCTCTGGTCTCTTGTTCACAAAGAATGCAAGGTAACCCGGCAATAGGAAGAATAGTGACCTCCCCACACAAAAGCAGAACTCGAGTTGTTTATCGTATCAGGTCCCTTATTCTCCATAAATGTGCTCCCATCATGCCATGAGAGATATCTTGATCGCCAAACCTTTCTATGCAATAATATCTATAATACCATCCACGCCTTACAATGTCCAATGTACAATGCCATATAATACAAGATCGTTCCTTTGCCTCTGCAACACTCACTTCTTCGTATCCTCCTTCGTCTCATCCTTCTTCTCGTCCTTCTTCTGGCTTAGAATCTTCACCGCATCCTTACTATACACATAGCTCGCCCCACTCCAAATCGTCGTCGCCGCAACCAAATACTGAAACCCCGTCATCGTCGCACCCAACTCAAACGGTATTAACGGCATCGCCGTTGTTGCTCCAATCAGCCCGAGCTGCAGTGCCGTATTATACTTGCTAATCGTCGTAGGCCTGACCTCCGCGCTCGGCAGACTGAAATCCCAGTACCGCGTAAACGTCTTCGGCGGCGGCAGACTAATCCAGCGGTAGTAGATCGCAGAGATCCCGAGCCCCACGTCGCGGCCTAAAATGATGAACGCGAGCCACACAGGCAGCATCCCCTGCATCGCCAGCGTGACAGTCAGAACGGTCATCAGGATCTTGTCGGCCAGCGGGTCAATGATGGTTCCCACCACGGTCTGGAGGTTCCATTTCCGTGCGATCCAGCCGTCCACGAGGTCCGTGATGCCGGCGTAGGCGAAGAGCCCGAGAGCCCAGGCGTGCGCGTCGTTGAGAACGAGGTAGCCCACGATGGGGGCGGCGATGAGGCGTGTCAGGGTTAGGAAGTTGGGGATCGTATAGATGTTCTCGTGGGGCGTGAGTTGCGCTAAGGCCTTGACGACGTTGGATTTCAGGGGCTTGAGACCCTTTGGAGACGGATCGTTGCTGGAGAGGCGTTAGCGAGTGTTGGGTGTCATGTGATTTCATGTGGGGGTAGGGTAGGGGGTCCAGGCGAATTGCGTTCTGGTGGGATTGAGATGGGAAGAGGGCCATTTCAGAGAGGCGTATTCCACCGAATATATTGGAGAGTAGCAGTTGATTTACCTTTCCGAGGTTTGCGGCTTCTTTTCTGGCTCCGAAGAGTAGTTCCGGTACAGGCCGAGCCTGGGAGTAAATGATCTAAGTCGGGGGAAATTAGTGCCAAACTCCCACCAAGATAGTGATGCAAATAGCCAAGAGGTAGCTCACCCATTAGATAGCTTCAATGATGTGACAGAGGGCGTTCTTGAAGATATGCTAGAGCATGTCCAGAGATTTGCCCTGGTCTGCCTAGAGAACCGTGATGCAACGGACTGAGGCTTTAAGAGCAGCGAGGTTGGCGTCGACGAAGACCGTACAGCTTGGAACAGGGCGACATGTTGGCGATTAGGCTGACGGAGCAGTTGGAGTGTCGCCATCGGACGTTTCTTCGTCGTCGTCGTCGAGTTCAACGACGGACGTCAAATCAAGTCACGCGACCTGGATTGATAATTATACACGAGGCTGAATGCCGAGGCTGTGGCCTCTGTCAGGTGTAAATGGGTCCTAAGCCAATCACGGCCCGTGAGCGGGAAACATCGACCAAGCTCGGATGACGTTGGAGTCGCGAGGCTGTAAAAAAGTTAACAGCATATCCGAAGCTGCCCATAGTTGCCCATCGAAGTAAAGGCAGATTTCAGAATAATACGGCTTCCTGGAGCTTATATCAGGTGCGGTTTATTATTTCTTGGGCGCTTTTGCCTATCATATCCATCGGCGCTCCAAGGAGCTTGCAATGCCCTTGAGAGCTAGGCATTGATCCCCCCGCACAATGTCGACGAACACCGCCCCTATACACCATGAATCCTCGTAAGCACCTCTCCTATCATATCCCACACTCGCCACGCGTATATTTAACTCTATACAGATTATCATTCACCCAGGGCCTTCTCCTCGGCCAACTCTCCATCGTAATACTCATCGGCGCGTTCATCAAATTCTTTATCTTCGGCGACCCGCCCTCTCCCGATCTCACCGCCGCCCTCCGTGCCACCGAGCGCCGCAGCCGCACACTTGCACATAAACGCTCGCTCCTATCTCTACGCCCACCTTCTGCGCATTCACACTCGCACACCCAGAACCTGAGCCGCAAGCGTTCCTCCGCGCTCCGAAACCCGCCGCCTCTTACGATAGGCACCATCCTCTCAAAAACATACTATAATGTCGACGCGCACCAACCTGAGTCGCTCGACTGGTTCAATGTCCTGATTGCGCAAACTATTGCCCAGTTCCGCGCTGATGCACAGCACGACGACGCGATTCTTACCTCGTTGACGCGCGCCCTGAACGGGGCTTCTCGGCCGGATTTCCTCGACGAGATAAAAGTCACAGAACTCAGCCTCGGCGAAGACTTCCCCATCTTCAGCAACTGCCGTGTCATTCCAGTTGACGACGATGGCATCGCAACCTCCGCGCCCCACGGTTCAGGGCGTGAGTCGAAACGCCTACAAGCACGCATGGACGTCGACCTCTCCGACTTCATAACCCTCGCCCTTGAAACCAAGCTCCTCCTCAACTACCCCAAACCCCTCACTGCCATCCTCCCCGTCGCACTCGCCGTGAGTGTTGTCCGTTTCTCGGGAACACTTTCCATGTCCTTCATCCCCTCCTCTTCCTCCCCCGCGCACAACACCGCAACCACAATGGCCTTCTCCTTCCTCGACGACTACCGCCTCGACTTCTCAATCCGCAGTCTAGTCGGCTCGCGCTCGCGCCTCCAAGACGTCCCTAAGATCGCCAGCCTCGTCGAGAAACGTCTACATGACTGGTTCGACGAGCGCTGCGTCGAGCCGCGCTTCCAGGAGATCGCGCTGCCGAGTCTGTGGCCTAGGAAGAAGAATACGAGGGGTGGGGAGGACACGCCGGAGACGGCGCCGGGGGCGAGCATGAGTCGCAAGGAGGCGAAGATGGCAGCGAAGGAGGTGGAGAGGGGGATTATGGCTGAGGCGAGGAGGGAGGTGGAGAGGGAAGCGGAGGAAAAGGCTGAGAGGGAGAGGGCGAGGCAATGGGAGAGGGACGCGGTGGAGGAGGATGAGTTGGAAGGTATGGGCGGGGTGAGAAGGAGGAGGAGGATGACAAGGGGAGAGGAGTACGCGATGCCTGGAAGCATGCCCATGGGTTGATACTTCCGAGGTTTGTATATTTGGGATATGATGGGGATGGTTAGATACGAAACAGCATTGTTGGCGCACTTTATGACACATTATAGAATCTCATCTATACTCACAATAACCTTTCTCTCTCATCAGGAATAAAGCTTATATCGTCTATTCGTCTATCTACATATACATATTCACATATAAACTGCCACTACTCCTCATCACTCTCTGCATCAACAACCCGCAACCCAAGCGGCTCCCTCGCATACCACACCCTCCTCTCCCTAGCACCAAGCAACGCATCCATCATAGCTTCAGTCCCAGCTCTCTGCCTTCCAACCTTCTCTCTATTCCCAAAATCTCCCCTCTCCTTCTCCACGCCCCACAACCTAGTCTCCTCAACACACGCCCCGACCTCAAACTCTCCCTTGCACAGCGCCGTCATCGTAACACGCACTTCTGTTGTCCCATGCGCAGCCAGCACCGGCAGCGTGCGCTGCAGCGTCCCGTCCCAGACCACTTTCTTGGAGAGATCCAGCGCGTGCCCGTACACCTGGTTACATAGACTAGGTTGCAGTCGGAGCAGGGGGTAAACAGGCGTAGCGGAGCGGTTGCTGATAGTAACGACGAGATGCAGAAAGTCGTCGACCTCGACAGTTGTCCGTGGTGTGCGACTTAGAGGCGCGCCATTGACGCGCAAACTGATGCCCACGTCTTCGATCTTGAGCGCATCAATCGTGCGCGGCACGAGGCGCATGCCGCGAAGCTCGATAACACCCTTCCGTTCCATGCCGGAGGTGGTGCGCCAGGTGCCGCTGAGGGAACGGAGGATCTCCTCGCGGTACCAGAAGGCTTCGCGGCTGGCCTTCTCGGAGTCGACAGATATGCGGCCGGAGCTGACTACGAACTGGCGCTGTCTAGCTGGGTCGAGGACTGGGATGGCTTTGTGCGGGTCGTTGAGGTGAATTCGTTTTATAGGGAACACAACCCTTGAAGTGCTGCCGGGCAGGATTTCTTCTTCAACGGAGCGGCCTGAACCTACTTCAAGCCTGGCCCGGAGAGGTGCTGGCCAGGCATTGCGAAGATCTAGCACTAGCAGGCAATAATCTCGTGCGTCGATGTCCTCGGTATCTTCCTTAGCAGCTTCGCCACACAGGGACCAGAGGTTGCTGGGGATGTCGTGGCCCAATGGTACAAGGTCGATGCGAGAGAGTTCGACTCCTGCGTTGACAGTTACCGTTATCGGCATGCTAACTTGTCTTGTATGAAAGGCGCCCTTCACTTTGTTGGCTGGTTGGCCAAGATGTGCGTAATCAATTAGCACAGCCGCGCTTGTCAAGCCTGGCTTGCCAAGAACCTCAAAATCGACCGTCTTCGTGCCACCAGGAGGTATGTATATTTCATCGCTCTCTCCTTCCCTCTTTACGTACCGCAATGCGGCCTTTCGGGAAAGTATAAGCTCGTATTCGTACAGTTCAGCAGGCGAAGCATCGCGTTTGCTAAGGGCCGTCTGAAGAGGCCCTTGGGTGGAATCCTGGAAGGAAAACAGTAATAGGTCAACGGGGGTGGTTGTTGAAAGGTTCTTGAGTGTAACAGAGAATGTTTGACGTTCCCCTTCAAGAACCATAGCGGCTGCTTGAGAAAAGCTGGTGGAGGTGATCACAACGATTGGCTGCGGAGCGATTGCTGTCAATGATAAAGATGATGGCTTGGGCAGGCGTGGGTCGATAGCCGGACGTTTCGATAAAGATGCATCCGATACTGGGCGTTCCTCTCTCTTTCTCTGCACTGCAAGACCCAAGGCTTTTACCTTTATATCTGAGAGAGGCGACCATGGCTCTAAGAAGATAGGGAACCTGCGTTCCCTACAACCTCTGAGCTTGACGATACAGCCTGTGATCTTAAATGATCCTGCTGCTCGAGGCGTCCCTGAAACGTTCAGAATCTGTGTTCGGTAAGGGCCAACTACGGTTTCTTGCGCCGCTGATTCAAAATCGCCTCCATTAGCTTCAAGGCGGATCCTGTCGATCACTATCTCAAACTCATATGGGTTCTGGAGGGTGACTTTGAAGGTGGCGCTCTCGCCACAGACCAGAAGCCTTTCCACCGCTTCGGCGTTTGGCCTCTTCAAAAATGGATTATAAATAAATGGGTTCTTCCCTCCAGTTTCTGCAGCTTTTGTCGTCCCTCCAAGATCAGAGCTCCGGTGTGGGTTCGGCGTGCGAGAAGCTGGTAGGGCTTCAAGCTCGACGCCACGTACTAAGAACTCGTCCCAATACTCGGCCTCTAAATTTTGCAGCCCGATTTTAGCAGCGGCATCGACCGTCCTCGAAATATTGATAGACAGTCGGACTTGTTCGTCCCTCGACATCATCGGCGACGCATTCTCCGTACGAGGTCCTGGTGCTATTCCCGTCCCAGCTGTCCGCAGTAAATCGGCACTGAATCTAAGGACACCTTGAAAATCAGGGAGTGCTTCGCAGAAGCCAATGCAGGCCCGAAGAACATTCATCTTCATCGATTTTCCTCCAAATTGGCGTGCAGCTGTGTTCTCCATTATGCGTGCCACAACAGCTTCATCCGAGTCATCACACGCCTTATCGCCATTTTCGGCATCACCGCTCGGCGAGGATGGGAAGCCCACTACTCCGTATGTTTTTCCAACTAGGCCTAATAGTGCATCCATGCCGGTTTCAACATCACCTTCACCAAGATCTAAAGCACCAGCCCCAGTCGTATTGCCATTAATATGGCTCAGCGCAGCCAGTCCCGCCGCAGGGTGTATACCCATTTCCGCTGCGCCTGCAATTCTAGCACTCACAAGCCCGGGAATAAGGATTGAAACCAGTTCCCGCATCACCATAGCCTTCTTTCTATCGTAACCAAGAAACCCCAGAACAGACGCAATGCCAGCCAATATGACAGTACGATCGATTAGCGAAAGCTCCTTCGCCGCGGCTGATGACGGAAATGCCCGAAATAAGGTAGTAACGATTACTGATCGAGCTGGGTGAATATTTAATCGTGGAGTTCGGGTATTAGGTTTGGCAAAGAACGGGGTGCCTACGACCACAAGTTGCAAAGAGCCATCGTCGAGTCTACCTCCGGCAAGATGCACGGCTGATAGGAGCTTCGAAAATCGAATCGCAGACTCGGAGAACGGGAGCTGCGGTAACGACTCGCCAGTGAAATTTGATGCGCGCTCATACAGGTTGAGTATTCTGTCCAGCAATTCTGGGAGAAGTGCAGAGAGATTCTGTAGAGCTGCTAACCGGTTGATTGTCTCGGGGGTATTCTGCTCTCCTGGTGTTCCAGGTGTCGTTGGGGTTGTCGATTTTTCGGGCACGATGTAGCAGAGCTGTGGAATCTGAAAGTCTAAGCCAATCCAAGCAAGCATAATCATTGCAACTACAAGTCCTTCAAGGGCTTTAGCATGCCATAGATGATCATTGTTGGTCTTAGCAATATATGCGCCCTCAACCAATTCTTTCATAGCATCTTGCCAACGACCAGCCTGGAGGTATAAACCTCCAATTGCTATTGAAACGCGACCTTTCCCTTTATTTCTCGACCTCTCGCTGAGGCTACCTGATCCAAAACCTTGTGTCGAGATACGGTCGCGGCTTTGATCTTGAATCTTGTCCGCGACACTATTAGACCGACTTAAAGGAGGGCTCATGGCACTTGAGATGCCATCACTTGGTGTACTGGGTCCTGCACCGGGTGTTGTTGGGCGTGACACAGATGCCGAGCGCAAGTGCTCTCCCTGTTGTGAGCCGAACCGTACAGGCATGGACATGCGGACCTGGCTCCTATCAACTTTTGGCGTCGCTGATCGAGAATCCGTATCAGGGGTACCATATTGAGAAGCCCGCCTCGATATAGTCCCACTATCCCCATTTGACCACGAGTACCCGGGGCCTTGCCTCCCATCTAGAACCACACTTGGTGATTCAATCATAGCCATCCCTTGCAATGACTTAGCCATTGTAGTCATCTCACCCAGTAAAACAGAAGACAAATCACACATGACTGTCTTCATCGTCGTTATAGTAGACCTCTTAACAGAAGGCACGGGTATGAAGACATCAGGCAATGCTGGAGACTCCTTTTGATGGTGATAATCAAACAGAAGGGCCTGGTGCACCAAGGCTTTCGGATACTGGTCCCTGATAGTCTCCAGCTCTTGGTCTAAATCTCGAATATGTTGTAAATGCGTCTGGTAATCGTATCCATTAGTTTCGTTCCCGTCCTTATCTTTATTTGATACATGATTGAGTTCGGAGCCGTCCGCAATCGCAAGAATAACAAGCGGGGCGCGGTATAATTCGAAGGGGGCTAAGGCGAGGTGCGAAGCCGGTGGGAGTGAAGTCGTAAGGTCATAAACTATCATGCCAGCTGGAAAGGCCAGTGGGGAGAACATGTCTATGATCGTCAGCAGCTGAAAAGGGTTATTCTTCCATCGTCCTGAGGCTTACTTCTATCAGGTCGCCGATCGGGACTAATGTCCCCCAGTCGAACGACATTTTCGGGGTATAATCGTTGGATAAATGTCTCAAAGTGTGCTCTTTTCACTTGTCCAAGGGGCAGTATCAACGCCTTGACCCTCGCTGGCGCGATGGGCGACAGAGGGTCAAACACCATACTGTCATTTGGAGGTGCGGTTGCTCAGCGGAATTGGCTGGAAGGTTGATGCTGATTATTCTATATGTATCGCGAAACCATAACGAATCGAATCATAAGCTTCGTACAAGAAATCGGGTTCGTTGACAAACGGTTCAGAGCTATGTTAGGGAGCTCTTGATGGTTGCGATCCTGCCACTCCTATCGCGGATATTTGTGGTTGCGACCGGAAGTTGCCGACCCCACAGTGCTGTGCAACCCAAAGCACTGCCAAGCCCCTTCCCGCCGCTAGACACATTTAGGCATTCCCATCAGATGAAACAGCTTTCTTCAACACCCTGGGGTCCAACTTTATCAAAATGCCATGTTTTGGTATTTGCCATTACTTCGTGGGACCGGCTGGCCTGAGGCTCTTTAAACAATCTTTTTCGAAATAATAAATCAATCAAAATAATTGGCTGCTACTCAAGTATTCGTGAGCTTTATCTGTACTTAGAAAGCTAGGCACTCTTCGTTGATGTAAGCATCTCGTATGATTTTAGAGAACCCTCGATCCCATTTCTCTGGTCGCGAGACTATGAACCTACGTAAACTCACCTCGGTAGGGTCCATATGAGGTAAGATATGGGTGGCATGCAAGGTAATCTATGCTCTCATATTATCTCTCCCAGTCTCGTCTGCTTCATTCAATTCCAAAACAACCTCGTTGCTCTCTTGATTCCTCCCACCCATATCAGCACAGAAACGACCAAAATGGGCAAATCGGCTGATTCGGATCCTATCACATCTTCGACGTCACGCTCCTCACCGTCATATACCTCCCAAGCCTTAGCACTTCACAACGGGATGGGCGGTCCCCATCCCAGCGCTACCCAAACCGTCCAGCCCATAAACGTCGCCGGCGAGATCACAGACATGATGCCATACCGTGACAACCCCCCAACTCGTAGCGCCAGAGGGTCAAGCTCTCGCCGTCGACCATTACCAGAATCTTCTTACGGTTCTAGCTCTAGCTCTGGCTCCGGATCCTCCGGCGCTGCAACACCACTACAGTATTCGCCTACTGTGTCATCAGGGCACGCCCAGGCGCAGGGTTTGCATATGGGGATGGCTTGGGCGCGGCCTCATCACATTCAGCCGGTTAGTCTGCCTGCACTCGTTACAGGTTTCCCTGTGTGGTTGGAGCTGATATCAGTAGAAACCTCGACATCGAATGGAGGCTGTTCGGCAATCAGAGGCGGGAAATATGCTCTGCTTTGGACGAGAGCGTCGAGAGTAGGCATTATGTGGGCTTTGCGAGCCTTAGGGAGGGCTCTGTATTTATATATTTGTAATGACATGACATATACCGTAGCTGATAAGACCTATAATATTTTGCTGCATGGAGTGGGAGACGTGAGAGCACCAACCGCGGAATAAATCAATGGCATTTTGTTTAACCTAGAGCTATTTAAGAGCTCATTTTACCCCAGTTCCCAGCCTTCTAAATGGTATCTTAGATGGTCTTCTCGACCATGGTGATGCCGTACTTCTCGAGCTCCTTCATGAGCGGGTTGTTGAGCTTGCCGTACATCGGCGCCAACACACCCTTCTCGCTGATAGTACCATCAAGCACCTGCTTAACAGCCACACCGCAGGGAATACCAACGGTCTTGGCCATGGCGCTGTAACCCTTAGGGTCACCGTACTCGCACAGGGTCGACGTCCTCGTCTCCTTGCGGCCGTCCTTGTGCTCAATCTCGAACTTGTGCTGGAGCATGACGAAATCACGCTCGCCGGCCTCAAACTGCATCTTCTTCTCAAGGGTGGCGCAGAGGGTATCGAGAGGGTTGCCGCGGGGGATGGTGGCCTCGTCGGAGAAGAGACCAATCCACTTCAGGCCGGAGATAAGACGAGCCTCCTCCTCCTCGCTGGAGAAGCTGGCCTTGGTCTTGATAGCGGCGATGAGATCAGCCTCGCTGCCGGACTTGGCCGCGAGGATCTGGGCGGTGGCATCCTTCCAGGCGATGGGGGTGGTGAGGTAGGAAGCGGGCTCGTCAGAGAGGAAGCCCATGTCGACGAGGACCTTGATGAAGGCGGGGAAGCCCTGGTAACGGAGAGTACCGCGGATGATGGTCTGGCACTCGGGGATGTTGTAGCGCTCCTTGTATGGGGTGGAATCGCGGTTGGGGTAGGCAACGAAGGCGTAGCCAGGGTAGATGAAGTATGGCTTGGCAGCAGCCATCAGCTCCTTGCCCTCGATCTCAACAATCTTGCCATCCTTGTAGTACTTGGCAGCGTTGCGAAGAGCAAGGAGGACACCACGGGACGACCAGGAGAACTTGTATCCGAGCGGGTTGTCGGAGTTCTCTGGGGATGGAAGACCACCACAGTATGACAGGAAGGAAAGGATCTTTCCACCCTGGGCGTGAACCTCCTCGATGGTCTTGACGGCGTACAAGTGATCGATTCCGGGGTCAAGACCGATCTCGTTCATGACTGTGATTCCGGCATCCTTGGCAGCCTGGTCGAGCTCCAGCATGGCTGGGGAGACATAGCTGGTTGTGACGACGTGCTTCTTGTTGCGGATCGCAGACTCGATGACCTTTGCATGGAAAGTGTATGGGATGAGGGAAATGACAAGGTCGTGCTTGGCTACAGCGGCGTCGAGGGCAGCTGCGTCGTTGACGTCGACAGAGACGGCCTGGGCGTTCTTGACACCTTCGGCGAGCTTCTTCGCGCTTTCGAGAGTACGGCAAGCTGGGGGATGTAAGTGATGGCTCAATAATGAAGCTCGAAGATATCCATACCAACAGAGACCTGGATTCCAGCGTCGCTGAGGACATCGAGAGTCGGTTGAGTCACAAACCCAGCTCCGAGCATAAGAACCTTCCTATAAAGTATGCATCAGCTATCCATCGTAATTAGTTACCAGAGCATATGAGGCATCTTACTTATCAGTGAAAGAAGACATGATGGCAATATCTTCAATTTGTGATATTTCAATGATTGTTGTTTATAGATTAAAGTCCGGGGCAACAGCACTACGTAGTCATAGTCGGTGTATGGAGGATTTCCACCAAGAATTGTCGGCGGGGCAGTCCGGGATCGGGGGGGGTTCTTTGGTGGGATGTGGGATGCGGGGCAACACAATGATGCAACACATCATTATCGCTTCAGCGTTCATCCCCCACCTCGCTACAAGAATAAGTCGGGTAAATGGAATTTCATAGTATCTACAAGATATAGTCAACGCCTTTTTTTTTCGTGGGGGGAATGAAGGAATAAAAAAACCCATGCCACTTGCCACGTCATACAAGGAAGTCAGAGATCAACTCTCCGAAACAGCTTACTTCACCATATGTAACTTGAAAGTGAGACAATTTGCCATAAGCTTCGCCGTACGCTGTTCTACAGTACATACTGCCTCCTATAGTAGACTAACCCCTGAATTCCCTTAAACAAATTTTATATCCCCGTAATACTCCAGTCATTTTATGCTCTATTCATATCAAGATTGCAATTCTATCCGCAGCGAATTGCTGGTCTCACATACCAGTAATCCATCCAAATCGGTGTTGAAACAACACCACCCCCTTCTGTTTCGTTGCCGTATTGTAGTTTAGACAGGATCTGGAACTCCTCGTCTTGCTCCCGAGAATTCGTGGGCTCCGGCAGCTGGAAGTCAGGGGTACTAGCGGCCTCTGGCACATTAAACCATTTGGTAGTTTTCTTGAGCATTGTCCAGAGAGTATATAAACCCCAGAAAACATCTTAACGGCGGGAGCAAATTTTCAAAATAGTGCAGCAGGGATCGTGAGAGGCACGGCAGATTCTTCGACAAGCAGGGGGGCTGCCCTCAGGATTCCCCGAATATGACCGAACACAGGGCATATTCCTTGGCTAGGATGGGGGGCATCCTCAAAATTCTCTGAATATGACCGACACCGTCCTTTCAAGGCTGGCGGGTGAATAATCTGCTGCTTGGATGACAGTTGGGAAATCGTCGAGACGCCGCCATGACTCCAGTGACGAATCAGCTACGACAATAATTACCCTCTTATCATCTCCAGCGGTAGCTACTGTAACATGCGCGTGTTCGACGTTGATCTGAGGTGTTTGGCCTGCAGCCTCACCGTCGGCTAACACGAGAATAATCACTTTCGACTGTGTGATGAATTGGCGATGGATGCCTGTGATGCCACTGCTGTTGTCGTAAGGTCGGTGCCGAATTCGACTGTGGCGCGACTCGAGAGCCCGACCAAGCCACTCAAAGGGGTCAGAAGTATCATCTGGGTTCCCACTAATTTGTGGCACGTAAGGGGCCAAGATGAGAATAACGTCGGTGTCTTCTAGGTCTCCAATGATAGCTAATGAGTTCGTGGCATCTCTGGCAAGAAGGGAGGTGTGTCCCCCATTTTGCGTGGGAGGCGAGTTCAGCCCTACGCCGTTGGATTGCCGCGGATGTCTTGCGCCATTCCTGACAAGCGCATGTCAGCAGCATGCCCTAAAATCATCGAGGGAATAATAAAGGAATACTAACTCCTCGCCCCTTTCCTGCTGGGCCTCCGGAGACTCGTTCATACTGGGCGACATGTTGTAATCAAATGTTGGTAACGCTTGAAAACCTGAACGTGGATGAGAAGAATATTGTGATAATGAGAGAAGATATAACCAAAGTTTGATACCGCCCTCATATTAATATTGCCCGCATTGTGTAAATTAGATAAGACCAGGCTAACCGCGGATGCTGCGCTGCTATGCCGATTGTGGACATTGAAAGTAAACTGCCTAGCCAGCTGATGTGGTTAAATTGAAACCCAAGCATACTATGCATTCGCGCATTCGAGAACTGGCCTACCGCTCGCAGAAGATCTGCCTGTGATTACACTGGATAACGTTCCCACACAGATGGTCTATGCTGAGACTGAGCGTATGATTGAAATGGCTTAGTGACACGATATAGCTTGGTTCAGCTAGCCAGGCTTTCTGTCAGGAACGGGCCATAGTTCCTTGGCTACCTATTGGCCCTTCACGGAGTGGCGCGAGTAAGGTGGAGGATTTGGCAGCAACTCAACGCAACACAGTGTTAAATCGGGGCTGTTTCTGATTTTCTACCTATTGGTATTTCGCCCAAGCCATTTGCGGTAATCCGTAGCTGTAGTGCATGGGAATCGTCCTGGACAGCTAGATCAGTATGAGCCGATACTAAACCGTTACAGCCTTCCCCCGAATATTCTTCAGGACCGCTGGACCCATAGTTGGGCTACATAACCTAGAACCTAGATTCACTTCGGGCCAAGCTTTGACAGCCAGGGTGAGCGTGGTCACCCGGGGTGGTACAACACTAAGTATATTGGCTTCCCTAGGCGGTAAAGCGTAAGCAAGATGGAAAGAATATGTGGAAAACGTACGAGAAAGGGTCTTGGGAACCTCCTGGACACCTTGGTGGTTGCGTGAGTCTGCAGTTTGGTCAGAGGTACCCTGTACTGTGCCGTAGAACACAGAACGCCACCATATGGTAGTGGACCATGCTTCTCGCCTGGGGATACTTGAGATGCTTGTGAAACCTAACATCCCAACTCCTAAATCCCATACCCCATCCCGTCCCGGCAGCTGGGAACGTGGAAAGGGCGTTTCGGTTTTCGGGTCAACAAGATCCCTGGACGTGCATTGGCGAGATATACGGCCCCAGGTCGTACAGTACGATTTGGAATACAAGTATCTCCCATCTGCCACCTGTGGTATCGCTCCTCGGGATATATTCCAGAAGGAGAGAAAAACGGTATTCTTCTCATATGTCTCGGTCGCTTTGACCATATCTGGTTCCCAAGTATTTGACGTCCAAGCTGTCTCCGAGACACAAATCCGCTACCCTTTCCCTGTACAGCGCAGCGAGAGTTCGGTCGCGTAGATGAATAGTAGAGTTCTTGACATCTGACACCGATATGAGTTTTCCTTAGGTTCTAATGTACAGTACCTCCATTGTAGGTAGCAGCTGGGCTCGGTGTCGTCAGCTACGTCAGTATTATCAGATATGGCATCGACAGCTGCAACTGTCCCACAAGCCACATGCGCCTTCATCGGGCATGCCGGATACCGACGAACGCCACATATGTTTGATATGCCATAGGCTGCTAATACTGCGGGGGTTGATCTATCGGACCACATTGATCAGCATGGAAGCGAACTTAGAACCTCCGCTGGGGAATACTAATGGTTGGCCAATCTCGCCTGTATGTTGGAGACCAAGCAGTTGGCGATCGAGCTGGTCTTTCAGCTTTCGCTGTCATTCTCATGCTGCCTCTGAAACGGCTGTGCATGCTCCAGAAGAGCACAGCTGAGTCTTCGTCAAAATTACTCTCTGGGCGTCAAGTCGACCTGCACGAAGAGAAGACGCACACATTACTCTGCACACTTGACCGCCAGAAGAAACACTAGGCTCTCTTCAACACTATATGAGCATAAATAGGGTGGCAAATTGGATAATAGTACGCATAAAGTTGACCCAGATAGTAGAGAGACTGTAAAGACCTTCTACGAGTATAAGAAATGTAAATCGCGATACAGAGACACAGTACCAGATATTAGGAGAAGAGTCTGTAAATAAAGGATATAAGCGCCCAAAATAATCGGGGGAAAATTGTTTCATAGATGTTGGTTGGTTGTGCCCATTTGATTCGCTTGTGGTTAACTTATTGTGGTTGTGCTTGTGTAACATGAGATGCAGGGCGACTACAGCACTGTGCACTAGAACACAGCGCATCACCAAAACACCCAACATATGTATCATACTATATAAAGTCACGTTCATACAAGAAAAATCACGGTGGATAATGTCAAGGATATCATAATGCAGTCTTCTCCTCCACCCGAAGATGACGGGAAGACAATTGAACTCCTGTTGACAGACCTCAACCATGGCAAGTCGCGTCAAGAAGAACCGCGTCTGGTCACGTGTACTAATTGGGAATTATAGCTGCTCAGATACCGGCGAAACAAAGGGCTGTGAAAATCAATGGGACAGTAGAAAGAGTAGCAAGCAAGGCCTTTGAGGATGGGCTGTCCGAAGCGTCCTTGGATGAGCTTGTTGACATCGTAACGCTGCCAAATGAGCTCGACCAGGCGAGCATCGCGAACATCATCAGAAACTTGTACCCAGCCGCACAAATATCGGACGATACCCTTGTGAAAGTTATAGGCTCTGTGGGCCATGGGCAATCCAGAGTGGCCTTTCCGGTGCAGTCATTGCTGTTGAAGTGGCTGGTTATGGTCTACGACTCCATTAGGAACCCGAAGATATTGTCTCATGCATACAGCTTCCTGTTTAACCTGCTCGATACAATTGCCATAAGGTTTATTTCGCTCCGTCATCTTCTGTCTTCAGATGCTAAAAGCAAGCAGAGCGCCCCTATGCCATCTCCTGTCGCTGATTACTCGCCGAAAACACGTGAGACCATTCCGAATTCAATCTCTGTAAGTAAATGCGCTACAAACTTGAAGCCTGACAGCTGACATGGCCTAGATTGGAATTAGCAAGGCGTGCTGGTAGTGAACCACCACTCGTTGGGCTCATCAGAGTATACAAGGACTATTATCCAGATGTCATTGTTGGCCAGCTGACAGCGGGAAGAGCATCGGTGTTTACGGTAAAACCAAAATAGCCTTGCCCAAACGATACCACATCTAATAGTTTACAGCATCCAAATCCAGAATGGAAAGCTAGGTTGGCAGAAATCCAAGAAGCGCATGCTCAGAAGACTGTGGACGAACAACAAACTCGACGAGACACCTTCCGAGTTGTGAGACGTGGCATAAATGGGGTAAAGCGAAGCAGAGTCTCTGTGATACCAGAGGTGCACACCTCTAATGCTCAAGAGGTAAGCATGCGCACAACGATCGAGCCTGGGTGGTTTGCTAACTGATGCAGACATCGGTGACATTGGAAGAAATTGAGAATGCCAACGGCTTTGTTGCCGAGCTCGAGAAGATAGAACTGCCCAACCAATTGGTAGCTGTCATGGGTGACCCGCTACTGCAAAAGCTCCTGCAGTTGAAATCTACCGATGCGGTGAGGCAGCGAGTGGATAACTGGCTCATGGCATTCTTTGAAGACCAGCTAGAGGGGGATGGGTCATCGGAGGGCGCTCTTGTGGACATGTTGGCTTCAATATTGGAGTATACTCGATTCACAAAAGTAGGTCTACATCAAAATCACACCTTCGAATCCGTACTAACAGGTTAGGATCTCCCACCGGCTTGTGCTAAATATCTCCATTCCCTACTCGAAGACTGGAATGGGGTTACAGGGCGCGCGGTTGTGCTCGATCTCCTTTCCTATACTCATATTGCTCCATTTGAAGGTATGGACACGCTCGCTATAAGGGGTCACCATGATGTTAATATTTTCTAGAACTCTATTTATCAACTTTTCAGCCGCTGGAATGGGCAATTCTAGATGACACCCCGAATTCGCAGACAGATCTTCTTACATTCTACACCTCCATCCTCAGAAACTGGACTTCTTCTCTTCTCTCCAGCACCCCACCAGCCTTCACAAGTACCACAATTAGCGCTCTTACCTCGCACGTTAATGTTTTGGCTTTAACGATAGTCCAAACAGGCCATTTACAGAGCACCATCACTCATCACTCGGTACTCTGCTTCTACGAAGCCATGGCTGGTCTCCTCAGTCAACCCTCACTCCAAGCACATGTGCGCATCACAACTCCACCATCAGCTCTAGTATACACACTCCACTTCGCACCATCACTATCAACCTTCTCCCGCCTTTGCGCCATCCTCGCACTCTACAAACGAACCTTCGAGACAGCGATGTCGAAGCCCATCCCCGCGCGCCCGGACCCAGCCCAAGGACCATCCCCAGAATCATACCCCAAAGAGTACGTCAACCATTTCAACGGCTTCCTCATGGACATCTGCAACTGCCTGTGGCGCTCGCGGGCGTTCAATACTACAGACACGAACGCCCTTGGTTGCCTGCTTCCGCCTCCGCTACTCCCGAAATTTACATCGTATGTCTCCTCCCTAGACACTGGCCTCACCCTGCCATCTCTATTCACCCTCTCGTATTCTCCCGTCCTCTGCAACCTCTCGATCTCGTATCTGCGAGAGCTGGAGGATAAGGCGGATGAGGCAGGAGGCGGGATCAAGGTCAGGCACGCGGGCCCGGTGACACAGAAGAGCTTGGTTACGCTAGGGAAAGATGGGGGGTTGCAGCTTAGTTGGGCAGATTATAGGTTAGGTGTGCTGACGTACTTGGAGCGGAAGGGTGCCAAAGGGGTGGGGGAGCTGATGTATAACACGATGAAGCATTTGATGACGGCGAGAGAGGCGGCTGCCAAAGCTTGAGGGGTAGTAATAGAACACAATGACAAACGCATTTTGACATAAAGTAACATAGGCTTGATGCCGAACCGTCTCAATTTCTACCCACTGTGCATTAAACATTATATCCATCGAGCGCTTCCGTCCCGGTAGTAAAGCCCTCATCTCTCATCGTCTACTGCAGTAAAGACGCCCTAACTCCCTGTCCCATAATCAGACAACAGCCCATTTTATACATGCGCCAGGCACTTCCTTTCCTCTAACCTCCCCGTACCGTATGTACGTCTCGTATCCATCCGTCTCGTTGGGTGTATTCCACGCCCCCATGCCACTACAACTCCTTCTGGGCCTGAGCCGCAGTCGCTGCGCTGGCCCTCGCCGTCTCAATTATAGCGCGGAGTCGGTCTCCCACTGTCATCGCGACTGTCTCTGATACGCTCGAGGACAGTGCGTCCTTGGAGTCCCCGTCGCCTTGGTAGTAGAACCAGGCCCGGTTCATGAGGAAGGTGATGTGTTGCGGGAGGTAGAGGCAGCCGGCAATAAGGACCATGGAGAAGATGATGAATATGCAGGAGTCTAGAGAGTAATTAGCACTGGAACTGGAACATTTGTCTTGTGACGGAGCGGTTGGGGGTTTGGAAAGGGGGCCTTGATCGAGGACAGCGGAACGGCCGGGTTTAGGGGCGCGACGGGGGTATCTGGGCTCAATAGAACCGGGAGAATGGGTAGAGTAGACATACTGAAGATGAACTTCTCCGTCGGCGTCAACATGTAAAGACTGAATGTGACTTCATACTGATATCTCTTGCGTTGGAGCCATCGGAAACCCGAGGAGACAACGGAAGTTTCGGAAGGCATTGCGCCGTTTTTCGAGGGTATAGCTGAACAAGTATATTTCCTAGGGCGAGTCGTGAGAATAGATAATATCGTATTGGCAGAGCGAGGGGTCGTCGAGTCGTTGAATTCTGTAGTTGGACAATGTGAAGTTGGCGATTTTGACTTCCCGTCCCTGGTGTATGCGTATTCCGGACCCCTGCATATCGGCCCTCGCGGCGCCGATAGCCTCGTGCCTTGTCTCGAAACCCACGCCTTACGACGCCACCAAATACAGGGACTGTACCACCGGGTTTAACAGCAATCCTCTCTGTCAACTCGGATTACGGATAGATATGAGCTGAGCCAGTAATCATGCTGCGCGCCCTCACACCCCACGCATGGGCTCCGCGCGCCAACGCAGCCGCACGACTCATATCAACCGCCACGCCTCGATTGGTGAAAGCCATGCCGCAGCGCCCCGCGCCAATCCCCGAGGAAGAGTTCACTGAAGCGTTCCTCTGCGGATCCGGCCCTGGCGGTCAGAAAATTGTACGATACCCTGCCATTGCTCGGAGACCGAATGACTACTAACTTGTGCGCCAGAATAAAACTTCCTCCGCTGTACAACTCAAGCACCTTCCCACGGGCATTGTGCTGAAAGTGCAGGCGACACGATCAAGAAGCCAGAATCGGAAGATTGCGAGGGCGATGTTGGCGGAGCGGGTGGAGCTACTGGAGAAGGGGCCGGAGAGTCGAGTGGCTATTGTGGGAAATGTGAAGGCTAAGAGGAAGAGCAGCGCAAGCAAGAAGAGTAAGAGGAAGTATAAGGCTTTGGATGATGCGAAAGCGGAGGCCCTTGAAGCAGCCAAAGCTGCGGAGGCCAGCGGTGCTGCTAGTGAAGATTCAAAAGGGGATTCACACGGGGCCAGCTGAGTGATTTGGGCTTGGATATACAACCCCATCTCAACCAAACATAGACAGCTCATATACTGTCATACCCAGACTTTCAGACCCCAGGCATATATGGCAGCTCTTGGGGCCCTGCATGTAACCACACCCAGGGGAAAGGTGTTGAAGCCGCATGGAAATCAGGTCACAGATGCCAGGCCCAGTTCCAATTAGGATAGCCACATAGACATAATAATCAAGGTTCCAATTCCCATTAGAGATTGTCTATGTTACAAGCATGCTCGCAATAAAAACTGACATCAATCCCATCACCGTCGTAGCCCCTCCACACGTCCCCAGCCTACCCACCACGTGCAAACCCCTCCATTACAGAGCCAGGTTATACGCATACTCATCCTCCATATTCTGCGAAATCCACAGCAGCACGGAACTACCACAAATTAGCCAACCCATTAAATCATCACGCACAAGAAACTCACCTCAGCATCACCCCGGCATTCGCCAACACATTCGCCAACCCCATCCCAAGCGTCGGCCACGGCACGCCCGGCACAATATACTTCATGACGAACACGGCAACACCTCCAGCCATGCCGCCCGCAAGGAAAGCAAATCCAAGGAACAGCACAACGCGCGCCTTCCACGCGACGCCAGACCCGGAGTACGAGAACGAGTCGGCGGAGAGGCGCGACTTCTCGATCGAGTTGATGATCAGCATGCCCAGCGTGGAGAAGATGAAGGGCAGCCAGTCGATGAAGGTGATGTGGGTGTGGAGGGAGCCGTTGAGGGGGGACTTGGAGTAGACGGCTGCGTCGAGGAGGATGTAGAAGGCGAGGGAGAACTAGGGGTAGTGAGTTAGCTTGAGTCGAAGGAACTATATGGAGTTGTGAGGAAGTGGGTATATCTCCAAAGATAGAGCGCTTGCCCGCTATCTGGATGGGATCCTCGCAACCCGGATGGTCTCGACGAGATCGAAGACATAGCGTTTGAAGCTATAGAGGAGCTGTAGATAAACTCACCAATCCCCCAGCGGCATACACGCCCGCGCTCCGCACCATGGAGCTATTGACCCATTCCGGGATCTGGAACTTCCAGAGCCTCTCTTCAGACATCGTCGCAACAGTAAGCGCCTGCTCGTTGTTTGTGGTTTGGGAGTCGCAGATTAGAAGTGACTGGGCCTGAGCCTTGGTAGGAATCTAATATGCTTCACCTCGCTAGCGGAGATAATGGTCGCTTGGGTGGTATTCGTGGGTGTTGATGTTACGGCGGTTGTCGTTTGATCATAGGTTGAACCGCCATGATCCGCCCGCCTAGCTATTGGTGACGACGTCTCTCGGCGTCAATCACAAGTCACGTGCCGACATAGTTTTGGTGACGGTTTGGCTCACAACCAGTCCTGTTATTAAGAAGCACTTCTCACAATCAAATTAACAGGCATTTACACGTCAAATGATAATCGCGTTTATCAACTATTCATCATCGAATTCAAAGACAGCCGCTGCCCTCAATCTTGCGCCCCACTCCTACAATGCTACACACTGATCTAATCCGACATGCACAAACCGGGTTGCGAAAAAAGTCCCCCTCCCATATTGCCTCATTGCCCCTAAACTGATTACCCAGCGAAGTGCTTGCCAAAGCGCGCTGCTGCCTCGAAGAAGAGAAATAATGAAACGTCGAGTTCTATGGTACAACAGAAGATGATGTGAATTCAGGGAAAAACGTCTTTCCGACTATGGTGACTCCAGTAAACCGTCAAGGCCAATCAAGGTTCCGCCGTTGCTTCATGTATGTATCACTGCCAGTGAAAACTGGCCGTGGTGCATATGCGATATGTAACCCCCATTAAAACTGCAGCAGCTGCAGCGATCCCAGTACGCCGTTGGTTGCATCTATTGGACTAGAAGCAATTCCTCATCTCATAATCATATCTCAATGGTCTTCATGACGCTGTCGTCCTCGACCGTTGCCTGCTTGGTCGCGTTGCCGTTCAACTTGGAGTCTGCGGCCGATGTGCTATCCGCCTTCACATTCTCCTTGTCGTCTTTGGTCGGAGGCGGGTCTAACAGGGACTCCATGGCCTTAATGCGCTTCTCCTCGTCACTGGCTCGGGGAGTTCCAATTTCAACAAGAGGTTTGCTGGAACTGGACACATCTGTGTTCACGACGCCCTGCAGCGGGGAGGCGACTTGTGCCGATGGGATTTCCTCCGCGACTTTCGATAGGGGGCTTGACTTTGGATAGTTGGGCCTGTTCGGGCTTGACACGGGAGAAGCGCCGCTGAATCTTTGCATGGATCGTCCTCGTGGCTCGCCAATCTCGGCAACCGGGCTATCGTACGGGGAGCCTGTAGGAGATCCAGCACCCTTAGCAGACCCGTTGTGCGGCCGCCTCCTTGGACCTCTGCGGCCGTACTTTTGATCGGATCTCCATCTGAGAATATCCAAGTAGCCGGGCTCAACATGCGATGTCTTGAATTCACGAAGCTTCAGCTCGTTCGTGTCCTCGTCGATAAACCATTTGCCGCTGTTCATGTCGTCGGCGACAGTCGCCAAAAATGATGCCCATGATCTAGAAACAACGTATTTGCAGTCGTAGTCGCGACCGAAAAGGATAACCTGACCCCATTTTCCGGTAGGGCCAGGCGCCAGGTCCACAGCCAAGTTGTTTCCTCCCCAATCACGAGCTAACGGGATCCAACGGGGGTGTGCATAGACTCTCTGGATTGCTCCTGGGGGTTGCGATTCCTGCTTGGCGAGGAGGTCCTGGCGCCACATTGGGTTTTGTGGCTGCTGGGGCTTCTTCGGGGGTGCTGCTGATGAGCTTCCCCCAAGAGCTGTGGCCGGTGTCGTGGGCCCGGATGTTGATGGTGCATTGAGATATTGCTCGTTAACCGTTTTCCAATTCCTCCACTCATGTACAATCTCCTCACAATCAAGCAACATACAGCCAAAAATCATTCCCGTCGGTCGACCGCCCACTTCTTGTCCATCGTGGACTTGTAGAGACTCGCGCACGTCCATTGGCAAAGAGCAGTCGAGTTGGTGTTCAAGGTCGTTCAAGTCGTTGCTTGTGCATCCCTCTCCAAGCTCCTCAAAGAGTTCCTCGTAGTTCTCCTCAGCCCACTTATCCATCCTCCTCCACGAATGTGCAACCGGTGGTGGCGGTGGCAGCCCTTCCTGGAAGGCCTGCATCTGAATCTCGCCAGGGCTTGTGTTTTCCGCGAAGTTGTCATTCTGTCTTTTTTGAGCTGACGACGATCTCATTCCAGGCGAGTATGGCGATGGAGAAGTGTTCCCTGGGTTCCGGGCGTATGCGGGCGACGGAGGGAAGGCATTGCCATTTAGCGCTGATGCTGAGCTCGCTTGGTCGTCGAGGTAAGGGGATGAGATATCAGCGCGAGACTCGGAGCCATCGGTCGCGACGGAGGTAAGGGGGTCGTGTCGACTCTGAGCGAGTGGTACATGCTGGCCAGTGCGATATGGGGAGTCAAAATCGGAATCTGTATATAAATCATGAGCATAACGTCGCGGCAGCCACGGTGGATTCGGGGGTGAGCGTACGGCGATCGTAACTTGTTAGACTGTGCCAAGCAGATCGGAATGCTTTTCCGAATCCAAGCCTATATCGCAGAGGCCAAAGTCAGTACAGGCAGGACATGGAGATGGGGGATGAGGAATGGGGTGGAGCTTACGAAGCCATCGGGAAGAGCTGCAGGAGCGGAGGTTGTTGATGGAGGGAGAGGTATCGCGGACACCCAGTCGTTCAATCGTAGATTGCCTGCCAGTGATGGCGTTGGTCGACTGGCAGATAATCTTACTCGCGCCTCCTGTAAATGATGCAAAAGAGTGTTGTATTGAGAGGGGAGTTAGTGAAAGATCGAGATTCAGGGTGTCCTCATGGGTGTCGCGTCTTTAGGAGTTTGGAACTTGGAGTAAGTCGGCTACAGATAGTATCCTTTCCTCCTTCCCTCTGTGCCTATCCACCTATCGCTCGATTAGGGTAATCTGCGCTAAACAGGGTTTCGAGGAACGACCTAACGGTCCGACCTGGAACGTTCAGGAACTTAATCTTGCAAAATACTGTAATTTACTACGTTTACTAATATGTATAAAAAAGAAATGAGAAGGTGCAGCGAAATACTTTAGTGAGTTTACACATGAAACAAAATAAATATTTGGAAGTACGCTTCATCTCAGTGCGACGCGGTACGAGTAGATGATTAAAGGGGACGGGGACACCAGGGTGCTCCTACAATTAGCCACAGGCGGACAGGCCGATTTATTCTTAGGGTCTTGGTACTGTATGGGAGAACAACAGATGAATGCTTGATGCTTCAATCACTGACAGGTTTTATTACTGGGTTTTGTTCGTTCTGTCAACTTATATATTTTACAGAAAATGAGGATTAATACCGCGTGTTGGCGTATGGGAGAAGGGCCAAAACTGGTTTCGTTCCTTGCCCGACTCACTTACCCATATATTAACTGTTCTATGTATAGATCGCTTTATATCCAAGAACGGCGATGGGCTATTCTCAAACCCCAACGTTATATCCTACAGATCACATTTCAGAACCATTCCATTGCCAATTCCCTCTCATTCTAACATATGAAGCATTCCTTTTTCACGATCCTCATACGATTCTCCTAGCCCTGCAAAAAAAATACCAACCCGGCACGCAAAAACTGGGAACGGCAAATGATGCGCACCCCCCCCCCAATCCCCATTACCACGTCCCCATTTTCTCAGCTTCTCTCCTCCTCTCTACCAAGCAAACGGCATACACACACGGCCTGGACCCATCTCAGATCAGCGTGGCAAAGGCCTCAGAATCCCCACGATGCGCGCCGAAAGGGGAAACAAAGGGAATAACAAAAGTACACTAACAAAGGGGGGCGGTGGTGGTCCCAGTTATAATTTACAAGCTAGCTCGGCTACCCTGGTCACGTAACGTGATTTCGAAGTTCGAGGTGCCGAAATGGAAGGGGAAGGACGAGGGAAGTTCTCCACACAGCAGCTGGGCAAGGGGAGATGCAAGTTGCGGGCTAAATTATTGTGGCGCCAAGGAATGCGTACTGGATTATAGATTGTGCGTCTGCGTTTGCTCAGCCTCTGTGTCAGCCACCGTCGCACTGATCAAGGCGCGAGCCGTTTGATGGTTTTGGCGACGCCGCGGAGTGGAGCACGCGTTTGGCATGGGAAATAATATGAAGTTCTGCATGATGATGGTGGGAAGGAAGCGCCTGCCTGGTATTGTGTCCTTAACTGTATCCTGAATGAAGCCCGCTCTCCAATAGATATTACACGCCCAGCTCACCTGCCAAATATCACATCGGATATATATAATGTACTGTACAATCCCACCCAATCATTCCGCCAAGGTATCCATCCAAGTGACCCGTTCCCATACGCCCGCCTTCCCCCTGAAAATGATTCCAACACCAACGTCCCATCAAATCAGCTCTGCCACATATACTCGCTGAGTTGAAGTAGGAGATCTCCCATATTCCGCTTTGCCACAGTGCTAACTCCTCGCTCCGGGTCGGCCATCTGCTCGCTGAAGCAGAGCTCAATCAGCGTCTTCAGCTCGTCGTAGGTGAACTCTGGGTTTCCATCCTTGCCCTTTGGCTCCTTGGCCTTCTCCAGCACAGCGGCGGAGCCCTCCATGAAGAGGTCGTAGTAGTCTGCGGAGCGGGTGAGGCTGGAATCCGGCTCAATGTTTTTGAGGTTCTGCTGTAGGACGAGGATGTTAAGCTGCATGCGTCCGCAGCCGTTGGCATTCATGGGCTGTACCATGCCAGCATTGGTGACGAGGTAGTTGTCAATGAGGAGGGCCAGGCCGTTGCGGAGAAAGCTTATTTCTTTGTCATGGAGGTAGTGGCTGGTCGTCTCGTCGTAGGCGACAAGTTCGGCATTGAGGGATAAGATGCGAGGGTCGGGGTCGCTGACGACTTGTTCCAAAAGGTAAGGTGCGTTGGAGGGAGATAGGGCAAGTGCGAGGGTCTGCACAATCTGGCATCGGCTCTCAACGTGCAGGTTCAACAGGACAGTGCCGGCGAGATCTTGGTATGACGAGACGATTGAGTCGAAGGCGCTAGAACTGTTAGAATAGACAATCATTTAAATCAGTGGATAGAACTTACACAACAGTCTCTTGTGTCATCGGTAGGTATACAGAGCCATTATCACCAGGCCCTCCTGCAGCCTGTAGTAAAGTCCAGCGACGGCTTTGTGATGCACGCATTGTTGTCCGTCGGGAAGAATCAGCGTCATGATGCGTGATATTCCGAAGCTGGTTGATCTTGCTAGCCAGCCACCTCATACTCGTATATAGCAGACAAAGAGATGTGATAATCTTCCGATCCAATATAATATCAGAGTCAGCCAGAGGATTCTCATTTGTTTGCAATATTAGAAGACCACTCTCTTTGTCCAAAAGGCTGCGGTTCTCCTCCCCATCCGTCCAAAGCTTCTTGACGGTATCGTGAATCTCGCCAGGCCCCATTGCGATGGCAGCCGACGCTTTCAGGGATGGACCATATGATTCTGAATCCTGGGTTTTCGACACCAGCGCTTGGTACCAGTCGCAGCACCTGTCATAATAACTGACCATCTGCGTAATAATAAGCTGGCTGAAGGCTTGGTCGTGCGGAATGGTGTCCAGCATGCGACAGAACGCCGTGATGAGATCAAAGAATGCTGAGCACCCCTTGAGGATAGGCCGTCGTGCAACTTCTGCCCACTTAGGATCTTCCTGGAACGCATCTCCTTCCTCGAATGTTTGGCTACTGAACTTCACCAATGTCTCGTCAAGTTGAGGAAGGAACACGTTGACGAGGAAATCGTCAAGGAACGATGTCAACGACTTCGTCTTGATTTCTGGCGCCGGAGGCACAATGTCTTTAAGTCTTTGCAGGAAGGCCAAAGACGGCGGTAAGAGGGCACCCATATTGAAAACGCTCGGGTCAATCAGTAATTTATGCCCAGTAGCAGCTCCATCGGTTTTAGGAGCTTTGTCGTCCGATGTAGTGCCCGTTGGGCGTTTAGAAACGGAAACTAATCCCGGCACAGATGTCTTCAGGATAGACTCCAGGTCATCAAATTCAATATTCATGATAGATGACTTCGGATCAATATCCGATAGGCTGAATATCTTCTTGCTCTTATTTCGCTGCCCCCGTTTGAACACATCCGCATCTTGACTAATCGACTGGCTCATTCGGTAGATATTGGTATCTGTCGCGAGATAGTCATGTAATAAGGAGCGTATCTCGTTTTGATAAAGCATCCACAACTCTCTAAAACTACCCGTCAGGGATTCCGGTTCACGAATGTTCTCGCGCTTCGCTATTCCCACGACAACATCGTGGAAGACGCGGTGCCCCTCGGCTATAGACTCGAATTTTGCATATAATGTCCACAGTAGGTCGCTAATAACAACGTGCCTGACATCATCATTCTCAATACCAAGATCAACTCGGTTTTTCTGATTATTGCCAGTGCCACGGGAGACATTGGGGTGTCTTCGGTCAACTTCGTTATTGGTCTTGTCCACAACTCTGAAAAGCTCAACAGGTAGTCTCTGCTCAATAGCGTTCACAGCGACGTCTAGTCGATCCATTTTATTCAGCGATTCAACAAGTAATTGGATATAATAGAAGCTGTCGGCCTCGGGGTTCCTTGTCGGGTCTTCCACCATAGGGTTTTCTGTGTCAAGTTCGTCGAGGAAATGGTATAGCGGTGGTAACTCAGGCACAGAAGCGTCACGGCCTTCCGAGCTGGCGCCTTGGCTGATCTCCTTAACATGGGCCTTCCATCGATCTTGACAGTAAGGTGATTTCAAGTATAGATGGCTATGCAGCTCCTCGATCAGGATGTCCGTCAAACTCGTCTCTTGGTTCGCCAGGTATGCCCGCAGGTCGCTCAAGGCACCAATATTGTCCATTTCGGGTTTCCTGAGTAGTCTGAGAGCATCTTGAAGCACATCAACCGCTGTCAAGAATCGCTTCTCTGATATCCTTGCCTCCAGCTTGTCTGTCACCAGCCGCAGATGCTCTATCTGGGCTAGGCATTGGAGCATCTCATCGTAACCCTGTGAAGTCGAAGCCAACCCCTTCAATTCTGGGCGTGTAGTTGACAGGCCACTTTTAGCTTGTGACAATGATTCCCTCAGTTGCCGTAACCTTGTCTGAGACGATTGTATGCTTGATTGGATTTTGTGGAATGTACCGATCGAACTGTTGAAACCCTGATGGTGTTCATTGACAATAGCTTTCAGCGCTCGTTGTAATTGCTTATGGGTTGCTTGAAACTCGCTGTATTGGTTCGCTCGGCCAAGGGAGCTCGAGTCCATGAGCTGGAGCGCGACCTGGACCGGTACACATTTGTCTTGCGCCATAAAGGACCATTCGGACTGGATATATTGGAGAACATCTGCGCGGAACCACGGATTAGCCCTGTAGTTCTTCCTTCGTGATGACATGGAGCTTTGCAACAAGTAGTAACTTGAACATGAAGCTTAACAACAAGGAGTAGCTTCATGTTATACACCTTGGCAATGAAGGGGGTGTTCCTCCAAGCAAGGGGTAAACATTCCAGAAGAGACAACATTACTAACCTTCGATCTGCCTCGTCCCACTCCCACCACCCCCCCTCGTAACAGCTCTCTCTCTATCCCTCGCAACCGAATTATTCTGACCACCCGAGTACGATCTCTCCCCCATACTCGGTTTCCTAAACTCCCTCGCCGCCGGCCCATCAGGCGGCCTCATACTCCCACCATCAGACGCTCCATTCCTAAACCCCCTCGACTCATCCGACGGTCTCCTCTGCGCCTGCTGCCCCGGCGCCGGCAAATTCTCTCTCGACCTATTATCCCTCCCCCCATACACCTGCTGCTGCTGCTGCGGCGGCGCCCTCGGCACCGGCAACGGCTGCTTAGGCGACGGCCCAGCGCTGCCCGCCGGAGCAATACTCTGCGCATAGAACCCACCATACCCCCCCGCGCGCCCCTGCCCCGGCGGCTGCGGCGCGCGTCTCTGCTGCTCGCGATTCGCAGCCTGCTGCGGTGGTGGTGTGCCTAGAGGCGGGGTACCGTATCTGTCGCCGTACGGGTCGTAATCGTCTGTGCTTGGTGTTGCACCCGGGCTGCGTTCCCGCGGCGGGTTTGGGGTTGCGGCGGCGAGGGAGTCGCTGCTCTGCGTGTACGGGTCGGCGGAGGCATTGAAGCCTGCGTAGGGGTTTTGTGCCATGGATGGGTGTTTTACGGCGATGAGGGCATGTCGAGTGGGAATTCTCGCGCGCAATAGGCTGGATTGGTTTGGGGGCGTCGTCACGGTGGTGAAGCTATGGTGGTCGTTACATAGGTGGCATGGGGTTACGGGAGTTGCCGAGTAGTGCAGGTGTGCTGGCGGCGATGACAGCTACCCCGAGAGCTATAGGTCCCAGTGTCATTGGGAGCAAAATGTTCGATATCTGAGTATGGCAATTATTTTACGTTCCACCAGCGAATTAATACGGCTTTATCGTTGCAATAGGAAGTGAACTTGAGTTTGTTGTTCACGTGTGCAAAAATAATAAAAGATATAAAATAATAATCAAGCTACAATTATTTACTCCTTTGTAATAAACACTCTATATAAGAGGCCTCCTTCATAATATTAGCTTCCAATAATATAATACTAGGCCAATTTGTTTAGATAGGTCTATTCCATGCCTTATGTACTCACATGATGTTTCTCTGTACATGGTGCCATAATTATTTTTCGTCAACACTTTACACCCTTCTCAAACTACAAACACACCTCGAGCTTTATATGTAACCCCTATGTTTTCGAAACATAGAGTAGAGACTAGGGGCTGCAGCTATGCACGAAGGCATACAGAAGCAAAGGTCAGAAGCATCATCCTCCACATGATCCTCAATCCATTTCTCAGTGACAATTTAGCACACATAGAACACACAGAATCACACCAGAGAGCACAATATTTAGAGAACTGTTGCATTGATACTTCTATGAGCGCTTTGACTACACCATGGAGCTGTGCCATTAAAATCACAAGAGGAGCAAAGCGTCCGGAACAACTCGCGCCGAAAGCATCAAATCCGAGGCATATTCACCTATTTTGAGGAAGGCTCTCCACCAGCAATGACCACCGAATAATAACCTTATTTAGAAGCACTTCCTGTGAACGATGGATGGCCCACTGCAAAAACAGTTAACAAATGCATCAATACACACAGGATTAGGAATGCACATACCTCTCATCGTACTCTTGCTTAGAGATCCACATTTGCTGGAAGGTCGACAGGGAGGCGAGAATGGATCCACCGATCCAGACGGAGTATTTGCGCTCCGGTGGTGCGATGATCTTAACCTTCATGGAGGATGGTGCAAGAGCAGTGATCTCCTTCTGCATACGGTCGGAAATTCCGGGGTACATGGTGGTTCCTCCAGACTGTGGCATATGTTAGCATGAAACGGGGAGGAGGGGTCGGGTGTAATAAGTACCATAACGATGTTGCCGTAAAGATCCTTGCGGACGTCGACATCACACTTCATGATGGAGTTGAAGGTGGTGACGTGGATACCACCGCTCTCAAGACCCAAAACGCTTGGGGCGAACAGAGCCTCAGGAGCACGGAAACGCTCGTTACCAATGGTGATAACCTGTCCATCAGGAAGCTCGTATGACTTCTCCAAGCTGGAGCTCTGGCTGGCGGTCTGGATCTCCTGCTCGAAGTCGAGGGCAACGTAACAAAGCTTCTCCTTGATGTCGCGGACGATTTCACGCTCGGCAGTGGTGGAGAAGGTGTAACCGCGCTCAGCGAGGATCTTCATCAGGTAATCGGTCAAATCACGGCCAGCCATATCGACACGAGCAATGGCGTGAGGAAGAGCGAAACCCTCGTAGATGGGGACAACGTGGGTAACTCCGTCACCGGAATCGAGAACGATACCGGTGGTACGTCCGGAAGCGTAAAGGGACAGGACGGCCTGGATGGAGACGTAGAACGCTGGGGCGTTGAAAGTCTCGAAAACAATCTGTGTCATCTTCTCTCTGTTGGACTTGGGGTTGATTGGCGCCTCGGTAAGGAGGACTGGGTGCTCCTCGGGGGCAACACGCAGCTCGTTGTAGAAGGTGTGATGCCAGATCTTCTCCATGTCGTCCCAGTTGGTGACAACACCGTGCTCGATTGGGTAGCGGAGGGTGAGGATACCACGCTTGGACTGTGCCTCATCTCCTACGTACGAGTCCTTCTGGCCCATACCAATCATAATACTTTGGAACCGTTAGCATCCATCTGCGTCAACAGACGAAGGCAAATGCAAATGAACTTACCCATGGTGACGAGGACGTCCAACAATGGAAGCTGGAAAGTTCGTAAGTGTCTGACTACGAGTATTTGCGCTCACCAGGCTTGGCGGTCGTGCTGACGCTACACCTGTGATGTGATGGGTACTTACGGAAAACTGCTCTCGGAGCATCATCACCAGCGAAACCGGCCTTGCACATACCAGAGCTGCAACAATCGTCAGTATGGTGCTCAATGCCGAATAGGGTCGCCGAATGTGGTGGTTGAGGGCATATCGCGGGATGGTGACGGAGGTTGTTGGGTAGAAGCTACCCCACAATCAAGTCGGTGAAGGGGTCTAATGCGACAACTCACCCATTGTCAATGACGAGGGCTGCGACTTCTTCTATAGCGATGGAGTCGTATTAGCATGAGCTCCCTGAGATCTCGAAGAGGTCCATCCATATGCGCATCGCGCAAGATTGGGGGGGAGGGGGGAGATGGTAATCGGCTTACCTTCCATGGCTGCGGATTACGTTGAACCGTCAACAAATGTGCAATATGTGCAAAGGTACGAAAAAGAGCTCACTTCCTCGATAAGAGTAAGTGAAGAATATATGAAGATCACGAAAAGGAATTCGTGGTCGATGGGGAGGAGTTCTTGATGTAATAGAGATAGAGGCAAGAGGGAAGGAGGAAGTCGTCGGCGACGTGACGATGTTGTAGTAGTGTTGTAGTGTGGGCTAGGCGAGAAGGGCAGTTGCCGCTTTACTGGCTGGGGAGTTGGGTGGTTGATCCTACTCCTACTTTAGAGTGTAAGTACACTTTTTTGGGAAGGCTGGGGGAGAAAGGGAGAAGGGGGGGTAACCAACGTTTCTTCCGATCAAATGCCAACAAATTGTACAGGGAATGATGGCACAATTGAAAAAATATTCACTTTCATACATATCTACGTTTTATATCGTTGTACCATAGCATATTTTACTTCATTTAGGCTTCCAACCTTAAGAATCTCCGTAGCAGGCAGCACCATTTTGTACACTTTGCCACGAACGCGCGTACCCCAACTCAGTAGGTAGAGAGAAGAGGGAGAGACGGAGAGGAGGGAGGGGAGTACTATTACTGTACTGTACCGCTGTTCAGCCCCAACTAACAGCTCAGCCCATTGAGCAACGTCATGTCTTACAGTACCCCTCCATATATATATTGTTCAGTGTAACTATAAAAGGAGGCTTCAAGATTTGGAAGATCAGATGCCTCCTGCCTCCTTAATCCCCTTTATGGTCGGCCTGGTCGAGGCACCCATCTATTCTTCAATAATGCAGGGGGAAGTGGGGGGGAAGAGAGGACAAATGTACCTTTCCGTAACAGAAAGTGAGGGGGGGAATCGTTGGTTTTCCCAGCCATCGGTCGGCGAACTGCTGCCACCACGTTTCTGGACAAATGGCACGCTGTTCTTACGGGCTACACGGACCCTCCAACACTTAATTTAGATAAGGGAGGGGCAGCCATTAGTGGGGTAAGGTCCAAAAGTAAGCGGTCCAGCGCAATATCGAGATGAAAGCGCGAGGCCATATAACGATCCGTTCATAGATGCTAGATGCTATGGGAATTGTCAATGCTGCTTAAAGTATGTATGTCAATCCTATATTGGACTTTGAAGGCGCATCATCGTTTTTTGAATCAACTGGTTTTGTGGGTTAGACCCATCGTATAATAACTGGTCATCATCGACCCAGGTATTTTATTTAATGCCTCAGGCATCAGGCATCAACCCACCGCCGTATACGGGTATACGTGTATACGTACAGAATGTCTCGGAACCTACAAGAAGGAACGAGATATTCGGCTTCGAAATAATATGGTAAAGCAGAATTTCACATAATTTCACATAATTTCAAATTTAATCAAACAATTCATTATACCCTTCCTCGCCGAGAATATAACGTGCGGCCTACCAATAATCCTCAATTCTCAATTTACCTAGGCAGCCATTTTGGACACCGCTGCTGTGCAACGTTTCCACGTGCATCCTTATCGCCCTTATCAGTTCCTGGATTTTTCTCAAAAGCCACCAAGCCTTGTCCCGCGAATTTCACACATTATTCCACAGCCTCACCACACAAGCCTCACCTCACAAACTCCTCTATAACCCCGCCACCATGAATCCCCAACTCAACAAGATCCTCAAATGGAGCGTCGAAAACTCCGCCGCCCCCGTCGCAAGCGCTGATGGCTCCGCCGCCCCCCCCCGCAGCACCAGCACCCTCGACCCCGAAGTCCTCGCCTCCCTCTTCGGCGGCCCCTCCGAAGCCGACCTAATGAAAGACTCCATGTCGGCCATCCTCTCCACCGACCCCGAAATGACCATGGAGGCGCGCATGATCGCCTTCGACAACTTCGAGCAGCTGATCGAGAACCTCGACAACGCGAACCTGATGGAGCCGCTGAAGCTGTGGCAGCCGCTCATCAGCCTGTTGTCGAGCGACGAGGCGGACCTGCGCATGATGGCCGCGTGGTGTATTGGGACTGCGGTGCAGAATAATGAGAAGAGCCAGAAGATGCTATTTGGTGAGGGGGGCATCCCGCCGCTGGTGGATTTGGCGATTAATGAGAAGGAGACGAGGGAGGTGAGGAGGAAGGCGGTGTATGCGCTTAGCTCGGGGTTGAGGAATTATCAGGAGGCGATGAATGAGTTCGTGGATGATATGAAGGATAAGGGACAGAAGAACTATGGGATTGTGGATGCGGCGGATATGGATGCTGTGGATGGGATTATCAATTACTTGAGAGAGCAGGCGTCGAAATCTGCTTAGGATTGAGATATATAAACGAGAGCGGAAAAAGGCGTTTGGGAGTTATATGGCGGTGCATATGAGGGCATATGGGCATTAGAAGTCAAAGGGCCTTTGCCTGGTTGACAGGACCTGCTAGATATAAAGATACAACGAGAGGATAAAATATCATGCACCTTCACTTGTCATATCTAATTTGTCTGACTTATTACTATTGTGAGACATGCCATTGTTGCTGGATCTTTGAACCTTGTAAATAAATTATAATGATAACTATGAATAAACAAATATTGGATCCTCAGGTATATTCAGTGAATGGCTCTGTCTATTCGGCCTTTCTAATAGATATATAGATACATATAGCCTACATCAACGCTCCCAATGCTATTCATACAAATCTGTTCAACCACCCTAGTTCACATATTTACCATGGAATGGTACACCAAGAGCCTTAAGGAGAAGTCTAGCGTGACGGTCGGAAGTCGCGGTCGTCTTGCAAATAACGTGGAATCCGGGAATATAAGCTGGCGGGTACATCTATAGATAGTCAGTCCTGCGCACGAATAATATCACTGTCAAACATAAAACTTACATCGTAGTTGACCTCGACCTCTGGGAACAGGTTCGCCGAGTTCTTGTCGATACCCCATGCGATGTTGCCGCTGTTGTCTCCGGAAGATCCGTTGACACCCGGCCAATCTTTGATCTTAGGCAAGACCAGGTTGACACACTTATCGACGAACTCCCATGCAGCATCTCCTTTTATGGTGGACGTCAGAGAAATCGGCATATCCGCCCTAATACCGAAATTCTGGACGGTCTGCTTTACTCTGTGGACCTCGGGCCTCACCCCGGTGATAGCCTGCAGCATCATACCGGCAACATGCAGATGACCCGAGCTCCCGGCTGCCTCCTTCACCATGCAGTGAACAGTCACCTCCTTGATCTTCGGGATAGTCCTCCAGTTGATTTCCTTCTCGAGCAGCCTCAGGTTATCGCTACCGCGGGGCCCACGCTTCGGTCTGTTCTTCATGTATGGAGACGAGTCGTCCCAGGATCTCAGACGATCTGCCCTCGGCTCCTTAACAGTTCCAGGAGGTGTGTGGGAGTATGCGAGGGTCATGATGTCTGCGGCGACGGTGGACTGGTACGTCTCGACCAATCGGGGCGTGGAGAATGGACCTGGGACGAAGAGACGAGATGCTGGGTCGGAGGTTGGAGGCGGTTGATGTGGATGCAGAGGTCCACGGAAGTATCGTGGAGGCCTGTATTGATATCTGTACATTCAAATTAGCATTCTGAGCTGCCCAGTCCGATTCGTGACCCATACCGACTGCGAGGGAGTTGTGTCCTGCGCGACTCCGCTCTCTTGATCGGATCATACGATTTGACCTCTCTCGGGCTCGGCTTGCCGGTCAAGAACGACGATTGAGACTCGAGGTCCTGGAAATCCTCGGATTGCTCCTGAGCCGGTGTTGCGGCGTTGGAGGCCGCACGCCTGCCATTGTGCGAGAGTATTTGGACAGAAGGGCGAGCGCCTCGTAAGACTAAGCGACTAAATGTCGACGGAACCTCTTTTAAGGCCATGGTGGGAGCGCTGGGGGAATGGTCGAGATCCTCGTCCTTCGCTCGTGGCACGTCCGCGATGCTACAAAATTATTGTCGGGAACAGCCGCGACAAGCGCTTGGGAGGCTAGCGCCAATTTACGTGCCCAGGGTCGAGCCTTCCTTTATCGAATTAGCGAGCGTGAATTCAAATTGAGCACGTGACCGAAATTGACTAAACCATATTGGGCTTGGGCGAATTTCGCGGTTGCTAGGGATCTAAACCCGAGACGTCAATAAATCTGAGAAGCTTGACCTGACACGACTTCACATTCCACGCATCAACGCCAACGGTATTATCACAATGGCTGATTACGATCGCAGACCTCGTGGCCGTGGTGGTTACGATAATAGGAAGAGGCGTTACAGAGGTAAGACGCGCATATCCGATCTATAATGGAGCTATAAATGAGAATGAGAAGCGGTTTCTGACACAGGGCGCAGATGACGATGACTTCGATCGCAGACCTCAGCGCAGGCGTTACGAAGAGCCTCTGCCAGTCAGGGTGCGCAAACAGCTGCTGTCCATTGCCGAATCCCCACTGAAGCCTGTCGAAGAGGAAGTCCACTTACTGGCTAAGCTGGTTTCCGACAACTATGACGATGTCGAGATGCGAACTTCTTACATCGACCTCACTCTCCAGGTTGTGGTCGAGCAGCCTTTCAAGATTCCCTTCGTCGCGGCGACTGTCGTCGTGCTGAATGGCATGAACAGAGGCGAGGAGGCGGTCGCATTGATCCTTACGAAAGCGGCTGAAGAAACTGAGAAGAAGGTTGCCCTTGGAGAGTGGAGGGAGGTTAAGCTGCTCTTGAAGTTTTTGGGGAGTTTGCAAGGCCTTCTGAACGATGAGGGTGTGTGGCCCGTTTTATCAGAGCTCTTTGAGAGAGCTGTTGATCTGCAAACAGCTTCCTCCGAAGATGTGAGTTATCATAAGTCATCAATTATGCAGGCTTGCAGCTAACGATGAAAGACTTTGGGAATGGAATTAGTCAAGGTCATCCTATTTACGATCCCATACATCATGGCGTCCTCTGCCACCGAATCTCAGGAGCAGGCTGCGGCCCTCCTCGACAAGACAGAAATTCTGGCTGGTACACCATCACCACTGGAGGCATTGGTGGACCCATACCCAGGAAATGGCATTGAGGAAGCAGCCGAGCCAACAAGCGTCATCAGTTTATTGCAAAAGCAGCTGCAGAACGAGGCGGCTAATGGGTGGGTGCTCGCATGCATCCCGAGGCCGTGGAAGATGCCAGTTACAGGAGACGAGGAGGATCCTCTGGCTGCGTCGACAAAGCACACACTGCCGCCCATTACTATCCCAGAGGCCGTGATCCCTGGCGAGAAGCCCCTTTTCCCGGAAATCTACTTCTCAGTTTATGCCAACCAAGATATCGAGACGGTGCCTCCGATCACAAACATTGCGTCTTGCATTCTCAGAGACTCAATTATCGATACCATCAACATTTTGGACTTTAATAGAAATGCCACTGCCCGTTATCTCATTGATATCGACTGTTATTTCACAGCGGACACTTTCGTCAAGAGAGCCACGCCCTTCGACAGGTTAAAGGATATTGAGGGAGACCGATCAACCTGGAAGCCCGAGGATGTGGCCGTCGATGCCGTTTTCTCGCAGCTCTTCCAACTGCCAACCCCTGAGCATAAGCTCGTCTACTACCATTCCGTGCTCACAGAGGCATGCAAGATCGCGCCCGCTGCCATTGCACCTAGTTTGGGACGTGCGATTCGTTATCTGTACAGGAATTTCGATAAGATGGATCTGGAACTTGGTTATAGATTCATGGACTGGTTTGCGCACCATCTGAGCAATTTCGGTTTCACCTGGAAGTGGACTGAGTGGATTGATGATGTCGAACTCTCACCACTGCACCCAAAGAAAGCTTTCATTGCGGGAGCTTTGGACAAGGAGGTCAGACTGAGCTTTGCACAGCGCATCAAGGGAACTCTCCCTGAGCCATATCAACCGCTTATCACTGAAGGGAAAGAGAAGGATACCCCAGACTTCAAGTACAACGATGAAGGTAAGGAACATGCGCTATTACAAGAAACTAAGCTGATCAAACTAGATACCCCTTTTGCTGCCGAAGGGCGGGAAATCCACACTCTGCTCAAGCGTAAAGCGCCCGAGCCAGAAATCCAGACCGTGATTGACCAGATCCACACTCAAGCAACGACAATTGCCATCCACGAGCCCCTTTTATCATCCACAGATGCCTATGTCACTTCAATCTGCTACATAGGATCAAAGTCGCTTTCCCACGTTCTGTCCTGCATTGAGCGCTGCAAGGAGCGTCTTCTTTCGATCGGAAACACCTCGGAGACTGCGCGCCGCCAAATCATTACATCCGTCATGGCGTACTGGGTCGACCAGCCCGGCATCGGCGTCAACATCGTTGATAAGCTGCTTAACTACACCATCCTGACACCACTCAGTGTCGTCGAGTGGGCGCTCCTGGACGATACCAAGGCAGGCGACAAGCTCGCCGAGCCATTCGTATTCGAGATGGTTGCCGGCACAGTGCAGAAAGTCACGAACCGACTCCGCCAGATCGTCGCGTCGAGGAATGCGCCGGGTCTCGAACACGAGCAACGCCTCTTACTCGATGAGACGCTGCTGAGGGAGAGGGTGGCCATGAAGGACATGTTCAAGGTCATGGAGGACGCGCTCTTCAGCTGGGCTAGTGGGAGCAAAGACCAGGCCATAGAAGCGGGCCTTGGAGAGACCACTGATGAGGCATTTATTCGCAGGTGGGGCGAGAAGTGGCTGCGTGTCTTCAGGAGGAAGATGGCTGTTGAGGAGGCGTTCCTGGTGGAGGTCGGGAATAAGGCGGCTAATGAGAGTAATGGGGCTGATGCGGGGGAGATGGAGGTCGAGGTCGATGTATGATGGGTTTTGAGGGGGGGTGGTATTTTTATTCTCGGAAAGGGATGAGCGTTGCATTGTATACTAGGACACATTCAGGCTGACCTGGCTGGTCGAGAATTTCTGCACATTCGGACGGATATGGGCAGGAATAAAGATTTCTAAGCTCGAGGGCTTCCTGTTATATCATAGGGATACATAATAATACAAGGCTCAGGCAATCTGAAACTCATCGTCTATCTTATTTCAGCAAGGGCGATGCAAGTGGCTATCACATTCCAAAAAGAGCAAGCATCAAAACGCAAACTATCCGTGCAGCATGTATAATATTTGAAGGACGACTCTAAGGTAATTAATAAACTAAGACTATAATCCAAACACCTATTCCAAGCAATTTTGGTCTCTTTACAGCCTTGTAGCTGGAGACTCCGTTATCGTGTAATGGCGCGCCTAACGCGCGAACTGGACATACGTGGACCGGGTGCGTATACAGTCTCTCAACGTCTCATCGTAAACAATCAGCAACGCTTATTCCATAATAAACCAGCGCGCAGTTTTATTTGTTCTGGAGCCTTTCGAGGGTTTTTTCATCGAATGATTTGAGAATCGTATCGTGAAGCGAGTCTTTCGCTTCCTCGGGGGCCACGATCTTAACTGCCCCTTCATGGATCCTTCTAAGGGTATTGTTATGAAGGCTCGCCTTGACCGGTTCAGCTGGAGACCCTATGCCAGAGCTCGGAGTGACAATGCCACTAATGACAACTGGAAGTTTCAGGTCTTCGGGTGAGGAGGGGATGATATGAGGTGGAAGATTGGGAATGTGGATGCGCCTGGCTTCATTCTGGTAACTTGCAGGGACGATCTACAGGCGTGTTAGCAAGAATTTGACGAAGGGGGAGGCGACTGACTGACCTCGATAATCTCGTCGCGAGGGAAGCGAAGTTTGGGAATAGCCATTGCGTCGCAGGCCATAAGATATCCGTACAGGACTCGGAGGACAGATTCATGGGCAATGATAAGGAGGTCACTCTTCTCGCGCTCTAGCTCTAGAATGATAGGTTCCATTCGAACAGCGACATCGTGGTATGACTATAGAATATTAATATAAGCTGGTGTATGTAGGGTATGGATCCTACCTCAGCACGCGGATAGCGGTGGTGGTATGGGTCAATCTCATGTTTTGCGACCTCTTCTGGATACTGTGCACGAAGTGCCTCTTCTGGCATCTTCTCACAGACGCCCGGGTTTAATTGACTTAACTGGGGCCTCTGGGTGACCGTGTATCCACGATTGCCGAAGAAGTCAGCTGTCTCAGCAGTTCTCCTCCGAGTCGAACTCCACACAATCAGGGGTTTTAGGTCGGCTTCAGTACCACCAGCTTCGAGATAGGCCTTATGGTCCTTCTCTCTATGCTTTAACAGGGTTTCTCCCATGATGGTTGAATATTCCTTGCCTTCCGGGGATAGGTGTGCATCCGCCTTAAAGGAGTCCTCCTCTCGCGAGGTGCCTGCCCGGACAAAGAATGTCCTCTTGCTCTTGTTATGTAAGTTCATTAAATAAAACACAACTCTCATCGAGAGATAACCGAAGTTCACATTGTTTGTCTCAATTCTTTGACCGGCGTTGATTAACTTCACAAAGTTGAGTTCATTTTCCGCCATGGTCTGGAAGTCGGGAATTCTCGTGAGAATTCTCCTCAGATACTCTTTGGCAGCATCGTTTGGGTCCCAGTTCGCAAACTTCCTTGAATTAGCATTGATAGATAAACGAAATGAGAAGTTGACTTACGTCTGGTGAGGAGATCTTAACGCTACGAGCATTTTCCTCGAGAATCGACTCGTCTGTTACATATGATTCAAGAAACAAGGTCTATTCTGGGTTAGAGTATTCGAAAATAAAGCGTAACGGGCATCATAATTTATGGACACATACCTGTACATCATGTTTTGCAAACTCTTTTGCTAGAGAACGTCGGCCGGATGCCAGAGGGTTGACCGCATCATAAATCGCAACCTGGCCATTCTCATGGTTGAGCCAGTTATAGATGTCTCCACGGCACCTCTTGAGAATTCTCTGACGCAAAAGGACAGATTCAGGAGACGCGCGGATGAAGAAGTAATCTTCTGGGAGCTCCTTGCCCGGTTCAAGAGTGGCACGGCGGTAATCACCCAAATGGAATATTCTGGTCTTCACGCCCAACCTATATTTATTTTAGCATGAAAATGCCTGCATAGTATGTCTTAAACTTACCATCTCAAGTATCTAGCCAGGGAAACGGAAATGTGCCTAGTAGGTTAGCGACAATAACGGGGAATTAGCAGAATGAGCTCACGTTTTCCCACGAGCAGGAGGCCCAACTAGTACAATGACAATTCTACCAGAGTGGAAGAGCCGGCCAGACATCGTACTATAAAGTTGGGCCGGTGCCAACTCGTTCTTCTCGGACTCATCTGGAAGATCGTGTACCCCATCGATGAAAGTGCTTGATCTTCTCCGGTACCTTGGAGAATTCGCAGCTATCTCTGCAGTGCTGTGTCTATGTTAGTAACAAGACACGTAGCGGTCTCTGCTAGATCCAATGACTATCATTCTAGACTATACTAGACGCAAGAGGATAGGTAGCCTTTTATCATTCAAGATTGTGGCTCCTGTATCAAAGCAGCTCCGAGAAGGCCATTTGGAACAGCCAAGATCTCAGCCGAAGTGATATAGGCTTGGCCACTTTGAGGGAAAATTCTTAACCAGAATCATGCCCAGGACAAAAGAGGCAAACACAGACAGTGTCGATGGAATATTCAAAGTCCAGAACGAGGTTAAGTGAATGATTGAAAACAACTCACAGTAAGGTGTCCATGGTTACAGGATCTGGAGCCCTCGTCAGGCGTCAGATGACGACACTAGTTTCTATAACAGAACAATAGGTCTCGTTAGAAGGCAAAGCCAAACTAAGCAAAGTTTGAAGCAAGACTGATCTCCAAACGGCAATTGACCAAGTCTACAAGGAGTTGTAGGCGTGGTTCATGCTCAGAAGAGCGATGACTTGCTTATTATAGGGCGGTATATTGCTCTTTGTGGTGTAACTTCACGGGCATTAGTACCAAGAATGCAAATTGGTGAAAGAACTCACAAGATGAATAACACAAGCAATTTGAACACAGGCAGCTGGCGTTTGTTTATAAATGAAGAATCTATGAGGTCAATGGGGTTACTTTTGCCATCGTCGAGCTATCAAATGAACTACCCGATAAGATAGAGACGATTAGCTATTTAGTAAATACGCCACTCACGTTCGGTCCTAACTTGGTTGGCCTTGGCGCCTCAGGCCACAACAGTCATCTCCTTGAGAAAAAGATATTGGCGACCTCAAGGCCGGAGCATATTACGACCACCCGCTTCTATCCAACGACCACCTCGGACCGCGCCCTTCCACCTCCCTCTTTTAATTTTCAGCTGTGCGATAATGTCTTCCATTGGGCTGGAGAAGGAGTCGCCTCTGGCGTTCCTCAAGAACAATGCCATCACCAACGCCCTGTTAGATTCCTACCAAACCTTTTCCGCCAGGAGAGAGGCTTTGGGGCTATCGAACCCGGGTACGGTGGATAACATTGCGAAGGAGGTCCAAAGGGAGGTGTTCCTCACAAACTATACCTTCACTGGTCTACGTGCGGATCTCACGAAGGCGTTCAGCGTTGCGCCATTATTCCAAGTTTCCCATGCCTTTGCCATGGGATCACAGGGGCTGCCCCCATACACATTTGCTGCCCTTTACGGCACAGGCAAGGTACGTTGATACAATGATTAGCATTTAGTTGCGGCGATGGCGACTCTGATGACACGATGCTGACAATTTTTATAGGTCTTCCTCCAGGGAAACGTTGACAATGAAGGACAACTGATGGCACGCGCCAACTACCGCTGGAGCCCTCAATTAACTACGAAGACAAACATCCAAATTGCACCGGGCCAGGCCCAGGCAATGGCACAAATCGATACCGAGTACGTCGGCAGCGACTTCACCGCATCCCTCAAGACTGTCAACCCATCGATCATCGAGGGTGGCCTTACCGGTATCTTCATCGCTAGCTACCTCCAATCTGTTACCCCCAGCCTTGCTCTCGGACTCGAGGGTGTCTGGCAGCGCGCAGCCCTGAACCAGGGCCCAGAGACCGCGATCTCATACTGCGCCAAGTACAAGGGCAGCGACTGGATCGCGTCTGCTCAGCTCCAGGCACAGGGTGTCCTCCAAACATCGTACTGGAGGAGGCTGTCCGAGAAGGTCGAGGCCGGTGTTGACCTCAACCTTGCCCTCCAGGGCGGAAACCCCATGATGGGAGGACCAAGCAAGGAGGGCGTCACCACTGTCGGCGCGAAATACGCTTTCCACATGTCTACTTTCAGGGCACAGGTTGACTCGACCGGCAAGCTCAGCTGTCTGTGGGAGAAGCGCGTTGCACCACCAGTTCAGATCACCTTCGCCGCTGATATGGATCACTTCAAGGTTAGTTGACCCCCCCCTGACTCCTTTCTTACTCAATGAATGCATATACTGACTGCCTCACCCACAGCAACAAGCCAAGATCGGTCTTTCCGTCTCCATCGAGGCCAGCAACGAGGAGCTCCAGGAGCAGCAAGAACTCTCCCAGGGACAGCCAATGGCTCAAATCCCATTCTAAGCAACTCACCCTTCACCTCCCCTCCCGCACAACTCTCCACCTCGCCCTCGTTCATCCACACCTCGACAACCACCTCTTCACATAGCGGCACCCTCCACCCGCTTTCTCAACCTGTCTTATTATAAAAAACCCCCCTTCCGCCGCCTCTCGCCTACCTCGCAAAAAACATCGCAGGCACGCGCGTGCTCGTACCACCATCATCCATTTCTTGTCTCTTAGTTTCGGTTAATCAGGGTTTGCATACGGGATACGGACGGGTTGACGACACATCATTTTCCATCTTTCCTCCATAGACTGACACGGACGGGCCGGCACGCACGCTCTCGAATCTTCGGTTGTATACTAGCTTTACGTTTTGGTGGCCCTCGCGCGCGTGCCCTGCGTCCTTTTTTTGTTCTCTCTCTCTCTGTTACTCTTGCTCTGCGCGTCATGGATGGGCTGAGGCGGCGAGGGGTTGGTGCTGTGCGGCTTGTAGATAGATACTTGTACGAATAGCAACGAAACATTGTCTCTGGATATTGAGTGCCCCTGCATCAGGATGTGATGGTACCTGGGCCCACAACCCCGTTCGGTCTTCTACATGGCCCAGCCTTCTAACTCCAGTGACCGCTCAAGCATGCACGCCTCATCACCGCGTTCCTATCGTATTATCCGCCCACTTCTTCCCTCTCCGCCCCTCCTCACTCCCAGCCCAGCCTCGCACACCGACTCCCGGCCCTACCCCCCAGCCTCGCACACCGACTCTCCGCCCTCCTCCCCTCACCGACCCCGACCCCCCATCCATCCATCGGCACAATCACCACAACCACAACCACCCATTCCCACTCCCGAGACCACCCCTTCCTTCCCCCATCCCCATCGGGATACACCCGCAGCCGCCTCCACTTGCTCCGCGGATCCGTTCCCCATCTCCCCGTTCTCTCGTCAGCCCAGCCGCCCAGTCTCACCTTCCATGTCTCATCCCTCCCACCACCTCGCGTTGGTGGCGCCGCCGCCCTCGCGACCCGAGCCTATCTAGGTCCTGGCGTCGATAGTCCGGGTTCTACACCTCGTGTCTTCCCGGCTGTCCGCGATCTAGAATCTCCCCGTCCGCACCACGTTGTTGCGTGCCGTGCCATACCCGAAACACGGCGTGGCCTGCAACCGGGCGCTGACGGTGTCGGCTGAGGTGAGGCTTTGGTTCACCGGTCCGTGGCGCGGGGGGGAGGCGAGACTGGGCTATCCATGCACCCGGTGAGAGTGGGATGGATCACGATCGATCGCAGGGAAGGGGGTGGTGGTTGACCGAGACTGGCCGTTGAACACGCGGCTCGGCTGGGGAGGTCGATTCTCACTCCCTGTCCCCAGCCTGGCTGGCAACAGTCCAGGTCCACGGCACTCACTCACCGTATCCATCCTCACCCTCACCCATCTCACCATCCCCAGCCCCCCCCGATCTTCTCCCCCCAGACCAGAGCCTAGATCGCCGCCTACACGTGATACCTCTTTAAACCGCTTACAGCGGCAATCCTCGCAGCCCCCAGCAGGCCTGTCCGCCACCACCCAACCGGCGCCACCCCCCGCCCCGTGCGCGCCCTCCGTGCAGTGCAGCGCAGTGCAGTGCGTGCGGCGTAAAGAAATTTTCATTCTCACCTGGTTTATCGCGATGCAGGACGCTCGATGCGGGATGCTGATGCTAGGGGATGGATGGGGGATGGGTGGTGTGTTATGTGTGTTTCGGGGTGGGCGGGTTGTGTTACTGATTACATACATACATAGCTGTACCGCCGTGCGGTGGCTTGGGGGAGGGAGGGCTGAGGCGTTGGTCGGGAGGGAGGGCGAGGCCGTGGCGGGTTTGAGAGAGGGGGGTGGTGGTGCACGGGGTGGAGGGGGAGGGAGGGAGGTGTGATGTGAGGATTTTTTTCTCCGGCGAGGGATGGAGGGGGGGTGATACACAATACGTGCTGTGGTGTAGGTATGGTACATACATCCTCTTCACTCTCCTGTAAGCTTTATAATCCCATCCCAGCTCCTCCCAGCCCACTGGATATCAATCGAGGGTGCTCTGGAAACGACTCGGGAATAACAAATCTCACCCCCCATCCCCATCCCCATCCCCATCACGCGTGTCAGCGCTCCCAAAAATAAATAACAACCTGCAGTCTTCTCGGGATTTGAGACCCCCTCCCCTCCCCCCCTTGAGGCCAGAGTCGGCATGAGGCGGCACTCGCACAGACACAGTCCCCCGGACAGGGTGCGTGTCCGGCCGTGCCACCACGCGCGCGCGCTCGCTAGATAGAGGTGAGCCCGCATTCCAGTGCGACGCTGTGGCACACGGGGCTCACATGTCGGCAGCGAAACGGCGCGGGTGGGCGCAGGGTTTGGGATCTTGAGGAGAGGGGGGAGGGGAGCGGTTTGGAGCGGAGAGTTTGTGAGGGAAGGGGGGGTGTCGTACGGATGGATGTAGATACAATACGGGCGGCCTGTTGGTTTTTGCGGGAGGGGAGGTGCTGGGACTACTGGTATGGACTGTTGCTGGGTGTGCGGGTGTGTGGTTTGAGGTGCCAGTGAGGGGGTTGTGAGTGGTTGTGCTAAGCGCCGTTGGAGGGTGAAAGGGGGATGAGGGGGGGATGAGGGGGGGATGGGGATTTAGATATTGGCATACGACCGGGGCGAAGGGGCGGTCAGAGGAAGGAGGAGGGGATTCCATTCCTTTCCTTGCTTACCGTGTGCCTGTTGTCCCCGGATCTGGCCAGGAATGCAAATGCAGTGGTGATAGTGAAGCCGCCTATCTTTTATCGCAGGCTCCGGCGCTTAACAATCCAACGCCTCACACCCTTACCTACCTGCATTCCTCACGTGTTATCATTGGCTCCACCCCTGGGGGGATGGGATACATTCGCGCGTCCGGCTTATGCATCCTGTGCTGTACAGTAGTACTCCGTACGTACAGTACACGTACGTACACGCAGCCAGGGCCGCCCTCGTCCACTCCGCCTCCTCTCCCATCCCTCCCCCCATCCCTCCATCCATCACACACGAAGCCCCGACGACGGATGAGGAACTGGCGAGGGTGCATCAGCGCACGCGGGCGGGGCGGTCACGAGCCCCCTATCCGCGCCGCTAGCTCGCATGGGGCGGCGACGCCACGGATCCGCCGTGCCACCGGCGCAATCCAATATTGGAACCCCATTCCCATCCCATCCTCAACGCCCTCAGCAGTTCCCTCCCAACCCTCCGTAATCGTACCGTACCCTCCCGCCGCGCCCTTACGTAGAGTACCTACTTAACTTACTCATAACTTGCAGTTCTGTGCGTTTATTTGTCTTTTCCAGCCCCAAGGGTCACGCACGGGCGCAGGTAGGTAGCCGTCTTTGGGATGTTCCCAGATGGAAATTCGACTGCATCGGGCTGGCTGCATCACAGTGAGGGCGGCACCCCCGTTGGCGGGTGGGCGGTCGTGTCGCGGTGGTGGTAGTGGTAATGGTAGTGGTGGCAGGGTAATGTGGCAGTGGTGGCAGTGGCAGTTAGTGGTGGCAGCAGTGGAAGTAGTGGCAGTTAGTGATGCTGGTGCCCGTAAATGCGTGTTTCTGTACTGAATGTTTGTATGCCGTATGTACCAGCGTACAGTATTTTACTATTGCTGTGTACTGCGCTGTGTACTCCGAAAGTACTCGTCCTCCTCTCTGTAGTGCGAGGACGTGCGTGGGAGCGGAGCGAGTCTTAGCGGCTTGTGCCTGTGGGCGTTGACGTATTTGCAGGATGGGGCGGCCCCGTGATTGGGTGGGTCTGTGGGTGTGCGAATCGGCTGTTTTGGGGTGGTGCGTGCGTGCATGCCGTGCAGTAGTAGAGTCGTATCAGTAGTAGCAGTAGTAACAGTAGTAACACCTCAGGCTTCTTGTTTTGCTTGCTTCCTTGATGCTTGCTTTGGTTGCTTAGCTGTTGTGAAGCACGATGGGAGAGGGATTATATTATGCCCAATAAGCATCTATAAGCACCACACTATACTAAGAATGTAGGTTAATGCAAAGCAAACACACATACAACGCTCTTCAATAGCCTCACTACCTTCGTACTGTATATGCCATCCATTTGAATTTCCCATTGTGCGCGAGCTGGTTAGCGGCGGCGGCGACCTAGCGAAAGGTGACCGACCCGGCTTCGTAAACACGGACCGCTGGTTTGCTCCAATGTCCGACTTGGCATTGATTGTCCAGGATCAAAAACCGACCTTGGACATCAATTCCGTCCTAGTCGCAAGGGGGAGCCTCAGAAACGAGGGAGCTGATTAGCTGTTGACCAGCCATCTTCTCGACAATCCCACCGTAGGGGTTCCATCGCTGCCGATCAATGACGCTGTGTGCGGGCCCGGCGCCCCTGTCGCTTGGGCAGACCACCGTCCGCGGCCCATCGCACAGGAATGTCGCGACGTTATTGGGAACACATGGCATTGCTCCTCTGAGCCATATGCAAAGGGTTTAGCCGTGTCTGGATGGGATGTGATGGGACGTGATGGGGCTTGGGTGGGATGGGGGGGCTTGGGCTTGGGCTTGACAGTTTGGAGCTGTTGGAAAAACTGTTGGATGCAGAGCTCATCGTTGTCGAATCGAGTGGCCTGTTGGATGCAAGGCTACCAACGTCTGCATGCACGCGCGATCGAAGAACTCCAACCAGAGCTGTGGAAGGTGAGCTTGCCAGGCACACTCTTTTTCGATTTTCGACGTCGTGCGATTCTACTGGATTCCGCGCTCAAGGCAAGACATGGCTAGCAAGAGACCGTCTCTCGTTTACTGAGACAACTGACCCTCCGCTGAGTCTTTGTCTCACGGGCCCTGGATGGAACCATAATAAGGGCGTGAATGAAGAAGTCTCAACTCGTGTCAGCCGTCCCATGACCAAACCTATTTTTTCTCTGAATAGGCGCAAGACATAGCGCCATCCACCCATTGGCGCCACTGACGCTTTGCCCGATTCCTCGAGCTACAGGGCGAATAGCTCTGCCTGGCCGCCTGGTCGGCGGCCATTCCACTCAATCTGACAAGTCAACGTTAAACGTCCAAGTGTCCCTCCACTCCCGGGTTTCCGTAGGACAAACGAACGTTAAAAATAACTACAACAAGTAACCCACATTCCAACAAACACAGCTATGACGCCCCTTCTCCACGCTAAGTGACCAAAAGCCCCCAGGAAGGACCAGGAAGAGGAACAAGCAAACAGAGCTGGTGCATCATGTCCTGCAGCAGTGGGGTGACACAAGAGGCGCATGGCCGGCGCTGGCCCAGGCCATTAATCCCGCGCCGGGACGTAATCACTCCTACAGATCCTGCGGCGTCCCATTGTGGCGAGCGAGCGAGCGAGCGAGATTCCAGATCAGCTGGGTGCCAATCGGGAAGGGCCAGGCGCGCAACCCTCTTTCAACCTCGCCCCCGATCCCGCGATACCCTTTTCCAGCCCTTGATTCGCACCAGGCTTTGTAGGTCAGTTGTTGGAGTCACTGGGGGGTTTTTGCGAGGGGGGTGGATGGAGGTTTTGATGGGTGATGGGACCCCTTCCGGCGCACCCTGAAAAGGGCTCTCTCAAGGCGGGAGGGAAGGAGCGCCGTAGCTTCAGTTGGTGCACGTACAGTACCAAACCACCGTAGTACAACCTGCATCATAGGCACACGCATACACATGGCACAGCGCCGAACAACAATTATCCGAAGCCGCCGCCCAGCTCCCCTTCGTCCCTGCCTCCCTCCAACACCAAGACCTGTGATGCTGATTACGAGCATTTTCCGCACCAGGACCAAGCTACTAATATTACAGAGGAGCTGTCATCCAACCCTGTCCATTTTTACGCCGCCACACTAAGATGCTCAGACGATCGCTGGGGTCACCTCCTGCTCAGCGCCATCCCAGGCAAGCTTGCCTTCCTTGGCCCCACTTTGCTTGCCAGCCATCTCCATTCGCTGGCGCGGTGGAGTTGGAGCTGTGTACGGGATGGGGAGTACTGTTCTTGTACCTCTGGGCGGGCGGCCAAGGTTCGAGCTGTGTCCCGCCCCCTCCGACCCTCCCAAACTTCCCCCCCGTCGGTTGTTGGAGCAGGGGAAAGCGAAGGCAAGAGTCGGAGTCGCTCAGCCGGGGTGGTCGGCCTCGCTGTCTGGCTGGTGTTGGTGTGTTTGTGCCTTTTCTGCATCCGTCCCGGATGAGTGGTATGGTACCCTCTACGTGCGTCTCTGCTCCACTTGGTCAGACGAAGTGCAAGGAATTGTTGTGTGTGTGAATGTGGTGTATGTAGTTGTACAGGAGCCAACAGAGACAACATATGCTGAGTGCAGCCGCAACATTTGCATATCTGAGGCATCATTCAGGCATACTTCCTGTATGCATGTGTGTGTGTCTCCCTCATCTATGATTATGATACTCTACTGCCTTACTGGTCCACTGTACCGCCGCGACATTTGATTGTCAGGCCGTGAGATATATATATAAATGCGCATCCATGCAGTGGCACGTCCATGGCATGCAAGTCAGCACTCACGCCGGCCTCCTACAGGCTCGCCACCGGCCCTTCCACTCGTCATCGCCAACGTTAAATCCGACCACAGGGCATGATGGGCAGACTCCAATCCTGTAATCGCAACAGGCGTTCGTATGCCCAGGACTGTTTCTCCCAGCCAGTACCCCGTAGCTTCGCGCCGCCGCTCGCTGGAGTCAGGCAAAGAAAGGCAAGGGCAAGGCAGGCATACAGCAGTACGGCTACTGTTGTTACTGTTGTTACTGTACCAGACGAGCAAGCGCTTCACTTTCGTTTTGAAAAAAGGGAGCGCGTGAGCATCCCAGCTTTCTTCCTGGCCCACCTTTTGCCATCCACCTGCCACCCACCCTTTACCACTCTTCACCACCCAGAGCAGTACACGCACCACTTGGAGTACAGTGCTGCTGCGTGTGGTGTCCATCATCCCCTCTTCTCCTCTCTTCCCCTCCCCCTCTTTTTTGTCCCATCCCCACTCTCTCTTTTTCCCACTCTCGTGGGAATGTGTGGGAATCCCCTCCCCCCAAATCTCCTCCCCCCAATTGTTTTTCGGTTTCTGTCTGTGTGTGCTTGTGAGGTGTACATGTGTGTGTTTGGTGTACACTCCTCCTAACTAACACTACTACTAAATATTTGTGTGCCGTGTGAGGTGGATATTTACTGCAACTGCACCTTGTTGTGAGGTGTACAATGAGTGTACTGTTGCTGTGCTGGTGTGTGATCTGTTGGTATGTATGTTCATTCCACGTACTCTTTGTACTGCATTGCCGCAGCAGAGGTACCTGACGGAGGCATATCCCACTGCACTCACTGCTTTACCATAATTGTTCCCACTATTCAAAACTGATCGTCACCTTAACCTTCCTGACTTCACCAATCCCTTCATCCACTTACCTCCACCTACGAAAGAGAAGAGAAGTAGTATCGTATAGTATGGTCGTATAGTCAGTCTACTGGCATAGTATCGTATAGTCGTCAGTCTATTGCACGCCCAGCACAGCAAACCTTCACCTATTCTCCTTTCTCCCTTTCTGCCCTTTCTCATTCCCCCCCCTCCTTCTCACCCGAAACCGACAGCAACACGCACCAGTACCTAACCTTCAATATACGGTTTTACGGGTTCCATTTTGCTCCAATGCTCCAATGGTGCTCCAAAAAATAAATACCTCTCCACACTCACCCAAATAATCGATCTCGCTCCGTCGTCCCCCCGCCCGTCAATTCATCCCAACATACCCCAGCCTATCCCCTTCCTCCATATCATCCCTCTCTCCTTCTTTCCCCTCAAATAATTTACACATCTGCACTACTCTGCACTACAGTTGACTATAATCCTCCACTACACCCACTACTCTCGCTACTCTTACAACCTAGGGTATACACATAGACATTCACATACACCTAAGAGTATACCTTTACCCTTACCTTACCCATACCCACCTCCATCCAGCCTAACCCACCAAACCCATAACCCATACATACAACAATAACCGAAGCCCGATTCCCAGCAAAACCCCCCCGAGACCACTCTGCGTACGATACTCTACTACATACCATACATACGCTACGGCTCTGCTCGTTCGGACTAACCACAGCCACTCACTCACTTCCCTTCACCACCACTACGACGGAACTAAGGACCTTTTTCCCCCTCTGCCACAGCTCACTCACTCATTCACTCACTCACTCGTCTATACACACCCGATTTCTATCAGCTTAAAATCTGATATTCCGATACCCTCATACCCTCATACTTCCATACTCTCTGCCTTACTATCTCCACCAACGCTGCTTACTTTGAACCCAAAGTACTTTCTCTCTCTGCCTGACTGTACAATACAGTACGAGTACTTGCACTACCAAGTACCTTCCTTGTACCAACAAATACAGTCCCAACTAAGCCTTGCGCCTGTCTCAACTCCCACCAACCAGAGCGGGTTTAGTGAGGAATAGTCGACCTGCGATACCCACCATACTACCAACACATCCCTCCCGTTCTTTCAAAACCATCTCCACTACCACAAAATCACCAGAACCACCACCACAACCACCACCACAGCAACAAACCTCCAAAACCCACCATCACCCTACAAAAAGTACTATCCATCACCACCATCACCACCATCACAACCACCACCACCTCCACCTACCACAACCCACCCAAATCCAGAAAACCCACCACACCCCAACCACCACCAAAACACCAAACCACCCACCTCTACCTACCCTTTCTACTACTCTTTCCATCCTAACCAATACCTAAAACTACCATCTACCATACCCACCACACCCCCCCTCCTCTGGTTGTCACGTTACCAAATTGCACCCTCATCCCAGTAATTCCATCTTGCGCACCTGGACATCATCATCTTCAACATATTCACCCCAACCTCGAAACTACCTCAATTGCCCACCACGGATTCTAACAACACATCCGATCTATCACCACCTCTACTCTCACCACCTTAAACCTAGCTTCAGCTCCAACCTCCCCCCGTTCCCGACGCCCACCTACCTCGGCCCTCCGCCATGTCGCAAAATCGGCCCGCCGCCTTCTCGAGCCTGAGGATGGGAGGTAAGATCACAACGTCATCTCTCTACATAGCTAGATTCCTGTCGAGCCCCCACCACTAACACTTATCTTGCAGAGGTTATTCGCGAAAAGGTCCAGGACGGCGTTACGGGCGAGACGAGGGATATGCAGTACACACAATGCAAGATTGTCGGCAATGGTTCCTTCGGTGTCGTCTTCCAGACCAAGCTGTCACCCTCGGGTGAGGACGCCGCCATCAAGAGGGTTTTGCAAGACAAGCGCTTCAAGGCATGCATATTCAGCTGCTTTACTGCGGGCAAGTGAGCTAACTGTGTTGTGTAGAACCGTGAACTGCAGATTATGCGCATTGTCCGACACCCGAATATCGTAGAGCTGAAGGCCTTCTACTACTCAAACGGCGAGAGGGTAAGAGCTCACCCATGATTTATTTTCGCTGTTTCTGCCTTGCTGACCCCCTCCCCTCGCAGAAAGATGAGGTCTACCTCAACCTGGTGCAGGAGTTCGTCCCGGAGACTGTCTACCGCGCGTCGAGGTACTTCAACAAGATGAAGACGACCATGCCTATCCTCGAGGTCAAGCTCTACACCTACCAGCTGTTCCGCGCCCTGGCGTACATCCACTCCCAGGGAATCTGCCATCGCGATATCAAGCCACAAAATCTGCTGCTGGACCCCAGCACCGGCGTGTTGAAGCTCTGCGATTTCGGTAGCGCCAAGATATTGGTTGAGAACGAGCCAAACGTCTCGTACATCTGCTCGCGGTACTACAGGGCGCCGGAACTGATCTTTGGAGCGACGAATTACACGACCAAGATTGGTAAGCAATACCCCACATAATATACTTTTTGACGTTTTTGTGAGATCAGGCTAACGTTATATATAGATGTGTGGTCTACTGGCTGCGTGATGGCCGAGCTCATGCTGGGCCAGCCCCTGTTCCCTGGCGAGTCGGGTATTGACCAGCTCGTCGAGATTATCAAGGTGCTGGGCACACCGACCCGCGACCAGATCCGCACCATGAACCCCAACTACATGGAGCACAAGTTCCCGCAGATCAAGCCACACCCATTCAACAAGGTGTTCCGCAAGGCTGACGCCAATGCCATCGACCTCATCTCGCGCCTGCTCGAGTACACACCCACCGAGCGTCTGTCATCCGTCGACGCCATGGTGCACCCATTCTTCGACGAGCTACGCGACCCTACCACGCGTCTCCCCGACTCGCGCCACCCCAACGGCCCGATCAAGGAGATGCCCGTCCTCTTCGACTTCTCCCGTCATGGTATGTCTTATAGTTAACCACCTTTTATAGGCATTTGCTAACCCCCCTCCCCCAGAACTCTCCATCGCCCCACACCTCAACCACCGCCTCGTCCCGGCCCACGTGCGCTCCGTGCTCGCCGCCAAGGGCCTCGACATCGACCACCTCACGCCCATGCCGAAAGAGGAGATGATGGCCCGCCTCGACTGAAGGCCCGCGCCTCAGAAACGACGTTTATGAAAATCACGCCTTCGCCCGCGTCCATGTCGCCTCCTCTCCTCTCCACTCCACAAATCAACAATAACGACAATTAAACTACCACCCCGGAGCATTGAAATCAATATAAAAACGTCGGCTACCCCCCAACCCACCCCTTTCGATCGATGGACAACACGCACAAATACCTTTTGGGAGAGAGGCGGCGCAGCTTTTGGTGGGGAGAGAGGGCTGCGGCACCTGAGATGCGAGGGAAGAGAGAAGAAATAGCCTGTGAACAAAAATCTGGATCTGGATCTAGAGAACTTGATTTGATGGTGGTTGTGGTTGGCGTGTGGCGCGGGTTATGGACAAAAAATTTATGAATCGAGAATGAATGAATGAATGGGCGCTTGCTTGGGTTCTTTTGGGGGCTCGCTCTTGCGTCGCCGCGGATGGACCTTTGGTTCGGGGGGTGTTTGGGAATGGGTCGTTCCAATTGGGGAACTTGGCTGGCAATTCTATCAATTCTCGAGATTCCCGAATCATGCAGGAAATGGAAATAACATCATCGCATTCAACTCACTCTCGCTCTCTCGCAACCGCCCCAGTCGTCTCGTCTCGTCTCATCGTCCTACCCCCCTTCGTCCCCTCGTCGTGCACATGGCACCCCGCGTCCGCCTCGGCCTCCCCTCTTTATTTCTTCAAAGCGCTTTTTTTGTTAGACAACTATTTTTGTTTTTGATCCCGCATAACATGACCCCTCGGACCGCGCAAAGCTCAGCTTAGCTTTTTCTTCTTCTCCATTTTATGATTTTTCTTTCTTCTTCTTCTTGTACGGCAACAAACGATAACGGCGTTCTCGCAACTCTCTCGCACATAATGCCAATCAGACTGCTGGTATCCCCTCTCGGATCCTCGGAGTGGGAGACATGACAATTCGCAACGCAATAAACGCTTACGCACTTCTCGATTAACGCCGCTTATGCACGCATACCCCCCCTCACTCGCTCGCTTCAAAACGATGCCGGAATTACGAATTAAACAACGCAACGCACTTGATTTTCTTCTCTTTCTTAAAGTCCTAAAGCCAAAAAGTAATATCGCTCCGGGACGACGCCAAATCAGACCTTGGAAGAGCGGTGGTCATGTGCTCTTCTCGTCTGTGATTCGACCTTTTGTCTCACTCGCCGTCCATGTTTTTCAAGGTTGTCGCCCATTGTCGCCATTGGTCGTCAATTGCTACCTGGCTGGTTGATGTGGCTCTATCGTTACATTCGTTTTGCTCAACTTGGCGCTTAGGGCGCATCCTTTGCGATTGGGGGGGGTCTGGGAATACCTGGCTAACGAATACGTTGCGTTTGCGTGCGGGACTCGGTCTGGGTGTTTTTGACGTACTTTTTTTTCTTCTTCGTCTATTACTTTACTTGTTTTATGGTGGGAGGGGTGGATGGTTATGGGCCGTTGTGCTATGGGAATGGGAGTGGGAGATGGTGGGATGGGATGGGTATGGGTATGGGGATGGGGAAGTTGAGATTGGCGAATGGGAGTGTTGTGTGGTTAGTGAAATTTGAACTGGGGAAATGAAGATCGGTGGTGCTGTTTAGATGCTTTTGATGCGGATTGGGGGGGATAAATGTTAGGAGGGACTGCGATGGGCAGGATGGGTATGGGATGGATGAATTAGGCTAGGGGGGTAGGGTTAGCTGGGTGCATTGTCCTGAAGTCGTTTTTTTTTATTAGGGCGTGATGATGGGGTAAAAGACTGTGTTTTTCTCTCTCTATTGGTCTCTTGAGTGTCTTGAGTGTCTTGAGTGCTCTTGGGGTTTCGTTGATGCGGGAGTTTTGTTGTGATTTGTGCTGTGCTATGATGAGGAGTTTGCTTTGATGTGATGATATTTGTGAGGTAGGTGTGTCTATCTACCGTCTTTTGAGTCCGCTGGCTGGGCTGATGGGATGGTTATGTGGAGGGAGGGCGGCTATTAGTAAGAAGTGAGGAGGTAGGCTGGGTGGTAGGGTAACCTACCCTTTCTGCTTCAGCACTTGGATCGGGAAAGGGGGGTTGGGAGGGGGGGGGGAGGGATAGAGGGGAATGGATTTGTTTTCACCATCTCCCATTCCACCACATGCTAAACCGTGAAAATTGAATATAAACCATGAATGCCTTTCCAAGTATCTACTTCCACCCCTCTCTCAGGCCCCTCCCTCCATTATCCTACCGATTTAATCCCTAAATAAAACTTCCTTATCAAAAAATCCCACTCCCATCAAAACATGTCACGTGATACACCAACCCCACCTCGCCGGCCCTGTCGTCGTAGTGGGGTGCAAATCGCCCTCTTCTATACCTACAACTAACCACACGAACGCATACCTCCACCCACAGAGTACATTTTTTGATAGGGAACTGTCACGTGCTTGCTATTATCTGCAGTGTCGGTTTTGGAGGTGTTGGATAAAAGATTAAGAAGAGGGAAGATATGGCGACGACAGAGACGAATGGCGGGTTGATGGATGTTGTGCTTGAGTTCACGTGAGTTCTTCTATTCTTTTAACCTCCTTTTTTTTTTTTCCTCCCCCATCTCATGCCTGTCTCCTACTCCATCCTCTCTCTCTCCCTTTAGCCCCTCCTTTCTTTCCCTCTATCCCTCCCTATTTTGCTGTCTCTTACCTTATCTTTCTTTTCCCACAACGGCTCTCTTCCTCTTTCCCCTCCTCCCACTGCTTTCAACCCCCTCTTCTCCCCGTTTCCAACACTACGGAATAAAAAGGCTAACGAAAACACAAAAGCGGTGGTCTCGAATCTCTAACTTCGTCGAAGAGGATGCATAAAGTTTCTATCCCCTCAACGCTAGAGGGGAGATCAACGGATGTAGCGGGTCTTGTGCGCTGGGTGGCGAAGGAGATGATGGGTGGTGATGGGGGCGAGATGTTCGTCCAGGGGGAAGGAGTGTAAGTTCCTCTTTCCTTTTTCTTAGGAGCAGGGGGGTTAGGGGTAGTTGATGGCCCTCGTGAAGACGAGGGGGGTAGAGGCGGAGTTAGAGGAGGAGATATAGAGCTCATCTTCTCTTCCTCCATTACAATCCCTTGTTGTCATCTCCCCCCTCTTCTCCCTCTTCACCTCACCTCACCTCACCACTCACTACCCTGCTTCATATATCTTCTCGCAAAACCTCTTGGGGAGAAGGAGAGACTAATATCACACGCAGACGCCCAGGGATCCTCGTCCTAATAAACGACGCTGATTGGGAACTCGAGGGGGGGGAGGCGTATCTGGTGCAGCCGGGGGATAATATTTTGTTCGTGAGCACCCTTCACGGCGGCTGAAACAACCCCTCAACACCACCACTACTACGGGGCGTGGGGGATCCTAGTTTTCGTCAGATGGGTGACGAGAACAGCGCACAGAGCGATGGGGGGGAGAGAGGAATGATGGAGACACTTGGGGTGCCTGGCGCGGCGCGGCGCGGTGGCAAAACGATATGATCGTTGGTGTATACCACGTGGTACTGGACTTCAGAAACTCGTTTGCGGAGACGACACTGGATACTATCACATAGACATAGGCATGAATAGACACGACGAGGATATAAACAAATACACGTTCTATATATATATGTATATGTACACACAGCTAAATTCCAACGCTACAAATCAAAGCCAAAGCAAAAACGCATCTATAAACAAAAAGTAGACTCGTCAAAAAAAGGGGTATAACATATGCACAAGAAAATCATCTCATCCCCGTCCGTGAGGACATCCCCCCTACCGCCCAACCCCCCCACCAAAGCCCAACCACCAACCGACCCAATTCCAAGTAGACCGAACCAAAGAAACCCCCTCTCCCTCCCCCCCCCAACCATATGTGACAGTGTACTGTACTGTGTACCCATATATTAAAAAAAAAATCCCACCCATCACGACCCTCAATACATCCGATCCCCAAACGCCAACTCCCCCCCCTCCTCCTCTTCATAAGGGCCGACTTCATACAGACTCCCCAGACTACTAGCGCAGGGAGAGCCGATGCCGGAACTGCTCCCGTCGAAGAGTTCCTCCATCCCCCCCATTCCCACGGGCATTCCCATGCCGCCCATCCCGGCAAGTCCGCTGCCCATGCCTCCCATCCCGTAGTGTGCGGGGATACCGCTGATGTATGAGCCTGTGGATGCGGGCGGAGAGAGAGGCAGCGAAGCGAGAGAAGAGAGCGAGGAAGTCGAGGAGCTTAGCGATGGCGGAGTGGAGCTGCTGGGTGTGGTAGAGGCGACTTTCCGTCCCTTGCCGCGTCCTTTAATCCCCTTATTCGCATTCCGATACAAACTCCGAAAATACTCCAACAACTCATCCTCCTCCCCCTCCTTCCCCTCCCCCCCTTTCCCACCACCACCACCACCACCAGCCGCCTCACTCTCCCCAAACCTCACCGTCAACCCCCTCAGCGTCTCAACATGGAATTTATTCATATGACTCTTCAGGTTCCCCAACTGCGTAAAGCACTTCCCGCACCCATCCAGTCGACAGACAAACTTCTTCGCCGCCCCGCCCGCGTCGTGGACAGCAGCGTGAGCTCGCACGTTTCCGCGCTGCGCGAAGGTCTTGCCGCAGGTGGGGCAGGCGAAGGGGCGCTCGCCGGTGTGCCGGCGGAGGTGCGTTTTGAGGTTGCCGAGTTGGGAGAAGGCGTGGGTGCAGGTTGGGTAGGTGCATGTCTGTGAGTTCGTTAGCATCGGTCTATTTTCTTCTTCTGTCTGTTGCTGGCTGCTGGTGATGTTTCGTGGTGCGAGGCTGGGGTAGAGGGGGGAGAGGGGGAAAAGGGGAAGGGAAAACGGGAAAGGAGAAGAAACGTACATATGGCTTCGCCCCCGTATGCGCCCTAATATGAATCTCCAAATGCGTCTTCTGAAAAAACGCCTTCCTACACTCCCCAATATGGCATTCATACCGCTTCTTCGGATCCTCTCCACCACCATTTCCACTCCCATTCACACCTCCATTCACCCCATTTACACCTCGTCCCCTGGCGGCATTCTCCCTCTCCGCGCTGGTATCCCTTGTCCTCTCGCCAGCCGCTACCGCGTCGCTGTTGCTGTTGTCACCACCAGCGGGTTTAGCTTGGATAGCACGCATGAGCGCATCAACATCCGTACTCTGCGCCACCTCCTGGGTCTGCATCTGGGTTTGCTGATACTGCCCTTGTTGCTGGTGTTGGTGCTGTTTTCCCCATCCCTCGGCAGCTGGTGCAATCGCAGTCGTCTTCCCATACATTGACTGAGCGTTTCCACTCTGATAGCTGCGCGGAAGCTGCTGCTGCGGTTGCTGCTGTTGCTGGTGGGGGTAACTACTCTGCTGCTGCGGGGCAGAAGTAGGCATCTGATTCTGATACCCCTGGCGCCTCAGGTAAGTCGTCTGCTCCTGCTGCTGCTGTTGCTGCGGGTGAGAGAATGGGAAATCGTAGATCCCTCCCTGTCCCTGCTGCTGCTGGCCCTGCCCCTGGTGGTGCTGGTGATTGTGGTGGTGCGCAATACCGATATACGAACTCGAAGCGTAGGAGATGGGGGGGGAGGTGTATGGTTGCGCCGCGGGAAGACGCTGGTCGTATGCTTGTCCCTGTCCCTGGTGGTGGGCGTGTGCGTGGTGGTGGTGAGGGCGAGATTGGAGGAGGCCGTGGAGGTCCATTGTGTAGGGTTGTGCGGCAGTGGACCAGCTGCTGGTGCTGCTTGTGTTGCCGGCGCTGGTGGTGCTGTTGGAGCTGCTGGTGGTGGTGGTACTGCCCCAGGTGGAGGGGGGGAGGGGGGATGTGAGAGCCAGGGTTGCGGTTTGGTGGTTGTGTCGTGGGAGGTTGGTGGTTGGTTGGACAAGATACAGGTGGTGGTGAGGTGAGGTGAGAAAAGTGAGAACGATGGACTGGCTGGTCGTTGATTGGGTTGATCGGGTTGATAGACAAGACAGGCAGGTAATAGCACAAAGCAAGCACGACTTTAAAAAAATCAAGGAGGTAACCGTCTCACACTCGTAATACCCTTCTTAAACAACACAACAGTTCCGACGACGACGACAGAAGCGGACATATCGAAGAATAGGAATAAGAGAAAGAGAGAAGGAAGAGGAGAAGGAAGAGGAGAGGGGGGGGGTAGATGGAGACACAAGGGGTATATATGCCTCCTCTGGCCCTGACAGACAACAAGCAGACATCCCACGCACGTCGTCGGTTCGTAGGGTAGTTCGTCTCGATCGAGCCCCGTGGGTGGTTTTGGAGGAGGATGAAGGGACCAGGGTGTGGGATGGGGGGATCGGCGGCACCGGGTGGGGATCTGGGCGGCAGGGGAGAGAGGGAGGGTACGAGGGGCAGTGGTAATGGTGGTGGAGTTGGAATCCGGTGTGAAACAGGGAGTTGGGGAGTGGGGTGGGTGGGTGATGGCGGTGTTGGGGGGGAGGTTACTGTACTGTAGAGATTGAGGTGTGTGGTGGTGGTGGGTGTTGGGGGGGGGGGGATGTAGCGTGCAATCGATCGGGAAGAGAAGGTCACTCACTCTCACTCGAAGAGGGTTGGCGAGGGTACGACAATCCCGTAGCGTACCCTTGTGGCGCATCCCACTCGATCGGTACGGATTTATCCTTGTCCGTGGGGGGTGGGGGTATGTATGTATGGTGGTGGTAGTGGGTGGGATTGGAGATTGGGGGACGACGGGGGGGGGTGTGGGTGGGGAGGAGGGAGGGGACGGGGGGGGTGAGGGAGGGAGGATGGATGAAGAAGAAGGGCAGGGTGGTGGTGGTGGGTGGTGATGGTGATGGTGAAGGATGTTTGAGGGTGGTGGTGGTGGGTGGATGAGGTTGTTGATGGTGGTAGAAGGCGGTTAGGGTGATTAGGGTGGTTTAGGGTGGTTGAAGGATGCTGGATAGCGAAGAAGAGTGGGTAGTGGGTGGTGGGTGGATGGGTGGGGTTCGACGACGGGTGACGGGGGGGAAGGGACGGGGGGAAGCGGTAGAGCGGTAGAGCGACAGAGCGGTAGAGAGGCAGACAGGCGAGGGAACGGTACGATAGAGTACGGTAGAGTAGGTAGGGTGGGCGGGAGTACGGACGGGGAGAGCCGTGGATGGGATTGGGAGGGGATTGGGAAGTACATGGGAAATAGTACAATGCCATATGGTGGAGGATGTAGAGAAGAAGGGGATTGTAGTAGTTTTGGAAGGAGCAGTAAGACGGGCAGACTGGCAGGCAGGGAGATGGATAGACTGGGCCAGCGTGGACTGTGATGCAGGGTAGAGTAGTGTTTCTTGAGTAGAAGTGTGCACTCTCTTCTCTAGTAGTACTTCCATTATAGCAGAGTATATCATATCAAAGTAAGTACTCATATTCGTACTCGTACTCACCACTGTCCTCACTCCTCACTCCTCACCCTCCTCCTCCTCTCTTTTCTCTCTCCAGGGCAGACGACACAGACAGACTTAACAGACGGGACAACCGAGACACCCGCCCTCACTCTCCTCCACCCACCAGACCCTGCCCTGCCCTGCCTCTCCCTCTCTCATGCATCCTCACCTCTCTTCACTCCCCCCATCAAGGATCAATTTCCCACTCTAGCATCAGCATCAGCATCCACATCCACATCCACCTCATCACCTCCTAGCCCACCCCAAAACTCACACCAGAAGCCTCTCTAACCCTTCCCCCCCACCCCTGCCCACCTGGCCGTCACTGCCGTCCATCCCCCCGTCCCCCCATCGCTTCCAGAGGATCCGACAGATCCATCCAGACCCCCCTCCGCTTACACTACCATCCCCCATCACGAAATCCTGCCTGACAGCCTTACACAAACCCTGTTCGTCACAGTGTGCTAAAACTAAGCATGCCTGCGCATCTTGAACCATCCCTACACATCTCAGTTTGTGCTAAAACTAAGCATGCTGAACTAAAACTACTAAGAATGGGAAGAGGTAGACAGGGATCAGGGCAATCCCTGTGCCTGTTTTTTTTTCCTTCCCTGTCAAAAAAGGATCGTGTCACTGCTGTCTGCTGATTGGTCCGTCCCAAGGAGGAGGTGTGCTGGATCGAGGGCGGGAAGGCTGGGGGGGGAGAAGGGAACGACAGATGGGTGTGTGAGGATGCAGTATCGAAATTGGGAAAAGAGGGTGTGCTGTGCAGTGGTGCGTGCTGTTCTGTGCTGGTTTCCCCCCCCACGCTTGAAGTTTTCTTCATCGTGGGGGTGGGTGGGTTTGCCAGCAGTGAGTGTCCGTCTGATGCCTGGTGTCTGGTCTGTCTGGTCTGTCTGGCTGGTGTCGTCTGTCTGATGTCTGGCTTGTCTACTGTTCTATCGATTGTAATACGGATCGATTGTACGTACGGATAGGACACCATGTTGGAGGATGTCAATATCTTCACCTCTCTGTCTCACTCACTCACTCACTCTGTCTCAGTCCACCACGGGTCAACCTGCCTGCTATAAGGGCGTATAAGGGCGTAAACAGCGTAAACAGTACAGCAGTACCTCCCTCACCACAATCAATCGACTCCACCTCTCAATCAGGCACCACCACCACTACTAACCCCCTTCACTTTTCCCTGCCTCTATCGCTCCTGCCAATTCTCACAACTAAACGTATCCCCCATCCATCATACTGCAGGTACATCCCTCACACACCCCTCCCATCCCCCATCCCCCCTCCCACATCCCATCACATCACCAAACGCACACGTGCTCCGACTCGCAGATTGTCTCGCAGTGACAGTAGTATTGCTAGTCGTCCACCCTCCTCCACCCGCCACTACGTACTCGATGAGGAGGAGAGTACCAGACCGCATTCAACCTACACGCACGTGCCTGCCTCCTCATCTCCTCATCCCCTCATCTCCTCATCTCCTCATCTGCACCCTCTCCTCGATCCATCCTCAAGACAAGACAGCCTCACGCGTTACAGCCTCACGGCAGCCTCTCGTCCCGCCTCGTCTCGTCTCGTCTCCTCGCTCCGTTCCCTGTCGTCGATCTCAGCACCACCAGGGCGTGTTCGTCACAGCACAGCACTGCACGTCTATTATGGGGATGAGAGTGAGACTGTGGAAAGGAGGTTTGGTGATGGTGGCGAAGAGGAGTACATCCCTCCACAGCCACCTACCTGCAAATCCCAAGTCCCTCCCTCCCCTCTCACTCTCACCCTCTCTGCCTCACCCCTCTGCCTTACTATCCCTCTCACTGCCTTACTATCACTCTCACCCCCCTTCCCACCTCCCATTCAAACGTCCGTCCCATCCCATCCCAAAACACATCCTCCTTCCCTTCCCGTCTCCTTCTCACCACCCCCATCCCCATCCCATACACATCCCCCAAGCTAACCCTCCATCTAACGAACCCTCCTCCAACACCGCCAACAAAGACGCACACGTGCCCTCCCCCGTCTACTCCATCTCACCATCTCACACCCCCATCCATCACCCCTCCCTAGTCCATCTCACTCCCCGATCCCACCCATCACCCCTCCCCAGTCCAGTTCGCCCCGATCCATGACCACCCTAGCAGATGCGATCCTACTGTCGTGCAGCAGCAGCAGCGGCGGTCATGGTGGGCGTGCGGGGGAGGTACGACGGTGCTGCAGGGCAATAATAGCAAGGGAGAGAGAAATACCCCAACTAATACCCCCAACTAACAATAATCCCCCACGCTGGGGAGTGTTGCCCGACCAATGAGATAATTCATAAATTCGCAATATCGACGTTCGCACGCCTATTCGATCGAATACACAACTAATACCGATAAAAGTCTAAACCCTCTTCGACATCCATCCTTACCGTCTTGATGCTTCTACCACGCTACACTAGGCATACCCTACAGTTCCATCGCAGATTTCATCTCTACACAGAGAGGGAGGGAGTGTTAGTTTACCCCCCATCTTCCTCATCAAGCTCGATACATATTCCCCCACACCGTCACCGCCAACGAACACCCCCCTCCGTTCTGTTTTACGTGGGGGAGTCCATCTCAACCTACTACTGTACTACTGTACCACTACTGCTGTAACTACTGTAACAAAGTCTAGCTATGCCAGGTAACCCACGCGATGACGCCTTCGCACCGATACGATACGACACGCGCGCGCCGTGCCGGCCGGTAGCCGCCGCGTTGTGGATGAGTCCACCGTACCGTATCGTATCGTGCCGTTTGCGTACCGTTGTAACGGATGAACCCCCGCGCCGTATCCCACATACGTACGTATGTATGTACGACATGCGCTGCAGTTGGAACTCTCAAGGGATTTAGGGTCAGCGCGGGATGGTCGTGTGAGGGGGCACGTGAGTCGGTGTAAGGGTTATGGATATTTGTGTATGAGGGATGAGTTTATCTGATGGTGGTGGATAGGGAGGGGATAGGGAGGATAGGAGGGGATTAGGGAGGGTAAGAGAAAAGAGAGGTGTGAGGGATTGATGGGGGTAATGGAAATGTGACTATCTGGTATCATCTGCTTAATCATCCCCCCAACCACTTAAGCTCTAGACCATCTGGTTTACCAAGCATCTACACTCCCACTTCTAACACTCCCACTCCCACTCTCATCCCACTATAACCATACAAGCTTCATTGACATCCCACTCCCTCTCACTCCACTCCATGACAGACAGAGAAATACCGCACCAGCGCATCACAATGACGTGCTCACCATCCCGAGACACGGCGCTGTAGAGGGGATGTCGTCGACCCGCCTGAGGGATGTCGCTGATCTACACTACGGTGGTGACAGAGGGGAGCTGAGATGAGATGAGTTTAGGTGGGATGAGATGAGGTGGGAGGTGTTGGGGTGAGGTGCCTGGAGAGGGGCAGGTTGGGGGGGGAGGGGATAAGAGACGCGTACGACTTGGTGGGGAGAGAGAGTAAATGTCTCATATAACCCACTTCCTCACCTATCTATCTCCTCTTCCACTACGAGATTATTTTTTGATATTGATATTGATATTGATATCGAGGCTTGGCGAGCGTGTGTGTAGAGGAGAGGTAAGAGGTAAGAGGATGGGAGATAAAAGATGCGTAGCCGTTATCACGTCTCAACCACCCACCCACCCACTCCCACCATCTCCACTGAGATGATGAAAAATTCTCATATCGCTAGATACTGAACCCCGCTGGGCTGAGATCGTAAGGGGAGAGGAGAAGAGGGAAGCGGAGATGAGAGATGCGTACGCATTGAGAGAAAGAGAGAAGGGATGTCTCAGTTACATGCTCTCTCGCGAAATCCTGCCCACGTCTCTCACCATATCCAGTGAATGATGAAAATTCTCACATCGCTAGATAATACGGCCCACCGAGCTGAACAGAGGTTCCCAGAGTTGAGGTGCGCTGTACCAAGCTATCCAAACACCAGATGTGTGGCAGCGGCGGCTCGGGGAGCACGGCACATCTCCCCGGCACCCACCCACCCCCTATCCACTCACTACCTCACACCTCCGCTAGATTACGAGAAGGTAGTATATTTGACAGATCTCTCGGTTCCCCTTTCCGAACTCTCAGTATACTAGGTGGGTGCATAGATCAGGGCTGAATCAACGCGTGTAGACGTTAGAGACGGGGTGTGGATGGTCCGGTGCCGCGGGACGGGAGAGTAGGGATGTCTCACACTGGGCCCCTATCCACTTGGTGTAGGAGTATCTCCGGGGAGGGAGTTCTCATAATCGCGTATCATCATCAACAACAACAACAACGCCATGCCAGGTACCAGTAAATGCGTCCCGTGTAGGATTCTCAAGAGGGGCAATCTACCTAGTCCCTCGCTATCTCGGGTGGGAATTTTTTACGTCGATGGTATTGAGTATCGCAGCAGGGGGTAGGTATATCCCGTTCGGTATTTCTCAAAAGGGGGGTGTTAAGGTTCAATAATTACGAGATAGATAGGTTGTCAACCCAGTCCGAGACCACGGACACGGACGACGTAATGAGTTGATGGGTTAACGTCAGTCCAGTAGTTTTGAGATAGAGGGGCTGTCAACTCGGCCTGCACCACGGTATTGGAAACCCCAGAGACCATGGCTCCAACGGCGTGATGGATTGATGGATTGACGTTGGTTCGACGTCCCCGAGATAGAGGGGGTCTAACTAGCCCAGTACAGCTGGTCCGAGACCAAGGACCCGGTGGACGATGTGATGGGTTCATGGATTGGCGTTAGTTCGATATTTTGAGGTAGAGGGGCTGTCAAGCTGGTATGACCACGGTATGGGAACCTAGAGACTAGGGCTACGACGACGACGTGATGGATTGACGAACTGACGTTGGTTCAATAATTCCTGACTGGCAAGCGCGCACAGCTAGTTCGACCCCCCCCCCCCCCCCCCCCAATCGTATTACCTAGACCAACCCATTCAATATTCCCACGATCGACAGCAGGAGGCTTTCAACCCATTCCAACCACACGGTAATGGAAACCCCCCCAAAACGGGACGGGCGCCGGGGGGCGACGTGATGCATTGCCGGACTACTGGTGTTGGTTCTCGATACCCCCGAGACCAAGGGGCTCAGACGAACGACGTGATACATTCACGAACTGACGGCGGTGGTTCAATATCCCCAAGACATAGAGGGGCTGCTGCTGCTGCTGCTCCTGTCAACACGGCATGACCACGGTATTGGGAAGCTAAAACCGGAGCGCGGAGGAGGTGGTGCATTGCCGGAGGGATGTTGGGGGGGGGTGGGGGGGGGGTGGGGGCGGGGGGGGTGGGGGGCGTGGGGGGGGGGGGTTGGAGGGGGTGGGAGGGAGGGAGGGGTTGAGAGTGCGGCTGAGGGTGGGGAATAGGGGGTGGGTGAGAGAGGTCGGTTAGAGGTGGTGGTGGCGGTGGCGGGTTAAGGGGTTCGTGAACAGCACGGGATGAAACTCACAACACAGGACCAGCACGACACGGAGGGGAATGATATGATAGGTGTGACGGGGATGGTTTATCCATTCCATCCAGGTCTATTTCCCCATCCACATTCTCACACATCCTCACGCCTACCCCTCTCTCCCTTCCCCTTTCCTTCCTCCCCAATTTCACCCTCCCCGAATCGAATCGACCTCTGCGAAATAAATCTGATGATGCAAACACGCTGGATAGTATACACGACTCCTCCTCCATATAGCAAAAAAAACGCCATCCATGCCCTCCAACATCCATACCCATAAACTCCCATCCCCCATCCTCTCTCCCTTCTCTCCATCCCACAATAAATCTACCTCCTAAACCCCTGCGGCATCCCCGGCGGCGCCCCGAACCCAGGCGGTGGTGCACCCGGCGGCCCTCCAAACCCAGGTGGTGGTGCTCCCGGCGGTGCCCCAAACCCAGGCGGCATCCCTCCTGCCCCCCCAAACCCAGGCGGTGGTGCTCCAGGCGGCGGCCCCCCGAATCCCTCCGGCCCTCCATACCCCGCCTGACTCGGCGGTGGCCTTTGCGGTAGCCCCGATGGAGGCGGAGGGAGGGGCGCGTTAACACGCTGTGGAGGCGGTGGGAACCCTTGTGGTGGACCGCGGGCGTAGGGGTCGTGGTGAGGTGGTGGCGCGTGGTGCATCATCTGCTGCTGTTGTTGGGGGTCGAAATGCTGCTGTTGCTGCTGCTGCGGTGCCAGGGCCGGTGGTGCGGAGGGGGGCATGCCCATCATTGCTTGTGCGGGCGGAGCTTCTGGTAGGACGCCGTGTGCCTTTGCCTGGGCGGCTAACATACGTTCCGCTGGGTCGCCGTGGCGTTCTCCCTTGCCGTCTTTCTTATACGCGTATTGCACACTAATCGCGCGGTCGAGCAAGGTCTGGCCGTGCATATTGGCCACCGCGTCGTCGGCGGCGTCGAAGGAGGCGTAGGATAGGAAGGCGTAGCCTTTTGAGAGGGCGGTGGTGGGGTCGCGAGCGATCTTGGGGGGGGCGAGGAGAGGGCCGAAGCGCGAGAAGGTGTCGTAGAGGGAGTGTTCGTCGAGGTGGGGGGAGAGGTTGCCGAGGAAGAGGTTTGCGCCTACGTCGAGGGGTTTTTGTTTGTCTGCTGAGGCCTGCGGAGTAGTTAAGTTAGCTTGCTCTTCTGCTGTTTGCTGGTATGGGGGGGGAGGGGGAGCGTACCTTGTTCACACGAATTGGCTTCCCGTACAAGCGCACTTGATTCATAACCCTCGCCGCGTACTCGGCGTCCTCCTCGCTGATAAACTCTACAAACCCATATCCCTGATGCGACTGCGTCACCCGGTCTTTGGGGAGATGCACGTTCACGATGCGACCAGCCTGCAGCATGAGCTCCCACACAAGGCTGTCCGTGACGCGCTCGTCGATGTTGCCGACGTACACCGTCGCTTCTTTGTCCTGCTCCCTGTTTTCGAGTTAGTTATATGCTGGGTAGCTGGGGAGTGGAATGTGCGTACCAATGCCTTGCTCCTGACATCTTGACGGCGGTGGTGAGGTGTTGGGCGGAAGAATTGCCCGTGATATGTGAGGTCGAGGGGCGCGCGGTGGTTAGCTGCGGTGTTCTGGAAAAAAGTTCGCTTACGTAAGGAAGGCGGCGTTTGGGGTCGGGGGTGAGATTGAACTTTTGTTCTGGGAAGGGAGAAGGGTAGATTTAACTGTACATCACGATCCCGACAATACAACGTTCCTCTTCACAGTAAGTTGGTAGATGGGATTATGTTGCAAATGGAGATGCTGATGATGTTTGTGTAGTCCCACCAAATCAAAATGGCCTACTCATTCCAACTGTCCGAGGAGTCGAAGGTGCGCGCAACCGCGATGTTTGAGGCGCCCGGATGGATATTGACTGCATTCTAGGAGAGAGTCGGAAAGCTCATTGATGTGTCCCGCGTGGTCATTCACTAGTATGTTTATGCTCTCCCATGCTGCGCAGTATTGTAGCATCAGTAGCTAACCTCATCGCAGCGGCTTCCTCCCCTTGGTTGTCTACATCGGTACGAACGCCTGACATACGAAGACGAACTTGACGGACGGGACTAACATATATACCAGGATACACTCAGAGCCAGCCTCGCCCATCTCTGATTAGGTATGAGTTACCTGCTATGTGTATGCTGCGGGCGATGCTAACCTCCGCAGACTCTTCTCCCCACTCGCATAAACGAACGGCGGCAGATGAATGGATGGATGGATTACGGGGATAGGACGTCTCTAATGAAGCGGGTTGTACGATTGTTCAGGCATCAGAGGCGTTTTGATATCTAGTCAATGGCTATCGAAGGGGTGGGAAGCGGTGGATATGAGGTCTTTCATGGGAAAGTTGTATTGTAAAATCCGAAAATACGGAATCACCACTTGTGCCTAACCTGTATTTGGCACTTCCAATGCCATTATATTCCAAAATTAAACCAAACATATCTCCACGTGAAGCAGAATTGCTCCCCAAAAATTTGTCGATCGATAACATGTAATTTATATCAGCGCATTGCATCGGCCGCCTCGGCAAACATTGCGCCTCAACTCCGTCATCGACAAATAAATTTCCAGGCCGCCCCTCCGACCCCCTCTGAACACCGCCAACCCCCAAGCCATGAACAACTCAATACCCTTCGAATGAATGAAAAGCATGCGCGCCTCTCCCCCGCGCTGGTCGAGACCTGCGCTGGCCTCAGCGCCGGCGCAATCTCCACTCTCGTCGTCCACCCTCTCGACATAATCAAGACACGCCTACAAAGTACGCCCCGTCCTTCCCTTTCACCTCTCCCTCCCCCCATGTCCCTTCCCTCCTCCTCCTACCTCCTACGACCCCCAGCTAACCCTCTACCTAGTCCACCGCACGCACACCTCCCACACCCCCACCACCTCCCTCACCCTCGCCCGCTCCCTCCTCTTGCACCCCCACCCCCTCACCTCCCTCTATCGCGGCCTCACCCCCAACCTCCTCGGCAACAGCGCCTCCTGGGCCCTATTCTTCTACTTCAAATCCCTCGTCGAAACGCCCCTCTCTCTGCACCGCGCACGCCATGGCAGCGCCCTCACACCAGGGGACTATTTTCTCGCGTCCCTCGGCGCGGGACTCCTTACAACCCTCGCTACGAATCCGATATGGGTGCTGAAAACTCGCATGCTATCGACAGACCGCGGCGCAGTTGGAGCGTATCCGAGTATGTGGGCTGGAGCGCGGGCGATCGCAAGGACAGAGGGGTGGAGGGGTTTCTATCGCGGGATGGGCGCGAGCTGTCTCGGTGTCAGCCACGGGGCCGTGCAGTTCGGGGTCTACGAGCCGATGAAGCGAGCATGGTTGTCGTATGTGGCGCGGCGAGGAAGGGAGGGAGAGGAGAAAGAGAAAATAGGATATGAAGCTACGTTGGCAATAAGCGGGGCGGCGAAGATGGTAGCGGGGTGCGCGACGTATCCGTATCAGGTTGTGAGGGCGCGGTTGCAGACGTATAATGCGGAGGCGAGGTTCGGGAAGGGGATTATGGGGGTGGTGGGACGATTATGGAGGGAGGAGGGCGTGAGGGGGTTTTATAGGGGGTTGGGGTTGAATATGGTGAGGGTGTTGCCGGCGACGTGGGTTACGTTTTTGGTGTATGAGAATGTGAGGTATTATCTGCCGAGGGTGGATTTGTAAGATCGATAGATGGGTATGGCGTTTTTCGGGTGTGGGTAGTTCATAGGCGGGTTAGATTGCCTGAGATCTGTGCTATTTTATGTATTTTTATGGTATAACAGGAAGCTCAGGATGGATGGAAAGGCTTATATTGAAGACAAAGCATGGTCTGAGTGCGTAAGCCTATCAACCTATACGAAGTTCACATTATCGAACCTCTCTGCTACTCTGTACTTCTCCAACTCATCACCCGGAACCTCTGCATTTCCAGGACGCACCGTAAGCACTGTCTTCATGCCCGCCTTATCCGCAGCCTCCACTTCCTTGAAGTTATCACTGAAGAATACCCAAGCATCGGCATTAATTTCAACCCCCTTCTTCCTTTCTTCCTCCAGGATCTTCTGGTAGCTGCTCTCCTCGTTCTTCATCCCGGCATTAACAGTGTCGTACCACCCCTCAATGAATTCCCTCAAATCACCCCCATTTTCGGTTTCTGTTGTGTATTGAAGTAATAACTTCTGCGCAGCGACAGACCCAGAGCTGTAGATCAGGATTTTCTTCCCCTGAGCGTGCCATTGCCGGATTGCAGGTGCAACATCTGGGAATAGAGGACAGCGTAATGCGCCTGATTGATAACCAGTGAGCCAGAGATGTCCTTGCAAAGACTTTAAATAGGCGATCTTGACGTCCTTGGCCATAAGGTCCTGGACGTGTGACAGGAGTGCCGAAGGGCTGCCGCGATGTTCAGCCGGGAAGGCGTCACGGAAGGGTGCTAAAGATGGGGAGTCCCATGATGTCTCGAGAACTCCGGGGAGAGATTCTAGAGCGTAGGGAAACTAATAATGTTAGTAACCAGGAACATAGGGGTACACAAAGTGATAGTCTGATATTGACGGGAAAGCCCACAAAAACGATGCTAAAAATGATGGTGTGATGGGTTTTCAAAGTAGAAACAAAAGCGAGATCTTAAATAGGGGATGACATGCTCAGCACACTCCAGATGTGAAGGAGAGAACCACGGTGCGTAACACGTTGACGTTCCAAAAAAAAAAAAAGTAATAAAGCTCAACTTACCAAAACATCTTTAACGAACGATATCGGGCAAATAGTCCCCTCTAGTGACGGGTCAGCCGTATGCTTTCTTAGGCAGCTAGGCAAATAAAATATTATTTTAATTGCCCTGGCTCTTCTAAAAACTTACCAATATCCAGAATCACTCCCTGAATCCCAGGAACATCTATCTTTCCCGTTGCTACGGCCATTCTGCCTCTTCTGAGTAGTTTGAGAACAGTGTAAAGGGGCACAATGAGTTCTATTCCCTTTAATAGAAAGACGTCAGTAATAGCTCATTGCCACATATCGTGTATAAATATACACCGTGTAAACCGCAATCGCGGTAGCAGACCTTCACGCCGAATGTCATGGAGGGGTAACGCAGTAGCGGGGTATGCACCTTCTGTCTGTTCACAACGTACTTTTGTTTGATGGACAACTTGATCCAAGAGCAGCTTAAAATTGAAGCAGTGCCACTGAATTCCGTATTATTAGGTATTACGGCTAAAAGTGTAGAGGCAGTGAGGCCGATTGTTTGCATTGTATTTCTACCCATCTAACCTCGTGTTGGGCCTGTGATTGGAGAATCCCCCAATAATTGATTATGTAAGGCATCGAGACACAGCCCCAAGCGAAGATACACCACCTTATATGTCCATCCCCCCTCATCCTCGACTTCATCCCCCTTCAGTGATCATTCGCTGATACCAAGTCTACTCAAACCTTGAGTTCAACCGCAACGGGTCATAAGGGCCCGTAGAAAGCAATTCCCCCTTGCCCTCTTCCAACATCAGAACCATGTGCGCACCGTGTCTTTCCCAGACCTTCTACTTCCAACCGCAACAGCTCGCTGTTGTCGTCGAGCCTCCATGGCAGCAACTTGTCGTATAGACAAGACCAGCGCCAACAACAACAGCCTTACTTGGCTACAGATACCACTCATAACCTTTACTCTCCCGAGCTCAATGCAAATCTATCCTACGCTCCTTCACCCCACCTTATCGATCCCGTTTACTCGGGCACACCATCCTTTAGCTATTTTCAAAGTCCAGCCTCTGAACAAGTTGATTGGTTTCAAAATGACAATTCTGTCACCGACGGTGACCTGGCACCACAGCCGGGATACCATGTTTCTTTCGATGACCAAGCCTTTCACGACCCTACTTCCATTATAGACCCATTCGCATTCGATGGTGGCGCTACCTACCAGTCAATCATGATCACGCCTCACAACCAAAACGGCCTAGACACTCCTCCGGAGGCCCTCGAGAATCTTTCGGAACCTGTATCATATGCATATCAAGGTCAGCCTCTAAAGCTATGGAACGTTTTGATCATATCTAACATATATCTTAGACGACTTCTCACAGCACTCATTACAGACAGTCGCCAACAGCCCTTCTCCATTTTCACAGTCAATCTCATCAGACTCCCCGGCCCACATGCCCACAACCAAATCCACCACCTCTCCCGGCTCCACCATGTCCACTGCAACCACAGCCACCACCCAGCCCAACTCCGCAATCAGAAAGCGCAAACTGAACACCCTCGCCGCCCGCCGGTACCGCCAAAAGCGCGTTGACCAAGTCACCGAGCTGGAAACGGCGCTGAAGAATACGCAGCGCGAACGAGACGACCTGAGTGTTCGGGTTGCGCGATTGGAAGGCGAGTTGGGAGCGTTGCGACAGATGTTGAATTCGGGGAAGTAGTGCTAGTAGTGTTGGTTATGGTTAGCCAAGGGACAAATGGAGTTTGACACGTGTATGTTAGGATATAGGGGCACGTTGACGGTAATTCAAACGATGTCGGTTGCTATTGATCAAGTTCCAGTTTTTTAAATGGAATCAGATTGGCAAAATAGTGTTTTTTTCATAATATGTGACTGACAGTGCGGTGTCCTGGTAGGGAGATGAATGGGGTTTGGCAGAGTTGCTTTACTCACTTCAGGAAACTTGCAGTCGCGTTATTTATCACAATGGCTTGCTGTCAATTAATTCTACAGTTTACGATCATTATATACTATTCAATTGAGCGTTATTCTATCTATCTTCGCATTCTACACCTCGCGAAGTTCAAATCATTCAGTATCACAATGGGCCATAATGAGTCGAGATGCGAATACACCCAAATCATGATTGTCGATATCCCCCTTCATTATCCTCAGTACCCTCAGCGACACTAGAATCATTTGGTACGGCCATCATGTATCATAATGAGTCGAAGTGAGCGAACAGGAATTTTCAAGTAACCCCTTACTCCCTATTCTCGGTTGAACGAGCTGACACTGTGGAACACTCAGAATGACTCATGCTTGCATACTCGGAACACTAAACCTCTCGATCAACAACAGCTCCGAAACCTCCGAGGTTTAAGAATGGGCACTGAAGGATTCCAGCCAACACGCTCGAATTTCTGTGCCGAAATTCTCTCAGGGAACCTCTTCCTTGGGATGTCCCGTTCTGGTCGCTCGTGAAATCACAACAATTACTCTGCTAATACCTGCACCAATCTATACATGCAGCATTCTCGGGCCCTTCGGCAACTTTTTGCTGGAAAGTCGGGCCACCCTGCGACGAATACAATATTATCCAGCTCGCCACCACCATGGTTCATATAGAGACAAATTGGGCTTGGAACAAATATATATCATTGGAATGTAGATATTTGAGGTAACATGACTTGTTATGTAGGATATAAAACGTCCGCTGATCTGCTGAAGCCACGTATTTATACCCCCTTCTTGAAACGAGCAAGCAGACTTTGTGATATGAGCCGACTATTGTCAGTAGCAGGTTGCACTTCTTCTTTAATCTTCACCACATGCTCCATGAGCTCTATCGCCTTCTCTACTTGCCCATTCAGATAATATGCGTATGCGAGCTCATGTTGAGATGCGAGCCTTTGAGTATTAGTAACAGGCAGAACCTCTTCTCGAACATTCACTACCCGCTCTAAGAGATCTATTGCCTCTTTAACTCGGCCCCCTTTCCCTTTAACAAGATATATGTGTGCAAGCTCGTGCTGTGAACTCAGCCGCTCCGGGTTAGCAACGGGTAGCGCCTCTTCTTGAATCTTTACTACTTGCTCTAGGAGTTCTACTGCCTTATCCACTTGGCCATCCGTATTATATGCGCAGGCGAGCTCATGCTGTGCAAAGAGCCGGTCGGGATGAGTAATAGGTAGTGCGCCTTCGCTATCCACAACTTGTTCAAAGAGCTTAATGGCCTTATCCACTTGCCCATTCTTATAATATGCGCGAGCGAGCACGTGTTGTGACATGAGTCGACTAGGGTGGTCAGTAGGCAGTTTGCATCTATGCTTCATAACTTGCTCCAGGATCTTTATTGCCTTTTCCACCTGCCCATCTATAACATATCCGCGTGCAAGCTCGTGCTGTGACATGAGCCTGGCTTGATTATCAACAGGAAGGATCTCTTCTCGGTTCTTCACTACTTGCTCTAGGAGCTTTATCGCCTCTTTTACTCGCCCAATCTGAAGATATGTGTGTCCAAGCTCGTGCTCTGATCCAAGCCGGTCATGATGAGTAGTAGGTAGCAATTCCTCTCGAATCTTTACCACTTGCTCTAGGAGATGTGTTGCCTTATATGCTTTCCTATTTGCATTATATATGAATGCAAGCTCGTCTTGTGCCGCAAGTCGATCGTAGTGGGTAATAGGTAGCACGCTTTCTCTAATCTCCACAACTTGCTCAAAGAGCTCAATCGCCTTATCCGCTTGCCCATTCTCATGATATGCGCGTGCGAGCACATGCTGTGACATGAGCCGCTCAGGGTGAGCAATGGGCATTGTGCCTTTAATCTCCACAACTTGCTCTAGGAGTTCTATCGCCTTATCCACTTGCCCATTAGCAACGTATGCGCGGGCAAGCTCATGCTGTGACATGAGCCGGCGACCGTTAGTAATATGAAGGTCCTCTTGAGCCTCTACTACTTGCTCAAAAATCTCTATCGCTTTTTCTACTTCCCCACTGGCATGATACGCATTTGCGACGTTGTGCTGTGAAATAAGCCGCTTGTAGTGAGAATGAGGTAGTCTCTCATCGAGAATCTTCGCGATTTGTATATATAGTTGAAGGGAATTTGCTAAATCTCCAATGTCTTGCAAGTTTATCCCATAAATTCTGTATATTTCCAGGTATTCTATTGATGGTTTATCAAACTCGATTGCAAGAATGCCGAATATGTCTTGAAGGAGGGTCTTGAGCCTTGAATCGTCCCGGTTTGTTGCTAGGTTCTGGCAAAAAATGATAAAAATCGAGACCAGCATGGGTTTCGGTCCGAGAGAGAATGCTGTCTTGACTTCTATATTGAGCAAAGATTGGAGATGCACTAGGCTGTCCCTTGGGGAGCCATAACAGAGAATAGATAGTGCAACAATACAGGCAGTGGCGATCCAGGTTTGGCCTTGCTGGATCAATTCCTGGCGATCTTTAGCCCAGGCGTGAGCTAGCGGATGCATAGATAGGCTAGGTGATTCCCCAGCTAGATTGCTTCGCACGACAAATGAAAGCGAAACAAGCAAGTAACTCGCTTTGTTGAGACGATGGGGGTCCCATTCGTTTGCTTCCACTTCCATGAATTCTGGCAACTGTAAGGCGTGCCATCGGGAGCAAGTTCCTAGGTCTATCTCTGTGTCACTGACGTGAAGAACATTCCTAGAGCGGTTCCATGCATTTTCGAATATCTGAAGTGGGAGAGCACTTGAATGCAGCATTGAAAGTATCCCAAGCAAACGTAGAGCATCTCTAGCATCCTCACTCTCAGAATTCTCTAAAATCTGGGCAGACGCTTCAAAGGTCGCATAAACGTCACCATATCTTGACTGGGCCTGTGAAGGTCGATATGTAAGGAGTCGTTTGCGATGTTTTCCATAGACTTCGGGGTATTGGTCTAGTCGGCTGTAGCCCTTGGCAATGTATGTTCCAGCCTGGATTAGCGCAAGTGTGTGTGAACCAATGAGTTTAGCAATATCCTCTGCTTGTTGATCGACAGATGGCCACAGGTCCTCGGCAATATTTGCTGCTCTGAGTAGAAGCTGTTTGGATAGGCCGATATCAAGACTCGTGAGTACTTCTGAGCCAACTGTGCTGTATTGACTGCAGTCATAAATACGAGATGTCACGAGTACCACACCTCGAGACCCTGATGGTAGGTATGCTTGATAGTCGAACTCCGGATCGTCAGCGTTGTCCAGAATAAGGAGCCAGTTATGCTTTGTGTTTGCAAGTAATCGACGTGCATCATCAACACTCTTGGCTGAGGATCCGAATGACGCCACAGCGGAAATAAAGTCGTTTTTTGCTGTAGACTCGCTATCGACATCGACCCAGAACACGCCCCAAAAGCTGCCGTTGTCAGTTAAGTCCGGGATCCATAATTTAGTCCAACGAGGGAGCTCACTCTTCCCGCAATATATTCGCTACTTGTAAACAGATTTCGGTTTTTCCCATGCCCCCAAGGCCGGTAATTACAAATACCTTCTGTTTCCCGGCATGCTGAGCACCGTCATCTTGTAACGCCGCTTTGATCCTATCGATAATCTCAGAGCGCCCAGTAAATAGTTTATTGATCCCGCGGGGAACTAGCCAATGCTTGTTTCCAGCTGGTTCGCCCACTTTTAAGCCAAAAATTAAAAAGTCAGCCAAAGTATCTAGGAGAAGATCCCGGAGCCCAATAAGTTAGTACCTTTAGGTTTGAATCGATTGGCCACCATTGAAGGTCCATTATTGACCATTCTCTGTAATTCGGGCAGTACCAAAGCATAATTCTCATCATTTGATCCACTGAACTTGTTAAGCCCAGAGTGATCGGTGTGTAAAAATATCATTCGCCTTCCGCTTAAAGTAGCCGACGAGGCAGTTACTACCTTCATATAGTTAACGGGAGAGATCGATATGTAAAAAAGAAAGAGATCCAAACCCGAGTCTTAAACAGAGTATAATCAGCATCTGTATCTTCGTAGAAGCACACGAAGTCCCATTCGTGGTGGCTATCAGAGAATTCTTTCGATAGAGACTGTAGGTTTGTATTATCTTTTTGTAGCAACTCTAACAGAGAAAGATCACCCCCGGTGACCTGTGCCAGCCGTTTTCCAAGCACAGCCGCATTACTTCCTTGGAAAGGTGCCCCAAGGAAGATTACACCCGACACTGAGAGACGAAGCTCTTGAAAGTCTCGGTTCAGCGCGGCGATAACGAGAGCCTTTGTGCAGTTTAGTCAGTAGGTGAGACCCTCACAGCAGAATGGCGTCCAACAGACCTGTTGGATGACAAGCCCCCCAAGGCTGTGCCCAATTAAGACCAGTGGTCTTTGGCGTTCCTATTGTTGCTCTTAATTTAGGGGCACTCTTATCAGATGAGAATCGCTGAGCATCTCACATCTGGCTTCTGCCTGTGTTGGAACAATACGTTTAGGAACTGTTCGGCCAATTGGCGCAAGGTGGTCTTAACCCCTTTGCCGGATTTGTAGCTATAGGTGGCAACCCGCGCATTCGTAAATGATGGCACGAGTAGGTCTCGAGGCCACATAAACTCAACGGGCTCGTTGTTCCCGTCTAGTTTCGGGTGCTTTTTATCTTTCCTGGTCCATAGCTTATCCACAAGTTTCCTCGACGATTTACTTTCTGGGGCTCGCCCTTTCTTGACCCAGGTGAAGAACGGGTCAGAGCCTAATCCCTGAACACCGACGATACTATGACGAGTTGGCAGGTTACAAGTTGGTGTAGGCTGACTTACTCCACTTCTGTTGTGGACCCTGGCGGAGCACCCGTAGACCATATATTAAGGCCATGAGCCTTAACCGTCTCTTTCGTACAAGCCATGGTCAACAGCCACAAGAAAGTAGAGACATATCACAGTATGGGACCGAGTTGACAGTGCAGTTTTATATGACTGACTTTTTGAGCACGTTGGGTTCATAAGGCGGGGCATTCGTAATGCTGGGCGCATCCTTCAACTATATCTATATTTAGCCTCAGTTACAACCGCCAAGTCATGCACATTGGAGTCGTTTACGCGTGGTATTTTGTAGACTCCGACAAAAACGTGACAAAAACAAAACCTTCCAGCTGAACTGTACTGTATGGTGGTACACATTTGGTCAGTGCGCAGCCTGCAACAATCGTGACGATAGACGCGTACATGATTGGCGACCAAAAGTCCTGTAGATCGCTATCCAACATGTGGAGGAAGCACCGCGGTCATATTATGATCTACAATTTCTCGTATTGTGCGGCGTCTAGCTTCGCATCGATCAATTACATTTGACGGGAGGGCCTCGAGGGGTATAGCTTTCCCTGCGTGGGACCTCCAGAAGCTCCTCCCTCGTCGGTGGACCATTGGTATTGAAACATAGTCCACGAAGGATGTCGAACAGTCTTCCAGCAAAATGGACTTGGCTATACCGATATAAAGGCGCCCTCATAGTATGCGTTGTGCTATCAACTTATGGGCTTTCCATCGGCAGGCCTATGCTGCAAAGTAAGCATCCTATCACTGCATCTTCTGGTCCGCCAATGCTAATAACGCCACAGCTGGTGCAGTTCAGTTACCATATGCTGAAGTCCTACGATTTGCCTTTCCTCTTTCAACCACACTACTACATCAATTGATTGCGAGCATTTTTATACTTTTGAGCGGTTGCATTCTCTCCTTCCTACAGCCGGTCCAACGAACATGGCTATCGGCATTTTATAATCCTATACCCCCGACCGACACCGGGTTAGACGACTACTCCGATGTTGATAATACCAAAGAAGTCCTGCGCCCAGCATGGAATCCTAATAATGCTCGAGGAATCGTTGCGCTGGCTGTGATTATCGCAGCTGAATATGCTCTGACCAGCTACGCTTTTTGCTTTGCTCCTTTAGAGATATATGTCATTTTTCGTTCGTTGGTTCTTCCCATATCGATATTGATATCAAAACTCGTGTTCTCAAATCAAGACATATTACCAGTAGCGGGGAAGGCATATCCATCACTTTTGCTGTCGTTGGGAACCGCCGTCGCGGCATATCGACACGATCTTCCCTGGCCATCCAATGCTGTTTGGTGCGCATTTCTTTCATCCATACTTGGAGCTATTTGGCCTGTTTTTACACAGTATGCCTTTGCAAGTACTCCGGTGCCAGAGAACGACGGCAGGAACGTTAATGGCTACTTTGAGCTTCCTAGAGGCTCGAAACCACAAGACAGACCACAAAGCATACTTACCTTTTGGAAGTATACCTGCTACGTATCATTACCATGCGTAGCCCTCTTATTTGCTGCAGTTCTTATCTCAACAGAGTCACAACAAGTTTTTCGAAACGTCTATGTCAATGGCGTACTCTTTCAATGGCTCCTACTCCAGATACAAGTTGGCTTCTTTCGCTTTATCTTTTTCTGCAGCACACTTCTGCTCATACGGGCAACCTGTGCGACTACAGCCAATTTCGTTATTGTTCTTGCATACGCTTCACAAATGACTGTCCTAACGTTCTCAAGTCTGTTGTTTTCGCAGAAGTTTGGAATCACTGTCTGCATTGCTTCCGGAATTTGGTTCTTAAAAAACCATATGCAGTCCTTGGATACTCTCTTTTCTTGGATAGAGAAGCCGTCGCTTCCTCGACACAAAGAATATTTCGGGTTCTTCACTCTCCGGCGTATTCTCATAACAGCTATAGTTTTGGTATCCTGCCACATTGGTTTCCAGATCGGAGGCTTCTATGGGACAGAAGCCCAACTCCCTCTGTTTTTCCCTCCAACGCCAGACCATGACGCCTACCTTGGTCCACGTGCTAAATCAGATATATTGGCAAACCTAGACCTTCTGGTGGATGAATGCCGAGGACCTTACGAGAAACCAGAAAAACTACGAGATGTCCGAAAGTGCATCGACTACCTAGCTACCCAGCAAGATACATATTTCCAGGTTCCAGAGGCAGGCCAAGCTGTAACTGCTACAGTTCCTAAACTAGGGCCTGATGATTCAAACTGTGGAGGTCCTGTCATTCTATACCATGTCTGGTGGTCTGGACCACCATCATGGCGCACAGAACTCTTCATAAAATCCTACTTCTATACTCAGAGACTTGCCTGCTCTAGACTTTGGATCTGGATTAACGTCGATCATCACCCCGGTGCCTTAACAAACTGGATCAGGCATCCAAGCTTCGCGAAGTTCCTCTCATTCATCGAAACTGGCGAAATCGAGTTGAAGGAGTGGCGTCTCCCCTCCCGTGTTCCTATCTCCCCGACCATCGACCCTCTCGACAAAGCACGCTACTACGCACAACCTGGTAAGCCAAACTCTCAGGGCGAGGTTTTTGTTGCAGATTCTATCGTCCGGGATGCTGCGGGACAGGAGTATATCCAGTTCTACAAACCGGGCGATCAGACACAACTCACATTCTATACGGTCGCCTCTTCCGACGCTGCACGCCTCATCATCCTTCATCTCCACGGGGGTGTATATCTCGACATTGACATGCTTCTTCTACGCGACATGCGTCCTCTCTTGCTGCCTGGTCGCCCATTCTCAGAGCGCTGGGGCGCACATGCTGATCCAACACTGTACAACAACGCCTTGGTAGCTCTCCCTGCGAACTCAAGCATGTCATCCTATCTACTAACAGGCGGGACGCGGATGGGGTTGATGTATCATTTTATGATCCTTGGGAGAATGATGGTTAGTGAAGGCCGTAACGAGGTCAACTCTGAGCGCGGCCTGCTGAAGCTCGAGAGCGCGTTCTTTGACCCTCCATGGCCTGCCATGGATGGCATGGCGACTGGGAGATGTTTGGTGCCATGTTTGAAGAGCTGGAGCGATGTCTTTAAAGCCCGCATCTCAGGCGATGAGTGGAGTGCGTATGATGGAGAGATGGCGGCCGTGTCGGAGCATGGAAACAATCGCACGATGGAGAATTTCTTCCGCGGTGCATGGGCGTACCATATGCATAATCAGGTATGTTACAGCAGAGTCTTCAAACTAATGACACGAGAGAGCTGACGGTGGATAGTGGAATGCTGTGTATGAACAAGGGTCCTGGATAGATGTCATTGCGAGGGGTCATGATAGATTTTTTTCTGGGGCTGGAACGAATGCATATGGGGAGAAGTGGACTGGGAAGTTGCTTTCGCAATATGGAACTGAGAGTTGAGGTACGGGTTCTCTCCAATATACCCGTAAATACGGATTTGAGCTTTAAGACCTAGGTTGCTTTGTAGGATATGTATTACCATGTAATGAAGATTCGAAGTTGTCGGAGTGGAAGGAGGGGTACAATTTAATAATAATATTAGACATACAAAATTACTTCGATTTCCATGTCCACCAAGAGAATATAAAGGCTTTAATTGCGCTTACAGCTGTAGCCATAGTATCCGAATTTGCCAAGCTATCTACCACGTTTCGAGCCTCCACATATCAATTCCAATGCCACCACCAATGCATCGACCTTGAGGCAGCGTAGTGAGGACCCCCTTTAGCAGGTGGTGCAGGTTGCACCGCAGCATTTCCAGCACTTGGTGTATGCAGCACCAGTCTTGCCTTGACTCTTGCAGGTATTCCAGCAAGACTCGACGATAGGACCTGCGGGACAGGTACGGGCTATGGGTTCAAGTAAGCCAAGGAAAACATTAAGCTACCAAAAGATAGATAGTAGGGTATAATTACCCTCGAGGACTGCGGCTGGCTCAGCAACTGGTTCAGCAGCAGGGGCGGCAACAGCAAGTCCAATAACAAGGACGATGGTGGCAGCGGAGATCTTCATTTTGGTGGTTGTTTGTTGGGATTTGGCTTCAAGAACAATGTATATACTGTATTGGTGAATGATGCTCTGAGAATTTAACTGAGACCACTCCTCGAGGGGGGATCATCACTCCTTTATACTTCTCCGCCCCAGGTAATAGAGATCACTGCCAGTTGCAATATTGAAGCCAACGCGGCACGCAGGAAAGGAGGAAACGGCGGCTAAGATCACGGAATGGTTTAGGCTGAAATGATGAAGCCAACCCCTTTGTTGACAATAGAGAAATTGGGATGTAAAGGAGTAAACCTGAGCACAAGATGATAAAGACTGCATGAGATGGCGTCAAAACATATGTGATTCTTGCTGGCTAATATGAATTATGCATGTCTAAGAATGCTTAGGTGCCATCAGTCACTGGCCAATGTTCAGTCAATGTTGAAGATGAAATTAAGCATGAACTAAGAACTTGCGCGGAATCATACTTTACCCCGCGAATGTTTCTGTCAGAGGCCCAATTGTTGTCCCGTGGACCGTCGCCAAATAACGTACATCCCGATTGTTAAAAAGCGATGGCTTACTAGGGGCTTTCAACCCCGCAAAGTCTAATCAACCCCTGAGGCTTAGAGCAACTGACATTTAACCGCCGTGGTATATCGATATCTGGCTTGCCCTCAACTTCTTCATTGCCAACAACTACCCTTTTCATGTTCGAACGAAATTTAGTAATGTATTCCAAGGACAACGTGGTAATTAGCCAGATGGCTAAATACCAAGAACCACCACAGAATTGAGAGATGTGCGTGGAATTTCCCGTCCGCATGTACAACAGAAGGAAACGAGCGAAATCTGAGATAAATATAGTAAAACGGAAGGAAACGTCCAAAGAGCCTTGCAACTAATGAAGAAGGCACTTATCTGCTCAAGGTGTCTCCAAAACGGTAGGCTACGGCACCATTTGCCACCAGAAGGCACTTATATGTGCGATGTCCATGTTTCAACAAGGCAAACTATCACAGAAACCCCTTTATGCCATGGTCGTGGAATCCTCTTGACAACGTGACGTCGTTGAAGTTGTGTGGTTGAAGCGACAGGGACCCCTGACTACAAAGCACGCTAGTCCGGCTGCCAAACCCATGGCAATTCATCTGACTCCTGAGGGCGCAAACAGATAGATTCTCTACCCGTGGATGGATATCTTGTTTTAATCAGAATGAATTGTTGGCCATCTCATGCCATATTGTAAATATTTTAAGCCTCGGGCGCTTTAATTGTTGATGGATTCCATGGATGTCGCACATGCGGATAAAGGGCTGGCCCGAAAGAGGAGACGGAACAGGCCCCCTGTTTCCTGCAACCACTGCCGGATCAGAAAGTAAGAAGGCTCTTGAGAAATTTGAGGAGCTAGATATCTCCTGTCTCCATCCATTTGCATACATCATACGCGATACTAACTGTGTTGTACCAGACTGAAATGCAATCGAGTGCAACCATGCGGGGCTTGCTCCAAATCTGGGGATGCCACCACATGCCACTTTGAGTCCCGCGGCACCAACAGAGACGACCAAATCGTCATGGATAGAACTACGAAAAATGCTTTAACTGCTCGTATTAACAAACTAGAGTCTATTTTACGGTCTGTCATGGGGGAAAAAGACCAAACCCCTCAGTCCGATGACTCGAGTCACGTGGATGATCGGGAATTTGATGGCATTACTGAGTCTTTAGGGGCTATGAAAGTTGATAAGTTGAACAATACCGAGTACCTTGGTTCTTCACACTGGGTATCAATATTGGCTGAGGTTAGCTTCAAACCCCCTGGGCAAGAAACCCATTATATCATTGTCTGGTTGGCTTATTCTTCTATCAGATTGACGAAATCCGCATGTTCTTTGCGTCAAACCACGAAGACTATGAGCGCAATGCCTTAAAATATAAGGAACGTTCATGGGATGCCAAAGGCAGATCGGGTCTACTTCGCGGGACAGGCATCAAAGTTAGCCAAGAAGAGCTCGTTGCTCAATTACCTCCGAGAGCTGTAGTCGACATACTTGTTGATCGTTACTTCAGTGTCTATTCCTGGATAATGCGTATGTTGTCATGGCTGCCTTGTCCGATCGTTTCTGATACTCAACAGCTATAATACACGAACGTACATTTCGTAAAGAGGTGAGCTTCCATTTCTGAGCTCGTTAGCGTTTGATAGCTAAAATGTCTGCATTAGTATAAAGCTTATTGGGATGATCCTACGCAACGGCGAATCGTGTGGCTTGGGCTTATGTTTGCCATGCTGCACCTAGCAGAACTATCTTATGGAGACCCGACTGAAATGCCACCAGTCTTGGCTGATGCTCTTCGCACTCCTTGGGAATTTGGAAAGCGCACAGTCGAATGCCTCCTAGCGGCGGATTATACCAATCCCGTCCATTATACGATTGAAACTCTGATGTTATATATCCAGGTCGAATGGATGACCGCTCAGGATACTGGCATGGAAGGCTATCTAGTACTTGGCGTCACCATCCGTCTGGCCATGCGAATGGGAATACATCGCAACGCAAGCGACCATCGAAGACTCAGTCCGTTCCTAGGAGAAATGCGCAGTCGACTATGGGCCGTCATACTCCGCACCGATCTCCTCTACTCATTCAAGCTATCATTTCCCACCACGATTCGCAGATGCGACTACACCTGCGCGATGCCACGAAATATCTCCGACGACGACTTCGACGATACTACAACAGAGCTCCCACCTTCTGAGGCTTTGGAGGAAGCAACAGAAGCTTCCTACACAATAGTCAAAGGAAGACTCATACTTGTTCTGAGTGATATCATTGAACTCATAGGATCCCGTACTAAAATCCAGCGCGAAGACCTCCAAAAACACGACGAAGCTCTTTTAGAAGCCAGAGAGCTGATACCTCGGTATCTCCGTGTCCAACCATTTACCCCCACGGCCAGCGACACAGCAACTGCGAAGCTACAGCGATCACGCATCGATGTTGACAGCGTGTATCATCTAGGCCGTTGTCTCCTGTACAGGAAATTCGTACCACAAGCCCGTCGTTACCCAGCAGCGATCGAATACCGCGATAACTGCATAGACGCTGCCATGATCTTGCTAAGCCATCAAGCTGCACTAGTCTTGGACCACGGCGCTACCTGCCCGCGGAATGTCCAGAAACGACACTTCCACAGGCTAACGACGCACGATTTCTTTCTTGCTGCGATAATAGTCGCGCTGGACTTATACGCCGAAGTTCAACACGGTGCCAGTGGCCAGATATCAAGTGATGCTTCTCGTTGGGGCTCTAATCGAAAATTCGAGATGGTGGGTGCGCTGGAGACGGCCATTGGGTTCTGGAGGCTCGGGAAGGATGAGTCTGCGGATGCTGCCAAGGCGTATGGAGTGTTCTCATTCGTACTGGATAAGGTAAAGGCAACGCAATGGCCAGTCGCGGAAGGGGGAGACCAAAAGGTTCAACTGAACAATGATGTTGTGCATCATCTGGAGCCGGTCGTCTTGCCGCAGGAGCGGGTCACCGAGACCGTACCAGATGTTACAGGCTTTGAATGGGTAAGATACAGCGCCATCTTCCTCATCTCGAGGTTGGAAACTAGATTACTGACATTATTTTCTTCAGGGTATGTGGAATGGTAATTGGAACGCCGTCGACGATTACTCGACGCTCCTCCAATGGCCACCAGTAAGCACTTTCGACAACAATGCAGTACTCCAATAAGGAGCTACTAGTTTCCACGATCCCCTGCACAATCTGGGATATGAATTTTTGACCACTGAGAAAGCATCCCAAGCGAAGCACCGGCACAAACGCGGATCCTACGACAGAAAAATGAGGCGTTCCTGGATTCTAGCATGGATCACACGGCAAGGGGGAGTGACTGGCGTCGCCTCGCCTTGCAGCGCAGATTCAGGCACAAGCGAGGGAGGCCGGATAGTGGCATCCGCATACCAACCGCCGCCGATACCAACGCCGACGTCCTCCGAAGGATTCGGTCAGTGAGCACGTCCACCACGAGGTTTCTAGAGATCACAGGATCTTGCCCGACTGTTTCGGACCCTGAAGGCTGGGATATTTCCCGAATGATGGGCTAGGTGAGACATCGCTATCTTAGCATGACCTCTATTTAAAGACATGGATTGATCTAGAGCTTTCTATATAGCGGCTAGAAATGATGGCTGGGGGGGCTTCTCCAATATAATGCACCCCGAAGTTTATTACGGCCCAGTGCTTCCATGGTTTAGTGTCATTTTATATATCTAGGGCACGAGTGCTGCAAATTTTATAGATGTCAGAAGGTCATGAATGATGTTTCAGACCCTGATGGCTGGGAGTTTTGTGAATGATGGGGAGGTAAGACATGGATGTCTCACTGTGATCTCGATTTTGAAGATGAGTTTCAAGAAATTACATATTCTAGAATAGAGATGGCTGGGGTGTTTACTTTAATTCACTGTTCTGCGAGTTTGACTGCAGTATGATGATCTAATGACCAAATGCCTCATGCATCAGAATTATGCATCAGAGCACAAGACGCTTCCACCGAGCTCATTATCAGGCATGGCAGCAGGACTCAGGTGTAGTTCGCATAGTCATTCATAGCTAATATACACGATTACGAGTCAAGCAAACAGCCCAAACCTAATCATCCTCGAAGTCAGATCACCCCTCCCTTAGATACCTCCCTCCTGCCCCTTTCCCCGCTCCCTCTCCTGACATCCTGCCACCCCTCCTCCCTTCCGGCCCCGCTACCCCTTGTGGTGTTTAGCTTTTCCGCGGGCTACTAAAAGGTGGAGTGAAGTTGGCCAATACGGAAAGGACAGAAGTAGGCACGCAACATTGTTATTTTTTTGGGGGGTCGCTAAGTCTAATTACTTTGGCGCTGCTGCGCGGAGTTTGTAAAGTTTCTGACATGATAAAGGCGGGTATCTACAGAATGCGGGGTGAAGCGGAGTGATTAAGGTGTGGCTTGTCAGCTATTTTAGTACTATTATCCTTTTCTCCCGGTGCTATTTTTTTCTCCGTCTCAGGAATCGATAAAACTCATCTGAGAAATATCCATATTATATCTGGGATAATATAATAATGCCTCACCACATGAAGAATAATTCGATACAAAACCAATACCCGATTCCCCGCGCCTATTTCCGAACCTGATACTCTCCAGCGGCATCTAGAATATAAAAATAACAGCCTGAATATTCCTCGAAACAGACCAAGTTTCATGACTTCTCACACACGTCGTTCATGGCATTGCCCCGTGTCCGCCTTGGCGACACCGGCAGTTATATATATATCATGTGACCATGTATATTATTCTCTAATTCATTGCATCTCTCATCGATAATAGAAGAAATTCCAGAAGACACAAATCCTCCTTTAAAACGTACCTCAAAAACAATTATCATAATATAACCCAACACGTGATATAAAAACCACCCTCATCACGTGATAACTATCAAGAGATTTTCTCAAAACCCCAAAACCAACGACGACGACTCCCCAGCCCACCACCAACGGCGGCGGCGGTCAGACCCAAAAGCAGCAGAAATGAAGCGCAAACTCTTTTCCTTGGGATGAAAACTCTTCACCTCCCCCAACCTCCCCCCCCACTCACTCCCCTCCCCGTTACGATCCGCGCCGTTTAGCAACATGGCACCGGTAGAAGAAACGACACCTCAGCTCTCAGCTCTCACCCCAATTGAGCGGTGAACGCGTGCAAACCCACGTGCGAGGGTCCGTAAAGCGACTGGTGCCCCGGCCCTCCCCTCGGCAACACGTCTTCTTCGCGTCTTCCAGCGCAGTGTTATTGTGTAAGCCGGAAGAAAACTCTGCTGGGTAAGGGAAAAAAATCGTATTAGGCAAGCGCTCCTCGACCCATCTGGTCTTGGTAGCTGGCCTTGATGGGCCTTACGGCTGAGAAAGGGAAAGAGGTGTGGATGAAGCAACCTCGATAGTGCAGATGCAGGCTGAGATTAACATAGCGGTGAGCGCACGCTAACGGGGATGTTGGTGGGTGGTGTACAGCGGGAGGTAGGGCGGGAGGGCATGGCATCGCATCGCATTGGCCCACAGCGGGGCCGGGCTCTGGTGGTGGGGAGAGCTGGTGTGGGTTCTGTTTATGCCTTGTGTGGAGTGATGGGATTTGATGGGGGTTGTTTACTATGGGATTGCAGGAGCGGTCTGGAAAAGTTATTTGAGAAATGGAAGGATTGAAGAGATTTTTTGATAGTGGTGGGTACGATTGTTGGATGTTTGAATATTGATACCAGATGGTGTGGCCGTTAAACTCTCTCTTCCAATGCGATGCTCACGGTCGCGAAGAAATTGAAGATGAAGAAATCCAAACGGCCACGATGTCTCACCGCCGCCGCCCTCCCCATCATGAATGACCCAGCACCCCATCCTCCTTGCGTGCTGCCATCATCCATCCGGCTTCAATCCCCAATCGAGTAATTCAAACCCCCAACCACCAGACACACAGGCCGCCCAAGTCACGCCTCAAGAACCACCTGCGAACGCCTCCTCTGAGGCGCTGTCTCGGGTTTGCATGCCCGGCGTAACGGCGACGTTGTAGGTCTGGAACAGGAGCAAGGTTTCTTACTGAGTGATTGATTACCCCGGACTCACCTTGCTGTGGTAGACTGATGCACCGTACCTGTCTGTTTGTTATTGTTGTGGTTGCTGTGGTTGTGGTGGTGTTGCCAGTGGTGGAGATGGTGGTCGTCGTGGTGGTCATGGCCGCTCGCCAGCCATCCCTCGAGACACCACCATCCACGTAGCGGGATATGACCTGTCAGAGTCCACCAGCGCGTGTCACGACACCACGACAGGACCCCTTCCAAACCCCCTCCCCCGCACTGGCAAACATGGTGCTTCCACCAGCCACTCCCTCTCTTCCTCTCCCTCCTCTCTCTCTCACATCACTTGCCGGCAGAGTTGACAGAGAGAGATGGCTGGCAGTCTAGCCAAACACACGACGCCGCCCGACGTTGGCAAACACACCACACACTGCATGTCAGGTACCCAAACAGCATGATCGCTGTCTTATCCTCCCTCCACGTATCTCCCCTCTCCATACCTGCAGCTCTTAGCTTCTAACTAACCCCCCTTCCATTGGCTCCCCAATCCCCCCATTGCATGCCCCATCCCCATCCATCCACATATGCTGCACCTACAAGCTGGGTGGTTGGTAAAAACGACATCCATCCAGCAGCAGCAGCCAGGCGGGTCTGCAGTTTTGCTGCGTTGTGCGACGCTTGAAGTGGGAAGGGTGGGAATGGAAATGGGAGGATGGATGGAAATTTTCCCCATTGAGGAGGGGAGGGATGGGGATAGTGGGTTTGCTTTGGCTGGGAAGGGCGGTTGGGCACGTGTACATGAACTTTACCTTATCTACCTCACCTTGCTGCACAGTTACAGTACAGTACAATACGTGGACGGCGGCAGCCAAGTAAGTAAGTCCCCAGCCCCTTGAATCCTCCTGGCCTTCCTGGCGCTTGACCAAGCGGCAGAGAAGGCCTCATCAGGGCCTCGTCAGGGCCTCAAGGCCTCGTCAGTCAAAACGGCTGGAACGGCAGATGAGATTTGAAATCAACACCCACGGCCTCGAAACTGTCTCAAGAGAGCCAAGTTGGGTGTATGTAGCCTCTACACTTGGGGAAGTAGTACAGTACAGTACCGTCCCTTCCTCCATGCTAAGGAAACCGGGGAAGACGGAGAGAAACAGCCAGACTCAGTCAGTGCCGCACTGGCGGGCTTCGACGAGTGGTTGGCTTTACCAGCACGCCGTCGTCCGTCCGTCGTCGGGATCAGCGAAGGGGGCGCGGGTGAATCGGCTAACAGGGAAAGGAGGGAGGAGGAGTAATTCCGCTGTAGACTTGCCTACTACTACCAGACGAACGGAAGCAACAAGTTACTATACTCCGTAAAGCGGCAAAAGGACGACGACGCCAATTCTGTTGAGCATGAAACCCCAAACAAGCAGGCTGGCTCATCCTCCTCCTCACCCGCGCCCCAAGGGACTCGTCGCTTGGCCGGAGGTGGTGTACGGCGCGGGGAAGTTATTGGTTCGTCGCGTGTGCTGGGCTGAAGGTTATTTGGACTCTTGGAGACGAGGGGGGGACTAAGGCCGTCTTAACCAGTCTTGATCACTCCTAAACTACTACTAACTTACTTCGAACATTGTGAATGGGTGCTAACACTGCTAAGCACTACATAAGTATGAAGCAGCACACTTCGCCTCTGAGCAGGTTTTGGTCCCTCCGTCGTCGATCCCGCGATACACGATACGGCGATAGAGTTTGGTTGGAGCTTCTTCTCCGTCCCGTCTCGTCTGGAGATAGATAACGGGTTGTGGTTATCAAGGTTCACGTTTGAGAAAGATCTAGCCGAGGAAGGGGGGAGGGATGGGATAAGGCGTGGAGGGGTAGATAGATGGGCGGATATAGAAACATCGGACCAGTTTAAGTCGTGATTGCTTGATGCTTAATGCCGAGTACTCTATCTGATGTGTTTGATCGTAGCAAAGGAGGTGGACTCATGAAACGGTTCCCTCCTGGGCAAGGAAGGTAAAAGTCCCTGGATAAGGTATCGTGGTACATCACTTCCTCACCCAACTCCGCGGGGGGGACAAGTACCTCGCACTCTCCCCCCTCAATGCCTTGAGAGCGCCTGCTTATCGGTGAAACAACGACAACAACGACGTAGCACGGGATTCGCGGCCCCCTACACAACGATAGCCCAGTCCGTCGTAGCACGAGTAATAGCGTTGCACTTACCACTTCCCTTAACTCGACGGCTCGAAGACACCTTTGTACGGTACGGCCAGTCGGGGCAGAGGGGGAAGATGGAAGATGGCGTAGTGAGACAATTTAGCCGTCGTGATGATGGCACAAGATCACCCCTTTTGAGGGTAAGTAACTGACTATTGACTCGCCTCTCCAAAAGCCACCCAGTTATCGGACCTGCCGTCCAGAGAGGCGCCGCGGGGATCAGCCACCGATGTAAGGACGAATGCCCGCCGCTGTACTTGCCATGCTATGCTGCAACGCTTGCTGCGACGCTTGGTGCTATAATTGAGCATGTGGTCTACTAACTGCTGAATTTAAGATTGTGACAAACGCCCAACGGCGGTCGACTGGGGGGAAGATCGCTGGGGATGGGATGGTCAATGGGGGTGGTTGGTGGGTGGTGGTTGGTTAGAAGTACGTACAGCAGTACAGTTAGAGAGAGAGTACACGGTCGTCTGGGTGGTCAATGGGGGAAGAGAGGCGTTTTGGCGCTGAGATGAACAGCCTGGCCTTGTGCTATTTCCGTGATTGATGATGTGATGACCTATGGGACTGCGCCGAGGTACTTGCTTGCGTTGCTTTCCCCATATTCTAGATGCGATACCCTTCTACCCGCGAATCTTTGAATGGGGGAGGCGATTCAGGCGATGTTTGGTAAGGAGGTATACGAGTACAGTACTCCGTCGTCCGTACAGTTCACAGTTGCGAGAACGGAGGTTCACAGGAAACGAATGGTTGGGTGATGACTCGCGCTCCTGATCTAGACGCGCTGGGCGGCCGGCTATCCGCCTCGTGTGGTTACGCAGCATTCGTCATCTAATTTTGGAATAACGGGGTGAGGTGAGGTGAGATACTGTATGAGGCCAGGTAAGGGTGAATACAACATCGCCATCGCCATCGCCATCGATATTCGTAATACTCCCGCTCGCTCGTTCGGAGAGCAGAAAGACCCCGAAGATTCCATTTGCCGAGAGACTAGAGATATTGCTAATTGTAACTGACTGATGGGGGTATACTTGTCACGGTTCTATCGTTTGTTGGGAGAGACCCTTCGAGTGTCTTCGATTTTTTGTCTTTGATTAGTCGAAGTGGTGTGGTATGGGCGGCGTGGACGGGTGGTGTATGCGCATGATGCCTCTTTGCCTCTCCTGCCACTCCTTGGTCGTTGCTTGGGCGTTGTATTGCCAAGGCGTGTGGGATGGATTTACGGTATGGGCGGTCGGTGGTGGTGGTGTTTGGTGTGGATGCCCAGAGGCAGGAAGGCTGCATAAGATTGCTTCACAAATCCAGCCAACCAGGTGTCTGCCGCTAGGAGTAATCGGGATATGTACCCTTCTCCAAGCCGTCAGTGCAGATTTATGTGTAGAAAGTGGTGGAAGAGTACATACAACAGGAAACTGTGAAAGCGGCAACAGGTCGTTGTCTCACGTTGCTGAGCTAAGGTGGTCGATCGGGGTTCATCGATTGGTCTCCAGACGAGGATGGGGGGACGTGCATTAAGCCAAATGCGTCATGGTACACTTGCTGCCTCGACAACTGGGAGTGCGTGGATGCACGTACATTAGAGTACAGTAGAGTAGATTAGAGTACAGTAGCTTAGTAGTAGTTTGTGTTGTGCTGGACACGGTCAGGACCAACCGTTTGGGGTGCGGAGATACATACACTTCGAAGTGTACACCTGTAATCAATCTCAGGCAGATCTCAGGCAATCTCAGGTAAATCCCATGCAACCTCAGGCATTCGCAGGTGTAAACATCGTATGGAGTGTGTATGGGTTGCTGCAGGAGTAAGTAAACAAGCAAGGGATTGAATGGAGGGGAGAGTCTCTGATGATGAAGAATGGGCTCAGAGTGACGAATTGGCACATGAAGAATGCATGTTCGGCATCATCGAAGGGTGGTTGCAATCTACTATAGGAATTGATGCCGATTGTGTTGCTGTACTGTATTTCCCCTATTCTTCTTTTTCCCTCTTCCCCTCATGTTTGTACTGTACAGTAGTAAATATACAGTAGTAAACAGTACCACTCGGAGATGAGGTCGACGTGAGTCTTGGTCGTCTGGGTCGTCTTGGTCGTCTTGGTCTGGTGTGGTTCAAGTCTCGGCCTCGCCCTTGGTCTCGTGTCCATAAACCCCGACCGTCCACCTTCATACTCCCACGGTTGGTATGGTTACGGCCTCCTCAATCAACACGGGCGGGGCATGTACTCCCTACAGTAACTTTGACTGGCGGGTACCGCACCCCAAAATGGAAGATTGGCGGTTGCTCCAGCACCTTCTACACCTTTTGCCAGCGTGCCACCCTCCGACCGCGCTAGTGCTCAGCCTGCGTTAGCGCTTCTTTGACCGCCAGCAATTCCCAGCATTGCCCACCCTTTCCACACCCATTCCCACCTTTTTGTACCGTTCCCCCATGTATTCTTGCCTCAGGCATCCACTACCTCGCAATCCGCGGCGTCAAGTCAAGTACACCCTGATATCCCCGTCCATGACTGACCCCATTTCCTCTCCATCCGACTATCCTCCTCTTGCTTTCTTCCTTCTCTCATCACATCCACAACTTCATTTCATCTTCCATATAGGACTGGACGCAGCTCGATTTCGTGCACGCAGTTGCTCATCCATCCTCCTCTTTCTCCTCTTCTCTTCACACCCCAATCTCACTCTCGACCCTTCGACTCATCCCCCCAATCGCCACCTAGAACCTCGACCCCCCCAATCAACCACTTGTTGAGACAAACCACCAACGAGGAATCAACAACACCAACAACAAACATCATCCTCGACATTCTTTGTGTCACCAACAATCGAAACTCTTTCAATCACTGCTCGAAAATTCAAAGCCGCAACTGTTCAGCATAAATCCCGGTTTTGCTTCGTCTTGCTCCGAGGCTCCACGCGTACTCCACCATCAAGGTTGTCGAACAAGTTCGTGAACACGGCGGCCGAAGAGTCACATCTTCGACTACCTGTTCTAACAATCAACTTCGTCAGCTGATGACTGCCGCTCTGCTATCAGCCTCCTTATAAAAGCCTGCTGGCTCATTCTCCCAACGATCTCGTCGACTGCACCATCGATCGAGTCATACCTCCCCAACTCGTCAGCTCAGTGCTACCTTCCCTCATCCTCACCATCTACCGGCCACCTATTCACGGGTGCCTTCGATTCTTCCAGGACAACCAACGTCTCCGTTGATTGACCTACTCCAGTTCGCCACTACTTCCTTTGTTGGATTCGACATCCTCCAGCAAGCCAAACACAACTCTTTTTTCGAGACTTCCATCACTCGTCGAACCTCGTTCGCACTTTATCCGATTTCTCATGTCATTATAACGATATATATTATTTTTTTCCTTTCCGGACACTCGTCCACCTGTCGACCTTCCCCGTTTACGATCAATCGATCACTTCTCTTTTGTTACCAGCAATTCGATACCACCCAATGAGCCACTGACACTATACGATACGGAGTTTCAACTTTTTTTCCTCTCTTCAATACTATACGGAGCATTATTATCTCAAGCAACACTATCAATCACTCTCAGCACCATCCTTTGCATCACCACGTCTTGTCCACCATACATTCAGCATAAGACTGCCATCCACCACCTTGTTTCAACAGACAAAAGCATTCGACTTCATATTGCCGTCCTTAGGCTAATACGTTAAGAATCGTTTGGTGTATACTACAATCTATCACCCTCTCTCAATTAATCGACACCATCCTCAACCCCTTTTTCTCATACCTCGACGGCTACCACCTTCAAAATGGACTGCTTAAGAGATAACTTCTACGATGGCTTGGTTCTCGACGGCCGGTTCCAGACCGTCTCGCCTTTGAACCATGGCTCCTTTGGCATGGTTTTCCTGGCGAACGACCTGCTCACCGGCGAGAACGTTGCCATCAAGTGCCTCACCAAGAAGTCTGCCGCCCAAGACGTTCAGTCCAGCTTTGCCATCGATGAGAAGTCTGAGGAACTCGCTTGCCACAACATTCTCGGCGATCACAAGAACACTGTCAATCTCATTCACTCTTTCGAGACGGACAACCACGTCTACCTCGTCCTAGAGTTCTGCTCCAATGGCGATTTGTACGAAGCTATTCGCACTGGTTGCGGCCCACTAGAAACTGAGCACGTTCGGGATTTCATGATCCAGTTAATCGATGCGGTCGAATACATCCACTCCAAGGGGATGTACCACCGTGACATCAAACCCGAGAACATCTTTCTCATGAAGGATGGCAGCATGAAGCTTGGCGACTTTGGGCTGGCAACCAAGGACACCTGGTCATACGAGACTACTGTTGGTAGTGACCGCTACATGGCCCCAGAACAATATGACTCAGCTGGCGCTGGATATTCGCCAGCTCAGGCTGATATTTGGGCCATCGGCATCATTTTGCTTAACATTTTGTTTTCTCGCAACCCCTTTACGACACCAACTGAAGCCGACCCACTTTTCCTCGACTTCTCCCGGGATAACCAGGCGCTCTTCGATGTCTTCGCAGACATGTCCCAGGACACCTTCGAGGTCATTCTTAACTGCATGAGCTTGGACCCCAAGAAGCGTTCCCTCCAAGGCGCTCGTGATGCCATCGACCGTGTCGTCAGCTTCACCGTCTCGGACGAGCTCGAGGATGACTACCACACCATCTCTCGCAAGCCCATTGCCAGTGCCAACCGCGAGCCTCTCCGCACACCAACCATCAAGACGCCCCAGATCGAACTCTCCAGCGCCTTCCCGTGGGCCAAGGCCTTGCACGCCAGCCCACCTCAGCCAATCCGCCAATTGTCCATCATCCCGGACACCGAGAGCTACACCGAGGACTTGTTCCCCAAGTCCGAGGAGAGCGCCAAGGATTGGTTTTCAATTGGTGCTCAGACATCTTCGATGGCATCTGCTATGAACTCGTCTGTTGGCGGCTCTGTCTTCTCGTTGGCTAACAGCCGTCCCATGATGAAGAGGTTCCCTTACTTGGCACCCATCTCCGGCTCTCTGCCAATCAACGTTACGAAGCAGAAGGCTATGTCTTCTGTCTTTGGCAAGAAGGAGATGGTTTCCAAGAGCTGGAGCGACATGTACGATGAGGAGTTTGAAGAGGAAGAGCAGGATCATCAATTCAGCAGACAGGCCCAGAACGCTCGCACCTTCAGCCACGACGAGATCAAGCTCGAAGAGGATGAGACTGCTGCTCAGTTCAGCGATGACGAGGAGGAGCTTGTGCTTTCAACCAAGAGCTCTTCAGATATAAATATCAAACCAACTGTCAACGAAGTCGAGTCCGACCAGGAGAACATCAGCGATATCGATGGCGACAACGTCAACGATGGATTCTTCTTCCAGAATTCATCCCCCGCCAAAAATTCAGCGGAGCTGTACTCTCCACCATGCAAGCGCAAGTCGAACCCCATGGACAAATGGGCCGCACTTGGTGCTCGTCGCCGAGCATACACTGGACACAGCGCGGATAAGAGCCCGGAGATTTGGCGCGGCAAGCGATCTGTAGGAATGGCATCATCAGCAACAACTGCGAGCTCCGGATTTGGGGCTCTTGGCGTTTTGGATTACAAGCCGGCGGCGACCGGCAATGCGCACAAGGCAAAGGATGCATCCTGGCTACGCAAGGATACTCATCACCACACACCAATCTTTTCGCGAACGACGGCAGTATATCATAACCGCACACCTGCTAGGGAGCAGGAGAATGTAGATTATACTGCCAAGGAGGTTTATCGCAAGGATAACCTCGGAGACCTTGAGTGGGTTGGGGGCTGGGGCGACAGTGTCGCCGGCCTCCAATTGTAGTTTGGCTCTCTCTACCTTCCGAACGACGACCCTTTTTTTAATATTATTCATTCTTATACGTTTCAAACATACATACAACAACACACACACACAACCTTAAACCCCCCAACGACGGACGTCAACAAATATTTCAAAACCCCAAAAAAATCTCACTTATCTCCGCTCTTTGAAAACGCCACCAAACAACCCCAAAAATCGAAACACCCAAAAACCACACTCCAAAAAAAACACTGTTTTCAGAGACCTGGTCTTTCTTGAGATTTTTTAGTTTTAACACCACTTTTATTGACGACACGTTTGCGCGCGGGGGATTAGGGGGAGGACACACAAATATGGATGGATGGAAAGTGTAAATAGGAATGGGAAGATTGAATAAAGGGGGCAATAGGCAAATTTGGGAAGGGAAAGGAATGGCGCCGTCGATGGACTTGATGTCTGGGCCATTTGGGACTTAGCTTAAACTCGCGATTCTGTGTATAGATTCCCTCTTGCGTTGAGGCTGTCGTAGAGAGCCTTGGGGTGGGGGGAGACGTGGAAATACCAGAAATTACCCGCTTATATCATTCTTCTTATTTATGTGATGTGATTGTGATTGTATGTGTTCTTATGATTATGATTATGTTGTGTATGTATGTGTATGTGAATGATGTATGTGATTATATGTCCATGTTCCATTCCCATCCGTACTCCATCCTCCATCACCATCCTCTATCACCATCCTATCACCACCTTATATCATTACCCACATCCCCTCTTAATTCCCATTATAACCTCCCAACCACCCAAACATCTTATCCACCTCCTCCACCCCCCTCACCTCCCCCCGTTCAACCATCCCCATCACCCCCTCATTAACCCCAACCCCCACCCCCAACTCCCCTCCCCTCCTAACAATCCACCCATTAATATACCGCACCTCCGTCCCCCGTCCTGCTTCGACATCTTGTAACATCGAACTCCGATTTCCCTTCGTCGCCTCACACACCCGCTCTACGATCGTCCCTAGTCTTGCGGTGCTGAAACGCTCTATCATCGCTTCGGAGAGGGGAGAGTCGGGGTGCAGCGTGCGGAGGTGCGAGAGTATCACCGCACTCGTCTCCTCCACCATTGCCTTCCGCAGCGGTGCTAGAGAAGGATTGAGAATCTCGCCGTTGGGGGTGCGGAGGATGGCTGTGAGAGGGTTTATGACTGCGTTGGCGACGAGTTTCTCGAGGGTGACGTGGAGTAGTTCATCTGCTCCTACTTCGGTCCCAGCAAGTGGCGCAGAGGAGAGAATGATATCAACCAACCACCTCGCCTCGCCGTTGAGTTCGGTGGTCCGCGAGACGGGCCCAATTTTTAGATCCGCGACCCCCGCGTGCGTGGCGCTGAACTGACCGGTCGAGAAAACACCGTGTGTTACTATTGCTGAGAGGTATGTTGGTTGTCCACCCGCGGGGAAGAAAGCAGATACTTCCTCCACAGCACCAATCCCATTCTGCGTAAACAAAATCGTCGAACTAGCAGACAGCCGCGGGAGCAGAGGCCTGATCGCCGCAGCGGTGGAAGGCGATTTCGTAGTCAGGATTAAGTGCGTTATTGCCGGCCCGTGGGGTGTGATGAGGCAGAGTTCCAGAGGGGGGGAGGGGATGGGTGTGCCGTGCCGGGTTAGGACGAGGGTGATGGGGGAGGAGGGGGGGAGGGAGGGGCGGTGGGTTAGGAGTGTGATGGGGGGGGGTGGGGGAGGAGGGAGAGGGAGTGTGCGAAGAGTTTGGCGAGGTTGCCGAGGCCGAGGATGTGGATGTGGGAGGGTGGTGAGGGGGAGGGAGAGGGGGGCATTGCTTGGTTTGGTTTTGCTGGTGTGGTGGTGGTGGTGGTTGTGGAGGGGGGGTTGGAGGTTGAGGAACTGAGGCGGTGGTGGGGTGGTGATCTGGAGCTCTGGCGTGGTGAAGAGGGGAACTGAGATGCGAGTGGCCGGGCGTGAGTTACCGATGACCAGGTAAGGCGGGATAGAGCCCGTAATCCGGAAACGCCCCGTGGGGGAGCCATGCACAATCCGTTTTCCCTTAAACGCAGATATGACCTTAGTTGTGAATCGAGATGCACCTCCCACGTTATCAACGAGTCAAGTCAACCACGCGGCCGCACTCGCTAGCTCCAGGTACCCCACGTTTGCGCAGGGGCCCACATAGCTTAATTTCGATCTTTCCGTGATAAGGGATTGAGATAAGGATGGTCCTGAAGTCTGACGACATCACGCGAAATATCGATTTTTGGTTGATGAACCTAATGCATTCATGGCGGATAGTAGTGTTAGATGTGTTGGAAATGGGGAGGTGAAGACGCAGATGATTGAGGATGAGATTGCCGAGCTGAAGCGGAAACTGGAAGATGCGGAGGAGAGGTTGAGCGCTGTCACGGACGCAACTTCTCGCGGTGTCCCATCCCAACCCAGCGTCTTCAACAATGGTATCCCCCCCTCCCCCCTCCCACACATCCAGGAAAAGCAAACTAACAGCCCCCACAGTCTACAACCCCCCAACCTCCTCCCACTTCCTCCTCCTCCTCGCCGACTCCGCCCTCCCCCTCGGCTCCTTCGCCTTCAGCTCTGGCCTCGAATCCTACATCTCCCACACCCGGCCTCCCTCCTTCCCCACCTTCCTCTCCCTCTCTCTCTCCTCCCACGCCTCGGCAACCCTCCCCTTCGTCCTAGCAGGCCACCGACACCCAGAGCGACTCTTGGAGCTCGACGACGCGCTGGATGCCGCGATTATGTGTACCGTTGGCCGACGCGCGAGTGTAGCGCAGGGGAGGGCACTGTTGAGTATTTGGGATCGCGCGTTTAGCGGTGCGGTTCCTCTGTCCACTGATGCGGAAGAGGGGACCTTGAAAGTCCTCAAGAATTTCTCAGCCCTCCTCAAGTCCGCAAACGCAAGCACAGATGACCTCCCCCCCGCCTCCGCACACCTCGCCCCCCTCTTCGGCGTCATCGCGCGGATCACGGGCGTAGGGGAGGAGGAGATGGCATATGTATACATGCTCTCGCACGTTAAAGCGCTGTTGTCTGCGGCGGTGAGGGCGAGTGTGTTTGGGCCGTACCAGGCGCAGAAGTTGTTGGCGAGCCGGGAGGTGCAGAGGGGGATTGAGGGGGTGATTAGGGGGAATTGGGGGAGGAGGGTGGAGGATGCGGGGCAGACGGTGCCGGTGGTGGATTTGTGGATTGGGAGGCATGAGTTGTTGTATTCGAGGATTTTTAATAGTTAGGTGGGGATGGGGAAGGTTGTAGTATTAGAGGGGGATGCTGGGAATTCAGATTGTTATAGAGGGTGTGTATCCTTTGAGAGATTACAAGGCTGCATAAATTGAGGATGGTATCCATCGATGTTACTCTACTACAGAGAGTTCTATGTTGTTCTAATGTTGGGTGGTGCCCTATGGTATGGAGGCTTCCTGCATGTCCCCGTTCGTTCACCACAGTCTCAACTAATGAATTCAAGCCGCAATATTTAACGGTCCTCCAAAGCAAGACTTCACACGGAGGTAGTACCACACGATTGCTTCATACATTCAATAGTGTCACACAAAATTGCAGCCTGATATAAGGCTGGCCCCCACAGCTGCAAGTCCAACAACATCAAACCTGCATCCCCTCATTGGTCTGTGGAGGCCGCATCTGAGGCCTGGATCCGGATAACGACATCAGTCTGTGTTGGACATCAATATCGTCAACGTCAACAACATTCCCGTTTCCATCACAAGAGAAAGACAAAGCAGTTTTGAGCATAACAGTGACAATATGGCGACAACTTTTGAAATCTTCCAATATGCCGCTACTACCATGGGTACCATGGGATTCACCGCCCTGACCCAAGTATTCCGATTCAGCGTCACAGAAGTGCCAGCCGTGGTCCTCGAATGGATCGCCGCCCACCCCGGCCAAACCGCCTTACTCGTTGCACCGGGAGTTTTGATCTTCACTCCCGGTGCTCTTACTGGTACGCTCCTAGCGTCTATGGGTTTCGGCGCCGCCGGTCCTGTTGCTGGTGAGTTCATTCAGGGTTGTCGTTCATAGAAAGTCGTATTAATATCACGTCAGGCTCCGTTGCGGCTGCACTTCAGTCTATGTTGGGGAATGTTGGGGCAGGAAGCGTCTTTGCGTATTTGCAGAGTGCGGCGATGGGGGGGTATGGGGCTGTTGTTGTTAATGGGGCGATGCAGGCTTGTGGGGTTATTTCGGGGTGGTTTGTCTCGAAGCTCTAGGTTTGGTGGGCGTCGGTAGGACGGGGTATATTGGGAAATAATCAATGGACATCTTCTGTACTTGAGCTACCGGGATGGACTTCTTTCCAATATGCTGCGCTATTATAGTTGCTGATAAGCGTGGTATCAACGTTGATATTTAAGGGCCCTCTAAAGCATGAGTTCTCGCAGAGGCAGTACAGTCAAGAGTGCCGCACAAAAACGCAGCCTGATATAAGGCTGGCCCCCACAGCTGCAAGTCCAACAACATCAAGATCCTGCATACCCTCATTGGTCCATAAAGCTCAAGCCTAAGCTCAGGTAGAGATAACACCAGCTATCTCCGTCAGGCATCGGTAACGTAGATAACATATCCATTTCAACTACAAGAGCAAGCCGATTTCGAGAATACCTATATCAATATGATGACCCTAGAAGAGATCCTACGGATCATCAGAGATTTTTTTCAGGGCGTAGTGCTCCAATTCAACATCAGTGATGTGCCACCCTTTATCTTCGACTGGATGAGGGCCCACCCTGGACAAACTGTCTTCTACGTCGTCAATGGTGTCCTGGTCTTTACGCCCGCTTTTCTTACGGGACCGGTCCTCGCATCGATGGGCTGGGGGGCTTCAGGTCCTACTGCTGGTGAGTTATCAACAGTTGTGGTTTGCAGAGGGATGGAGACTTGACCTTTATACTCATTGTTTAAATCGCTTTAGGCTCGGTCGCGGCTTGGATTCACTCAAAGATAGGAATTGTCGGAGCTCGTACCGCATTTGCGTATTTGCAGAGCGCTGGGATGGGAGGATATGGGACTGCTGCTGTTAATGGGATGGCGCAGGTCTTTGGGGTGGTTTCGGGGGGTGCCGCCTCAGTGTACTCCTACTTCAACTCTACTGGCAGTCCGGAGTAGACGAGAAAACAATTAATAAAACTTCTTCACTATTATCTAGACTCCATGATGATCTGTCGGGCGGTCGTAGTTCGGGCATCTTCTGTCCTTGAGTTATCTAGATGGACTTCTTGCCAAGATGCAGCGCTATAATAGTTGCTGATAAACGTGGTATCAACGTTGATATGGTCTTCTATTTCCCATTTCTAAGATTGTCAACTAGGTAGTTAAACATATGTACTCCTTTCCCACTCGCCGCGGCCATGGGCTTGGCTGGCTCCCCTTGATTCGTCATCATTATCATATGCATTAGTTGAGGAGCAAAATCACCTCGCAGAGTCCATCGTCTACTCTCATTACATCCAACCCAACCTTCCCAGTGCGCCTAACCTGCAACTCCGTAATTCCGATCATCTGCGAGCCGGTAACTCATGTACTGGGTTTGCATTAGATAGCTCAGCGGCATTATAGGTTGTCATCATTTCGTAATGTGCCTCATCGGGCTTCGTCTCGTACTCGTACTTTAGTTGAAGTCCCAAGTAGGGCGCCTTTTGCCTTCGGCGTCGTAGTAAAATGATTGCTATGGCCGCGGCAACCGCTATTAAAACTGCCCCACCAACTCCAACTCCAACGCCAATTGGGAGTGCGGAGCTTTTGCTTCCTTGATCCTGCAAAGCATTTGTTGGCGTGCTGCTTCCTTGGTCCTGCGAAGCATTTGTAGGAGTGCTAGTTTCCTGGTCTTGCGATGTATTTGTAGGCGTGACGGATTTTGGCTCAGTGGTTGTTGCCGTTGAATCTTCAGATGTTGAGGTCGACGAAGGGGCATGGGTGCTGGATTTCGATGAGAGCGTATGAGTGTTAGAAGTCGACGAAGAGGTATGAATGCTTGAGGCCGTGCTCTTTGTGTACGTTGCGCTGGGATCTATTGTAGTAACAATAGAGCCAGCTCGGGCGGTGACAACCTGGTTAGGGTCGGTACAGTCGCATCCAGAGTACCCAAAGCAGCAATATGCATTTGGGCCAGCTTCTGGGCAACTTTTGACGCCATTTCCAGGAACTATTTTACAATTAGCATTTGTCGACTACAACATCTATGGAGGACTATGATAACTGAAATATAGATGTGCTTACCATTAAAGCATCCTGAGAAGCACTTGGGGTCTTGAAATGTTGGATCAGAGCAAGCATTCCAGAAAAATGGGGTTACATAGAAATCCTTAGGATGCTTGGCTTTCGTGGCTGCACTAGGAGAGCAAAGTCCATTGCTGAAGCAGATATCGCCTGCGTAGCAACAGGAGCTGACTTCGGCATCCGGTTCACATGGGAAGAACACTTCGCTCTGGAGGCCTGTCACATCATAGCATATCGTAGATTGCGCAAATGGGACTTGGGACAACAGGCACAAGAGAAGGACGACGGCGCGAAGAGAAACCGGTGCAGACAGAGGTGAACTAGCCGAACTCATCTCGGAATGGCGAGAATTGTTGTTCAATTAATTGTGGAGTGAAGGATATGTAGAGCATTTTAAGGAGGGGAGAGCAGTTTCCTTGAGAGGAGCTGAATCTGTACCTGAGGAGGGTTTGATCCTTCGGCGCTTACGACCAGCCAATCCCCATTGAACACTAATTTCGCAGATAGGTGTCTCAGATTGCGGTTCGAAGAAGTGCTTATGTGCCAATATGGGTTTTCACCTACAGCGAGGCTGGCCTGGAGGATCCGTTCAATGGCGCGCCATTGGTACAGGCGGGGAGGTAAGCGCCGAGCTAAGCGCCACATAATGACGGCGTATCAGGTGCGAGAAATGTTAGGTAAACGGGAGGGAGACAGCTGGACAAGGCGCTGCTAATTTATACAGCTCGAAGGCAGCGACAGGTAGTGTGCGCGCGCCTTTCCCGAGCATGTGGGCACCAAACCCGCGACGGGTGAACGCCGCGACTGATATTACTATGATTTCCTAAGGAATTTTATAGGTTTAAGTGAGTAAATGAATTAAAGAATGTATATTTATAATCTAGGATGGAATGTATTTAAATTGCTATGATTTCATCGCTACTAAGATGCCAGCAAAGCCCTTATAGGGAAACATAGAAAGGAATAACGTTTCACTTCATCAGAATTTAAACAAGTCTTCGTTGTAGTAAATTTCTAGAACCATAGTATTTATACGCCTAGACGAGGCTGAGCTGTCACCCACAAGGCTACCATTGTGCCTTGCGCTAGTGTGGCCCGACCCGCGACTTCCCAACTCAATCCCTGTCCGTTCACGAGAGTAAACAAAAGATGCCAAAACCGACGACGATTTGAGAAAACACCACCACTTCGCCCCTCAACCCCTCAAATTGCCTTGGCTATGATTTACTCCTTCCAATCCTAACACAGAGAAACAATTTATACGCGAAATATGCTTGGTTGGTGGCTGGGAAAAAGCGGCGAGGAGACGCGTCGAGAGGGTATGTCACAAAGAAACTCGCCCATTCCTTTCACAACAAGCGAACAAACTGACAAAACCCCCCAATAGACGGCCAGGAACCGCCCGAAACTCCAGCCCCAGTATTTGCAGCGAGAGCATTCAAAAGTGCCCTCTTTGGCACTCCTGCACCAGCCAGCGACGACACCTACTTTGAACAAATTGCCAAGTCAACAAACATGCCGGCCCCAAAACAAAATCTGAGGACTGATATATCGAGCCCGTCGAAAGGAATTCTGATGACACCAGGAACAGCGAGGAGTCGGAAATCAGTCTCGTTTGGCGCAACCGTCAAAGACAAGGAGGCGAAACCAAACAGCACCAGTGGCATCCCAGATGAATGCCCAGGGAAATTCCCCAGTCCTTTTGTGAATGGGGCTGCTGCTAAGCAAGATGGGAGATCGCTGAGGCGAACTGCACTGACAAAGACCCTGGAGAACGTGAGGGATACAAAGAGGAGGAGAACGGAGGGGTCGAAAACGCACAATTCCGTTCTTGATACACCGCAATCGCTGCTGGAGTTGGATATAAAGACAGGTCTAACAGCGCCCCAAATACTGGAAAGCTCACAACGGGACGAGGATCAACCCAGGCCCTACTCGAGAGATATGGACGACTTCGACGGTGACGTGACTACCGATCTCAACGAGCCACATTCGCAGTCGGGCCGCTACTGGAAATCAGAGTATGAGAAATACAACGAGGATGCGAGGGCTCAGATGACAAAGCTTGTAAAGTACAAGCAAATGGCCAAATCATACGCCAAGAAGAAGGACGAAGAGGCGATTGATCTCGGAAGCAAGCTCAAGGAAGCACAGAAAAGGGCAGTGCAGATGGAAGATAGGATTGCTGAACTCGTTGCTCAAATTGCCGACGGATGCTTGAATGGCATCGAAGACGACTCGCCTACTATGATGAAGAACCTTGCTAGGCAGACTGCGCTTGCGGTCCAGTATCGAAGCCAAGTCGACGAGTTTAGGGATGTACTGAGGGACCGAGATCAACAACAAGAAGGTGAAAATGGAGAGATTAAGAAGCCCTCAGGCGACCTAAAGAGCGAACTACAACGCCTGCGACTGGATCTTTCTACGTCGCAAAGGGAGGCATCTAAGCTCCGTGACGAAAATACTAAATTGTCTCGGGACCTGGAGAAGGTAAACGAGAAACTCAACCAAAGTGAGAAACGCCGGCAAGCTTCAGAATCGATGAGCCATGATCGAGCACAATTACTACAAGGTCTTCAAACTAAGTACGACAACCTTAAAGAATCGGCGAAAGCACAACGCGGAGACGCGGAACATCTCCTCAAGAAGCGCCACGACCAAGTTTCAGAGTTGAAAAAGGAGATGGCTGCCCTGAAAGAGAAACTTGCTGCGTTGAGAGTTGAACGAAGCCCTCTGGTGTCAGAAAAGGGAACTGGGGACAAACGTGCCGCTGATTTGACCGGTGGAGACCTCAGGCCAACCAAGACTCAGTTCAAATCGACTTCACAAGATGCGAACGTGATGACAGGACAGGACGTAATGCCTCAGGTACGGAATACGCGCAGGACGGAACAAGAAGCTAGCAAGCCGTACGAAATCTACGAAGATCCACAGGATCGTGAAAAGCTGATTATCGACTCTACGCTGCAACGAAGAAGGTCAGCGACGGCGCGTGCCCAAACATCTCTTGACGGATCAAAACATCAGAGGTCAAAGTCTGATGCACTTGGGGAGATTGGGAGCAATAAGAGTGCCTCGCACACGCCAGAAACTCTCCCGCCAGCATCGGATTTCAGTTTACGTGAACGATTCGCGAAACTGGCTGTGGACTCCTCCAAGAAAGACCATCCACTTCCAGGACCATTTTCAGGCCATGGGTTGCGACGAACGCCTTCTCAGAAGCAAGCTGTGCCAGAACTCCCACCAACCATGGACATCACCGCACATGAAACTTTTGTACCAGCTACAGTTCGCCCGCGATCCATTGCACACTTGGAGGGAGTCAGACCAGGCAACTTGGGACCGAGTAGAATGTCAAGTATGGCAAGCACGAGATCAAGGACAACACTGGACCCAGAGAGGGCAGCAGCAGCGAAGGCACGACTGGATCTGAGGAATGCAGAGAAGCGAAGGGCAAAGGACAGAAAGGAGAACATGGTTATGTAACCGGGGCTTAATGGTTTGATTGGGATTATACATCATTTTAGGGCGCAAAACGTTGTCAGGAGAGGGTGGCGGTGGCGTTTTTATTGGTCAGGATCTGAGCGGGCCGCATTCTTTAGGGCGTTGAAGTATCGGAGAAGAAACTTCATACTGCATGTATTTGCTTCAGGAATAGGATGTAATTATTTGATGAGTTTGTATTGATTTTGAGTAAATGAACTGTGAAATAGCCCAGGAACTTCTAGAATCTGTTATAATTTACAGAGTGCCTTGGCAAGGCTGACGTTTGTTGATTTGAGGGGTATAAGGGGGTTGTTTGTCCTGTTTGATGAGGCGAGGCCATCGGTACTCGGCCCCACCGATAGCGATAATCAGGCTGGTCGCGGCACGCATAGTCAGCAGTTTCGGGCACCAGCCACAGACCACTCGACGTAGCCTTGCTGATTCCAGATCCTCCGAGAACAACTTCTTTTGTGTTTAACAGTCTTTTTTTCAATTCTCACAATATCCGACCTGAATTTCTGCCCTCGCCTGTCACTCTTTCACTCGCTAGTTGCTCTTACAAAAGAGACAACCTGATCTGATCTGACTTGGACCCTTGATCCGCTTTCGACAGATCAACCGACACATTCACCTGGGTGCCACTTTGGTGGCGGATTCTTCTACGACAGGACTCGACCTTTCATTCGGCGAACGGATTTGACATTGTCATAAACTCGACTATACTTTCAGCGAGACTTCATCCTCGCCGTTTTCAGCGCTCAAGATGGCAAAGACACGCCTCATGAATGAATTGCAGGGTCTCCAGAAGGAGAAATGGTTGACTGTGGAGGTACGGATCCCTGATTCTCTGGCCGTGGAACAATATGCTGACACTCCTTGAAGCCCTGCGGTGGATCAAACATCTTCAAATGGACGGTTGGCCTCATGGTCGTGAACTCGGACAGTTACTACGACGGCGGTTACTTCAAGGTATGCAACATCACACATGAACATCCGATTATGAGCGTCAGCTAACAACTTCACAACAGGCTCAGATGTCCTTCCCTTCGAACTACCCCATGAGCCCGCCCTCTTTCAAATTCCTGCGTCCAATCTACCACCCGAACATCTACCCCGACGGAAGAATCTGCATATCGATTCTTCACCCCCCCGGAGAAGACGAGATGTCTGGAGAGTCGGCCACAGAACGTTGGACATCAGTGCAGAGCGTCGAGTCCGTTCTCCGCTCTATCCTGTTGCTCATGGATGATCCCGAGGTCTCGTCACCGGCCAATGTCGACGCTGGCGTGCTATACCGCAATGATCGTGCAGCCTACATCGCTAAGGCTCATGGGGATGTTGAGAAGAGCAAGACTGATATCCCGGAGGGTTTCGTTCTTCCCACAACCTTGGTGGATGCTCCGCCGCAGAAGTTCAATGATGATGATGGCTTCTGGAATGAGAGCGATGGCGAGGACGACTTTGGAGGCAGCGACAGCTCGGGAGAGGACGCTGAGATGAACGATGACTTTGACGAGGATGAGGACGCAGATGGAGACCAGGAGTTCGAGGATAGTGATGAGGACCCGGCCGTTGTCAAGAAGGAGTAAATGGAGCACTTGGCGACTGCAACTTAGGAACTTATATTATATACTCGATCAACCGCAACAACAACTCGATCCTCCGTACATGTCGTACGATCGACTATTCTCAGGCCACCACCATGGACCCGAGTTTTACGGAGGAATATTCCCTTTCTTTTTATTTATTTTAAGGCGCACAAATTATATCGGCAAGATAGGCGGACCTTTATCGTCATACTAGGAGGCGCTTTCTATGCATATTGATGGCCAGGTGTTATCTGCGGCATAGGACGGTGTGGTGTGGTTTGGCGCATGGGTGGAGTTATACGTCAGCAGGAGAATATGGAGCATTAGATCAGAACGCGAGAGAAATATTATATGTTAATATCTGACGTAAAAGTGAAGACTGTGGCGAGTGTGGATATGTTGAGAGTCTGGGCCGCTCTTGGATAATTTGCCAAGGCGCCGGAATGAATGTGGCTATGCGACGAAGAACTGTGCGCCGGACTTTTATATTGACTGTATTCATGAAACACGAGGTCTAATTTCTTCTCATGAACCCCTGAAACAAGCCATTGCAAATCTTGTTGAACACGACCACTGTCCGCCTTGTCCGCACTGTCCGTTAGACTGCAGCATCTAAAAATACCACCCATCACGTGATCGATGATGCTATTGATGTGCAAGCCCCTGCCGTTCAAGGTACACAGCAGCTGAAATCTTATCGGCCATCAACCTACTGCATGTGCCGGCCCACTCGTAGATCTCCGCATCCCACCAAGGTCAAACGGAACGGCATAAAAATACGAGCTACGCCTCCTCTTCTCCATACTACGCCCTAAAAATGCCTCGTACTCTTTTCCTGTGATTTGTGATATTCAACCCTATGGCAGGCCCTTTGTTATCCCTTTATTCAATTATATACTGAGCTCTGGTACTCTTGTTGTGTGTGATTTCCCCTTGCTTAAGCTATTGTGGGTTTAAGCCTGGACACGGACAGAGAGAGACCCACGACGGGTGAACGCCGGTACCGTCTGTTGATTTCGGGACGCGAAAGCTGAGCAGAACTTGACGTTTGGTCAATCCCCATCTGAAACGAAACGGATTGAGGTTATCTGGATCTGACACTGCAAAAGAGTCATAGTTGTTTGTGCTTGAGCTTTGCCCTGACTCCAGCTTTGGCTCACAGTGCAACGCCACCAGTGACACAGAGAACCGTGGCTACAAGGCTGTACGCCAACTGGTCGCCCAACTGTCTGGAGCTCCCTACCCTCTAGACTTCCTCCTGGATTACATCGCCTTCTGAATGTATGGTATGGGGGAAAGAGTATAGGGATTGCATGTCTCTTGACAGCCCGACCGTATACTGGTTGCAACATCACACCCTTGAGGGACTGGCCCACCCCTAGATTATAAGACCTCTTAATGCCAACCTAATATAACAATGGTATCCAGTTCAGGGGGCAGCAATGGCACACAGACTTCCTCAAATCGGTTCTCAAGGGCGAAACTGTCCTCTCTTACGCCGCTGATCACGAAGCAAAAAGATGACACTAAACCGGCGGAGCGCAAGAGGTTCACGAGCCATTCACCTGCACCACGCCAGGGCTCTCCTATGGGTCGTGATTCACAGCTAGATGGTTCGCCGGCTTTGGTGAGTGGGGGAACACAGATTTCATCCTCAACTCGGCAACGTCTGCACAGGTATAGACCTGGTTCGACATTTGGGTCTCTTGGAAGGAAATCGATTTTATCTGTGGATGAGTCCTCCGTGGCGAGTAGTGAGGCTATGGAGAAGTCTTCTATTGATATCTCATCTGAAGAGGTGGGCTTTGCATTTCACAAAGACGGGCAGCAGTTGCTGTATCATGGGCAGGTGCAGACGACCATTGGTTTGTTTCGGAAGAAGAAAGAATATCTTGCCCTAACAGATACTCACTTGATAAGATTCAAGAGTCTTTCCAGAGCGCTGGAGGCGTTCCCAACGATATCAAGGGCAAACAGACGGTACTCTGGGACGAGGCACTCGTCGACGGCTTCGATCGGATCGTTACATGAGATCCAGTCCTTGAACTCAAGGTCAAGCAGCGAAGGAGACAATGGGATTCTCCTGAACCAGATTGTGGCTGCATATAGGGTTGAAGGCGGCAGGCCGTACTTCATAACGGAAGTCGTATACCTGGACGAGGCAACAAGTAGTGTCGGCTCCATCCAGCTTATGCTCCAAGACCCCCGAGAAGCAGACCTATGGCACACCTCTATCCGAGCCGCTGCTCTGAAATCGAAGCTGATGGCAGACGAGCCATTCCCTTCGCGGACGATAAGCTACATCCGACGCCTACTTGAAGCGTCGCAAGACTATGACGAGAACTACTTCAAGATATACCGAGTGGTCCGTCGGCCAGCTAACAAAGCACCTGGGAAATCCTCCGAGGACTTTTCCAAGCTGAGCTCGACTGCATGCTATCTTGTTATAGGTATCAACCTGCTGCATTTGATTTCCCTGCCGGATTTCCACGAGTCTCCATCACGTCCTATGAACGTCAAGGCAAATAAAAACAGCTACGGTTTGGTTTCACTGGTGACTATGGAAATAAACAACAGCGATGATACCTTGGAGCTGGGGTTCCGCATTCCACTTGAGAAAGCGGTTACTATTTCCTTGGCAGCGTCCCAGGGCCCGGATATTGGACGTGATATCTTCAGATCCATACTCTACCTCAAACCGCAGTGGCTGGACTATACATTCCTGTATAGTGGGCCAAAAGAAGTGCTCGATGATTCGAATGTCGATTTTGGCCCCACCGAGGACAATGGAGCGTTTGATAGAACGTTGATCGCATACTGTCTTGCTTATGGCTGCAATCCTAGCAATATTAGGTATACAATTGGTTATGAGGTCGAAGACTCACCAGAGTTCCTCCTCTTGCCGCCGTCTGATTCAAGACGATACAGCACACATGAGCTTCTGGCAATATTACGAGCATTGCGGTATAATGAGTCGTTCAGATCAATGTCCTTCGCTGGGATAGATCTAGAATGTCTTCATGGAACAGTCGACGAGTACGGGAAGGATCATATTGCTCTCAAGTCTCGGTCAGGGATTCCGATCAAGAAGTACTTTGATATAGTCCCTGATGGAAGGTCCTTGCTTTACCAGGAAGTGCAGGCTTTGGCCTTGAAAACATATAAAACGCGGAGGATGAACTTCGGTGATACTCTCCCGAGGAGACGGCCACGAGATACATACGAGGAAGATGAAGGAGCACCTAAAGATCCTGGATGTGAAATTGCAGCTGGGATTTTACCCCTATGCCGAGCACAACTGACAAATGTGGACTGGATAGTCTTTAGTGGCATTGAACTTGGTGAGACCGATCTGGAAGAGATCGCTCCCGCATTGCACGAGAGACTCTGCCATTTCAGGTCGTTCGAGGTCGCACGATGTGGACTGACTGACCGTGGCCTTCAAGTTTTCTTGAACAATTTAGAGAAGCAAAACGCAACATTGGAGTGTATCAACATAGCTGACAACCCGGGGCGCTTGAACCTGGCTGATTTCCCCATTACTATGAGTCGATTCTCCCAAATTAGAAAGCTGGACCTATCACGGGTGACCAGCACGTCTGGAGACGAGCCCCTGATAGCTGCCGAGGTTATGTTGGCCTGGAAGCTTCAGGAGCTCGTCTTGACGGGTGTTCCAGTAAGTAGCCAGTATAATCCACTATCCGATAACACACTTCCTAACTATTCTAGATAAATGACCAGACCCTCGATGCGATATCAACCTATCTCCATAGCGATATGTCAGACTCTCTTCACTTGCTGCAAATGGATCAGTGCAATCTCACTGGCACCCAAGTGGCTGTTCTCATGCGGACTATGTGCCATGTGCCAGGAGAAGGAAGAGACATGCAGCTGCACATCAGTGCAAATAGACTTGAGAAAGGCAACAGTGATATTGCCTCAGCTATCAAAGATTGCCTAACACCATCCCATGTCACCATGCGAATGGTGGAATACCAATCGGAAGCTCACTTCAGACAACTTCTGGAGGCATTGAGGGAAAATACTACGATAAAATGCTTGGACATTTCCAAGGCCTCGCTTCCATACGATGCTGGAGAGGATACATGCATTGCTCTTCAACGTGTATTCGAAGAAAATTCTACACTTGAGGAGCTGGATATCTCTGGAGAATATGCGCATCTTGAGATAGCGCGCTTTGGGATTGGGCTTAACCATGCTCTGACGGGGTTGAAGAAGAACAACGCCCTCAAAGTTCTCAAACTGGAATACCAAAACCTCGGCCTCGAAGGCGCCAACACACTTTCTTCGGTCATCGAAGGCAACGATACGATCACCCATATATATTGCGAGCACAACAATATCAATCTCCAGGGTTTCACGGTTCTTGTCAATGCTCTTGCCAAGAATTTTACGGTCCTCAGTTTGCCCCTCATGCAAGATGACCAGAATGAAGCTGTCAAACGCATGAGACAAATCATCTCCGATACTCATAGTGCCGCCAAAGGAGAAAGTGGAGCGAAACACGCTGTTCGTAAAACGCTGACTACACTTGGAGTCCATATGAAGGAGAAGGATAATCCCATACCCACGGCGCAGGATATTGACCAGGCAATACAAATCCTAAATTCGAGATGGGCGAAGCAGAAAGACCGTCTCCTGGAGCTATTGCAGAGGAACTTAAATATTGCACAGGGTCTGGAAACGAGGAGCTTGTATGAAGATGATGCGGAAATGAGCAAGCTTATGCGGCCGACGACCGCTGGGAGTGATTCGATTATTATGGATGCCGTTATGCGAAACACCACACCTAGGTTCGAGAGAGTCGGCCATACAGACGGATATTTTGACAAAAGGTCCATGGATGATAACCCGAGGGCTGATGGTAGCCCTGTGGCAAAGTCGCATAAACGAGAGAGGTCGCTCTCGGAACTTACAGCTAAACTCGGTGTGTTCGATTTCGAGGTTAGCGATGATTGAAGACAGGGATTCGATGGGACGGAGTAATTGGAAGAGTATATTGTATTGCAAAGGGAATGGATGGGGAAGGCGATTTAAGAAGCCTGTTGGATTTTTTTGGACATAGCCGCCTCGTCGGCGGTGCTGCATTTTAAGGGAGCGAAGGGATAAGCGCGGGAAGCTTTGGGACGCCACTCAGCGGTAATGGGGGTTGTGCAATGGATCGTGTAGCTTATTGGTGGTCACAGCGAAGTATTAAGGCTTCAACCTCAACTCAAGTGTCTTCTGAACATCTGATGGGCGATATTAACATTGTTGTATTTTGACAAGCCCAGGCATATTACCCAGCAGCCCCATATAAGCCATCCCTCAAGCAACCCAGTCCAAACAGCGCCAAAATACAATAGTCCCAACTCCCAATAATACAGAACTCCACCCAAACATATACATCGAACCCTCCCTCTCTTCACCCCTCACCCTAACCCAACCCCCCCCACATCCCCCTCACCCTCCTCGCCAACTGCAAATCCTTCGGCTGAATAGTCACCCTCTTCGCATGAATAGCACACAAATTCGTATCCTCAAACAAATGCACCAAAAACGCCTCCGCCGCCTCCTGCAACGCCTGAATCGCCTGACTCTGCCACCTCAGCTCCTGATTCCTCGGCACGAGCGTCATCGCGATCTCCCTCACTAGTCGCGAAAAGGGAAGCTTCAGCATCAGGAGGTCGGTCGTGCGTTGGTATTTTCGGATTTCTTGTAATGCGACGGTGCCGGGGCGGTAGCGGTGCTTTTTCCGATGCGGGACGGGGTCGCCGGGCTCGACGGCGCTGTAGGAGAGGCGCTTGGAGGCGGTGGTTTTGGTGGTGGTTTTGCCGCTGTAGGATTTGCGGATCCCCCCACTGCTGGAGGGGTGGGGCTCGCGCCGCGCGACCTTTTGAGGCATTGTGGATGTGGTTTGCGGTTTGTGAGGTCGTAGAGGAGCTGTTGAGGGATCGCGATGTGAGCTTCGCAGGCTCTTGGAAAATGGGGAGGTTGGGCGCAGAAAACGCGTTGGTAAATGCGGCAATGAGGCGAGTTTTGAGTGTTTTTATTGCGATTATCGTAGATGAAGTGTGCGCGAACTCAAGTTATACCTCGGAACAGTGTCACGTAGTGTGGTGGTGGTGGGATCGCGAAATTGGAGACAAAAGTTGGGTTTCGTTGTGTTGATTGACGCGATTTCGTGTGAAGTGGATTTCCAATGTCCATGGCGCCCGCCCCACATGACAGGGATCAATATGCAGTGTGTCCGTCCCTGTGGCTGTGCTTCCCGGTACCCCATCATCCACAGTGACCAAACGCCACTATCTCGTTGACGCCAGATAAAGGACAGCTCTATGAGATTGAGCCTCCACCACCACTTTCCACGAACAAACACAACCTAACAAAGGACACACACACGATATATCTTAAAACCACCCCGCGATCATTACGCCAAATGCTCTGCTGATCAACAGCACCCACAAAATATCAATAACCGAAGCTGTAACCCCCGATATCGCGCCACTTATCAGTCAACACCGCCCAACATGGACCAAATGATGGGTGGCGGGGATGGCGGACTCGGCGGACAGGCCGGGTTCCCCCTCGAAGCATGGTTCTGGGAAATGCCCGTCTGCACGCGCCTCTGGACCACCGCGACAGTCCTCACGAGCGTCCTCGTCCAATGCGACATCGTCAACCCACTCAAGCTCTTCTACAGCTACCGCGCCGTCTTCTACAAGCACCAAGTACGCTCCCTCCCCCCCCTCCGCCCACCCCCTCAGCAAACACACCAGACTAACCCCCCCTCCCATAGCTCTGGCGCCTCCTAACCAACTTCCTCTACTTCGGCCCCCTCTCCCTCGACCTCGTCTTCCACGTCTTCTTCATGCAGCGCTACTCCCGGCTCCTCGAAGAATCCTCCGGCCGCTCCCCCGCCCACTTCTCCTGGCTCCTCCTCTACTCCTGCGTGTGCCTCATCGCCCTCTCCCCCTTCGTCGCCATCCCCTTCCTCGGGCACCCGCTGTCAAGCACACTCGTCTACATCTGGTCGCGGCGGAACCCGGATACGCGGCTCTCGTTCCTGGGACTGCTGGTGTTCACGGCGCCGTATCTGCCGTGGGTGTTGATGGGGTTTAGTTTCGTGCTGCATGGAACGGTGCCGAAGGATGAGATTATGGGTGTGGTGGTGGGGCATGTGTGGTACTTTTTTACGGATGTGTATCCCCCGCTACATGGAGGGTATAAGCCGCTTGATCCGCCGGGGTGGTGGAGGAGGTTGATTGAGGGGAGGAGGGATGAGGCGGAGGAGACGGCGGGGGTGATTGAGGTGCCGCCGGGAGCGCCGGTGCTGGCGCCGCCGTTGGGTGGGGCGGAGGGGAGGTGATGCGGGGGTGTTGTACGTGTGTTAGCATTTGGGATGGTCTTTGGGTATTGCATTGGTGGAGTTTGATGGGATGTGGAGTTTTGGGCCATAGATACCGGGCTTGTTGGCTGTGGTGAGCAGCGGGCATAAAATTGTAGCGTTATCTTGAATCAAACAAGTTGATTCACTCTATGATGTGGATTTCTTTGAGATAGCTATAAATTGCTATGATATAAATTTATTATGTTAGCAACTGTCGATTTCATTGACAGTATTCAGTTACTGAAGGGGAATACCATACCACTAGAACCTACTGATTCCAACAATACTAGCGAGTTGCTATTGAGAAGAAATGCTTGCCACAGTTCATCCTCTGTGGAGCTGGTGTTGAGTTACTGTGATGGTTTAATTCCCGTTCAGAGCAAAATCACTCTGACAGCAGTATCCAGTTACCAACAAAGACAAATCCTCGTTCAAGCCCAAAACGCTCTAACAACACTATCTAGTTACTCTCCATGATAAATTTACGAAGCGAGCATGAGGAGGGAAACTTTACCCATGTATTCTATGACCTAACATCACAATCGCAATGATACCCCCTTCATCACAGCACACAGAACTCAAAGCATGGAAGGATAAAGTAATTGATATTAATAAGCCGCCTTCTCCGTAACCAGGCTGCCACAGATTCTTTATCTCCCCAATTGTTTTTTTAATGATTTTCTCTCTCCCTCCTCCCCTATCCATCTCGCTGTCGAAACCTTGGTATAGTCTCACACCCCACCCTCTACCCCTTCCTTTCCTTCCCTTCCCACTGCCCTTCCTGTACCTCCCACCCCACGTGTAACCCTTCGCAACAACTAAAGAAAACCATCTCTCGCAGAATGTGCTGTGTATCTCTTCCGTCCCGCCCCATGACCGCAAATAATACCTCCTCCCCTCCCACCGAACCTCATAAAAGAGCCTCCCACCCTCTGAACATCCCAACCCAAAGCTAAAGATTGAAAAAAGAAAAAGCAAAAACCAGCCGCTAGACATATATATTGTATATGCCCTGCCCATGCCGCTATCGCTGGCTCGAAAAACGAGCTAAAACCCGAAGAAAATCATGAACTGTAATATCCACAGTAACGCAAGCAGGCTGTCGAGGGCGCAGCAACAACAGCAGCAGCCCCAGAAAACAGGAAAAGCGGAAGGTCCCCTCATGATGCTAACAAGACACAGATGTTAAATAAAACACAAGAGGTCTGAAGAAACGCCCGCCGCCCGCCGATGTGAAATGGAAATCCCACCCCCCCCACCTCGCACCCAATCCGCCCACCCCTTCTCTATCATATGATCGTGGTTCGACATGCAAAGTAAGTAAGTAAGTTTGATTCCATAAAAAAACGCCTGCCTATTGGGCCCCCACCCGCAGAAAACAGGAGCCGACTGCACAGCACACACACGTTCTAATAATGCGGGCTTGACGCAGATGCGACCGGGACCCCCGAGCCTGAAGCTGAGGGTTCCAGTTTGAGGATGCGGCGGAGGCTGTCCTCCATGGTTCGTATGTCCGAGTTATTGATGTGCGATGATGGTGTAGATACAGATGGTGACGCGGCCGCGTTGGGAGGCGGTGGTGCCTGGTTGTTAAAGACGAGGTTGCTGCCTGCGACTTGGCGGCGAGCGGAGTTCTCTTTGAAATTATATGACGGGGAGTTCTGGAAGATCGAGTTATCCATCCTCTCCGGAGGCGTCTTAGTGGGCGTAACTTCTTGACGAAGCCCGGAAGTGCGAGGGGTATTCCTGGTTGCGCTGCCGTATGCGGAGCCATCGTTGATATAAGGGAACCCGTTCTGGCGATGCTGCTGGGGAGAAGAATATGAATTGTTCCGGGGCCCAGATGGGGAAGTTTGGTGAACGGCCGTGCGGTTGGGAGTCGGCGATTGCTGCCCTGGAAAAGGGGGTTCAGGTACACGACCATTCGCGTATGCTGGCGGCTTTTGGCCGGAGAATAAAAATGATTTCAGAGCTTCTGAGCGGTCCGTGGTCTTTTGCTGATCAGATGTACTTGCAGATGGTGAATTAACAAGAGATGGAGTTGATCGCGCAGCGTTGATTCGCTCGCTGTAAGGCGTGGAGAAGGCGGGGCCGTATGGCTTCCCAGGAGTGCCATCTAATTCCATAGCAAACATGCTACTAGCGGAGCCACCTTGAAATTTGGGGTTGTTGTTGCGACCTTGGTTATTCGCGGCAGGTGTTCTATAGTCATTTGGCGGTGGACCAGCTGGAGGCTGAAATGGTCCCACAGCTGAATTGGCACTGCGAGCTCTAGCCTTCTCTTCCCTATCTGCGTTGAAGAAGAAGTCTAATGGAGACTCCTTTTGACCTTGTGCAGCGATCCGAGCCTTGATAATAGGAGGGGGTGATGAGTCACTGGAGCTGGAATTGGTCTCGTCGGCCCTCGAATCGGAAATCTTGATGCTTGGTGATTCAGGAACCGACTTGGAGAAGAAGCTAGGCATAGGCAAAGCTGATGGTGCTGGGGAGGCGTGGAAGGTTGGGCCCGCATAAGCCGCCGCATTCGGTGTTGAGATGGGTTTAGACACTGACGACGGGTGCCCAGTAGGTTGGATCGGCTTCGCCCTCGCGGCAGCGGGAGTGACTGCAGTGTTCTTTGCACGGTTATTGCCTCTAGATTTAGGTTTCGCACTGCCAGGACCCATATTGGCCCCTGGAGTCTTGTCGGACTTGCCGTTTGGGGCCTTCTGCGGCGTTCTGGGCGGGGTAGTTGGTTGTCCGTAGTTTGTCGAAGAGCGTGAGTTGTCTGCATGGACTTGATTGTTGTAGAAGTGAGGGCTTTGTGGATTGCGAGGTGCCTCTCCAGATGACGAGACGTCGGCACTCTGGTTGTGGCGATGGCGACGGGCCATCTGCGGGGTCAAACTCGACATGCTGGGCCTGATAAATAAGCGGTCTCTGACGCAGTCGAAGGAGGTGAAGAGTACTTGATATAGACGATGTAGACGATAGGAACGGTCCTAGCAGGACAGTCGGACAGTCACTGACAGAGACGTATTGGGGGCAAGGCTCCTGAGGCTTAGCGGCACTTCGTTGGTGGCGGTTTATGTATCGAAGGTCGTGAGTTGCGGACGGTCGGGCGTTGTTGGGTCGAAGATTTGTTTGTGTATAGGTGAGGAAATAAAAGTGAAAGTGAGATGGTCATTTCTTCGACTGCGGTAGGTAATGGTGGTGAATGTGTTGGAGGTTGAGTGTCAAGAGGTGAACGACGACTAACAAAGTGGTCGACGTCAAGGTAACTCATACTCGTCTGGTCGCCGACAGTCGCCCACAATGGAGAGGCTGCGCTAAACTCGTTTGGGAGACGGAAACAGGGCGCGGGATATTCCATCGGCGTCTAATCGTCCTGGGATTCCAGCCTTATCCGGACGAACCACGGTATTCGAGAACGATATTCGAGGGTCCAGTGGCTATTCATTCATAATCGTTTGAACGAGACTCTATAGATTTCGAGTCTTTGAACCCTTTGAAGCTTAACGATCTCGCCTCTCATACGCTAGGCTGACATATACTCGAATCTACTCGACCGTACCACCTCGTTCGAGTTGACCGCAAGGTCGCATCATACCAGCATATAAATAAAGCCTTAAACTCGAACTTGACCTCGACCTCAACGCTACAATGGCAGACGTAGATATGACCGACGCACCATCGACTTCGGGAGCTGGGCCCGTCAAGAGAGCCGCTGGAGCCAAGGCCAAGGGACCGGCCGGAGATGGAGGGGCAGATGGCAAGAAGCGTTTTGAAGTGAAGAAGGTATGCAGGCCTGGCGGGGACATATTTTACGATTTTGAAGCTGACGAAATATTACTAGTGGAATGCAGTCGCTCTGTGGGCATGGGATATTGTTGTCGACAACTGTGCTATTTGCAGAAACCACATCATGGATCTATGTATGTTGCCTTGACCGGATCTCCCGCACTCTCGACTGACACACAATAGGTATAGAATGTCAAGCAAATCAAGCATCGGCAACAAGTGAAGAGTGTACTGTGGCTTGGGGTATTTGCAACGTGAGTTTCTCCAGAAGACTGGTCGGTAATATGATCTAACACTCTACGTAGCACGCATTTCACTTCCACTGCATTTCCCGCTGGCTGAAGACCCGACAAGTCTGCCCCCTGGACAACAGAGACTGGGAGTTCCAAAAGTACGGTCGCTAGAGCCTGCATCTGGTGGCACGATAGCAATATATCAGTCCGGGACTGCATATTCGACACTGACGACGGATGGTGGTATACAATCTTGGGGGCACGAAACTGATGATGCCCGCACGCGGCCGGCGTGGATATCTAACGGGATATCATAGACGTCAATGACTCTAATGACATGGCGTTTAATCAGTACTAGGCATAGAACATATCAAAAAATGAAGGCAGCTGCTGCGGTGGAAATATTTTGTTGTTTTTGCCTGCCTATAACCCCGTTGACTCCCTCCCACTTCCCCCAGACCATCAAGTCGTGACATGCTTCCCATCCACCACGATCCCTCCCGCCGCCTGCTGCGAGCCCGCTGCCCTTGCACCTCCCACTGGTAGCCACGGAACGGGGTTCCGGTTGAAGAAGGGCCACGGCGGGACGACGAGGACGAACGCGAGGGCGGTGCCGGCGAGACCAACGTAGAGCGCCAGTGTGATATCTTGGCGAACGAATCCAATAACAAACGCGATAGCCTACGTGAATATAATTAGCCAAACCCATCACCAGCGATCCGGAAGACGCGTACCCCCACTACAGCCAGCACGATTGTGGCAAGCAACTCGGATAGTCTTTGGCCCTCGAAGTCCTGAGGCGTGTGTTAGCATGCATTCATTCTGTAATTGACGGCCGGCCGGGAGTTAACGAGGATAGGGATGGAACATACAATCTGGCCCTCCGCAAGATCGCGAACCTTCTCGAGGATCTGGTCGGCCATGGCTTGGGTTTTGGTTGGTGCTAGCTTGGTTCGAGATGAGAGTTGGCACCTTGCATCAACAAGGCCACAAACGAGGCTGAGAGGCAAGTTGATGTGGTGGCCTTTGGATGGGGACGATCACACGGATTGCACGTGACATGTCTTGGCGCGAGTGTGGCAGGCGCGACTTTCTGAAACTGTTTGAGAGGGAGTGGGTGTGGGGCAACATTTCATATTAGAGTGAGTAGAGTGCTCTGTGTAAAAGAGTATATTATCAAATTATACTGTAAGAACAGTCCATATGTCCTATGTAATGGCCCATAGCGAGCGACCTACAGAATGATATGACCTCAAAGGTCGATATGGTCAAGTAGCTATTGTAGAGTTTACAAAAGTTACAGAAGGATACCAGCAGGTTCCCGGCCCGTCCTACCAATAGTATGGCAGCCAAGGCCCAAGTGTCTTTCTTACAGGCCCAACACGCACGTTTCACTGGCTGCAGGGGAATGCAAGGAAGAATTGGCAGCTTCTTCGATTGCCATATTGCCATATTGCCATGTTTATGTGTTAGGTAAGTATGATACGGCGGCGAGGGTGGTTCTGGCCGCGGCCGCTGTTTGATTGTCAGCCCACCGCTGGGCTGGGCTGGTGGCTGGCTCATGAGGTAAATGCCTCAAGCGGGAGGAGAGGGGTAGTTTCTACACATGCACATGGTGTTTTACAGTACACAACACAGACAGTGCGATGGCTTTTAACTGTAGACTAGTAGATGCACTGTCACTGCCGATGTAGGAGACGCCACACTCTCCTATAGTATCGTGTGCTATACCTTTTCCATGCCATCGTCCGATATAAATGCCGTACATAGCATAACATACACGTAGAGAGAGGCTGACGTTGGTCCTGATGGTCTAGTCTTCTAGGCCTCTGAGTGCTGTCGGCGACCCCGCTGTAGGGTGATGTAGAGGAGCGGCTTAGAGCGATGACTCTGGCCGTAGCATACAATTTTCACTAGCTCATACCAACTAAACCAACTAAACCAACACTAAACCCCCATTTTACCCATTATACCTAGAAAAAGTCAGGTATAGCTGATCATGGACCTGAAGAACTAAACAAAAAGTCCAATACAAGTACTGTAGCGTACTGTAGCGTACTATGGAGTACTATGAACCTATGAACTACTAATCTTTCGCCGTCGTAGTTCCCCCACTATCAGCCCTCCTCGCCCAACCACAACCCACCTTTTAAAGAAAACCTTGGCTGTGTCCGTGTGTGTACCGTCCGGACCTTCATTTGCCGAAGTTCTTTCACCAGAACAAAACCAATCCACATCCCGCCTCTTCACTGACCTACTACCACAACAATAGCCACCACACTGCAAAACTTTTGTTACGCAGCCAACAACTTCAAAAACCCCAACATATCCGCAACTCAGAGTCCTTCTGAACCGCTGTTAAAATAACTACTTATCGTGCAAAGAAACATCCAGCTTCACCGCATCTGATACGTCATTCCACACTTCGCACACAGCGATAACTTCACCGTCCGTTTGACAATAGCCACCACCTACCATACCACCACACCGACACTTCAAACAACGCCACCATACTATCTCCTAGGGATTCTGATCTGGGTGGCTTGAGTTCCGTCGCTCTCTCCAACGCACTTTCTAGTTGACTACCGGCGCCTCGGCAGCCTTCCATATCAAAAACCACCAAATTGGCGGGACTCGTACTCCTCAAGTTCTCCTTCATCCGTCCGCTCCTCGGCCCAAAGTCCTGGGCCTACTGCGGAGGTGACAAGAAGCCTCCGTAATTGGATTTTCCGAGCGAAGACAACACCAACAACCAACTCTGCATACGAATAGACAACTCGAGCGTCCTACCGCAAGGGGTAGGGAACGATATTAAGCTGGCGCCCTAAACGAATTCGACGCTCAGGGACGACCTGTGCGGGGAGACATCTCTCACATTGTCACCTACGCAATAGGGGCGGTCGCTGCGACCCGCCTTGGAAAGGAGAGAAAGGAGAGAGAAAGTAGGGGAATATAGGGGAGAATACGAAGATAAGAGACGGAAGAACGAGAAATACCGGAGACTAGGACAATTAAGACAGCTAAAGCAGCCAATATGTCGGACCAGGAGGACCTCTACGAGATGCACCGTGACGATACGCGCTACAGCACTCCTGTGCCTGAGCTTGATGACCATCGCCACCAGATGGCCTCGGTGCAGAGGCCAATTCGATCCAGACGAGGCACTATCGACACCTTGTACGGAGCCCAAGCGATGAACGAATCCGGGACAGACCTAGCATGGGTCGATGATGCCTTGGCTCGCACCAATACTCGCCGCGACTATGAGACTGCAATCGACGACGGAGAGGGAATCTCACCAACCTACCAGCGTAGCCGCAGGCCAACAGTTGAATCTAGAGCCCCTTCGCCGCCAAACTCGGTGAAGGCCTTCGCAGCTGCTCGCAGACGAGAGCGCGACCACTCCGTCGAGGCTGCTCAAAAGAAGCTCGGCGTCGATGACCGATCCCTCCACCGCACGGCTTCGCGCGTTAGCAAGGCGCCCAGCCAACGCAGCAGACGATATACGAATGAGACGGATGGTATCAGCGTGGCTGACTCCATCCACAGCTCTGCTGCAGAGGATGTCTGCTTCCCGCTGTCCACGGCCAATTTCCCGCGCGACAAGAGAAAGCTCTACATCGACTTTGACTTTCTCGAGAACTTCATTGCCGAAGAGGAGCGTGATCACACTCCGCCAAAGAACCAGCCTCCTCCGCGCACTGCCTTCAAGGATCTCAGATCTTCCGCGAGCATCTCCAAGTCCGCCATCGTCGACTCCGTCTCCGTCTCTGAGGAGAAGAAGGAACTGGATGATATTCTCGACGAGAAGGTTGGCAAGCCGGCCACTGAGCACTATGATGGGAACCGCTTCAGCTTCTTCTCGTCTGCGTGGGAGTCTACCATCCACGCTGCCGAATTCGGTGACCTGATCATGCCAGGCGAAGATGTTCGCAACCTCTTCTACCTCCCCGAGAACGAGGACGACGGCGTGTGGTGGTTGAACCTGAGCAACCCCACCGAAGAAGAAATCCGAGCCATCTGCAAGGCCTTCCAGATCCATCCCCTGACAATGGAGGATATCGAGAAACAAGAGACTCGCGAGAAGATTGAGCTGTTCCCTGCTTACTACTTCGCATGCTTCCGCTCGTTCAATACTGTTGCCAATGACGACGGCCTTGGTACCACCGAGCTGGAACCTTTCAATGTCTACGTTATCGTCTTCCGCGAGGGTACGCTTAGCTTCAGCTTCGCCCCCAACCGACACGTCGGAGTTGTTCGCAAGAGAATCACAGCTCTGAAGGACTATGTTTCTCTCAGCAGCGACTGGATTTGCTACGCGCTCATGTAAGTTTTCACAGCACCTAAAACACCATCGAATACCAACTAACCCACCCAGTGACGACATCGTCGACTCCTTCGCCCCCCTCATCAACCAAATCGAAGCCGAAACCGACAACATCGAAGACCAAGTCTTTGTCGCCCGCAGCGACGACATGCACGACTTCCTCCGCACCATCGGCAACGTCCGCAAGACCGTCATGGCCCTCATGAAGCTCCTCGGCGGCAAAGCCGATGTCCTCCGCGGCTTCACCAAGCGCTGCAACGAGAACTACAACGTCACCCCGCGCATGGACATCGGTCTCTACCTCGGCGATATCCAGGACCACGTCGTGACTATGATGTCGAACTTGGGGCACTTTGAGAAGATGCTGAGTCGCTCGCACAGCAATTACCTCGCGCAGTTGTCGATTGATAATATCACCCAGGGGACGAACTCCAACAAGGTCCTCAGCAAGATCACAGTGCTCGCGTCGATTCTGGTGCCGCTGAATTTGGTGTGCGGTCTCTTCGGGATGAACGTCAAGGTCCCGTTCATGGATGGCGATAATCTGATTCCCTTCTTCACCATCCTCGCTGGGCTGTTCATCTTCGTCCTGCTCTCGCTCGCGTTGGCGAGGCGTATGCGCTTCATCTGATCTGATATTGCGCTGTTTTGTGTTTGTGGTTGGCATGAGCATAGGCATAAGAAAAAGCATGAGCAATGTCGCTTTTTGGGAGTTATGCAACATATGATGACTACGATTACGATTTTGCGACGGCATGAATGCGAGCAAGCTTTGGATTACATGTTACGCGATGCGAATTTTTCTTTGGTGCGGACGGGCATTGTGTCCCCCTTATAACTTGGTTGTTTGATGTATCTTGCACTTGTCGAACCAGGTCTACATATATAGGCTTGTCTTGTTCCAGAGTTTAATCGAAGAGATGGTTATAGTTGGAGACCATAGATAGTCAACTGATTTGAATAATGGATTGGATTATATGATCTACCTTTTTCGCCTTCCCAGTGATGATGACCTTCGTGATATTTAATTGTACGCTTTACCATTCAGCTCTCCTCGACCCCCCTGCCAACCCAATAATACTATCACGTGACACAAATAATTCTACCACCACCGAACCGTCATACCAACAATTTGCGCCTCGCCCAGAACCTCCACCCAAACACAACTCACAATCCACAAGACAATTGCCAATTACCACACCTCCACCAAACCAAACCAACCCACCTACCCAAAAAAAAACCAAAAACCCTCAAATCACAATGGACGCCAACGGAGAATTCGACGTCAACAGCTTGACCCAGCGCGACAAGCAGGAGCTCCAGCAGTTCATCCAGAATGAGACGCAGAAGAGCAAGTTGCAGCAGTGTATGTCTCCCACCTTCCCTCCTTCCCCATTGCCCCTCCGCCTCACTTCCCCCCATCAATCCCATCACATCCCTTCTCCCCTCTCCATCCCTGCCTCCCTCCATCCCAAGTGCGAGCCCACCAGCCGTGCCCCAAACCACAGACAGCAAAACAGAAAGCTAATAAGAAACCACAGCCGTCCACAACCTCACAGACATCTGCTGGACCAAGTGCGTGACTGGCAGCATCAAGAGCGGGAAGCTGGATAAGAGCGAGGAGACGTGCGCGAGGAACTGTGTGGATCGCTTTTTGGATGCGAATTTCTTGGTTATTAAGCAGCTTGAGGGGATGAGGGGATAGACTATTGGGGATGGGAGATGGGGAGAGGGATGAGGGGATTGGGAGATTGGGGGATGGGAAAAGGGTGTATTATTATGAGGCTGGAGGGAGGGTGTGTTGATATAGATGTGGCTGGATGGGAGGGTTGGGATGGGATGGGGGTGTGTATTTTTATGGCAGAGTATGGGGAATGTTCCACTCTGGGATGAATAGAATTGATGATCGAATGGGGAGGATTGAAGCGTATCAAGCATAATGCATCAGTCTACAAGAGTTTGCGAGTCAAGACACAATAAATCAACAGAACTATGATGGGCATAATTCGATAGTCTACGAGAGTTCACAGGTCTCAATACAACAACAAATCACGTCGTCAAATCACCTCACTTCCAAACGATACAAAATACATATAGGTTTGCAAGTGTTGTTTGAATTTGATGTTCATTCATTCCCCCCACGGAGAAACGCCTGGGTAACAATGCCCTTCGATAGCACACCCGCTTAAATCGAGTCCCCCGTAGCCACGAGAAGACCTCAGCCTGATAATGCCCGAACAAATATCATAATCCCTCCAATCCCTTGCAAAACCACAACCGAACCCGGCATTACGTACTTAGACGATGGCGAGCTTGGTGGCGGCGATGTCGAGAGCATCGACATCTGGGGTCAGGCGAGCGAAGGCCTTCTTGGATCCATCAGGGCTGGGTATTACGTTAGTTTTGTTATTATTCGCTGTGGTGCATCAATGGGAGTACATACCGGACAAGGGTGTTAATCTTGACGGTGTCAATATCGTAAAGCTTCTTAAGAGCCTCCTTGATCTGGCGCTTGTTGGCCTTGATGTTGACAATGAAGACGAGGGTGTTGTTCTCCTCAATCTTCTTCATCGCGCTCTCGGTGTTGAGAGGGTGGATGATGACCTGGTGCTCATCCAGGCGGGGCTGGTGAGGAATGCTCTTGCGGGGGTACTTGGGCGAGCGCGAGAGGATCAGGGTCTTCGGGCGGTGGAAGGTCGTCGAGAGACGGACCTTGCGGGCCTTGTGAGAGTGAACCTGTTGAAATTGTCAGCCGTGACGTCCCGAGGGCGTTGTGAGGATGATGATGGAGAGAGGAGAGAATACTTACGCCCTTAAGAGCGGCCTTTGCGGCTTCATTGGCCTTCTTGTTGCCCTTGCCGGCCTTGGAGGCACCACCTAATTACAACGCATCAGCATTCGCTCTTGTGAACTCGCAATAGCTGCTACTGCTTGTGTGCATTGTATGACATCCCTCCTCTTCGACGCCCGAAAAAAGTCAACACAACGTGTTTATTTTTCCATTTCGAAAAAAGAAGTTTCGCTCCATCTTATCGGGCGTCGAGAAGAGTCGGGCTCATCGCATTGCCAGAGTGCAATAGCCGCCTGTGCGGAGAAGTAGATGGAAGTGTCATCGCATACCAGTCTTGCTAGGAGGGGCCATTTTGTCGAAGTTTGTCGGATTCGTTGTGGTCGAGAGAGAAGCTTGAAGGTCGGAAGATATCTGCGCTGCGCCGGGAATTTTGCGCTTAGTCCGAATTTCTGTGTGCGCGCTAGCAACCCCATGCACCCTGTAAGCGAAAACTTCAGCACTCTTATCGCATTGGAGCTAGTACTGTATATGGTCATTCTGCTAGACTCACCGCCCATTATTTAATTCGCGATGTTCAGTGGGGTTTGGATATTAAGAGAATTGATATCGTCGACGAGTAAAGTTATTAACACGCTCAAATTACCCTGTGCAACTGTCAGTCAAGTTCAAACTTGACAACAACAAAGCGTGCATGGCAATCTCCAAGAAAAAGAGTGGGAAACCTAAAAGCCTCTCCCACGGCCGACCACCCACCGTCAAACCACCCCCATCCCTCTCCAGCAAAGCCACCCGAACCCTCATCCGCGCCCACCACACCCTCGAAAAGCAAAAGGCCATAGCCCAAAAAGCCGGCGATGCCATCAAAGTCGCGGATCTAGAAAGACAGATTGCGAAACAGGGAGGGATTGAGAAGTACCAGACGGCGAGCTTGATTGGCCAGGGAAATGAGCGCGGGGGTGATAGCAGCAAGATTTTGATGGATTGGTTGAAGCCGATAATACCATCACTTAAAGCGAGGACCGGAGAGCAGAAACTGCGACTTCTTGAGGTGGGCGCGTTGAGTACCACCAATGCCTGCTCGAGGAGCGGACTCTTCGATACCGAGCGCATCGATTTGAACAGCCAGGCACAAGGCATTACGCAGCAAGACTTTATGGAAAGGCCGCTGCCTAAGCTATCGAACGAGAAATTCGAAATCATCAGCCTGAGCTTGGTGCTCAACTATGTGCCGGACGCAGTTTCCAGGGGCGAAATGCTGAAGCGGACGTTGCAATTCCTCCGCAGCCCACTTGGGGAGAGCGAAGAAGAGTTGCAGACCGTGTTCCCTGCGCTATTTCTGGTCTTACCAGCACCGTGTGTGTCGAATTCTCGATACATGGATGAGCCGAAGCTGGAGGCTATATTGACGAGCCTGGGCTATGCCAAGGTGCACAAGAAGCTGTCGAATAAGTTGGTGTATTATCTGTGGCGGGGTGTGGATCTGACGCCGAAGGCTAAGCGGGAGCAGTTCAAGAAGGTGGAGGTGAGGGCTGGAGGGACGAGGAATAATTTTGCAATTATTTTGAAGTGATGATGGGTGGCAGAAGAGGGGGGATTAGATACTATCGCACAGCTGATCAAGTGCTGAGAGGTTGCTGCTAGTGTAAACGAAACAGATTTCTCAAATGGGCTTTGTAAACCGTATCTGAAATGTTTTGTAAAATGTCGACGAAGCTCTAGATTTGGGCCGTATTGCCACCACCATCTTCATCAAACCAAATATTGCCCATGATTTGAAGAAACAAGACTAAATATATTTGAGGGCATATGCCATGTGTGTACTATAATGATGTGATATATTTTACAATGCTCTAACAACCCCTCGAAAATGCAGCAGATAGCCAACCAAATTAACCAAAACAAATATATCAAACAATAAATATCAACAAAACAAAAATGCACAAACACTTGCTCACTCCGCTCCAATCCAAGACTTGGGCAAGAACGCAAAAATCGTACCAATAACCGCAAGAATCGTCGAGATAACAATCAAGACCCAATTCATGATCCTCTCTGCCCGCGGTATCTCATCCCCAAAGATTTTAAGATGGAACAGCAGCGGCAGGATGACGCAGATGGCAAAGCACAAACAGGAGCCCATAAACGCCATGATGCTATCGAATGCGGGGAAAACGACTGCTAAGAAGACAAAAGAAATGATCACAACGACTCGTATCGCCACCTTCTGGATGCCGCGGCCGAATTTGGAGCACCCCACTAGGGAATCATCGCCGGGGACAGTGCGTGCGTCGAGGCCGGTGAGCGCCTCGAGGGTGGCCACTATGGGCCTGGCATTTAGAGGTAGTTTAGTGAGCGGGATGATGGCGATGAAGATGCAGAGAAGTACGGTCAATGACTGCGGGTATCCGCTAGTTCGGATTATGTTGTTAGTTACGGAGTCGAGGACACCATCGCCGAACATGAGGTAGCCGGCAATTGCTGTTAGGGCATCGAGTAAATACTACAGGCTAAATCAGCTCCCCACCCAAAGACCATCTGACGTATTCTTTTGGACTTACGGTGAATGAAAATGTAATCTTGAGGGCTGTGCCGTATCGGTGAGGATGCCTCATATCACGGTAGATCCTGAGGATTGATTAGTTGTTGTCAAAATGAAGTAAATGGGTTGCCACGAACGAGGGAAAGATTGCGTGGCCTCCAAAGGGCGCTGGAAAGGTCAGTCAATGCCTATCAAGGAGCAAATGGTATAGTCATACAGATGAGAAGTCCCAAGGAGATTGGCAGAGTTAACCAATTTTTGGGGAACATATACGTATCCGCAGGCTGTCGAAGCGATCCAGGGGTTTCCGGCTTAATGAATCCATCAATGAAAACAATGAGAACAACTATCACACCGTTAGTTTTAGAATACGGATGTTTTGTCCCTCTACACCCCCAATGCCTAACTTACTGCAGAAGCAAGAAAAAATCCCCAAAATGCTGGTAAAGCTGAGCAAACGCAAAGGAACAAAATTCAGGGGTATCATCAAAAATCCACATATGATCTTCCATTCCACAACACCGACTCCTGGTATTAGAAGATCCAGGGTCTCTGCAAAGAGTACGATTAACGCCACACAGGCGGCTAGAAGTTCAACAGAGAACAGAATCCCCGTGGCGATTCGGGCTCTGTGGCCAAACTATGGGAGTATTAGCGATGATTTAGGATGGGGTAAATCCAGGACACATACAGAAATGAATGCAAGATCAGCAAACGTGATCAGACTTGCATCGACATCCATGCACTTCGCTAGAAGTTTGGCTGTATATGCAGTAACCAACGCCGCCGCAGCTAGGAATATGGTTCCGCAGAGCCAACCAGCATATTTCATTCCCAACGGTAAAGATAGGATACCAATGCCAATGAGAACGTTCGTTGAGTTGAAGACTGTCTGTGGCAAGGTGGACTGGCCGTCAATAACCAAAACAATTTTGCCATCCTGCTCAACTTCCTTGACAAGAAGAGGTGGCCTCTCTCCGTCAGCCAACTTATCGCCAGCCTCCTGTTCCTGACGCCATAGGCGGCCCGCATGCACCATTGAGGGCTCATTCACCATTGAGCGAATGGTACCGTATGAGGTCCCGTAGCTTCCAGGTAGCGGAAATAGAGAATCTCTTCCTCTTGGGCTGCCCCCTATGCTTCCAAAGTCCGAGCCGCGCAGAGATTTGCGCGCTTCATCGTGTCCTTGTAGCAGGGGCGAGACGACGCTGCTCTCAGCATTCTCGCCGTCCTGTATAGCTTCATCGGAACCTCTGTGCAAGAAATGCTGCTGAAGGAGGGAAGCACGGGCATCGCTTCGAGGTTCGACTTCTGACCGCGAGAATCGTTGCTCTTCGGAGTCGGAAGCTAAGATGAAAGATGGCCGTTGTGGTGCGGCTTCGTGGAATGCCGCGGCTCGCTGCCAGCTCCTGGCGAAGTTGTTTATAGAGTTGACGCCTCCGAATTCGCCTATTGCATTCAAGTGCATGTTTATGGACGACCTGTAGTTCAAACGTTAATATATGCTCTTGTTGTACGGGGAGGTCACACGAGGACATGGCTTGTGTACTGCTTCAAACTGAACAGCTTGCAGGATATCTTCGACTACGTTTAAGGGACCCTTATAAGTAGGTCCCTAAATACGCCTAGTCCTTGGGGTTTGAGGCTACTCCTCGATCCTCCTCATTGGAACTTACCGACGTCTTCGCAGTCCAGAGTCCACCTCAGTTCGATCACCAGTGTCACTGGGAGACACATCCCTCTCGCTCTCAGCACCGAAGCGGACGCTTCTTCTGCCAGTCGAGCTACCAGAAGATCTGTAAGACGTGCCATACTGGTAGTCGTCCCAGTTCGTTGGATTTGGTGGGTTACGGCTCATGGCGACGGGCGTTGGTATCCGCGGCAAGAGATGTAGGATCGATCTAGTTGAATAGATGCATCAGAGATCAGTTATAACAGAGGCATCAAGTGCCTGAGAGAGTAGAGTAGGCACGGAAGCCAAGATAAGGATATCAATATCAGTTATATGAGTTGCTAATAAGCTTCCCCAGCTCTTTCCGTTATCGAGATGCAATATGAAGCTTCACAGTACAATGCCCTTGTACTTAGCAAAGTAAACAGGGTCTTGCTCCTTATCAGTGCAAGGGAGTTGCCCCACTCAGCTTTGCTAATGGATCAATATCATTGGCTGAGATGCCAGACATGGAGCGGGAAAACCCACGAACGGTGCTGTCATGGGATTTCACTAGATACCACTAGATTGCCGAGCGGTTGATATATTTTCCGATTTCGGACAGATTCTCCGAGGGTTTGAATGGCAAAACTTGAAATTGAAGCTGCATGTATTACTGTATAGAGAATAATTCGGGACGGTGAGCATCTTAGCTTGTAGACTCTGCGCTGGCAAAAGTTGTCCTATTTACAAATCCCGCCATGAGCTGCAATGACGCCAATATACACCATGAATCAGTACCAAAGAGCACATTTTTGTGCGTTTCCCTGTAAATCCCTGTAGAGCCTTATATAGCCACTCTCCTCCCCTCACGACGAGCAGAAAGACTATTAAGAGAGACTCAAGAAACAAATAAATCAACCTAAAGTGAATCTGCCGTTCTTATATAAACCAGGTACTAGAGGTGAGACGACCACTTCAGCTGCGGGGTTGTTCCTGACCCCTCCAACTAACTTCACGTGATACGGAAGCCCTTTTTTTGCAGCATTTAACCACCTTTCGCGCTCGCTTGGGTGCGTCCCACATAATTTACACCTGGAGGCCGACGACGCCACAATCCACGACCAAAACAACTCAAGAAAGTCGCGGCATCCGATCGCGAATACACAAGAGATTTGTGACGCACATAATCTCGAATTCTCGCTCTCTTACTTCCGGTGGTTGAAGGACCCTTTTCGACATCATGTCCGACCCAGCGGCGAACGAGGCCGAGAAGAACATTGAGATTTGGAAGGTCAAGAAGCTCATCAGGCGTCTTGAAGCAGCCAGAGGAAATGGAACTTCCATGATTTCGCTGATTATCCGTACGTTGGATCTTCTCATTCAGCCGATCGCATCACTGACAATATAACAGCTCCAAAGGATCAAGTCTCGCGTGCGGCAAAGATGTTGGCTGAAGAATATGTATGCTCTGCCTTGCCACTATCATGGCTGAGTGTATGCTAATAACTCCCCAGGGAACTGCCTCCAACATCAAGTCGCGTGTCAACAGACAGTCCGTCCTGTCCGCCATTACGTCTACTCAGCAGAGGCTGAAGCTATACAACAAAGTCCCGCCGAATGGACTGGTCGTGTACTGTGGTGAAATTTTGACTTCTGAAGGAAAGGAAAGGAAGGTCAATATTGATTTCGAGCCTTTCAGGCCTATCAACACCTCTCTGTATCTTTGCGACAACAAGTTCCACACGGAAGCCCTCGCGGAGTTGCTCGAGGATGACCAGAAGTTTGGATTCATTATTATGGATGGTAACGGAGCCTTGTTTGGTACCCTGAGTGGCAACACCAGAGACGTTGTTCACAAGTTCTCCGTCGATCTCCCCAAGAAGCACGGCCGTGGTGGTCAGTCCGCTCTCCGTTTCGCCCGTCTTCGTGAGGAAAAGCGTCACAATTATGTCCGCAAGGTCGCAGAATTGGCAGTGCAGAACTTCATTACCAATGACAAGGTCAACGTTGCCGGTATTATCTTGGCTGGTTCTGCCGATTTCAAGAACGACCTGAACCAGTCCGATCTGTTCGATGGAAGACTCCAGGTCAAGGTCATTAAGGTTGTCGATGTCTCCTACGGAGGTGAAAACGGTTTCAACCAGGCTATCGAGCTTTCTGCCGAGACGCTGAGCAACGTCAAGTTCATCCAGGAGAAGAAGCTTATCGGCAAATACTTCGAGGAGATTAGCCAGGATACTGGCCGTGTCTGCTACGGTGTTGAAGATACGCTCAAGGCGTTGGAGCTGGGTGCTGTGGAGATCCTCATTGTCTTTGAGAATTTGGAAATCAACCGCTGGGAGCTTAAAGACTCCAACGGAAACAAAGTCATTCTCCACACTACGAAGAAACAGGAAGCATCCGACAGAGATCAATTCATGGACAAGGAGACTGGCCAAGAAATGGAAGTTGTTGAGCAGATATCCTTCCTTGAGTGGATTGCTGAGAAGTACAGAGACTTCGGTACCACGCTTGAGTTCGTCTCCGATAGGTCCAGCGAAGGAAACCAGTTCGTCAAGGGATTCGGTGGCATTGGCGGTCTGCTTCGTTACAAGGTCAACTTCGAGCAGCTGGCTGAAGTCGATGAGGATGATGATGATTATTATGACGGTTTGTACCCTGCTTCAGAGTCTCGACGAACTACACTAACGCGCCTCCCTAGATTGACAGTTTGATGCCCTCGCAGTGAGCGAGGACTCTAAACCAGAAACCCCGTCATCGCCTGCCCTGCCGCCGCGCGCTCCTGCTACGAAGCAGACGGCAGGTCAAGTTTCCATCTATCCTGGCCACGGCCCGGTTGCCCAGGTGGTCCGGCCCAGTCCGCTACACTCCATGATGTTGGCTTAAGATGACAGTAAACAGGCTGAAAAAGGTAAGCTTGCATGTGGTATGACAGATGTTGCGCAGAGTTAACGTATGGCAGACTTAATAGGACCCCCTTCGATTCTATAGGTGGTACTGGCAAGTTTACGACGGCTTGGGATGACTGGGATGAAGATCGCTTGCTCCATGAATTTGTTTTGATCGCAGGCGTCTTGTTTTGTGAATCATTAGCCCGTATTATATAGCATGTCCTAGATTCTGCTGCTACGACAGTGGAATCATTCCGACATAGCTTGCCAATAAAAAAAGTTTACCATGACCATTTAAGTTTGCCAATGAAAATTACCCTTGTTTCTCCCCCAAAATAACTGTAATATGCGCACTTTCTCAATAATACTAAGGTCAACATCCACCATTCGCTTGCTAGCTGCCATTTGAACCGGGCCGTAGTTTCATACTAACGTTTTGTGCGCTGGACGATTTTCCCCATATTGTCTGTGAATCAGCCGTTATCGCGATTGTCGCCGATTGCGCTATCGGTGGGGTAGTTTTCATATGGGCATCACAGCCAAAACGACGCACTGAACGATGACGAAGGAAAAGGTGGCCTTCCTTGGACCGGTGTCCTCGTATTCACATCAGGTAGGTTTGATTTTAACTGCTCAATTTATTACACTCAGCTAATCACCTTGTGCCCCAGGCTACTCTGGGATGCTTCCCCGAAGCCGATTATGAACTTGTGCCCGTGGTGACAATTAGAGGTATTAAGCCAGGCCTTTGAAGATAGCTCCTTGTTACTCATGGCGAAATAGATATATTCGAAGCTGTGCAATCTGGAACAGCCTCACGAGGTGTTGTTCCCTTCGAAAACTCCACGAATGGCTCCGTAGTCTTCACGCTCGACCTCTTCGCGGACAGAGAGCTCTCATACCCCGACATATCCGTTTGCGGCGAGATATATCAAGATGTCCATCACTGCCTCTTGGGACACAAATCGAGTTCTCTACCACAGGATACAGACGGATCCTCTACCCCGACGCCTGCTGTGCCCAAGCCATTGAAGCCGCGGACAAAGCCGTTGTCGAGCTTAGACAAGATCCAACGAATATACTCCCACCCACAGGCCTTCGGGCAGTGCGAACTATTCCTAGGGGCATATCTCAAGGGCATCGAGAGGATCGATGTTACATCTACGAGCAAGGCGGCAGAGCTGGTAAAGGCAGATACAACTGGGACGAGCGCCGCTATCGCAAGCGAAGCAGCATCAGTTGCCCACAAGCTAGATGTGCTTGCGAGAAACATAGAAGATACAGTGGATAATACTACTCGATTCTTCGTCCTGAGAAAGGGCTTAGAGAACGACAAAGTGGACGATGCGGGTCTATTCACCCAAGCTGGAGCTCATGAGAAGAGCTTGGTTTCATTCACGGTGGACCACAAATCTCCGGGGGCACTCGCGGACGCATTGGACAGCTTTAAAAAGTACCAGCTGAACCTGACTAGTATTAATAGCCGGCCCAGCAAGATTCGCCCGTTCCAGTATATATTCTTCGTGGAGTTCGAGGGAAGCAAGCTCCACGATCCTCAGGGAGTTGTCAAGGGTGCCTTTGAACTTCTCGACAAGGCCGCACAGAGCTGGAGATGGCTAGGAAGCTGGACAGATCAGTTATCTGCGAAAATGGGAGCAAGATCGTGATTACATAGGCTAAAAGTAGATTCCAATGGAGCTGACTGTTCATTTACATTGTGCTTCGGGCGGGTTCCGTCGGTATATGCACGGACCATTAGCTGTGTCTCCCAAGGTTCCCGAGCAATATAAACCTTATCATTCAGACAATGATACCGAAAAGTGATCATCTTGGGCCATTGACGGCTGCAACAACAGACTATGGCGTCTTGGCCCAAAAGGCCCGGTGTAATAAAAGCATACCATCGCGCAATTCGACCCCTCCATGCAATCTCCGACTCCGGCGAGCACGCAAGGCACTCTGGTGTATGCCAGCGTCTGAAATCTAGGGCTTCAAACTCCATCTACGACAAACTAAGGCATGACAAGTCAAGCCCATATGCACTCCTCGAGATAACCTTGGCCAAATTCCTCCCCGATTCTGTCAATCGGACACTTCCGAAAGCATCGACAGGTGCTTGGCAGCTACCTGCTGGATATCACCTCGTCTTCTTCCCTCCGCCGACGGCGAACCTCCTCGCCGATGGCACCGATGACATGCACTTCCCCGGCAAGCCGTGGGTACGGCGCATGTGGGCCGGGGGGTCGATAGAATTCAGGACCGACGCTAGGCGCAGATACCTCACCTCCAAACACCGCCAAGACGATGCGCTGCGCTGCAACGAGCAGATAACGGATGCCGTGGTTAAAGGCAGCGTCGGGAATGAGAAGGTCTGGGTTGATATTACGAGGGCTATAGGTCCTACAAGAGCCTATCGGAAACTCAACTTGTCTGCGGCGGAGGCTGTCGACAAGGCGGCTATTATTGAGAGCAGGAATTTGGTCTTCATGCCCGCAAAGACACCCGAGGAGGCGATCGACGACGTTTCTAAGCCGACTCGAATCATAAAACGTGAGGCGCAAAGTCATTCTATACCCTAGATGCTATCTCGATATCGTCACTGACTACTCTACCTTAGCTACAATCAAGCCCGACTTCAGTGTATCCATAGTCCCCGACGCTAACCTGCTGTTCCGCTTCTCAGCATTAACTTTCAACGCGCACCGCATCCATCTAGACCGCGAGTACGCACGCACCGTAGAGGGATTCCGGAACCTTGTCGTCCATGGACCGCTTTCCATCCTCCTGATGCTGAAGGTGCTCAGTTCGCAGATGAGGGGCTTGGAGACGGGGATCCCGCAGATGGTTAAGTGTATCACTTATAAGAATTTGACGCCGCTTTTTGCGGACGAGAAGATGACGATCTGTGTCAGGCGTCAACCTCAGGCAAGTGCGGCTTCTACGGAAGTCGATGCCACCGAAACACCGATAGAGGCGGATAGCAAACAAGCTACGGCGGACAGTGGGATTACAAAGTGGGATGTCTGGATCGAGAATGCAGATGGAGGCTATGCCGTTAAAGGCACCGCGGAAACGGTGACTGCTGGATACGTCAGTCCTACGGATCCGAAGCGGCTGGTCCGCCTCGTCAAGGGATAGTGAGTCTTGGTAGTAGACCCTGAGTGAGAAAGCTTTATAGCATTATAGTAAGTGACAAGGAGTCACAAGAGTAAATTGGGTATACCTATGAGGACGCCTCCTACCTCCCCGTGACCAAATTTCCGTTTAAATACAACCCAGCCCAGCCATGTAGGACATACACACCGCCCCTCAAAACTCCGATATGTAGCCGTTAAATCAAGGTTCCCAGCATACCATCAAAGCGGCGATTGCACAGCCAAATTAGCAAGCCGAACCGCCTCAGCCATGGACGTCTGCGCCTCGCGCGTCTTTCCCTGGATCTCAAAACTGCGAGCCAGCAAGCCTTCCGCGGTACTCATCCACAGCAAATTCCCGCTCTTCTTCGCCTGCGTCGATGCGGCTACGGCACTTTTTTCGGCCTGGTCTCCCACGATCCCGCCAAAGTATTTCTCGCACATAAGATTAAGCACGACGCATATGAGGTGCACGTTCTTCATGTTCCTCGCCACTTCCATGGCGGCTCGTATGTATGCTTTTGACTGTGTCTGTGTGGTCGCCGGTCTGGTTTCCACCGAGGCCCGGAGAAGGTTATAGACAGCTTCTACCTCTTTGTTGGCATTGTTTGCGCCCCACGGCTCGAGCATTGCAAGCAGACGCGCGTTCTGCTCGAGATCAACTTGCGGGTCGCACTGCATTATCCACAGCGAGTTCATTGCCGCAAGGACAGACAATTCTCGCCGAACATGTTCTTCTGGAGAGCGTGCGATGTCGTCTAGCTTAGGTAGTGTGAATTCTTCACTCCTGTACAACTCTAATGCCCGTTCGAGGTCGCCCGTACCCTGGAAATACATGGCCGACAAGTAAATATACAGTTGCACAATTACCGGCCCCACAGAAGCGCCCATATCGCTGATGGCAACCTCGAACGCGTCCAGGTTCGCTTTGGCGGTCGTCCAATCTGTGGTGGAGATGGAGCAGAACACCATGTAGATGTAGAAGTAGCAGGTTATCATCCCGCGCCAGCGAATCTTCTCCAAAGCGCCTGGTAATGACCCGGAGTACTTAATCGTTTTCATGTCGAGACTCCTCTGCAACCCTTGCCGAAGGTATTTAAGAGCTGAGCCGTCCACAGCTGATACGTGAAGACGTATTATTCCCGTCAATAGATGGCTACAAAAGTTAGTCGCGGAAGTAGAGTTAATATTTTGTACTGATGGTACTCACCATAAGATGAACACGTCCGACTTGCCCATTAAAGTGACGAGTAGCATATCTCTCCCATCGTGGCCCAGTTTCAAGACCCCCGACGTGTCTTGACTCGAGATATGTGCATCACCTCGACCCCTATTTATAGGTAATTTCATCGCATCGGTAGACCTATTCCATTCTTCTGAGTCCGCAAATGCATTGTTTATCATATCCTGCATGGCCTTCAGTTTAGGCATTGTCTTGTCTGAAGAAGAATTGGTCAGGCTCGCAGTAGTATCTACAATGTGCCCAAGCGCTTGTAATGGCGGTATTGCGCACTCAGGATCTAACTGGTACATATTCACGGTCGCAAGCGCCCGCTCGATGCTTTCAATAGACCCCGAAGAAGGCATATGAAGGGAGGCGAGTGCATCCACGAGGGAAGCAATGGTCACTATAGCGTGGTCGCCGCGGTCGTTGGCGATACTGGATATGCTGCGAAGTGTTTGCAACGCCGAGTTTGCGTCTGAGCTGCGACCGGACTGCAGAGCAAGAGTAGCTTTTAAGAAACGGAAGACGTAAATCCAGGAGTGGTGTTGGTAGGCTTCAACATCCTTGATATAGCCATCCAACGCTTTCAGCGCCGCCTTTGGGCTTTTGGTGAACATGAGTTTGGCCAGTAGTACTTGCATGTTATACTTCAGGTCAAAATACCGGTTCTACCCCACATTAGCCGTGTCAAAGTGATACCGAGGGGTAACATACCTGCTCGCAAAGCGTTATTCCTTTGCTCAGAGCGGTTTCTGCCTCCATCACGTTGTCCGTATCCTCCAACAATACGCTTGCGTACCGTAAACGTATCTTTGCCTCGAGCCTCGGCTCAAGCCTTCCACTGTTTAGAGCCACTTCAAGGCACCCTAATCCTGTTGCAATCATCTTCTGGTAGCTGATCACGGCATTGGCATCCATGCGCTGAGCTGTCGCAAGTCCCACATCATGTGCAGCTGCAAAATACTCCTCCGCTAGCGCAGGTAATAGCGAATACGGGTCTATAGGCTGGAGAGGAGGCGGCTTGGGCTTCTTCACCACCGGCGGCATAGGATTATGGGCCATTCGCGCGTTGTCTTGTGGTCGCGGTTGTTGTCGTGGTTGTTGTCGTGGTGCCTGAACCTGTGGCATGGGCGTTGGAAGGCTAAGTTCGTCATAAGATCTATCATATTGAGATGGGTAGCTCTGGACAGGCGCATATTGTGGTTGCCGTGGGTCTATGTACTGAGCGTAGGACTGTGGCTGCTGAGGCGGAGGAGGTGGAGGTTGGTAGTAAACGGGCTGCTGGTTATGGACATAAGGAGCTTGCCCATATTGACTTTGTTGATAGTATGCTGCTTCGTTCTGTGCCTGCATTGCCTGGAGTTGTTGCATGCTTATCCGTCCTTGAGTATATGCGCCAGGTGATGGTGCCGTTTGTTGTTCGGGGTGTGGAAGATACGCGCCCTGCGGCGGCCGGTCATTATAATTTCCATGCTGGCCATATACGGGAGGGTATCCGTTCCCATACCCTGGCGGGCCCTGATATGACATGTTCTCAGGGTTGATAATGCATGCTGCCTTGCTGCCTCACATCGAATTTAGAGGTTCCTCTTTGGGTCGCGCGGCTGAAGATGGACGCTATGGACACGCATAAGCGCGAGAAGCGCGCCTATTTGTGCCGAGGTACACCAATTGCCACCCCTGAGGATCCACAAACGGGGCTAGAATCTATTCCGAGATTGATCGCCCCCCAGAGTGGCGGGTAAAATATCTCTAGGGTGGTATTCTATCTTTCTTCTCTAATTTATTTGTATTTGGATCACTCATTTATCCAGTTCATTCTTTGTCTAATCGTTGAGACCTATAATACCCAGCCTAGACCCCTACCTGTCAGACGCATAAGCAGCAAACTGCCGCAAATGGAGTGGCTTGGGCACGCCAAGGTTGGCTTCGTTACCTCCCCTGAACCTCTCCAGTTTAAGACAAAAGATGGAGAAGAAACGGATTTGCTTCGGATAGTTGAGAAATCGACACCGCCATGCCGATTGAACCCGTGGCTATTCAATGGCCACCTTCAGACGGCCATGACTGTCCTCAAGCCAGAGGGACCAGCCGTTCATTATAAGCGGAAGATCTTCGATGCTGAGGACCCTGCATACGAGGGAAACTTTGCTGTCGATTTTATTGTTCCGCCTTTTGAAGGCGCAGAAGAAGGCCTACCTCCCCGAACCATATATTATGACAAACAGGAGCTTCAAGAACTCGAAGCTGGGTCGTTGGACAGTCGTCCCATGATTGTTGCTCTTCATGGCCTTTCAGGGGGGTCCTTTGAAATCTATTTACGTCACGTGCTGGCACCTTTGATGGACAGCAAGGGGTGGGAGGCATGCTGCATCAACTCGAGAGGTTGTGCAGGGCATATGATATCGAGCAGCATCCTTTACAACGCGAGAGCAACATGGGATACGCGGCAGGTGGTGAAATGGCTCAGGTTGAAATATCCGAATAGACCTCTTTTCGGAATAGGGTTTTCACTCGGTGCCAACATCCTTACGAATGTAAGATACTCCTCCGAACTGATCACGGAATTTCACTAACGCAATGTAGTACATTGGAGAAGAAGGAGAGTCGTGCCAATTGAAGGCAGCTGTTGTGATTTCAAACCCATGGAATCTCGAACTTGGGAGTATGGCTCTGCAACGAACCTGGATGGGCAAAGAAGTCTACTCCAAAGTGATGGCTGGCAACATGAAGAAACTAGTAGAGCGTCATGCGGAGCAAATCGAAAAGCACACTAATATCAACATGGACCGTGTTAGGAACGTCACGTATTTGCACGAGTTCGACAGAGAAGTTCAAGGCCCGACATGGGGATACCCAACGGAAGGGGCTTACTACAGAGATGCCTCCTCTGTCGACTCACTTCTGGGAGTTCGCATCCCTCTCCTTGCAATCAACGCCCAAGATGACCCAATCGCCATCGACGAAGCCATCCCATACGAAGAGTTCAAGCAGAACCCGTATACAGTCCTGTGTACCACATCGTTAGGGGGACATCTTTCTTGGTTTGAAACCCTCAGCAACGGAGACCGCTGGCACGCCAAACCGGCAGTCAATTTCCTGAACAGCATGGCTCTTGATGTAGATATGAATTCGATGATCCCGCGCAAGGTGAACGTCGGCGTGGAGACCGCCAATGGACACTCTCAATTTACACCTATGCGACGAAAGCTCCACGTCCAGGGAGCATAGGCAAGGCTCAATCTTCAAGAACAGTGGACGGCGGCTCTACATTCAAACTCTGTGCACGAGGGTGTTATACTTAGGGATGGTAACCATGGACTCACTGTTTAGGGATAATAGATAGGAGGTCCACTTCCAAAACGATAGCGTGGAATGGACTGCGTTAGAGTTGATTTGACTGTTTTGCTCCGAGCGCTTTATACCTTTGCATGTGGAACTTGGATGTGCATTAGATAGATATAGACGGAGTTTTCAATAATCAATCATGAGGGCCAATTTTCTTTGGCGCTGGATGCCAATCACGTTCCATCTTCGCCAGAGGGCCACCAACACCATGACTCCGAACTTGTACTATAGACGGATCTTGGGCACTGATATCAACATATGACAGGTGGAACCCAATATAATAAGGCCAATTTTCATATTCTTTGGTATCGGTTTCAGCAATTCAGCTGATCCAGGACAACGCCTATAAGCCCCGCCAATAACGCCTCCCCACCCATTTTCACAGTGTCCCAACAATGCTATATCCCAACCTACATCTTTGCTTCGTCTGCCTCGGCTTCCGTCTACGCAAAGCTGACGCTCTTCTTCTTAACCTTCAGCGGTTTCGTGCCCAGCCTCTCCTTCGTCTCTACGCCCTCCATGGCGTCACCACCCGCCTTCTCACGCTTCCTCTTCTTGCGCATGCCATCTTTGGTCTCGTCCAACTTCGCCTTTCGGATCTCTATCCTCTTCTCCTGCTCTGCCTTGCGGGCCTCGCGGATCTCCTCCATCTGGCGCGCCTTCATCATCTTCGACTCAATTTGGCCATCCTTGTCGGCATGTACCATCGCCAGAATCGTAAGCATGGATTCCTATTTTGAATTAGTAACTATATCCTGTATTCCAATTGCTACCTCTCATCTGTAGCAATAATCTCAGGATCGACATACCCTATCATCGATGAAAACTTTTCCCTTCTTCCCCGTCTTCGGCTTCTCAACGCCCACGGGTGTAATCATATTCAGAGCCGGAATATTCAGCTCCTTCTCGGTGTACACCCGCCTCTTCTTGAATCGCGGCTTTCCTGTTCCCTTTGCTGTCTTCGGCGCTTCCTTCTTCTTCTTGCTCACGCCGTCATTCTGGGGCCTCGTTGAGTACTTCGAGTTCGAGATTCCGGAACCGTTGGCGCTGCGCTTCGAAGCGTGCTTGTTCTTCACCGTCGAGGTCTTGGATGGCGCCATTACAAAGGTTGTCCTGCAATTGGTGCTTGAAGAATGGGGTATCTTATGTTTGGAGCTCCAAGACAGGCGATAAACCGAAATAATTTTGGGCTGCATGAAAATTGGCGGGGCGCGATAAGTTTCCGCTCCGCTCCGCCCTGGATTGCCACGCTATCGGGCGGAATGGTCTTGGCATATATTTCTCAGGATTATTCAGGTACGGACTGCAGATTTATTTGAGTTAACTTTTAATTTGTTACTACTACATAGATAGTCTAAGTGCTCAATGTGCCCTTGGTACTCGGCACTTCCCCTTCCCGTCCTGCAACCTTTGTCGTCGCCATCCGTAAAGCCACAGCCAGGGCCTTGAACGCACTCTCCGCTCTGTGGTGGTCATTGAAGCCCCGCAGACAATCCACATGGATGGTGACCCTCGCCGCCTGGGCGAAGCTCTCCATGCAGTGAGGAATCATCTCGCAGCTCAGGTCTCCGATCTTCTCGCGCTTGAGACCGAGCTCAATGATGGCATAGGGCCTGTTCGAGAGGTCGACAACAGCGCGGGACAGGGCCTCGTCAAGAGGGCAGTAGGCGGACCCGAAGCGGGCAACGCCAATAGGCGCACCGAGGGCTTCCTTAAAGGCAGAGCCAAGGGCAATGCAGACGTCTTCTGCGCTGTGGTGGTCATCGACTGTGAAATCCCGTTAGCTTCCTTCCGCGATGTTTGTACGACTGTAGACTCACTGTGAAGATCACCCTGACACCTGATTGCTAAACTCCACCCCGCATGCTTCGCCAGCGCATGCAACATGTGGTCCAAGAATCCAATTCCGGTGTTTATGCTAATCGTCTGGCTCTTCGTAGCCTGACTTGCATGGCCCTCCAGGGACGCAACGAGGCGCTCGTCAATGCCCTCGGGGAAGGCACCCCCATCGATGTTGATGGCCAACTGGATCTTCGTCTCGTTGGTGTCGCGCGCGAGGACCGCGGCGCGAACCCGTTGTGCTTCAGAGCCCATTGTGAGTGTATTAATCGAGTTGATTTGGTTTGACTTTCAATGCCTCATCCCACCAGGCATTTTTGGCCTAGTCCGCCACCATTGGTCTGGATTCCAGAAATCCGGGAAAAACTGTTACGCCGAGCGATGCAAACAGAGCAAACATAGCTGTGGAAATATACTACCAGCTATGGGCACCCCGCCGAAACAGCTGTTTCGTATGACTTGGGAATATCCTTGGATGCTCTCTAAATTAAAGGCGACACCGATGTGAGGCTCGAATAGTCTAATAATGAAGACTCACGGCACTTTGCGAGATGATGAGGCCACTGGCGCCGCTTGGGAAGCTGCGCGGGGAGCTGTCGTCGGTTCGAGCAAGGTACGATCCAGTGGGGTCTCATACAATGGCATGCTGTGCTGGAACTAATACACGCAGTGGGGTATTGGGGCAGCCATACTGGCTGCTACAGGATATAAGATATCACCGATATATCGCGGCCTCACTTTTCAATTCAAGGTGTAAGCTTCTCCGCGGACGGACTGTTCGGAGAGATTCTCAAGGCGATTTGCTGATGGTGGATGTGATCTAGGTTTATACAGATGTCCGCGATGATAATGGGAGGCATGCTGGAGGCGGATCGAAGGCTCCGAGAGCACGAGGCAAGGATTCGGGTTCAGAAGAAGTTGGGAATCGGACTCGACAAAGCCTCTTGGGAGAAATATGAGCAGGACGTTAGGGCTGAGAAGGCCCGCATAATAGCACGACAGAACGCGGAAAAGTGACATGTATAACATAAAGAGCATGAAGCTCTCAAAACTTTAATTTATACCAAATACCCTACTCCATGCCTGGGCCCCTTTTGACCATGAACGCCAATGCTATGCCTTCTCGTTCGTTATATTTCATGCCTTTTTCGGCGCAAACAGCTTCGGATCCATATTCAGCTTCGACAGCCTTGCAACACACGCGCTCAGCTGGAGCAAGCTCTGCACGCCCTCTAAAATCTTCATATGTGTGAAGCCAATCTCCTTAATGAACTCAAGTTTCGAGTGCTCACTCAGCGTCGGAATCGTTTTCGTCACCCTGAACATTGTGCTGATAATGTCATGACTCGAGTATCCCAAGTCCCACAGCTCCTTCAGCGATTCCAGCGCTGCGTCTACCTTCCCCTCGTAGCATGACTTGAGCATTGCCTGCACTTTGATTGGGTGCGGCGAGTCGACGACCTTGAAGACATTATCTCCGCTCACGAAACCAAAACCTGCCCAGGTTGACTGGCAGTTGTTAATCGCCTGCCGCATGTCACCCTCTGCACTGAATACAAGCGCGGCCAATCCATCGTCGCTGTATTCCACCTTCTCCGCCTCGATAATCTGGAGCAGGCGCTTCACGACTTGTGCATCCGTTAGCCTTGCATAGCGCAAGATGGCACAACGTGACTGCAGGGGCTCGATGATCTTGTTTGACTGATTGCACGCGAATGCGAAGCGGGTGGTCGAAGAGTAGATCTCCATGGTGCGACGCAGGGCTTGTTGGGCACCAGACGTCATGCTGTCGGCCTCGTCGAGAATGACAAGCTTTTGGCGCCCTTGGGGCAGCGTCACTTTCTTCTGGGCGAAGCCCTTGATACGGTTGCGTACGACGTCGATACCTGGAGCAACGGTGTCAGCTTGCTGCCGATGCAGCCCGTTTAAGTGTATTCTTACCTCGCTCGTCTGATGCGTTAAGCTCTAATACCGCTTCCTTGTAGGATTCGCCCAATAATTGGCGTGCTAAACAGAGTACTGATGTTGTCTTTCCAATACCAGGCATACCGGATATGATCATGTGGGGCATGTTCCCCTCCTTTGCGATAATCTTGAGGCGCTCGATAGTTTCGACGTTTCCAACAACATCGTCAAGGAAAACTGGTCGGTATTTCTCAACCCTATATCTATTAGTTCATGTCGGTACAGGTCAAAGCTGCGCCCATACCATGGCAGTTCGTAATTCGTCACCCCTGCTCCATTTGCCTTTAACACCTTCTTCGTGGCCGCAGTTGACGATTCGCCCGTCTCCTCGACAGATTTTGGCGCCATGCTTGTGAAAATTTTCAGGCCCAATTCTTGAGTTCCTTGGTCGTTACTGTGTAGTAAGAATATGCTTTTCTAAGGGTTGTGGTTGAGCTTTCGCAAGAGCAGTGTCACAAGGCTACGGAAATTATTGGGCTTGGGCTGGATCTCGAGGTTGACGCGAAGCGCGTCTGCTAGCGTGCCATCAATGCTAAAGTGGCTTCGCTACCACGTGATACATGTCGATGAAACACCAGCAAAGCAAAGCTTTTTATCGATGAAGCTAGCTTTTACTTGTACCTTGTGAGTTTAACTTTATCTATATACCATTTGACGATTTGCACGGTGCAAGGTCTCGAGTGCGGCCGACGATATTCTACCACGTCGTGCTTTGCGGCATTGGCTTCGAAAGATGCCTCCGTCAGCAATGCGTCAGGTTTCATTACAACCCTCACCCAAAATCGGAAAGTCGCACTTGATAATGTCAGGCCGAGCTAAGTGTAGGAAGGAATTTCTTGCAGAGCTTCCTGGCTCATTGTTATGTAACCATATGTATGCGCTGTATTTTCCCGGCGGGCGGGCTAAATTACTTGGTAAGAGGCTCAACAACTCTACCACACATTTTTTATTCCTGTGCACTTCAAAAACTTGTCTGCCGCAGAGATACGGTGGTTCTTCTCTGTATCTCGCTGTCCTCCCTAGACATCAAGAGCCTATCACAAGAGAAATGTGAGTGAAGCCCCATGCAGATATCCGATGTGCGGACCCGAGGGGAAGTTACTATGGGGGTGGCCGCGTCAGCGACGACATACGTAGGCCATAGCTTACAACCTCATGATCCGCAATCCTTGTCTACCACATTTCACACAGAAAACAATGAGACTAAACAGACCGTGCTTACCGTCTGGCCTCTAGTTTCTGTGAATCCGGATATTATTATCTTATCTGTGTTCTAGTTTTCCTTTTTGTTTCTTCCATTACTCCCTCCCTCTTTCCTTAATTCGATCTAAGACATCCTGGAACCAAGGGTTCTAGTTTTTGGTACGTCCGACTCATGTCGCCACCATACCTATTTTCCCAACTCAGTAACTGCTGTAAAGCAGCTGTGCTATGATTCTCCTTCTTCTTAATTGTTTCAATACGATATACACTTTTGCTTCTTATACCCTGTTCTAAGGAGCATTTCGCCGTCGTCTGTAACATTCTGGCTCTCGTGGAATTTGTTGCCTTGCCACATCTTATCATAACACTACACCACATTCAAAGTCGGATACTAAGCGCCAGTCACGCCATTATTGGAACTGCATCCCTAAAACAAACTCTGGGGACCGGGGATTTTTGTCTTGGACCCGTGGGCCCATCAACAAAGGCACATTGCCGTCTGGGAAACCCTTTCAACGGGTTTGCTAAAATCTGACCCAACTCCGCCACGCTGCCTCGTTGGCAGTGCGCAAGTCATTCTAGCACCGGCTAGCGCAAATCTGCTAAGTTTATACTTCAATGAATGGATTCCCTTTGCTCGGGAGCCCAGGCCTAGTCCCACATATCTAGCCTTTGGCACCCAGCGTCCCGCCACCAGAAGCACTAATATACATATACCGCCTGCCTTCCATTCCTAGCCTGGACTTTGTTGCTTCAGTCATTCTTTATTTGCTTTCCGCATCATGAAGTGCACATTCGCTTTGGGGCTCACGGCTGCATTCCTGTCTCCGCTGATCGATGCTGCCGCCTTACACAATCAAAATGATAGGCCGCCAAGAGCTGTCGGCTTGCCTATCAAGAGGGAACCCGCTGTAGATCCGATAGAGGCGGATAGAACTCGAATGCGTAAAAGAGATACGTTGGAGGCAACACTAGACAATCTGGTATGTAAATTTCGCCGCAGTGAATAATAAACAATGACTAATGGTATATTAGCAATCGTTATATTTTGCCAACATCACGCTCGGGACACCTGCTCAACATCTTCGGGTCCACATTGACACTGGGAGCAGTGATCTATGGGTAAATTCTGCAGGTTCAAAGATATGCACTGGCACTTCGACAGTTCCTGGCGAGTGTGAAGAATCAGGCACCTATTCGGCAAACTCGTCTTCTACATATAAATATCTCCAGAGCAACTTCAACATTACTTACATGGATGGATCGGGAGCAGCAGGCGACTATGTATCGGACATGATGATGATAGCCAATGCCGAAATAAAAGACTTGCAGTTCGGCGTTGGCTACCAGAGCACTTCGGCTGAGGCTGTTCTTGGCCTTGGCTACGTATCCAACGAGGTTCAGGTTGCCAATCTTGGCCTGAAGGCTTATAACAACGTTCCCGCAGCTCTAGCTGCCCAAGGCACCATCCCATCAAATGCTTACAGTCTCTGGCTCAACGACCTCGATTCTCATTCTGGCAATATCTTATTTGGTGGTGTCGATACCGAGCGCTTCACTGGTACCCTCGAGACTCTCCCAGTTCAGAAAACAAGCGCTGGCTACACAGACTTCCTTATTACTCTGACAAGCCTCTCATTTGGAGGCAAGACACTCATTGCGAAGCAAGCCCAAGCCGTCCTCCTCGACAGCGGTTCCTCTCTCACCTACCTGCCAAACGCCATGACGAACGCCGTCTACGAGGCCATCGGCGCACAGTACGACTCAACACAAGGCGCAGCCTTCGTCCCCTGCTCGATGAGGTCCATCAACGAGACTCTCGACTTCACATTCACCTCCCCCATAATATCCGTCCCTCTAGACGAACTCATCCTGGACATCCCAGAAACAAACAACCAAACCGCGGTATTCCCAGGTGGTGAGCCAGCTTGCCTCTTCGGCATTGCGCCCTCCGGAGTCACCGTACCCGTCTTGGGCGACACGTTCCTCCGGAGCGCATACGTCGTGTATGACTTGGGGAACAATGAGATCTCATTGGCACAGACGAAATTCAATGCAACTAAGAGCAATATCGTGGAGCTGAGTTCTGGGAAAGATGCAGCTGGTATTGCGACGGCTGTTTCGAACCCAGTGGCTGCCACGGCTGGCGTGGGGAAGAGTAGTGACGAGAGCGCCGCGGGTAGGAGTATGAGAGTCTCGCTGACGGCGGCTGGGCTCTGTGGGGTTGCAGCCGTGTTCACCGGACTCATGTAGATGAGGGGTACTTGATGGATATTAGCGATGGAAATTGTGGGCGTATTGTTTTCAGAGGCGTATTTGTATTTACGGCGCATTTGTCATTGGGTGGGTGGACTGGAGTAGTGGTGGCGGAATAGCAATCGAAGCGAAGGGCGGAAAGAGGCTGTACATGACAACAGTAATTTAGTATAAAACCATCATTGCCATCAACGGGCCCGTATTAGATTCACAGCTGATGCATTCATATGTCCAACAACTTTAGTAATAAAGGGTTATGTGTCTTTTATCCCGTCTCTATATTTTGACCGTTATTCACCATTTTAACAATCGGAGTGAGGGCAATAGTTCAGAGTATGTATAGATACTCTCGGGCACGGAACTAGCTAACAATATACTCGAGATCTATGCTACTTCATGTAAACAAAGAGTAATTGTTAGGAGTACGGACGAGAAGAGTGTCTGTTACCCCAGGATAGATGGAGAGTTTCTGTTATTAGTAAATAAGAGAATGGCGGCTGTTATGATAGGATACGAGAATAGTGCTTATTAACATAAAAGAAGGGAATAGTAACTATCACGATAGTATACGAGAACAGTGCCTATTATAACAAGATAGATGAGGGGCGTCTATTATATGTATCAAGTCCAAGATTGAGTACAAGCTCGAATAACTAAATTATTTCGATTTCACTCGTATTCCTTGCTTACTCAGGAGCAAGCAGCGTTTGCTAAACAGATTTATCTCATACATAAGTATAGCAAAGCCTTCCAGCCTGGATATCCATAACTTCGCTAATCTTGACAGATGATGAGCTGGAAGCCAAATGCTTGAAATCCATAGCATAGTCCAGAGTTACGTTCGTGGACGTAGCAGGCTCAAAAAAGTCAAATGGCGCTGTGAATTGAACAGTCGGGCCTGCGATGTCTTTGCTGCGGCGAGAAAAGTCTGTGTCATTAGTTAATTTGCGTAAATAGAAAGCAGCAGTATAAGACTAGTTGTCTACCCACCGACACGCTGCCAGAGATTCCACAAGCGATCCATGTTTGCATGATGTAGAAAGAAGAGCGGATCTTGGGCAGCTTTTAGTAAGTGTCTCAAAGATAAGTAGGAATTGATGAGTTCATACCTCCAGGGCTTGCGTAGACATCTCCCATCTGTAAATTAAGTCAGCTCTCGCGTTTTACATAGCTGTTATAAAGAAAGATAAACTCACGGTTCCAAGATCACCTCCAACGGAGAGATGCCCGCCGCCATGATAAGTTAAACCTGCGACATCGATAGAGCCCTGAACGGCGACATCGAATTTCGAGAACGTAGTTTGTAGAAAGGGTGTAAAGGAATTGATGAACTGCAGCTTTTGTGTTGCCAGCCAAGGGCTAAAATCGCGGGTGAGACAGTGAGGATTGTAGTCGTTGTTAAGACCTGTAATATATAAGCTATAGCTTGATAGACTGGTTAAGGGAGCTGTTACCTGGTCCCATGTTCACAGACATATCCAGAAAAGGTCCGTTTAAGACGCACCCTAGATTCAGAACAACGTTAGGATAATTGGAAGATTATATGCTGTAGAATCTAACTTACCTCCTCCTGTTTTCCCAGGGATGTGGAGGCGAACACTGGCATCGTCGGTGGAGTTGATATATGGCCCATTTCCTACAGTATATATTAGCGATATATCAGGTAGCAATTTGTGAATTTCAAACCTCCAAATCCTGTTGCTGGATCAAAAACCGGGGACGCCAGAAAGGCTGCCTCGGACCAGGAATCCAAAGACCAATCTAAAAACCATTAGGTCTAACCTAACATTTCTAGAAGGGGAGGGCAAACCCCAATATCTGTGCTCGGATTAGCATGAGTGGTCAAAAGAGTGGAAAATAGTAGGTACGCACGGTTGAGCTCCAGTGTATCCACATTCACTGCGTAGACTTGCTTCATAAGTTGCGACAAAGAAACGATGCCATCTGGTTGGTGTTAGATGTGCACCTTGAGTTACAGTAAGAACCTCTTACGGTTGGAAGAATCCCTGTATATTCCATAATTGTAAGTTATCGTTCATTGGACAAAGACATAATTGTGATAGACATACCACAAAATGGATAAAGTCTGTTTGGTTGATGTGCAAGCCCAGGAAATCATCAAAGCGAGACCGAACTCCGGGGTAAAGGTCTCCCAGAAGACCTGGCTTGGTCTGCATGCATCGCACAGCTTTAATATAAGCTTGCTTCTCCGAGGCCCGTAGGGTTCTCCTATATGAAAGGAATGATCAGAACGCGAATATTCCCAAGACTGGACCGTCCCCCGCGCCTATCATCTCGGGTGTCACGTACCACTCCTTTCGCTGCAAGGGCCGAGTGCAAGTGGCGGCAACCTGGCTTAACAGCAGCCCGAAGGCGAGGGCTGAAACAAACTTCGAAAAGGAGTGCATATTGATTTTGTGTACTGTGAAACTTTGAGAACAAAAGATGTACAGGAGTTAAATGGAAGTATGAGACATTCTTATGGACCAAAATCTCTCCCACATACGCGTGGCTGCTGGGTTTAAAGAAATTACAAACTAGAAGCGGACTAGAAGCGAAGAAGAAATGTTACAATAGGCCTGTCAATAATTCAACCCGGAAATTTAGAAATGTATGGCAATATTAATCGGAATAATTGTTGTTGGAAATCGCAGGGGACGGGCGTGGGATTCGACGATTTCAACCTAGCTTAGGTGACATGCTAGAGTCATGCCAATTAGCTCCCATACGCTATGGCTGACCCACAGCTGAGAAGGCATACATGTGAAGATCCAACTCGCATTGGCGTTTTGTTAAAAGAGTAGATAGTAGATCGCTACAATCGTTTGGGGAGACAGTTTGGACTGTGTATGGCCTTTTGATCCGAAAGCCACTAGAGTTGGATTATTCATTATCCTACCAGGTAAAATTTAAGGCTCGGAATAGGTAAGTTTACCTGTTGGTAATGGACAGCCCAATAGGAAATTTATCCTACAGCCGCCTCCTTGTCCCGTCTGATCCAAAAGCAATATATGAGCCTATAACGATGAAACCAACAATATAGCTCAAGCGGCCAGTAGTCAAAGCGCTATTACAGACAGGCCTGTGCACTAATTGCAGCAATAAAGCGGGTTTTACACCTGTTTGTGCACAGACAGACCCATACGGGCCGTACTATAGGGCCGTACTATGGGGCTACTAGGGCCGCGCGGCACAGGGTTGGAGAATTGAACATTGCAACCTGGACTTCGTAGGAATGATGGGTACAGATTTGATCTACATGTCGTGGCTATAAATCCGAATCGTGTTGTCTGTCTCGAATCCTCTAACTTAGGTTGGGTTTGAAGAACGACTTTCAATCTTTAATCCGACGACTGGTTGAGATCTGATATTTTGAGATGGCATTGCTTGCGTTACTGGATGAAACTCAAGAGCTAACCGACCACTAAAGGCGTCCAATTTTGCTTCTAATTAACTAGACCCTGTTGTAAATCCAACTGTTGGAGCCAGCAAGGCAACCAATAGCTTTCCTTGCCTTGCTAGGTAGAGTCTGACACCAGTCAAAGCGGTGCACAGGCCAGCAAGTAGGCCTACAAATAGGCCTAGTGTATGTCAGTTCTGTTGTTCCCGCCGCCAATGCTTAAACAAAAGGTCTCATCATGCGCTAAAGCACAGACTTTCGTATACTATAGGTAGACAATTCAATCGATTTTATATATTTTATATATTTTATATACTGTATTTACTTGTGATATTCCTCGGCACCATTTGCACAGTGGGAAGATTAGGAATGCCGGACATTATTGCCCGTTTTGGGTGTTCGAACACCGTATTCCCGGCTTGATCCCTAACAACAATGCTATGCCCTGCACTGCATGTGTAATTTGGCACGCCCATGCCTCTGATGCCGCGCTCGAGCGCCTTCAAGGATTTACCCTGAAAGCCGCCACTTTGTGCTGTAACTTCTATCGAAGAACCTGGTTTCATCTAGGGTACCTACCATAACAGTCAAGTTGGCATACCCGCCATGTCTGTTCCGGGGCTTGAGCACTTTCAATTGCCTTACAGCTGAAAGCCTTACCAAAGTCAACCCGTATACTATATAGAACTGGCTCTCTTCGTCTAAGAAGAACACATGCATCAGAGATCCAGCCATGCCATCTAAACGTGGAGATATTTTGTTTCGCCTCAATGTCTGCCTCATTGTTATCTCTACCATTTTTATCTCCATTCGTCTCTATGTTAGAGGTATCATGACTAACACTCTCGGGTGGGATGATCTATTTGCGGCAATGGCATTTGTATGGTTGTTGACTCTTCGATCGTGAAAAGAGGCTTATAGTATCCAGGTGGTCCTGCTGGCATTGTCGGCCCTTGAGATCAAAGGCATGCTCATCATCATAAAATCGGTCGTATGATAGCGTCTAACGGATATTATGAGTATAGAGGTAGGGCTCGGCGCTGGACAACCACAAGATAGCTTGGACCCTGAGATTTTAGCAAAATTCTTCTCTGTCAGTTCGCTACCAGAAAGAAACAGGAGTATCAAATACTCATGGTTTTCAGATACTTCCAACGATGCAACTGGTGTATTTCGCAGCCACAGGCCTCGTGAGGCTTTCAATTGTCGCATTCCTCCCTCGGTTGAACAATAATAGTAAGCAATTCTCCAGAAAGCATAACCACTTGAATTAATGGACCCTCCTCAGAAAAGTTCCTCTACCTGGTTTGGGGATTGGGCTTCATTGTTGCCAGCACATCCATCGTGTGCTTTATGGTAGAGCTTTTCGAGTGCAAGCATGTCCCGTAAGGTTTCCCCAAATCCTCAACTCACATCCTCATAAAGTCGGCTACCATCACTGATACCTTTTCTCCCCCATTATAGAGACCTCTGGGACGGCGCAGCCCCAAATCGACAATGCATGCCAAAGTCCAAAGAAGCCTACATGTTCTGGACCCACGCCGCCATTGGCGTTGCAGTTGATGTTGCGCTGCTGGTAGTTCCTATTGTCCTCGTGTACAAGAAGATGATGTTCTCGCAAAGATCAATTAGAGTTATGATTGTGCTAAGCGTTGGTAGGACGATTTCTTTGCCAGGATAAAACCGAAACTAATCGTCGTAGGCATCTTTGTCGCCGTAACGGGAATAATACGTCTCATTATTATTGTTAACGTGGACTTCTCCGTAAACACGTATGTCTTCCGTTGGTTTAATAGTCAGTTTTGAAACTTGGACTGTGGCTAATTTTCCATAGAACTTACCAGCTGCCTACCGTCGCTGTCTGGACAGATCTAGAGGGCCATGTTGGACTCTGGGTGTCGTGTTTTCCCGCTCTACAACCACTGCTGCGTATTATGGCGGTAAAGCTGGGGCTCCGCTCCAAACTCGACTCCTCGAAACCACAATACGGAGGGACCGGCGGGGCCTCTAGTGGTCCGAATCGTGACAGACGTGGATATGTGCAAGGTGGCAGTCGTTCTCATATACGCATCAAGGATACATGGGATACAGACAGTGTGCAACCGGTTGTGGTCTCTGATGTTGAGGCTGTGCCAATGCATTTATTATTTCCACGCTCACAACCTGACCGATTAGTTGACGGCTCGAATGGGATTACTAAAACGACACAAGTAAGTATAGAGACTCTAGATGGGAAATGTGGTGAAAATCACACAAATCGCAGTTGGGTTGCGATCTGAAAAGATCTAGTAGTAAATCCACTGGCCAGCAATGGTGATCCGCTGCTTCCAGCCCGTACTATGAAAGTCATGTTTGTGTGCAAGTCACCTGGCCTCTAATACGCTAAGCTGCATTAGTCGCGGTGAACAATGTCCAGATACAAGCTCGGCCGGAGACATGAAAGCCGCAGCTTATTGATAGAGTATAGGAAAATAGGACGAATTTTATACATCGAGCTTTATTTATATTAAGTGCTTATCTCCCTCGTATGCGTAATTGAATACTCGACTACACAGCATCAGTACCATTCCTCGACGCTCATCATGCCACCTACGAAAGGAGCCGGTATCGTCCTACGACTCTTCAATCCAACGCATGGAGCAAAAGTAGGTCCAGAAATCTACGTTCCTGGTTCTGATATCACCCATATAACAACCATTGCATCCACGGACGACAAAGTTCAAACGGGCGCGCCGAGCGCAAGCTTCGCATATCACGTGAAACATATCTCAAAGTTTTTGATAGAAGGCGCCTACGAGCGAGGCCCAGCTCATGCCGAGGCCGGCCTCATCCAATGTTTCGTGTACAAACGAATCAGCAAACTATCGCGGGATGGCCATGAACTATCTGAAGGCGGCGTTGCTCCGCCTGGATCAGTGATGGTCTGTGTAGCCATCACACCAGGAGACACTGAAGATTACTCAAAGTGGTACGATGAAGAGCACCAGGGAATGATCACTAAGGTTCCTGGCTGGATAAAAAGCGAGCGTTATGAGCTAGCAAAGGCGTATGGTTCTCAAGTTGGCGCCGCACCATTTCTCGCTGTGCACTTTTATGATGAGAAGAATGGATTGGGTGGTCCGGAGTGGAGGGCAAGTGTTGAAACTATCTGGTCGAAGAAAATCAGAGAAAATGTGGTTGTGCCTCATTATAGGAGGGTGTGGAAAGTTGTAGAGCAGAAGGCTGTTTAGTAAATAGCTATGAATCAATACAGCCCGGGGATTATCGTATCACGAGTATCCCCATCTTTAAATAAGCATGTCCTCTTTGTCGAAGCTCAATTATTAGGTGTTGAACTCTTCTAGAAGTTCTGATCAAAGCCAGGCATAAACTGTTGGTCTGTGGTGAAGAGGCCAAATAGGGAATCGTCCATCAACCCTTGTCCGTACGTCATTGTATCAACCCAACTATTATCTTGCCAGATTTCATTATTAAGATTTTCTTGAGGCATCCCATCGATGTCTAGGGTATCCCTGTGGATGCTCTGGCTAGCAATTGCACATCCCTGAGTAACTACTTTCTCGGCACTTGTATTAGTTGAGATTTGGGGCTGCGTAGCTGCTCCATGATGCTGTGTTGTAGGATATGTTTCAGCTGGATTTCCAGTCGGTATGCTTTGGCCAAGGCGATTCATTAAAGTCTGCAATATTCTTAGTGGCTTGCCGAGACCTGAATTGCAACCTCGCTGTAGATCTTGCAGGGCAGACCAGAAGAACTTTATGCAGTTGACATATTCACTAGCATCATTTTGCGTCTGGTTTAACAATACCACGATTGCAGAATAGGTGGCGTACGAGATGAGATAAGGTGCACGCCGTAGAGTATGTGCACGTTTGTAAACGTCGACAAGGCGCCAAATCCGAACTGCTGCGTTATTGCACTTAGCTTCATTTGTGGACTGAGAACTTTCATCTGCCAAGGAGGAGAGGTGGCCGGTAGAAAAAAAAGGTCTCTCGAGAAGTATAGTAAGAGTATAGTATGTGGTACTAAAACAAATTAGCATACTGCGATAATATAGCTAGAACCTCACTTACTATGGTGTGATTTGATTTGGCGGTGGCGGTGAATCATTTTCTTCGTCAAATTGAAGGTGTTGAGGAACAGAGGCCATCCAGTCGTCTAGGTCCAACTGGATCTCCTGTTTCCTCTTTAAAAGTTGGTCTCTTTCGGCTCTTATACTATTAATTGTGTAGAAAGTACTCGCTATAGCGTGTGCAATTTCAGCAAGCGTAATGTGCAATTGAAATGTGCTAACAGCGTACTGTGGTTGTTGTCGATAAGTCGATGTAGTTGAATCCTGCGGAGTAGTAGAAGGGTCCGTATATGGTACCCAATTTTCCAACTCTTCGTATTCATCAAGAAATATACGTGGAACTCGAGCATCTGTTGGCGGAAGCGCAGATTGCCGGCCGAAATAGAGTGATTGAAATTTATCTGTCACGAAGGACCCCCAGTAAATGCGAGTTCGAATCTCAATCTCAGTTGCTGTCAACCTAGAATCTAGTAATTTAGGGTCTTTTTGCGGGGAGGTTGAGAGATGGCAACCCAAGTCAACAATCATTCGATATGCAATTCCACAAAGGACCCAGCCTGCACTTTGTTTTCCATCCGAAACCAGAGTAGCGCCACATATCAGACAGGCTACTATTGTAGCAAGGCTAGGGCGGTCGAGCTCCTGGACGAGTAATTCTTTAAATCGATTATAAAAGCGTTCTCCCCTAGGATATATCAATAAGAAGAAATAAACTAGGCTTAGACTCTTCGTGGCTTACATCGTCGCAGGATCATCTGGATCTGAGCGGAAAATGATGCGGTCACTATATAGACAGCTCGAGTAATAAATAGCGTTGAGAAGAAGCTTGTTAGCATACGGTCCATTGTTTGTGAGACTGTCAAATATTGCTGGGCGATAAGTCAAGAGGTAGGCCAGGTGCTGACGGTTCCAATGTAGGTCTAAGAGGTGTGTTGCTAACTCAACTGGGAGGCCATCAAGCTCAATTTTAATGTTAATGCCTCTCCTGAGTTGGCCTAGTATAACACTTTCGTGTTGCCTTTGAAGGGCTGCAAAAGCAAATAATTGGTCTTTCATCACCTGAGTATGAAGCAGCTGTTGAGGTTCTGTTGAAAAATCGGCCATAGGATTATTTCTTGGGGTAGACGATATATGAAGGTGACTGGTGACTCCGTGAACCTGAATGCTCCCATCCTCATCGATAGCACATGCTATCTGTGTTTCAGCCGTTGATGGCCCATCAGGGACCTCCGATACTTCCTGGCCACCGAATTGTGGACTTAGAGTGACAGGACGAATTGACCGGGATGGCTCTACGCAAGGTTCGTCCCTTGGGGAGGCCAATCTTGCTGTATTGAGAATTGGCTCCTGGCGAGGGGCCGATTCTAGATGAGAACGCTCACCTTCAAGGCGATGGTTCGGAGTTGTTCGTTCGGTCGGCACGTGTTTGGATGCAGATAGTTGTTGGTGTCCATTTGGGTGAGACTTCAATAAATTTCTGTAAACAATTACTTCATTTTGCAATGCTTCTACTTCAGCCTTGCTAAGTCTTCCAGCTTTTCTTGCATCTTCGGGATAAGTGCATGGGTGGCTTCCGGCCACACACGTTCTACATTTTGGGCGGTGACCATCGCATTTTACCTTCACAAGATTGTTAGCTAGCAGTACACAGAGCTACTCGCACAAGCGTAAGTGTTATTTTACCTTTTTGGCTCGACATCGTACGCAAGTACGGCATATAGGCCTCTGTCTTCGCGCCCGTTGATGAGTCCCGTTCTGTGCATCGTCCATGGATCTTGTGTCAGACATGGGCTGGTCAATGGCAAGCGGCTGTTCGTCCGGAACACCTTGAAACTCCATGGCACCTAAAGTCCGAAAAATAAACCTATGAAGTTTGGGCAGCTGGAAAGTCAGGACATACTCGGGTATATACGTCCTTAATCCGAAATGCTGCCAAGATATACCGGCAATTGGTTTCCGGGTTGCTTAGTAATTACAAGAAGGCATGACACCCAGTGTCGAAGGCTCGGATGTCAACGTCCGATTGCTGTTAACATGACTTTGGAATGTAGAACCTCAAGCTGCCATTATGGATTTGGAGCGCCTAGCTAATTACCCGGCGAGGAGGGTTATCGTAGGGATATAATTACATTCTTCTTGCTTACTTAATTATATTCCGGCTGTTCAAAGTCCGTTCACGTGCGCACATATATTGGACGTGGCGCATACTTATTAAAACAGCATCACTTTCAGTGCATCCGAGCAGAACAGATTCATCGTACTCATATTTTAGCATTTGGATAATTTCAGCTATGGCGCCGAGTCTCGAAGTCGATCGCCAGCCAGATATTCACCATCTCGGCATCGATACACCGCCCTACTCCGATACCCCAGAAAGTTTTAAACCTACCAACGCGAGCTATGTTATTAGAGAAGAGCCGATTCGTACGCGGAGACCTTTGCGGGTGGTGTGTATGGGTGCTGGGTACAGTGGTTTGATGATGGCGATTGTGATATCGAAGCAATTGCAAGATAGTAATTTGGAATTTGTCATCTATGAGAGAAACAAAGATCTCGGAGGGACTTGGCTGGAAAACAGGTAAGACTCGCTCTAAACAAGCACATACGTGTCGTAACAGCCTCAAGGTATCCCGGATGCCAATGCGACATTCCAGCCCACAATTACGCTTACAGCTTTGAGCAAAACCCCGAATGGCCGAACTACTACGCCACTTCGGTTCAAATTCACGATTATTTGAAGAAGACATCGACGAAATACAACACTGACCGATATATGAACTTCGACCATGAGATCCAGTCCGCAGTTTGGAATGAATTAGACGGGAAATGGAATATTACAATCCAGAACGGAAGTCGTACTATTGAGGACAAGTGTGATGTTTTCATAAATGCGGGCGGCGTTCTGAAGTAAGTGTTGCTAACGCCGGTCCATAAACATGAGAGACTTTGCCATAACTAACTCTCACAAAGCGCCTGGAAGTATCCTAACATTGATGGTATCGAGCTATTTAAGGGAAAGCTCCTTCATTCAGCAAGTTGGGACGAAGCGTACGACTTCCAAGACAAGAAAGTAGCTGTAATTGGGATTGGCTCGTCTGGAATTCAAATAGTGCCAAAACTCGCGCCAGGTACATTGAAAATCACCCAACTAAATTCGAAATTTCAGTTATACTAATATCAGTCAGTGGCGAGCCATCTAACATCTTTTGTGAGATCAAAGACGTGGATCTCACCAGGGCCTGGGATCAATGAGCCGACAGAAAATGACCCAGACACTGATGATCAGCATAATTATGCCCCCCACGTGCTTCAAAAATTCAAAGACGACCCAGAATACCTTCTTCAACATCGCCGTGATGTAATGGATCGGAGGATAGACAATTTTAAAAGAGCCCACAGCGCTTCAGAGGCACAAAAGAAGGCACAACAGCTTTTTACGAAGACTATGACAGAGCGGCTTGGAAGCAGTGAGAAGGGAAAGAAGCTTGCAGAAATGCTTATTCCTGAATTTCCTGTTGGTTGTCGCAGACAAACCCCTGGCCCGAACTTTCTGGAAACGTTGATCCAGCCAAACGTCGAAACGAGATGGGATGATATTGCGAAAATAACCAAAAAGGGAATTTTGACCAAGAGTGGAGAAGAATTAGAGTTTGATGCAATAGTTTGTGCTACTGGTTTTGATACGTCTTTCCAGCCTAGATTTCCCATTATTGGGAAAGATGGAGCGAGTCTCGGTGCGCAGTGGAACGATACTCCGGAAGCATATTTCGGCATAACTGTTCCCAACTTCCCCAATTATTTTTGTAAGTAGCTCTATACCGAGTTTCAAGAAATAAACTTACAAAATATAGGTTTTATTGGGCCTAATTTCCCAATCTCAAACGGCTCACTTGTTCTCGGCGTGCAAGCAGTCAGCAGCTACATTTACAACTGCATCAACAAGCTTCAGACTGAGAATGTCCGTTCAATGGAAGTCATGACAGAAGCATGTAATGATTACAACGAACATCTTCAAACCTACCTCCAGCGAACAGTCTGGGTAGAAAATTGTCGAAGCTGGTATAAACGAGGAACAACAGATGGGAAGGTTGTGGCAATCTATGGAGGCACAACCTTCCATTATACTGAAGCCATTCGCCAACCACGTTGGGAAGATTACCGATTCAAATTAATACCATCTGAAAATGGCAACATAAATCGGTTTGCATACCTTGGAAATGGATATACGAAGAGAGAGACACGGAAAGGAACGATTGGGGATACACAGACCCTGGGGTTTGAAGACTATTGGAAATTGATGACTTTGCCGAATATATATGAATGATTTCAATTTTTAGATAGCCTGTAGGTCTATATAGGTAAAATTTATTGTTATTTAAGATCTAGGATTTGCTTAGATGTACTATATACAATTGTTATATGTATTTGCAATAACCAATCAAATGAATCCAATGCATCGTTATGTGCGGCCGCAAATGGATATATATTAGATAGGGGAGGTCAGATAAATCACTCGAGGTGTATAGTACTACCTTCCTGAGCTATATGTCCCATTGAGGGTTCCTCTCTACTCCTATTTATAGTTTCCAGTAAATTTTCGGGGGTGACCTTGCCAACGGACAATGGTGGCAGTGTGCCATATTTCCGGACGTAGTCATTACACTCATTAGAAATCTCTCCAAACTTCGAGAAATTGGCGATCTTGTTTTAATAATGTCAATATAAAATTTAATGACCAGAACGTCCCACAGATGATTGGAGGAAAATTCTTCTGGTAACATCATTTTTATTTAGATCAGTGTATATTAGATAGGACATGAATATCCGTTCTCTTCCTTTTTAATATCCCTCGTCGTAGTTCTCAAGCTTAGTCTCATTGTTGAGAATCCAAGAGGGAAATTGTGTTGGGAGAATTTCGTCTACATAGGAAACTAATTTGTAATGTCAACCTGTTAACACCTCCTACTTCTTTTCGATACCGTCTGCCTCCACCGTTTCCTCTTCTCCTAGCATTCCGACACTGTCGAATACATTTACATTCTTAGGAGAACCAATCCTCTTTCTTGTCGCCTCACCATACCTCATCAACCACAACATTGGCAGGAAAGCCAAAACGCTAGAAAGAATCGTGAAAATAATGAACCCATACTGGTAGCCAATTGATTTGCACAATCTTACTACGTAGAATGCCACAGTCATGCCCGTCAGTTGTCGGATAAAATTTATTAACTGCGAGATCTCTGACCCTTCCTGTCGGTAACAGTCTACTGGATATGTATAGCAGACTGTGGCGATGATTTGAAGACCGAAGATGGCTATGAACATGCCAAACAGCGCCGGAAACCATGGCGTAGGGTATTGTATAGAGAAACCGTAGATGAGAAGACCAGTAGGTACAAGGAATGCTCCTGGCCAGATTGCTTTGAGACGGACTTCTGGCTCTGGGTTGCGGCCCAGTCGACGTGCCTCCGAAGCTACCATTTTATCAAGAACAAGCCCCCCCGCAAACTGGATAAAAGTTAGCAAAGTACATCTAGTTTAGAACAAATCGTGCTTACCTCTCCCACAAGTGAGCCTATGGTGAAAGTCCCACCATACGATAGCCCTGTCTGTAGTGTACCCCAATGATATCGCTCCTCAAAAATAGTTGCGACTGTGACTGCCGGAAGGATAGCAGCATACGAATACTGTGCGCTGTAATAAAGTGCTGGGAATATAACACTAGGGTATCTAGTCATTTTGAAGCTTGGAATGATGAAGTGCTTGAGTTTGAGCTTCAACTCGGGATAGGTCGACCACAGCCGCAACGAACTGAGGTATGTAGTTGGAGCAAGCCTCACTTCTCGCTGTGTCGCTGACAAGGTTAGTTCGTTATGGCGGCGGACATAGAGAGTTTCTGGGAGCGCGAAGAATATAATGAAAAGCATTACAGCGTTCATGATTGCCGTGAGCTTGAAGCACCACCTCCAGCCCAAAAATTGCCCGACTGGCCCACCAACTAATGAAGCAAAGTGGGCACCACTCGTCAGTGCTACAGTAAATACTCCCATTGCTCGACCTCTCTGATGGAAGAAGAAGAGGTCGTTCACCGTAGCTGGCCCTAGAGCCATGGCGACGGGGAATAAGCCATTAAAGACTCGGGCAATGATCAATTGGCTGAAAGTATTCGTGAAACCGCATGCAAGGGCCGTTGCAAATCCAATTAAGGTTGTAAGAAGGTATATAGGGCGACGTCCATATACGTTTGCGAACGGGATCCAAATAAAGGGACCGATTCCATTTATACCAATGGCCACAGTCCTTTAAAGTAACATTAGTCAACAAGAATCCATGAGACATGGAGATTTTCTCTACTTACGTCTGATAAGAAGCGGTCACCGTCGTTATGTTAAATTCTGCCGCAAGTGGGCCATAAGCTGGGTTTATAACCGCAGTGTTGAAGGTTCCCAGAGCAGCTAGAGAGCTGACTTGAATCAGGATTGAAATCTTTATTTGTCAGTGCTAGAAATGTTTCACGCGCCTATGGTTGCCGTACCTTAAGCCACAATGGCCAGTTCAACGGATCTCTAGGGTCATCCGAAGGTCGAGGTAGAAGTTCTCTGGTCGAGGTCATCTGGTCTTGAGATGGTCTTCTAGAGCCTGAACAGTGTCCCTCTACTTGATCTACTCTTGGTTCTTTTTCAAGCTCCATGATTTTGAAAGGTACGGCGTGGGTGTAGAACTGAAGCTCTTGAAAGGGGAAGGGGGAGTATAATGTAAGATATCGGCATCCTATATATATGTACGTGCCGGGAGGTCCTTGATTCAGAGAGAGATATCAGATACGTGACTTATACTACCCTTTTCCCCGGATTTAGGACAAAGTAACAGAATCCGGGGTTCAGAATCCGGGGTTGTAAAGTCCGGGGTTGACAATTAGGGTCATAGAGATAAGGCGTCGACAGGGACTAGCTTCTTAGTGCTCCGTAATTGCTAGAATAGTCTCTGTCCGCTGTTTCAATAGCCACAATGTTCACACAGTCCCTGCGCCGGAAGCACAGCACCGACCTTGGATCTTGGCTTACCCCTATAGCTATGTAAATTATTTTATAGATATTATGGAAACGTCTTGGCGGCGTTGCTTGGTTTCGATGCCATCCGCGACTGGTGGAGGGCCCCCCGTTCCCTGGTTCCCTGGTCGAGCCGCTAGCGTCCAAATGGTCTCTAGTAGATTACAAAGATCCGATAGTCTCGGGCTTCACTTTCCGGACAAATTTATACCGAAGGAGATGCAGCTGCGGGGTATGATGCGCTGACTATTGGGATCCCAGGAGTATTTAGACTATAGCAACGATCTAAATCTACATGAAAAGAATAAAGATCTTGTCAATTAGGAAGATAACTTGCTCCAGCTATGTTAACAGAAGCCTCACCATTACCCCCGCTATCATCCCTACCTCTACGGCCCGGAGATCCTCCGCGTTCAGCCTGGGGACGATGGGGCAAAGACGACCAGCTAGGAACCCTCAATTACCTCACAGACGAGCTTGTGCAAAAAGCCATTCTGGGTGAAGTTAAGACAGGTCAGCGTGTCGGACTGAAGTAAGCCTGCCATTGTATGATATAACATAGTGTCTAATACATGATGTAGCCTCCCCCTGGATCTCATAAACCCGCCCCTTCTTGGGCGTAGCGCTTTTGAGAAGAAGATTATCAACAAAGCCCCCAGGGTCATAAATGACGACGTGATATCGTTTAACACACAGAGTAGCTCTCAATGGGATAGTTTTAGGCATTTTGCTTTCCAGAAGGAGGGGCAATTCTATAACGGGTAAACTCGCTGCTCTTCGCAAAGCTATGGACAAATTTATTGACCATGCTCTTGCATTCATAGAGCAATGCAGGGCGAGATTCATGGTTCTGGCTCCGACTACTCGAACCCGGTGAATGGGCTGGATGCATGGGCAAAAAAAGGCATTGCCGGTCGCGGCATCCTTGTTGACTATGCCGATTATGCCGATCGAAATGGCATCAAATATGACAAGACCAAAGCGCATCAGATCTCTGTGGACGTAGTAAAGACTATTTTAGCTGAGACTAAGACCGAAGTCCACATAGGTGATATCCTGTTTCTCCGCACGGGATTTGTCCAAGGGTATCTTACGCTGGACCAAAGCGAGCGAGAAGCCATGAAGATGGAGCGCCAATGGCCGGGAATGATGCAATCTCAAACAACCACAGAGTGGCTATGGGAGAGCCAGTTTGCTGCAGTCGCTGCTGATAATCCTGCTTTTGAGTGTGGCCGTAAGTTTCTCATTATTTTCTGTTCTGCCACGGCCGTGCGATACTGATAGCTCTTCTCTTAGCACACGCTGATCCAGCGTGGCATCTACATCCAATATTATTAGCAGGATGGGGCACACCAATCGGCGAGCTCTTCGACCTCGAGGGTCTATCGAGGATGTGCAAGAAAACCGGCCGGTACTCTTTTTTTGTCTCCAGCGCCCCATTAAACTATTCAGGGGCAGTAGCGTCCCCGCCAAATGCCATAGCATTCTTTTAGAGAAATTATACTTCAACAACAGAAGTCTCAAGACTAGTTATAAGTTTTACTCAGTTTCCTCGGTTTTAAAACTCAACTACCATGCCCACTTCCACTAGTGACCCCAGAAAATGTCTCGTGAATACGAACTGGCCACGATGGGCACAAAAATCTAGGTGCACACATAGTTTCGAAGTAGCTCGGGTTATTCCCAGTGTAAGAACGTTTGCGAATTTAACAAATTTTTATGCCCGAAGGAAGCTGCGACTCGGGCCTTGCTTGGTAACCTCTCCTTCCATATATGGCTTGAAAGTTCTAGGGAAGTTGCGATCGTTTGCTTAGTAATCGTTCTTTCCATACATAGGATTCGAAACCTACGGGGAAGCTGCGGCTGAGTTTGCTTGGTTACCGTTCTTTCCATATTTAATAAAGGCTGAAAATCCCCAAGAAAGCTCCGATTGAACCTTTGCAACATTTTAGCCAACTCCAGAAGAAACATCACCCCCAGTAGCGATAACCGGGACGACCATGATAGAGAGCTGTACAGGTCGCCCCAAATTCGACGTGTGCCGTTCGATTCTCCGTGGACCATTGATCACTATAAGCAGGCATTTAATTTTAAATTGCTAAAATAAACAAGGCATTACAATTCAAAGCTCTACTCCGGCACGTCAGGAACTTCAATAACGCCCTCTTTAAACCCAATCTCCAACTCCGCCGCAATAGCTAAACAAATCTGACGATTCGCCTCCACCTCCGTCTTCCCAACCCCATTTACCCTCATCCCAAACATATGATGACTGACCTGATTCATACAATCAACCCCTATTAGCGCTGCGACAATCACTTGTTCCGTCTCGCGGAACCCCAGAATCCCTTCAAACGAGAAGATCTTCCCGTAGAAGAGCTCACGAACGACGTAAGCATAGTCAAGCGAGGCGTCGACGGTGCGTGAGCCGTCGAAGAGCACGTTCTGCCCGTAGATCTTGGTGTGCAGAGCCTTGCCACGGGGTACGGTGACGCTGTCGTCGGTGAGACCTGAGCGGTGGAAGGTGGTATCCTTTAGGTGGGGCAGAGTAGCAGTGCCGAGGAGGCGGATGGCATTGCCTGTCTATTGAAAATGTGGAGTTAGATTGTGAGTGATGGGGGGAAGGAGTGAGCAAGGCAACGCCGTAAGCTTTGGCCAGGGGGAGGAAGTTACCCTTGCTGCGCCCATGATGGCGGAGGCCTTTGTAAATGACTCTCGTAGTGCTTTTGTGGCCTCAAAGTGCTCTTCTTCATGTATATGGTGTTTGAGTAATTGCTGGTATAGATAAGGGATGTGTTCTGGGTAGTTCGCAGCGCCGAGGAACACAATGGCTGATAGGTACCACCTGAAGTCAGGAATGTCCGTGCCGATGCGGGCGAGGGATGAGACAAACTCCTCGGATAATTCTGCCATATCTTCTTTTGGAATGTTCAAAATCAAATCGAGAACCGAGTGTTCTGCTTTTTACGTCATGTGAAAGCAGTGACTGTCGTTGGTCTTATAATATGAAGATTCCATCCAAACCCCGCAATTCAGTGGCCGTGCTCACCGGACTCATATCTCCGAGCGACCCCACATAGTGATTCAGTACTAGTATCCATGTAAACACATCACATATGTGTATTAGAACTTCAAGATGGCCATTGGAATTGTCTACGCGATCACTCACTATCGAAAAAATGCACGTCGTTATTGCTCTGACAAAGTGCACATCCTACGAGAAACGTGATCGGGTAAATGACCACCCTAGTCCCAGTCCTCTCCTTTCCACCAAATCAGCAAGGCCAAAATCAGCTAACCCCAGAAATCATTCCGCAGATGCTCTCCCTTCTCGGCCCCGTCGCACACACAACCATCGCAAACGAGCCCGAATGCTTTGCCTACGCGTGGTTCAAAAGTGATGTCGAGAATGCGGTTCCGGATCGGTATTTGAGGGGCTTGGAAGTGTACTCCCGTTCTCCTCCACATATATCTGCCTCCACTATAAGAGATTAACTAATGAAATCTAGGTATAAGTCTGAGAAGGCCCTCTCGCAAACTCACCGCAGCACCCCGGAATACAAAGCCTTCCGCTCCGCTGTCGTCCCAGAGGGAATCACAGAGTTGCCCACTGATCTACGGCCGCTGACGCCGGCGGGGATCGGGTATCTGAGTCTTGTCGATGATGAAACTGTGCAGTTTGGCGGTGCTACGAAGGATGAAGTGATTATTGTTGTGCGGCGATTCTGTACCGCCGATTCCGCGAGGAGGGAAGAGGTGAAGAGGGACCTAATGGGGGCGGTAGAGAAACTACTAGCAGCATCAACGCCAGGTGAAGGAGAGCAATTGAGAGGGGTGGTGAAATCCTTCTGGTGCCTTGAGTATGCGCCGGATTTACAGGATGGGACTGTAGTCACCTTTGAGCGGTACATGAATAGGATGGGAATGGAGCGAGTAGCTGTGCTTCTCAGGGATGACTTGTGAGTTTCCCATTCTCTCTGTGGCCTGTGATGATGGCTGTGTGTGCTTACTGATACCGACCAAGGCAGCGAATCTCGGACTGCTGTGTGGATGTTGACGTGACGAGGTGGGTGAGCGCCGGGATAGGGTTCGTAAGGGGGGGGATGCAGTAGAAATACGGGTTCCATATGGAATGGATGAGTGGGCCACGGCTTGGACGGTTTTAAATTAGTGAGGCAAGTTGGCATAAGGAGGGGGAGCATGAGGGGGGATAAGCGTAATTGTTGACCCTACGCCAATATGTAAGGCGCTGATCATGCTCATCATGGCTCGATACGCACCTCCCTTTCAGTCGTTGCTAAATGCTGTGCTTAGTGAGGGAACAAATGCGCAGTATAAGTATACTAGTTACACTTAGCATTTAAGAAAGCGCTGTCTTAGTTATGTGCAAGGATATAAAATCAAATAATAGCGATTTAGATAACAGTGACTCCTAAAAGTCGACAAATGAGCCCGAGTGTAGCAAGTCAATTGCCATAGTTCGCTCGCGAACATCATCTAACTTTCAGATTCACCTCGATCACGAGATATGTGAGGGCGACAACAACAACAACGATTACAATTGTCTACATTAGGAAAGAAAGTATAGGAGCAGAGTCTGCTAACATAAGTCTAGAGGAAATGCTTTCTTTAATATCATCTGAAAGATTTCCAAATCCTTCATTGCATCCGTAATTGTCGTCTTAATCTCCCCTCCCTGCGTAATAGTCTCATGCAACTGCTTTAATTCTGCTGTATATGCATCCTCATATGTCGGCACGATCTCTCTCTGCTGGTATCCCTTTTCTGCCGTCATCTCTTCCACTAAAACCTTCACCGGTAGTCCCTTCACATATGGCGTATCATACTGCAACTTCAATGTCTTCTTCTGTCCGTAGATCTGTAGGTGCGCATCAAATCTTGGAACATCATCTAGGCCACTCTCGTAGCACACAGCAAAAGTCTCGTACTCAAAGGTCGCAGTGAAGAAGGGTGGGTGCATCGAGACCCCAGTACACGCCTTCGGCATACCAAGAACCTCGCGCATAACGCTCAAATCATGAGAGCCGAGTCCACCAAGGAAGCGACAGAACCGCGTCATCAATGGTGTAACCTCCTTATGTCCCTCATATGCTTCCCTCAACAACGCATCAAGCAGCGCCTTCCTCTCATCTATAGCCCCAGCCGGGAAATCCTCAAATTTCTCTGGAAACGTGCCGGACTGCTCTACAAAAAACGAATTTGGTCCGATGATGTCGCGAACGCGCGCGAACTTGATGTCGCCCGCCGTCTTTAGTTCTGATAGGAGGGTCTGTAGCGCACTAGCATAGCGGCGCATATATGCCACAAAGACACGGCCACAACTCGCGATTTCAGCGGCGCGCATGCGTTCTGCGGAGGCGACAGAGAGGGAAACGGGCTTTTCGACGAAGACATGTTTGTGATTCTGTAGGGCTGTGATGGTGTGGGAAGCGTGGAATTCATCGGAGGAGAGGACGAAGATAATGTCGAGGTCCGGGCGAAAGCAAAGTTCCTCAGCGGAGGTGTAGCAGTGAGGAATGTGGAATTTGGCGGAGCAGTGGGCCAGCGAGGCGGGGGAGATGTCGCAGATTGCAACGACGGTAAAGAGGTGGGAGAGGAGGGACAGGGTCGGAAGGTGAACTGCTTGCGCAACTTCACCGAGGCCGATGAGGCCAACTTTAAGAATTTGGGGGGATTTCGAGGTGTTTAGAAGTGGTATTTGCGTCATAGCTGCTTGGTGTGATTTTGGCAGTCGATTCTAAAGTAGAATTATAGTAAGAAGAAGAAGGAAATGTAGATTATCACGGTAAGAAATAGTTATAATATAGATATAGGTTATAACATAATCACCCTTAAATATATCGAATCAGGGCCTTGTGACCTCACATGCGGACAATTCCTCCGCGAGGTATAGGTAGCCACAGAGCAGCGCGGCGGCTAGCTCCCCGATGAGTTACAGTGGCAAGTCGGGAACCAGGTCAAGAACAGAGGAATATCACATTCTTTTTAGCGCGTTCGAACGAGACGCTGGGTCGTAGGGTGGCATTCCCCCATGCTGTTTGCCGATGGCAATGGGAACTCGGTAGTGAGGGGAACATGGAAAATCACAATTCATTAACCCAATCGCGGACATCCGCGATGCCAAGAATTTGTTATGGGGCACCCCAGTCCGACTACCCCAGTCCGAATACCCCCTAGTTGCACGAGCTAAATGTAACTTGAGAAAGATCATCTAATTTTCTAATACGTATTCATTAATAAATAAGAATCCCATATAAGAATAGTTTGTAGGTTTGTAGGATTGCATATTCGTTTTTTTAAAAATAGCCATAAATCATCGTCTACAGTTTATAATGTCTCTCGAGAAGCAGGATGTTTTCACTCTACGTTGGGGAATCATAGGTAAGTTCCATTCCTGTAGTTATTAAATGTCTCCTAACCAAACCTCTAGGGACCGGGCTTATAGCATCCTGGTTCGTCTCTGACCTCGTCCTCGATCCTTCTACGCACCGTAATGAGCCCAATCTCATTCACAAAGTCCAGGCTATCGGTTCCTCTTCCTACCAAAAAGGCACAGCCTTTGCCCAAAAACACATCCCCTCGACGTCCACGAGCAACGGTTGCTCTATCTACGATTCCTACGCCCAAGTCTATACTGACCCCGCTGTCGACATTGTTTACATCGCCACCCCAACCGGCCTGCACTTCACCAACGCCCTCGACGCCATCCTCGCCGGAAAACACGTTCTTTGCGAAAAACCTATGACCATCACCGCTTCCGAGTCAGAGCAGCTCATAGCCGCGGCGCGCGCAAAAGGCGTCTTCCTCATGGAGGCGCTCTGGACACGCTTTTTCCCTATTGCGAAGGAGCTGCAGCGCGCCCTACACGAGAAAAAATTGATTGGTGATATAACTCGCGTCTTTGTTGATTTTGGGCTTGATATGCCGCTAGAGAAGCAGAGAGCTGGGTCGAGGCTTGTGGATTTGAGATTGGGGGCAGGTTGTTTGCTTGATATTGGAATTTATGCGTTAACCTGGGCGAGAATGGCATTGTGTGGGGCGAAGGGGGATGAAGGGGAGGAGCCGGCCGTCCGCTCTGCAATGGTGTTGAAGGAAGGTGTGGACGAAGAGGCGACGGTGCTGTTGATACAGCAGAAAACGGGCCGGCAGGCGGTGTGCTCGGCATCATACCGCTATAAGAGCGGTAAGGTGTTTGGGAGGGTTGAGGGTAGCGAGGGCTGTATTGAGATTGTAGGTGGTGCGGCGTCGAAGCCAGAGAGTTTGGTTATAAGGCGTAAGGATGGTATGGAGACAGTACAAGATTTTTCATTTGTAGGGTGGGGTTTCTTCTATGAGGCTGATGCGGTGGCGATGGATATTCGCGACGGGAGGACGGAGAATGAGACAATGCCGTTAGAGGAAACTGTCAGGGTCATGAGGATCATGGATGAGGTGAGGAGACAGAATGGGATGAAGTACCTGCATGAGGAGTAATGTAGATACTTTATAATTATATTTATGAGCTGGAGATTTGTACTATACACCCATTATACCTAATTGACGTTGTAATTAAACTATTATTGCGCAAATAGGATCATAAAATGTAGGCATTTCTATGACATCTCCTCATCTCCATCCGCAAGCGCCCAATCCAAGATCTGGGAACACTGGTATATCCCACCCTTCCGATCACTCCAAAACCTCGAAAAAAGCTCACGGGTAGCCAAAATCTGTTGTTTCCAACCCTCTGGCATCTGTAATCTCTGCGCGCCATTCAAAGCCGGATTACGCTGTGCCTTATCTGCCGCAATCAGAATGAGCGACGTCGTTACGATGAGCCGCAGAATAAACCACAGTCCATGATGTCTATTTGGCGTGCGGAGTCCCCAAAGCCTAATCACACAGTACTTTAAGCCTTGAGACGCGGCGTCTGCTACTTTGGCGAGCAGATCAGGCTCGATCTCTAGTGGATCGCTGACGCATAGCTGGATGAATGGACGGAAGCATAGCTCAAGAATTGCGAGGTATCTTCCCCGCAGCAGTTGGGGAAGTTCTTCTTCCAGAGGGGTTATATCTCCCAGAGGGCGCGGAAAGGATAGACTTGGCGGGAGAGAGATGTACCAGTCCTCAAGCTGCGATTGGAATATTTGGACTTTTTGCAGCATACACCTGATATCTTTCGGCGTTTGGAGTTTACTACTTGAGTGCGTTTGGATTATCCGGTTGAGGAGGTGACGGGATGCGATTTCGGCAAGGTAATAGTACCAGCTACGTCTTTGTATGGCACTGTCATCCTTGTCTACTGCTTGATCATCAACGTTTGGAGGAGAGGGAAAAGCATGGGGATAGCCGATGTCGTGGAGGATGGAAGTAGGGAGTGGTAGTTCAAAGGCAAGTTCGCTGCACCACGTTAGTTTTTGGTTCGGTCATGATCTAGTATGAAGATATAAATACCATTCTGACTTGTAGCAGGTAAAGTAGAGACTCTGCTCAAGCGTCAAGGAGCCACCTACATCGTAAGGCCTATTGGTTAGAGAAGGCATTCTAGAAAGCAAGTTAGTAACTATATTAGAAGTATACTATAATGACCAACCTTGTAATAAATGACACATACCAGGCATTACTAGCGAGCCTGAAATATTTCCATGCTTGTAAAGGCTGAAAATTGTACATGTACCATATTCTAGATAAACATTAGTATCGATTGCTTGTTCCTTCAGATAGTGCCTCATCATGAGATGCTGATGTTTCTCACTTACCCAGCAAGGCAAAGACATTGAACAGCCTCTAGACTATTCTCACTCATCGCAAGGCCAATCCTCTTCACTGCGATGTTCCAAAACCTATCCGCAATTTCGAGATCTTTCATGAGTCCGTGGTCTATTTGCATCTCGTTTGGACTTAAGCTGGAGGACGATTTCTGTTGTGCTACATATCTCTCTGATGTCGCACCAAGAGCACAGACTAGAGCAACAAGGCATGTCGACGTGTTCCAGCTCAGCCCGTTCTCGACAACGTGGCAAATTTGATGGTGAATGTCGCGGGGATCCACGATTGGATTCTTTGTATGGACATAGGTAATGTACTTGGATTCCAATCTTGCAAGCTCAAAATACTCGACATTTGGTAAAGGAATGGACTGCACACAATTGTCGTCGGAATCGCGCGGTAAAGTCAGATAAGAGTAGGTTTGCGGGAATATCTTCCATGATAATACGGAATCAACGCCAACAGATAGGGAGCCATGGTCTGTGCAAGTGCTCTGTGGTTCTATGAGGCTTTCGTTCGGCTTGCTGTTCTTGCTGGTTTCTTGGTAGTAATGGTAGTGGTGATAATGATTCTCGATGTGGTTTTGGGCCGGTAGGGCCGAGAATTCAGTATCGGGGAGGATAGGGGGAAATGTACTCTCATCTCGCCCAGTTAATTGGAGAGCTTGAGATTGAAGTAGGCCTGTTAGAGTCTCTATTTTCTTAAGCAACTCTGACTCGATAATATGACAACTAGTAATTATTATTATTGTTTGATAAGGGGGCTGCGTTAAAGGCTGGCGGCAGCTCACCATACAGACTTACGAGTTCAGCTCCACATCATCTTCATAAGCGCATTCGACTTGAGTTCTCGAGCAATAGCCACACGTTGGTCTTTGATTGTCGCATTTCGTCTTTCGGCTTCGACAGAGAGAACACGCGGTAACACCGCGAGTACGTGCTCGCTGTCGAGCAGGGGGCCTATGACCATCGGAAGGGAACTCATGTCCTTGATCCCTACCGACAGGTCCAGCGACAGGGCTAACAATTTCCCCCTCCATAACTATTGATGAGCATGGGTCATGTTGAGTTGTCGGATGCCCCGCGAGATTGTTTTGTGGATTGTGGGGACTGATTCTTTAAGATCGTCTCCTCACCAAATGTGGGGTAACTTCTCCCCGATTACCCCGTTCCACGTCACCGGATATGGGGGTATAAACCAGACAGTATTATGTTATGAATATTACTAATGTGGCAGATGAAATGGACATTTGCCGACAGACGAGGCAAACATCTAACGCTACTGTCTATGGCCGGTAGCGCAAACCCTCAACACATTCATGGCTTCCTCCGAAGTTGGCCCGGATTCTGAAAAGAGAACCCATAATTTAGCCGAGAGTCTAGTCCATCCTCGTTGTTAACTGAGGTCCTACCGAAATTTAGGACAGTCGATCTGCACATGCTTCTGTTTATGCAAGGTTACAGTACCACTGAGTACTATCGAGAATGTAGTCTTAATTTACGCCAAGTATCTATTCCGAAACGAGGCCATTCTCAATCAACTAAAATCAGAGGCCCTAGAACGCTCGACCCTCTTAACCAACTCAGGCCACATCCGGGGACCTTCCCCGAGACAGAGTTCTCAACGTGGCTGCCAGGGATCAGACTCCATCCACTTCAGAAAACGCGGAGGTCGCTTAATTCCCCGCATTTCGGGTTCAGTCAGAAAGCATCGTGCATTATCAATATAAGAACTAAGTGTTTAGACCTGTTGCTCTCATCATCATCTTGCAACTATTTCTTGAGCTGGATGGCATCTTATACAGACTTGCTACTATAACAACAGAGCACCTGACTACTATGGGTATCTTTAAGAAATCAGAGACTAGTGCAGAGGCGGCGGTTGGCCTAGGACTCCTTGCTGTAAGGATTTGCAAATCTTCGTCTTGTTTCGGATGTTTGGGCTAATGAATGCAACAGGTTCTGCCAAAAAACCCAAAACCATGGTACAAGACACCCCATATTGCCAAGTTGAACTTGATTCTACTTGTAGCGCTATTTTCTTCAGCTACCGTGGGATTTGATGGTACATTCTCTTTAAATTTCTAACAATTGATTCAATGCTGATATGCTCATTAGGTGCTATGATGAACGGGTTGCAAACCCTTGAGCAATGGCGCAACTACTTCAACCATCCCCAGAGCGCACTCCTAGGGACGATCAACGCTGTGTATCCTATTGGGAAAATACTTGTTCTATTCCCATGCACGTGGTTGTCTGATAAATATGGGCGAAAATGCCCCATGTTTGTCGGCTTCATCTTCCTCTTAGTCGGCGCGGCACTGCAGGGGGCTGCTCAGAATCTCCCAATGTTCATTATTTCTCGTTTAATTTTAGGGGGGGCAACAGCTCTAATCGCTCAGCCATCCCCGATTTTGATCACCGAGCTGGCATATCCTACGCAGAGAGGGCAAATTACTGCTCTGTATAACACATTCTATGTAAGTATATCGTTTTGGTAGGCCACAGAATCCTAACGGTTTTATAGTATCTAGGCGCCATTATGGCTGCATGGTTTACCTATGGTACATTTAAAATACCGTCAACATGGGCTTGGAGGATCCCCTCACTTTTGCAAGGAGCGTTACCTTCAATCCAGTTTGCATTCTTCTACTGGCTTCCTGAGTCCCCGAGGCAAGTATCTGTTGGTCTAAACACATGGGCTTTGCTAATTTGGACCAGATGGCTTATTGCGAAACATCGCCACGAAGAAGCACGCAAAATCCTGGTTAAGTATCATGGCGGCGGTGATGAGTCTTCCCCACTTGTGGATTATGAGATGAACGAAATTGAAGAGAATATTCGCCTAGAAGCCAGCATCAATTCTCAGACAACTTATTTCGATCTAATCCGCACAGCGCCAAACCGAAGAAGGACTCTCATCGCCGTCATTACAGGCATAGGGTCTCAATGGAACGGTGTTGGTGTCGTGTCATACTATCTTACATTGGTCCTCAACACTATCGGCATTACATCGGTAGCTTCTCAAGCCCTTATCAACGGACTCCTCCAAGTCTTCAATTGGATTGCCGCTGTTTTGGCAGGCGCTTTGATGGTTGATCGAATTGGCAGGCGTACATTGTTCCTCATATCGACTACGGGCATGCTAGTCTCATATGTATGCTGGACTATACTCACCAGCGTGTTTGCTCGAACTCTCAACCAACAAGCTGGAAATGCTGTCTTGGCATTCATTTTCATCTACTATTTCTTCTATGACATCGCATGGACGCCGCTATTCCAAGCCTATCCTGTGGAGATTTTCCCCTATGCCCTACGCGGCCGAGGTCTTACAGTAGCTCTGGCATCAGGTTATATTTCCTTGATAATCGGACAATTCTGCAATCCGATTGCGATGAAGTCGATTGGATGGAAATACTACATTTTCTTTTGCGCTCTTTTAGCCGTGCTGCTTAGCTTGATCTGGTTTCTTTTCCCAGAAACTAAGGGTCATACGCTCGAGGAGATTGCAGAGATTTTTGATGGGAAGAAAGATGAGCCAGCACATGATGATGACAAGAAAGAAATTCCGATAGAGGAAGAGGAAGAATCTGTGGCTGATAAATCTGAGGGAAATGAACCAAAGGCTCGCTGAGTTTGTATTGTATTAATGAAATACAGCGTTTAGGGTAGGGGAAGGGTTACAGAAGGTGTGATATTTGCAACCTCGTTTAATTAGCTAGAAGACCTTCAATGTGAGCATTTATAGATAGTATTTGTTTTCTAATATTAGCTATTATATTCTCACATTATTATCGAATGCTCCCTATTTATCTTCATATTGCTAAGAACATTACCTCTTTCTACATGTTTGTCTTACTAGTGGTAACTCTCCGTTGCTAGAAAATGGCACGCTGAGCAGGTGCTTTCATGCTCCGTTTCGAAACGCTACAGCTTTCTACTAATATATACAACGAAGTATTTACTAAATCTGAGTTTCCAACGGTATTGTTGTTGTTAAGCAATAATTCATGAGACTGGTATCAACAGCGCCGAAATCAGTCAAACAACTGCTTACACTAAGGGCGTGAACGTGAAGTAATCTAAATAGTTCTAATCATACTTACAATGGTGTATTTGAAATTCTACTATCGAACGATGGACCAAATCGTGGGTTTCCCTTGTCATAATTCAGGCCAACCTCAGAAAAAGCTGTGGCTGTGTGTCATGGTGTTAAACCAGGGAAACAGGCAAAAGTGGAGCACCTACACTTTGGCAGGTCAAAGTTAGTCTATATTTTACAACACATGGTGTTGTAATGTTGGGACGTAACTTAGGCCCACTTCGTCGCAAATTCAGGCAGCTACATATTTAGACAGAACAAACAGATCGTTACAAAATACATGGCCATCGGGAAGGGTCCCCGTAACTTTGTTAGTGATTCCGCGATATAACGACGGGGTCTTAATCGTATATTTGAATTTCCGCCATCGAATGATTGACTAATTGTGGGTCTCTTTATTCGGAATTTGGGCTAACTTCGGAAGAACCGGTGCCATGGCTATCGGGAAGAGTCCCCGACAGTAACTTTGCCAGCATTTTACTAACATGAAGTCACGGTGGAGTCTGTTAATGTGGATAAATATCTTGGTACTGCTTTAGGAGAGACGCTAAACTTTTGGGTTCTTAGACATGTATGAGTGTTCTCTATATATGGTAGACTTATAGTAGTGTACCTGTAGGTCATAACGATTTAGTTCTGGTCTTACATTAATTTCTATTCTCTTTGCTAAACTTAGCAAGCTGTGTTTCATTCCTTATTTCCCTCGTGTTTGACGCCCCCTAACATTCAATTAAACACGACTCGTTATAACAATGAGTCCAGCTTTCGAAATCGAGAGTGTCATTCAAGAGGCGACGATCAACGAAAAGATCTCTCTACTCGCAGGTACAGCATTAATAAATCACCACCTACGCTACAGCTGATGCTAATTTACACAGGGAAGGATTTCTGGCATACCCATCCTCTAGAGCGCTTCAATATCCCCTCTATCCGTACAAGTGATGGTCCCAATGGCGTACGAGGCACCAAATTCTTTGGCGGCGTTCCAGCGGCCTGTCTTCCATGCGGCACCGGTCTAGCATCGACTTGGGACCTCGAACTTCTCCGCAAAGCTGGCATGCTCATCGGAGAAGAATGCCTCGCCAAAGGGGCTGCGTGCTGGCTCGGCCCCACAATAAACATCCAGCGATCGCCTCTCGGTGGCCGTGGCTTCGAGTCATTCTCCGAGGATCCATATTTCAGCGGCAAATTAGCAGGGAGCTACATCAACGGTGTGCAGAGCAAGGATGTGGTTGCGACTGTGAAGCATTATGTAGCGAATGACCAGGAGCATGAGCGAGTTGCTGTAGACGCTAAGGTCACCGAGCGAGCCTTGAGGGAGATTTATCTGCTTCCCTTCCAGATCGCCATCGCGGATTCTGCGCCAGGTGCAGTTATGACCGCATATAACAAAGTGAATGGAACACACGTTTCGGAGGATAAGAGGCTTCTCCAAGATATTCTGAGGAATGAATGGCGCTGGAAAGGATTAGTGATGAGTGACTGGTTTGGGACGTATTCCACGACTGAGGCTTTCAATGCTGGACTGGATCTGGAAATGCCTGGACCATCGAGATGGCGTACTGGAATCGCAAATCTTGCAGTATCATCGAGAAAAGTTACTGACGAAACCATCAACGACCGTGTCCGCAACGTTTTGGAATTTGTGCAACGAGCAAGCAAAGCAAAGATTTCTCTAACAGAGACTGTACGAGACTTCCCAGAAGACAGGAAGTTAAATCGGCAACTGGCTGGCGATAGTGTAGTCGTTCTGAAAAATAATGCTAGTGTTCTCCCACTATCCAAAGATATCAAGCAAATTGCCTTGATTGGATCGAACCTAAAGAATGTCGCCTTTTGTGGAGGTGGCAGCGCGTCACTAGAGCCATACTACACCATCTCGCCTTATCAAGGCATTATTGATAAGCTTGGAAAAGATACAGCTGTACACTACGAGATCGGAGCATATTCCCATGCCCTTCTTCCAATATTGAGCGATGGTTTAACAACTCCAGATGGAAGGCCTGGAGCATTGATATCCTTCTTCGCTGACCCACCGTCAGTATGCAATCGGCAAGTGGTAGACCAACTCTCGATTCGTGAGGCCTTCTTCCAGTTAATGGACTACCGCCATCCACAGCTCGAGACCCTGTACTATGCTACGGTTGAAGGGTTCTTCCTCGCCCCAGCAACTGGGATATTTCAATTTGGCATCACCGTCTACGGCTCCGGAAACCTTTTTATCGATAACAAGCTGGTGATTGAGAACACGGAGACTCAGCGCCCCGGAACCTCCTTCTTCGGCAAAGGCACAGCTGAGGAAATCGGTGAGGTCGACCTCGTCGAAGGTAAGACTTATCACGTAAGATTAGAATTCGCGAGCAGCCCAACGAGCAAAGTGCTCAAGCCAGGTGTCGTCGCATTTCCGGGAGGGGCGGGCAGGATTGGAACAGCCCTCAAAATCAACGAAGAGGAGCATATCCGGCGAGCGGCTAGGCTCGCGAGCGAGAACGAACATACGATCATTTGTGTAGGCCTGTCTAAAGACTGGGAGAGCGAGGGATTTGATCGCCAAGATATGGATCTACCAGGCAACGTCTCACGGCTACTCAGCGCAGTCGTGGAAGCAAATCCCAGGACCGTCGTTGTCACGCAGAGTGGAACGCCGATCAACATGCTGCCATGGGCGGACAAAACGACAACGCAGGTACATGCGTGGTATGGAGGGAACGAGACTGGTAATGGGCTAGCGGATGTGCTGTTTGGGGATGTGAATGCGAATGGGCGGCTGCCGTTAAGTTTTCCGAGGAGAAATGCAGATAATCCTGCGTTTCTAAATTTTAGGAGTGAAGGCGGGAGAGTGGTTTATGGGGAGGATATTTATGTTGGGTATCGGTATTATGAGAAGGTGGAGAGGGAGGTGTTGTTTCCGTTCGGGTGAGTCGACTTCTTTCCCTACCTTTAGATGAAGTTGGTCGATTGCTAACCTTAGCAGACATGGATTATCGTACACCACGTTTGAATTCTCAGACTTGCATGTCGAGAAGACGAGAGTAGTGTTGAAAGTCACGAATACAGGTGGCTGTGCCGGGAGAGAAGTGATACAATTGTACATAGGAGCTGACGAGCACGCCTCGAGAATCAGCAGGCCTAAAAAGGAGCTAAAGGGGTTTGCAAAGGTGTTCCTGGAAATGAACGAAATGCAAGAGGTCATCATCCAGCTTGACAGGTTTGCAACCGCCTATTATGACGAAATCCTTGCGAAATGGGTCAATGAGAAGGGGAAGTATAAAGTTCTGATTGGTAAGAGCAGCGCGAATATTGTCCTTGAGGGAGATTTGGAAGTAGAAGAGACAGTCGTGTGGTCAGGATTATAGGCATGAGAATATATAAGAGAATGCAAGCTGCGTCGTTTTATTCGCACTGTATGTGGCTGTAAATGCAGCCCCTTTGAAAGAAACGATTCCCGCATTTATTCACCCTGAGTGAGTGAAAAATATACTATCATGCTTCCGTTACAACTATTGACTCTAAAAACAGGATTCTGCATACTATTGACGACTTGAACAGAATGTATACTAAAGTGGCTGCTCATGAAGAGCCTCTCTACACGGCATATCAAACCATGTCCGCGAATTACCATTCTCGATGGGTTTTAGGCATTGCAAGTGAGTGGGTGATGTCGTTTGTCAACATTCAACTACAGTGGATAACGTTGCCCTCAGTTTCCAGTTACTGCGGCATCAATTGTCTGGCTATATGACATCCCTTTTGCGGCACGACTATTCTTAGCTTGACAGTCCCTTAGGGCATTCTTTATTACTATGGGATACTAGATCTATAATTGCAACCTTTAATGCCCTTTGACCATTTCCCACCACTTTTATAAGTCCTCCCCACACTTAATCCATGGTCTTCTCTAAGTCTCGGTTACCGTGATATGCCTGTGGGTTCTCGACCATTTTCGGCACATGGCTAGTGAGTAAGTGGGCAACTGGGCGTAGAGCGACGGCAGAGGCAGTTGCCAGAACCCCGAATGGTATGGTTGCATAGTAAATATAGCGATAGGCAGCTGCGTATCCATCTAGCTGAGCTTTACCGACAGCCTTGATGATCTCGGCGTTAATTCCAGGAACAGCGGCCATCGCTGTCTCAGAAGATGCAAAAATAGCAGCAAAAAGGTCGGCGATCGAAGATGCAGGGAGACCAGCGTTGAGCGCTGCGGGGACGATATGAGCTTCAAGTTCGACGGGGATTTTTGCTTTGAAGATATCAGTCTCAGGCCTCTCATATATGTATTTGAAATGCTCACCAGTCAAGATGGCTAGCACGATGCCTGTTCCAATTGCCCCAGTTCCAACCCTTACACATCCCATAGTTCCGAAAGATGTACCGATTTCCTTGTCGCCTACCACAAGCTGGGCGATGGCTCCCGTCTGCTGCTCAATAAACCCGATGGGTAGAGCAGCAAGAAATGAGCAGACAATCGCAAATGTCTTATTATCCGGATTACAATGAGCTAGAGCTCCGATAAATGCCGTCATCCATATATTCGAGATGATCAAGGTCCATTTTGGGTGTCCGATGGGGCCTGGTTTTGTGTTAGCATTTTGAGTTATTTTAGGATTGGGACACGCACCCCACAAAGCTCCCAGAAAGACCATTCCTCCCCAAAGACCGAAACCAATTGTGCAAGACATAGCACCGATAGCTTGCCATGACGACCCCCCGGTGCTGTACATATATGCAACCTCTGCAGCCTGTTAGATCACACTATTACAATAGAAAGGAATACTTGCGAGTTGGCCAGATGATGCTTAAAGCGACGTACGAAATCCCTCCTACGGCTGAGCAGATACAGTTCATTCCAAAGCCTCGAACATCTTTGAACAGATGAATAGCAAAAAATGCGTTCTCTCCTTGGTAGACCTCCCATACGCAAAGAGCTATGAGACAAACCCCTCCTGATACCACCATTCCGAGAACTTTGGCTATTAGGAGCGTGGTTAGCCAATACATATCAGGAGTCAAACCCCCAAAACCTACCAGACTTCCAAGGATATGGCGATCCACCGGTCATGATGCCGAGGATAAACAAGACGAGACCAGCAACCAAGAGAAACATTCCAATGAAGTCAAGTTTTTTTGTTTGCTCGCGCTTATTGAAAGCTTGGGCAGCTTCCTTGGGGAAGTAGCAGACGATATAAAGAGCAAGAGATATGGCTAAAAATTGTCAGCAAGTTGGTTAGCTACAGAATTAGAGCAGGTAAACGTACTCTGTGCAATGATATATATGTAATAAATCCATCTCCACGAGGCATACTCAACAAGAGATCGTGCAAAAAATGCGCCCATAGCAGTCCCTGGTAAACAAAATAGGACAACTATGGCCATACCAAGCATCTTGTGCTTATTAGGCATCAGTTCTAAGTCACATTAGCATTAGTAGTTTCTAGCTTGTTTTAACATATCAAGGAGCCTACCTCCAGCTAGAAACGCATAGCAGCACTGTGCGCCAGTTGCAAGGCCCATAAGGATCTGAAACAGTTAGGCGCAGCATTTACTAAAAGGGAGTAAAAGCCTACATTTGCTCCGATAAATGTATTCAGGTCGTGAGATGTTCCGGCAACAATTGCTAAAAAAAAAAAGTAAGCAGGATTCAGAGAGGAGTAAGGGGTAGTCTCACATCCAACCAGCCCAAAAAGTGTAAAAACTATCATAACCCAGCGTCTACCATATATCTCGGACAACCGACCAACGAACATGTAACCCAGTGTTGTCCCAATGGTTTGCATGACAGAGAACAGAGCGGCGTTGGTTTGGGACTTGGATCCTGCATCAATCAGAATATGACTATGACGGGGAAATGAGACTCAATACCGATATCAGCGGTAATCCAGATCAGAACTGATGCCGGAGGAGCAAATCCCCATGCAGCACAGAACAACCCAAAGGACATCGCAGCAAGAGAGCCAAACTTGTACAATATTAGTAATACCCAAGATAAGGATGATGGGATTCTTCACCGTGTAGGGCTCTATAAGAAACTTCCATCCAACAGCGTCAACATGGTGGGTTGCTTCAACGGCAAGTTCTTCCGCAAGGAGCTCGACATTGTCTGGTGTCGCTGTCAATTGAGACTCTAGGTGTTGAGGGGTGATGTTTTCTATCGTCATCTGGTATAATGTCAGTGAATGTGAGAGTCGGGGTATGGTGTCTTAGGGGTCGGGGCCGGGGTCGGGGCTCAGTACAGCCTGCTCATTCTCTGCTTTATTTTCAAGAGCCATATTTGCTGATATCGTCTACGTTCAAGTTTCGAATCCTTAAATATCGCCTTGAGAGATCTTAGACATTTCCGCGCACCTTTATATATTACTTCCAAAGCCATTGCCTCCTTTCCTCCTTGCTGTCTAGTTTCCTGGGGTAAGCGGAAGCTTACCCCAGGAATCTGTCAGTGTACTCGTGCCGCCCAACAGTTTGTCGCCTAGTACCTTTGTTGAAACTCTCCCTCGGTCTGTTCTGAAGTTGTGGTTGGCTTGAATCGTTCATAGCTCGTCGTCACTGCTTTTGGCGCACAAACCAGGCAATAGACTTTTGGACGGGACAAGGAGCTGAGAAATAAAAATGTAGGAAATCGCCAGTACTTCGTTATTCTGACATGTCTAGTACCCACTTTTTGCCAGCGCTAAACCCCACTCTCGTCTCATAGTACTCCCTAGAGCGGGGCTCTACCGTATCTCTGGAATCTCATTAAGAAAGTCTCATTTATGCCCCGGGGCCGAGGTAATCGATAGTTTGCCAGTAGGGCGGGATGCCATCAAGTTATTCGTCCTTAGCAGGCCTCGTTTACAGCAAAGGGGTTTACCACCGACCAATTCGAAGTCGATTTCATTGAAAATGAAAATTGGTAGCTGAGGATGCTTAGCATCAGGATAGTATAGCGTGCAGATCCACTATCGACTCGTCGTGGCCGACTCGTCATGGCCCGTGTTGACCTACGACACGGCACGACCTGCAGGCCCCACAGTTTGGGTGTGCGGGGAAGCCAAGAGTCAAGAGTCTCGACTTCCCCGCACAGCCAAACCATGCCTCCCACAGCTCGCTTCGGGCAACGTCCTTACGATCAGCTATGTCATAGCAAACCAAACGAGGCATATCATTCGCTAAGGCGACAGTTCACTCCACGCAAGCGTTCCCAAGATCCGATGCTATAGTAAACGAAGCATATTATTCTTCCCATATTGATATTGCATGTCTTAGCTAGTTACGGCTAGCTAAGCCAAGATAGTTGGGGTATTGTTTTGCCAGATACGGAACAAACCAACTCTAAAGGCTTCGCGTATTCAACTCCGCAAAACGACTATACCTACAACTGATAGATTTAAGTTAGGGGGCAGGGTAATAAATGGAGCTTGCCTCGGTATTTCTGTATCGAAAGTATATCCAGCTTGTTAAAGGGATGGTAGTTGAAAGATGGAGGAGAATCGAACACTAGATTTTTGGAGAAAGGGTAAAATACATCTACCCCGCTTTCTCCACAGGAGATTCAAAGGCTACATTTACGGGGAAAGAGTAAAATAAAATGCCTCTTACCCCGCTTTCTCCACACTAGTCATTGAAGAATGCTAGTTGCGGAAAATGAGGGGGAATCAAACACTAGATTCGCAGAAAAAAAGTAAAAGCAATTTTACTTCTAACTTGTGATATTTGACTGTGGCTTGGTACATAGAGTTGAATCATTAGCATACCGAGGCATATTATTTGTGTAAATAGGAGATAATTTGCACCCATAACCAACACTTCCTTTACGATAGAATCAACTCTCTTGTTCCTGAACCCCCATAGACATATTCGACAAAATGCCAGAAGACACTTTTGACCCAACTTTGTTAAAGGAAAAGTATCGCGCGGAACGAGACAAACGTATTCGCGACGATGGTATTAAACAGTATCAGGGGATCGATACCAGCTCGTTGAAGCACTATGTTGAAGATCCATACGCTGAGCCCGGGTTCAGTCGCACCCCAATCGACGAAGATGTCGAGTTCCTAGTGGTTGGAGGCGGCTTTGGCGGACAACTCATTGCAGCACGTCTTCTTGAATCTGGAACCACCAACATCCGTATCATCGACAAGGCGGGAGATTTTGGAGGAACCTGGTACTGGAACCGTTATCCAGGAGCAGCGTGTGACCTTGAATCATATATCTATATGCCATTGTTAGAAGAGCTCAACTATATGCCAACGGAAAAGTACACCAGAGCACCAGAGTTGTTTGAACATGCTCGCAACATCGGAAAGCATTTCGGACTTTACGATAAAGCCTTGTTCCAGACTGAAGTTCTCGGTCTGAAGTGGGATGCGACTGCCCGTCATTGGATTGCAAGAACGAATCGTGGCGACACTATCCGTGCTCAGTTCGTTGCCACAGCGAGTGGCCCTCTTCATAAGCCGAAGCTTCCTGGTGTTCCCGGTATTGAGACGTACAAGGGACACAGTTTTCACACTAGTCGATGGGATTACGATTATACTGGGGGCAACACAACAGGAGGGTTGAGCAAATTGGCTGATAAGCGTGTTGGAATCATTGGAACTGGTGCCACGGCAGTCCAATCAATTCCCCACCTCGCTCGCGGGGCTGGTCACCTCTATGTGTTTCAACGGACTCCATCTTCGGTTGACAAGCGACTCGATCAACCAACTGACCCAACGTGGGCATCTTCATTGACGAAAGGATGGCAACAGAAAAGAATGGACAATTTCAATATCATTGTCTCTGGAGGGCATCAAGATGAAGACCTTGTACAAGACGGTTGGACCGACATCCTGAGAAACCTTTCAGTCCTTGGAGGAGCCGATCAACCCACTGCAAATCAATCCTCCTCCTCTCTACAAATGGCTGATTTTCGAAAGATGGAGCAAGTTCGAGCTAGAGTGGATCAGGTCATAAAAAACCCAGCGCTCGCGGAGAAGCTGAAGGCATATTATAATCAGTTCTGCAAGCGGCCCTGTTTCCATGATGAGTACCTCCCGGTTTTCAACCAAGAGAATGTTAGCCTCGTAGACACAAACGGAAAGGGAATCGAACGTGTCACTGAAAATGGAATTGTGGCAAATGGTGAAGAAATCAAGTTGGATGCTATCGTCTACGCCACCGGATTCGAATTCAGTACCGATTACAGCAAGAGAATTGGTATTGAGATTACGGGAGTTAACGGAACTACCCTTAGTGAAAAATGGGAGGACGGTGAGAAAACAAGCACGTTGCAAGGATTTTGGACGCGAGGCTTTCCAAACCTATTCGTTGTTAGCATTGTCCAGTCAGGCATGACACCTAATTTCTCGCATATGTTAGGTGAGCAAGCCAAGCACATTGCCTATGTGGTCAAAGAATGTAGAGAAAGGAAGGTTATGAGTGTTGAGGCGGAACAAGAGGCAGAGGATAAGTGGGTCCAGACCATTATGGAGGGGGGGAAGTTGCAGGCAGATTTTGTGAAGGATTGTACGCCAGGATACTACAATCAGGAAGGCCAGATTACGGACAGGGCTTTGCGAAATTCTTCTTATGGATGGGGGTCTTCTGCTTTTATTAAACTTTTGGAGGATTGGAGGAAGAATGGAGGACTTGTTGGGCTGGAGTTGACGAAAGCATAGCTAGATGCATAGAAAATGATTATAGCCTACTTTGGGCAGACATATACAGATGAATCAATGGCTTTAACTAGTAGACGTTTCAATGTCCTAGGCAGTATACTACGGTTGTTAGTTGAGTCAATTATTCAAATCGACTGGTGAGTTTGAGTTTGTACAAAAACTCATATGCCAGCTTGAGTTGTTAACCCTGTATCTTTGTATTGCATAAATCCTTTGGGCTGAATAGCGCAGGGACAAAACAAAGATGGTGTAGAGCATAGGTCATAGGCTATCGCAAACAATTCACGATACTTCTGTGAATATAAAGAATATCTGCATTTATCTAGAAGCTCCGAAAGAATTCTCTCCCTTTAAAGCTCTCCTTTATAAATACTCTCTTCAAACTTCGCAAAAGTCTCCGCTGTTTTAATATCCCCTGGAGGAAGCAACTGGCTCCCATAAAACAACGCAACTCCTCTTTCCCTATCGACCATCCAATGCAAATTGGGCAACCCACTCCATGACAGCGCACCTTTACTCCTCCGATTCGGACCCGCGCCATTAGCGCAATCTACAAGCAAACCTCCAACCGAATATCCCACATCTGTCCCTGCTGGCAACCCACCACTAAACAGCATACCCACCTCTCCATTTGTGTTGCCCTCATAATCGCCATACAGAACAAAATTCAGTGCTGCTTTGGACTCGGTAGAGAGCTGTTGCTTGAATAACTCTTCCTTACTTGCCGCGGAGAGCAATTTTGAGTCATCCTGTAGGAGATCAATTAAAACTTTGATGTAATCCTGTGCGCAAGAAAAGAGACCAGCTCCACCAAAGTCATCCTTGGAATTTTCGGGAAAGTAGCGTGTGGGGCTGGGGATGAGAGACCCATCTGGCAGCCGGAGGCTCATGTCTGATCGAGTTGCTAGGATGTCTTGTCTAGATTGGAGCTTGAAGGATGTGGAGGTCATGCCGAGTGGATTAATTATATTTGTTTCCATGTAGGCGGAAAGGGATTGTCCCGTGACTCGTTCAATTGCAAGGCCGGCCCAGTCAAGTCCTACACCGTAAGACCATGATGTACCGGGTTGATAAAGAAGGGGGACCAAAATATGTTCGAGCTGGGAAATAAATTAGTTATTGCTTTTAATGGTGATGAGATAACATACCAATTCGCCTGTTATATCAATTTTACCGCCTCTGTAATCGACTTCTTTCTTGAGTCTTGGATCAAGTCCTGCGTATCCAAAGCCACTGCTATGGCTAAGAAGGGTTCTTAGGGTGATTTTGCTTTCCGGCTTTTTATAGACTGGTTTTTCATTGTCGTCGAATCCAGCGAGGATTTGAATTTCGTTGAACTCAGTAAGAACATCTGCGAGGTCGGCATCTAGATTCAGGAGCCCCTTCTCCACACACTGTAGGACACTAGTTGCTGTAAGGAGTTTTGTGCATGAGGCAATCCACATTGTAGTGTCGATTGCAAATGGTTTTTCAAAGAGGGGAGAAGCGGGATCGAGGGACTGGGTTCCAGAGGCGAAAGTGTGGGTGATTCCTATAAATGGGAGGTTAGAATATTGTAGAAAAATTAGTCATTAAAGAGAAACTTGCCATTTCTGTCAGCGGCTACAACGACAGCACCTGGAAGAGTGCGGTCAGGTCCGTTACCAGTGGCTTCTCGAAGGTATGTTTCAAACGCCATTTTGTTCTTACTAGAAATGATATTTTGTGAAGGGTGTATACGAGAATTAAGGCGGCAGTGAGGAAGCTGCATTAATTATATATTGCTAGTCAAGGTCTTAAATTACAGTAAATCTGAACAATAGTCAGGGCTTTAGGATTTTGCAACTCCATTAGACCAATACTACAATTTTGTGTGTACCTTGGTGAGGGGTATAGTAGCGCATGGCGCTAAAATACCTCCCCAAAGCCATCCCCGCAATATCGAAAGGAGCCGAGGTTCTTTAAACTGCAGCTAAACCATCACGTCGAGAAATCAAACTTCTCTAGAAATCGGACTTAATGATTACCCAAACAAAGAACGGCTAAGTGGGTCATGATTATCCTAGCTTAATTAGCGTTAAAGGTAGCAGAAGGGCGGGATCTCGAGCGGGGTTGACCAAGAATTGGGGGTTGGCCAAGCGCGGGGAACCTCGCTAAAAACAAGTCCACTTAACATATTGGGGTGCATTCGGACGGACCAGGCTCTCATGCAGTCAATAGTGTCGTTATCAGACGGGTGGAACGTAGTATGCGGGGAGATGAGGACCGAGAGGGGGAGGGGTGAGGGGGTGGTGGTCATTGCAGGGGGTGTTGGAATGGAGTTGATGTGGCTTTGGAGAAGTTTGTGGGATGGGCTGGAGGTGAGGTTGGGGTTTGCTAGCTAGATGAGAGGCGTTAAGGAAAGTGCGTTGTTTAATATCCCCTCTCCTTTCCGACCTTCACTCTCATCTTGGCCATTGAACCCCGCAAATATCACCACCTCGGTGATTTCAGATGCAGCGGGGATGCTCAGACCTCATGTGACTGTAATTCTACGTACCTTAATTATCAATTATTTAATGGAGCGAAGCTTCCCCGATTGTAGGCCACTGAGAAACACAACGACATTCAGGAGAATCCTGCACCATCTCCCTTCAAACAGGAGTCTTTTATTTTCTACTGCTAATACTGCCTGGACACTCGATCTATAAACCATCCACGCCTACAAATCTTTCACAACCCCCGTGATGAAGGCTTATCGCTGGGGTGGCCCCAATAGTGGCCTCCATCTTGAAGATATTGCAGTCCCGCAACCTTCTACGGCTGAGGTCCTTATCCAAGTTGAAACTTGCGGATTATGCCATTCAGACTGCCATATTATCAGTGGAACAGGGGGAGCATGGATCCAACAACGGCCTATTACCCTTGGTCATGAGGTTGCCGGGAAAGTCATCGCATTAGGAGAAAGCGTATCAGAGGTGCACATAGGCGACAGAGTAGCAGTGGCCCTGCTAGGACCAGCTGGTGGGATTGGTCTCAACTACGATGGTGGATATGCTGAATACGCCGTTGTCCCTGTCAAATATCTCGAACCTATCCCAGACAACGTTAGTTTCGAGCAAGCTTCTGTAGCGACAGATGCGGTTGCGACATCTTACCACGCTGTTGTCAGGACAGGCGGAGTCACTGCGTCAACGACTGTCGCCATCGTCGGTCTAGGCGGTCTAGGATCAATTGGCCTGAGAATTGCGTCGCTTCAAGGAGCTATCGTGTATGGCTTCGACATTGATAGTAGTAAATTCGAGGCGGCAATGCGAGATGGTGCGAAGTCCTGTTTCTCCAGCCTCGGGGATGCAAAGGATGTTACATTTGACGTTGTCGTGGATTTTGTTGGGATCACTTCGACAATGACTGCGGCTCTCGAGGCCGTCAAGCCGTCCGGACGTATCGTCCTAACCGGTTTAGGAGACGAAAAGTTGACTTTACCTACATTTTCTATTGTCCATAAGAGTGTAGAAATCCGGGGTTCGTTAGGTGCGACCAAAGAGGACCTGCGGACTGTTTTGGCCTTGATAAGTGAAGGAAAGATAACGCCAGACTTGGAAGAGATACTTTTTAGCAAGGTGAACGAAGGCTTACTTCGTTTGGAAGCGGGACAGACGAAAGGGAGGCTTTTTACTAGACCAACGTTAGCGAGTGTGTAGACAGCAGTTGAAGAGATTATATTATCAATCAAATACAAGGAATCTCAGGACAGTTTCTTTTAAAGGATATTATTCTCAATGTTGAATGGCGCCGGTACTATCCTCGTCAACGATTGATCACCTGGTCATTACTTTGAGAGCTTTGTGATCATTATTGTACTTGGAGAGGGCCAGTAACGGGGTATCGAGAAAGATATATACTGTATTTCTGTCTGACTGCATGGCTAGCTACTGAATGAATCCCTATTTTAGGTAACTTGGCGACCAGTGTCACATGGATATTCCAACGAGGGGCGGTTGGAGACTAGCGTTTGCGGCCGAGCCAGTGTATAACCGAATAGCTAGCTCTTGCGCCCACCTTTCAGCTCAACCCAGGCTTTGCCGGGTCGTACTGCTATAGCAATTACCCACAGGATTTCCGTGGCTTTGGGAGTTATCATCTGTAAACAAGTCGATCGATTCTGCGCCTGTTGCCCAAGGTCCGATCTTGCAAGGACGCAATAAGACAAAGTGGTTGTTTCGAGCTATCAGAAGATTTTCGCGACTTTCCATCGTCGAATACGCGGAAAAAACAGTTTGTTTAGTTGTGGTTTTATACTATTGTCTATAATTCTTCACTATCGGGGTTGGGCCAGTACCCTCTTCATCCCGACCAACGCGAATCATTTCCAGTTTCTTATATTGTACTGCCGCAGCTCTGTAATAGTGAGTTTCTAGCTCGCTTTTGTATACCAATACACCCTACTAATTTCACGAAGAAGAGTCCCTAACTATCGAAGGTAATAGCGACGATGAAAGCGACGACGAAGCTAAAGCTAGGGTTGCCTCGAGTAATCTCTTTGCTAGCATTAAGGACCAAGACGCAAGCAAGTGTGGACTGGTTACTCAAGATACAGCCTCAACCACCAACAATCTATTTAACCCGTCCACTCTTCGAGATTCGAGATACTCTAATACTGATTGTTTCTCTAAGAATGGACAACAACGCCCATCTTTCAGAGCTGAACTCGACATTCCTAATTTAGGTTCGATGACCTTCTCTAAATTGCTCTGAGCCGGCTGAGACAACAGGTCCGGATCAATTTCTCTAGGACAAACCCTCTAGAGAAAATTCAGATCTCCATCCAAGAGGGCAGCATCACTGCACTGAAAGAGAAAATCATCGGCCGATTGTGCAACATACTGTGAGAAGAGATTCTGCGGCATCGAATTAGTGTCATTGGCAATTATCCAAGACGGATCTAATATCTCTGGTGTTGCGGGTACTTCGGCCTGGGCGTTGCTACCGGGTATTGTGGGCGGCAGATCGGATTCTATCAAGAGGAACATATGTCAGTCGGTGGAGTATAGAAAAGGGTTGTGTATTTGCCTGTCCACTCACCTAGGGAGTCAAAAACCCTCAAGAACCCCAATATGCAGTGACGAGCTTTTCGACTCATTAAACTAATTCTCTCGAAAGTCTGTAGAATCTTTAAGCCGCGGTCGAGAGATGACCTCACCTCTACCATCTCAATACCTCCCGCAGCAGTTAATATCCCTCCATGGCACTTGTGTACAAGAAGGATACCAAATAAGTGTAAGTTCACAGTGAACACTAGCCAGCGTCAGCGCCCACTCAGTACATAATCTCTCTCTACAATCTCTCACAAGCCACTCACTGATGTAGTTACAGTTCCACCACGCCGCGTTACAGTCGAAGAAACTTTCTCCACAGGCAGTTGCTCCGTCAATGATTATTAAGAGCTCTCTCGCAGTTTTGATTTCGCTCTTAATCACTGGCATAATACTATCTATTAGCATAGTCTTGTCTCTAGGACTATGTTTTTTATTGACCGCTTCACTTAAGAATTTTGTTAGCACGGGCCCGTTGATGAGCAGTGTGACACTATAGTATTGGATGGAAAGTAACACTTGAAGTCTGTTCGTGACGTTTGGTACTCTAGACTGCTGGCATAAATCGATTTCAGAGAGGATGTCGCAAAACGAAGCAGTATTTTGCCGCCATTGCTCTAGCTGCCATGAAAGCTGAAGTCTTTTGATGAGTAGCTCGTGAAGAGGTAGGGACTCTGAATCAATATTGTGGTTATATAGGTTGTCAATTATCGAGATTTTAACAGTATCCAACGATCTAATAACAAGTAAGCATGGCTAATAGGATTCTAACGGCAGATTCCATACATACATTACTCGATTAAAATAAAGCAAGCTATCGATCTGTTCTGGCATTGTCATGGGCATAGTCTGCAGAATCAAAGATGCATCTCGTGGTACTTCTACTTGGATGTGTTGCTGCGGGATCATGCAAGGTCGACCTAACGAAATACTCAGATGTCTGTGAGACCTTAGCGGCTGCACTATAAGCAACGAGCCCACGTAAAATACCTATCCTGGTTAACTAGAGCAAACCACAGTCTTTTCCGGAGTTCGCTTTCCTGGAACGAGTGGTCTTTATAGTAGATTGGTGAGTGAAGACCCAACTGGAAAGCGGCTTTGACGGCGACGGCATGGAACGTCCAACTAGCGATGGAAAGCTGATGGTTCTGTTGAAAACTAGCAATCAGAAGAAGTGCTTGGACTTTGTGAAATATTAGCGACAAACTTGATCACGAATTGAATAATTTCAGCTGACTTAGCTCTAGACATGATCCTCGGAGTGTCTGCTCGTCCAGTAAGGCTAGTGCTCGACGGTAATATACTTTCGCATTTGAATTCTGTAGTGTAGAGGAAGTATATGCGCAGATGATGTTTACTAGCGCTTCCATCGGTCTAGGAAGTTGCTGGTTATTTTCTCGCCTTCGTTTGTACTCAGATAATATAGTCGACGTGTTAACAAATGGCAATACTATGCCCACCGTGGTAGAAAATTGGGAGATTAATGGTATTACATCTTGACCATCTGGTAGAACACAAATGTCGACAACATCAGGCGTGTCCTGACGTATCTCCAAGCGTTTCTCTGGTAGTAACAATGGAGGACGACGAGTAAACCTATGGTAGTCCCTCGCAGAGCTTGGTGTACAATGTTGCTGATTTGATGGAGAGAAGATATGCACAACGTGCGCGAAAATTCCAGAGAGCGTACGGAACAAAGCGTGGTTTGAAGTCGGGCCTATATCAGAGTAAGCAATGGCTGAAGTCGCTACTGGTTCGACTATGGATTCACCAAAATTCCCAATATTTCGGTCTGTTTTTTCTGGTACGTCGTCGAATGTAGTGGTAGCAAGAGTATCGACTGGGACTTCGTCGGTTTCTTCCCCAATGTCGGTCGAAGGTGTGGTTAAGGGTACAGGAGCATTTATGGCGCCCAGGTTTGGCTGCCTAGTCGTCGACGATGCACGCAGGTTGTTGATCTGCTCTCTGCTTTTGCCGTTTGGTGGAATGATTGGAGCTGCAACGGAGACTGAGCGTAACCTGGCCTCCAATTCCATCACTCTCAGTCTCAACTGGGCGGTCTCACCACCTTCATCGCTGATAATGCATCTATTAGTTGCCCTGCTATTTGCGGATCCTATTCCTCGCCAGCTTCTAGATACTCCAGAAGCTTCCTCATATATGCAATGGATCCCAAGTTCCAGGCATGGCGAGCAGCTAGGGCGCTGTCCATTACACTATGAAATATTTGAGCTGCATGACCTAGAGACTGTCCACGTAAATAGCTTACACGCGACTTTCTTTCTCTACATGACCTGCATGCTAATGGTACTCTCCGGCGTTTGCGTGGCGGAGCAGTGGGGGGAGACTCTAGAGAACGGCTCGAAATATTCTCATTTTCCGGTGATAGGGTTTCGTTCTGCATGGAGACTAGGCGGCAATAATAGGAATGGTGTACAGTATGTGTAATTCAAAAGAGTAGATATATTTAAGATTCGTTCCCTCGGTACGGAAGATACCTTGAGATTAAAGCCGAATGGCTGGTCACGAGAGGGGCTAGCTCTAATACCCCGCGTTTAAATCCATGCTGCTTACTTGATCCTATTTGCGGGGTACTTTTATATAAGGACCGTGCTTTGTAGCTAATGAGATGCTGGAATAAAGTTCTCAACTCGATATTAAGTTTAGTAATACAAGAGCCTATAGCAACTATACTTTACGAACTAAGCCAGCAAATTTCTAGGCTGCCATTATTTTATTATAGACACATACAAGAGTTGGCTACTGAAAATTAAATTGAGTGAGTTGAAATCTATGGTACCTACGTAATTTCTGCGATCTGCCATTCTTGCCTACGCCCAGTCCTTGTACAGACTTTCTAGCATTACAATTAGTGCCCGTGAGTGCTGCAATTCTTCCCGTGCGTCAGAGGACCCTATACAAAATTTGGGTGTGGATTCTAGCCGGAAGCAATTATCACTTTGACTCTAGTAGGGTGATCGCAGTGGAGTTAGTTCACGAGGAGTAGCGGAACTCATCTAGGAGTCATTAATAATAAAGGCCAAGATAGTAGATATTTATTGTTTGAACTGCCAAGTCTCTAGTTGAAACAAAGGCGTTATTCCACCTTCCTCTTCTGCCGTGCCTTCACCATCAACGGCTGGGCAAGATCACTTATGCCTACACTAACTAAGTCTGGAATTCTACCTCTGAAAGCACCCATCTGCACTTCTAGTCTTTCATTTAGATCTACGAGCTCGAAGTCAAATTCTTTCAACAAAGTACTCGATAGTTTGTAGATGTTGCTCAGAGCTACTGTCTTGCCAATGCATTGACGCCCACCTAAGCCAAAATGCATTAAATATCTAGCTCGCGCAGCGGTTTCAGGATTATCCCAACGGGTAGGATCAAAGGTGTTGTGGTCTGGACCCCAGACAGCAGGGTCATGGTGAAAAGCGTGGTTGCAGACGGCAATAGACGTCTAAGGTACAAGGTTAGCTAATTTGGAACAAATATCGTATATGACAATCTGTAGAACTTACTCCGTGCGGGATATGTCGCCCGCTAATGGCGACTCCTTCAGGTGCTGTCACGCGTCGGGCTAATGGCATGGTAAACACCGGGGTGATTCGAAAGTTTTCACGAATACACTGGCGGAGGTAAGGGAGAGATGTTTCCACATCTGCTACTGAATAAGAAGACTGGCCTGCGGTCAGTGGTGGAAGATTCTCATCTATCTCCGTGGCGCATCTAGCCATAATGTCTGGGGCATGCAGTAGATGATAGAACAGTAACGACACCGTAGCACTGGTGGTATGTGTTCCAGCGATACTATTCAAATACTATGGTCAGCGGATGATCTCTTCTAATGGGTTACTAATACTTACATGAAACCGAATGCTTCTGTCTCCAAATCAGCTTGTGTTAAGCGCTCACCCGTATCCGGATGCTTAGCCAGAATCAAATTGGTCAGAATATCATTTCTCTGCAAAGTTTCCATGCCTTCATCTTTAACATCTTGCAGAGCTGCAATTCTCCTCTGTACGCATTCGGATGCCAACCTTGCACATGCCGCTCGACCTCGGAATAAATTTTGCAGTCCCCTAATGGGTATTTTGGGAAGCCACCTCTTCAAAGTTTGTGTCTGCGCCGGCCATGCACCCGTGGCAGCAGCAAGTAAACTGTGCGGTACGACTGGTGGGACAAGCGACTCATCATCTGCAATCTGGACACCAAACGATTGGCTGAAGGCCAATTCACCAAGCACGTCAATAGTGTAATAGTGCAAGACCTTCTTGAGGTCGAAAACTTCGTTTCGGCTGCTGAATCTGGCAATTTTTTTTCTCAGGATATCAATGTTGAGATCTAGGTACTGCTCCATCTCCCTCACGTAGGATATGGAAAAGCTATGGGACATATGGCGTCTCCGAATGGAATGAAGCTACCGATTCTGATTAGCTTATATCCCAAAAAGTCTGCAGCTAACTCACAGCTTCATCTCGCATGCCGAAGACATTAGGATGTGCTGCGCCATATGCATCATAAAACTCGGTCTTGGGCATCGACTTGCCTCCTTTCTGATACACTAGCGGAATGGCGTCTTCTGAAGTAACGCTGAGTTTATCAGGGCCGTACCGAACAAAGGGTCCATACTTTTCGTGTAGTTCTGTTAAATTATATGGCTGTCTCAGGGTCAAATACTGATAGACCTGCCAAAGATCTGTGACTGAGGCTAGGAATGGGCCAGGAAAAGCGGCTAGTGGGTGAAACCAGCGTTGATACACAACATATCCTACCAAAAGTATGAGTGATAAAAGTATGAATATACACAAAGCCGTGAGTGGAGAATCAATTAATTGGGACCGTAGAAGACCCATTATGATTATTTGCTAGCTGCCTTTAGCTGGCTTGCGCTTTTGAAATTAGTTAGAGACAACAACATTTAAGTAAACATACGGTTACAAGCAATTCATTTGATATATACAACCCATTTCCCTTTTTGGCGGGTCATGCCCGGACATAAACCGGGTACTACCCGCTCGGTGTTCTATTCAGGAAGAGGAATGTGGGGAAACGCGGGGAAATGTGGATTCGCGGGCTAAGTATTCACCAGGGTAAATGCCAGGGGTCCTATCAAAATAAAGGTAACCATCCCGAGCCTCGGGAGGGGTGGTTCTTATTGGAGCTTCATTGAATCGCAACCGAGCCGACGGGAAGCATCAACCCTATTGGCCACCTCCCCTCGAGGATTCCATCAACCGATGTGTCCCTAAAAGGCAAGGTTTCCTCTGATATTCTCATTTCGATCTAACACTATCTCGCACAGAAACGATTCACCACTACTTTTAATACTCATATTGTTCTAAAAACCTAAGTATGGACGAGAAGCCAGAAGTTGGACATGTTGAGAATGTAAGTGGGAAGACAATTATCCTCTGCTAAGCATTATGCTTATAATCATTAGGCGAACGTAGCTTCCATTTCGGATGCGCACAAGGAATACATCCTAGACAGACATAAAACCCTTGAATTGGACCCAGTCCCCGACTTCAATGACGCTGATCCCTATAATTGGCCGTTCCGAAAGGTCGCCCTATTCCTACGACTGTGGTTCCTTGCTAACAACATACTAGAAAGTGATAAACCTCTTGCTTGTTGCCTTCCATGCGATGATGGCAACATTCACAGCCGCTGCAATCCAGTCTGCATTCGCGGACATTGCCACCGATTTGAATGTCAGCATCCACCGAGCCACCTACTTGACATCCCTTGTTATAGCCATTCTCGGCGTTGCACCACTTGTTTGGAGGCCACTTTCAGAACGATATGGAAGACGACCGATCTTCCTCATTTCGCTGATCGGCAGCCTCGTTTGCAATATCGGCTGTGCTTGTAGTCCTACGTATGCTACCATGGGTCTCTGTCGAGCCCTTGCGGGCTTCTTTATTAGCCCTGCCGCTGCACTTGGCAGTGCTACAGTGGCAGAGACAATTTTTAAGCGGGAAAGAGCACGATATATGGGTATTTGGACAGTAATGGTGACACTCGGCGTGCCTACCGCTCCCGTCATCTTTGGCTTTGTTGCATACAGAGTTGGATACCGTTGGATCTACTGGATCCTTGCATGTGTGAGTAAATTCTCTAGGTTTAAAATGACATCTAATCCATATTCAGACAAATGCAGTACAGTTCATCCTCTACCTTTTCTTTGGCCCAGAGTCTCGCTACATCCGTGGCCAACAGCAACAGCAACGATCCTCTTTCAGACAGCAGTACTTCAGCTTCAAGCGCATAGATCTTACGCCCTTAACATGGCGGGAGTTCGTATCACCACTGGAACTTGTTGTACGCCCTTGCGTCCTTCTTTCCGCAACAGCATACTCCACGGTCTTCCTCTTTGCCAGTGTGTTCATCGCTATCGAAATTCCGCAATTGTTTGTCGAGAAATTCCATCTCAACGCAGAACAAATCGGTCTTCAAAACATCAGTATAATTTTGGGAACTCTAATCGGCGAGCAGCTGGGCGGGACCCTTTCTGATCGATGGATGTGGAGACGCCAGTGCAAAATGAAGGAGAGGATGGTGCAACCTGAGTTCCGTCTCTGGCTCAGCTATAGTGGATATCTCCTCGTAATCTGTGGCGTTATCGTCTTCTTGATCCAAATTAAGCAGGCCGATGCTAGGTGGAATATCACTCCTATAATCGGAGCAGGGATCGCTGCGGCGGGGAATCAAATCGTCACGACCGTTCTCATCACGTATGCCGTTGATTGCTACCGTGATGAAGCTGCAAGTATTGGCGTGTTTATTACTTTCGTTCGTCAAGAGCTGGGCTTTATTGGCCCTTTTTGGTACGTTGCTTCTCTGAAAATGTATGTGTGCTGCCACTTACATGCTATAGGTTCCCTACTATGATTGAGACAGTAGGGTTATATGGAAGCGCAGGGATCATTACAGCACTGATATTATGCGCTAGCATTATCCCAACTATTTTTTGTCAATGGAGAGGCAAAATGTGGCGTTGATGCACTAGAAATACTAAACTATGACTCTATAGCTGCTATTGCTATAGTTAAATAAATGTAGAAGTTTACACTTGCTTATTAGTACATTGCACACACTCTCTGTCACGGGTCCTGAGGCACCGGAGAGCGTATCGGTGCAACCCACACCTGCAAATCCCCGTCACTTGTCACTGTGACGTCGGAGTTCCGTATGTGCAGTCTCCACATTTTCCGTCATCGCTATCCTTATAATATATCCTTCGAACGGGGCAAGTGTCTCCGAGCGCCGTATCGTATCTATTCCGGATTTCGAAAGGGATTCAGCATTGTGGATGGGCGGCGATTCAGCGTCCGCGCAGTGGAAGACAGCCCCCATTTCCTCATCCTGCTCTCTGCGGCACTCTCTCGTCATAATTGCCCTCTTGAGCATCGACCCCTCAACAATAAGCCATCAGTCTGTTCATGAGAGAATATTTCAGCCTGTGAAAGGCTCAGTAGTCGACCCAGACGATGGGTTCTTAATGCGCTTCGTGCGAATAGCAGTTTGCGATTCTAATTTCGACTTTGTAGCGCTTCGGCGTTGAGTGCTCATAGCCTTCATTGCGTCTTACTGTTCTGAAAAGTGATCATACCTAAGCCCTAAAACTCCGAAGAGCACAAAAACGGAGCGTCTAGGGGATAGTTTCACTGCTTCTTCCCATGATTTAGGAACGGTTTGCAGCAAGGGACCTAATAAGTCCATGTCGCAGTAATCAATGTCATCAGCTTCATCCAAGACTTTAAAGGGCCAATTATCGATAGAAAGGTAGAATTCAAGACAACGGACTAGCTCTAACGCGAAGAATAGATTAGTTGCTTTCACACAAGTCTAATATAGATGTAATAAAGGGACATACCATGCTCTTGGTTGTGTAGATTCCAATAGTGTTTTACCTGTCGTAATGATGTTGAAAGTTCTCAATCTGCCTTACTCCATCTTGTTCTCGAACGATAGGAAGAGATTGGACCTCATCGAAGAATCTAGATGCTCTGTAGTTTTGCGACGCACGAAATTCTAGACGAAGTCCTTCAAGGCCGGTCTCGAGGTCAGCCTTAGTTGCAAGCCGAAGTTCTTCGAGGTCAGCCTTGGTTGCAAGGCGATGTTCTTCAAGGTCGGCCTTGGTTGCAAGGCGAAGTTCTTCAAGGTCAACCTTAGTTGCAAGAGTTGGAATAATTTCGCGTAGGTGTTCGTCAGTCACGATATTGCCATTCTCTTTGAAGTCTTAGAAGTCTTACACCTCCGCCTTTATATTCACAATATCCTCTTCAGCTTCAGATATCCTTATATCCCTTTCGTTAACGACTTCATCGAGTCCCTTAACTTCTTGTTGTAATCTTTCGAAACTAGACAGAGGTACATCAGTCGCGAGCTCGTTAGGTGAACCAGCATAAGGTTGGTGTTCTAACACTCGCACGCGGTTCTCATGATCATCCACTGTGGACTTGAGCTGCGTTATACACTTGATAATAATCCCTTTGTCGTCGACATCCTCTGGTGGCGTGAGATGCTCAAACAGGCGTGCTAAATCACCAGCGGTGGTCCGAAGGGGCAGTTCGGACCGGCTAGGTGAAGACTTGTCGCTGTCGTCAGACTCTGTGGACTCCGACATGGTGATGGGTGTTGTTCTCCCCAGCAGTTCCGTGCTGGAGAATCTGTGTTGCAAATGGTCGCAAACCTATCGAGAGACGTGGGCATCAGGTTGACGTTTGGGCCTCCCAGGTACCAGGTGCCTGAACCAACCGTGCGGATAATTGCAATTCCGACCGTCCATCTGCGTGGGGTAACTTTGTGCTTCTACCACTCTTCAACCAGGCTCAACCAGGCCGGGCAGCGAATAGAGCCTATTAATAATAGAGCCTATTACGGGGTCCAGCGCTAATATATCTGTTTGTCAGGGGTATGAGCAAGTTAAATGGACATATTTTGGCTCCCTACTCAGCTTGCTCAACCAAAGCCGAAGAGGGGCAATAACGGGACGTCCAACGCAAACCCCACAACCCACAGTAGGGCTAGGCGCATATATGGCATAGGCCATCTAGCTAACATCAATAATAGCATCAGTGGTTTAGTGGTATTAATCCATCGATGCCGCTCGACTTTGGGCCCCCTAATGCCGGTTTACCATTTCCTAATTTCTCCTTTCTGAAGGCTGGGAAAAGCAGTTGCCTAGAAACAAGTTGTATGTCGACATCGGTACGCGTGATTCAAGACTAGTAATTGGTTCAGAGCATTCAGCTCCCTTGCCGTAGCTTGTAGGTGCACAGCCAATGTGCGCGCTTTACTGCCCACCCAAATGCATCCGTCCTTGTATATTGTGGATGCAGTATAATAGCAACTCGCAACTGTCACCCCGGGTTTGTGATGGTAACATCTTTGTCAGCCCGCTACCTTAAAATTAGAGCAAGTTAATTATGATTACGTTCATTACTACAACAGTGTGTTTACGAAATAATATTGTAAGGAATAAATAATATTTAATCGCCGTCGTCTGCGCTTATTATATCCCAGCTTCCGTGTTTTGAGCCATTTACCTTCGTTGTATGGGCGGGTAATTTGCCTAGGCTCAATACGGTGTTGCCGCGTAAGCCTCAAAGGATGGATCATGACGCTCACAGCCTCACACTCATTTACATAGCCTCGCATCACATTGCACTAACTCACACATATATACAGTGTCTTAATTCATTAATCATCTCGCAAATACGATTACCGTAAATAATAGAAAGAAACTATGACACTCGTGAAGTGGGCATTGCCCCAGCTCTCAGAGCTCTTGCCTCTTGACGAAGAGTCTCTGAAGGAGATTATTCTGTACACTAACACACTTTCTGATGCCGAGGCTACCATTCATCTCACAAGTTTATTGGGAGACACGCCAAAGGCTGCGGAGTTTATCACATCTTTTAACGCGCATCGCTCAGCTGTAACCGCTGAAAAATCGAAGCTGTCAAGCGATGTCAAGGGCACGCCGCCAGCAAATGCGCCACCGGCATATGCGCCCCCAGCCTATCCTGTGGTCTCGCAGAACACGAGTATGTTACTTGGAAGGCCTCATATGAATCGAGTAATTGAGGCTGCGAACGTCCGTGCAAGAGATGAGGTCTGTTTGATCCTCTCAGGTCCTCGCCAACTAACTAACATCCCTACAGCAAGAGATGCAGTTTGCGCTACAGAACCTCCAATTGCAATATGGGATCTACAACAGCGAGATAGAACCCGAGCATGAGTCGGACTACTACTGCGGTTGCGCCATCCACACTTACCAGACGAGGAAATACCACCGCTATGGTGTGCAGGAAATGTGGTCGAACGCGGTCATGTATCCAGGTCAGTCCACCCTCTTTCAATAACATGTCCTACGTTCTTCAGAGAGGCTGACAGTTTATTTTTGGCTGAGAAGGAGAGAAAGCTTACAATGAGGGCTATTATACCTCTGGCTTGGCTAACAATCTATCCACTTCTATGTTTAGTAGTAACCCATACAAGTACAATGTTATCTCGCCATATGGCATGTATGTGTCTCAATGGAGTTCTCAGAGGCCTAAGCCAGATAGTCACGCAATGTCAATTCACCAAACTATCCAGATGAACAACAGTCTTAATCGCCAAGCACAAGCCGATATTGATGCGAAGGAACCGAGAATTAACATTTGGGATGAATTGGACGGTGTAAACACCACAATGTCGAACATGAGTATTGAAGCAGCCGGTTCCAATGCACCAGACCGAAAGGTACTACCTTATAAGGCTTCAGATGAGAAGCGGCAAAGCGTCGTTACTCCCCCTAAGAATGATACTGCAGAGGCATCTACCAAATCATCTAAATTTTCGTTCAGGAAAGCCATCGGGATTAAATCATCCGAGGAGCGAGCGGTTGCAAAAACGGAAAAGCGGATCAGAAAAGGCCGGGAGTTACGAAACTCTATTCTTGCCGAAGAGCGAGGCAGGTGGCCAAATGAGCAATGGCAACAAATAGTCACTAGCTATCAAGATAAGGTCGGCATGACTAGAAAAATTAGGCATCTTCGAGCTCGCCAACCTATCCAGTATCTGCACTTGCTCCGAGCTGGATACTTTGAACCAATTCCAGTTGCTTGGGCTGGCGCTACTTCTAACCCCCTGAAATTCAGCATTGAACCTGCCTCTGGGTGGAGAGGAATCACACCTCAGTGGCGCGGGTATGAGGACACAGCCGAAGAACGGCTATATTGGGTCCTGAACCACCGGGAAGGAGTCGCGGGCATGCGGATGAAGCCAGACTTCATCTACGCAATGGACATGGCTCGTGCTAGGATGGCTTCAGCGGTCGAGCCACCCCCTCAATACTATGCCGCCAATGACACATGCCATCTTCAGCATACATCTCCCGGATACTCTAAACAGGTTATGCCAACACCATTTAGGGCATATGATCGACCAGAAGTGCCTACAGATGATACCATGATCCTCTTGGATGTCTCCGGATCTATGGACTTTGATCCTGTCCGACCATTTTATAACAAATACCTTATTACAGGCTACCAACCTTCCACCCAACCAAAGAATAAAGGTAGTGCCAATACTCCCATCAATCCCACATGAGATACTAATCGTGTCCTAGATGTTGCCAAGGCCATTATCCGGCGCTTCACCGACGCGATGGCAAACCATGACCACGCTTTCGGAGGTTACAGTCTCACGACCTTCTCGAACCAAGCCCACTACATTGGGAACATTAACCACCAGAATCTTGAGGCCATGTGGCGCAATGTCCGCATCGGCGGCGGAACTCGCGTCATGACCGGCTGGCAGAAGGTCAAGGATCTACATTTTCAGAAACACTCCGCCTCGGCGATTCACCACCCAGTGTATGGATGGCAAGCAGGTCCTGAAACACCGATGCTGAGGTTATTGCTCTTGCTCGATGGCGAAGCGACCGATATGGATGAGTTCGAACTAGATCTCCTTGGACTCTCGTGGGCTCATGTGACGATCTTCTTGATTGGTGTTGATGGATGTCCGCATCACCATCGCCATGCCAATGAGTTGCAGAGGATCAGCGACGTCAATCACCATGTATCATTTGTTGACGCCCAGGGCAATACGCCAGAGCGATTCATTACGCATGAACTTCTCAAACGGCATCTTGGGTATGAAATTTCAATGACGGAATTTGAGCAGATGGAGGAATTGCCGGCTTATTCGGTATCTGCATAACCGCTTTAGGGTTCTCGTGTGTCCCAGAAGTTTGGACAGAGACGTTTGTGTGAGGTTGGTGTGACAGATGCTACAGAGGTAGCTAAAAACTGTCTTCTGTTTAGTTTTCTATGTAGCATGCTATTATTATGGCCATTAACATTGATAATCACAGTCTATAATAGGAAGTCTTGTCCGAAGCCATAGTTGCTATGTCAGCCCACTGTTCCTCATCGGACCTTTGGCGTGCACGAGTACTCCCCCTATATTTCCCAGCTTAAGTAAGTGAATGTCAGGTATTTATTCGATGCTTAGCAATATTATTAGCTGTATACGCATCAAGTGAAGCAGCCGCAATAAGGGCTTCGGCATAGAGTACAGTATATAGAACGTACAGTATATAGAACAGTAACAATTAAATCTATCAAGGAAAGCTAAATCCTAGAATCGGAAACTCACTGGGGACGCATAACAGCCTAGGATCTGGAAACCAGAAACGGAATATTGTGTTGGATACTACAGAAATAGGGAACGAGGAAACGAGAAACGGGCACCTGCTTTTGCGTGGTCGCTGTAACAAAGAGCGTATATACGTTTGGAAACCTTAACACTAACTTTAGGACTACATACTCCTCTTGGCCCTTATTGGTGACAATCACGACCCACTTGGGAACCTCATGATTAGCCACGTAAGCATCAATTACTAGGGCCATGATGGCCTTTCCCCTAAAACAGATGTTCTCTTTTCTTTAACAATGGGTCGTTCTTAATCATATTGTAGTTATCAATGATATGGCGGCGTTCTTCCGGCGTTGATGTCTCCCAGTCCTCATGTCCTTGGGTAATACGGGCTGCTACGGCGTACCTGTGCATTTGCTCTCCCATATGCTCTTGGATTTCTCTGTAGATGCCTTGCAGCGTATAGCCACCGAGTCCAAAAATGCCTACGCCCGATTAGTACTCGCCAGCTGGAGAGAGTTATTGGAACCGCTTGCCTGCACTGGGTTTAAGGATGAGCCCGCCAGCTCCCTTCAAAATTCCGGCCAGGAACCCCTTGGCTCCATGTTCCACCCCACCACGATATGGTTGCGTTACCACCCCGGCAATACCATCGTACCATCCCAGCCCGAACTGCTTCCCAGCAGTCACTACTCCACTTTTAAAATCGTTGACGTCGTCCAGTTGGCGGACTGTATCGTCACCATACTGCTTTGGCGCGTTATGGCATCCGCGGGAGACGGCTAGGATGAGGTCCATAGGTGGCCGCATTACTGTGATGGCGACGTTAGAGATCCCTTGATCCCCCATTTCAACAGCCTTGTAAACAGCACGATCCCTTGGATTCATGAGATGCTTATGTCTAGGTTTGACTATCGAACAAATCGTGATGTTGTGTGTTACTGGCTCCGGATCTACAAGATGCTGCTCATTATCGCGCTCTTCATGGTGGCTGCTGTTGCTTCCCGATCGGTAGGGATCCGTGGCATGTATAGTGCTTGTTTCAGTCAGGCGTGTGTTTTTAGAACTAGCCTGCTCCGTTCTCTGATTTGCGACACCCAGGTCGGCACCCGGGTTGGAAGTTGTCGATTGGAAGCGGGAAGCTCTGTCTTCGTGGCTATTATGGACTCGAGACTTAAGTTTGTTAATGATCTCAAAAGGAACATCTGCCATTCCAATCATCAAACTACTGATAGTACCAAGGAGAGCTGCAGCCCCTCCAGTAACAGGGTCCCAGGGTTCTGCTCCCGTATTGTATTCGCATGGACGGTACCTATAGGATTATTACTACATTACAGTTTGGGATATGGACATGGAACCCACATTTTAAGATCAGAAGCTTTTAAGAGACCCTCATCACCCAAAACAATTGTCGCCAATGCACTTAGCCTGATATTCGTTCTCCTGACCCTTGCAACTGCTACTCGTTTCGGACAGACTAAACACCGTTGATTGTCCAGGTCTAACATATTATGGAAAGACTTGGCCCCCGTAATTGCTCCTTGATCTTTCAGAAGAGCTTCACTTAATTTTTTTGCATTCTCCACCGTGCCAGGTTCAATTGCTTTGAGAATACCCGCAGCTAGAGCATCAGCGGTGAGTTTCTTATATGGCACTGGGGCTGGCCCCGCACCAGCACGCTCAATCATGGCTCCCCAGAATGGTTGATCTCCAAAAAATGGAATCACAACTGTAGGGCAACCTGCCAGTATCCCAGCCGCGGTCGTACCTGCTCCTCCGTGGTGAACTACAGCAGATACATGTTTGAAGAGCCAGTCGTGGGGTACGTCTCCGATCATGCAGATATTGTTAGGAATATCGAGCTCATCGGTGCCAAGGCCACCCCAACCTTTTGAGACGAGTGCCCGGACACCAGCTTTCTTAGTTGCCTCAAAAATGATCTTCGTCATGACATCTGGTTCATCCACAACTATGGATCCAAACCCAACATATACTGGGGGATGGCCACTCTCTAGGAAAGCACGTAGCTTGGTATCCGGGTCATATGACGATCCTAGAGACAGGAAATAGAATCCTGACAGAAAGATATGGCTGCCCCAGTCTTCAGGCTTTGGAATGAGCGCCGGAGACCTATATTACATATCTTATCAAAGGCTGAAGATACAAGGAAATAGGTTGATCAATCATACCAACAATAAGTAAACGGAATTCTCAAGCGGGAAATCATGCCAGGAGCCCACATGAGACTGACAGGTTCCAAGTGTAATGTTTTTGTCCGAAACCGGTTCACAACTCCTCCCAGTCCTTGCCAAGTCATGATATCTACCAGAGCATATGAGATTAGGTTCGCCATGCTCGGTTCTGTGTTTGAGTGATGGATGGTCGACAATGGATGCGGGAATGACTGTGTGGGTGACCAAGGCATGGTAAACATCAGATGGAGAGGTATGCCGAGCCTTTCGGCGCAATGAACGTGTGCAAAGCTTGGGGGGTTTGCAATAATGGCATCTGCAATGAAAGGCCTGTCGAGGTGCTCGCTCGGGCCGGTGAAAATTCTAGAATAATCGACGTCCTCCATGCCGTTTCCGGTTTCGATGCAAGACCTCCAACACCCCTTCATAACTTCATACATGCCCCGACGTCGTCGGCCAATATCACCGCTTTTAAGAGTTCCTATGTTAGGCAGAAGACCAGGATTCTTTACCATGAACGCCATCAGTTCGGCTGGGTCCTCCCCAATGCTGAAGAACTCGAGCCCATTTTCTTCGACAAAAGACTTAAAGTTCGGATGCGTGGCGAGACGAACGCGATGGCCATACTTTTCGCGAAGAACCTGGCCTAGTGAGACAAACGGCTGAACATCGCCGCGCGAGCCCACGACGTGTATAGCAATATTCATTCGCGGTGGAGGAAGACCATCACGCCCCCTCGTTATGGATGGCGGGAGAGTAGGTTGCCCGGCCTGAAAGCGTTTCGTCTGGGCTTTAGGACATTGTATGATAGGAAGCACATGATCTCTTAAATATTCTGAACAGTGATCGATACGAATATCGACTCGACCGTCATCTATTAGGGTATCAGATCAATCTAGGGCGTGTACCAGTTCGCGCTAGAAGCACCAACCATTGACTGCAGCTTCAGTTTGTATATCTCCATCGCCGACAAGTAGCTTGCTTAGATCCTTGTATTGGCGGCGGGAGGCCTGAGATAAAGGATTAGATAGCGACGTTTTTCGTGGCGGATGAAGGGGCTCATGAGAAGCAGCATTTCGAGACATCGCGAGAGCGCAAAACTTCAAAACGGTCAGAGCCAGGCGATATCACTTTCAACATAGTTATAATACATTACATTATCGCCTAGACTAACATCGCTGCTAATATACCAATTCCTTGGACGCTCCCAAGGCCTAACGTATGTATAATCAGGTGTACCAGTACTGTACGTACACGGGACCATTAGCTTCGGCATTTGTCTGCCGGCACTACTCGTCTCCACAACGCCGAGGCGGTTGGTTTAATAATCATTGATCATGGTTCAGCGGCTAAGTTCAATCTCGGCCACCTTAATCATGCCAATTCCGCTGTTCTACCTCTCAACAACAGCCTTGTCATCGAGGCCAGGTCGAATGGAACAGTCAGTCATGGACTCCTGCACCAGCATCACGACCAGTTCGAGTAAGAAAGCTATCGTTCGCGCTTGACGTATTTGACGTGGCAAAAAGTAGACTATGTTACGTTACGTATTTGCGGATGTGTGTGTCAGCCCATTTTCGGGGGTTTTCATCATCATGAGGTAAGTATTTTCTCGAGAGAGAGTTCTGCTTGGCGAATTAACATACAGTATTGCACTTCAAAGTTTGGTTTGACGGGATCCATGTGCGTCCAGTTGCGATTTTAGAGCAGTTAGATTTCTCAGCTGTTGGGTTGTGGGAGGGCCACGTTCTGGTAATATCCTTATCAAACACGACCAAAGACAGGCCAACGGCCTATGGTGACAAGACCAGAGCTATAAGCACGGTGTCGAATGTAGCTCAAGGTCAGGTTAACGACGAGACGATGGAGTCGAAAAACTCTTCGATATGGAAGAGAATCGCAGGCAAACTTGGAATAAACATTCCCATCGTGTTGCTAATGATCAAGTATGTACTGTGACTGACCTTCCTCATTTGGGAGCCCATTTAATACGCAGAAAGGCCGCAGTTGCCAGCGCTCTTCAAGAGAGTATAGGCAGGCGGCTTTTATTTATTTAAAATCGTCCTCCATGCTGTAGCGGTGTATTCTATCCAGAGCTGACATGTCGAAGAGGAGCCATCGCACCTACCATCGGACTTGCCATGTATACACCATAACCTTTTTTTGCTTCCCAGAAGAAAAAACTGATTTCCTGCAGATATCAGGACAACCATGTTGCGGACCATTTCTTGACGATTGGCTATCTCATTCCAATTATGTCCATCCTAGCAGTTCCGATTTTTCCTCGAGCAAGATTTATCCAAAACCTTTTGGTGGCCTCGGTATGGACCAATCGTACCTCTTATAGTTCTTGTTGAATTAACTTAGGTTCTTTGGTAGCTTTTGGTTTGTCTTGCAGCCGCAATATCGTTACTTGCCATGTGGTGTGCGGTCAAAGCTCGAGAAAATACTACTCATATTTCGAAAGAAGCGTTGGCCAATGGGCCTGTCACAGGCGCTCAAGTTAGCCCATCGTACAACGCCGCGGCAAGTGCTAACATGGGCATTTGGCTATTCTTTGAAGTATGGCTAATCAACACGTCAGTCCCAACCGCAGTTTGCGTCCGCCAATCTTCTGACAGTTATATTGCAGGTTCCGAGCGTATCGACCGCAATACTTTTTGCCTTCTATAATATTTTCAATCTTCATCAACATTACAGGAACCTATGGAACGCTGTTTGTAACTATGAAGCAGGTCGAAGCTCTAGGTAACATTCCCTTTTTTACGCGTAGCAGAATACTGATTAGAGAGATTTCTAGTCTCCCGTTTGCTTCAAGCGTTCTTCGCTGGTTTCGGAATCTCAGCTTCAGTCAGCCTTGTCATCGTGCCTTTCAGCTCTCGAACTATCATCTCCTTGCTCGTAACGGAAGAGCTCCATGAATTGAAGACCACCCTCGAAGTCCAGGGACAATATATGCTCTCCCTACCCAAGCGTGAGTGGTACGGCACGAAGAGCTCCACCACATACGCCAGAAGCGCCAATAAGAGTTGGTTCTCTACTAGGGCCAAACCTTGGCCTGAAGCTGATGCTCTAAAGAAAGTGACCGCCGACGTAACCGAGCTACAAGTTAAGGTACAATCAGAGCTTCGATATGCAAAACGTGAGGTGGCTTGGGGCAAATTAGGATCGAAGGACATGGTAACGATATGTCGGCTAATAAAGAACATATTGGTTCCAATTTTAGGGATAGAGTCTTTCATTGGAATCACAGATCGAATTGAAAAGCGTGGTGGGTGGGAAGCTCCGAGAATTCCAAGGACCGCCGACAGTTTGACTGGATCGAAATCCAACTCTCTGGAAGACAAAGAGAAGGGTCAGTGGAAGGAGATACTTGAACAGTTAAATGATCGGGTCAGACAACTCCAGAAAACTGTGATTGAGGGCTTCGATCATTCTTTGTACACACTCGAACTCGCAAAACGACCATTATCCCCGGTTGATACCGACATTGAAGCAAACAGCCTAGGTTACTCGGCTGGGGAGAGAGGCTTCGCTAAATACTTAGAGAATGCGATACAAGACTTTTTGCGCCAACGAGAAGGTCCTCTGAAAAAATGGTGTGCCGAGATGGGTGTGGATGACTATTCGCAACTAAACGGCATGAAGCCCTCAGACAATTCATTGCACGAGCTACATCAGTCTCAACTATATCTTATCCTTGATGTATGTAAGTTTATTCTGTTCCCGAAAGGCAAAATTCTGACCAGTCTAAAGCTAGAATATTCTTTTCTTGTGACTGCGAGAGAAGTTTTAAACCTGGTCAAGTATGCTGACTCTAAAGTGGATGATGGAACAATGTCGAAGAAGCGCCTTATACTGCCAACGTGTAAACAAATGAAAAAATGGTTCTGGGCCATGCTTTCTAGAGAAGACAGCAATTTAGACTACCAAGTCTATAGTACCCGATCTGGCAGTCCGACAGTCCATCTTGGCGACGCCATTCAAGGTGAGAAAGACACCGAACACCTTCGCCCTACGTCTGTTTGGGAAAAGGTGACGGACAAATTTCGAGTTATTCCGAACTTCTTTGGTTCTGCAGAGTCGGCATTTGGTTTCAGAGTAGCAACGGGAACCATGGCTATTGCAATCATTTGTTTCCTGAGGAATTCTCAGCAATTCTTTATCGAACAGCGACTCGTCTGGGGTTCGATTATGGTTGCCATAAGCATGACTCAAACCGCTGGGTCTGGGGTTTATGGTCAGTTCTTACGTTTCAGTGGAACATTAGTCGCTATGGTCGCATCGTACATTATCTGGTATATCGTTGATCAGCACCCGGCAGGTATTATTGTCTTTACTGGCATCACTATGTTCCTTTACCACTATCCATTGATCAAGAGCCCTAACAATCCAGTCATTCCTATAATCGGAATGGTCACGGTTACCTTGATAGTGGGATATGAACTTCAAGTCCAGAAGGTCGGCATCCTTAGGTCAATTTCCAACGGCCAAGCCTATCACCCCCTATACGAGCTCGCTCCTTTCAGATTAGCTACAGTCGTTGCCGGAGTGGGCGTGGCATTCTTTTTCACATACTTCCCGTCAGTGATCACAGCTCGAAGCCAACTCCGCAAGGACCTAGGATCCTGTCTCTATATTCTTTGCAACTACTATAGCTCCGTCCATCAGACTGTTGCATTGCAAAGTAGAGATGCAGAAGGGGATCTGAAAGACAAAGGGAGTCCTGGAAGAAGGCTTGAAAAGGCTCGAATTCGATTATACGTCAAAGACCTTGTCCTCCTTCAAGGCATAGAGAAGCATATTAAATTCACTGCGTGGGAGCCCACGTTTGGGGGGAAATTCCCGCAAGCTTCATATAACAGGTTGATCAATCATACCCAGAAGTTAGCTTTGCACCTCCTTGTTGATTCTAGTGTTAACTTAAACTAGCATCATCCGCTTCACGACAATGATTGCCCATGCATCTGAAACGTTCCGAGTGTTACCAATTGCAGATAACACCCAGAACACTCCAGGGCCGTGGCTGAAAGACTTTAAACGTCTCATCTCTTCCTTACAGCTAACATCCCAAGAAGTAACATCTCTTCTCGCCATAGTCGCCTCCGCAATCTCGACCGGTAGACCGATGCCTCCATATCTCAAAGCCCCACAAGTCATGAACCTCAGACAACTACTTAACAGAATGGACGGCGATATTCTCAGTACACGGCATGTACTTGAACCAGGCTACGCGGGTTTTGCCGTGATACAGGTATCATCTACAATGTTGAGAGATGATTTAGAGGGCTTACTGGAAGAGACGAAGAATTTAGTTGGGGAGGCGAAGTTTAACATCGATGGTACTGAGATAGAGAACCTTAATGCGGATCCCGTCATGATAGGAGGGAGGGGAGACTAAAGCAATTGCGAAATGTTGCCCAAGTGCGTCGGATGCCAAATATTTATGCTTGCAGATCTAGTGCGGTAGCAAATTTTTAGTGATATGAGTCCAACTCGGCCATCGAGGAACCTCTCAAGTAAATAGACGTTTAATACAGTGGCTCATATATACACATATATATCTAATAAATCGTTATCATCATACCCAGATTTACTTCTCTTTCATCTTAAACTTTGACTGTGCCTGTCTTCTCTTTTAACTTAGCTTTGAAGTTGCGCACGACGCAAGATTTTTTTCGTGAAATTGCTTTCGGATGTATTGTTCACTTTGCATCTAGAGGCAAGCTTTTTCCTGCGGCACAGCAACGCGTCATTTCGAAGGCTCAGAAGTGTGCAATTGCCAGCTCTTCCTCAACATCAAGAACGTGCGAAAATACAGTTCCAGATGCTCCTGAAATTCAGATGGCCGACGTAGGAAACGGTAAGAATTTTCAACTCGTCGACTGGGAGGAAAATAACCCAGAGGTATGAAATCATTTTAATCGTTATGAAGAGGCTCTTCTGTTTTGTTGCAGAATCTACCACGCAATAAACTCCGCGTCAACTTTCGCTCTTAACTTATTCTTCCCGTCGCCACTACTAATTATCCCGCTAATGAGCAGGAGGACGAAGATTGAGGTGTAGCAGGCTACTAGCACGAGGAGGGTCAGGTGAGAGCGTGGCGCTGAGAGGCGTTGGGCTGCGATGGAAGGGAAGGTAGCGCAGTGCGTTTCGTAGCCTAGTGGGAGGTTCTCGTCGTCATCGTTGTCTACGTTGTAGATCTCAGCACTATCGTCATTAGAGGACTATTTTCCCGTTTACCATGTCTTAACAACAAGATTAAATTCCTAACAGCAGAAAACGAAAGAAGGACAGGGTTTTGCTCGAATCTACCTAGAAGAGTTATAAAACCAGCGGCTAAGTTATAGTAAGGTTTGCTTTTTTAATATAAAGTAATTGATAGTAGACTTTAAATGTACGCTAGCAAATCTGAAGTAAAAATATAAACAACATATGTAAATTAAGACCTCTAGAATTGAAACGTCTAAACTCTAGTCTATGTCCAACATTCCTACATTGCTGTATTATGCGTACCTAAATCTCCAACTAACTCTGCCCCCTTTTAACTATATCATATACTTGGAATAGAGAGCGCTTAAGTTGGATTTAGCTAAAAAGATACGGCAAATGCTCTTGGTTAAGCTAACTGTAAATCAGTCCCACCTTTAAGAACGCGGTCATTTGAAATAGTGTAGTCCTGGAATTTCTAAAGACTTTAACTACAGGCCTACATGTTCCGTCGTTGCAGCACATAGGTTCTTTCCACAGCTTCATCCCTTTCACTAATTTGCAATCGACAGTCTAGAGTTTAGTCAGCAACACATTACACCTAAGCCTAAGTCTGAGCCAGTTGCCTTCTGTTATCTAGCACGAAACTAGTCTCATCTGTTAAGGCTATACCTCCCCTAACTAGAAGACAGAGACGGAGAACTCGATCCAGTAGAGATATAAGCCCTTGTAGAATCGAGAATGTGGTGATATAAAGTGTGTGTGTCACTAAACTGACTAGTATCTGTTTCGTTTTGTTTCTTAGCATAGGTGATACTGGTGGTCGAATCTGCCTGCCACGAACTTTAGATTAAGAAAACTGTTTCATAAATTTGGGAAACAGCGATAATATAAAGTGTATAATTCTAAAAACTAGAAAATAGTTTCTATCACCCCGGAAACTGCTGTTAGGAATTTAATCTTGTTGTTAAGACATGGTAAACGGGAAAATAATCCTCTAATCCTTAGAGCTGATATCGCAAAAACCAAAGGCAGAATTTAGTCTTCAAGCTCTAAGTAAAAACTATCTCGACCATTCCCCGTGCATATTAAAGAACAAGAAATGGAACGCCAGTATCTCTGCATATTAAAGAACAAGAAATGGAACGCCAGTATCTCTGCATAGGTTAAGACAACACTGAAGGCAAGAACCTCTGCGTAGAATCAACGACTTTAGGTAGGCGATTGCAAAGCACCGAAGATCATCTGCGCCATCTACAGGAACAACGCCAACATGAGAGGTAGAGCCCAAAGCACCTTCGACTAGATCCCAAAGAGAAATATATGAAGAAAATTGATCTGCGCTTATAAGTTGAGCGGAATGGTGGTGGGGACATCTTTCAAGCAAAAGTGTGTTACTTAAAGAAGTAAGTATAAGTAAGGGGTCGGTTTCAGCCACAAGAGAGGTGTCGGTCTTAGAGCGTATCATAAGTTTGATTTGAAGTTCCTTATTCTCTCGGATAGTTACCTTCCACGATAGTATGAGATCTTTCAAAAGATTTAATGGTTTAGACACTGCTGGGAAAGAGGGTAGATTGGGGTAAGTTGCCTCATCATCCATGATCTCATCGTTGTCAATCTCATCATTGTCGGTCTCATCATCCTTAATATCCTCAGGCGATGATACAACGTTGTAGGTATCATTTTGGTATCGTAATGCCCCTGGCAGACAGTAAAGCTTGAGGTATCCCTGTTTTTCGACATAGAATGTGTCGAATATAACAGGGTAAACCACTTGACCTTTCCCTGAGGTCATTATCAAGCTCCGTTCTTCGTTGTCAAACATGTGTCCAACCATGCTTCTCGCCCAATCGAGAAGGTGCATATCGTTAAAAGGAAAGGACTCCCCAGTTTTAATTACTTTAGCGACAGTTCCGTCTAGTACCGGAACCCCTCCGTTTCTCTCTAGTGAAAGTCTGACTAGTATAGGTGTCGAAGACTCAAATAGGGATAGAACAAGTAATTCCACAATTATAAAACCTAGTGATCGAAAGAAGTCTTCTCTGCTACAGAAGTCTTTATTTGAGGTTGGTCTGGCATGTCTTTGCGTAGATTCGCAACATTGATTGCATAGACATTTCTCCATTAATGACTGTAGATGACGAGAAACTAGTGGTAGGTCGGCTATAAGCATGCCTTGTCGGAGATTGATGAAGGTTACTGGCCCATTTATAGCTAGAGCCCTAGCGTATGTCAGGGCTATAATGTCTGTATTTGGAAGTGGACTAAGGTAGCAGGTGTCCATAGAGTTGTCGATAGCGCCAAGTAAATGTTGAGAAGTCGTTCTTTGGCCAAGATAGGTAAACTTACCACACCTCATTGCTAATAGAACTTGAGGAATAGCATGCTCAAGGGCCTGGCGTAGCAGTCGAAACATAGCGTCACCGTTAAAGCCAAGTTGTTGGAATAGCCACGGATAGTATGAATCAATAGTAACCATTCCGCTCGAGAAAAGTTGAGATGCTGGTGCGAGGAGTTGAGTTATATCCTCAAGTTGGTGATGGATGGTAATTTCAAGTGGTTTGCTCGAATTGCTGATAACGATAACATTAACTTGAGACTGGGGTTCTTTACGGACTGCAGCCGCTATTCCATCCACGTATAGAGATGGGGGGATCTCGAGACACCACTGTGCGAAGGCCAAAATCCATGGCGCGGCTTTGCTAACTTTTATCGTCATCCCAATTACTGTTGAAGAGCCCATTCGTGCAACTTGACGAAAAGCTGCAACTAGGCAAGCTATTGTCTCTGAAGACGGCGCCCGTAGGGAATTTTGACTTAGGTTTTGCCGGCGTTCTTCTGAAGAAATGGAAGGTAAGATTTCCTTTCGCAGTACGATCTCCCAGCCCACAACAGATTCAGCAAAGCCACAGCGATAAGATCTAGCTTCAAGGCTCCCTAATAGATCGTCTAAATGTCTTACTGTGGGAAGCAACGTCAAGTCTGTCGCCGAATCCCTCAGCATCACGTCGAGAGCTTTTGCGCCGTTAAAGGGGCCGACTGTTGTAACAATAGCAGCCGCTAATCCTAAAAAGCGGATTCCTGAATGAGTATTGCTAAGTTGAGTAGCACAATCGTTGGGGAAAAACCCCACAAGCCCTTTTAAGAACTTAACGGGGGCTGGTTCTGGTGATAGTGCAATCGTTTTCTCAACCTTAGAGGCTGTCCTGCTGCTTATAGCGATTGTGGCCCCAAATTTTTCACAGGCAAGTATAGCAAGGGGTTGGACATTGTCACTTGTCGCCGCAGCCAAGACTCCCCTAGCAACAGAAAATACCGACTGGGATGTTTCATTAAGGCTCCACTGGACTTGAATAGGTTGCGTCGACATCTTGGGCTTGTTTCTCTAGAGTTATGATATGATGGTTCTCAGTAGTTGATAGGGATAAGATCAACTGCGAGGTTGACAGCGTGGCACCCCCGCGTTTAAATCTAAGATGCAGGCGTAATGTTGTTCATCCGGCCCGTTCCGAAGAATAGGCTAAATTTCCAACTCCAGTTCATTAGTTTTATAATCACGTGCCCTCTATATATAGCAACCGCTTTATATTCTGCCTTTAAACTAGCCTCTTGTGATTTTGATATAGCACCTCTACACTTTGGAACTTTGAGCTTATATATACTATTGCGGAATTAGTGCGATTTAGCTAGTTCTGAAATGCACCTGAGACCTGGAGTCTCCAGACCCTCTGCTCTGACACTAGAGCCTCGTAACCCGAAAAGTTCCAAAACGTGCCTTCTGCCCTGCATACTGTCATACCATCGACTTCAGTCTAGTCTCATCTATTTAGGCCTTACGCCCGAATCAGCGAAAAACTAGCCATCTTCTGTTCATGCGAACCCCTGTTCTGGCTACTTCTTGGCTTGGCTGAGCAAAGTGTAGGAGGGGCCAAAACAAAGACATCACACACTATACAGTACTGTGTGCCCATTAGTTACTTTCCGTTCTGAGCCCCTAGGTAGGCCGAGGAAGGGCAGAACCCTGCTTGCACTGCCACGCATGTTCGACCGACTCTAAAGTGGCGAAAACGTGAAAAATGGCGCATCGCAAAAGCAGCGGGAAGCTGACGGAGCAGCCGGTGCCCAAACTACATATGGGGCGATACGGGATTGGCTAACAACAATCCGGCATCAGTGGTTTAGTGGTATTAATCCATCGATGCCGCTCGACTTTGGGCCCCCTAATGCCGGTTTACCATTTCCTGATTTCTCCTTTCTGAAGTCTGGGAAAAGCAGCGACATTTTGACGCTCGGTTACCTAGATATGAGTTGGATCTAGACATGAGGCCGCGTGATTTAAGACTAGTGATTAGCTCAGTGCCTCTAGCCCCCTACCCATATGCTACAGGTGCATAGCCCAATGTCTGCTCATTACTACCCGCACCCACCCCTGCATATTGTGGATGCAGTATAGTTCCTTAGCGTGTTCCAACCTTGGGTTCTTACCTTGCAAAGCGCTACCTCGTACATCTTCCCGTTTTGCGATAGCTGTGTACGTTTGCCCGTTTCGTGTGGTGGTGTTGTTAGATAAAAGCAGCATTAGCCTTAGAACCGTTCACGCGTTACAGCAATTGGTTATTAATTTACCATTAACAGAAATCTCAGTCGTTGCATTCAGCGACCATCTCTGGCGGGGATGCCCATTATCTGCCGTCTGTGATCGCTCCCGCGCCAAGACCACCACCACAACCGTCCCCCGTTGTCAGCATTCTGCTTCCGTGTTCCCAGCTCTAGGACTAATGCTGCTTTTACCTACACTGCCACTGGGAACGTCCATCTCCACCTTCAACGACCGCCGAAGCGGCCTAAGAGCGCTTAAAAACGCGAAACGATTGGTCGATTCCGAAATCTGCCTCGGGCCTCTTGAAAGGCTGCATCCTGTGTCTGGCATCACGGCGGCGGTTTCGTGGAAACGGAGAATGGTTGGTTGGTTTCGGTACTTTTATTTGCACTGCCACTTGGGAGGCCCACGGGTAGCCATAAGAGTTCCTCAAAATGAGGAGCGGCTTGCCTAGTTCTGAAGTCTACCCCAAGGCCACAGCCCGTCTAAGGCCGCGTAGATTAAAATTCAGCTCCATTCTAGTCGGCGCTACATATATTGCAGACTACAGAAAGCTACCAATGAGCTAACATCCCTAAAGTGTCTTTGCCTGTATCGGTGACGTGGCATATAACCGCCATACGGTTGGTCAATTGCGTGTTGTACAGAATTAAGAGGTCAAGTCGTGGCGATCCGTTTATACTATTGTGTGCCTGCTCCTCGAGCAATTATATATAACTGTTGTAGATGCCCTTGAGGTCTAGAAGACTCTTTCTCATTAGCCATCGCTAAGTATCGAAATTATCTTGAAGCTAGAGTAGCGCCTTACTCTAAGTACACATTTATCTTGAAATAAACCTGTCTCATAATATAAACCCACTAATGAATCCTAACATAAAAGTCGGGCCACAGACCGACCCGGGAACCTTTGCTCCTAAACAGGAGGACGGAACCACAGACTCTAATCATGAACTTGGTTAGTAATCAAACCTACTACCATCACTACAGCAATACAAGCTTATGTTTTGAATAGACCCTGCCTTGAAAGCTTTGCTTGATAGCCTTCAAGGGCCACATACGAGATCCTTAGAGGCCCAGAAAGGGATTAAGACAGACCCAGAGAATAAAGCAAAACATGAGGCCGACCTCGAAGATGCAAAGAGAGAAGAAGCAGATATTGAGCGACAGATCGAAAATCAGTTCCCCGATCTATACGCAGACGGCCACAAGCTCGATCAGGAGGGCAGGCCACGGATCAGAGGATTGCAGCTGAGCCGCAACCGATTCAAGTCAAGCTACGTCATTGGAAGGATTTACAACAAAACCACGAACAGATTGAATTGGTACTGGCACGGCCTTTCAGGGCATAATTACCGATGGGACATCCCTGAACCGTGGAGCATAGATCCCGGCTGCTTCGGTGAATTTAAAATCGAGATTGGCCAGCTGGGTTCGATGCAGGGCAAGGTGGATTACTGGATCGATGGGACTGAGAGGAGCGTCCTTGGGAATTCCCTACAGGGCTATCTATCGACTCATTTTTCGGCGCACTATGAGAAGGAGGTCAGTGGCAGCGCTGAGGTTTATATGGCTGACGGCTTTTCTACTCAGACTAAGGCCTGGGGTGACGGCGGCCAGGTGGACCGGATAGAGTTTTATTTGCGCAAAGAATGGGCTTGAACGGGGCTAAGCTACCTTTCTCGCTGTCTGCACAATATAATATAATTATTTTGCTATAGGACTTGAAAAATCCATCTATATAGACCTTTGAGAAAATGTTTGTTAATAACTCCATTTGTCAACCACCCTGCAGTCGCGTATTTGCTTCCTCACCTCAAACCCTACGCAAGACCACCACCCAACCACACACACCTCTTGTCTATCAGCACAGATAGGGTATATATTATAAGGTATTTCACAAGCGAGTGGCCCACACAAGCAAGTGGCCCACGAAAACGCCAAAACGCGTCAACTTGACAAAAGTCAAACACTAGTCCCTCATCCGGCCCTACCTCCCCCTTATACAACCTCTCCCACCCTTTCCCCACGTCGTCCATTCCCTTGCCCCATACTAGTTGCAGCCCTTTCGGCACTCCCCTTTCTCTGTACGTCCTCCACTCCGTCAAAAGCCCCTCAAAATATGTCTTGTGCCCTAGAATCCCCACCGCCTGGGATCTCATCCCTGAAGTGTTTACCTGCATTCTCCCAGCCGCCATGCGCTTCACCATCTTCTGTGTTGTCACCTCCTGGCTTTCCGCTGCAACCTCGCCCCCTACACCTAGGAGCGTAACGCTCTTACTACTTTTCCTCAACTTCTCCGCCCACCGATCTGCTGCTCCGCCTCTAGCGCCAAAATCGACGACGACAACCTTCGAGTCTGCATCCGCGCCAACCTCAACACCAATGTCATGGTCATCATCAGCATCGTACGTCAGCACGGAATTGTACAGCCCTGTTCCTTCTGTAAAAGCCCTTGGTGCGTCTGATCCCACCCCTACAACCTTGCGCGAGGACTTCCCTGCTGGACGGCCATACTTCAACTGGTGGGCGAACGCAAGTGCTGTTTTCCCACTCGCCGCGAACAGCAGCAGGATCGTATCTTCCCCGATCCGTGCGTCCTCGGTAGTCCAACCCGAATCGGCGCCGGAGGGATGCACGAGCTCGCTCGAGTCCCACGCGAAGACGAAGCGATTCATCATGTAGCCAGCCTCGAATAGGACTTGCAAAAGAGAATCATAGCCTTCGCTTTGCTTCCGCTCGGCCTTCTGCTGGGCGGTCGTTTCTGACGAGTAGAAGAGGTAGCGGTTGTAAACCGGCATCAACTTCTCTCTCTGCGGACTGATTTCCACAAACTGTCCGTTCGCGTCTGCACTGATCTCGACGTGCATGTCAACAGGTAGCGTTCCAATTGGCAGATAGCCATACACGTGCGTTCCCACTTCGATACCTAGACCTTTAGGAACAGTACTCTCCACCACAACGCCATAGCCCCAAGCCGATACCCTTCCGTAATCCTGCGGGTTGGCGAATTCAGCAGGGATGGACGGAGGCAGAGGATGCACGTCCCACCAACCGAGGAGATGACCACAGCGTGCGTAAGTGAAGTTGTTGGTGGTTAAGGAAAGGATTATTGTGCAGATGCGTAGGGAGTGTGGGGTGAGAGGTGGAAGAGGGAGGGCATTGGGGAGGGCCACGAGGTGTTGGTCCTCGTAGTTCTGTTTGGAGAGGACTTGGATTGTTGGTGTTGTCGGCGTATATTTGGCCATTTTTGCGAGCAGATTTATAGCTGTTCTATGCTAGATGATGTGAAGAGGAGATCTCTAGCTTTAAATGGGAATGTCACCGACGTGGTTGAACAGAAATTGCACTCACGGCATTAATTGTCCCGCTCGTGGAGCTGCTTATACTAATGTCTTTATTATTCGTTCACAATTTGGCCCGAAATGGTACATTAGACTTTAATTAGGCAGCCCGTTTGAGTTCTGTAAGCTGTAAATTCGTCCTGTGAGGCTATGTACGAACAAGCATTCTAGGCGTCGGAGAGTCGGGACGACCATTCAATCCCTGCGTACCTCGGCTCACCGTTGAGGTTGGAGTGTAGACTAGGCAGACGCGACGACGTATTGCGGGAATAGCTTCCTCTTCTGCTGCCATGCCACATTAATATTAAGAGGTTAGATGTGGATCTAAGATCAAAGTGAATCAAAGTCTTCAAAAGATGTAAGCCGGATGAACTGTGTGCTAATGTCCGCAAATGTATCAAATAGATAGCGAAGTATTAAGTATTTGGACCTACCGACCTGACCTTATGAGTCGGGCTCGGCGTATCTCGAATCCTGTTAATGCTCATGCTTACAATGTTTCTATCTCTAACAGGGGTGATTGAAGAATGATAATCACATATAATAATCGAGGCCAGATAAACACTCAGCTTTATCCGTTGTTTAGAACTTGCACCAGCCAGTCCTGACCTAGCCATTCCATTTTGATTCCTAAATTGTAAAATTGTCTCAGAGATATGGAGATACCTATACTTACAGCTGCTGAAGCCTCACAATTAGACAGTCTTCAATCTTTCAAGCGCCTTAGCAGCAAAGCATACCTCTACACCCCCTCTGGAACGCACGACAGCGACTCAGCACCACTGCCAAATCCAGACACCAATGCACCCCATCTCATCTTCCTAGTATCATGGATGAACGCATCCTCTCGCCACATCTCAAAATATACCTCCCACTACCAAATCTTCTATCCCTCCACCCCTATTCTGCTTGTCACAAGCTCCGCATCCGACTTCTTCCCCGTCTCCATCCAGCACCGCCTGGCCACACTCGCTCCCGCAATCAGTGCCATCCGCGCCTACACCGACGAGAGGCAAGTCTCCCGCAATGACCTCCTAGTCCACGCCATGTCCAACGGCGGCGGCGGGCAACTCGCGCTAATATCCAAGCAATATCTCGCGGAGACGGGACAACCCTTACCGGCAAACACCATTGTATATGACTCGTTGCCTGGAACGGCGCGCTTTAAGCAAGGGCTCGCGACATTTTCTCTCGGCCTACCTGCAACTTGGTACTTGAGAATGCCTATGCAGCTGATGTTCAGCATCTTGTTGCTTTTCTGCTATATCCTACCACAGATCATGGGACAGAAGATTTCGGCTTTAGTGATTTTCAATTCTGTTAGGCCGGAATTCATCCGCAAGGAGGCGAAGAGATGTTATATCTACTCAGATGGGGATGAGGTTGTTTTGGATAGGGATGTTGAGGAGCATGCAAAAGAAGCGGAGAGGAATGGGCTGAGGGTTGAGATGGTGAAGTTTGAGGGTACGAGCCATGTGGGACACATGAGATCTGATCCAGCAAGATATTGGGGAATAGTGAAGCGGAGTTGGGAGGATCGGGCTTGAGATGTGTCTTTTTATTTGACCATTTGATCATTATCTTCATTCTTCAATCATCTATTAATCGTCGGATCGGCTTGGTCGCTTCACTCCTAGCCGGAGTAAGCAAGTTGTCCCGTCGGAAGGAAGTGTCCTGTATCGAGTTCGACTTCGGGCATCTATCGCACTCGCAGTGAACCTTTGAGTGCAAAAAGCAAGACAAGGGATATCCTGAGGCTCAGTGACCTATTTTATTTCAACATGGCTACTATATAGACGTGAACTATATTGGTTTCTACAACCCAGATCTCGCACCATATCTTGATTCTCGTGTTGAACGAGCACCAACCGCCTCAAATATCTGTTTCCACCCTCGCCGCTTTCACTAATCTGAGCCTCCTAGCCGCTTAGCCTCTAAACCATCACCTATCTCTGTTTAACCAAGTGCTGAGCTGCAATAACATTGTTATTCTTGTCTAATTCATAGGCCGTGTAGTGCATGCGCTTGTCGAGATCACTCTGATGCTCGGATTCCCTGTTTTAAGGCTAGCTGATCCTCATTAAATATGCAAGAATAGCGCAAGCAGAAGGGCTCATACTTCATAGCAACTGCGGCAGTCTTCTCACTAAAAATGCTTGCATTCTCTTCCACAACGTTCACAAAGTCATCTTTAACACCCGCAGAAGGGAATCCAGAAGTGCGTGTCTACAGATTCGTCGTATCTACAACCTGAATATCTGCAAGTAGTTCATCCTTTGAGAGCTTCATGTCCACGGACTACTTCAATCATCAGGGGACTAAGAGACAAGCAAAGAAGTAACATGTAAAAAAGGAAAAATAGCCAAGAAAATTCTCAGGAACAAAAGAGAAATGAGAGGTAAGATGCGAGGGAAGAAAACAGGAAAGACGAAAGGGTAGACAGGAGAATGAAGGGAAGAGAAGAAGTAGGTGTGTGGACACCAAACTGGAGGTAGGCCATGCGCTGACATAATTTCCACAGTGTGTGCGTAACAGAAAGCTGAATCCTAGAATCGGAAAACCACTGGACACGCATAACAGTCTAGAATGTAGAAACCAGAAACGGAATGTTGTGTTGGATGGTGCAGAAATGGGGAAACAAGAAACGAGAAACGGGCGTGGTGGTTAAAGCAGCCGGGCCCGCTAACATAGAACGGAATACAGTAATTGGTTAACAGGAATCTGGCATCAGTGGTTTAGTGGTATTAATCCATCGATGCCGTTCGACTTTAGGCCCCCTAATGCCGGTTTACCATTTCCTGATTTCTCCTTTCTGAAGTCTGGGAAAAGCAGCGACACTTTAGCGCTCAGTTGCCTAGAATTGATCTAGATCTAGACATGGGGACGCGTGATTCAAGCCTAATAATTGGTTCGGAGCGTCTAGCTCCTTGCCCTAATGTTAAAGGTGCATCACCTAATGTCTGCGCTTTACTCCGCGCCTAAAGGCATCCACCCCTGTATATTGTAGATGCAGTACCTCTAGACAATCAACCGCTAAACAGCTGATTTACCGTTTCCGGGATTTAGTGTAGTGTTTTTAGATAAAAGCGGCATTAGCCTTAGAACCACTCTCACGATACAGCAACTGGCTATCAAGTTTCCATAAACAGGAACTTTAAAGTCGTCTCATTCAGCGACCATCTCTAGCAGAGATGCCTAATTCTCTGTGAGCTGCCATCGCTTTTGCTGCTAAGACCACCACTAAAACCGTCCCCTGTTGTCAGCCTTCCGCTTCCGTGTTCCCGCTCTTAGGCCATTGCTGCTTTTACTTTCACTGCCACTAGGCACGCCTATCTCTACCTTCGACGACCGCCGAAGCGGCCTAAGAGCGCTTAAAAACGCGAAACGGTTAGTCGATTTCCGAAATCCGCCTCGGGCCTCTCCAAAGGCCGCATCCTGTGTATTCGATCACGACAGCGGCTTCCTGGAAACGGGGGATGGTTGGCTGGCTTCAGTGCTTTTACCTGTACTCACCTCTTCTCGTTCGGAAATTTGCCTCGAGCCCAGAGGTCACGTAACCTCCTGGCCGCAACAGCAACGTAAGACGCGCGAAAACAGTTGACTGGTTCCATAAATACTGTCGTGCCAGCCATCGACTCAGCATGGTCTCCCCCAAGTTCCCTGAACAACTTCATCAGGTTTACTGCGATTATACAACAATCTACACTGCCCTTCCAAATCCTGAACAGGTAGCTGAGATTCTACATTCCTGACAAAATTCGTTGGACTATCATGGCAACACATGCCGTCTAAAGGCGACGACCGGCGGTCTTGTCCCAAGGAAGCTGCAAAACGCAAGAGGTCATACTCTGTTTTTTGAGGTAAGAATATCAACATTTGCATACTGGGCCGTGCTAACAGTGCATAGAAAACCTTACTTGGGATGACAATTTGCGGCGAAAGAAGCAACGCCTTTCCTCACACATCGGTAGGTATTATAGTAGCACGCGATGGTACGTGGAGGCCTGCGTGGATATCATATCATTTATATCATTATATGGGACTTTCAAGTGGTGTGATATGATATGATATATCACATGGTGAAGACCGTGATATGAGATGATATCTATCCCTATGTAAAAACTTCATCGTGGTATGGTATTATATGATATATCATATCATTTATATCATACCATATCATTTATATCATCTCATATCATATACTACTGGGAGTATGAACTTCATACTCTGGATTTACCCATGTTGGGCTTCCAGACTTCTCGCACAGTGTTCTCCCAAACCGGTGAAGCACAGCCATTACTGGAATACAAACGACAACGGTGATAATGGCGTGGCCAATGAACGTCCAAGTAAACCCGATATTTTCCACCCACGAAACAATGAAAAATGGATCCAGAAATGCTGACAAGTTGAGCATCACGGCATAGAAGGTCATCATAGCCATGCTTTGCAAGGGATATGCATCCACCACATACGAACAAATGGCAGTGTTGCCCATTTGAACACCAGCACCAACTTTATAGCAGCAATTAGCGGAAGTTGAAAAAGAAAGGATCATCCGGTCTGACTTACAAATAGCCAAAGCGACTTGGCCTACCATCCAGTGATACCCGCGGTCAATACTGACCCCCCAGACAACCAACCCAACTGCGGTGAGAATAACCGCGGGATAGGTAAGCCAGATGCGCATCTCAGGAGTCTTCTGGTGGTTGTTGCGTTTGGCTAGTTTGATCACTATCCAGTCGCTCAAACTACCGGAATAAAGGACCTCGGAGACCAGGGTACCCACAATGAGCCCAAGATAAAGAAGTCTGTAATAATTTAGCGTGACAATTCCCTTAATTATGCACTAATAGTGACGCTTACCCCTGAATTTGTGGCGGATATTGCTCATATGCGATTGGAACTAGAGTGACCACTGACAGTACCCACCAGTACCAACCAAAGCAATAGGTCATGATTGAAATAGGAACGACAATGAACTTGAATGTTTTAATAAATTGGGTCATAGTGTCATAAGGCTTCGGATGCTGGACCCCTGGAAGCGGAGTAACATTTATGAATGGGAGCCGCTTGGTTTTTAGTATGTTCTCAGGTTCACCAGTAGAGTCTCTGACTGAAATCTCCTCGACACCCTGCTGTGACACATCTCCACGGTATACCTTGGATAGCATGAGGTGCCGTGGGTATAAAGTCTCCGGTAGAAAAAGGAGTTCAGCAATTAAGATCGCTCCGAAGAGAATAGCGGATAGCCACTGAATCCAGATGTGACCGGCAAGATTGATAACGCCACCTATAAGTGGCCCAAAGTAAAGACCCAAATCAATTGCCAATACCCAGAGTCCCACCTTTTGGCCGCGCTCGTGTTCAAAGAAAATGTCGTTTATTACGGCTAGGCCAACATTGGATGCCGGGCTGACACCAAGCCCTTGAAAGAAGCGTGCAGCCATATAACTCGAGTAGTTCGGGGCAAGAGCAGCTCCAATTGTGGCGGCCAGAGCCATAACTGTGCCGAATATGAGAATAGGACGACGTCCAATGATGCCCGCTATAGAGGCCCATAGCAGCGGTCCGACGGAGAGACCAAGAGCAGGAATTGCGACTGTCCAATTGATTTGTTCCAAGCTAGCAGAGTACTTCTCCTCCAGCGCTGGGAATGATGGCACTGTAGTGGTCGTGATGTAGGTGAACATGAAGTAGCTAACAATGCCAATGTATTAGAATCCGAGCTTAATTGACTTTAGAATGGAGATAAAATGCCTGCTGTAAAACTCACATAGACATTACAATAGCCAAAATCGTATGCTTCTGAACGAAGGACCAGTTCAGAGGGTCAAGGTTGTCGCCAAGTACAGGTTGAGGGAACAGCTTAAAGCCTTCTTTACTCAACACTATTTCATTCGCTGCATGGCTTATTGATCCATCCGCAACGGAGCCTCCTGAATCTATAGCAAGTGCGAGCTGTTTCTCATTCTCCATACTCTTGGAGATCATTGTCCTGGAGTATGTCGTCAAAATCAATTAATTGTAATAGTTCAGCTTGAACGAACCGCCAGTGTACATTACTGAAGCCAATGCTTGGGATCGTCGTATATAAATATTATTATATACAGCTATATACGATACAGAACTACCTCATAATTTCGACCTTATCGTAGCTATGCGCTGTAGAGGTAAGTTAGATGCTTCGTCTGTTGGTTGTATGGTATCCTGAAACTCCGGCTCCTTATCTCCCTTACCTATCTCCACTGTTGCATCTTACAAGGCAATAAGAAGACCAAGAAGGGAAATGTACGCGCCTTATCAGAGCAGACCTCCCATACGACTAAGTTGCTTATCTATCCCCTGGCGTTGGAATAGCGCCTCATCCGCAACGTCTGATTAGCGGATGCGGTAAGGGTGTGATCGTCGGAACCGCTGGCTCATAGTCAGAGGAAGTAAATGCATCATCGAAGGGCAAAAAAAGGGGGTACCATTACATAGTAAATTATAGTGAAGGGTTACATAGAGTTTGCTAAATATCGAACAAAAACGGCTAGTCCTAGTCCGAGCTTTCCTCACCAAAAATATCACATAGCAGAAGCCTCTTTTGTATGATTTATCTTCACCTAGACTTCAATATAAATAATTATACGTTATCCTCTTTAACCTCATAATTTCAGGAGAAGGATAACCTGGGTTTATCTAGGCGTATGCGAGACGTTTCTCTGGTCTTTGCTACGTAAGTTACTGCGGAAGGGGGCAGAACACACGTGACAAGTCTTGATATTCGACCGTATTGTTTTGGTCTCTATTGTCTACTAGCTGGGTAAGACAAGCTGTTCTTGTTCATTATCATCTAATCGATCGGCAGCCTTCCGGACCTCATTGTCCCAGTTGCTCAACCCGACGATGACCCACTCCAAAATGCCCACGAGCGACAGCGCCACGCATTGTCCCAGCCACAGACCAGCCAGACCCCATCCGTGGAAGGCAAGATAAACCCCCCCAGGAAGAGCACCTCCATAGTAACTTATACAATTAACAAGTGCCCCAACCCACTGGCGGCCCATACCCCTCAAGGCCCCACCACAACTGCCATTCAATCCATCTGCAACCTGGAACAGTGCAACATATGGAATAATCTCAGCAACAAGGGCAATGACGCGCTTGTCATCGCTAAATAGACCACCAATGACATTTCTTGTCGCGAACAAAATAGTGAGAATGACGGAGCCGAAGAAGACGGAAAGGATAGCAGCGCAATGTGCAGATCGTCTAGCTCCCTTGGAGTTTTTAGCCCCCAGCAAGTTGCCCAATCGAGCCGACTCGGCAACACCGAGGCCGAATGGAATAGTAGTGATAATCTGATCGGTCGTCATGACAACGGACTGAGCTGCAAGGGGTAGGGTGCCGAGCCGGCCAGCGGCGAGAGCAACAATTTCGAACGCCCACCACTCTGTTCCGACATGGATGACGCCTAAAAACGCAAGATTGGCAAAAGGCCATGGGTTTCTAAGAGCTTGTCTTGGCTTGAACCCACTCCAGCATTCCTTGCCTCCAACGAGTCCCGCGTAAGCCACTAGGAGAAGAAACGAGAGCCAATATGAGATGCCCGTTGCTACTGGCGCGCCGTATACACCAAAGTTAAAAGTGAAAATGAAGAGATAGTTGAGGATAATATTGAGCGGCGAGGTAACAAAAAGAACGTATGTGCCGGGTCGGTATATCCCTTGGGCCTGAAGGAATTTCTTCATGCACTCGAACCAGACATAGCCAAGGCCACCCGGGGCAAGTAAATGAAGAAACTTGGAACTCTGCATGCAAATGTGCTCTGGCTGTCCAAGCGCCCTGAAGAGGTGCTCGGAGAGACCCCATATAACAACAACTACTGCATAGAAAGCAGTTAAAACGATGATTCCCCTCTGCAGAAGAATACCGAGGTTTCCTTTGTCCTTGGAGGCCGTGAAACTGCTCGAGGCTAGAGTATCTAAAGCGCTCGTTCCACCAAGGGCGATTAGCCATGCTGTTGCCATTGCAAACATATAGGAGAACGCGGCGACTGCCAACGCTTCCGAGGAAATTCGCCCTGCAACCAATATCGAGGCCGTTTGCAGACTATTCTGGAGCATATAGGCCAGAATGACCGGGATGGACGCCTTGGTCAAGAACCACATCTCAGCCAGCCATTCGACGTATTCTGGTCGGGCAGTTGATCGGCTTGATGGCGAAGCTGGGAGCAGAGGCGACGTTTCATCCAGATGTTCCTCGAGGACTGACGGGAAGCTGCCCTCCTGGGCTCGCGACTTTTGCATGCTTGTAGATGTTTTCGGACTCATGTCGAAAGCTTGGGGTTGTACCTCAACTCGTGTTTTGGTTCGCGCGGTCGCCCTTTCAGATCGTCCTTTCAGACAAGATCAAATTGCACCCAAGCGTGGTCACCCATAGGCTTTTAGCCACCGGAATATTTGTGCAAGACATTTGATGTATTATCAGCGCTATCATACATACATCGTTATCGACCAATGTTCAGCCCTTAAAATCCCGATCAACACAGGGCTCGACGATAAGACGTCGGAATTACTATTTGACATGCCACAATAACGTAGAGACCCGATATTAATAACATGGTGTAGATACAAGCCTTTGCACGGAGACGTAATCCATGCACGCTGGAGATATGCAGCACTATCAATCCACAATATGCATATTGCGCTAACTTTATCTGGTAATATACCCACGATAACTGAGCTGGGTGTTGTTGCGGGATTCTGGGGACAGACAAGAAACGTGGAGGCCCATCCGCTAAGCTGGATGTGGTAAAATAGGCGCCTGGAAACACCATGATGTGATACTTTTAAGTTTTATCGATACCATTTGCAGACAAGAAACGTGGAGGCAGGTCCGCCAAGCTGGATGTAGTAAAATACGCGCCTGGAACCACCACGATGAGATATTTTTAAGTCTTATCGATACTATTTGTGTAAAAAGCTTCGAAACTATGGCGGCACTTAACGGGACGGCATAGTTGGCAGGAGCGCCTTCAACAACATTAGTCAATTCTAGACGAGGTCAAACTCAAATTTGTGATATAAGAAATGAACCGCTGCCACTGATAAATCCTCATAGGCTTTTTTCCCCAAGAAATCCAAATTAAAACCAGGAAGCATAATGTACGCCGCACTCTTAGCACTCGGCTGGATAGCCATTGCCACCGCTCATTCTGGGCATGACCAGAAAGTCATCGAAGGACCCCATCAGTCCCTATGGTACACCAGACTGCCCGGAGATGGCGGCACGCAGGTCATTTGACTCCCAGGCATATAACTCCTTCCGAGGTCAAACTGCTTACAAACTCTAGGCGGACTCTGTCTTCTCTGGCATTACTACCTTCGGCCGTCTCCCCTACCAGCCCTGCCTTCAGAACCCTGATGCAAAATACGACATTGCGTTCATCGGTATGAAACAGATATTAGTTCTCTGATTGAACACAGCTAATGTTTTAATAAGGTGCCCCGTTCGATACCGGAACCTCCTACCGCCCAGGCGCCCGCTTCGGGCCTTCGGGCATTAGACAAGGCTCCCGCCGACTGAATCTCTAGTATATAACCTGCCCATCACACCCTGTCAATCGAACGAATACTGACCAGAACACCAGCGGAGGCTACAACGTCCCCCTCAAAACGAACCCCTTCAACAGCTGGGCCACTGTCCTCGATTGTGGTGATATCCCCGTTACCTCGTAAGACTCCCGATGTACGTTAGATGATGACACTGACAGAGACCAAGATATGACAACACATACGCACTCAAACAAATCGAGGAAGGCCACTTTGAGATCCTCTCCCGCGCCCCCGCAACCGACGCCGACAAAAGAGGCCCCGCGATCCAGGGAAGAACCCTACCCCGCGTGATCACCCTCGGAGGAGACCATACCATCTCCCTACCGCTCCTGCGCTCCATCAACCGCGCCTATGGTCCCGTCTCGGTGATCCACTTCGACAGCCACCTCGACACCTGTAAGCCCCCCCCCCCCACCAGCCCCAGTTCGATATACATCAGTACTGATCCCAATCCCAAAACACAGGGAAGCCCAAGGTCTTTGGCGGATCCCCCTCCGACGTCGCGGCCATCAACCACGGGACCTACTTCTACCACGCCGCGATGGAGGGCCTGCTCTCCAACGACACCAACATCCACGCTGGTATCCGCACCACGCTGAGTGGGCCTAGCGACTACGACAACGACGGGTACTGCGGGTTCGAGATCGTCGAGGCGCGCGAGATTGACACCATCGGCACAGAGGGCATCATCAAGAAGATCGTCGACAGGGTTGGGACCGAGCGACCTGTCTACCTATCCATCGATATTGACACTCTCGACCCTGCGTTTGCGCCCGCCACAGGCACGCCCGAGACGGGGGGCTGGTCGACGAGAGAGCTTCGGACGATCCTGCGCGGGCTGGAGAATATTAATTTGATTGCGGCGGATATTGTTGAGGTTGCGGTATGTTGTTAATGCCTTTGGAAATCTGAGCGGGAGCGTCGACTAACAGGAATCCGCATATAGCCCGCTTACGATACGAATGCTGAGCACACTACCATGGCTGCGGCCGATGTGCTTTATGAGATTATGAGCATGATGGTGAAAAAGGGGCCTTTGAGCAGAATGATTGATGCGGGAGATAACTCCGAGTTATGAAAGAGAACGATCGCAGACGGGGTTAGATCTTGGTTGTCGGGTCTTAAGTGCTTAGGCGACTGGGTCAGACTTGGCCGTGGCTGACATTATGTGTTGGGTAGTAGCTGCTTGTGATGTTGTTAAAATTGACCTTTTCTGTGATATACCTGTTTTGCTGCTTGTCGTTTGTGCGCCTAGTGAGCTGTTTTATCACCTGATTCCATAGAAACCAAAGATGCAATGTTCCTATGTCTTATCGTGATGGCCCATAGTTGGAAGTTCAAGTGGCATTTATTCGCCTCGGTGTTTTATTGCTTATTCGTGTCGATCAAATCTCTGCAAATATCAGAATAGTATGATGTTATATCGCAGTTCAGCTGCATCATAACATTAGCCTTAAGCGTACATCTTCGAAGCGGCACCTACCAAGAAGTTGGCTTGCGCACAGCGTTCCCTCACGGTCCCCTAGATCCTCTCTAACTTTCCAAATATCCTCCAAAGCTTGTCGAATACATTTCACATGTAGCGATCCAATGCAATCCTCTAGTTTCTTGATTTTATCCATCGTAAAGACCTGCTGCTTCTCGGTGAAGGCTTCACAGCCGAGCGTGAAAAGAGGCATCGCCATAGCGACCCAGGTGTGGCACGGCTGTCCCTGGATCATGTTGCCGACCATTTCCTCGATCGATCGAACGGCAGCTTGTATGGACGGGGAGCCCGACGGATGGTGATATAATTTTCTGTATAGGTGGATTAATGTGGCTTGTTGGAAGGTCTGATGGCAGAGAGCGAACTCGCGGTTGTATTCCGGAGATAAGGGCGTGCAGATCGAGATATCTCGTGGAGATGTTGTGTCACGACTAATCATGCCTTGGACTTTGCCAAGGAGGATATCGGCTTCGGATATCGACTGTGCTTCGTTTCCGGAGACGGAACGGGATAGTTGATCGATTTGCTGCAAAACATCTAGGAGCTCGCTACTATAGCCCAAGAATCCATCTATCTCGGGGCTTGTCATTGATGTCCATTCGGAATTTTGAGAGGCTCGTACGCCTAACTGTGCTGAATTCTCGAGAGATTCCACTGTAGGTATGTGAGGGAGAGTTTGTAGAGAGAGGTATAGTTGGTAGAGGTGTCTCATTGCAGACCGAAAAGACCCAGACGGAGTGGCAAAGTCGCGATGGGCCTCACTTCCGTCCAGCAGGGCTCCGATGCCCTGTAAATGGATTTGCCAGGATGATATCCCCTGACGGTATGTAAAGACATCTGTCAGGCACCAAATCAAGCACGTAGCCGGCAAGGTCTCGGTCCTCTCCCCGGAATCCAAGGCACTTCTCAACAGTGCGAGACCCGAAGTTTGTAAATGCCCCAAGATCCTCGGGATTTCAACACCCTCCACCTCCAAGATCCCCCGCGATAGAAAGCCAGCGGCCGATAGGGCGAGGCAAGCTGACATGAGTTGGGGCGAATGGAGCATCACGGGAACCAGCCCCATGCGGAGGTCCTCCTGTATCGAGGGGTGGCACGATAGAGAGGCGAGAACATCATCTATAAAATAAACCAGGAGCTTTTGATACTTTGGCGGTAGGGAAATTCCATTTTGCAGACATCGAGGCAGAGCATTTGACAGCTCACGGGCTTTCCCAGTAGAGTCCTTTGTGCGGTGTACTAATGCACCGTTCTCATTGACTAGCATCAGTTAATGCGGGTGGTGGCTAATAACGAATCAAGTTTACTTTACCTGTGTCTACAACATATCGATCTGCATGTCGCAAGGGCTGGCCAAGTAGGGGCCTTTTGTGCTTCCGGCCGCCGCCACCACCACATACTACTCTCAATTGATAACTGCATGTTCTATTAAAAGCCGAGCAGTGCCCACAACAAGGCTTCTGCTCGTCGCACTTTCTGCGTCGCCGTCGACACTCTTCACATCCCTGGCGAGATCTTGTACTTGACATAAGGCGTGCAGGTGATTCTCGTTGAGACGACGGTTACGAAAGTCTCGTACTCTTAAGAAGCTTTGGTTTTGAACAAAGAAAGCGTGGAGTTCACGAGATGGCATACGTTTCCGGCAAGCATGGGTTGCAGCTAGAACAATTGCTGCTGCGGGGACTAGGATGCATTATAAATAAAAAACGTGGGAAGACGGCTCAAATAAAGTTCCACCTAAGGGTGCATATTACTAAAGACAGTCGTAGAGTAAGAGATGTATAGGGCTGCTTGATGGTTGATATGATAGGTTTAAAAGATAAGGGTCTTATCTACAGATAACTTGGAGAGAGGTACTGTTGGAGGTAATTCCGGAATACGGAGAACTGCACGCGAATTTGTGTGGCCATCCCCGACAACCGTAATCAGTCTCTTCGGCAAACGGAGCAGAAGCTTCACAGTAGAACACAATAAATACCTTATTACTGTACCTTGCGGCATATGGGTTGCATGTTCCAGCCGTAACACCCTGCTGCTCGATATCTGCTAGTAGTTCATCCTTTGAGAGCTTTATAACCACTGTTCTCTTCAAAGATTAAGAGACAAGCAAAGTAACGCGTAAAAAGCAAAACAAGAACAAGGGAAATATGAGAGGTAAGATGCGAAGGAAAATGGTAGGAAAGACGAAAGGGAAGACGGGGGAATGAAGGGAAGAGAAGGAGCAGGTGTGTGTGGACACTAAACTAGGGGTGGGCCATGCGCCGACGCCGACATGATGTCTACAGCTTTGTGCGAACGTAAAGCTAAATACTAGAATTAGAAACCCACCTAGGGACGCCCAACGGTCTAGGATGTAGAAACCAGAAACGGAATGTGGTGTTGGATGCTGCAGAAATAGGGAAACGGGAAACGAGAAACGGGCGGCTGCTTTTGCGAAGTCGCGAAAACCGAAAAGCGTGGTGGTAAAAGCAGCCGGGCCCGCTAACATAGAACGAAATACGGTAATTGGATAACAGGAATCCAGCATCAGTGGTTTAGTGGTAAAATCCATCGTTGCCATCGATGGGCCCCGTGTTCGATTCACGGCTGATGCAAAATAAAGACTCTCCAATTCGGAGTTGTGTTTTTTTTTCTTTTTTCTACATGTTAGATTCATTCGGGGTAGTATTTCTAAGTGAGGTTATTAGGTGTGAAATAGAGTTAATGACGACCGATATGGGGGGGCCGGGGGGATTTATGTTAAAATATTAAAGTTGAAATAATAAATAGATTACAACTTATTCGCAGATTTTAGAAACAACCATGAAAAAAAAAAAAAAAAAAAAACCTATAACGTATTTCACAAGCGACTCGCCTACACAAGCGACTCGCCTACTAAAACACTAAAACGCGTCGACTTGACAAATGTAAACATGCCACAACCAACACAAGCCCAATCCTCTAATTAAGAGGATCGAATACTATTGGCTATTAATGCAATCAAACAAGGCCAATTTCGAAGTGTTCGAGCAGCTGCAGCTTCGTACGATATCCCCTGAACGACCTTACGCGATCGGATTCACGGAATGGCTTCTTAACGCGATTCTATTCCTAAATCACAGAATCTGACTTCGTACGAAGAGTCAGCTCTCGTTCAGTACATTCTCGACCTAGATTCACGTGGATTTCCCCCCTGGCCGCAAGCTGTACAAGAAATGGCTGACCTTCTACTCTCTGAACGAGGCAAGAGCCCTGTTGGGAAGAATTGGACTACTAACTTCATAAAGCGTCGTACGGAAATTAAAGCAAAGTTTAGTCAGAAGTATGACTATAAACGAGCAAAATGCGAAGATCCGAAGATAATTAAAGGGTGGTTCTCCCTCGTACGAAACACAATTACAAAATACGGAATCTTAGAGTAGGACATCTACAACTTTGATGAAGTAGGTTTCACAATAGGAGTTATTGCTACTGCAAAAGTAGTTACAAGCTTAGAAGCAAAGAGCCGTCTAAAGACTATACAGCCTAGAAATAGAGAGTAGGTGTTAATTATTTAAGGTGTTAATTCGTACGGATGGGCACTCCCGCCATTCATTATTTTCAAGGCACAGAATCACCTCTCTACTTAGTACGAGGACTTAGGATTACTACACGACTAGGTAATTACACTAAGTGAGAATGGGTGGACTTTAAATTCAATTAGGTACGAGTAGATTTAACACTTCGATCAGCATACAAATGCTCGTACGGTCGGAACCTATCGCCTTCTTATTCTCGATAGGCATGAGAGCCACCTCTCTGCTCAATTTCAACACTACTGCACAGAACAGAAGATAATTACCCTCTGTATGCCACCACACTCGTTGCACATTCTTCAGCCTCTTAATGTAAGCTGCTTTGCGCCACTAAAGCTCTCGTACGGAAAGCAGATTGAAACCTTCGTACAAAACTAGCTAAACCACATTACAAAGCTCGAGTTCCTCTCTACATTCAAAGAAGCATTCAAAGCTACATTTATAGAGTAGAACATTAAGAGCGGATTCTAGGCTACAGGGCTAGTTCCGTACAAGCTACAGACTGTCCTCTCTTACTTAAATCTACGCTTAAGGACTCCAACTCCTCCTATAGTTGAGAGTAGCAATTGGACTTCAAAGACTCCTTAAACTATACGGGAGCTTAACTTTCAAACAGAGCACATTAAGAACTGCATCGTACGACATCAGAACAGCTCTCCTACCTCAATTAATGATGCTATTAGCTGCCTTGTTAAAGGGGCAGAAATGATGATGCATTCTGCTATTCTACTTAAGGCAGAGGTTAAGGCTCTACAGGCTGCAAATGAACAGAAAAAGAGGAGGGAAAGGAAGCGTAAGAGGCGTATAATGCAAGGGGGCAGTCTCTCCGTACGAGAGGGAGAGGATATCCTTCAGAGTGCTGAGGTTGATGCTCAACTCCGTACGGAGGTGGCAAGTGAGACTACTCGGCAGGTGGGTTCTACAGGCCGACAGCGGCGATGTGGCACATGTGGTAATATGGGGCATAATGCTCGTACGTGCGAGAGGCGCCAGGAATCAATTGCAATAGAATAAGGGTTATTATATAAGGTGGTGGTAGTGTAGTAGTAGTAATAGTCATATTCTGGTGTTTTGGTGGGCGAGTCGCTT